CTGGTACAGTACTGTAGGGTTTCTGCAAGGCGATATGGTGATCACGGAGATTATGATCTCAGAGATCGCAGATTGGTTTGATCCCATTTGAGTGTTCTGTAACTACCAACTACCTACTCCTACTCCTACTCCTGGTAGTCCTAAGGCGGTTCCAGGTTCAGATGCAAGCAATCCGTGGGTGAAAAGCTGGGACGCCCCAACTATTTAGGTTTCCATAAGCGAGCTCAATCTCATGCTGAGTCGCTGACGGTTGGAGGGATCTGACCGCTGAGCGCCAAGGAGCCGCGCCACTCCGTCATACGATCAGTCGATGCTCCCTCCTGACGGATCGATTGTTCGGCTTGCAGGTGTATACTTCGACCGTCTACGTGGTACGTAGTACGTAGTACGTAGTACGTATAGTTACGTACAGTACTAGCTGGTGGGAAACTTGGGAATGTCGACTAAGGAGTGAAGAAAGATCGTAGAGCCATACTATGACGAGAAGTGTGCTACTTGTTCGTTGAATAACCCAGTCGAGAGTATATCACATTGCCGAGTTCTATTTCCATCCATATACACGCTCACGAGGTTGGAAAGGACCCGAATCACGGAGACTACCGTAAAGGCCGATTTTGAGACACCATTGTCACCAGGTGGGAGCCTACCGTTTCGCACTAGCAACGGAAGTGGTGGGTATTGGGTGAGATCACAAATTCTTCCGCTATACAAAGGACCTGGATCACGTTCACAGACTCAAGAGACCTGAGCAATAGTACATGCCCACATGCCTACATGGCCAACACATCGAGGGCGCTAAGGTGAGTCTCGAGCCTCTTGATCTCTCCCACGTTCCCAGTCGTTCCCCCTCCCTGTCCTACGTGAGCACAATGCATATAGCATGCAATGTATTGTATACGACCGGATTGTACCAACGAGTGAGCCGCAAAGGAGGTAGGGAGATGCATACAAGACCATAGAGACTCGGAGAGCAGAAAGCAGAAAGCATCGAGTATGGAGGTATGCATGTACCACGGTCGTCTCCAGAAGGACGTGCGCCAAACCCACACCTTGAGTACGTTCTCTGGATACTGGAAGTCTCTTAGCGAGCAGCTGCTGGGCAGGGGGGATGTTTCTGGGCCGCATCGGAGTTCTAGCCTGATCGGGCTTAGCTGCCGATGCGGCATACTATGACCTTCCGTTCTGGGCGCCGTTGCTTTTTCTTCCATTTTTTTTTTTCGATCTTTTCCCGCGCAATAAGTACTGCTACACCACTTTGAATTGGATGATTCGTTACTTTTGTGAAGTGATTTTACAGTATGTGCTGTTTGGCATTTGCTATATCAAAGGAAATCACTACTACAGTACTAAAACATAGTCAGCGCTGTACAGTTTCAGCTCTCTTCGGGACAGGACCCATCGCGCCAAGCGACAGTTCATTGAATAAATTCTCGGGAATCTGGGGGAATCGGAAATTGTATAATGGTCATTGCTGACAAGAAAACCGGGGGAGTATCAAAGTTGAATGAACTATTCGAGTCTTGGACATGTGACATACATGTACGTTGCATCTAACATGGGAAATCAAGTCAAGTTGGAATGTCTGCTGAAGATCATCATATCATCCATCGGCAGCGGGCAGGGCTTAGATTTTGTCGTGTTGGGAGGCGCATGGGTGTAGATCAACGTCAACTGGGCGCGCCGTCGGCAGATGCACGCCAGGGGTCATGTTGGATGACAATCCCCGGGAGTACAGTCATACCTGCATCATGATTAAATGAGTTATAGGCTTATAAGGGTACAATACCTGAGTACCTTACTACCGACTGTACTTTACTATGTTAAAGCAGGGAAGCGAACAGGGAAAATGTAAAAAGTAAAAAAACAAAGGCTGTGCCTAAAGCCAGCCCCTGCCCCCCCAAGGCAAACGATCTCGAAACAGGACGCAAATCCGACAGTCGGGAGTTGGGACGCCCTAGACCCCTCGCTAACAACGCAAGAGAGGGCGGGAAAAGCAATAAGCCCGAGGGATCGACGTCCGATCAGGTTCGGTGCGATCGGCCGTTTATGGGGCTTGCGTATATGTGACAGGTAAGTCAGGATCTGCACTAACCGTAACCGAGGTGGACGCTCAAGTTCCGGCCTCCCCGATCGAGTCTAGCGTGGGCAGGACTGATTTCCCGACTTCGGGTTTGGACTCGGTTTTTGTGATTTTGGTCTGGGGAGGAAAGAAAAGGTGGGAAAATGGGAGATTTGTGAGGGAAAGCTGGGGGGGTCCTACATAGCGGGGCATGAACACACGGGCACACACGCATATTGTGAATGGAAATCGTGCATACTGGGGCAGATATGTACAGAATGCACACTGCAGTACTGCACATATCAAGGTACATTATGATTGTATCCCAACTGTACTGGGTCTATTGGTCTCGTGTATATTGCAGTTGATCCCAACCATATGTTCTACTACTTGGTTCGAGACCGTCGATCTTGATGATAGTACGTAGGATGTAGAATGTACCTACTGTACTTATTCAGAATGCAAAGAAGATGTGGTTGTCGGTCGATCTCCACGAGGGAGATCAATGTCAGCTCCTCGTCAGCTGAAGTGAAGCTCTGTGTCTATGTCCTCCCTGTGAAGAAGATGAACTCAAGCCCTGAGCCTGTCTTTGGACCAGTGAGATGGACGCGAGAGGGAAATCTCCTATGATTGACAGATCCGATGGAATCCATCTCGGGTCTGATGTAAGCATGAACAGGGCATAACTATCTAGGAAACTACTACTACGTGTACTTTGACACTACTACTACTTCCATGACTACACCACGATAGCACAATTGCCCTCGAGATCGCACTGTCGATCTATTATCATCTCAGACTCGTAAATCTTGAGAAAAGGGGCACATCGAGGAGGTCAATCATCGATCGTCCTCTCAGAATGTCGACAGAGCTGCTCGACTTCCATCCAAGTCGGACAACACACCAGGCATTATTTCTTCCCACTGGTGATGCGCTGCATGATCCATGTGTGTGACCTGGTTGCCTTGCTCTCTCATGTCTGATCGCACCGGCGGCAGTTGATCTGTAAAAAAAAAAAAAAAAAAAAGAAAAGAAAAGAAATACGATACCCTCGATAGAATCGTAATTCAACCGAGCCGTTGGCTGCAGTCAGCCACTGACCTTGTCGGTGATGCGTGCCGCCATTGGGAAGTGGAGCCCCTCCGTTCGCGTGGGAGCATCGTCATAGCGATCCCACGCGCAGGGTTAATCTCCGAGACCAAAAATCTAAATTAAGTGACCTTCCCAAGCAGACAGAAAAAAAAAAAAGGTAAGTCGCTAAAAAGGGCTAACAGTGCCAGAGAGAAACAGAAAATCCCCAATAATCGAGATAAAAGCCGGCGCCGAGGAAGGCGGGCCACGATCAGTCAATAATTGTCACCTGGCATTTCCAATAAATACCGTACACAGGGAAACTGGCCTTACCCAAAGTAGCCCCCTCCCGACAAACACTAGACTCGGAGGACAAGACTGATTCCAGACATGAACAACGCTCCTGGTTGAAACCTTCCAACGGACCATTCATCAAAATAAGCTTTCGACCGGGCTGTCTCACCTCAGAGTTGAGGCTGCTTTGGCTGCAGTCTTCGCGTACGAGACATTGTGAGCTGAGGATCTTCGGAGTGGTCCTCATTCTACTAACGAGTAGTTATTACCTTATTATTGCATACATCCACACTCACAGTCCCTATGTCGTCTGTGGTTTGGTGCCATGTAGGATAGCGATCCATGATCGTCGATCTTGAGGCCGTTTACTGCTGTACTGCTGGCCCCAGCTGTCCTTCATTTTGAGTTTGCCCTTTCTGTTCGCCTTCCAGACTGGGTCGCCTGTGCGGAGCTGTAGAATAGCAGGAAGGAAGATCGCTCGACTCATCTCCTCCCAGGCAAGTATGACTACGCACTGCAGCAGTACTGACCAGTGACTACTGACTACTGATCCGTGATTCACTGATTAGTATGTCAAGAAGACTCATAGTCTCTACGAGTCTACCCTCTACAGCCTACACTACTTTGCACTTTCAAGTACCCCTCTTCTTTGCACTGGTCTGTCATGATTGCTTCCATCAGGCAGCAATGATGATGAAACAGGAAAGTTGAGCACGACAAGCAAAGTTCAGCGGAAGATGAATCCTGCTACGAGATGAAAAAGGATCAATTATACATTTCGTTAAAGCCTTTTCTCCAGCCTGGACCACTTCTTTGGTGAAGAACGCGGAGCAGGGCATTACCGGACTCGCCCGTGGACGATCATCCACGCGAGAAACCCAACCATCTGGGCGTGGAGGGGGAGGAGAGAGCAAGTGATAGACACAGTCAGTTGGTAAGAAAGCAAGAGTGGTAAATAGCGTGATAATAGGAGGAATGATGATCCTCCTTTTAGTGAAAAACAAAAAAAAAAAAAAAAAAGGACATGATAGAAGAAATATTGCCATGCCCTGGCCCTGCTCTGAAAAAGGACAGTAGTTGTGGGGTACAGTCACGGAGACCAAAAATCAAAATCAGCAGAAATCCCCGAAAATCATTAAATGATTATCCAAGTGGATCCCCGAAGGACGTGTGGATGGTGGTGAAGGTGGATCGCGATGGGTGGCCACTGGGCGTGTCCCTGGTTCTGGATCCAACCGCAGTCGCCTCAGATCGTCTGGAGTCGCTTCTCCTGCCGGCGCCTCCAGTGTGGGCGTGGGGACTTGGAAGAATGAGGGATTGTATAAACTCCCTCGTGTCTCCCCCTCATGTGCTCTGCGCGATTCGCTTTCTTTATAGTCAACTGTTTCCCAGGCCACTTCCACCCACACCTGGCCCAGCCTTCCAAAGTCAACGCCTTCCAGACTTCCCCCATTCGCCTTTTTGGGAAACAGCTGTGATCCAGTGCCTCACTGCTTCCACCTCACCACACCACACATCCCGCAGTCCTCGACGGCTTTCTTCCTCGCTTGAAGTCCCATCTGACAGGATCAACATTATGGATCTGGCCAACCTTCTCCACGGCGCTGCCCCGGCGCCCAAGTCATATAGTGAAACATATGGCAAACGTTCCTTGCAAGCTCCGCTCTCGCCTCCAGCAGAGGACCGATCAAAATGCGCCTTGCCCTCGATCTCATCACTGCTCGAAGGTGCTGATGGACACCCAGCCAGTGAGTACTATCATGATCGAAACAGACTGAGTGTGATGCTGGTGTGATCAACACACCAGCGCATCATCTCTTTCATCGCTCTTTCTTCCGATGACCTTGATCACTGACTGTCAACCCCTCCAGAGCGTCAACGCCTGAGCCCACCACCTGCTTCTAAGCGGGATACTCGCTATGACACTATCTGCCTGCCTCCCACTCCACCACTGCGGCCAGGCTCTGGTCCCAGCTCGCGTCACAGCAGTGTGGTGCATTCGCCCATGGAGATGAACTCGTCTCGACAGACGTCACCACACGCCCATCGCTCTTCCGTGTCCAGCACCGCCAGCTCCATCGGTCCGCAATCGCACCATGCTCTCCCTCAGGGCTACTCGCATGGTCCTTACGCTTCTCCTGCCCCCAGCATCTCATCTACCTCATCGCATTCATCCTACACCTCTCCCGTCGAGGCTACTCACCATTCCACATCACCACTGTACTATGCGCGCCCACCCCCACCTGCCATCAACACCAATGCACCTGCCTCGGTCCCTTCTGCTCATCAGGCAAGCCCTCCAAATCCTTCTGGCCTGCTCTCGCCCATGACTCCTGCCTGGCCTCATCAACATCACCACTACTTCCCGCCTTCCAATGCGGCTCCCTACCAGCAGAACCATGACCGATATATCTGCCGCACGTGTCACAAGGCCTTCTCCCGGCCCTCCAGTCTGCGCATTCACTCCCATTCTCACACCGGTGAGAAGCCCTTCCACTGCACACATCCCGGCTGTGGAAAGGCCTTTTCCGTGCGCAGCAACATGAAGCGTCATGAGCGTGGGTGCCACTCCGGACGCCCTGCTCCTCTTCAAGCAATGGTCGCATGAATCAAAACCCAAAAACGAAAGAAACCAAACGACAAAAACAGCAAAAGAAAAAAGCAAAAAAAAAAGTTACTGATTGAATGAATTTCTTTTGTCAAGCGAGGGGGGATCTTCCTGTTCCTCGTCACATCATTTTTTTTTCTGGTCAAACATGGGCTTTGTCATGGCCTACTTGGTTTGAAGCAGGTGGCATTATGTTGGATACCTTGATACCCTGGAGATGTACGATTTTATTTATTTTTCTTCCCCCTTTTTTTTTTATTTCTTGTATATTTCTTTTGTTTCCCCATGCCCTCAGAAGAGGGGGTGAGAATATTTTAGATCGACCATCTTGGTCATTCAAAAGTCACTCTTATCATTAACGATTCAATGTACACTTTTTTCAATGACAAGATTGTCCTCCATTGGTCTCGCCATCATATTATCAACCTTGGCGATTGTCATTTTGTTTCCAAACCTAGCACGGTACCTCAGGTACATTTCGGCTGAAAGGAGTAACAGCAAGTACCTCGTTAGCAAGTACCCAGTTTGCCACCACGCCACGATTGGGAGCAAGTTGCGAATGACACATTTTGACGCTTGATCGATTTTGCTACTACCTTCTGAGCAGTGGAACGCACCGAATTTTCTAGTTGGGGATGGACGATGAAACTGGAGAGGATGCTCCTCTTTGGCAAGACAGGCCCCCCTCCCATGGAATGGTTTCAATTCGATGCCTGTTTTGAATTTGAATCTGCTATCATTACTGCGCGCACTGAGGTACCAGTACTTAGTACAACTTCTTACTTACTACCAAGGTAAAGAGAACTACCTTTTGTACCAAAACATTGATCCAAAAGGTCGGTAAGTACCAAATGACCGTCCATACCTCTTGAAGATCTGGAGATGAGCTCCGTTGCCCGGGGCCGCGAGATGACATAACTTATTCGCCATTGCAATGGAAATGTGTGCTTTCTTGAAGCATTCCGGCTATGGCTCAAGCTTGGGACCCTAGACAGATATTTTTGTGGGATTCATTTGCGGGAACGCAGCTGAGCACTACTATAGTGTCACTGTTTCCTGCGGTGGTGAGCGATTCCATCCGTCTATAGGCAGAGATCGGGGTCAACGGTAAGGTATCTCTCGAAATAGGTCAAATCCAGGTGGACATCGCCAGTAGTAGACAAGACGTCTGGTTGGCGATCGACTTTGACATCGACGGTACAGATCCTAGGTATATCCAACTCATGTGTTGCTCAATGAGCCTCCCCTACCCCTCGATGATCGATGAAAACCCCCAAGGACAACCCCCTCAACACCCCTCCCCCCAATCGAGATTCATCGAGATTCTCATGTCCACGTTACTCGTTAAACGTTCCTTAACGACCTGCAGAATCCGGTCAAGGATCAGCAAGCGCACGACCGGTTGTGTAGGAAGATCATAAGGTTCCGTCGAACTCAATTTTGAGGGTCGGTTAGAGTGGGAAAAAAAAAAACAAAATTATGGAGACACTGGACTTCCAAGTCCTTGTCGAGAGCGTGCGTGATCTACATGAGGAAAGGGCATGTTTACATTGATAATAATAGATCGGCGAGACTTTGGTGAGCCTTTGAGTGCGTTGCCTTTTTCTATTTTTTTTTTTTCGGTTGCCTTGATACACAAGTCTGCGTCGGGGTGAGAATCATCTATAGCGATGAATGCCTTGATAGTGGACAGTGACATTGAACAGCATGCGAGTTCAATAGACTATACCTCGAATCCGAAATTCATTCAATCTGCTGTACTCCCCAAGTACCACAGATGAAAGTACCGTCCGGCGTCTGTACATTATCGCACTGGTACAATCGATAGACAACCTTCTTATTCAGGGTTGATCGTCAACTCACACACCACCTGATTGATGGGAAAAGAAAAAGATTATGGGCCTGAGCGATCTCCGTTCGTGGGTTAAAGTCGTGTCTCCACTCCACTTCGAAATCCAACCACTGTGACATGCTTTTAAACGAGAAACGAGCTCCATCCATCCTTGGTCGCAAAAGGCAACCAACGTGGGAGGATCATGATATCTGGATCCATGAGCTGGAGGATCGTATGCAATTGACGGATGTAGCAGGGCACGGGGGCCTCTGTCTATGATGATTACACTTCAAATGAGGAGAATTCGCAAAAGACAAAAAAAAAAAAAAACAAATCGGAAGATGGACATGCATTTGGTAGGGAATCGACAAAGGCTCGAAACAAGAAGCTGTGTCAGAGCTATCATTAGGTAAATTTCCGGTCCTCTTAATCTCGGGGGCGTATATGTCATTCGTATATTGTTTAATGCTTGCATGATTGATTCATCAAACTTGCAGTTCCTCTTCAATTTCCATGCTTTTCACTCGTCCAGCACACCCCTGGCCAAAGCCGCCAGACTGGTTTCATATCGCGCCGGATTGTGATCAGTGAGCATTCCTGACGCAAATCTCAACTCCCCGAAAAACGTATCGACGTCTCTAACAAAGCGCATTTGCACACGGGTCGCCGGTCTGCCTAGTCTCGGATAACCCTCGCCGCCCAAGTCCGGTGTCGTTGTGAATGCTTCCCTCTGCAGAACACGCATGGTCTCGACGACGAACACCTCGCCAGGTGGTACTAGTTTGGGAGCACGCATCTCATCCCGCAGTTGACCGAGTGTCTTCCACGCCCACATATCTTCACCGACGCCGTCTCCAGCGTGAAGCACGTTTGGGGGCTGGTTCACGTAAAACTTGTGTATAATGTTCTGGCGCAGGCTCTCGTGTAGACGTTGACGAACGAGTGACCTGGCACCGGAGACATCACGTTTGAACACCGACGCAACTGCGTGCATGTCATGAAGAACCCCGAGAGAGAGACAGGGAACAACGTCGGAATCATTCACAACAGTAGTGACGAGCCCGCGTGTGGCTCTTCGCAGAAAGGGAGACATCACCGCGGGTGGACCATAGGCGTACACGTGAATAGGGCGACCAGGCGGCAGATCATATATAGGTGTGTTGTCTGTCATGGGAGCAATCGGGACACTTTGACTGGATTCGCTGTCCACGGTCACTCGACGATACCGAGGACGTGGCTCGTACGCTGCGGTTACAAAAGACGTGCCTGTGAGAGAACCACTGGGTTCTGAGATCAGAATCGCTAGCAAAGCTGCCACCCCTCCACCTAAAGAATGACCGCAGAGGACCACGCCATAGTCTCGGAACTCTTCCAATGCCGCGCGCAGAGTGGTCATTACGCGACCTCCTCCGCCCTCAAGCAGCCGCTTGGCTGAGGCATGCATCCCTTTGTGGACTTTCCAACTCTTGCCCTGCCATTCCAGATCGTCATAATCACATGTCATATCCGTGAGAATATCTTCGAAGCCCCAGGTTCCACGGAGCGTCAAAACTATGGCTTTAGAATCATGGTCGATTGAGAGGTAATGGACGAGAGGAAATCCACTTTCTGTCTCACCGGCAGCATTCGTGCCGCCAGCAGGATCAATGTAGGAGGACAACAAGATCGTTGACGGTGGCAGACCAGCATAGTCCGTAAATGCGTCATGCTCATGACTATCCGAAAGGGTAGCTGGTAGGCTCTTTGTACCTTGTGATGCTCCCATCACTTTGAGAGCATTGGTCCCGTAAGAGGCGGAGGAGAATCGACAGAAACGGCGAATGTTCTGAACAAAGTGCCTCTCAGGAAAGATTCCTGGAACATGCCCATCTCGGTGTAAGGCTTGAAGTGTGCTCATGTCCTCGTAAACACTTTTGCGAGGCCGATGAGCCAGTATGAGTGATGTGTCGGAGCCAGCTGTTGCGATCGAGTACATGCTAGGCGTGTATGATCGCGCCCGTCCATGAAATGTCGCGGAGCCGGGCCGATAATCATTCGCAGAGAGTCTCCCATCTGTCTCTGATCGAGATGACGATAATGAGCTACTGCTCCGGACATGAGTTCTTGCGTTCACTGGCGATCCAGGGCGCGTATCAGCTTTGCAGCGCGAAAAACTATCTGTATGACTCGCGCGTGCTTCATGGCTCCTTTCGCGCATCACAAAGTGTCCAGACCGCGCGCCTTTCGGTCCAGGGTCATTGCCAGTCAACGTTCGTCTGTCGCTCACCTTTCCGACTTGTGGTAATTGGACGGGCTGCACAGTTGGCTTTCTTCTCAAATCTTGGCCGGAGATCGACAACTTGGGTCGGGATTTATGGGAGTCAGCGTGACTTTGCTTGAAATCTAATTTCCCCGGTGTGCTCAGCGTTGGAATTTGAGAAGTGCTAGGCGCTCGAGGCGGATCACCGTGAAGCTGATCATCTGACCTGCCCGGAGATGACTGAGTTCTGTTTGCTGGCTTTCGAGGATTTAGATGCTTCGTGGCCCCGGAGCTTTCTGACTTGACTCTCTTCGCCAATCTGGCAATTGACTCCATTCCAATCTCCGAATTCCGACCCAGGTCCTTGCTATCGTTCGGGGTGATGGAGCTTTGTTGCACCAAGGTGCTCTGCGATGGGGGCGTGGCACGAGCATATATCCGGTCATCTTGACCTTTCTCATTGGATTCTGGTTCCTGCCTTCCATTCAGATTGCGCACGCTTTCAGACTGGCCAGTTGGATCTGACTCAAGCGAGTCAGTACAAGGGCGTAGCTCGGTGCTATGGTACTTGTTGAAAGCAGTCCGAAAAACGACAGTGTGCCTGGGCAATGACTGAATTTCTGGTGCCCTGCTGTTGTAATCCTGATCATGATGAAACCTTTCCTCGATGATCGTCGTGCCCGGCGGAGCCGCAATCTCCAACGCCTCATCATCAAAGATGTCCACAGTCACGGTGCGTGCCGTAAGAAGTTCAGACCTGATCGTAGCACGACAACCCGATGGTAGCTGACTCGTGATGTATGACCGTATTTCTTCGTCTGTAATTTCCCGTTGATCCTGCGGGTGTAAAGGCAGATGAGGGTCTAGGGGGTTCTCGGGGTTGGTTGATTGCCGTTGTATGGCGTCAAAGCCTTCATCACGCTCGGGCATCACGAACGACGCACTTCCTTGACGAGTCGTTTCGCCCTCGCCCTGTTCGTTGAATTTCAACCCATGGGTTCCTACAACATCGGCCCTGACACCAGTGTCCAGAATTACCGTATCCCAGACGACTTCATCCCCACCGCTCTGACGAATCGCTCGTTCGGTGTTTTTCTTTCCCCATCGCTGCAAGAGTGCAAACCCTACCAAGCCGAGAAGGAGATCGCCGATACCGATATCCTCAGTCCCGGCAGTGGTATCGACTGACCGAAATTCACGACGAATTAGTGTAATGATAGCGGCAATGGCTCTTGAGGATTCAGTGGATCCTAGGATTGCGTCCAGCGTAGACAAAAGAGATTGGGTGAAGTTTGCAACAGATGCCAGAGTTGTGGATGAGAAATGAAAAGAAGCTGCAGCAAAGAAGGACGCCGTGGTCACCGTATTATGAAGGAGCGCCAGCTGGTCATACAAGAGTCAGTATCTCGCCCGGGCATTTGGATGTTTAAGGTGCATACACTTCGCTCCAAGAGTGAGTCCACTTCTCTCCGACCTTGCGCGTCGCCCGTGTGAACGGCAACATCTCTTCCAGCTCTAGTCAAGACACCTTCCACGAGGGCCCGGCTGAATTCCAGGCCTGTCAATGTTGTGGCGCGGGCCCCATCCAAAGCCACCCCGCCGAAGAATGTCCCAACTCGCAGGGTCAACGACGTTGACTGTGTAATGACCGAGACCAATGATGCGAATGGCCGGGGCAGTAAAGTACTGCCGGGGGTTGCGGGTATGTGATTTGCATCCGCGTCCGGGCGTAATTGCAGCTGTTGCTCGGCTGGTGGAGTAGATGGCGCCAGCATCATGTATGAGCCATAGAGAGAATTTTAAGATATGAAAATGCAAGTTTGTGAGATCATTGATAGTTGATATCTTTTCCTATACCTCCCTCCTTGTGGTTGAAGAATAGAGGAGGTTGCTATCTACGACCGGGGCTCACTGGCTTAATGACCAAAGATGGAAACGTGCCTGGCGTTCGCGTGGTTCGTCTGTCCCTTCTGGGTCTGACATGTGATTCTCAACAATTTGCCGCCATGCGATGACGTGGGAAACATTGAGAAGGATCAACAACCTTGACTTTGCGGTTGATTGTTCTCTCAAGGAAGCCTAAATGTTCCTTCCATGGCTAGAAATCAATATTCACATGAAGGAGTGCCTTGTTCCGACTGTCAGGGCCGCTTTGTCCCGGTCGCAGGGGTAGAAGGACTAAAGCATCGCCTTGACATCGCCTCCGTGTTGTACCCTACGGATCACCGTTCGGTCGCAGTCGGCCACCGTGCGAATCCCGGCCAGGCCCATGCTTTGCCAGAGATCGGCGAGAAGACCCTTCAGGACCTGCTTTGCACCGTCACGTCCACCAATGCCAAACCCGTAAATCACAGGCCGGCCTACCAGGACCGCTTTGGCGCCCAACGCGAGTGCTTTGATGATATCTACACCCGTTCGAACCCCCGAATCGAACAGCACCGTCATTTGCTCACCAACCGCGTCAACAATCTCTGGTAGAACATCCAGAGATCCAATCGCACCATCCACTTGACGGCCTAGCCTCGGAAGTTAGCTAATTCACAAGCTTCGGGGTCGAAGAGAATAGACCATGCTACGGGAGTCTTGTGACTAGCCGGGGGGCGGCACTTTCACTTACCACCATGGTTTGATACCACAATTCCGTTGCAGCCGTACTCCAGCGCCTTCTTCGCATCCTCGACGTGTTGAATCCCCTTCAACACGATCGGCCCATCCCAATTCTTGCGTAAGAGGGCCAGTTCTTCCCAAGTATGCGCGCCTCCTGCCGCGATCTGATTGAGCCAAGCCTGTGAGGCACCCACGATGTCTTCTTCGATCTTGCAGCCTTGATTGTCTTCGAATTTCTTCCTGAAGACGGGATCGCTAAAGCCAACTTGGCATCCGACTCCCTTGATGAAAGGTACGTAACCCTTGTCGAGATCTGCAGGTCTCCATCCGAGACTCCAGGTATCGAGTGTGACGACTAGTACTGTGAAGCCGGCCGCTTTGGCCCGTTGCAACAGCGACAGGGTGATCTCGTCGTCATGAGGCCAATACAATTGATACCATCGGTGACCATTATTGCTGGCTGCAGCGACTTCTTCAATGGTGCTAGTCGCGGCTGTGCTCATGATGTAAGGTACACCAATCTCTTCGCAAACCTCTGCCAACCCTGTCTCTTTGTCTTCGTGGAAGATTCCCTGCACGCCAACAGGAGCCATCACTAGAGGGTTGTTGTATGTCTGACCAAACAGCTTGACGGAAACATCTTGGTGGTCCATCTATTAGAAAGACCACTGTCAGCGACTACCCTCAAAGAGAAAGCTCGGCAAGAGTGAGCTTTGACACTGAAACATGAACTGACACTGCGTAGCATTCGAGGCAACCTTCGGCCAGTGTAAGCACAAGATCAATGTCCAGTCGTCTCAAGCAGGGAATACACCAGCAACTCACAATTTCCATTGTCGAAAGGCCAGTCGATTGCTATCCATGGTCGCCTTCTCACCCGCGCCTCCAGCGACATAGTTGAACGATCGCTCGCCAAGAGCCTTGCGCGCCTGTCCCTCGAGTAATCGGGGATCCGTGGTCACACTGGGCAGGATGCCCATGAGGGAACCTTTTCCGTAAATCTCATTCTGATAGCTTCCGTACGTTTCGTCGGGCATTGTGAAATATCAATGTTCGTGGTGAAAGACAGGCAAGAAGGAAGCTGAATTGTGAGGACCAAAAGCTGGGGTAACATGGCTTCACTCCAAGTTTCCCCCGATTGCCCGCGGGCTGGGGTGGAGTCTGCCGAAGAGCCTCGGCCACTTGGAGGCTGATAGCTCCTGGTGCATCCACGATTGATTAGCGATTACTCCAGCATGGCACGGGCGCTGCGTTGGAGACGAGAGCTCACCATGCATCATACCTACTTCAGACCGAACCAGTACCCCGCAGATCAAGAGGTTTGCCTACCGAGGAGCCCCGATGCATGATAAAGCGCATTGTCATGTTAAATGGTTGGTTTAAGGGGCAGGCCCTTTCTCTCTGCATCCGAGAACCTCTTTTTGACTCCTTGAACAGAGTCTGGGATTTGTTTTATCGGTCGTTCGCCATCCATCACTGCCCCCCATACACTTATATCACACAATAAGTGCCTTCAGGGATGACGTGATCAGCAAGCACGCGTGGAGATCTTCAAGTAAGTCGCGCTTCCTCGACCCTCGGTGTTATCTCACATTGAAAGCACCTCGCGCTAGATCCGAAATCAAAATGAAGCCGGTCGCGACCTGGAGTTGCAACCAGTTAGCACCAACATGTAGAATGATCCTGACCGATCTTCTTTGACAATACCAGAATGTGTGTCTAGTCGTGGCAAAAGCATAGATCAGCGCTGTCAAATTACGTCCCTACTAAGTGAAGTCAAGTCAGATTGAACTTTTGAAGTAAGGGACTTGCCAAGTCTGGCACGCCATCCCGCTTTTTTGTCTTGGCGCCTAGCAATCTTCCTTGACGGGTTTCCGCTCGCAAACTTTTTTTTGGCTCCCACCAGCATTCGCGCTATGATCACAAGAATCGTCTCTAGCTTGATCAGATGAGCGAGATGTCCGAAAGCTAAAGTGTTTGAAAGTTTTGTGCAGGTAGATCTGCGGAGGAATTTTATAAGCAAAGATCCGCACAGTTATCCTTGGTCCTCGGATCGAAGGGATGATAGAAGGGCTCAATCAGCCAGCAAAGAATATGGACTCGTCAAAGCCCGAGCAAAGACCGTCGGATCTTGATCTGGCGGACGAGGTCAGCTCAGTTCCGACGGTCGAGGAAGAAAAGCTCGAGCGGACGCTGATGAGGAAGATTGATCTGCATATCCTCCCGTTCGTGGTGCTTCTCTACCTGTTTAGTTTCCTGGACCGTGGTATGTCTGTCTTGCTGCCAGCGCAAGCTTGCATGTGACCCATTTACCAAGAAAGATATGATGTCTATACGACAGATGGCAAAGTGACTAATCTGTGAATAGTGAACATTGGAAACGCGCGTCTGTATGGCCTGGAGGACGACCTGGATCTGGTTGGTAACCAGTATCAAGTCGCCGTGTCAATCCTCTTTGTCACATACTGTGTATGTCGATCCTGGTCAACTTGATCCCTGCCGGGAGAAAAAGTGCTGACGGCATTCGCAAAGCTTTTCGAAGTACCGTCCAACCTGGTCCTAAAGAAATTAAGGCCCTCTCGCTACATTGCGGTCATCTCCGTCTTGTGGGGCATCATTGCCACACTGACAGGCATCTGTCAGAGCTATGGTGGCCTGCTGGCTTGCCGTGTTCTGTTGGGAGTTGTCGAGGCTGGCCTCTTCCCTGGCCTGATAACCTACCTGACTCTCTTTTACAGCAAAAGTGAGATTGCCCTACGGACCGGCTACCTGTTCAGCAGTGCTGCCGTGGCGGGAGCCTGCGGTGGCCTTCTGGCTTACGGCATCGGCTTCATGGATGGCATTGCTGGACTGCGAGGATGGCGTTGGATCATGATTCTGGAAGGTATTCCCACCGTGATCATGGGTGTGGCCACCTGGTTCTTCATGGCGGACGAGCCAGACACGGCATATTACTTGAACGAAGATGAGAAGGCGCTTGTTGTTCGCCGTCGAAGCCGCCACGTGGGGCAAACGGCGTCTGCTCAGAAATTCCATTGGGCTGACGTCAAAGAGGGCGCGCTGGACTGGAGGATCTATGCCTTTTGCATCGGTCAGTTCGCCGTGGATACCATGTTGTATGGCTACAGCACGTTCTTGCCGACCATCATTAAGGGCATGGGTCGATGGTCTACCGCCGAAGTTCAAGCCTTGACGATCCCTTGCTATGGACTTGGGGCCATTGCGTACCTGATCGTGGCCTGGCTGAGTGATCGTACTCAGCGTCGAGCGTTTTTCATCTGCCTCTTCAGTGCCATCTCGGTCGTTGGGTACGGTATCCTAATCAGCGACGCCTCCTCGGGTGTGCACTACTTTGGTGCCTTGATGGTGGCTCTGGGGCTCTACGTGACCGTTGGACTTCCACTGGCCTGGTTGCCCACCAATTTGCCGCGGTATGGGAAGCGGACATTTGCGACCGGCTTGCAGCTCACCTTTGGCAATATCAGTGGTGTGATGGCACCGTTTTTGTACAAAAACTCCGAGGGGCCGCGATTCATCCGTGGTAATGCTGTCACTCTTGCGTTGGTGGGATTTGCAGGAATTCTTTATGGAATTTTGTGGTTCTACTTGGATGCTGTCAACAAGCGCCGCGCCAAGGGGGTCTATGATGAGAAGATTGCCTCTTTGTCTGAAGCGGAGACTCAAGAGCTTGGGGATCGCAATCCTCGGTTCCGATATAGCACTTGACGTGGAGAACAAGAGTGTCACGGTGCAGGTTGCCGCAGGGTAATCATGGATCGTTGACTTGGACATGGCCATGATACATGAGACGTAGCAATAGAATGATAGACTGGAAAAATTTAGACTTATAATGGGAAAGAAACTCATCCAATACTTCAATAAAGCAATTGCGTTTGATCAATGTCAGTCACGATAAAGTTGGCAGAAGGCTCTCAGCAAGATTGGCCTTGACCGCGGCAGGCGGCCTCATGGAGAAGCAGTGTGAACGAGACAGCTGTCGCCAAAATATTATCTGGACTCATTGCAGTAAAACACACGTGGCCACTGTCGACAATGTGACATACTCTTCAAGTCAGCAGTCGGGTGCGCTACTCAAAGATAAATGAGGCCAAAGCAGAGAGAAGGATGGCCGACAACCCAGTCACCTTTTAAGAGCAAGCCCCTGGCGCTCGTTCAACCCAGACTTGATATAAATTGAGATTGGAGGCCATCCATGATATAAAGTACCAAATACAATTTCTCCTGATCATCATAGAAAGCCAGCTAAATTTCTATGATGCACGTATGTTGGGAACTCAAGTCGGTTGTGCCTCCACGGCAAATAGAGGCCCCAGCCACGTGATTGGTAGTCCGGCGAACCAAGCTATGTTTACCAAAAAGTTTCCCTTCCACGACCGCCGCCGGACCTGACCCGACCTGCGCCTCTGGACTACCTCGATCTAGCAGCTGCCCATTTTTAACTACACGTCATCTCACATCGTCATTCAAAAACTTGAGCTTTCGAGCTTACTTTCACATTATAATGGAGTACCATGCTGTGCCGCCCGAGGAGCGCGCACGAGACGAAAACGGCAACTTGCTCCCTTGGGGATATGTCTACAAAGAGTATGTCGCAATCACCAGTCATGCGCTGACGTTCTGGAACCGCGCCTCGTCCTGATTTTCTTGCTTCCTTGAAAACGACAAAACGACAAAACGGTTACTGATATTATGAGGTTTAGTGAATCCCGCAACCTTCGACGACCAGCCGAGGAATCGGGACCTTTTGGCAAGAGGAGGAACAGCCGATACGAACGATCGCGCACAAGGACCGGCACCCCAGCCAAGCGCGAGAATCCCAATGTAGCCGAGTTTGGCCGTCTGTTTGCCCAGCAACAAGAGGAAGAGCGACCTGTCGTCAGCCTCCCCAAGTCCGCCTCATCAGGGAGCCTTGACGCCTCGCGAAAATTGACCGAGAAAGTCGCGACCGAATGCATTCTCTACGGATACAAGGCCAAGGATGGAGAGTGGAAAGTGATTGACAAGTACGAGCGGATCTCGCAGGGCTTCATCTGCGAGGATTACCCGCGCAATGACCCCAATTATGCCAGCCAATTCGGCCAGCTGTTGAGCGGCGGCGACGTTGTCATCCGCAAGGATCTGACCGCGGATGCGAATCGCAAGTCCAAGCGATATGCGGGCGGGTATCACTGGATCAAGGTCACATTTGATTCTTCTCAAGCAGCCGATCGGGCCTGTTTCTTTTCGCCACAGGAGGTCGATGGGCATCTGGTCTTCTGTGAGCTGTACGAGGGTCACGGTCCCGCCGAGGACGTGCCTATTCCCGCCGATTCCGCTGCGGCCGCGAAGCTGCGCAGCAAAAACACACGCACTCTGACGTCCACACATTCGTCCGCCTTCCTCTCTAATGCAGGTAGCATGGACGGACAACCCTCTTCTTTCACACTACCCCGATCATTTGGCATGAACAATCTCTCAGGTGTGCCGGAGCCGGAGAAGGAATTATCGTTCGATTCAACTACAACTACGACAGCGACATCAGGGACGGCCACAGCGGCAACCACAATCACAACCACAACTGCAACTGCACTCTCGACGGGGGTCTCGTCTAGCTTTGGAAGCACTTCATCTTTACATCACCGCGGCATATCTGACGCTGCGCCCAAGCCGGACTCGGATTACATGACGCACATCCCGACCGTCCGTCGAACGAAGCTACGTCCACTTACCGAGGCTCTTCCGCCAGGCCCGACGATGACCGAGCGTGTGCTGCGATCGATTCCCATCCTCAGTTGGTTCACGGGGGATATTGTCGGTGATGGACCGCAGCTGAAGGAGGATGGAACGTTTGATCACAACAAGTCCGCTGCATATTGGCGGTTCTGGTGGATGCTGGATCAGTTACTCGGGACGGATATGTGTGGTTTGAAAGAGGACTCATGAAGAGGAGGAGGAGGAGGAGGAGGAGGAGAAAAAGGAGGAGAGCTCATGAATAGCGAATTGCCTGTCGAATACATTCCTACCAAGCCCGCCCTGAATGCACATCATCAAGTTTCAGGCATCCCGGACAGATTCCGTGTTCAGATTCACCTTCGGCCGAATTTCCGAGCAACCAGGGTCATCAGCCGCAGCAGTTGCAAGGGATTGAGGTCTCCCTCCCGGTCTCGGTCGAAGCAGTTCAAGGCCAGCGCTGAATTCAACGGAGCCTTTTAAAAAGCCTTTCAAACGTCATCGGAGTACAGAAGCACGCACAGAGACGCATTTGGACTACGACAGTCTCAAAAAGCAAACGATTACGCGAAAAAAAAGCATTGATCAGGCTTATTGACTGGACCTGGGCCTGGGGAACTCTTGTCTTGTATTTTACTTCACTCTTGTTCTTAAACTTCTAAGTCCTCTTTGTCCTAGCTTGGCGCGTGAAATGAACCCGACGATCACTTTCAGACTTGAGTATCCTTCCACAACTGGATACCTGAGCTCAGCTAAGTTGTACCAACGAGGTCGAGTAGCACTGATTTTCAAACTTGTAATGTATAATCTCCGATTACTAGGACGCCACCGCTGTTGCGGATGGGAGAGCAGCGGCCAGTTTCTCGTGGGGCCAGTTCATTTGAACTAGGTGAATGCTAATGGCCCGTGCTACGTGGTTCTCGGATTCGAGTCGGGTGTTGGGGCCGTTCTGAAAGTTTCTAGAATGAGATATGGTCCTGCTGTATCTACTTTGAATGTGTGCGTGCATCAGTTTGAATTACCCTCGATACTGAATGAAGTCTCGTAAACGAAGTGTGGGAAAGGGCGACTTCATATCATTTAGTATCCAAGCAATTCTTGCCAATCCGCGATCGAATGGAGCGTTCGTCTCGTCCTATTCTTCCGAATTCATGAGCGTAGATTGAAAGGCGACGATTCAGCGTTTGAAAAAGCTTCAAGTATTCTCGTCTTCCAGAAAAGGGGGAGTATATTTTCTTCTAACAAGATACCGGTATGCGGATGGGGGAGGAGGTAGGTGTCACTGCGTTACATGGGTTCGTTTGAAGTTAAGCGTGGCTTTGCACGGCTTTACTCGACCTTGCTCTCGAAGTTCTCACCCTCGACCAAGTCGGGGATGTCATCCTCCTCGTCGTCCTTCTGGCCCTGAGCCTTCTGCATGTTCTGGTAGGACTCGGCGAGCTTGCGGAGGGAGGCAAGACTGTCGGGGCCGAGCTGGTTGAGGATACCGGGGACGAGCTCGGTGAGCTCCTTCTCCTCACCGTGACCGTAGAGGGCGAAGGTGTTGGAGGGGACGGAGGCGTGGACTAAAGAGAGACATTGTCAGCGTGGTGCGATTCATTTTTTTTGGACGCCGATAGTCTTGCTCAATGACTTTGCGACGAAGCGGCATGACACAACCGAGTAAAAATGGCTGCGGCATTGCTTCGTAGCCATAGAGAAGAAGAGGGGAGCCACTCACCGCGGGGAGCACCGAAGTGGATGACGTTGCCGTCCTCCTTGAACATGTTGACCTCCTCAATACCCTGGATGGGCTGGACGTTCATCTTCTTCAGGGTGGCCTGGAGCTTCTTGTCGTCGGCATCGGCGGTGCGGTGGACCTTCTTGACCTTGCGACGGGGAGTACCCTTTCCTCTGTTGAATGGGGGAGAAATAGCGGATTAGTGACGGGATTCTTCTGTTCAGTGCGGTGTGCATAGTGGAGGGTTGTCATCGACAGTCTGGAGGGATCAGCGAATATGGTCGGGACATGGAGAATCCGTCCGATGCTCCGATGGTGCACTGAAGGTTCCGGGAAATCTTTCGGTTGTGCAGCCTCAGGCCAGCTTCGCATATCGCGAACTCCTCCAGACCTTCGCTTGGGCATCGTGAAGTGCTTGAAAGGCGCCTCGTTGTGACTGCACTCGGAAGGAAGTCGACCAGGCGAATCGAAGCATTGAGGGAGTGATGACGAGGTGTAGACGATGTTTCCAGGACAAGACGAAAGTAGATACGTACCCTGTCCGAGTCAATCAAGCAGATGTTAGCCAGGCCATTCAAAACCCACTCATTTCGGGATCCAGAGCCAGTGCAGCTCAGTGGCTACGAGTCCGGGAGTCGAAGCGTGCAGGAAGAATTCAAGTCCGGTGGTGAGATCCTCTGCCTCTGCAAATGCCACCAAGCTAAGCTCCAACCCGTTGAATTGCTTCCGGCACGCCTCAAATTCCCAGGGTTCCGCCATGGAGATGCCACATCCACCCCCGCCGCTGAGCCCTTTCACGGCGATTGACTCACCAATGCGCACACTCTGCTGCATCTTAGCCAACTTGGCGTGATCCATTTTGTCGGGTATGAGGGGTGGTGAGGAGGGGATCTAGAGGTTTGATCCGTTAGCCGAATGTGTGTCGGAGGAGAGACGAGAGGCTCGGTGCGGCGACGATTCGAGTGTCTGAATCGACACGAATGATCGGCTGACACGGAGATCGAGAGCAATGGTGATGGGAGGTTCCAGCGTACCGGGTTGGTTGTGAGGGTGAGTAGTGGTGGTGGTTGAGGAGGGGTGGTAGGACGGAACTGAGTTCGCAAGTAGTAGTCAGAGACGGTTGATGATGCGCATCTCTCGAGTTTTGTGTGGGGGGGGAGAGAGCACCCGCCCATTTGGTGTACTCGCTAATACGCCGCGGCCAGGTGGTAGACCACTGTTCTAGGTTGGCTTCTACTGTATGACCATGAATTGGCTACTTTATACTTGTCTGTTACATTGCCTATGATCAAGAGGGGTGGAAGGACAGTCTGGGTATCAAGCTTGAGGCCGGCATGGAGGTTGCCTCTCTTCTCGCGGTCCATTTGATTGTGGGAGTATTCGACCAAACAGTTGTTGCTCGGCTAAACCCTAACGGACAGTTCAGAATGGAGCAAGCTATCGGTGCGACCCCGGGGGGTATATCACGATCGGCACAAGTCAAAAGATTGCCAGATCGGCCTCATTTCTGGACTGTCGTTCACGATCAATCTCTCAAGTGCATCACTGCCAGTCATACGTGGAGAGTCCTGGTGGAAATTGTTTCTTGTCGAGGGTCTTGGGGTTGGCACCTCACTTGGACTTGACGCGAGCCTCTCCAGCAGCTGACCCAGGGTCAGCTGATCTACACTGACCGCTTGGGCAGAATACCAAACTTGTGGTGACTCCCGTGACTCGTGACTCGTGACTGACTGCTACGCTCTCTCTCTCTCTTCTTGGCTGGGTAGACTGTAGACTTCATTCCTCTTGCAATCTCACTTTCTTTTAATCAAAAAGCATCAATCAAACTGATATTATGTTGCACCTCAATGTCGTCAATACTTCGGATATGACCCGCCGCGTCTTGCTCAGCTCGTGTCCAATGGGCAGGTATATGGACTATGGAGAAGCTGATTAACGGACTGCCTCCATGTAGAGAGTACAGGCGTAGACAGGGCTCGACCTTTCGGGAAGTGAATGAGATATGAAAAGAAAAAACGGAGAGCAGTCTCGCATAGAGAGAGCCCCAGCTCATTATCATCAACCGGGTTATGTCAGAGACATGGAAAATCCGGCGCAGAAAACACTCGGCAGTGTCACTGTCCACCTGCACTCGCATGCAGCAGTAGATTCAAGTCGAATGATGGTAACTTAAACCTCGATGGCAGACTCTCCTGGTACAGTTGGAAGTAACTAAGTACAGTTATTAGACTGTTTCACTGTTGACCAAGCATACCTCCATGACCTCTAGCTAGGTATGGTCTACATCCATCCTGTCTTTGGAATGTCCAGCACCGGGAGCTGGAACCTTCAGGAGCTCGGACCTTTCATTGGATTCACCAAAAGCCATCCATGTTCCTTCCCATCGTCGCAGTGCGAAGATTAGCAGCTCATAAGGTAGCTCCCTTCCCATCAGAGGCAGCAGGTGCCCTCTGCTCCTGGTCCCGATCAGTTCCTTGGTTGCACGCGAGTATCACGGTGAACAAGCGAGTCAGATGGCGTTGATGCAGGTGTCTCGACCCCAGGGAATCGACGAGATTGAGATGATACAATACCCTTACCTTATACTGGCGTCCCGTTATTTGAAGATTGCTTTTTGTACGGAGCCAAGGACGCAATACCGATGCGCAAGGCTGTCTTTTCATTTCCACTGGCAGCATGCGGGGTGAGTGACTCTTGTCGCAGCCTGCATAAGCTGACACGCATCTCCTCGCCTGTTTCTCACCGTGCATAGGTTTACACTGGAGATACTTGCGGTCTACCGCCGATCGGGTTTCCCAGTCAGTGTCTTTTTCGCTTGTCTTCTATACTACTCTTCCTTTTTATGAGCCAACTGGAAATTCAATCTCCCTCGGAAGATCGTCAGTGTATCTTTTGATCATTTGAATTCTCGGTTGCTGTGCTCCTTCTGCGCTCTTGACCGACAACAATTCAGGGTGGACGTTTCACGATGCGGTTCCTGTGTTTACATGGTGCGAGCACCAATTCCGAGGTAAGAGGAACCGGTCATATCGAGCTCTGTACAGTGGACTCGGTTCGCGAAGCAATCCTACCGTGTAAATGTGGAACTGAGCTCGTTGGTTGCACGTCAGATCTTCCAGATTCAGACCGGCGGTCTGCGTCAACCGCTCGAAGAGAAAGGTCACTCATTCACCTTTTTGAATGGCAATGTCCCTTCGAGCTGCGAAGAGGGTAAGTCGATCTCCGATTAAAATGCGGAAGCTCTCCCCCGTTCAATTGTTACGTAGAAGAACCTTCCTTCCACGAAGGAGGAACAGGAACAAAACACATGCGCACAGCACGCCCATTACTCTCGAATACTAACCACATGCACCGACTAGGCCTCGAAGGCGTCGTAGATGGCCCCTTCTACAGCCACTATGCACGTGACCCCGCTCTGCCAGGTATCCAGCTGGCCGAAGCCTTCGAGCACGTCCAGCGCGCGATCAAGAGAGAAGGCCCCTTTGACGCCGTCATGGGCTTTTCTCAGGGCGCCGCGCTTGCGGCTGCGCTCATCGCCCACGACGCCAAGGAGAACCCCAGCGGACCGCCCTTGTTCCGCGCAGGCGTGTTTATCTGCAGCGCATCGCCGTGGGAGAGCTCCGGGTTGGAGCGCATCGAGAGTAAACCCGACACTTGGGCGATCATTGTCCCCACGGCTCACATTGTGGGTAATTTGGATTCCTTGTACCCGGAGAGTATGAAGTTGTATTCTATTTGTGAGCCGTCCAAGGCGGCGCTCTGGGACACGGGATCTAAACATATGATTCCCTTTGATCAGAAGAACAACCAGGCTATGGTCCGAGTGATTGAGGAAACGATCGCAAAGGCTGCGAAGGCTTGAGAGATGATCGACTCAAGTTGGGCCGTCTTCAAAAGAGATTCTTGCCAGTGCTCTGCTGTCCGATTCGCTGGGAAACCGGTAGTGTTGGTCACACCTTGATTCTCATTTTAGACTATATGTTGGCATACCATTTAACAGTTGGGTTTCCATGTGGAGGCAGTGGCAAAAATGAGATCCTTGATGATGATCGTGACGAATAAAGAAATAGACAACAGAATGTGAATGCAGCAGGAATAGGGAATGAACACACTAAGCTTGTTTCTTAGCAACTGATCTCCGTTGACGAGTCCTGCACCCAGACCATAGAGCTGTAGCGAAGAGTACAGCAACCAGCGCCAGTGCCAGCGCAAGACTCCAGCCGGGTCGTGCTGTGCCGAACCGCTGATCTTGACCAAGTCATAGTCCCGCTGACGCGGGCTCGTCACCTCCAGCGGGGAGAGTCTTTTCGAGGAATTTCTCCAGGTCGGCGATCTCGTTCGGGTCCGCAGAATGACCAAGGTCGCTGGATGTGAAGAGTCATAGTCAGCAAAGCCAGCCAGTGAGCCAGGTATTTTGATCATGCGTCTGCGATCCACCAAGGGGTCAAGAACTTACGAATACTTGTTGAAGGTAACATTCTCCAGACCGATCTCCTTGAGCAGCTTGGCTGACTGATCTCCGTACGCAAAGTTGACAACCTCGTCATCCTCACCGTGTGCCAGGAAGAACGGCGTATTCTTGTTTGGCCAATTCTCCGGGATTAAGTTCTTGATGCGGTCGCTCAGCAAGAGATAGCACGACAGGCCAAAGACGCCGCCGAGTTTCTCAGGGCCGGTGACACCGGTGAAGACAGACATGGCGCCACCTTGAGAGAACCCTCCGAGCACAATGCGAGATGGCTTGATGCCCTTGTCCATTTCCTGTTTGATCAAAGAATTAAAATATTCGCGCGATCGGAGGATACCGGGTTCGTCTTGGTTGCGGGCGCTTTTTTGGAAGTCGAGCTGCAGTAAAGATGCGATTGTCAGTCTCCGGTGCGCGTTGTCATCATTGTCGTGAATAGTCTCCGAATAGCATGGTATTTCGAATTGAAGGCTTACATCGCGACCGAGATGAGCAATATCGTACCAGCCGGGCATCGACATGCCCATGTTCTGTATCGTCCGTGAGTAAAGAGCAAAGCTTTTGATCTTTGTATAGACATGGAAGCGTACCACAGTAATTGGGATGCTAGGCGCATTGGGGAAGATAAAGGCAATCTCGTTGAACTTGCCTCGTCGACGCCAATTCTGGGCAAGAGACATCCTAAGTACGAGTCAATGGCTGTGTTGCAAATCGAGCAAGAATGCAGTATCATGTCATACCATCCAGCACCTCTGTCAAGGCCGAACGAAAGCAAAAGACCGGTCAGCCCAAATGCTCACTATCTCAGCTAGCAGCTGCGACTCGCAAACACTCACGAATCGCCCAGACCGTGGGCCATGATCACAGTCGCGGTATGCTTGGTGAGAGCAGGGACTACATATGGATTTCGAGCCGCCATTTTGAATATTGACAGGGGCTTGACCGACAAGTATCGGAGACACCACAAGAAAGGAAGAGAGAATGTTCAAACTACGAACTATTCAAGGAAAGCCAACCCAGAGCTCGGACATTTACATCCATCGATCCCGCAGGGAGTGGGGTTCCATTTCTGCCAGTATTTGGAGTCGGTGTGAAGGGCGGTAAACCTCGACGATTGAGTTGAAGCATGCCCGAAGTGAAATGGAGGCCTGGTGATTCTGGTGTTGTCTCACAGACGACACTCCAGCAATCTCCAGCAGTCTCCCCGGTTGTCCATCCATTATCGAGACCGTCACTTGAAACTGGGCCATCAAACAAGAGTTTTCATATTCGACATATATCATGGCACATTATGGTTTGGCTGTCATTACTCGACTAATTGACAACCGTAGACATTAGACAATATATGAAATAAGCCCACTCCAACTCAGCACAAACATGATTACCCGGCCTCATTGTTGGTGTTTGCATCGACCACCAACCCTTGGTCCCCGGCCTCAAGGTAGAATTCCGAACGCAGCCTCCAGAGTACACAAACCGACAAACCGTGATTCGCCCGGGTCCCGTTCATTCATTCTCTTGAGTGAAAGAAGTGAACCTTCCGCATAGCCTCTGTGGAACCCGGTCAAGACGATCCCGATCTCAAACTTGAGGTTGCTCAGCAGTAGCAGGTGTCACACCAGCAGTCTGTCCAGCAGAGACCGCAGGGGCTGCCCCGTTATTGTACTGATCTGGTTGAGTGGGCTTTTCGGGGTGTATGATATTTCCACCCTTTCGGAAGTACCGACCCTCAAGATAGATGTTAAGAATCTCCAAGCACATGCCACACAATGTCCAGAAGCTGTGATTTGGCAAATTGGAATCACGTTGTTAGCAACCACCACGCAAGAAGAAGCAGGAAAGTTCAACCAATATGCCCCGAGGAACCATGCCCAGAAGCAGGATAGCTTACAATGACAGGAAGGTAAATGCTTGAATGGAGTTTCTTCTTCTGCAAGCGTTGTTCAGAGTCCAGCTGAAGGAGGCGCATCCAACCTCGTTAAAGGCGTTGTCGGTCTGTGCAATGAAGATGAACGCCGAGAGCCATCTAGATGGAAATGGGCACGTATCGAGTCAGCTTCAAGTTCTTTTCTAGTCAAGACGTACGCAATAGGTTGTCGAGGTCGAAAGAAGGAGTGTCACTGTGTTCACTTACAAGGCGTAAAAGACAATGTCCAAAGGAAGCATATAGCCCTTGTTGGTCTTCATGCAGGCAGTGAACAAAGAGGGGATGTAAAAGACGGTGGTCAGAACTGCCTATAATTGAGAGGTGAGTAACCACGGCCTACGATTTCCAAGTACTCGATGCAGTACAAAGGGTCTCTCACAATGACCAAGGGGAAGACAGCCCGGTAACCCTTGACATGATCGACTATCCATGCACCAAGACCCAAGGTGATGACTGCGCTGATCCAAAGGAGGAGTCGAACCGCAAATAGAATAGGGCGAATGATCTCCGAGTGTGTCGCCATTTCTAATGATGTCGAATCTTCGAGATAGACTTTCACTGGTATTGTCTTTTGTGAGGAGCCAAGCACAAAGTTGTGATTTGCGAAGTTGAGAAAGTGACTCTATAGGGCACACTATCTCAATTTAAGCTGATCCCAGTCTCATCATTGCCTCGATTGAGAAGATCGCATCATGAGAGATCGATATCGAGTCATGACGTTCTCATTTCATAGTTTGACATGGACGAAAAGTCCGAACTGGGTCTCCAAGAGCTCTAGCAGGAGCATCATAAGGTTGCGAAAGACCTTGTCGTTCAACGGCCGAACGAAGATGGTCGGAAGAACCATGGATTAGTGTTCAGAATGTGTATGGTTGCGATCAACCTTCGTTCGGATGATGTTCTGTATTCGATATCTGCCAGAGCAAGAGAAGACCGATCGGTCCAATCTTGAGTAATGGGCCCAAGTCTTTGATCACAAGGTCTTGCTCCGATGCTGGGATGTCGTTCTGGATTTCAATCGGTCTCGTGTAAACGTATGATCGTTACCAGGAGCCAGGAGCTGTTTGTGGCAAAAGGCGCCACGGGCGCGGCGCAACAAATGAGTTGAGCCAGTTTGATCAGCAAAGTTATGAGGCGTTAAGCTCCGAACCAGCGAGCTTCGGGTAAGCTGTCATATGTCAGCTGATAGCTGCCCAGGAGCAGAACTTCCATTTGTCAGCTTTGGAGCTCCCTCCACCTGTTTGCTAGCCAGCATTGACTTGTTTGAGGGTGACTCTTCGTAAGAACGCTGATGTCTCTGGTCTTCGGGCAGCTCGGCCTGCAAAAGTGTTCTCGCCAAGACCGCGCGCAAAAGCACAACTTGGAGCGTGAAAAACGGAATGCTGATCTCATTGAGAAGAGCTCTACGCTGAACAGAAATCACATCGAGCCTCGTTGCGATACGTCAGGGATCTCGACTGAAAAGATCCGAGAGAGTCGAGTTCCATCGTTGCCGACACGCAAGTACAATCTAGATAGCTTAAGGTTGATACGAGGCGGGGCATTGCTGACACCTTTCACGTGGGAGCGTTGACACCTTTCTTTCTTCCTTCGCTCTCTTCTCGACTGCCATGGGTGAGATCCACTCGTCACAGCGCGGTGCTCAGTCTTGAGCTGGTACCGTGCAGGTTCTTTGCTCTTGTTACATGATGTTTCGATGTTCGACCAGAGATCTCTTCCGAGATTGCATGATCTCCCCTGATCATTGACGATGTGAGGCTGCATCACCAACTTGACGGTCTTGCTTTGGCCGAGCCTCCTTCTGACATCGAATGTTTGCCTGTGGGCCTCTTCATGCCTTTACTGCTCTGCGACACTACCCTGTAAACGCAAAGGGGAGATTCCTCGTCATCTGCAAGGAACGCATTCACAATGCTTTCGGGAAGATCCCCCAACCACCAGCCGGCCTTTTCAGTGGCAGGGGGCGAATCCTACATGGAGTCGCCGAGTTTTCGCATCAAGAAGTGGCTGGCCGGGTACCACGAGTGCCCCATCCTCACGAACACGGCCACAGAGCTCGTGCCAGCCCAGCGAGTGCAGAGAAAATAGGGTGGCTACCAGCATCAGTCACGTCCTCTGACATGACTGATGGGTTGAGCACGTCCTCGCATAGATGGTCATTTGATTGGGCCAAGGGAAGCAGTTCAGGAATGTGGATCTCTCATTTGACATGTCGTCAGCCATGTGAGGTTTGACGACTGGCCTACGAGCCGGTGAAGGCTGTCAGCAGCTTGTCCGACACATTCCATTACCTTTTTCGGCATCACGACATTCCCGCCCGGCTTCAGCTATGCTGTGTCCAGCTCTAACCTGTGGTCAGCGACCAGGCCGGTCATTACATCATACTCTGTGGTCGGTGGTCGAGCATTTGCAGCACTGGTCCATCATGACCAGGTAGGATCAAGAAATGTGATGATTCTAACGGTCATTAATCTTGGCTACGTGATAGGTAAACAGGTGTCGACCGACTACACTCAAATGTCATGATGGGGGACCAGGGCTTCGGAGATACAATATACTCAACAGAGTTATTTGTTGGAGGACTCAGTCCCACCCAGGGTTCCCCATGGACGCATCAGACGTTGTCGCATCCTGGAGACTCAAGCGAGTGGAAGTCAGTGGGCGAAGCGGCCGAAGGTGTGGATATTCTTCAGTGACAGACGTCAAGCAGCACCCTTGAGGCTCTGAGACACCATGTTTTTCGCTTCAGCTTCCGGCATGCTGGCAGTGGGATCCGGAGGGCGAATCACAAGCCCGGAGAGCGTCGGAGAAGACCCACTCATCCCAACCCGGGCGCTGTCGGGCTCCACTCCGCATTGGGTCGCGCATGTGGCCGTGTTGACACTTGACGGACACTTGCCGGATGCAGTTTGGCAGGTGGTCTGGATGTGTTCTGTATAGGACATTTCTCAGACAGCAATGTCGACATGGACGCTGAAAACGGAAATACTCGGTCATCATGAATCGATCACCAGCAAAGAGATAGAACATCTCAGTCTGTTCGAACGGCCTCACGAGAAAAGCTATATAAGCTCCCTGATCTCACGGTCTTCATCGGTTCTCCATCACTCATCAATTCCACGATCCGTCAGTCCATCAGTCAATCAATAAACCAATTCTATCTTCAAGACTCATTAGTCTCAAGCTTTCATCCACTCTTCAAATTATCTTCGTCAGACATCCAGTCTCTTACCACATCTTCAACAACCCCTCTTTCTTCCAAATCCAACCCAATCCATCAAGATGCAGTTCACCGTCGCCGCTGTTGCCACCGCGCTCTTCTCCACCATTGCCCTTGCTGCTCCCGCAGCCGAGCATGGCTGGAAGCCCCAGACCGTCACCGTCCAGCTCGCCAACGAGCAGAGCGGTGCCTGGGCCAATGTCGTCGTCCCCATCGACGGAGTCTCCCGTCCCGTTCAGGAACTGTGGTCCAACACCGCCATTGCCGCCGAGCACCACGGCCTCGTCTTCGCCTCCAGCGCGCAGCTGACGGCCTTCCAGCAGACCACCCACTGTACCATCACCGAGGAGAGCCACAACGTCGACGCCAAGTTGGACGCAGAGCACACCTACCACGCTTTCGGTGGTGCGCCCGTTGAGCTTTGCGCTGCTCTCATCACTTGCCACTGCGAGGGTGAGGGTGCTCCCGCCCACCCTTGAGAGAGAAAGTTCCCATTGACAGTCTGATCTCATTTTTTGGGGGTGGGGGGTCTTTTTTTTCCGTCTTGCGCCTCCAAGATTTTTCTTCATACAAATGTGGTGTTTGGGTGATTAGAGATTATGATTGCATCCTGCATCGAGCAGTTTGAATTTCGATCCTCGATTCTGTTCTGAATGTCCTCCAATTTTGTGCTTTGGTCTTTGATTTTTCTTTTTCTTTTTCTTTTCTCAGCCTCCAATTTTCTTTCCGATTTGATCAATTGTCAACAGGAGCGATTCAGAAATTGTTTCAATACTCTTTTGCATGTTTTGAAATCATCTGTATCATATTTACATCTTACAAAGGCGGGCATCAGAGCGCCTGACTGAATAAACAAGTTTTTGAACTGGCGTTTCAATCTTCGATCATAGATCCTCTTCAGCGTTCAATGGCCTAAATTTTAAATATGGATCTCAGACACAACCTAGGTAGTTAGGCAGATAATTCTAGAAATTGACTTGAGCTTCCAGTATCTCAATCTCATGATAGGTAGTGTCCACTGTCCACTGTTCACTGTCTACGTACGGATGTCGCTCTATGAAGGTGGTAGCCGAGTCTGCTCAGTGGGCGGGGTTGGAAATTCGAAATGAAAGAACGAGCATTGAGTGATGATATCGTCCATCGCATACCCAGACTGAGTCGGTGATATTTCCCAACTATCCGAATGTGTATGATGTAGACCTATTAGTGCCATATGTCCAGATGTTGTGGGTGGTTGTACACCCAGCGTGTTGTCGAACCATAGTGTGCTGATGACGAAACGTGTGAGTCAGGTGTACTTCGTAATGCAAGCCTGTGAGCTGACAATCTTAGCAAAAAGAAAGGATCACCAGCTTGATCGAGGCATCGTAAGAGCCATCCTCCAACATGCATCAGACATCAGAAAGATTCGTTCCACAACCCTTCAAGACAACCCCTTCAACTCGGCCTTCAAACGACCGATCACATTCTCAATCAGAGCAGTCTCAACCACACCCTCCTGCCACGTCACAGCAAGTACCATACAACCATCAGCCCCGGTCGCGACAGAGACACCAATGGCATTTCCAACGACACTCGCACATTGTGAAAAGACCATTCCCTCGATGCGCGGCTTATCAGGCGCGGCATCATCGCACGACAAGACACCGATATTCGAGACCTCGTAGCTCTTGTCGCGCTCACACCCGAGTTTAGAAAAGCACAGCTCTTGCTGGAAATCATCCACGTATTGTAGGAGATTGGGCCCCGTGTCGCGGCCTTCACGATTCAAAGAGGCGATGATGTTCCGCCGGGAGCGTCGCGCTTCGTTCCAGAAACCTTCATCTGGCGTGGGCTTGTTCATCGTCGCGTGGCGTGTGTATGACTCTTCGGAATCGGTTACGTAGACGCCCATGACTTCGTCGGTGATCTCCGCGGGGAGCCAGCGCCGGCATGAGATTGCGCCGGAGCAAGCGAGGTGGGTGTAGCGATCTGGGAGATTGGCGAAGAGTGATCGCGCAAGGACGACCTGGAGGAGTGTGGTGATGGTTGTTTGTTCCCTGCGACAGATGGCGCGGAGCGACGTGACGAGGGATTTGGAGAAGGGGACTAGGCGGACTTGTGTGCCTCCTTCGAGTTGGATCTTGCCTCCGCTCCAGAGACCCGGGTTTCTGTACGAATAGATCTTTGCGTGGAAGATCTTTTTGGCCAGGTACCACATTGAGAGTGGCATGGGGTGAATTTGCTCTATATTCGGGAGCATGGGCGTTGAAGGGGACTGGATGATGGATTTGGTGACGGCGCCGTGGTGTCCGAGGGCGCGGAGCAAGGTCTGATGAAAGGCTTTGCCCGAAGTACCATCGCCCAGTGCATGGTGAAAGACAAATGCGGCAGTGAAACTGTGCGTGTTTGTGGAGTCGGTGAGCACACAGAGTCTCCAATATGCGTCTGGCGCTGAGAAGGGCGTGTTGTGTTGCCGTTCTAGGAGAGTCTGTAACTCCAGGTCTGGAAGCAGGTCTCCGGCCTCATCGACCCCGGCATTTGATGCATGACTGATTTTGCGCTCTTGAAACTCGACCACGCGGTCCAGATCGATCTGCGGCAGACGGACAAAGTAGGGTTGTTGAGTATCATCCGCCGCAGGAATCGCCGACAGAGCGGCATGTTCGGCAATGAGGGTCTCGCAGGCGCGATAAATAGAATCCCTGAGAGATAGCTGGAAGCTCTCGGGAAGGAGGTATGTCGCCGTCACCGCGACATTAAGATAGAACCCAGCCTGGTGCCGAGCGGTCGAATACTGTTCCAGCCGGCCTAAGAATGGAAGGTTAGCCTGACATAGGGCTACTGGCAGGTGTTAGTCACTCACCCACAGATCGTAGTCTTTCAAACTTTTCCATTGTACAGCAGAACCAAGTCGCTACGGCTTGACCCAGATACCTAGGAGACAATTGTTCAGAAAAGTCGTCTGCGACTCCCCATGCTTATGGAGCAGTCAACAGGTACATGGCACCTCGTTGGCAGGGCTGTGCCTGACACTCTCACCACGTGACACGGACGTCGTGGTCCTCGGGGTCCTCGGCATGCGCGCGGGACGTGCCGCGGACAGCGCGAACTTTGGGGAGGAACCAACGGCTCCCCCTTTAGCCGACGCCGGCATTAGTTGGGCGGACGGGACGTTTGGCTCCCCGACACGAATTCTGAACGAGAGGTGGGGTACCTTATCTTGCCTACCTGAGTTACTGAGATACCGACTCCAACGGGGAGCCATTATCCACGCGGACACTGTGATGGGTGTTTCTTTGCATTCATGGCTTGAAGGTGCCGCCATCCTCGCAATGATATAGCTTACAAGTCCAAATGGAACGCTCCTTTTGATATGGTTCATAGCATTGCTTGTCATTGAGATTGACGAAGGATAATGGGTATATCTCTCAGAACGCGTCTGAAAGTGCGTGTGTAACGCCGAGAGCATCATAAGGTCGCCTCGCTAAGGCCTTTCGCTGGTATTCGCTGAGAAAGAAGCACATCGCATCGTTTCCTTTATTGGATTATGACTTTTCCGGCCTCTCCGAGAAAGATTTTCAGTCTCTTCTCTAGAGAACTGCAAGACCGCCGGCGAGGGCTGCACCGAGCACACCCCATGCAGCAGTCTGTAGGGGCACAGCTGCTCCCGAGGAAGTGGAAGTGGAACCGGAGCTGGTGCCTGACCCTTGAGCTTCCCCGTTGCCGGTAGATTCATTGGCATTCCGCTGAGCAGCTGCACTGGGGAAAGGAGTGGCAGCAATGCCGCTTCCGTTGGTGCAAACCGAGGGTTGCTCGTATTTGACGCTCGAGTCGAATTGAATGTCGGCGCACTGATCATGGAGAAAGACGTACGATTAGTATGAGATGTGGACCTTCTCGACATCTTGGGGAAAAAGGGAATTCGGCCGATATAACTCACAGCGTAGAGGCCACCGGTGGGATCCCCGTTGCTCTGAACTTGGAGCGTCGCGTTCATACCATCCGTGAGGTTCATACCGAGGAGCTTCTCGGTGAAATCCACGTGAGGCAGGCAGAATGGGCCCAGACCATTGATCTGGAAGGTGTGCACGAGAGTGATATTGTAGTTATCACCGGGATTGGTGCCCAGCGCGAGCAGAACTTCGACTGCAGTTCGGGAGTGACCCATACGGAGGGAGACGGGCAAGGATCCTGAGATAGGCACTTTGGTGCGGTTGGAAGACTGGCTGAGGCCACCGCAAGGGAATTGGGCCATTGTATTCTCGTCAAACCCGCGAGATTCGGGGTATTGAAGGTGAAAGTGCGCGGCAGCCAATGGCGCCAGGGCCCAGAAAAGGAGAGAGAACTTCATGGCGATGCGACTGTCTCTGGGGAGGGTAAGGGAGATGACACTAAAGGGACGAAGAGCAGACTGGAGAGGGCCGAGATGAAATTCGAGTTCCAGGTTGGGCACGGGGAACCCTGGAAGATATAGGATCACCAGATTTTGAGAATTCCGGAACGGCAGAAAAACTCCCTACAATGGACCTTATCGTGCTGGCTTATGCCTGGTGTCCTTCGCCATAATTGTCTTCCATAGGGCGAGTGGTTTGATCAACGACCGTATCACCCTTTACGCGCATCATTCCCCCAAACCTCCTCCCCATCTGTATCCTCCTCGTTCCTTGGCCGAGCGAGCCATAGCTCCATCGGCCTCGTGATTGCCCATGTGCTGTCCCATGTTTCGACAAGACGCACGCGGGGTTTCCTTTTTCGTATCGAGACCCGAGAATCGTACGGCGGGGAGAGATTCAACAACCAAGCATCGATAAATGCAAGCTCCTGACGGCTAATTCAGGGTGCGTGCGAGTGGACCTGCCTGTTCCAGGTGCCTCGTGTAGTCGTCCCGGTATTTGCAGGGTCCAAGGCGATGTTTTTTTTCCCTTCACGTCCCTCGGCGATTCTACCGGGCTGGACCTCGCGCGCTAGTATCCAGTAGGGAAAATCTGCTCATAAGCCCTCATCTGCATGGGAGTGCAGCAGTGCAGTGGGTTGGGCGCAAGAGGCGCGGTCAACAAGTGTATAGAATTAACATGCTTTAGTAAATCGCCCAATTCTGTCGGGAAGTCAATTCAGCCAGGCCGTATGAGATTCATGATATCGACGACTTCTTTTCCTTTGACTCAAGAGAGAGCATGTACCACTACACTTACAGTAGGTGCTACAAAGTTTCGCGCGATCCGGATCTGACGTTGGGGGAACCAAGTCGAGTGTCCCGACAGATGGGTTTTGCTCAGCCATTTTCGCCTGAGAACAAGAATCGGCCCGTGCGGATGGTCGGCCCAAACCAAGGATAGCGTGGCAGGTGGAGCCTCAACCCCCCGACCACCCGCAACGCTAACCCCGAAGCAGTTAAATAATTTGCTCAATCCTGCGCACCACCGCACGGCGCACATGCATGCGGTGTCGGGAGATGGCTCGACGTGCCACACGGCTACTTGTGCCTGGGCCGTCAACCATGGCTAAGATCAAATCTCGTCTCGCTAGAGTCCCTCATTCTCTATTGTGAACTGGACAGTACGGTACGAGTGTATCGGTGTGTTCGAAAAGACCATGAAGAGGAAAGAGGACCAAGAATTAGATTCTCTGCGCCTGAGTCAACGCCAAGATATGCCATGAGTATGTGGAGGGGATATCTGATCCTCCATGCTGTCACGTAAAAGATAGTCGTCATTCATGAGTGCCCGTTGGACGTGGTGCAGGGAAACTTGAGCCGCTGGGCACAGTCTAAGCTTGCTCTAGTGATTGTGCTCATTCCACTGGATGTATCGACCAACTGCCAGGTCTCCGATGAATGCGCCCGTCAGGACCGAGCAGAAGTAGCCCACGTTCATCGTCATGACTGCCAGCATCCTGGGAAGACGAGGAAGTCGATGGTCAGCCCGCTGGTCCATCGGGAAAGGTCCAGGTCAATGTGAGATCCACGGGGACATACAGAAGATAGGAGACTCCAACAATGAAGAGAAACAGGATTGCCCGTGGCAGATCCACGCTGAATCGCCATGGGATCGGCCCATGGGCGATATTGTGCACAAGCTTGACATTCTCTTCCACTCCCTGCGCCGTGATCAGCGACGCAGCCTTGGCGTCGGGATCCCCGTCAATCCGTCCAGCTTCGGTGGTCTTCCCCGCAATGGCGATGTAGCGACGATTCAAGTGCGTGACGAGCCAGTGACGCTCCATCGTGGCCTTGAAGGCGACGAGACAACGATCGATGATGGCGAGCACAATCAAGAAAATACAGGTGGCAGCGTATGTCCCTGATGATGAAGGGGTCCAGGCGGCAGAAAAGAGATGCGTGCTGTGTGCATTGGTGAAGGCCATGGTCATGCCCATGGCCGATGAGGCACCAGATGAGGAACTTGCGGATGAGGCACTGGAGCCCATGTCCATGCCACTCATTGATCCGTGATCCATCGGGCTGCGTCGTGTCGCGATCAAATATCGAGCCGAGAGACGGTCAGATAAGTTTTGAGATTGATTCAGCAACCGGCGGAATCAAGTCGTGTTCAAATGAAGGCCAGATGGTGAGAATGAATCCCAGCGATGATCCCCAGAGATCCGAGCGAGAGATGTCCCCCGTGGTGGGCTAAACCCGGAATGAACTGAGACGGGGGGGGGGGGGGGGGGGATCAGAGTCAGACATGATGCTGTCGCAAAGTGGGGGGTGGAGACGTTTTGAGCAGATTTAAGGCAATTCTTTTCTTTGGATCAGACTGCGGGTCGACTTGTCCAAACCTCCAAACGCGCTCCGGGTCGGGGTTTCATGGGTTTCATTACGCTTACACAAAGACTCCCAAAGGGATCAAGTTCGACTGGCCAGGATCTCTGGATCTCTCTCTCTCTCTCTCTCTCTCTCTCTCTCTGTGAAATTGAACTGTGAAGTCTGGGCTCTGGATTGCAGAGTCTGTAATGAAAGCCAGCGGAAGAGGGGAGGTTTCAATGGCGGGACTGAGCGGGGCCCATCTGGGCCGTTTCCACCTGACCAGTTGGCACCGACGAGGGGATGTGAGCACTTTATTGATAAGCACAGGACGGCCCTCGGATCCCGGGACTCTCAGCCACGTGAGGAAGGGCCAATTTCGATCGTCTGCACAAGTTGGACCATCTTTCCTCGAGTGTACTGGTCGAAGCGAGAGCGAGAGGTGCTCTGGACTTTGGGTTGACAGGACCGGAAAAAAAAAGCATCACCAGCGCGGGCGTCCGTATTCAACCATGCAAAGTCGCTTCCCTTGAAATCGCCTTGAACATTGCCCATTCTCAACATGGACCTGATGAGTGATATGCCCATGGGCTCCATGTCCATGGCGAGCGGGGCTCCGAGCCTTCTCACGATGCAAAAGATGTACTGGGCTGTGGTGGGAAGTGCCATCGGCCTAGCCACCATCGTGAATCTACTGAATTGGATTCTGGCACGACATCGGTAGGGCTATGGAGAACCCTGTACGATCCGGCAAGGATTCCACGTGGAGTCTGTAACTGACTCAATCAACTTGACATCTCTACACAGATTACGGGACACGTCTCTCACTCCTGCGAAACCCAAGTCCCTTTTCTTCGGCATCTACGCGACCATCACTGCCATCGTTCGCGAAGTGGGCCACGCCACCCTTCACCCTCTGACGGTTGGCAGTCACACCATCCACTTTCCGCCCCTTGGCCCCGTCCTGATCATGCTGGCCAATCTCATCACCATTCTCGTGCTCTGCTTCTACAAGCTAGACACGCTCGATGTCTGGCAGTGGGAGAACATCGGCTACAGCACGGGATGCATTGCCATCTGTCAGTTGCCTCTCATCTTCCTGCTGGCGGGAAGACAGAATATCATCGGCTTCCTAGCCGGCATGAGCTACGCCAGTCTGAATTGGTATCATCGCTGGGCGGCGCGGACTCTGTGGCTCACCTCGACCATTCACATGTGCTTTTGGTTCCGCGACTGGGGGCGCTATGACTACATCGCCTACGAGCTGGTCAATGATGATCTCACTAAACGAGGATTTGCCGCGTGGTGCCTGCTGACTTGTATTCTGATTACCTCGGTCCGTCCAATCCGGGGACTGAGCTACGAAGTCTTTGTCCTGCAGCACCTGGTGACTTTCATCGGCTTCATTGTTGCCGTCTGGATGCATGTCCCCAACGAAGTGAGGGTGTACCTCTGGATCCCCATTGGATTGCTGGTCTTTGACCGTCTAGCGCGGTATATTGGGGGCGCATATCTCAATCTGGCTCTCTTTCATCGGCAAACAGATGGCAAGACCGGGCAACGTCTGTGGACACATTCGGCAACGTTCGCTCCGATGCCGGGGAACGTTACGCGTGTGACCATCCCGAACCCCGGGATGCATTGGCAACCGGGTCAGCATGTATTCCTGACCTGTCATTCTCTCGCTCCGTTCCAATGCCACCCTTTCACCATTGCCTCGCTCCCCGAAGATCAAAGACTGGACTTTTACATTCGCGCCAAGACGGGGGCTACCCGGCGCCTGTTTCGATTCGCTTCAAAGAATGACGATAATCTTGGACCTCCTACCGCGGCCGCAGTCTCGCAAGATCAAACCGTCTTCATCGAGGGACCCTATGGTGCCGTGCGACCTCTGCGTCAATTTGACAGTGTGGTGTTGTTGGCTGGTGGCACGGGTGCAACCTTTACGGTGCCTCTGCTGCGAGACTTGGTGTCGGGATGGAACAAGGACAGTAGGGGAGAAACGTCTCGGGTCTCCCGCAGCGTCAAGCGCCTGGCAGCGACCAAGCGGATCCGATTTGTTTGGGTGATCAAATCACGAGCCCAACTTGGCCTCTTTGAATCTCAACTACAAGCAGCGCTGGCCGACGTGGCTGAATGCCAACTCAGACAACCAGACGGTGGGAGAGAGGTTGAGATTAGCATCTATATTACCTGTGATGAAAGGTTGGAGGTTCCGCATCCAGTATCGACCAATGCCCCGCCCGCCTCGTCGACTGTCGTCACTGAGGAAGCGCCCAACCTGTCTGAGACGAATGGCTTTGATGAAAAGGACAACATTTCCGTACGCTCGCTTTCCGCAGGATCCCTCTCTTCGTCGGCGGCCCCAGCTATGGCCGGTCGGGGCTGTTTACCCGGTGGGGGATGCTGCTGCACGACGCAGATCATGGATGAGGATCAAATTGACACCTGTACATGCAAGTGTTCCGGCCCTGTGCCGGTCCCCGCCGCGAACTCGGGTGTCGGCGGGGCCAATGAACAGACGATGAAGTCTTCTGAACCACCGACTCCGCTGCCCATTGCCTTACCCATCTTCGCCGGCCGTCCTCATCCACGAACAATCATCCGGAAAGTCCTTGAAAAGGCCGAAGGCGAAAGCGCCGTGGTAGTTTGCGGGCCCCAGGGTCTCAGTGACGATGTACGTCGGAGCGTGGTATCTCTCAGTGACGAACGAGCGGTCCACAAGGGGACGGGAGCGCAGGGGATATACTTGCACATCGAGAGCTTTGGGTATTGAGACGCGGGGGGTCTTGAGCTTCATTTTGGGGTGGGGGGCATTTAGATAGTTCACTACAATTCCCTGAGATGTAAGAGTACGAGTCTTCTTCTCTCGCACCAAAGGATGACTACACGAATTGACGAGCTTCATGATTCTTCTCAGTTGCGGTCAAGCTTTCACGGTCGACTGTTCTCTTGAAAGTATCCGCTCTCAATCGAGGCAGGGAATTCGGCAATGGAATCGCTGGATGTACTCAGTAAATGTTGTAGGGCGGGCAACGTCCAAGAAGCACGCAGTCGTGGGTTGCTGAGACTCGATCTCCGCAATGCACGCCAACCCGCATTGGGATCCCGGCACATGACATCATCCAGTAAGATGCCGTTCAAACCACCCGCCGAACGCCCGAGCTCCAACGTCAACCTGAGCTCTTCGAATCTACACTGCAATTCAACAACAACCGCAACGACAACAACCACCTCCTCTTCTCACACAAGGTATCCACGAGCTATCAACCTGAGCAGCCTCAAAACTACCGCCACGATGTTCCGCTTCGTACGTAATCCTCATGCCATCCCCCGTCGAACTCAACCACCCGTCCAAATCCCATCCATCCTGCGCGCAATCAAGCGGAATACAAAACCTCTTTCTCTCTCTCTCTCCAACACACCTCCCTCCTTCCCCACGACATAAACCAACTTTGAAAAATTTTGTTTTCTCAAACACTCTGACTCATTTCCTCTAATCCAGAGCAAAACCCTCGACCCAATTACCCTCTTTCACTCACCCTCCCTCGCCCCTTCCACCCGCGTCCTCAACATCCTCAAACAAGCCTCCATCACCGCGTCCGAAACCGCCACCGAAGACCAAGCCTCCGACCACTCCGCCCACGCGGCCCAGCAGCGCGGCGACTTTGAGCTCGAAGTCACCACCGCCCCGCCGACCACGGACCAGTTGCGCAGTATCCTGGACTACATCAGTCCCGTGGGTGCCGCGGGGCCGGGCTCGGAGGGAAAGGGAAAGGCGAGTTACGGGGTGGGTGAGTTGATCAAGGGGGCGAGGGACGCCGAGGATGCGATCAAGAAGTTTAAGGAGGATCAGGGGGCTTTTGTTAGGCCTGTGGTAGGTTGATGCGCCGCCTTTTTGTCTTTCTCTCTTCCTCTCCGTGCCTCTCCGTTTCTCTCTGACTCAATTGACTGGTGAATTGATCGGTTGAATGCTGTTTTGGAGTTGAAGAGAGACACCTCATGAATGATGGGGCTGAGATTTTCACATGCTGACGAGGACCGGGTACGCTTCTAGACGGTCGACTGGGTGAACGGACGGGCAGTCATTGGAGACAACGAGTCGGAGATCCTGCGCATGGTCCGACAACTTCCCGAGAACTAGATTCGCGAGCATTTCACGTGTCGAGTCGTGTTCCGGCGCAATTCTTCACATCCAACGACATTGTACGAGACTGCGTGTGTGGATATGGGCGCATGTACAACTATATTGCTATATTGAAAAAAAAAAAAAAAAAAAAAAAAAAACCAGGAAACAGGTAGAGCACGCGAAGAACCGCGGCCGTGGAAATCTTGTTCTTTTTTCATGTACTATTGCAGAATGAACTTATATACAATCCGATCCCATCGATACATCATCCCTCATCTCTCGAGCAGATTACAGACAAGTCCAGATTCCATGAGCCGAGCCTGCTGACTATCAAGAATCGGATATCGATATTCATATATTTCATTGACGGGCAAGAGGTAATCATACAAAAATGGTCTGGCAACGCTAGACACGAACACGTTTGCACAGAAGAAGGGCATGGAGAGAAAAAAAACTAGGGTTAAGAAGAATGCAGAAGCAAAAAGTCAAAGACGGAAGAAAAAAAAAAAAAGGGGGAGTGAGGGGAAACCAACAATATCAAGTCGAAGACAGTCGAGCCGTCAAGTATGGAACAATCTCCATCTCCGACTTGACGAAGAGCCCAACCGGAAAAAGAAACAGCAAAGGTTGGGTAAACCTGCTGGGATGGAATTGGCACACGATTTCCACACAGGGCAGAAAAGGGACATGAAAGAACATGCGTGGGCAAAAATCACAAACGCGATGCCAAAATAAGAGAATTGTGCCATTAAAAACTCATGCGCGGAATGGTAATCCTACATGGACGATTCTCAGAACCAAGATCCAGCTTGGCGACAAGACGAAACATATCCAGGATGACAAGGGAAACGAGGAAGGGGAAGGGAAAAAATGAGAAGGAAAAGGGGCAGTCGAGGCATGCTTGTCGAAACCAGCTGAAGATGAATAAAACGACCGCATCACAGCCACCAAAAAAAACATGAGAAGGAGAAAGAGAAAAAGCAGGGCCTAGAATATGGTGCCAAAGGTTCCATCTGTGGCAATCGGTTTACGAGGCGAGCTGCGACCGGCGCCGTCAACGGCGGGTTTGCGATGTCTGTAATGAAAGAAGAACACAAGAAAAAAAAAGTCAGTCTTGAAAAAAAAATCCAACAAGCTCAGCTCCAAACCCGCTTCTTCCAGCATCCACGGATAGCAGGCGGAGAAAACGGGGATTGCACAGCTTACCGGAATGTAAATCCAACAAACAAGCCCTTATTCATCTTCTCGTCTCGCTCGGCCATTTCCTCCAAAGCTCGCTGCTTGTCGTGCACTTCCTTGTACTTGGCCATGTCGGCGTCGTTGCTAAAATCGTCAAAGTAACCGGCATCCGTCTCGGAATCCAGTTCGGGGACAAACGGCGCTCGTTGTTCTCGCAGCCGGGTAAAGTCGACCTCGGCAAAGTAGTCGTGCGCATGGATTTCCTGGATGTTTTTGAACCGAGTGTCCTTGGAGGCAACCAACGTAGTGATTAAATCCCAGGTCCGCCGTGACAGGAAATAGTTTGGATCCTCATACACAGGCTTCCGAAGAACTTTCTGCCATCGTTTCAGGTTCTGCCAGGTTTCGTCGACCGTAGCGCCGGCAAAGGGAGGATAACCTGCCAAGGCCTCGAAGAGCATGCAGCCCAGACTCCAGTAGTCGACCGTGAAATCGTACTCTTCTCCCTTCAACACCTCGGGCGCCATGTAATCCGGGGATCCCACAATCGACTTGGCATAATTGACTTCACGCTCCCGCAGTGATCGATACCCCTGACGACGCTCGGCCATGGTTCGCTGTTCCATGGGTCGACCAAAAGGAACCGGGGTATTGCCGACTTCTTCCAGTTTGACCCGCATCGACTCGATCTTCCCGGGGCTCAGCATGCCGGCGGCCAGACCAAAATCGGTCAATTTGACATGGCCGGTAGAATCGATCAAAAAGTTTTCGGGCTTGAGGTCGCGATGAATGTAGCCCAGCTGATGCAATGCATCGACACAGCTGAACATCTCAGCAATGTAGAATCGGGCATGGCGGTTGTGCAAGACTCCTGTGTTGTTGAGCAGGGTGCGGAAATCGCCACCGGGCACGTACTCCATGGCCAAGTAGATCTGATCGTCGTCTTGAAAGGCGTACAACAATCGTACCAGCCACTCGCTCTTGGCCGCCGTTAAGATATCGCGTTCGGTCAGAATATGTCGAATTTCATCCAGCTTGAATAACAGTCGCTTGCTCATGACCTTGAGGGCGCAGACCTCGCGGGTATCCTTCTTCTGGGCCAGGTAGACCTGTCCATATCCACCTTGACCGACCTGTGTGAGAATCTGGAAGTCATGTTGGCGCAGTCGAGTGCGCCGCTTACGCAGATGAGCGCGTTCACGACCGAGGTACTTCAACAATGCGGGCTGGTACTCTTCGTCGGAGGTCGCCGGGGGTTCGGGGTATGCGGACTTGAACTGTGCGTGTCGCGTTTGCCGATTATGCACGTAGCTGAGGAGATCGAAGTAATGATCGAGGAAATCTGTTCGCAAATTAGCAAATTGTTTGTCAACGAGCAGCCTACGCTGGGAGGCGAGGCCTTCAAGCTCCCCAGGCGATGGATCGTCTGCAGTCCATCACCCTTGACGACCTGTCTCTCGCCCCTCCTGTCGTCATGATGGCACGTACATAGTTGAGTCACATTGACCAGTCGCTTCACGCGCGGCTGTTGCAACTTTTCCATTTCCTCGGGAGTCAGCCCGCGCAGCTGCACCTGGCGCCGGGAGGTATCCGCATCGCGCTGCTGGTAGGGCTCATGGCGCGATAGGGCGGCCGCGGTCGGCTTGGACCCGAGGTCTTTGGGCAGTCGCGTACTGGTCGGTGGCGTGTTTTCCTTATTAGCCCGACTGCGACTGGGACTGGAGGGTCGCTGGTGGATGACGCTCTCGTTGAAGCTGTCGAGGTGACTCTTATCGGGCGTAAACATGGGATGGTTCAGATGATTATGGGTAGCTTTGTTGGGCGAGGTTGGTGTCAATTTGAGCGCCTTGTCAAAGACATTGGGCAGGTCCAGGGATCCTGGCGGAGGTCTGGATTTGCTCGGACTGCCCTGGGGGGTTTGTGTTGGACTGGTGAAGCCATGTTCGGCGGGGGTGGAGGGGCGGTCGAAGGACTCGCCGCGGGTATGCAACAGCGGCGGCGGGTTGGGCAGCCGAAGGCCCAGACGTTCGGAGTCGGCGACGACGTCGACAGCCATGATGCGAACACGTCTGGGAGGGAACCGATGGAATCAGAGGGTTTGCGCTCAGGCGTCAGACTGGACTGTGAACGGTGCAACCCTTCAGTTGGAGGGGGAAGGTGGGAGGGGGAGAAATCTGGGAGTTGGATGAGTTGACTCGTGGAGGGAAGTCGAGTGTATTGATGCGAGAAAGAAGGAGAAGAAGAAGAAGCAGAAGACAGGCAGGCGAGGAAGGCAGAGAGCCGCAGGGTCAGCGTCAGTGTCAGGATTGGTGGGAGGGTTGAGGATGGAAGGGTGCAGACAGCAGAGAGAATTATTGAAAAGTGTCAAGGTGCGCAAGGTGTGTCGAAATCCAGGCGCATCGACAGCTCCTCCAGCAGTCTGGTACTCTGGTGTCGCGCACGGGTCGGGCCAGTTGGCAAAGCAGCTGCAAGTTTGGACGATGAGGAAAATCCCCGTCGCGGTGAGGCCGCCCTCTTTTGTTTTTGGTTTTTGGTCTTTCTTTTTTTGGGGGTTTTTTTTTCTTTGGCTTGATTTGTTTTTATCTTGATTCTCTACTTTATTTTAACTCAATATGGTTTGAGGGACTCTTCGTCTTGACGTTCTGATTTCTCTCGGCACATTCATGGTGATTCCTTCTCTTTGCGTCCTTCCTGCGACCCTGGCCCATCCCTTGAATCAGAATGAGGAAATTTGTATTGATCGGCTTCTTCTCCGCATTTATCTATTTCCCCCTCGAGCGAACAAAAAGACAGGAAGTGATGACCGGACAACCGGACAACCACCTCGAGCCCTGGCAGCTCGATCGGTCTTACACTCACGCATACTCCCAGAGTTCCTCGGCTTTCGCATTCCCAGACACTCTTTGAGAATGGAGACAGTAGAGTAGTCAATTCAATAAAGTCAATCCACGTCGAATGATGAGAGACGGATGCTGATCCACGACTCGGGCCTCTTGGCAAAGTCGAGTGCCTTGGGAGTGGAGGGAGATTGATTGGCTTCAGCGTGGACGCAGGTCATTTCGGGCTGGGCTGAGAAAAGGTGGATCCGCAACGGGGCTGAGAAGAGAGTCAGTCATGTCGGGATGATAAAAGGAGCATACTGACAGACTCTCACACACGCTCTCTCTCCCTCTCTATCTTTGTCGACGGTGAATGGCATCCACGAGCATCTGGTTTCATTTCGAGAGTCCGGTGTCTCTGAGAACTCATTCACGCTGCGATCATCAAGTGGAAGCTGGAGACCCATGGAAGTGATGATGTTGATCCTCGTTCCTGACGCATCGAGCAGCGCAGAGACGAGATGGTTTAGTAGTCATGGTCCACCAGCCACGCGGGAGGAAGTGTATGAGAGAGTTTGAAGAGAATGTTAAACAGGTGAGATGGAGCGATTGGGTGGAACAAGATGGCGTAGACGAGACTACTGTATGTACTATGTAGTATTAGTCCTGTGCCATGGCGATAATCAAAGCAAGTACGATTGCCATACAGGGTCACGACTCATGGGGATCAAGGCCGAGAGCATGAGAATGTCTTTGTCGTGCGCCATCAGCCCCGAGTCGACGATTGTATGTTGCAACTCTGCACTCGCAGCTGGCCCGTTCTTTGTCTCGTGTCAGTCATGTGATGGACGACCACTCGGTCGCTTGACAAGTCGTCTGTTTCTGGCACGTGTCAACGGATCTTGAGTACAATCAAAGCACTATTTACTATTTCGTATATCCTACTACTGTATAACTACATACTCCTGTTCTCGTGTTGATGACACAGACTTCACTTTTTGTCTGCTTCGGCACTACATCATGACTACATCGCTGCTCTCACTCATCTCGCCAGGTTCGGCCGAGCGTTTCACACTTCCCCGGTGTGCCTGGCCAGACCATCCGACTCCAACCCTTGTGATCATCATCGTCTTCGGGTGGCAGGTCTGGTAGATTGAATGGGGTCAGGTTCCCGTACTTTGATTTGTCTGAGAAGAGTTTCCATTTCATTGTTATTATTACCTCGTGAACCTTCCCTGGTCGATCCGCTCCACCGCGATCGAAGCGGATCCGGAGGGATTGGTGGTCGGGCATTCACTGCCCTGGCGGACTTGCTGGTCCACTCGGGACTCGGTTGTCTCGCCGCGACGCCAGGTACTGCTAGCTTGCTAAGTGCTCATTTACCTCGTCTGTCTCGAAGAGGAAACTTCATCTCAGATCCAGAGAAGGGAGGATGGACAGCAGTAATAATATGAAGGAGCGAGAGCAGCACCAGAGGTGGATCGGTGGATGGCTGGATGCCGTGGATGGTACTCTTACAGTATGACAAAAAATAAATAAAAAAAGATGAAAATAAACAAGCCATGCAAGTTCTCTCTCGTGGGAACCACTCACAGAGAGACCGCAGCGGATAATCCTCCGATCTTCGATGATCACATCCCGTATTGATCCTCCCCGAGTCTCATCGCCTTGCCTCATTTGTCCCTCGCTTGAGCCTCTTCTCGGAATCAGTGCCTGAATTCCCACCATCATGAAATTATTGGACCCCAATCTCCCATGCGCGGCAAAGAAATCAAGTTCAAGAAAATCCTTGACAGATCGAGGCACGCCGCGCGCCTCGAGTCCCCGCGATAGTCTTTCCCCTCCTCATCCGCAAAATCTCGATGTTGCTGGGGCAACACTGCGGTCCCCCACGTCACTCGGCGGTACTCCCTTCTTAGTTCTTGGTCTTACTAGATAGTGACGCTCTTGATCTTTTCTCCTCGCGCATTTGATCCATGACCAACTCCCCCTGCACGCGTGCCTGCATCTCGGGATCTAGATCAGAACCTTGTTTTTCCCTTGCATATCAGGCAAGTATCTTCAAAGCACAAACGCGAGGCATACTTCTCCGTACCAGAATAGTGAGTGATCGCGACCGAGTCCTCCTACCTCTCAATTCCCCACACTCCAACCCAAGAGACGAGAAGAGAAGAGTAGAAACTAGAATCAAGAAATTCTCCGGCAATACAAGCACGCCTACGGTCGTACCTCGACAAATCACGTTTCTCGAACCAACTACTGTATCAACTTGATCCATGCTCCTCTTCATCTCCGACCAATCCACCGGGCCCTGGGGCCCTGATCCCTGCCGCAATCAATTTGAGTTTGGATCGATGGGAGCTGAACCTGGCGTCGTCCAGACTCTGCACTTCCCAGAAATCTTGCTCGGCTACTGTACTACTGTACTTGCTAGGACCTAGTACATAGTTAATGGCTACTGGTCAGTGGCCCACTGGCCAGTGGAGACTGCTCATCCACGTCTTGTTCCCGTCTTCCTCAATCCGAAAACAACCCTTAGGTTAGACAAGGATGAGCTCCAGTAAGCCCTGGTTTGTACGACATGGGGTGGGTCTGGTCGATATCTGTTTCAAGCTCAGATCGAAGGATAGGATCTGTACTCTTTGTCCGGCACCCAACAGCCTCCATCACCCGAGATAGACTGATGGACTGAGATGCACCTCGAAACTCGAGTCCCATCACATCATCTAATGATCAACTAGTCGCAACGGGAATGCTTGTCACCAAGCGGGTCGCAACCAAGGCTCGAAGGAAAATTGAAGAAACAAACGGCAATTGACGGGATCAATACCACGGGAAACACTCGAAGAGCTTTCCTTTTGGAAAAAGACTCTTTCCCGGTTCGAGTTCAATCTGACTTTTAAACGGTCGGATGCTGTTTCCGGTGGCTCTGTGCAATAGCTAGGTGGGTTCTGGATGGAGAACGACTCCATCGTGTCGTCATGACCTGGCCGTTGCCATTGCACACGACTGTACACGATGAGATTTTGCTATTTTCCTCGCTCTCGATGGACTATATCGGTAAAATGACACGGCATGCAGACCCCGCCTCGGCCACAATAAATTGTGAGTCTCGAGCTGTACGATTCGGGGGGCGGGGGGGGGGGGGGGGGGGGGTTTTAGCCGCGTGGACTCGCCTCAAGCAGTTGCACGTGAGGAGGTGCAGCTAGGTAGGGACGCATCCTATCAGTTAGTTTGTTAATAGCTACCAGACCTTTGCACCGCGCGTGGCTAGCCTGAACCCACTGCTCTGAGCACTCCGGGGCTGGATCAACTATCAAGTCTCTGGATCTTATCTGATCTTCCCAATGCCGCTCATCAACGATGCGCTTGACGACAACGCTGAATCCGTTTGATCTTGAAAGTGACTTTGTTACTTACGAACTCACTTGCTAGGTCATGAGTGGAGAACATTACACAGTGTCTATTACTCTTGTCTACTGACTAGGAGCCATTACTCGATCTATGCGCTGATGCTACCCTTTAGTAAGGTGAAGCTTGTATACCATGCCACAGGTCTAGTACAAGCTACAGTAGGAAGCCGGTTTTTGTGTCGTGCTGCTTTCCCACGTGGTTTCAGCCAGTTCTTAGGGAGGGCCGACCACCAGGGATTCTGCTGTTCTGCGAGCTTGCCCTCAACCAAGAGTAGTTCAGTGGGTAGACTAGATGATACGGACTAATCTTGCCTCTTTTTCTTTGGAAGCGATTCCACGCAAGGCTGCCTCCCTAGATTTTGCATATTGTCGTCGTGGGAAGCTGTGAATCTTTGACTCAGTCGCTGAGGTCATCTGGGTTGAATAGGGATGTATTGTATCACGCGATAGGTCGCACGGCGTTAGACATTAAACCGGTATCAGAAGACACATATTCTACGACGGCTTTATCAATTATTGATGCGATTAGTATGGATCGATGAAGCTGCTAGATGGATGAAATTGGAAGATGGTTATATTTGCGTTGACCCCTTACGATGAGATGATAGGCAGCAGGCAAGAACTCTGAAACCATGGATGTAAATAGGTGTATGTACATGCACACATACCTTATCTCGCATCAGTCTTCTTGAACGAGCCTAGAACACTTGTCGTGTAAGTGTTATAAGGCTGCTCGCATGGCAGCGACTATAATAGTGAGTGCTCTTGCGTATAAGACTAAACCAGTATCCGGACTTGGCTGTATATCTGCTAGAAAGTGCGAAAATGTAGGGAAATGCTATAGTCAGTATTTCAAACAATGACTTCATTACGGACTCAGGTTTATTGCAAATTTAATAAGCAAAGTTCTTCCCTGTTCTTGAATTTAAGCTAGAACGTAGACTAGCTATGGTATAATCGGCGATAAGGAAATGTTTTGTTTTTGAACATAGGATGATAGGACTCCCAACTCCATGTATAAGCACAACGCAGGCAATGGTCCAATTTTTGAGTATTGATACCTTGCGTCGGCTTGACCGCAAGGAATACAAAGTTGGAGTTTTTTTCCCTCCTTCCATTGTATGATATTCGATTGTCGATAGCACACAAGCCACAACTCTGGAGGTGATCATGGGGCTTACCTATGTGAGGCCGGTACTACCTATACAACGTATGTATCACAACCGTCCATAATTATGTTGGAACTCTGTTCCCTGTCAAGACTGCCACTTGCAGCTGTAACTTTCGTTAATATCTCCCAGCCAGATCATCTTTACACATACACGGTGGTTGATGACCAATATCTCATGGCTAAGGAGTAGCTAGAGATCTGGAGCCTACGCGGAACTACTCGACAGTCTTTAACTAAAGTCGGTGGCGTGGAAAGGTAATTGCGGAAAAGTAGTGGTGAATCCTGCACCTGAATTGAAACACCCAAAGACCTGGGAAATAACCTAGAATGACGGATAGGAATCAGGAAGGGCTATTTCTTAAGATGACTTCGTAGTGAAGGTCACTTCTCTGTGGACTTGAGTTAGTAAGGTCCAAAACCAGACCTACGACAGAGACGCTGATTACTGTAACTGGTGCGTCAATGATGTAATGTTAATGGTGAGCTATAGTAATTGAAACTCACAGACTGCATTCGACAGATCGATCGACCCAGTTGATCTGGTTTTCGAGGTACTTCTATCTCAAAATAATACTCGACACATGCAGGTTTATGGCCCCGGCCCCTCACATGAAGCCACCCTGCCACAAAACCTCATTGCCTACAGTCCAACTCACTGGCTGAACGGGAGTTTTCATGCAGGCCTGTGAGAAATTATCGTCCTCACATGGGCGAGAATTTGATGGAAAAATAACCACGAGTAAATTTGGATGTACATACTGGAAAAAATGGAACAGTGGACTTCTAGCGAAACAAGAATCCGTGGACACAGTATGAGCACCTAAATAGTGCCGATTCTATCTTCCTAATCACTTCACATTGTCCTTTTCATTCACACGTGGAACATTTCAGGCACCCCGTCCATTCTTAAATCAGACTCATACTGTCATTGTCAGGATGACCGTGGCCAAGGCCGAAACGGCGTCGAGCCTCTTCGACATCCGGGGGTGCGGTATAAGGATGCTTTCGCCAATGACCCTCTTCTCTGCAAATCTATCAAGCGTGTCCCTGCTCAACTGCCTCAACACAGTAGTACACTTGATCTACGCTACGTAATTGGCAAGCCTGTCTTTGATATTCTTGCCCGTGCAGGTCATACCGTCCATGGGTTGATGCCTCTGCCAAAATGGCTCGTCTGGGTGCCTCCCAGGTTTCCCGCGGAGTCTTCCAGCAAGCTGATATGAGACAGTTTCGGCCCCAATAGAGTGAAGATGGATTAAAATACGGCGCAAGTTCAATCCCAATCGATTTGCTTCCCGCTAGAGCCATTGACAACATAGCCACCGCGCCGTGGGTGCTCGGCTGCGCTGCAGACGTCGAGAAAAGCATTACCTGACTTGCACGTGCACCCCGCTCGCGCATTACTTCGATCCAAGATGCTCCCGACATTGAGCCTGTTCAACTGATCACCTGCGTAGCGAGATCCTTGCCCGTCAGCCATCAGAGACACCATCAGAGATGGATTCTCAGCGTGTCGCGTAAAGCGCTTGTTGAACAGGACTTCAGCAAGGTGTCTCTTTTGAGCAGATTGGAGCCGGCTTTCACGTCCCCGGAAGAGATCCGGCTGCTCGCTGTGCCATCGCAGCCGATTTTCTGCTTGATGGCATTGCGATCACCCCCAGAATGAAGAAATGAAGGTCATTCTTGCTGATAGACTCCAACTTCGATTCCAGGGACAAGAGAATGCATTTGGATCTGTCTGGCGGTGGTTCTGGCCACTCGCCCGAAGTAACTTAGACTGAAGGGATGCTCCAATTGCTGATTCACTAAAAAGTTCCGTCGCAAACATCATTGTCAGTCACTGGCAGTCTTCAGGAAAGGCAACTTGTAGCCTGTCAGAGAACAAATACGATGGTTTCGTTTTTCCATTAACTTGGGGCTGCTTTGTGCCAATTCTTCATTAGAGAATGTTAAATCTCAGGGTAGTGCATTAGGAGACCGTTCAACGTGGTAGTAGCATACAAAGAATAGAGCCCATGATCCGTTGGGTCGAGATCCCCCTTGTCGCGTGCCTGAAATTATTAAGCGGAGGCAATCCTCCCGCCCGGAGTTGGTCCGCTGGATCACGGGATGAGATCACTTCCCCACTGACCTGACTGTTCCGACGAGCTGCCGTTTAGGATCCCATGCAGAGCCATACATGGTGCATGCAGCTCGTGTGGGGAAGTTAAGTTCTTTGCTTCAACTGCCAGATAACTACTAGGAGTCGAGCCTCAGAAGTGGCGATGCTTCTTCGACCTCCTCTCTCTCAATATCAATGCCACCCTCAACGGGCTCGTCCTCCGCTGCAAAAGTGCCAGGTCGGCGAAGCCGTGCCCCTGCTGCTTGCGTATTTTGCCGAAGCAAAAAGGTGATATTACTAGTCTATGGGTGATCGGTGACCTCTGCTGATGCCGATTTAGTTGAAATGTGACGCGCAGAAACCTCAATGTGGGAATTGCCGAGCAAAAGGCATCGACTGCGAGCAAATGAACAGTCGACATAAGCCAAGGTTTGTCGTGTATACTCCAGCTAGGATTCCAGTGTGGACAATTTCGATCTAAGGTGCTGTAATCAGACCCACCAATCGACGAATCTCACAGCTGGAGCAAGAAAATGCAACTCTGCGTCAAAAGTTTATTGAGGGGCAAAGAAGCGCTGAAGCCGAAGGAAGACTTGCTTCATCAGCTCCTGGTGTGTCAAACTCCCCTTCTCTGCTCCAGAGTCAGGCAGAAAGCTCTTCACCAAATAATGCAGTCTCATCTGCTGGGGTAATCGTTTCAACTCCAAATGGAGCCCTTTCCCGCACGGAGGTGCCTGAAGGTGCCAAAAACAGTCACGGCCTGTCGTTGTACCATGGGCCCACCAGTATAGTCTACGATGACACTATTCAATCCACAGTCGAAGACGACGGAACCAATCCCATCCAGCCGACCACAGATGTCGAATACGTTCGTAACATGCTGTTCGCTCAGACAGCGAGGCAAAGTTCGTGCTCAATATTCAAAGCTCACAACGGCTTCTATATGTTTTCAACTAATTCAACTTTTCTCTCAGGACAATTTGAGCCTCTCAACCTGGCCTATGGGAAACTTGACTTTGACGGTCTTGATCCAGACCTGGGCATGCATCTCTTGACAATCTATTGGAGCCGCCAGCTATACACGGCTCAAATTATCTACCGGCCACTGTTCATGCGTGACATGGCCTGCGGTGGTCCCTACTTCTCAAAGCTTCTCCTCAATGCCATCATGTTCACTGTTTCGAAACACTGCTCACGGCCGGAATTGCGTTCTGACCCCGACGATGTTACCACGGCTGGCTGGAGGTTCCGTCAACGATTTACCGAGCTTCTTCGAGATTCCTTCGACAAGAGCGAGATTGCCACGATCCAAGCTCTATTGATCATGTCGAACTCATTATTTTCACGGTGTGACGAGCGCAGTTTGTCTTGGCTGTATGCCGGCAATGCATTCAACATGATTATTGACCTTGGTCTTCATGTACTTCCTTCTTCGAACCAGACTACTGCAGAAGAGCTTGAGTTGAGGAAACGCGTCCTTTGGGGCGCTTATAGTAAGTCGAAGCCATTGTCCCCACTTTGCTTTTTTGGCTGTTTTTGTTTTGACTCTCTCTCTCTCTCTCTCCAGCAATTGACAAGATCCAGTGTCTGCTCCAAGGTAGACCGCCACTGCTGCGGCATGTGAATTTCAAGGTTTCGCTTGAATTCCTGGATGAGTACGATGAGTTGGATGCGTTCAAAAGCCTGACATACAGCGCGACGAGCCGGGAGAGAGTGATTCCCTCATTCAACGTATCTTTATTGACAAAACTGTGTCAATTGTCTATCATCTCGGAGCGGGTCCTCTGTGAGCTTTATTCCGAGACTCGGCCTGGAGACCGAGGTCGCAATCCAAGACTGTTCACTGAGATAAGTACAAATTTAGAGGGCTGGCGTTCAAGTCTTCCCCGGCAGCTCGACTACCTCTCTTTTCCTCACGAGGCTGTTCTTCTCCCGCAGGCTTTCTGTCTCTTGTGAGTCTTTTTTCGATCCCCAAAAACATAGTATTGACCTTCCTTCCTGACTACTGGCAGAGCGCTTTCGAATGCTCTTATGATACTTTCACAGCGGCCGCTTTTCACAAGCGCTTCACAAGTGACAACTCACGATTCATCTGCGGCATACGAGGCCGTCAGCAAGTGCACAACTGCAGCCAACCAAATTGTTCAGATCCTGCGCGATTATTCTCAACATTTCTCCATCACCTCAGCTCCTTACATGCTCTCGTATGCAACCTATATCGGTGCCACTATTCATGTCCGAATCGCCGCACAGAAGGGACACGACTCGACATCTTTTAATTGCTTGCTGGTCTGTCGCAGCGTTCTCCAAGAACACGTACGACTCTACGCCGCTGCTGCTAAAGCAATGGCCAATCTGGATAAGCTGATAGCCCACCATGGCGTCAAAATTACTGGCGATGGCCTGGCCGAGGCTCTTGGGATGAAGAATACGAGTCAATATCAAGTGCGAGAACACATGAGTGGTCCCGAGCTGCCGAGCACACTTTTTCAGAGCACTCAAATTGGTTCCCCGCAATTGAATTGTGGACTTTCGGATCTGGATCTCGAGGCTATTGCTCAAAGCTTCCGGCTTGATTCTGAACTACACTATCTGATGCATCCTGTCGGCATATAAAGTGTTCTGCTTGAAGGGACAAAATGAATATCTGAAAGGTTCATCAGACCACAACTGTGCAGCTCAGCCGCCGAAAGTGTGCCCTTTTGAGGCTGCCAGGACACTAAGGCTCAGTTTCATAGTGCAACTGCCAAGGATGCTGCTGGTTAAAACCTAACAATGCTTTGATCTTCTTGTTCGATATGGGGGCATCTCGAGGTCCCATATGGCCCGTGAAGGGCACCTGGGGAGAAATGCGCCGGAGAAACTCTGTTGCCGAGGAGGTGTAATTCGTGATTTCATCGTTGACCGCATTGAAAATCTGAAAGCCGAGGCCGTCTTTTTGGACAGCAAGATCACACATTTGTCCCAGATCCCTGGCGTCTGTGTACGACCAAGCGTGCGGTGCCCATGCATTCGGGCTCTCTACATAGCTCTTGAACATCTCCTGTTTGTATTCCTCGGGGGCCACTACTCGGCCGATGCGCAGCGCGTAGATATCGTTGCCGAATCGGCGAGCAAAGCCACGGGCAACACGCTCACCGCACACTTTTGAAATGGCATATGTGTCCATGGGATTGGCGTCGGCTTCCTCGTCTACAGGATATGAGGGGTACTCCACGTCCCCCTCGGCGTAGCTCACTCCATACACCGTGATGGAACTGGCCGTGACGATCTTGTTGATGCCGAGTCGACAAGCAGCTTCGATCACATTGTATGTGGACAAAGTATTTCCGCGGAAGGTCTCATTATCAGGAGCAATCATATTGCGTGAATATCCAGCAAGATGAATCACAGCATCGGGCAGAAGACGCAGTGGCTCACGGAATGGTTCCGTGAGATGAAAATGGGATGTGAATACGCTGTAGACTTGACCGCTATCGGTCAAGTCCACTCGTAGGGTGTGGACACGCTTGGCCAAATGATCTGGTAATGGTGCCAAATCGAGATTCAGGATATCATGGCCCTTGTCAAGAAGATACGCGATGATATGCTGGCCGGCCTTGCCTGAGCCTCCCGTCACGATGATTCGTTTTCCCATTCTCACGATGGTGCGATATGCAGAAGAAGACCATGGACTGCTCTTGAAATGGATGATCAGGCAGAAAGGGAAGATTCTATTCAACGAATCTCCGCAGATATGAGGATCAGCACAGGTATTATACTGTCCGAGACAACTCCAATTCTCGGGCCTTGAACTGCCTACTTGAGCTCGACTTGAATGCGGGGAGGACTCTTCGGGGCGTGATCTGCCGAATGCTCGTCCCCCATGTCTCTAGTACTCCACAGTCCTCTGCAGTGAAGGCGACAGACAAGGAGACATGACTGAGTGGCTTTTTTTTTTCGAACCATCCTGAAGATGTAATGTGACCTCGGCTCAGCTGTCTCTGAGCCCTGGAGCAGGCCACGTAGTTCCATGGTGATACTTTATCGCATGGACCTTTCAATCTCGACTCGGAGTGTCATTGTCCGGATTGAATGACTCTCGGCTTGGGCTATTGGAGATGCCGAGGAATCCAAGTCTCCAATTGGATGAGAGGCCTGTGAATCTTCCCCGGATCCAGTCCACTTCCAGTACTTGCCAATAGGAATGTCTCTTCCCGAACTCGAATGAGTAATTCCCAAGCGTGTGGATGGACTCTGGCTTGGCGAAATGGAATAAAGGAAAGCCGAAATCCAGCTGCGAGTGAGCTGATGAAAGAGAATCTCTTCATATCTTTTCTACTTGCATGAATGATTGAGATCACTGTAGCCGTACCAGCATCCTTCATTCAGTCATGTCGTGCGCCAAAAAGTCCTGCGAAGGTTGCTCCTGCAGCAGTAGCACCACTGCTCAACAGCCTGTCGAGATTGAAGATTGCATCAGCGAATTGCAGGCGCTTCGTCGACGAAATCAAGAGCTCGAGACTCGTCTAGGTCTCAACGCAGAGCAGAATGCACCGAAAATCACAAAGACTCCCGGTCGCACTTTACGGTCGGCCGCTTGGTTCGACTGTCGCAGTGATCCAGGCATGACGGCCATCTACATGGAGAGATACTTCAACTTTGGTATCACTCGGGAGGAGCTGATGTCCGGCAAGCCGATGATTGGTATTGCGCAGTCGGGATCAGATCTCGCGCCGTGTAATCGGCACCATCTTGAGCTGGCGAAGCGGGTCCGAGAGGGCATTCGCACGGCTGGCGGCATTGCTATCGAGTTCCCCACGCATCCGATCCAGGAAACCTCAAGACGGCCAACGGCGACATTGGATCGCAACTTGGCGTACTTGACCCTTGTCGAGATCTTGACGGGGTATTTCTTGGATGGTGTGGTTCTTCTGACGGGATGTGACAAGACAACCCCCGCATGCTTGATGGCCGCTGCTACTGTGGTATGTTCCCATTGAGTAATGAGACTCCAGTCAAGTCTGGATTGTCAATTGACACACGAAGATAGAACATTCCAGCAATCTGTATGAATGTTGGACCCATGCTCAATGGGTACGCCAAAGATACCCTCGTGGGCTCAGGAGCTGTGCTATGGAAAGGCAGAGAAATGTACGCGACGGGCGAAATTGACGAGCATGAATTCATGGACTACATTTCCCAAAGGTATGCCTGCTATTTCATTGTTTATCATAGGTACAGGCACTGATTTCCTCGCAGTACACCGTCAGTGGGACACTGCAACACAATGGGAACAGCATCGACGATGAATGCTCTTGCAGAAGCTCTCGGCATGGCTCTGCCAGGGTCCGCCGCGATTCCTGCAGCGTACCGACATCGAGCCCAGTGCGCCTATGAAACCGGGAAACGGATAGTGGAAATGGTGCATCTTGATCTCAAGCCAAGTGACTTGATGAACCGCAAGGCTTTTGAGAATGCGATCGTCGCAAATGGAGCCATCGGTGGCAGCACCAATGCTCCTATCCATCTCAATGCGATCGCCCAACACATGGGTGTCGAATTATCGATGGATGACTGGGACATTCATGGATCGCATATTCCCCTCTTGTTGAATATGCAGCCATCCGGCGAATATCTCGGCGAGGAATACTTCCGAGCTGGAGGTCTTCCCGCGATCATGGCCGAACTTTTGGACGCAGGCAAGCTGCATGGGGATGTCTTGACATGTAATGGTCGCACAGTCGCCGAGAATGTCAAGGGCAAGCACTCGTGGGATCGTAAGGTCATCCGTCCCTATGAGGATCCATTGATGAAGGACGCAGGGTTCGTCCATCTCAAGGGGACATTATTTGACTCTGCGATCATGAAGACCTGCGTCATCTCTCCTGCCTTCCGCCAACGGTACCTTTCCAACCCGGACGACCCGGATGCCTTTGAAGGCCCCGTGGTCGTTTTTGACGGCCCGGAGGAATATCACAGCCGTATCGAAAATATGCCTGAGATCAACGATCAGACTGTTCTGATTATGCGTGGCGTTGGTCCACTCGGTTACCCCGGTGCTGCAGAGGTTGTAAATATGCATCCGCCAAGTCAACTTCTCAAGAAGGGAGTCGACGCCTTGTTTTGCATTGGTGACGGCCGACAATCTGGCACATCGGGGTCTCCATCCATTCTCAACGCTAGCCCGGAGGCGGCAGCAGGTGGGAACCTGGCAATTCTTCGTAACGGGGACAGGATTCGCATCGATCTGCCAAAGCGGCGAGTGGACATTCTTATCAGCGAGGAAGAGATTCAAGAGCGGAGGAAGGAGGTTTTCTCAAAGGAGTATCCTCTTGTTCCGAGTAGCACACCCTGGCAGGAGATCTTCCGGCAGGAGACTGATCAGCTTTCAGCTGGTATGGTGTTGAAGAAGGCAGTCAAGTATCAACGGCTGGCGCAGACAAATGGTCCGCCCCGGCATAATCACTGAGCATATTCGATGGTATATCAGGCTTGGCCAATGATTGTTCAACGTTAATTTCTATGAGAGCGCGGTGGAAGGTCCAATTGTTGAATACCTATCAAAACGGCATGCGTGCCACACAAATATATTTAATCTCATGAAATGTTAATGAAAAGCAAATTTTGCATGACCGTTTTCGTTTCAAACGTGAGTTTCATACAATAGTAAGAATGAGCACAGCCCGACACATCAACACGGCTGACGCATGGTCGACAGACTAGAGAGGCAAAACAATCGTTTCTCCACAATGAGAACCTTCCAACCGTTCGATGCTTCCAAATCAGGAGTCCCGCCTAGGTCTGCGAAATTATACAAGACGAGTGGACCTTCACTACACATACACAGTCGTTGTCTAAGGAAATTGGTCCATGAATTTTTTTTTTTTTGGCGCAGCCTATAGTCAAACCTCACCGGGCATCATTGTTCCGCGGGGGGTCTACAGAAGTGAGGCGATCTGCCGCTTTCGGGGCTTGAAAAATGATATGGAAACTTTGCTGCGTGGCAGACGTGAGCAGGGTGATAGTGCTCTATACTGCAATTGTTTAATAAGCGAGTTTGGCCGAGTGGTTATGGCGTGACGTTTAGGTAATAAACATTACGACCGTCATGGGTACGCCCGCGCGCGTTCGAATCGCGTAGCTCGCATTTTTTTGCTTTGCATTTTGTTTTTGCTTCACGTTGAGGCACGTGGAAGCCATGCAAAATAGAGGGACGACTGCTCTATATGAAGTTTAGACAATGATGACATGGTGTTTAATCCAATACGTCCACGGCGGATACTGGTTTTTTCTTGTCAGACGACCATTTATCGGAGACTTCGCCTTTCAAGCGGAGCTTGTAAACAAGGTTGAATGTTTGTACATGTGCACCCAATTTATCGAATCGACGGCTGAAAAACAAATCTCGTGAATTGACCTTAATATACTACAGACTGAATTCCGAGTGCTAACTGCTTCTCTCACCCATTCACTCATCACACTGCTCTTTTGCGACCCTCTTTCCCGCTTTAATTGCCTTTGAGTCTCATCAACGCCGAACAATAACAGTCTTCTCCTATTGAAATATGAACAAATAGATATTGCTTTACAATCTCCCTGTTTAAACTCGAACTTGAACCTGCCAAGGCAGAAACAACTCAACTCCTGCACTGACAAAGGCCACAGATGATATCATAGATTTCTTTTGTTCTCATGATCTTGTCTAGAAAACCTCGAATCCGCAACGAAATACGTACCATGTTGCTGCGACTGGTCCATATTCTTTGACTGCACTTTGTCTCACTATGAACCGTCCCTCCTAGGTACACAGAAAGCAATCAGCTCCACGGGTTGAAGGGTGTCCAAGTGTCTCGGATGATTGCGAACTTCTTCTAATCCACCCAGGCGCCGGCAGCCAGAAGAGGAAGCATTCAAATCACCGTGTGCGAGTAGTTTGGAATGACTACCAACATAACCGGACGATAGACCGCGATATGTACAAGCGGCTGTGATAGCGGACGGAACACTGTCTGATCTCAACGGAGAAGTGTGGCCCATCAACCAGCTGGCGCTAGCTCATTGCTCGGCGGAATCGTAGAAGTGGGACCTTCTGGCTCAAAGATCATCTGCAGACGTGGATTGCCCGTTAAGCAATGTCAGGCCTTAGGACCCGGATGTGATGTGAATGCTCAGTTCTCAAATGCCCACCGCACGCTATATAGAGGACGCCCGACCTCACCTAACAGAGGGGAAACAAGCGCCGCACCTCATGTCACAAGGCTAGAGCTCAGACTTATTTAACGGCGCCGGGTGTCTAGAGCATGGAGAGACGCAAGTCATCTAAATAGCCGCCGCAGGAGGCCATTGAGCTCGTAGAAAGAGACGATCAGTCAAGATTCACCAATATGAATCAGCCATCATAGATGCAAGTAATTTGACGTTACCTGTAATACGTAGGTGACAAGATCAGACTAAATAAGATTGATGTCAAGTTTAGCGCCCTGTAGACCGAGTTAGAGGGAACGGGACGTGAAATGCATACGCAAGAAGAAGGGCGTGTTTGTCAGCGAGTCAACAATGAAAGACAAGCTTGCCCACTGCTCCGTTAGATTGATAGTTTGGCCCATCGTCACCATGGACAAGGCCTTGAGAGAGGTGACCTCTAACAACTGGTTATAGAAGTTAGCCTCGTCACTGACAGTGGAAGCACCTGCATCGAGTTACCTGTCGATTATGACCTGGATCTCAGACCGAAAGAAGCGAGTGAGGCTGGTGTTGGCTGTTGTTCTTCATCGCCAGAGCAGATAAGGGGATAATGAAAGAGATGTCTCATCGGAAAAGTCCTTGGAAGTACCCTCGCAAGAGCTTGTCGCTGATGAATAATAACCTTTGACACAAGATCCAAGTACAGTGAAGTTACGCAGTACTGTAACTACATCTCAAAGGCAGCCAATTGCGAACTGATAAATGATCTTTTCGTATGGCAGGATGATACTTACATGAATAACGTGGCTCTAATAATTACCTTCAACCATGGGCAATTGATAACCTCGCAGGGGTCTCAGACTATAGACATGGGAATGGGCAGTACCCTGTGGGGCTGTTGTTGTCCACCAAAGTGCGGGGAAAACTCGGAAGTTAGGGCTCGGTCCGATGGGATCAGCCGCCTCATGCCCGGGCCCGCATGCCATACAATTCGATTGGGATGATTGATCAACGTAGCTGAACACTCATGGCTCGAGAGATACAGTTCTCCGGGGCGGAATGATGTGTCGTTCGCTCTTATTCATGGCAAGACCACATCTTACCCATGTAACACTTCGTACCAACACCACCAATTCTTACGAGAGGAGGATCATCGCTTAGAAAAGAAATCAAAAAAAAAAAAAAAAAGAAATTGAAAGAAAAGAAACAGCCAGATTCTATGATGTTGATCTGACAAGCTATTTACATGAGACCATGGTCAGGATCAACCTAGACCACCCCTTTGTCCATGGCCCTTTTCTCGAGATAGCCCATGTTAACTATGCGCTCCGTAAGATTGTAGTACCTTTCTAAGGAATCATCGTCTCCCGGTATGAAGTCCCAGTCGTCGTCTTCCACGAAAACCACGCCGGGGCCCGCAAGCGTCGCGCTGTCCTCCTCTGGCACCAACTCACATCATCATCCCCCTCCTCGTACCCCCCCAGCCCCAAGGAGACGCCCTCTACCTCCACTTCCTGCCTCGAGGTGCTCCAGGTGGTGGCCCGAAGGTCGCACTCCACGCCGGCATGATCACCGACCCATCTCTCAAGACGATGGGCTGGGGAGTGCTGGGCCCCTGGTCGCGAGGGGTACTGGGACCCCGAGGCATCTCCTCTTGCTCCTTGTCGTTGGGGACTGGAGTCCCCCAACTCAGCTTCCCTCGAAGCTCATCTCCAGGCGCCGGTTCCTCTGCTCTTCTCTTGCCCTTCTTCGGGGCAAGCTTCGCCGGCGTCTGAGACACCTCACCCTCCTCCAAAGGCCGACGCTTTCGGTCTGCCACGTCCTGCGTGTGGACAGGGACGCTGCCAGTCGCCAAGGAAGCAGGCATGACTGGCTGGCAGGGGACAGTCGGGTCAACTTGACCTTGCTCACTGCCCAGGCGGTCGAAAAGATCGTCCTTGATTTCAAGCCATTGCTCGGAGGCGTGAGTGTGGATTGCCAGGACCCCGGCGCTGAGGGGATCCGTGGCGAAGGAAGCAAGGAGGGCGTCCAGATAGGCGCCGAAAGTTGCTATTCAGTTCGAAGAAAGCGATAGTGAGTCTGAGGTCCACCAGGGTAAAAGTATCTGGGCATGATGCTTAAAGACTTACCAGGAGCTGCATCAAGACGAAGCTTGTGCAGGGCGAGGAAGAGGGTGTCCTGCGTGAGGACCAGGTGCAGATACCACGGCGTAGTGGTAAGCGGGTCCACCACGAAGACCAGGTCCGCCATCAGCTCACCGAGCTGCCACATCACCGCCACGATCGACTTGGAGTCGGGGGAGGACTGCCCCAACAGCCGGCTGATCAGATCAGCCTGACCCGAGACGGAAAGGTTGTCATCCGGGTATTCAGAGACCAGCTGCTGAATGTCGGCCCGGGAGAAGAGAGAGAAGTTGGCGCTGGCCATTTTCGTCGACAGGGGTCGGAAAGAACGTGGGTCAAAGGTTGAGTGGTGGTAAGGTGGTGGTGGTGGTAAGCTAGGCGTGGAACGGACGGGGTGAGGAGAGAAAGGAGAAGCTGGGAGGCGAGTTGGTGATCTTTATACTCCAAGGGTCTCTCTCTCTCCACAGATCTCCAGGCTCCAACGGTGCGCGTGTATCATGTGCTACTTCAATAGGCAGAGGTGCAAACGCAAACAATTTCCGGAACGGGCAAACTGGAAGCATATGGGTGATCATACAACAGGCAGACCAGACATCCAGTGTAAGACAGAAGCAAACAATGTAGGGGCACAGTGATCGCCTCCCCAGCTCCGTAGTAATAAATCAATATCTAGAGTGCGTCTTTATAGGCCTCCAATCTGACTTGGGGAAGCTTCGCATCGAAGAATGAAGTAAATGTCAAGTGAGAGCTCTCTGTGTGAGAACTGATCTATCAAGTGCAACCTTTCTGTATGGGAAGTGATCTATGGGTGAGGCTTTCAGTGCTCACCAACCTGCGAAAATTCAGCATAACACTGCCAAGACTGACCCGTGGAGTCTCATCAACGACTGCAATACTAATAGAAAGCTTGTTTAGAATAAGGCTCAATTTGGTAATCTACAACTGCATTGATTGAACGGCAGCCTGGCTCGATTACTATCCCGTGATGGGCGAGAGCGCTGCCTGTGTTCTGGATAATGTTTGTTTGTTTCTCCCTAGGCTGCGACTTCTGGTGTTTTCTATGATATCCAAGATGAATAGTTGACTCGTAGGCCTATATCGATATGAATGTTTGCTAGTGGGTTGACTGACAACTATATAAGCCCCCAATCTCTCTCTCCTCTCTCATCTCTTCCTCCTTTTCTCCTAGGGCTCGCCTTCCTCCACCTTCTCTCTCCACCGTTGTTGGTTCCTCGCTCCTCGCTCCTCCGTCCTCCGTCTTCTGTTCCTCGTGGCACGTCCTGCCAAAGATGGCTTCCTCTCGCTTGCCCTCCTTCTCTTCTGGCGATATCGTGCAGCTAGTCTGCCGATATGCCCCCGCCTCCACCGACCTGCACCATCGCGGTGAGGTGAAAGGCCTTCTCGAGCGCGTCGTCGGACAGGACGACTTTGCTGCAGTTGTCACGAAGTGGCAGCTCAGCTACCTGGCAGCCACTGTCACCTGCTCCGTCAGAGCAGGGGGCTGCCAGTCTTGGACCATGAAGATGGTCATGAATCCAGCTTGCCTCTGGATTGGCCTCTACTCGGCTCCTTCTGTCCCCCAGGACAGTCAACGTAAGTATAAGCCTCCGCGTTGTGATGGGATTAGTCTGTTGTGATCTTAGACTGACGTCTTGGTTTTCACAATCAACAGGCTCTTCAGAGGTTTCCTCTGAGAGCTTCACCGGATGCTCCTCCATGTCAGGCCTGCTCGAAGGGATAACAGCCTTGCGTCCACTCGACTTTCACAACGAGTGGAGCCCCCTCATCCGGGGTTTGTCGGCTTTCCTGGAGAACGCGACTCAGGCCGACACTGAGGACGTCATGCACGTCGATCCTGTTGGCTCCGTCGACAGCTCAGAGGACGACGCCATGACAATCGATGAAGACGACATTTCCAACGTCGACATCGACATTCGGGACTTTCCCACGCCTCCTCCCTCCGACGCGGACATCGACCTCTGGGACGCGCCTTCCCCTCCTTCTCTGGACGTCGACATCGACATCCCTGACTCGCCCTCGCCTCCAGTCACGGATGTCGACATCGACTTTCCCGACTCGCCCGCCCCCGCCACCACCGACGACGACATGGTGAATATCCGTCTGTCACAGACGGTCTCCAGTCGGTGGTTCCCAGACCGACGCTGCGACTCCCTCAACTTCTCGGGGGCTCCACTCCAGGTTGGCAACCTGGACGTCACGGATCGCGCGCGCTGGGTCCGCAAGAAGCAGAGCAAGTCAATCTTGCTGGCTGCTGAGCGGCGGCGGTGGATTCGGGCTGGGGACAAGCGACGGGCCTGGATGGCTAGGAATTTCGTCGCGTTGGTTCGAGGCAAGCCCGTTTGAGGAGGCTTGGGATTGTTGGAGAGCTTGGCTGTCTGGGGGACTTGGTCTCTTGTTTTTGTTGTTTGGTCTTTTGTCTTTTTCATCTCTTGTTTCTTGTTTCTTGTTTCTTTTTGTTTCTTGTTGTTTCTGGATCTGGGTCTTGGTCTTTGCTTTTTCGTTTCATTTTGATACCCTTGTTTTGTGTTGTTGTTTTTCCAGATTGATCCTCTTGTGCTGCGTTCTGCGTGGTTTCCAAATTGATACCCTTGTTCGGTGTTCTTGTTTGTACCAATTCGATCATTCGTCCTTGCCGTTTTTCGTTTTTGTTTCATGTCGTCAAGATACCCCTGTTTCCAGTTTAGTTTCTGCCAGATCCAGATTGTTTTTTTAGTTGCTGCTTGAATTCATCTCTCTTCTTTTTCGTCTTCGCTCTACTTTTGATTTGATTGTCACGTCCCATTCATTGGTAAGTATTCGTAGGTGATCTACGAGAAGGAAAAGAGAAAAGGAGAAAACACAGTTTGATTGGTGTAAAGAAGATGGGAGGAAGAGTGAGGCTATCTAATATGGGTTGTGGGTCCCTCGGTGGTGAGGCGGCAGAATCATCCAAACAGTAAGTTGGGCTCGAAGCCATGTAGTCTATTGCTTTACGCTGTAACATTATCAAGTCTATCATCATGTTCATCATCATGCAAGACAACACCGGCTCCTACCAGAGGAGCAAAGAGAAGCCAAATTCGCTCGAATTTCTAACCATCAGTCAAAGTAATCCTGCGATCTACCCCTCGTTTGATAGGCCTCATCTTCGCGCTCGCTGGGCAGGACCACAGCACGATCCAATTTGTATGGAAGACCACGATGGCGGCCACGGATCATCATGAAGCAGATGACTAACTTGCTGAAGACGGAAAAGGTGCCCGAGAGTGATGTGTTGACCGTGGGGTAACCTAGACTCAGTCCGACGTTTGCACTAGGGGAAGACGTTAGGATGATGGGAACAATGGTGAATTCACGCAAGTAGGTGAGTACTTACTATGCAGATGTGACCTCGAACAGAATCGAGAAGATGGAATACGCCTTGAAGTTTGGAAATCAGCATGCTGGGTCATTGCGAAACGTTGAACCTGGAGACACTCACTGGAATAGAATTGTCGGCAATCCGACCTGACTCTGCAATAGAAATGCAGAACACGCCAAGGAAGATGTACCACAGATCGAAACTGAGCTGGTTCTGGATGTGTTTCATGATGTAGGACTTGCCGTTGCTTTCATCCGGATCCGAGGAACTCTCGTAGATACCGAGAGAATTTTCCTCGTACACGTTTGACGCACGAATGCTGATAGCAATCGGGAAAATCGCAATGTACATCATGACGAGTAAGCTGAACTGAACGGCGGGATTGACGTCGGCTAGGTTGAAGGTTGCGCCTCCTGTGTGGCGAGCGTTTGCGGCTTGGAAAATAGCAGCAAGTACACGGGGGCCCGGCGCAAGATCGCTGACGGCCGGATTGTGCAAGTCCAAGACAATGATGAGGATTACGTCGATGGAGTTCATCGCCAGCAAAATTCCAAACAGGATCCAGGTTGGTCGACTTGGGAACAGGAGCGTGTAGCATCGACGTGGATGATCAAGGAGGAAGCTCAAAGGCTCTTTCATCGATGACTTCTCCGGACAAAGCTTGAACGTGATCCAGATGATCAGTCGGAGGAGGCAGGGATAACAGGTATTTCCAGCAAAGGCCAGGAAACTCATCAAGATCATGGGGAAGGTCGCGTCGCGGAATGTCACCATGGAATCCGGGGTCAACGTGAAGCCCAGATTGTCCACCATGCTTTGGGCAGAGTAGAAAGCCCTGAAGTTTCCTCTAAATTAGTTCCCTGAGTTTCGTCTATTCCAAACGAAGGAGTACATACCACCAAACATTACCTTGACCGCACTGGGCAAGGTACTCGCGGTATTTGGGATCACAGTGCAAGATCCAACCGACGAGGCAAATGGCGCCGAACAAATGCAGACCGAAAAAGTAACCAGTCACGATTCTCAGAAGAAGCTTCAAACTGCGATACTCGATACCACCCAGTCTCGCCTTGTCCTCTGCTGTCAGATTGTAGAACTGAGAGTTGCGGCCAATCGTAGCTTGCGAAGAAATATTTGGCAGATCAAGTGGCTTCTTCTCACTGGGTGCTGGTCGACTACTCCCTTGGGTGGGCGCGTTGCCCAGCACAAAGATCGAAGAGACAGCGCGCTCAACAGTGCGGCTGCGAGAGCGCGAAGCTATACTCCTGGTAGACTTTTGGCGCTCGAGGCCTCTCTGGTTTCCATCTTTCTCTGCTCGAATCAGTCAAGAACTCAGTTGTGCGATCTCGCGACCATGGAATGCCTGACTTACCATCCTCGTCCTCGGAGCCGTATCTCTCATCGACTTCCGAAAAGGAGAAGCCTATCTCAAGACTATGAGTTAATGTGCCACGGTATAAGTTGTGGGATCCGCAGTGGACCCACCTCGGTCACGTCGCCAGGGAGGCGGGATGTACAACGCTTTGTCCTTGTTTGCTGCTGAAGGGTGGCTATTTTCGGCGAATTGAATGGCAGAAGGTCTTGCTGGAGTGACTTCAGGCACCTCAACATTGGACTCGATAGCATCCGCACTTGCAATGGAAGAGCTTGTTTCTAGCGCATCAGACGCAACGCTCTTTGCTTCACCGAGAGCTCGTGTCGTATCGACTTTTGGCGCTTCAGCGTTATCCTCCGCCGGAGGTTCGGGTCGCATGTATTTGGGTGCTATGTAGCCCAGAAGGGTCCGAGTCAGCCTTAGCCCTGGGACTCAAACAGATTATGATTGTGAATCTCGGCACGACACATACCAACTTTTTTCAAGTGTTTCTCAAACCACCTGAGGCGGAATACAACGACGAGGATGTTGATGAAGCCGATGTTTGTGAAAATGGGAATCAGGTAGATATACACCTGTTGGTAGGTCTTTAACTCCTTGACATCGACCCTGTTGTGGGCGCATACATGCAGTCGTCAGCCCTATGATTTAGCCACACCACAGCAACTTTGATCCAGCATGAACGAGAGCTTACGTGTTGAGGCCCGATTCAGTCGAGGCGCTTGCGCCAAAGAAGTAGGCATCAACGGCTGCGAGGTTCCCATATGGATAGATGATCGCCAGGCTCAGCAAGCCCATGAAGATGATCCATGTGTCTGCAAATCACGAGTCATTAGATGGTGTTAGTCGATGCGTCAAGAGTTCCTTGCATGAGAAAAGAACTCCATGCGCGATGCACGTACAATGCAGGGTCAAGAAATTGACCGGGGGCTTCCACATGGTGGGCTTTTTGGTTGGAACTGGAGGATCTTTAAGGCCTTGGATCGCACGAAGAAAAAATTGTGTAGCCGGCGGCTGTGCGATTTAGAGCTATATAGCTCGTACCTGGCTCTTCGCACGTCAGCGAAAGTGGTGTACGCCGCCGTCAAGCGTCCTCGAGTGAATGCAACGCCACAGAAAACCCGATGTCTGCGGGATTTATCTGGCGAATCAAGAATTAAGCTCTTTTCTTAGTTTTAGCGTGATCCATTTGAGTGGGGCCAGCCGCATCAGGCCAAATCTCCTAGATCTTTTTTTTCTCTTTGGGAGGGGTTCGCGGGCGGTGGCTGTCGGGAAAATCGCGCTGCTTCACTTTATACTATCAGTATTTTGCGTGCGAGGGGTCAGTTGAGAGTCTCAAAGTGAGGTATGATAGATCTCTTCTGAGTTCAGTCTACTGCTAATATGGCTGCTGTTGTAATATTCTCGTAGGTGATTGAAGGGTCTTGTGGCTGTCTACCTATACTCGATGGATATTATACTATAGATGCAATGTGATATTCCTCCATGGATTAGACTCAAGTCATCAGCTCCACGTGCATGACATTCTGCCGGAAAATGTGGGCCTCGGGTTGCTCTCCTCGCATTGGGCTGAGCCTCGTTCCCGCCCAGATGGAATAGGCACGGTTTAGTGTTTAGTGTTTACTACATGCAGATATCACAACAAAAAATTCGACTGCGGCACAACGACTATCGGTGGGTTCATTCGATTTATTTTTATGAAGAAGAGAGCGGTGGGAGATCGAGGAGCGCGTAGTTGTTTTATATACCTCTTTCGAGGTCCCAGATGCTCATGTTACGCGCGCAAAACCCGAATACAGCACGTACCACTACCAAGTTCTATTGAGTAAGGGACTAAGGCAGCCGCATAGCGTAAGATCGGTAATAACGGCGGCCCACGTGATTTTCGTGAATTTTCATGTGGTCCCTTACGACTCTTTGGCCAGATTTGTTCGCTCTTAGATTGACCAGAATAAACAACAAATAATGTACTCAGCAATTTTAACACGGTTGCATGGATGCCCTCGTATATATCTCCGCGAATCCACAAACGAGAGGTTCCTGCTACATAATTGAGTCACCTCTGTGAGGTTTCCATACGGTCAACGCGGCAAATATCTGCGAGTTTGCGACTCAGGACGCGGACGATCAACAGAGGAACAGACTAGGCCCGGACTGGCAGGTTCATCCTCAAATGTCGTACGGCGGCCACAGGGAAAAAAAAAACAAAAAAACAATCCAGTTCCTCGAGATTCCCGGCAAGGCACCAGTCCTCGCACAGACCAATTTCCCGATGGAGAGATTGTTCTAAGCTTTACTGAAAGAAGGAACACCGCGGACAGAACCGAAGACGGTTCTGTCTTCTCCATGAGCGATTTTCCGTCCTGCTCGGTTCCATACAATGTGCTCGGGTTTTCACTTGGTGCCAGAATCTATCTGAATTTTCTACTAGGCGATTTTAGGTCAGATCTCGGTCAGCATGGCCATGGCTGTGTTTTTTGGCGTGCAGGACTGGGCTGCCAAGCGATGTACAGCTTCTTGATGGATTGGGCCCATTAGCAACAGTACATTCCTATTCAAAGATTCATCAGTCACACGATCGCAGTCAATTCATTGGTCTAGACCTTCAGCTTCGGTCCTTCTTTTTCCCGGCACATGCCTCCGCGTTGAATAAAGCACTCCGTCGCAGCTGAATTGGAATCCAATCCGGGCCTCTTGATGTCGCAGAATCTCTCTGGTCTTCTATCTACCTACGATTGAAAGTCATCTTGTCTATGAACGGAAATCTCGAAGCATTAAGAAAAATTCCTGGATAACCAAGCTCTTCCAAGCTCTTCATTTCTAGATAAACACCTGCAGGAATCAGGCGTTTCATGTCTTCGCTTGATGAAAAGGATGCTCGGCCAAATCACTTGCCGTCTCCCTCAAGTTCGGGTGCCATCCAAGCATTTCTGGGCAAGATCCAAAGAGGATGTCTTCTCTCCGAAAAAGACATGAAACCGCGTCGGATAAGTTGCGCTCAAGGATCAAGTCTTCGTAGAGGAGGCGGCCTATAACATGTTGACTTTGAGAGCAATGCAATATCGAATGCGAAGCTCAACACAGACCTCTCGCACCAAAAATCGGTCCACGCAAGTACTCCTCCGCCGTCTCGCATACCTACCCGGCCGGCTTCGCGACTGACAGGATGCGGGCCACGAGTATGGGCTCGCATGAGTTGATATCTTTGTAAGTTACTCGGGGGAGGTGAACCGAGTAATGGGATCATGTTGGCGATATGTCATTTAGCATCGTAGCGACCATCTTGATCATGGATGTGCTGGAACAGCTCCTTGCCTTCAGCCATATCCCACAGCTACCAAGTCATTAGTGGATGCAAGGATCCGACAGGAGCACACGACTCAAGGATTCCAAAGGTCCCCCAGACATTTGCTATCCATGACCCAGTATCACCTCAGGTTCCCTAGCCCGATAGTGGTCTGCCTGAAGAGGCCAAACGCCACAATGATCGTCTTCCTTGAATGAGTCTATCAGTGTTCGAAGGAGTGACTGCCCACGATTTGATGGGTCTGATGTAGCAATCATCCCCGTCTCTTCACCAATAAAGGTGCCGGGAGGTAAACGTGATCCGGAAGACGGGATGGAAATTAGTTTCTTGCGAGGCAGAGTTGAGAAACGACGAACGAAGGGCTCCTTTGCGTTGGTTACAGAATGCTGCTTTGTACACCGAGAAGACGGCGTGAGATGGCGTGTGTGTAGCAGCGGCGTCGACATCAGCTTCTACAACTCTTTCGCTTAAGTGGTCACATGCTATCTAGCCACAGATCAGCACGTGGACGCTTTTTGAATTCCAGAGCAAGGTGGCATCCGCAACAAGATCATCCTGAGATCTGCATCCAATGGCAATGATGAGATTACTTTGGGAACCTTGAGACATCACTGATGCATCCACACGTCAATGGGGATCCTGCCAGCCGTTCTCTCCGCAATACCCGTCGGGATCAACAGTGCGGCTATAAAACCTGAGGCAGTCAAGTGCTTAGTCATGTAGCGGTTATCGGAGCTGCCTCAGGTTGCCATCGGCCCTTCAAACTGATGTGGAGCGTATCATTGGGGGCTGGTCCCGTTGGGTTTCCCCCCAGAAAGATGGAGAACGGCCCGAGGTTGAGCGGCCCCGGCTTGATGATTCAATGCGGGCAATAATCAACATTACCTGTCCATTGCCGCTCTTAAGCCTTCACCTTCCTCTCTCTCTTTTCCTCTTCTTCCCCATCCCTGATACGACTGATCGTCGATATACACAGGCAGCCAGCAAGATGTTCCGGTCTGTTGCGCGACGACTTCCGCGTCAACTTCCCACCACAACCGCCCCCCGACATCTCGTCCTGCGCTCGTTCACGTGCGGTTATCCTCGGATGTCATCATTGCCCGCTGTCCAGCCACCAGTGTCAACGGCACTGCCCTCAGACGCATACCAATTGCTGTCGACAACGGAAAAAGCTGGTGCTTCAGAAGATGCTCTGTACGAGCAGCAGATTCGGGATGTGGAAGCGTGGTGGAACTCTCCTCGATACGAAGGGATCAAGCGGCCCTACTCTGCGGCCGACGTGGTGAGCAAGCGTGGCTCGCTACAGCAGACCTACCCTAGCTCGCTCATGGCGAGGAAGTTGTTCAATCTCCTGAATGAGCGCGCTGCTGCGGGGGAGCCGGTGCACACGAGTAAGTATTCCCCAATTCTACATTCTCCGCGCGATGACTTGGGTACACGCTAACGCGGACTTCGACTCCAGTGGGTGCCATTGATCCCGTCCAGATGACCCAGCAGGCTCCCAACCAAGAGATTCTCTATATCTCGGGATGGGCGTGCTCCTCTCTGTTAACAACGACCAATGAAGTTTCGCCGGACTTTGGTGACTATCCGTACAACACCGTGCCGAACCAGGTGCAGCGCTTGTTCAAGGCGCAACAGATGCACGATCGGAAGCAGTGGGATGCTCGGCGCAAGTTGACAGCCGAGGAACGGCAGAAAACCCCCTATGTGGACTACTTGCGCCCAATTGTCGCAGATGGAGACACTGGGTAAGCAGAGATGGCACGCTCCCCAACAACAATGCGAAAGTAGTCTAATGAAATTTTCGATAGGCATGGTGGTCTGTCAGCAGTTCTGAAGCTCGCGAAGCTTTTCGCGGAGAACGGTGCCGCGGCAGTTCACTTTGAGGATCAACTTCACGGTGGCAAGAAGTGTGGTCACCTGGCAGGCAAGGTCCTCGTACCTATGGGGGAGCACATTAACCGTTTGGTTGCAGCACGTTTCCAGTGGGACTTGATGGGGTGTGAGAATTTGGTCATTGCTCGCACTGACTCGGAAAGTGGCAAGCTGATCAGCAGTGCCATTGATGTTCGCGACCATGAATTCATTCTTGGTGTCACGGAAGAGGTCGAGCCTCTGGCCGAGACACTGCAGGCAATGGAGCGCGACGGTGCCTCGCCTGCCGAGATCGACGCCTTTGAGCTCAACTGGGTCAAGCAGCACAAGCTTGTGACATTTGACGAAGGTAATTGTCCCACCATCATGTGTCTCTCGGCTCCACTGACCCTTCCTAGCTGTCGATACCCACCTGGCTGCTGAAGGTGCTTCGCAAGCCAGCCGTGATGCCTACAAGTCCGAAGTTGAAAAGAATCCCGATCTATCCATCTCTCGTCGCCGTGTGCTCGCCAACCAGTACACCAAATCGCCGGTTGTCTGGTCATGTGACAGTCCTCGCACTCGCGAGGGCTACTACCACTACCGCGCTGGCTTCCCAGCCGCAACCAAGCGTGCGAAGGAGTTTGCACCCTATGCTGATCTGCTTTGGGTGGAGACTGGCGATCCCAACGTGCAGAAGGCCGGTGATCTGGCCGCCAAGGTTCGCGCAGCCCACCCGGGCAAGAAGCTGGTGTACAACCTCAGCCCGTCCTTCAACTGGATGGGCCAGGGCTTCGATGAGGCCTCGCTCAAGTCTTTCATTTGGGACCTTGCGAAGCATGGGTACGTCGAATTCAGTTGTCATTACACTCACCTACGAAGCACATTATTGACATTAAGGAACCCCTCAGATTCGTCTTGCAACTCATCTCTTTGGCCGGTCTTCACACCAATGCGACCATCACGACGGAACTTTCTCGCGCATTCAAGGACGAGGGAATGCTGGCGTATGTTCGCCTGGTGCAGTCGCGCGAGAAGGAAATGGGCGTCGAAGTGCTCACTCATCAAAAATGGAGCGGTGCTCCCTACATCGACGGCATTCTGGGGGCCATCCAGAGTGGAAGCAGCAGCAGCAAGAGCATGGGCGAGGGCAACACAGAAAAAGGTCGGTAGTCTCGTTTTTCGCGGATGTCAAATGATTTTTGAACTAACCTCCTACTATCTAGGATTCTGAGAGATGATATCGCTGGGGGTCTCCAGCGAGTTGGGCTCTGATGTACATAGACAAGCATGCACGACAGTTAGTGTACCAATGTATATTTTGCAAGCGCTCTCATGTACACGGCGATCCAAATCCTCGCCCACCGCTCCCACAAGACCGTTGTTCTGGGAGGTTTCGCTCTCGGCAATGACATCTTCCTAACAAATAACTTTGTTTTCGAGCTGTGTCCTGACGGGCTGCGACTCTACAGCAGTTCGCATGTCCCGTGCACGTGATGTGAGCAATCATGGGACGAAGTACTACTACTTTACACTAGTGTGCAGTGTACAGAATCTCGGATGTGTCGGATGAAGCTGTCATCTAACTTTATCTTCAGGCTACTGTCACCTGCCATCAACCTACCAGCGTAGGCACAATCTTTGGTACGATCCATATGTGAGAATGATAAATACTCCAGGTGGCTGACACTCAAAGAGTCGACAGCCCGGTCTAGTCTTCGGTGGCACAGCGTACTGGACTTTGTGTTGAATGGGTCGCCTTTAGGTTTGTTACTAATCCGAGCTCAGATAGTTACCCATTGACTAGATGTTCAGAAAGCTTTGACTACGCCATTATCGAACCGTCAAGACCGATCTGTTTTCGATATTCCCAAACCCGACCGAGTGCTTAGGTACCTTATTTTGGGACCGGCTCATTTGAGTTTCTCCACACCAGCAGAGCAGCGGACTACACCCCATCCACCCTGCGTCCACTCACTTGGTATTTCGAGGTGCCAAGAACATGCAAGGTTCATATGGGGCTCATGCTGTAAATCTCGCATCGCCAGTGAGGACGGAGAAATGCTCCCTGAACGCCCTTCATGTCGACCACTTTCTGGGCCTGGATGTCGGTTGGTCCTCTGTTGCCATTGAGATCATACGAAGTCGTGGCGAGGGTCTGGCGGCGCCACCTGGCAATACTTTTGGGTTCTTATCAAAGATGGCGCCTGCCCTCAGACCGAGGATTTGAGATGCTCGATCATGAGAATGAACATTCACTGTTATTACTCTCATGCTCAGCTGAAAGCTGCTTATGATCTCACTGTGGACTTGCGCCTTCTGAGAACTTCCGCCGGCATTGCAAATCGATCAGCTGCATTCAATTACCATTTCAGGAAACGGACACTTCGGGGATTTCTCAACGCCCATTCTTTTTTGAAAGAACTCTGTTCAGGCGCTGTGACAATGCGTCACATCGGCACGTTTCGTCAACGATTCACCTAGGCAGTTGTTTCCTCCGCAAGCTGTCATGACTACGGGGACCGCGCAAGATCAAGGTCCCAAAATCTTGGTGGTGTGCTGGATCCTGGTCATCGTGCCTGGCCTCATCGTCGGCTTACGATTCTATTGCAAGGTGATGCTCAGCCGAGGATTCGGCTGGGATGATGCGACGATCTTAGTAGCATGGGTAAGTTTGACGAGTCTGACCAGCTGGATCAATGAATTTTCACGCAGAGTTCATTGCGTTTCCATCTTACCTTGGGCTTACTTTTCTAATATGTTTTCTATCTAGACTCTCCAGCTTATCTACACGGCGATGATCACCCAGTCAGTCAAATTAGGTGTGGTCGGGAAACATGTTAACTCAATACCAGCTCGCGAAGCCATCCCAGAAGCTCTGAAACTGGTATACATCTCATTTGTGATCATCATCATCGGCTGCGTTCTAAGTAAAACCTCGTTCGCTCTCACACTTCTACGAATCATAACGAAGACCTGGATGAAAGTCTTACTATGGTATATCATTATCTCAATGAACGCGATCATGTGGCTCTGCGCCATTTGCTATCTGATTCAGTGCTCACCGACTGCCGCACTGTGGGATATCAGATTGATGAAGACTGCGAATTGTTGGCCGACTATTGTTTTTGAAGCCATCGCGCTTGCGGCAGGAGGTGAGTCTCTAGTTGCTATTTAATTCAACTCACAGCTTAATATAGTTTTCCTTGTTCTTGCATCAACTCAAAGTCGGCTAATGTTCAATTTTACTCTCAGCTTATTCTGGTCTCATGGACGTGGTTCTCGCTCTTCTTCCCTGGCCCGTGATCTGGAAATTGCAGATGCGACGCCGCGAAAAGTTCGGCATTGCGCTGGCAATGAGCATGGGGATATTGTAAGATCTCTGCGTCGACAAAACTCATCAATTAACGCGGAGACTAACTCCAAACGAAGTGCATCCATAACAGCATTCATCAAGACTTCCCAACTCGTCAACGTGGCTCATCTTCATGATTTTACCTGTACGCCAAAGACACACTTCCCACCCCATACCCAGTTCCCAACAGTATCTCTCCTCTCCGACGGACCCAGTAACGAATCATCACAAGACTAACAAAAGACGGAGAACACCTAGGGTTCTGCTCCAGCATCGTCATCTGGAGCTCTGCCGAAACCGGCTGCACCATCTTCGCCGCCTCCATCCCCGCGCTGCGCGTCATTTTCGTCCGAATGCGATCCATACATGAACGGTCCGGCGACGGCACCAATGCAGACGCGAATCGTCGCTCACCAGGGAAGATACAGAAGTTCCGACGCCCTCGTGAGTGTACACCCGCACAGCTGGAGTCTAGTTTTGATTCATATGCCACGAGATGTCCGGGGCAGATGACTACTTGTTCTTCTGCGTGGGGGACGACGCGGAGGGATAGTCATGGGAGTGGAGGCGGAATTGGCGATGATCTGGGAGAGGTTGACTTGGGGCAGGATGGTCGTGGGATAAGAGAGACAAAGGAGATTTGTATTACGTATGAGAGGAATTTGGGGCAGAGCGATCGAGTGGACAGGGCTGAGTGGGAGGCTGGAACTGTTTGATAGTCCATTAAGTGGAAGACTAAAGGCGTGCAGTGATGGGAAGGAAGAGTGGATGATATATGGGGCGTTTTGGTTGGAAATTTTTTTTTTTTGGTTTACGACATATACCCCCTGATGAGATGCTTGCTAATCATTGTGCCATTGCTTCGCTATATTCTCAAATGCAACCAAGTCAAGCTATGGTTGAATGTGAAACCGGTACCTTGATGCGAGAAAACGTATCTGAATTTTGAGTCAAGATCGTATGTCTAGGAGTCCTCGGCGAAGAAAATTTAAATACAAATCTTAATAGTAGACACGAGAGAAAAGAGGGAAAAGTAAGAGCGGTTCAAGTTGTTGACATTGCTCAGACTTTAGAGAACAACCATCAACGAACCTGCCAGGGCAGCCACAATCACCGAGGATAACGCAAACCAGCCGCTCACAAAGACAGCCGAAGGACTGGCCATGTGGGAAGCAGCGCCCGAGGTGGTGGACGAGGCAGCAGAACCACTAGAGCCTCCAGAAGAGACAGTCCCGGTTCCTGCAGCACCACCGGCCTGGCTGACGGCGGCCTTGCAGCTTCCAGAGGCAGACTGCGCAGACTGGACCTTGGCCGCACCTTTAAAGTCACAGGCCGTCTTGTCCTTGTTTTGACTCTCGTAGTAGGCATTGAAAGCGACAGAGAGCTGAACCTTGCTGCTACACATGCCGTACGCACCGTAATGGCCGGTGGTGGCGTTGTGTGCGATACCGTTGCAGATGTTGCTGCCGTAGCCACAGACCTGACCGAACAGCTCGCCGTACTTCTTCGAGTTAACCGAGTCACTGACGACACAGCCCAGAGTCTTTTCCACGCAGTCGCAAAGAGACTTGTCAGGGGTCGGGGGAGGGGGCTCGATTTGGCCAAAAAGCTCCCATCGACCGTGGGGCACGCACGGGGAGAGTTGGTGGGCGAATAGCTCGCGCTGTTCACTCCGGTAGCAGTAGCCTTTTGGATCTCGCTCGAGTAGTAGGTGAAATCTGTCAGAGCTGAGACTGAGCTGCCCTTCACGGAAACGAGACCGTAGTCGTTGTCAGTCTGGAAGTACATGTACACGATACCACCACTCCAGACATCATTCATCTGCGGGCCGAAAAGGGCGGGCACATCAGTGAACTTGCGGGGCTGAACCGTGTTGCATCCGTACTCGGAGAAAAAGACAGGGATGGAGTAGTTGCTGTACTCTTGAGTGCGGGCCTCGTATCCAGAGGACTGGAAGGTCTGGTCGCCACACCATTCGTAGATGTTGTAGCCAAAGAAGTCGATCGCAGTGGACTGGTCTCCGCAGTTGAGATAATCCGACAGCAAAGTCCGGATGCTGCTCTGGTCGGTGGTAGCATAACCCACGGAGAGACTGGTACGATATCCCTTGCTCTTGATGTAGGACTTAACATCTCGGGCGGCAGCCCTGACGAAAGCCGCAGCATCGGTCTGGTTCGGTTGGTTGACAACCTCATTGCCCGCAAAGAAACCGATCACATTGTCATACTTGTGGAATGCGTCGACCACCGCGGTATACCGGTCATACTGATCCACCGTCCACGTGGGAGAGTCGGACTGGATCGAGATGTCGGGCGAGGCGAGGTCGGTGATGACATAGATGCCAGCGTCGGCCAATTGTTGCATACAGTTGTCGTGATTCTTCGTCGGGTCGACCGTGTAGGTTCGAATCACATTGGTACGGAGTTTGACGAGGTAAGGGATATCGCGCGAGCAGGCGCTGCCATCCGCAAGAGGGTCCGTGTAGCCCGTGTTGGAGGAGAGGCCAGTTCCGTTGGATCCTCCACCGGCATAGTTCTCTGAAGACATTACCATGAGCCATGCATACAACAAAGCGCGAGAGTGCCGAGAAGAGAGATTGAAGTACCTTGATACGCCACACCCCGCAGATAACTAGAGATCCAAGGTCAGCTTTCTCCATCTATTGTTCATAGCGTGCTTGTGACAGAGGAGAATCCTTACAATTCAGTTCCATTGTTGGCGTAGAAAAACTTCGAGCCCTGTGTGATACGGTTGACTTAGCGATCCGACCGGGAGTCACTGAACGGCCACTTCCCCAAGAGGGCCATACCTTGATGACGATGTTGGGAACACTCGCCAGCGCCGCGGGGGCGAACAGCGACGCTGCTGCGAACGCAGTCAACTTCATGATTGATCAAACGAGTGTACTATTGCAAAGAAAAAGGCAAAGACGATGGACCGTCAATGAGTCAGTAGCGAGCGACCGTGTGGGGAAAGAACAAAAGCAAAGTCAAGGTGAGGAGAAGCCCGGGGGAGGTCTACTCGTCTTATTATTTTTCAAGCCGCGCAGAGGGCGAACCGCTCTTTCAGCACTAACAAGTCAGAGGATGTACTTTCACTCCTCCACCTCCTCCTTCTCCTCCTCCTCCAGTACTCACAGTCTCACTCTCCCACCATCCATCGACTAATCATAAACCCTCTCCATCGGTGCCTGGACTTGCCGTCCAATCCGTGTCCTACCCAGGGCACATTGGTGTCTGGCTCAGGTCCAACAAATCGAGCTTCGCCTCCCCCAGAAGTGCTCGTCCCCTTCAGAACGCGCGTCCGCGATTGGAAGGCTGGAGGCAACCGGAAGCGACGGCTCGAGCGTTCAAAGACAAAGACAACCCTGGACGCCCATACAAATCACAGTAATGACCGGACCATATCCAGTCCCAGGACAAAATTAGCAAGTTCTCCCAAGTGGATGCAGTCCCCAGGCTCCATCGACGCCTTGAATGCGAATGACAAGCCTCGAGCAAGAGCCATGTGGGGCAGCGCTTACGAACTGAACCCCATCCAGTTGCAGTGGCTGCACCGGTCGCTCGACCAAAATCAAGATAGTAAGCCAGTCGGGGTGGTGGAGAGGGCAGCCTTCGCGCATTATGATCTCAAAGATCATGGCTCATCTGAGACGGATGATTCGGGCGTCCTTGCAGACATCTTCGCTGACCGTCAAGCCCAGCTACGACGCCCTGAATCCCCTGATCAAGTCATTCTAAGAAGAAAGCTGGTCCGGGATCGATCTCTGCCAGTCCAATTTCCAACTCGGTTGTGGATCAGGAGTGGGCCGGTCAAGATCCGTGGCGATAGTCACCAGGCAGTCTGAGTGGCTCTCGGCCGGTGCTCCGTGAATGCTTGTTTTGCACCTGAGACGCCTTGGTCTCGGTGATCGTTGCGCCTTCGGGGTTAGAAGTGTGCAATCGATGGGGCAAGGCCAAAGGCGTGTACAGTTGTACCCTCCTTGACTACTACTACTACTACTACTAAGTTAGTAGTTAGTAGTTACACAGTTGACAACTTAACAGTACACATTGCACAGTACACTACTTCATTCTATTCTTTGGAGGTCGCTTCCGCTGATGAGGAATGTGGTAGCCAGAAGTGAAAGAGGCGCATCGTCGAGCAACATCGAGAACACTCCAATTGATCAGACCATCTCCCGAGCTCATCCCCATGAACTCGATCGTCTCGCGTCGACTTCGGCCCGTGTGACAATTTCAGGGAGTCGCGAGCGATGGGAGATCAGGACAAGCTTCCTGCCCTTTTTTCCGCGCAGGAAAGACGCTAAATTCCGTTAAGCTATCCAACCTTGAGTCTAAAGGCTTGTTACTCGGCTGCCTAGCGTCAGGGGTGCAGAGCTTCAGGGGTCAATCAGTCTCATGTGGATCGTCTAGGGCGAATATAGCACATCCGTGCGCCCGGGAATGTGGTGATTCTGCGCGTCATGGAAGGAGGACCTTTGTTACACAATTCTCGGTCTACTCGGTGCTTCATAGTCATACTAGTCGAGTGGAGATTGGGAGATTGTCTGGCTCATGGTCTGTTCATCAGAAATCTGTGGGTCCCATAGGCCATGCTGCGGGTTTTTTGAATGCATGGCACGCGGTTGGCGTATCCCTGAAACGCCAAAATGATGATCACTTAGACAAGGAGGGAAAGCCTGGATAGCCGGCACGGCAACCCAAGCTATCGAATGGCAACCTCACGGGTTCCCGTTTTGATATTTGCTCAGGGTTACAGACTAGAGATCCGAAAACATGTCGGGCACTTGCAGGGCGTTTATACTGTACAAGCTCGTACTCGGGGTGGCAACTCAGTGACAGGTGCAGTCCAAGCCAGTGTGATGTGTATAAGACATTTGGAAACTCGGTGGTCTGGAGGCAGTCTTGAGAGCAACTTGAAAAGCCAGAGACGATCGTAATCGATAGGGGTTAAATTTGAAATTGATTCTATAAAGTAAAAAAACCGCCGGAACGCCGATCACCCAGTCTTTTACCATATTCTAGTGGTGACGTATGCTGAATAGAATTGCCAAGGTATCTCTAGATTGCTCAAACCACATGGTGGGACTCGACTGGGCTACGGTCATCCTTGGTATAGATAGTGTGCACGGTCAAAGTGGACATGAGTCTTGGATCCTGCAAAGACGGGCTCGGCGGGTTCGAATGGAGACGTTGCAACTCCAATTGGTGTTCAGACTCGAGAGCCTGGTCCATACTGGCTTGAGGGATGAACCAAGTTATAATCAGACCGAGCCCAGCAAGACAAGTCAATGCGATAAAGACGCCTCGAATGCCTTGGACATAAGATTCCATAATGACACTGGCCCGGGAGGGTGCCCCGCGAAGAGCAGCGTCAGAGAGGCCGATATGAGAGGCAATCTTTTGAGCCTCTTGCGCGGGGAAGCCATGGTTCTGCAAGTAAGCGGCCGTGACATTGGACAGAGTCGTTGATCCTAGCACAACACCAACGGCGTACCCGATGGTTCGGAAAAAGGTGTAAAGAGTGGCTGCATACGCGACATTCTTGGCCGGGACCACGGCTTGCGCAGCGAAGAGAATGCTATTGAAGAGAATTCCGTGGCCTAGTCCAAGCAGGACCAGGGCTCCAATCCAAAACCCTCGATGGGTATCTTGCTTCAGGAGACATAGGAGTCCGGTGGCGACTGAGGCCACGATCCATCCTTTCCACTGAGCCCATTTGTACTTTCCGAACTTGGTGATGAGTAGAGCAGTGACCAGACCACATGGCACCATGGTAGCGGAGAGTGCCATGATCTGGGTGCCGGTCTGCGTGGGAGACAGTCTTTGAACAATCTCGAGGAAGAAAGTCATGTAGTAGAGGATACCAAACATCTGGAATCAGGGGAGATTTAGCACTGGTCTTAGTCGCTCAGCTGAACGACCAAAGTTGTGGAGAGACTCACTGATATTCCTTGAATCAAAGATGTAAGGTATACGGCGATCGAAGCTGGATTTTTAAGAATGGATAATGGAAGGAACGGCGATCGTGTTCCATAGACTTCCCAGATGAAGGTGAGGATGATACCAACGGCACCCAAGATCAAGGGGAGTAGTGTCCGGAAGCTCGTCCACTTGTACAGGGTGCCTCCCCACGAGAGACCCATTAGCAAGGCCACCATACTAGACGTGAACAAGAACGATCCGATCCAGTCAATTGACCGATGACTGTCTCGGGTGACTTTCATCTTGCGCAATGCGAAATAGAGCGACACGAAGGCGATTGCACAGAAAGGAAAGTTCACGTAGAACACCCAGCGCCAACCTCCGCGGTCAGCAGCATGTTGAGTGAACAAACCTCCCATCACAGGGCCGATTATGATGCCAATAGCCGAGAACAGCTGAACACAGGCAGTGTACTTGGGTCTTTCTCGCAATTCGAATAGATCCGTCATCACTATCATCGGAAGAGGAATCATTCCACCACCACCGATGCCTTGAATCGTCCGTCCGAGCAGAATGGTTGCCATGTTTTGCGCGAGGGCTCCGACAAAGGAGCCGATGGTGAAAAGTGTGATCGCAGCGAGCAGGATCGATCGACGGCCGAAGACATCAGATATTGCACACAAGACTGGCTGCAAAGCAGCACTTGGCAACAGATAGGCTGTTCCAACCCAGAATGTGTCCGTCGCATTGCCGTGTAGGTCTTTGGCTATTGTCTTGGGTCCCGTTAGCTCGACTCTGGAGTGTCGTTCTCGTGCTTGAACAAGGACCTACTGGCAACACTGGAGGAAACACCGTGGAATCGAAAGCGCCCAGGAAACTGATGACTGACAATGAGACGATGACAATCAGTCTGTCTCGGCCAAGTGGAGCGTTGATTGGATTCTCGCTCATGATGCAATGTAACACTTCCAGAGGCGCTTGAAGTGTCGAACGAAACTGAATCGAAAGTCCTATCTTACAGGAAAAGCTGTCGAGGACATTGTCAGGCAATCTGTCTTTGACGACCGTTCACCCCTAGTTAGAACGCCGCTTCGAAAACCTGTCTACGTGGATCCCAATCTTCCCTTGGTCTCGATGTCCGCATATTTGAGGGACCCTCTAGTACAGGAGTTGATCTGCAAACCCTGTCTGTCAGATCAACTGTACACAGAGCTTCTCCGGCATCTCCCAGTGCAGGGGGCCTTGCCACCTTCAACCCCACGTGCAAAGTCTCGCGGGGAGAAGTGGTTGAGCAAGGGGCCGGAGGCAGGGACGAAGAAAAAACCGCCGCCACTGTACATTGTAAAGTACCTCAATCATTCGAACTCTCCACGAAGGAGTTTCGAGGAGGCCGGTGGGTTTGGCAATGGTAAACACATGTAAGAGCCCGTCTACACAAGCTTCCCGGAGAAAGGCGCAACTGAGAAAAGCAGTCAGGTACATGCCAAAGGGGGGACCTTGCTATGTACCCCTTGCTTTATCAGTACGCCATTCCAGCGATCGGTTCTTGAATCGCAGAAGTGGAGGTGCGTGGTATCAGCGAGAAGGAGAAAAAAAATATCTTTGCATTTCTCATCAGTCACAGCCGCTCCATATAGGACATTGCGTTTGGCTCGTCGGAGAATGTTTCATCGCTGAGCACTCTTGCTAGCCATATCACACCCGGTTATCTAATACTGTTGTAGATCTGCGATCATGGTATGGACCATGTCCGCAAGCTCCGAGACAGTCTGCGCGTCGCGTGGAATAATGTGACCGCCACCGTGGTCAAAGAGATCGGCTGCGTCCGAATCGCAAACGTTGTAAAGCGCCATAGTTGTGTGAATCATCGGATCTTGAGATCCCAATACGTGCAAGGTTGGAATATGGATGAGCGTTCCATCTTCATCGTGCAAAAGAAAACGTCCGGTGTCTGCTTCGCTTGGAGGGACCCCAGAAAAGAAGAGAGCGCACTTGAGACGCGGGACTCGACCACTGGCTTCCTGTCGCTTGTTCTCCTCTACAATGAGAGACGCCGCGATACCAGCCCCTTCCGAAAACCCTAAGATGCCGTCGATTTCGGGGTCTTGGTCTATAAGGTCCAGCAGATGAGCTAAAGCTCTTGAAGGTTTCTGGTCCTTCCATAGACTCGTTGTGCGAGAGAACTTTCTGATCACGTCTTCAGGGTTACCTTCCCGACCCATTGTGCGGACTGGCATGAATGACCCATCGATATCGGAATCAGTGAAGGTGAAATTGGGAGGCGGCCCAAAGAAGCCTTCAAACTCTGGTGAAATCACCACCGGATTCAGACCCTGCGTGTAAACGAAGGATATACTATGGTCTTCTTTCTGAAGCGCAGAGAGGAAGGGGCCTGGTGTAAGTCTGAGAATCAGCCGAAAATCGAGGTAGCCATTTTCATCAGCCTGGGCCCCCAAGAAAACACCCAATGTGTGGAATTACCTAATTGGGACTCGAGGGTCTACTTATGAGTGTCTGTGAGCCACTGTAAACCTGGAGGTGGGGGCACTATGTGGGACAGTGTAATCACCTTGACATTGCAGAGCGCGCCGGGTAAACATAAGAATCGCATCTTTGAGCAGTGGTCATCCGTTGATGATGTGATGGGAGGTTCATTTGAAGACGTCCACGAGCTACCTTCACCTAAATAGAGATCTGATGGATGCATCGACCGTTCGCGATGAATTCACATGGGTGATAAAGGGGTGATTTTTCCACAGGCAATCCCCGCTATTAATCGTTCCTTGCGTCTTTGCGTGATGTCAGTGTTCCGAGGGCTAACTTAGTATTAACTTCCGCAAGGGGGTCAAAGGGGGTCTATCCACGCCAACACGGCCGTGGATCGTTCGCGGAGTGCACCAACATCAGTGACACGACCGTCAACAACCTGGCGCCATCTGCACTGGTGATCTTTGCAGTATTATAGATACTGGTCCACGCACGAGAGCTCACATGCGAGGCAGATCCCAATGGTGCATTGCGGGTATGTGCCGAGAGAACGGCCGGCTCTCTCTCTCTCTCTCTCTCTCTCTCTCTGAGGTCCGATGACTCTGTAGTCCGCTTGGATCTGAGGAGCCCCTTCGCCCCTTTAGAATGCCTCCATGGTAGAATACGAATAACATATGATAGGCCGCGTCGCCTCCTAGCTAAAGATCGTCAAACTGGTTGAATTTTTGGACCGTCTCTGTCGTGCTCTACATTAGCTGGTGACTTGAAGGTGGAGGATCACTTCTCCCGCATCACCGAAACTCACCAGAGACCCTCCCTCCAACTATTTCAAGGACATAGTTTGTCAATTCTTCACTGCACAGAAGAAGAGATCACTTCCAGGAACATATTGTAATGATGACCGTCTCCAATGGAGAAAAGCAAGCGCCTGTGGCGATTGTTGGAATGGCTTGCCGACTGCCGGGGCAAGTGAGCAGCTTGGAGTCATTCTGGGAGCTATGCTCTCGAGGCCGTAGTGGGTGGTCGGAGATGCCTCAGAGCAGATTCAATGCAGCGGCGTTCTATCATCCAAATCCCGATCGAACTGGTTGTTTCAATCCCAGAGGAGCTCATTTCTTGGACGAAGATATTGAATTCTTTGATGCGCCCTTTTTCAACATCACGGTTCAAGAAGCGCGCGCCATGGATCCCCAACAGCGGTTACTTCTCGAATGCGCATACGAAGCCTTGGAGAATGGCGGAGTGACAAAGCAAGAGCTCCAAGGTCGCAACGTTGGAGTGTTTGTGGGCGGATCAACTGCGGAGTATGAAATTCGAAACTTACGCGATATCGCGACATGCCCTATGTATGCGGCCACCGGGTCCGCGACGTCTCTGCAGTCGAATCGCATCTCATACTATTTTGACCTCAAAGGCCCCAGTATGACCGTCGACACTGCCTGCTCTTCAAGTCTGACAGCGTTACACCTGGCTTGCCAAAGTTTGAGATCGAAAGAGTGTTCGGCGGCGTTGGTGGGCGGTTGTCATCTCCATGTTGTCCCCGACACGTTTGTGTCCATGTCATTATCAAGGTCAGTCGAAGATAGAGCCATAGAGACTGCTTTTTTTGTGCCGAACCTCTAATTTGATGAAATTTCCAGGTTGTTTTCCGAGTCTGGAAAGAGTTTCCCCTTCGATCAACAAGCGAAATCGCAGACAGTAAATGGATACGGTCGTGGAGAAGGTGCAGGGTGCATTATCCTCAAGCCTTTGCAAGATGCGATCGATGCAGGTGATGCCATTCGAGCCGTGATCTGGAACACCGGGGTGAACCAGGATGGACGTACACGTGGTATCACAATGCCGAATAGCTTGGCTCAAGAAGAGTTGATTCGCAGAGTGTATGAAGAGGCCCAGATTGATCCTGCAGAGACTGGCTATGTCGAAGCGCACGGGACAGGAACTACTGTAGGTGATCCTGCTGAAGCTCGTGCTCTCTCAGCAGCTCTGTGCAATGGCAAGAACCGCCAGAGTCCCCTCCTAATAGGCTCTGTCAAGTCCAACGTTGGCCACGCAGAGGGCGCCAGTGGAATAATCGCCGTCATCAAGACTGCGCTGATTTTGGAACGGGGATTCGTGCTACCGAATTGCGGTGTCACTCGGCCAAATGATGAGATTCCTATGGGAGAGTGGCAGTTGAAGGTGAGCTTTCAAAATGCCAGTGTCGGCTTCCAGCTATTGACATCTCATTTCAGGTTCCTAAGAAAGTAGCTCCCTGGCCAAGGGGCAAGAAGTATGCTAGTGTGAACAACTTTGGCTTTGGAGGAACGAATGCGCACGTCATCATGGGAAGGCCGCCCTCAAGTCAATCGCCCAACGACACACCCATGCAACACACATCGACCCAGGATCCCGGCAAAAAGAGACATTCCGCGCGATACGTTTACACAATCTCAGCGCCCACCAAGAGGGCTCTCGGGGCGGTGACGAGCAACATCAGAAAGTATCTCGAAAAGCACCCCGACGCTTTCGATGCGTTTGTCTTAGGAAATCTGGCATATACTTTGGGTCAGAGGAGGAGCTTGTTCCCTTGGAGGTCTGCTGTGTCTGCCACCAACGGCAAGGATTTGATTGCTTTGCTCTGTGCCAACCCGGAGTCCTTCGAAGTCGCCAATGAACCTTCCATCTCGCTTGTTCTCACAGGCCAGGGTGCTCAGTGGTATGGCATGGGACGAGAGCTTCTTGTAACCTCGCCTGTCTTTCTAGCGTCAATGCAACGAATTGACCACGCTCTCGCTGCCTTGCACAGCGAAATTTCAATAATTGGTACGCTCCCAGATCTCCCGAGTTTGTCAAAAAAAAAGCTAAATCTGTCTCAGACGAGTTGGAGAAGGATCCCTCATGTAGCTCACTTTATGAGCCTTTCATCAGCCAGCCGGCATGTACAGCATTGCAAATTGCCCTCATCGATCTGTTGAAGAACTGGGGGGTTGCTGTGACATCTGTCATTGGCCATTCTAGTGGGGAGATCGCCGCTGCTTATGCCGCTGGGATCTTGAACGTCGACCAATGCATGGGAATTGCTTTCGCGCGAGGTGCGGCAGCGCAGCTGCTCAAGGACGATCCGAATCAACAAGAAGGCATGATGATGGTCGCCGGCGCCAGCCCTTCAGTTCTTCAACCCTACATTGATGAGATATCCACTGGGCATACCGTCATAGCCTGTGTCAACAGTGAAAAAAGCGTCACAATATCTGGTGATGCCGGATCAATCACGAAGCTTGATTCTGCGCTGGCGCAGGACAAGATTTTCACTCGGAAGCTTCGAACTGGCGTCGCATATCACTCGCCACAAATGAAGCAAATTGCTGAGAAGTATCGAGAGCTCATGGGCAAGATCACCCCCCAGAATTCCTCCACTCCCTTCTATTCCACAGTTCGTGGGGAGATGGTGGATGCTTCAGTATTGACTGAAGAGTACTGGATCGAAAACCTCATCTCTCCTGTCCTCTTCTACAAGGGCTTACGAAGTCTGATTCAAGGCGCAAACGAAAGCAACACGGGCAAACATGATCACCTGCTTGTTGAAGTTGGCCCGCACCCTGCCTTGCAGTCGCCATGTCTCAGTGCCATTCAGGAGCGATCAGGACACGTCAAATTCCACTATATTCCAAGTCTTCGAAGAAATGATGAATCTTTCACGTGCATCCAGAACCTTGCCGCTGTGCTATTTACCAAGGGTGTTCCCGTCAACATGGGAGCTGTCAACGACTTTGCATCCTTCGGTGAAAAGCCACAGCTGCTCACCAACATGATCAATTATCCTTGGGATCATTCTACCCGCCTCTGGCATGACTCTCGTGTAACTCGGAATGCATCTCATCCCCAATTCCCCCGTCACGACATTCTTGGAAGTTTCTGTATGGAGAACGTTGACCTCGAGCCTAGATGGAGAAATATTATCAGGCCTGATGACTTACCGTGGGTCAGGCAGCACAAGGTACATGGAAACTCCGTCTATCCTATGACGGGCTTCTTATCCATGGCGGTCGAGGGTGTTGCTCAGTTAGCGCAGCTGCAAAATATTCAACTTGAGTGCGTCGAAATGCGCAACGTCAAAATGCAGCGCATGCTTGTATTGTCTGACACGTCACCTGTCGAAATCATGCTTTCAATGAAACTTCAAAACGGAACTTCCATGAGCCATGGAGCTTGGTACGAGTTCTGGACATACTCCTGGGCTAATGGCCGAGGATGGGATGAGCACTGTCACGGATTTGTCATTGCCAGAGGTCCCGAGAAATCGAATTCTGTTGTTCGACCCAAGCTTGCGCTTGATGAACATCTCTCGCTGTTCGCAAAAGACTGCACGCAGGATGTGGACTTGACTGCGACTTACGCTAATATTGCCTCCACGGTCCTCGAATACGGTCCTCTTTTCCGGGATTTCTCCCGCGTTGCGCTGAGCGGCAATGGAAGATCCATCGCACATGCCAAGATTCCAAACACCAGCAGCGTTATGCCGTTCAACTACGAGACGAAATGCATAGTTCACCCTGTCACGCTTGACATGTTCATTCAACAATTCTGGTTCTTCTGTGGATTTGATAAAGCTGGGCCCAACTCTCAATACCTGGCAGACGCTGTTCAACACATGGTTATTCCTGTGAACGATAATGTGAAGGCCGGTACACCCTTCAAGCTCTTTACTACCCGGACTGAAGTACCCGAAAACAGGGGAAATTCCTGCTACAGCATCTTGGGCGTCGTCGAGGAGACTGGCGAGCCTTGGATCACAGTGACGGGTTTTACTACAGTATCAATCAAGGATGCTCCCGATGGCTCTGACATCGCTGCGGATAGATCCATGTGCTTCAAAGAGCACTTTGAGCCATGCCTAGATTTTTTGCAGTCCAACGGAGCCTCATTGATGCCGAGGCAAAGCATTACTTCCAAATGCCTCGTGGAACCGACGCGTCTTTTGAAGCAGGTTTCACAGTACTACATTAGCAAAGCGCTACTGCAGACGCCCACGCAGCTCTCCTCTTTCGAACCACATCAGCAGCTCCTTTACCAGTGGATGCAACGTGTCTGTCCATGTCCGATGGAGGCAATCAAGAAAATCAGCGCCGAGACACTGGATTTCGTGTGCTCGATGAATGTTGCGGGAAAGTTATCTTGCAAAGTAGGCGAAAAGCTACCAGCCATTTTGAAGGGTCAAGAAGACGCACTATCAATCATGGTTGAGGATGATCTCCTTAACCAGTACCGTCAAAGCTTGGACGGCTATCGTCGAAGCTATGACAACGCTGTTCTGTGCATCGAAAAGATGGTCCATCAAAATCCAAACATGAATATTCTCGAGATCGGTGCAGGTACAGGATCAGCAACTCTTCCGATCTTGGAACGCCTTCGGGGCAAAGATGGAGCAAGTGTGCCTAGGTTTAACCAGTACACATACAGTGATATTTCAACTGATTTGTTCGAAAAGGCTCGCGAGAAATTCCATGACTGGGACTCGCTGATGACCTATCAATTACTCGATATCACTTCGGATCCGGTTGATCAAGGGTACGCTGCAGGGTCGTTAGACCTGATCATCGCGTGCAATGTGCTGCATGCAACACCACAGATCAACAAGACCATTGCAAATGTGCGCAAACTGTTGAAACCAGGAGGCAAGCTTCTTCTCATTGAGGAGACCGTCATGCACGAAAGCCTCTTCACTTTCGCTTGTCTACCAGGGTGGTGGGCGAGTCAGGATGGCAGAGAGAACAATGGCCCTTTGCTATCCCACGAGGAATGGAAGAGTGTTCTGAAGAGAAATAATTTCTCTGGACTTGATATTTGCCTCCCTGATTTTCCTGGCGCATCTGAGGCATCTAATCACATGATGGTTGCAACGGCAACTGTTGACCACCAAGCCAATCAGCAAGAAATTGCACTCTTCGATATCGAGAAGCAGCATGTCATTCCGCAGAAGGCTTTACTCGAAGCTCTCGGTGAGGTCGGGGGGTTATATCCCAGATCTCGAAGATCGATCAGGCCGACGTGGAAGGTAAGATCTGCGTCTTCGTTTGTGAACTCGGTCAAGCCGTACTCTCCGATTTGGGTAAAGACTACTTTGAAGCCCTGCAGTCATTGATCACTACAGCAAAGGGAGTGCTATGGGTTACGGGTCATAGCCGATCGCCAGTTCAGTGTGCTAGGCAACAAATGGTGCTCGGTCTGGCACGAACTGTCCGCAACGAAACTGGTCTTCAGTTTGCCACCTTAGATCTCGGTTGTGTCGATGAAATGACCAGCACTGAGGCTGTTCGTCACATTCAAAGCGTTTTCAAGGTCGTTTTTGACAAATCACATCAATCTGTGCTCACGTGTGGAGACCTGGAGTTTAGCGTTCGAGCGGGTGAACTTGGTGTCACGCGCATAATGGACGATTCTGATATGAATATGAGTATGCTTCAAGAAGCAGGCCAGGCGCCTCCGCAACTCCAGCCTTTTGAACAAGTCGGACGGCCCTTCGCTCTCAAACTCACGGACGCAGGAGGTCTGGATGGGTTCTATTTCACAGATGATGACGTTAGGGAGAGACCAGTTCGAGAGGGATTCATCGAAATTCAGGTCTGCTATTCTGGCTTGAATTTCAAGGACATCATGATGGTCATGGGAGAGGTTCCTGGCAATGACATTGGAATTGAGTGCAGTGGGATTATCACAGCCATTGGTCCGGGTGTTGCGGACCTTGCAGTTGGTGACCGAGTTTGTGCCATGTTCAAAGGGTGTTACTCCAATTACATTCACTGCCCGGCAAGTAATGCTTGGAAAATCCCCGACGGCATAGCTCTCGATGTGGCTGCCACTATTCCGGTGACATTTTGCACGGCCTATTACTCGATGGTTGACGTGGCTCGGGTCGAACCTGGAGAAAATGTCCTGATCCATTCCGCCGCCGGTGGAGTGGGACAGGCTGCGATTCTCCTTGCGCAATCAATTGGCGCAAATGTGTTCGCCACGGTTAGCACACAAGAGAAGAAGGAATTTTTGATCAAGACCTATGGTTTGCAAGAAGATCAAATTTTCTACAGCAGGAGTACCGGGTTCGGCGAGGCTATTCGCAATGTCACTCAAGGACGCGGTGTTGATGTCGTATTGAACTCCCTCAGTGGTGATTTCCTCCGAGTCTCGTTCGAGACTCTGGCTCCATTTGGGCGCTTTGTGGAACTTGGAAAGCGAGACTTCCTGCAGAACTCCCGACTCGAGATGGCTCACTTCTTGAACAACGTGTCTGTGTGCTCTGTGGACCTAGTCCTAGTCATGGAACGCCGGCCGAAGCTTCTGAGACGACTTCTGGGGGATGTTTTCAGAGAATTCGGTCAGGACGTGTTTTGCCAACCACCTTGGCCGATCACGTCGTATTCAATTTCTGACGCTGAGCACGCTTTCCGCGAGCTGCGTAATGGCCGGCAAATCGGGAAGATTGTCGTTCAGATGGAGCCAGACGCGCTGGTAAAGGTAGAGTTCCACGGAGACCGCTCTCAGTCATGACAGTTCTCCTTATGTTGTTTCAAAGTCCAATGGATGCTAATTATTGCATGCAGGTTCATCCGCCAACAAAGTCTGGCAACTTGGTCCGACAGGACGCGACGTATGTTGTTGTTGGCGGCAACAGGGGAATTGGTCTGGACATTGTCTCCTGGCTGGCTGAGAAAGGTGCCAAGCATCTACTTATTGTGTCTCGTTCTGGTCTTGCAGGCGATGAAGTGCACGATGCGATCGTCCAGCTCATCAACAAAGGTGTCACAGTCAAAGTTTGCAAATGCAGTGTCGACAATAAGCATGAACTTGCCAACCAATTGAAAGCAGCACTATCTGGTATACCACCGGTGCGCGGTGTGATATATGGTGCCATGATTCTGAGGGTAAGACATCACAGTGTTTTCTTTCTTCCTTGACTGTCTATCTGACTATTGTGAACAGGATGTCGCTTTCGAGAAGATGAAGTATGCAGACTACGACGCGGTAGTCAAGACGCGAGTGCAAGGGTTGTGCAACGTGCATGAAATCATCTCCGCTATGAAATACGACTTGGACTTCCTAATCAGCTTGTCCTCGGTGGCAGGTGTTGTTGGAAATCTTACACAGTCTGCATACGCAGCTAGTGGCACCTTCATGGATGGCTTTGCCAAAGCTATGAGTGATCTGGGCGTCAATTACACGGCCATTGACCTTGCTCCTGTACGCGATATCGGCTATCTGGTCGGTAATGAGAAGACCCAGGATGTTGTTCAGGGTGCGTTTGGAGATGTTTGGTTGAATGCGGATGACATTCACTGCCTGCTGGCCAGTGCGATCAAGGGAGTCATGAAAAATTCCTGCAATAACCACTGTATTACAGGATTGAGCTCGCTCAAGGATGAGAAATTCACTGCGGGCCAGATATGGACGAAAGACCCTCGTTTCTCACAGTTGATCCGAGCCGTCACATTCGGCGCTCCCTCGAGAGCTGGTGACTTACCCAATGCTTTGGCAACGGAGAGTCCAGCAAAGGCGCTCCAAAAGGCGCAGACCCTTGATCAAGCTCAAGATATTATTGCGCAGGCTCTGCTGAACAAATTGTGCAGCCTGCTCATGTTGTCGGTCGAGGACGTTGACGTTTCCAAATCCATCTCTGCCTTCGGACTGGACTCCCTCGTTGCTATCGAGGTACGCCATTGGATCACTCGGGAGTTTGATGCAACGCTTCAGCTGTTGGAAATCCTCGCCAGTGAATCTGTTAACAGTCTAGCCGGTGTGATCACAGGCAGATCTGGTGCTGTTCCGGAAAATTTGAAGATGTCAAATGTGACCGCGAGCTCCTGAGCATTGTGACCGCGACTGAAGCCAGCCTGGCGACATTTACAAGAAGCATCGTTTCATGGGGTTTGACTGTATATTGATCTTCCTTTTTATGTATGCCAATGGATTCCATGTTTGTTTCATCTTCTCATGTATACTGTGCAAGACCTGGATGTAGAGGGAAACCATCAGACTTGTCTTATTTGCCGAGCTAAGTTGCGGCCAGATTGGCAGCTTCCTAGGTGGGTAGTTCGACGGGGATGGAAGGTTGATGTGTCACGTTCAATCCATTGCATAACAATTTGTCTCTGGATGTGACGGGAGCTTCACCGGAATAGAATAGGTGCCTCCCATTCTAACCAGAAGTCCCGCGAGACACAAGCTGCTCTTCCTCCCCGTACGTGATGCACATGAGACCAGCTGATCGCTGTCTTAATCTTGTTTATGATGTAGGACTCTTCCAGTTCGACAAAATGCACTACCTAAGATTGTAAAGTCTGTTCTCCGTGTGCAGCCCTGGAACAGGGTTCAGTTACATACGGCATGTGGCGATGATAGGGCATGTCTTAAAGCCTATTTTGGAGAGAAGACATCGTACAACTTGAATATCTTCATGGGGCCTGTTTATACTCCTTTAGAATACGTCATGACTGACAGATTCATTCCAATCACCATATCGTGTTTGTGTTGCATGGCGATGTAATATTTGATGTAGCTTTTTCAGCAGTTGACATCAATTTCATGCATTTGCTCGGAAGCGAGCGAAAGACACGGTCGGGAGCCTCTCGTCGAGGAGGCACACTAAGGTACATATTTTCCCGCGGGTTTGAACGAACCTTGGCAACCTTGAATATCATGCACATCTATCAAGGTATTTCTATACTGAGTGGGTGTAGCGAAATCGTATGAACATTCCATATATAACTCCAATAACTCTAAATCAATTTCATCCTCTTCGGGTCCGAGTATTTTGACAGCGAGAGGCCCAAGATCAGTATCAAGGCCGCTACGCAACCCAAAGTCAGGGCCCTCATCAATTGATGCAAAGCGACCAAATCCTCAGAGACAGAGTTTATATTTCAAGTCTATAATGTAAAAGCTTGCCTTGGAATTTATCAACAAGTGGTAAGATGGCCGAGTTGGTCTAAGGCGTCAGGTTAAGGTCCACCTTAGCATAAATTCCTGATCTCGTTTACGGGGCGTGAGTTCGAATCTCACTCTTATCACTCAATTTCTTTTTTGTCGGGCTGGGTTTACTCACCCTCGCCATAATCCCGGGTCTCTCTCATCATCACCATCATCATCGTCTTTTTCTTCTCGCCTTTTTACCTTGCTTGCCACCGATCTCGATCGAAGTGGATATCAGATGGAAAACAATCGCTATCTTGCACTGACTCACTACAAGGGAGGAGTGAGTAGTCACATGAGTCCGAGATAGACGAGCACATGGACCTGCGATCAATGAAGATCCGAGAGCCAGACCAAGTTCAAGACCGTGGTTAGTCTTACAGGGCTTCTCTTTTGACATTGAAGCCACAGTAGCGAAGAGAGTCGAGCTGAATGAAATCCTCAGTCTTGGTCTCCCTACCAAGTAAGTATCGACAATCCAAATGTAGCACTGAAGGCACGCCGGGCAAGTCCGGCCTTAACGCATAGTGCTTGTCTCTTAGCCGCAGATAGAACAAGTGATGAGGTCATTGAGAGACGGGCAGCTCCCGTCGCTTAGTCTCGACATACCAGCCTTGCAAGTCCTTTGACCAGCATTGAGCTCGTAGTCCATCTACGCTGAGGCCAAGGCCACGTCTCCCGTATGACCCTCAACTTCAATGCATTCCGTATACATATCTTGCATGCAGCGGAGCTACCTACCTGGCTGTCGTACTTCCATCAAAGCTGAAACCGAAGCAATCAGTGCCAGCATTTTCCAGAGCATGAAGTAACCGTCGCCATAATGGTACTTCTTGACAAAGGCTCAACTCAATGGCACACATGGGCAAGTCGTGTCTTAGATGTCTATTACCACAGAAAAAACGTACAAACGACAACTGAGATATATCCTGGTCATCTAATGTGGTGTACAGATTCAGTCCATATCGAGAAATCTCAAGCGCACTGCGCACACATAAACTGGCTCAAATTAGTACGATAGGTATTAAGAATTCTGATCTTCATACGTACTTGCCGTATGTCACCCTTAGAAGAACGAACCTTGCGCTCGCGCCCACATTGGTGGTGACAAACCAGGATCGAACTTGATCAAAACATGATCGGAGATACAAGAGGAGAACAAGTCGATGACATTTCCAACCGATGACCTTTCCTAAGGCTTTCATCCCCGATAGATTGAACTTACTCAGAGAGCTATGTACCTCGGATGTCCGAGTCTTAGACCAAGTGGATCAAACGTCATTTCATAGGTCTCTCTTGCAAGTTGCCAGATGTAGCCCAATCCCAAGAATTACAAGGTCACCCGCTTTCCTCTTCTCCTTGTATGCACCTTTCGACCACCAGAATCTGTACCGTATGTCAAGCAAATGCACATCATGAAATCAACCGCCCCGATATGATACACACTGTACTTTCACCAGTAATTTGAATTCCGTCTGGCTGGTCGGCAAGATCCGTACTAAACAGATCGGCCCTGCATTCTGCAAGATTGCGGGGTAGATTGCCGAGAAATCCGGGGTAAAAAGCGCGGGAAACGGATACGCGCGGTCTAACATACGAAACCGAGAAGGGGGTCGCTGTTTTTGTAACCGAGCGCGAAATTTTCGCGAAACGTGGAGCATCTTCGATGATTCGGGAGTGACCTACCGCGCACTGTCACAGTAGATGTGTGCAACGGTGCGTACGTTCTAAACCGAAGGAGTCCTGTAGGAATACATTCGTTTCAGGTAGCATTCACCTACGAATGAGAATTCGAAGGAACAAAAAAGAAAATATAAGAGATAGCACACAGATTCCACCAAATAAATTCAACAGCAATACCTAGCCCGGTGCTAAAAATATGCGCGAAGTTCGCAGAAAGGAAATGCATCAGAGGAAGAATGCTCAAAATGGGAAGAATAACAGGAAGGACAGTAGAAGATCCAGCCCTGTCAGGGGTACCCAACTGTAGTTGTCGACCAGTGAGCTTCACCTCTTCGATACGCTTGGCTCAAACCAGTCTGTCATGATTTCTTCATCGGCTCTCAACCTAGCATTTCGCCGGTGGAATGTTGATTCATGGGTCAAGGGTCCGAAAGGAACGGCCCGGAAAACGATCACCCCTAGAACAAGGCGGGACGACAAGAATGGTAAAATACACTCCAAAGGGATCCAGCAAATGGTAAGAGAAATAGAGGGGAAAAGGAACCACCAAACACCCCTTCGCCTTTCAAAGGCAAGTTTAAAAAAAGACAGCGCTCAAGAAACGACGGGACTAGCGAACATCAACCACGGACCTCGCCTAATTGATACGGAAAGCGTCGAAAATCACTGCGATATTGTTAGTTAGAAAGAACTGGTACTAAAAGGCTCTATCCGGCATTGTGCTGCCGTGAAGACGCAAGCTTACCTTCTTGTCCACGTCGGCATCCACTGCCGACCCACATGAGGGTGTTCAAGAATGTGTAACGCTCATCACCGGTCTCCATGGACAGGTTGATGCGATACTTGTAGCTGCCAGGATTGATACCGTCGGCCATGTTGGGGTCATTGACCTTTTCAAGGACATCCTTGGCACCGGTAAGCCATCCCTCGGCACGGACGATCACATAAGCAGGCGGCTCATCGGCTGTCTGCAGCATGTAGTTCGCGCGAAGGTTGGTGGTAAAGTCCTTGGTCACGATCTGGGTGTCTTGACCGCCGGGCTAATGCTGAATGTAAGCTACTGCTCATGCACACCTCCCGCAAAGGCCGAAGCGCAGAAGACGAAGGGGAAACAGGGGCAAAAATACATACCAGGACGATACCTTTGCCCCAACGGCCGGCCCACTGACCACCCAAGAAGGAGACCCATTCGCGACCTCCCCAGATGCTCTGGCCCACGGTAACCTTAGGATTCATCTTGATACTCATTCTGAAGTCAAGCTCAAGTGTGGGAGCAGGAATTTGGAGGGATCGCGCAACATCGCCTTCGGGAAATGTGTGGAGAAGGTTGTTCGCGGGAATAGAGTCCTTCATGACACTGAGATAGGTGGGGCACTCGAGCAGATGTTGGCGTTGACGGCTGGTGTTTTTGGCGCGAACTTGTTGGCAGTAAATGCACTGGACAGACAGACACTGCAACGAAGAGTAAGATGAATCAGCCCAAAGTTTTCTACTCATGTCAAGAGGGAACCAAGCCGGTGCGTCTTACCTTGTCTTCCTCCTTCGCGCGGAACTCCACAAAGGCCGCGTGCACGTCGTCCAAAGGCGGCGCAGGAAGATTAGAATTCGCGCTCTTGGACTTGGGCTTGGGCGTCGGGCGAGATGGCGCGGCCGATGGAGGAGCAGAGCCAGGGGGACCAGTTGCGGGGCCTGGAGTCGACAAGGGAGGGCGACTCAAGTTCTGCAGAGGGGTCTGGAGGGGAGTGGCGTGCGGATTCACACCGTTCGACATGAGGTTGCCATTAGGAGTGGGCATGGTCGTAGGGCCACCGGGACCTGGAGTAGCTGTCGGGCCACTGGGAGTGCCAGGATAGCCATTGGTAGGGCCGATGCCATTGGGAGCTTGCGAAGGCTGATTTGGCTGAGGGGCGTTGGGGTGACCACGAAGGCCAGGGCACTCGAGCAGATGCTGCTTCTGTCTCGAGGTATTCTTTGCGCGGATCTGTTGACAGTAGATGCACTGAACGGAAAGGCACTAGAGTTGATGACCGTGACCGAAACGGGTCTTGTATGTTAGTGACTGGTCGCGTCGTGGGTGGGTTATTTCGAAAGATTACGAAATACGGCAGTCACGCACCTTGTCATCTTCCTTGGCGCGGAACTCGACAAACGCCGCGTGCACCTCCTGGTCGACAGTGCGGCCCATCTTGCAGATGGCGAGGGTCAAGTTCGAGTTGTGGTTTATCGGATGCTAGAAATCGAGAAGATGAGATGCCGGACGCGTATTGCGACGGTATGGGATGAGAAGCGAGGGGTTGGTTTTTTTGAAGGATGTGTCAAAAGGGTTTGGGTGAAGACGCGGGTGAGTGGGGGTTTGTTAGGGAGAAAGAAGGGAAGAGTGGAAGAAATGGAAAGACCAAGACGACATTACGAGTCTCGCGGCACCGGTCGGGTACGGGTAACAACAAAGAGCCCTGCGTAATATAGAGACCGGGCGTATTTCAGGTAATCGGTAATCAGTAATTCGTAATTTCCGTGAGTACGTTCCGAATGACCCAATTCAGGGATTGGATTACCAGTTCTGATCAACCGTACCACACTACTAACAGGAGAATTTACAGTAACTTAGTACTTGTCTAGTATTCTACATACATACCGAACCCGGCATTAAAAGAATTGCGAGTGATTATCTGAAGAGAAAGTGAGAGGTATTGCATAGACCGACAAGAATGCCTGTGCCCACGATGCATTGCACACGTTGGGTCTCTTTGTTCCTCAGCTCGAATTTGCTTGCCAATACAGCTGGGCCTCCCGCGCTTACATACACGACAATGACATGTCCTGGGGATGACTGTACTGAGCGTACTCCAAGCCTACAGGTGCATGACTGCATGGCCATGCATAGTTACCACTACAGAGTACAAGCATACTATGAGTATGTAGTAGTTACTAGTTATGTACGTTACACACCTATTTAACAGTAACAACCTCTACTGTACTATGTTACAGAGCAGAGTGGTCGAAGACTGACCACCAACATCAACATGAGATGTAACCATGCTGTGAGATACACGATACCAAAAATTAGAAACACTAGTTCCGCTGGCCATCAAAGTCTGTCTTTTACTCCTTCTATTTACTTTTGATCAAAATCCTAATCTGCCATGTCTTCCCGCCAAGACAAGTGTAGCATCCTCGACGGGGGCGCGTTCGGTTAGAAGGCTGCTGGGCCGCACCGGCGCACACCGGTGAGCCCGACTGGAAGAAAAGAAAAAAAGTAAAGAATGGAATGGGAAAAACCTCATCCCCGTGCAGTGCGCACGGGTACATGGCGATTCAACTCGGCCTTGTAGAAGAGGAGTGATCAACAACCCTAGCAGTGATGATGGGTGAAAACTACAAGTTGTAAAGACTGAAGACCACTACTGTACTAAGGTTATAAAATAAAGCACAGTGTTATTGTATGTCCATAACTATTTTACCTTCATACCTGGACATCCAGGTATCGTCGTTGTTCGACTTCTGGTCTTGTATCTTAACCGCGATTGCGCAGTACCGGACTCGGCCTGGTTCCTGGTAAACTTCGCCCTTACGACGAGGCACGGTAATTATCATTTCCCTATAGATCGTGCATGTATTGCAGTCCACGCTTTCAAATTGAGGAATCGGCGATAACGCTACTTGTAGTAGATAAGCATGATCGGTAGTAACCTATAACGCTCCAGGCTGATCACTTGACCGGCGATATTCAGCCTCTGTCCTTGCGGTTATGCTTTGATCCATAACATCATAAAGCACCCAGCAATAACAATAGTACTGGCATTCTGGCGCTGCCTTTTCACGCGTCAGCCTCTTGCCCCACACCCGGCAATACACCTATGAAGTTGGCCGTAAGAATAGGAAGAAGCCATCAAACGCTCGTTCCACAGGGTGTTCGTGAGTTCATGCTTTGAGAAGATTGAGATCACCTGACATGAGAGGAACGTAGATCGATGAAATAATCCAGCGATCCTTGTACGAGTTCGACGCTCGTGAGAGCATGGTCTCATTAGGCAGTGCCTGCCAACTGAAGGAAAATCTCCCCATATTGGAAGCGGTCGCCCCGAGGAAAGACGCCGTAGTTGTCGCATGATTTTTGAGCCACGCCAATGGCGCCTTTGGTTGCGAGGGTAAGCACATTCAAGAAGCCTTGAGCGGCCACGGTGCGTGTAGTACTTGATGGAGGCAGCAACTCCGAAAAGGTGACTCCACCAGAGCTGTCGCTGTTGGTTTCCTCAACCTTGGTCTGGATAAAGTCAAGAAAGTTGAGACTCTCCGTATCCAGGGCGGACACAACTCGAGCAAAGACGGATTTGCGCCGGGCTGAGATCGCACTGATGTCCTCTCTGTCAGGGGCCAACTCCCCTTCGAGATACCGGGTGATCTCCAGTTCCTCAAGGTTGTCGATGACATCGCCGGCGTTCAAGATGGACAAGCTACTGTTGCGCTCACGCCTGTCTGCATAACTTCGCCCGGAGAGTGGACTGGCACTTGTCAGCCGTCCTCGGTGCCGAGCAGACGAGCCAGAGATGCTGCTAAATCTCTGGCCTCGGATCGAGCCAGGTAGGGATGCTGTGAGATTCCAAGGCATTTCCGAAGATCTGTCATTGTAGGCGCTAGACGGAGCGTTACGCGCGATTTCAACGTCGAGCGAGCCGGTCCTTTCTTTCTGACCATGCCCTTGGTGAACACTGCGTCTCTCGGGTCTATTGCGCTCTCCAGCTCGAGCAGAACTCTTTTCGGGTGTGAGCAGCATGTATAGTGCATCACCCGAGAATTGACTCAAGGGTCCCTTTTCACGATGCTGACCCAATCCTCGCCCAATAGACCCAATGCCCAAGCCAAAAACCCAGTATTGCGCGTTTTTCTTCGCTAAAGTCGGAAGTTTATTGTGATTCTTCTGCTTCAGCGCCTGAGCCATGTTCGCAGCATATTCGTCATTCCACCTTGCCAAATCTGTGTTGCGTAAGGCGGTGTTGTCATCAAAGCCGATCATCTTGACTCGTCGAATGCGTTGATGAGCGCGTGCCTCTGTAGTGCGGTCAAGTTCGCCATCCTCCATCAGTCTTCGTTCTACGGAAGGTCCTCGCGGGTCTTCACCATTCTTGTGACTGGGGAGGGTCTGGGGCTGTTGGTCGTCGTCTCGAGCTGGCAGGGGACCATCTTTGTTCATATTCATCATCATCTAGATCAGATGGTCAGTTCGCCACAGCCATTTTCTTGCATACCATTGGATATGTTACTCACGACATCGTCTTGGATCAGTTCTCCAGTCAAGGCTCCCATCGGCTCTCCTTGGAAATTGCCCTTTCTCCGCTTCCGCGGCGAGTCGTTGCTCTCATCAAGCTCGATCAGATTTCCATCCTCATCAAACTCGAAGTCCGGCTGCAGCAGGACGCCTTCATCTTCACGGTCTGGACGGCTCCTCCGCCCAAACAGGCCTCTCTTCTCCCCGGAGGGAACATCGCCAACATGGAGGCTCTGAAGGCCTTCGGCACCAATAAACTCGTCCGCGTATAAGTCGAGATCGATCAATCCAAGCTGAGAGTGTCCCGAGACGTAGTTACCCGGGGAGCTCGCCCAGCTATCAGACCGTTGTGATGATGTCTGAACAGCAGCCGCTTCGGTGAAAGCGAAGTCGATGTCCAATCCTGGCAGGCCGGTTTCGGGAATGAAACTCAGGTCGTAGGGAAGGATGAGATTAGTAGGCCTGATTTCAAAAGTTAGTAAACTGCATGCTGAACACCTCTAGTTCAGCAAGTGCTCTTGAAAGGAAGCGACTCACTTTGTCTTTCCCGCACTAGGATCGAGACCACCTCCCGGCAACTGCTTCAGCATCGAGACCATCTTGTCCCGCATCGTCTGCGCGTCAAGCAAGGTGTATCCACACTGCTGATCATATACCTTGGACACGCCGTAGCTTTTTAAAAGGTTTGCGTCAGTAGGACAAATTACTCGAAAAGGAGACAGGGGTTTCATCGTACAGGAGACTACCCTGCAGGCGCAGCGCCATAGGAGCTTCAGGATTGATAATCACATTGCAAGCTTCGGGCACGTCCACATCCTGTATAGCCTTGCGATTGAGTCGACGGGTCAGGGAGCGTGAGCCCAGCGTCGCGACAAGCCTGTTGTGGAGATGGACCAGTTAGGAAACTGACAGGGGATTGAGGGGCGAGGATAGAGACACGAACCAGATAGTAGCCACGCCATGCTCAGGAGACGAAAGCACTACCAAGTGTTAGTCTTGATCATACTTGGTGATGCGATTCTGTCAGGAAGCACATACTCTCATGGCTGTAGAACATCTCGAGCGTCGCCTCATACGAGGCTGCGCATCACGAGATAGGATCGTGGAGGTAATAGCCGACACTCTGGCACAGTGTCGAAGTAAAAGCGGCTTCTTGCTCGAGCAAAGACGAAAATTATCGAGGGAGATCTGATGAAGAATCACTTATAAAGAAGGGCGAGAGTGCGATCAAGGTGGTGAAGAAAAAAGACCGAGTGACAGCTGTCAGATAAAGTGAAGAGTCGAGTCCCTGGGAGGGGTGCACAACTGGCAGTAAACAATTCGGGCTGTCTACTGTGTCTGCCAGTCTGGAGCTTGGCTTGTTGACCAAACTACAAGCTTCCAATTGTCAGGCCCAGATTTCCGTAACGTAAGCCTCGCAATAGCTGTAAAGCACATCTGCGCTAGGGTGACTGCCAATATCAAATGAAGAAGTTATCTATCGGCTCTATTGCCTCTGGTTCTTATCCATATCGAAGATGAGCACGAGACGCCAGGCCCCCAACATTGGAATCTCCTCGTCAAAGACTGATCTACCGTTGGTAACCTGAGCAATCTCTATGTTTGCCAAAAGATAAGCATGAGAGGCCGGGCATCTACAAGTCTCCCGTCAAAGATTCACCTCTCAAAGTAATCTACAGAGGAGACGAGAGAAACGGCATTGCCTTGAAAGGCTGGATTCGCTTTCCCATTATAATGCTTCTTGCAAAGGTCCATGAGCCGCTCCTGGTGTGGCCGATACAGATCATCTTTCAGCATATCAAGAGCTGGACTGTACTGAGCACAATCATTCGGGCGTACAGGGTCGGGTATATCGAGGTAATGACTGAGGTTGCCAAACAGAGTCACTTGGAAACGGAAACTCCCAGTTACTGGCCCACCAGTGGTGCTTACATGGAGTACCTAGTACCTAGTAACCTACTATCAGACCCGCACTGCAGGATCATACTCGTCTCTACGAGACGGATGCAGGCCCAAGCTTGACAAATCTGGGCCAGATCACGGTGATACTTTACGAGGACAGTAATGAACAGAATCGACTCCAGGCAATCAAATGATCTAGTAAGCAGCAAATACAAACATACACCAGACCACGCAACTAGCCAATCGCAAGGCTGGAATGAACACCGGGAAGTAGTAGTAAATGACATGTGGCTCTTAACAGCGCAGGCAGTGAGAATTGCAATTCATCTTGAAAGTGATCACCAGAGCGTTTCCAGATACGGAAGAACCATCTGTGACTCTCGCTGCGCAGAACAGCCCACCCAGAGTCCCCCATACTGAAATCTGCAGTAAGGGAAGACGGAGATTGCGCACTGAGTCTTTATATAACTTTGATTTTAGGTATGCTGGAGTCGATAGACCGACGAGTACGACCGCGTCAAACTTTCGCAGAGGCACGATAGTTTATTCGATGGGGATACCCTCGTACTCAGAGTAGCCCAGCGCCAAGTTCATGTTCTCTGTACCGGCTCATTAGCAAAGGCTCAAGGCGTCGCTGAGAAGGGGACAACTTACGCAAGCACTGAGTGGCAGCACCCTTAAGAAGATTGTCAATGGTGGCGCAGACAACGACACGCTTGCCGCTGGAGTGAACAGCGAAACCGCCGATCTCAACCCCGTGACGGCCGGCAATGTCCTTGACGAGAGGAGCCTCGCCTGTGATCTTGACAAGCTTCTCACCAGCGTAGCGATCCTGGTAGATGTTACGGATGTCACGAGAAGTCATCTCCTTGTTCAGGGGAATGCTGATGGTGTGCTAGAGACGAGGTTAGGATACCGATGCTTCGACGAGAAAATGAGGTGTGTTTTGACACAACTTACTGAGATGCCCTGGAACCAGACCGCAACGTGGGGGATAAAGGCGATGCTGGTGCCGAGCTGTGCACTGATCTCACGCTCGTGAATGTGATCCGTCAAACTGTAAGGAACGAGGTTGTTGGTAAGGAAGTTGACATCGTTCTTGGGACTGGGCTTAGTGCCAGCACCGGAGTAGCCAGAGACACCAAAGGTGGTTGGCTGACCGCCCAGGAAGGGAACGAGAGGAGCGATGCCGAGTTGTGCCGCCGTAGCGTAGCAACCCGGGTTGGCAATACGGGTAGCACGGGCAATGTTGGAACGGTCAACGAGTTCAGGCAGACCGTAGGTCCAGTTGGAGTCAAACCGGTAGTCGGCGCTAAGATCCACAATCACGTTGCCCTTCTCTGATCCACGATCGACAGCCTCGACGAAGGGCTTGCACACACCGTTCGGAAGAGCCATGACCCAGCAGTCAATGTCGCCGTTGGCAGACATGCGCTGGACATCCTCGGGGCTCAAGTTCTCGTAGATGATCTCACGCTTGTCATAACCCTGCAGCTTCTTGCCGGCCAGCTCACGGGATGAGACATGGCGCAGGTCCATATTGGGGTGAGCATTGAGCAAGTTGATCAGGGCCTGGCCGGTATAGCCACGAGCACCGATCAGGGCGACCTTGGCGGGCTGAGGGTTGGAGGCGTTCTTTTCGCCGAGAGGAGGGTTGGGGTTGGTGGTGGTGGCGTAGGTGCGAGTCGCATGCACGGCAGCGGTCGGGCGCTTCATGCGGGAAGAACGGAGAGCATTGGAAGCGGAGGAAAATGCGCGCTTCTGCTCCAGGGAGGCACCGCTGGCACCGTGACCCTTGCCAATGTTAATTGCGGCCTCGTGGGCACGGTGCAGACGGTGCTCGAGGTTGATGTCACCAAACATCTGACGGCCGTGCTTGGTGAACTCCTGGACAAGCTGCTTGACCTCGTCGCCGTTTTCCGCACCGTACCAGAACAGAACCTCGCCGTCGCGGCTGAGGCTGCCTTCCGCCTTATCAAAGAACCAGGTCAGGTTCTCATCATCCTCCTTGACTGTCCAGGCCAACTTGGGGAAGTCTTTCTTGAGGCTAGCGAAGACATTGTCAGCCACGTTGGTCAACCAGCCCGACTTCGTGATGGTGAATGTGGCCAAGTGGGCCATCAGAGAGCCCTGTTGAGGCGGCAGAACCACGGCCAAGGCGTCCATGGGATCATCGTAGTAGATCTTGAAGTCGCGCTCTTTCATACCCTCGACGTAGCGGTCGACGACAGCACGAGCATCCAGACCCTCTCGGTCACGGACCAGCACGTCCTTCAGGGCCGTCAGATCGCCAAACGCTGCCAGAGAGTCTTGAACGTTGATCTTGTTACCACGGCGGATCAGAGTGCCGGCGCCGGAATCAGTGAACAGCTCCTTCTGGAGGTCGGCTGGGTGGATGATGGCCACACTGGACGATCGAGGTAGATCGCTCAGGAGATCCTTCATCTCCTTGATCTTCAGGCGAGTACCGTGACGAACCCACCATTGAGTCATCAGGTGGTCGTACTCTTCATCGAGGTTGATGACAGAGATCTTCTCACCGGTATCACCGTTGAACAGACCTCCCTTTTCGGCCAGGTACACAATCTTCAAAGGCTGCAGCGCCCGAGCCAACTCCCCGGCCGCGACATCGGCATTGACGTTGAGCACTTGACCGTCGGGGGTCTCTGCCATGGAGGTCAGGATAGGCAGACATCCTGCCTCGATGGCGGATTCGATAGGCCTCTTGTCCACGCCGTTGATCTTTCCGACAAGGTTGTACTTGGGCTTATCGAGGTAATCGGCGGAAAAGACACCGGCGGTGATGGGCCGAGCACGCACACCCATGCGCTCCAGCTCCTCCACAAGCTTCATGTTCTCCTCCAGGAACAGCTTGCGCGCCAGTGAAAGGGTCTTGCCGTCCGTCACACGGATTCCGTCCTCGAACTGGGGCTCCACACCGGCCGCTTCCAGCATGCGGTTGAGCTGCGGCCCGGCACCGTGGACGACAATGGGGTACAGACCAACATGATTGAGGAAGGCGAGGGCGGATGACAGAGTCTGCAAGTGCTCGGTGATGATTGCACCACCGACCTTGATCACGGCGAATTGCTGCGAAGAAACGGAGGTGAAATGAGACAGGTATTGCTGGACCTCACGCTTGGAACCGATGTTGCTCAGCAACTGAACGACGGTGCTTCGAGTGGAGCTCGGTTGAGCATCCGCGGTGCGAGAGTAGGCTCGAGCATGGCGATGAAGGGGCGCAGCGACTGCGCGGGCAGTGGCCCCGGAGCGCAGAGGCGAGACCGAGAGCGGCGCGGAGAATGATCGGAGGGGCTTGGTGGAAGCTCTCCGCACGGCGGAGCGAAGGGACAGCATTATGGTCACCAGCATGCGGCAACTTCAATTGAGGGGTCTTCGCAGGTAGCTGGGGAAAGCGTCCCCTCGGCTGATGGATGAGAAGGAAGGAGGGGAGAGTGGGAGTGTAAAGGGAACGGGGAATCGAGGCAAGAAGAGAGGATTGAAATCCAATTGCCAGGAAAAGGGCACAGATGGTCGCGGCAGAGGTCGAGCGATAGGTATGACTAACTCCCATGGATTTTGCACCGGCCGGATGTCGGAGTGTCCACCAAGGCCAATCACATGAGGCGAATGGGCCGGGCGGTCAGTATGATACTCCCCCAAGAGTCACACCCTGCACGACCCGGAGGTGACGAGATTCCCTTCTTTATATTCAACCTGCGCGGTTTGGACTCGTGCACTGATGGATATGCAAACCTCATAGAGCGCAGTTGACTGTATATAGATATGAGTCGTCGTTGTTCATTGAACCCAGCGCTATGACGTGAGGGCATTTGCTAGTCAAATGATGGCAGATAGGCCAACACAAGATCTAGTTCTGCAGCTTGCTCGCTCGCGCTGTGGGCTGCGTGCAGATCTCTCGAGACCGGATCCTGGTGTTCCATGGGGACGCGGTCCGCCCACCACTCAAAGTTGGCTCACTGGTGCCTTTTGGTGGGCCAGCTAATTGTTGAGTCATTGGCCCTCGAAAAGCCTATCAAACACACAGACGGTTCTCCTCCGTTCCTGAGACTCACACACGGCTCCAAGTATCGAGAGGATGAGGAGAGAGCAACAACATAATCAGCCTCACTACAGCACAGGTGAACTGTCATCGATCATCGATGCTGACCGAGGCGGCTGCAACGTCATCCGACTTCGGTCGTGTATCACTTATCTGATCTTGCCCGCTCTTCTGACTCGTCTGCTCCGGTCAAGTGCTATCCACTCGAGCCTCCACCCGTCCTGTTTTAGTGTCTGACCTTACAGCCTAGCCTACTACGCTCGACAGCCGGAGCGAGGCCCGCATGATCCATGCCGTCTGGTGCAAGACTGCATTTGGCCCATTGCATTTGCATTTCTAGACCTGTGAATACGAAATGATACGACTTACAGAAAGAGCCGCACTGACCTCTCTCAACGAACCACCTAGGATTCTATTGGTGGACCTCACCAGTGTCTACTGTCTAGGGCCTGGGCAGCACGGTAAGCTTATTTTACTAGATGCATACTATACTCCCAATGCAGAGACAAGCCCGATCTTCTTGCTGCCATGGCCGAGAATGGTCTCTCGCTCTCTGATCGTAAGCACAGAAGATCCACATTCGTGGCCGACACGTGGGTGTCGAAGAACCATACGCTAGTGGCTGACGGATTCATTAAGACTTTAAAGAACGGGGACAGAGCCTAAATGTCACACGCGTAAAAAGACAGGGCAGCAGGGAAAACACACTTTGCAAGGTCGCAAATCATATGGATCACATCAAGTGGGTGTCAAAGGACGGCATCACAGCAGTGTCATTTACATCTTCATGCGCCACCACATGGCAGCCAGCTACCGCAGATTCTGAAGCACGCACAGCAGAACCGTTCGGATGAATGAGCTCCACTGCCATGGACGGGGCGGGGATGTAGTCAAGAGATGGAAGTCATTCAAAACACGCCCAAAAGAAAAACAAAAGGAGGTATTAGCAGCGTGGGGAAACAACAGGGGGACGCTCAGTGGTGTTGTCGAGAGATCAGCCCTTGATCGGTGCTTCTTGGTGCCATGACCACTTCACATCCCCCGGGAGGTTTCACAGTTCCAAAAATAAAAGACAAAAGGTCGTGGAGTAATGCATATTGCACGTCTAATGTTTGAAGTGCATAGCAACTAGATGGCACAAACGGTAGCATTAGCCTCCAGTCAACACTCACAGGCAGTCGAGCTAGTCGAGCGTGGGACACACTCGTTTTCCCATTCAATCTTGACGAGGGGAAACTTACCAGGCACAATGATAACGAGAAGCAGGACGATCACGCAGACCACGAGACATACGCGCATCTTCATGTCCTTCCACCACATATTTTTGCGCACCCGATTGGCACCCCGGCGGAAGCCCTGAGCGGACACAGCCAAGTTGTCGGTCTTATCCTGCAGGGAGTCGAGACGCTCTCCACGCTGAGAGACCTTGTTGATATTTTCACGCATCACACCAACAGTGTCATCGATTTGCTAGAGAATTCAGAGTCAGTTCAGCGAATCGCTATTGTTGCCGATCGCGGCTTGATGATGGCTGGCGCCTGGCGCTCATGCTAGCTGTGCACTGTGAAGCCGAAAAGGCGGAGAGCAGAAGGCTTGTCGATACTGTGTAGCGACAACAGCGATAATTCGGGCCATATTCAGGGCGGACGGGGGGTACTAACCGCCTGCAAAGCGGCCGTGCGCTGGTTGCCATGTTGTTGCGCGGAGGCAGCTCCGGGGCCACTGGAGCCGGCAGGAATATAGGGGTCGTAGGGAGCTTCGCCGGACATTGCGATGGTTTGTGATTTCGAGAAGGATGAGAAAGCGAGGTCGTTAGGCGTTGGTACAAGACCGGGTGGACTCAATGCTGTGATCGAAGTCGCTTTGTTTGGGCACAGGGGAACCCAAGAGGTAGGTAATCGAGGGATGAGAGGGGTTTCAATGGAAACAAGACTGACTGATAACCAGTCGCAAAGTAGTGTTGATGCGAAACAAGGAGTTGTTCAAATTGGAGAGGGAGGAGGCAGCAGTAGTGGTGGTGGTGGATGAGAGGAGGTGTGGCGTGAACGAGCGCCTCTCGCTGACAGTCCCCATCCGTGCACGTGATTTCGGAGGGAAAAGGGTAGCCTGGACTCCAACAGCATCTGTCTACTTTTGCGCCCAATACTGACTAGAGCGTGGCTTTGCCATGCATCATCATATGTTTTACAAGTAGATTTCGGTACTCTCATTATATCGAGTCCAGCTCAGATATAACTTTGGCACGTAATTTCTGAACCGCATGTTTTAAAGAAGCCTCTATGAGATTCTCAAATATTACACTAAGTCAACGGGCCTGATGCGAACAGTTCACGTCGCCAATAAACATGGAGAATTGCACTGTGTCTGATCTACTAATCTTGGAGATACATTGCAAGACTGCTTTTCTGAATTAATGTCTGTTGCAGCACAGGACTTCTTCCTCCAGGGACATTGTAGATAGAGTCGGGGCATTGTTCCGGTTGTCACCGGACCCATGGCGGTGTACTTGAGAACGTTGCTCAAGAAACGGGTCTATTCATAGAAGCGCTGTTCAGCGGGGCGCATGCAATGGAGCGGCGCCACACCACGAATTCTTTGCACATGCACCCCATACTTGACGTCCGTCGGTGGCGACTCCGAATTAATTGATCTATCGATCAAGCATAACTACAGGCAGCTACCTCAACATAAGACTCCACCAGCAACTCGTGGGTGGACTCGGTAGGTGGAGCAAATCATTCGCAGACGTTCATAAACAGTGACGACCCCTCATCTTCAGCATAATCCATGGCCTTTGATCTCTCATAGAGCCGAAGCTAAGACTCCGCTAGGTGGCTAGAGGCTCTGCCCTGTTCCCATGATGTTAAGGTCCCGCCTCAAGCTGTTCAACAAATCACGGGAGTCGTCAATCGGATGGGATAAGCTTCTCTACCCTTGTAGGAAGGGCCTGCAATCTGCATAACGCTGAGATATCTCCGAGTGTCTCTGCATGCCTCTCAAACAAGTACGGCGTTACGAAGAGAAGACCCCATCGGGCTTACTCGATTCAACGAACAAAAGAAAAAGCCCAATGGCTTTTATAAGCCTGTATGATTCCCTCAGTCCGTGGTGGGCTATGACTCGGTCGACGTGTCGTGAAAGAGAATGTCTAGCCATGCCGTGATCCAGAGGTATTAGCTTAAGTAGCGTCCAATCTGGGGGTGAATACCAGACTAGCTCCGCAGCGATCAGTAACGTGAAGGAAAAACCCAGCATGGAACGCGACAGGGTTTCAAGAACGACTCCTAATCAGCTCACCTTAGGGTTGAAGACATAATCCCGAAGCCAATTTACAAGTGCTCATTGTCCTGCCGTCACTCCCGGTGCTCCCCGATGCCGTATTTTTGCTGGTCCGTTTCAACATGGGGTTAAAACTGTCCAGCTTCGTACGTATTTCTTGGAGGATCTGTCGTATACGATTCAGTCGGACTGCCATATCGACGAGAATTTGCGTCAAAAGATGCGCCGTCAAGAGAAGAACAAGTGCTTCCTGTTCAAGTTCATGACCAGAAATCACTGGCTCCTCATCCCTTAGGATGAGGAGTGCGAGAGCGAGCCTCGGATCCCTGCGAACAGAAGATAGGGCATTGCGAGACTCTTCGTTCTGGCCGACATCTGAGCGGGAACCGGTGCGGCGCGCCATGGTCGAGTGAGAAGGAAGTCTGGGTGTCGGTGGTTGCGGCGGTCCTTTGATGCGATCCGTGATATTGGAAGCCAGGTCAATATCAAAGCCGAGATTACTGAGAAGAAGGTGACGCGGATGGCGAGATGAACGACGAGAATAGAGAAGGAGACAGGAGGATTGGGAGCGAGTGAAGTGAGGCTGTTGCGAGCGTTCAGCACAACGCTCTCTGAAACATTCGATTGATGGCAGCTCAACGTGGCCTTCGTGGGAAGCATTACACCTATTCATTTGACGAAAACTTGAAGACAATCGAGTGTTCACCGACTACCTCTACCACCGGAGGGATCCGGATGACCTCCAGAAAGTCATGGTGTACGGGCAGGAAGCGCACGAAGCGACCACTGAGACCGCGCATGCTCAAGCCGCGTATAACAAGCTCGCACCGTCGCTACAGATGACCCCCACCCCGCCTAGCGACACAATCACAATCAGCGAGTTTGCACGACAGGTCAACACGCGCAAATCGCAATAGTTTGCAACATACACCTTGAGGAAAGCCCGCAACCGCAACCCTACTAAGTTAGCGGCCGCCAAGGCAGGAACCGTGAGAACCGCGATTTAAAACGCAATAATCGCGACCGTAAACCCTGCGCGGAAGCCTGGGGATCCGAAGCCAACAAGGCCAATACCCGTCCCAAGCGTACAGGAGGAGATTCTTACAGGCCTAAATACAGTAATGATCGTGTCGACGACCAGCGTGATGGCAGCAACGATCGCCGTCAGGGACGCGCACGCGCTGATGCCAGGAGCACGCGCGATCGACGCTTCGTGAATGGCGAAAACTGGACGGACTCATCATTTCGACGAGAGAAGGTAGGTCGGAGTCTATTACAAGCGAGGGACTTATAGGTAGCCGTTCCGAATCAAGGTTGCCATCGTTGAAGGCGCAATATCATCCACGTTGACTTAGGGGCCTGAGAATCGCATCGTTGGTCGTCCCGACGCATTACTCCCAGTACAAACGACATGCTACAGGTGTTGGCCGAGTGAAGCTTCCGGAAGAAGCGCATGAATATACAGCACATGTCGAGGTACATGTCTGGTAGGACGCATAGAGGTAATCACTAAGCTCACAGACCGAAAGTTCAAATGACCTAGGTATGCCAAGTACTCGCAAGGTCCAGAATAGGAAACAATATGAGTAACACACCTGATAATGTAGGCATAGAAGCTGCATGTGCGAGGACTATCAAAAAAGTGAACGCACCTAGGCGAGTTCATTCTATTGACCTATACCTGGTTCGAAGAGGTGATTCATCTCACAGAAAGCTTCAAGCGTTAAATGCAACTGTAGCTCAGGGAGAACGGCTACAGGTATAGGGACTCGAGTAAATACATTTATCCTCTCCTCCTGGTCCTATCTCTAAGATTTCAGGTAGCTTCTCATTCCAGCTGATACATCAGTCTCTGCTAGGTGTTGGAGTAGAAAGTAGGACGGTCGTCCGTACATCGTAGTACCCGAATGAGATACTAACACCCATGAAGAGCTATTGTTGTCGTACACACTACACACTATACGATACACAGTAATCCATATATGGTCGAAGAAGAACAAAGAAGATTGAGTGCTGTTACACTGATATACATAGTGAGTCTAATGGTGCACGCCGATGCTGCTGTTGATGCTTCTGTTGAGATGCGATCTTTGACCTATATTGCGGAATCCACGTGGATAGATAGCACAGGATGATTGTCTTGGCTCCGTAGTAATCATCGTTAAGTAGGGCAGCGGGCCATCATGGGGACGGGCGGAACGAACCCCATTCTGAAGTGAGACTCGGGCGGAAGAGATGTGGGCTGTATCCCTATTTAGGTTAGCTCGCCGTTTTAGTATACCTGTACTATTGTAGCGAACCGCCGAATAGTTTCTTCTTCCCTATCATCACAAGTGCTGCGGGCCGTCGTGGCTTATGATGGAATTTTTGCTTTTGGCGGTGCACATGAGTTGTAAGCCAGTTGGGTGGGTTCATTATACACTTTACTCCTGCAGTGCTGTTGATTCCTTTCTGCACTCGACTGCAGTAGCACAACACTCGCTGCACGATTCATGAATGTTTCATGTACACTGCATCCTGTAATTGCAATTGAATCCTTCTTCACCTTCGTGCCAAATTCATTCTCCTATCTCTATTACAGAGGGCCCAGTGTCGAGCGGCCCAAGAGTCTCCCATGGCTCAGTGACGAGGGTTCATCACTTCATTAAGTTCATTGGCGCCTGGTGGAAAGAGTTGTTCCAGTACAAGTGGAGACCCGCTCGACCACACACAGTGCAAGACAGATAACCTGGCGGACGGGAACCGGGATTAGAACCGCGTTAGGAACCTTATGAGTGCATCCCTAGAAGCATCGAGGGGCATAAAGGTGTAGTAGTTGTTGAGACAACGAGTCAGTGGTCGAGTAACCAGTCAGTCCTTGATATCTCGGTGAGCGAGACAAATGCGTCATACTAAGACCAGACCGGCAGACTCTCTGTATTAGCGCCTGCTGAACCCTGGTGGCGACTGGCCCTTGTTCTCTCTCATGCCCCCTGATCGCCAGGCAGTAGGCAGTGAGGCACTGACTCAGTCAGTATGGCTGGAGGTACGGGATTCTTAAATGGAATGACGTCCTATGACATCCTATGACTTGAAAGTATGTATTCTCATGTTCTCAATATAGCCAGATACTCATCGGTAAGTACCTAGTACGCTAGGTAGCCTATTCCTAATGTCACATGAGCCGACTGTGTGACTAAATTCTTGGATACACGCGCGCCGAACGGCATCCATGGTACGTGCGCATCTGAATTTCATGAAGGAGTTGATTGTATCCATTCTTCTACTCCGTTACGGAGTGGCCCAAAATCCACACTCACAGTCTCACACCAGCAGGATTACCAGTACCAGCCAGTGCTGTAGGCCCCAGCCTTGGAACCTCAAAAGTACCACTTACCGGAGTTCGGCTATTAGTACCTAGTGAGTATCAACTATTCCTTAACTTCAGTACTCGAGTAATCTGTAGTCTGGACTCTGTGCTTCACTGTAGTATTGTAGGTACCTACTTTCTCATGCTGTTCGGAACTTGCGACCAACCTATCTGAATTCTAAGGTACTCCTGTGGGCAATATCGTGAGGCCTACTTCAGAACTGGCGCGAAGCGCCAACGTTAATAATAGTGACCTGCGTCTTAATAGTATTGAGTTAAGTGACCAAGTATGCAGAGGCAAATTGATGTCAAAACTAAAAATGGCCTCACATTCAATTTAGACACACCTTTTACCATTTGTCAATCTTCTGCAATTTAGCACAACAATCAGTACATAGGCAGACTGTCTTCGAGCTGACAAAGGATCATTCGGAACCCCAGGTGGAGACCCCATTCTGCGACTGATTCGCATGGGCCTTGAGTGGTGGTGGTGTTGGTGGTTGTGAAGTGGGCGTACCTGACTTCGGTGGGTCAGCGGTTCATTAAACCTCTCTTAGTGTCCTGGTCGGTTTGTTCGCAGTCCGCAACCCTCGGTCGTCTCAACTTTCTTCAATTACCCTTCTGCCCGTGTCTGTATTCGCCCGGCTGAGGCTCAAGAGTTGACGTCTCATCAGGGCGACGCCAAGGATTGTGGTAAGTACCACATTCCCCTCGCACCTGATCTCGAATGGTCAAGCACGTGGCACTGTCCCGTGTAGAGGGTGGAGGGGGGAGTTGTGCGCTCGTGAGCGTATGCTGATCTTGATCGTCAGCGACCAAAGGAGTCCTCCTTGCATGCTGCCCTAAGGGTACTCCATCAACACGAACACCTTCAGCCCATCTCTGGCGTTTGACTTTGTTTGCTCTCACAAGCAAGACGCCATGGCATATCCTCAGCACCCTGCCCAACGCGCGCCTCCTATGCGGCAGTACGACGCCCAAAGCCCAGTATCGCCGGTCTCAAGTCGTGGGTATGCGCCCGACTTCGGTTCAAATAGCGGATATACGGATAGACCTGGAGCACCTGCGGGCTACGAAGCGCGCCGTGGTAGCGACCGCAGCGCAGGAGGATACACTGATCAAGCCCACAGTTACCAGGCTGGTCCCGCGGGGGCCCCGCCGTATGGCTCGTCGCAACAACCACGCTCGGTGCGCCCGCCCCCGGGACCAGGTTCACCTGAGGCTCGTCGACCTCCGATGGGTTACAATGACCGAAGGGGCTATCCTGGGGATCGGCCCCAAGGAACGAGCCGGTCTCGAACTCGTAAGTGATTAGGCATCTGAACGTTGACACTCTCGCGCTTGCTTCGATCTAACAGGTAACCCCAGCTGGAGCCCGGCCACCACCCTCGGCAGGAAACTTTGATAGCCCATTTCCTGCGGTGCCAAGTAGTCGAGATCCCCGAGACCGACGCGGGCCTCCCTCTCGAGAGGCAAGCGGCATCGAGAATGGCATGGCGGCCATGGATATCAACGGCCAAGGTCTTCCTCCAAGACCACACACATCCAATTCCAACCGACGACGGCCGGACATGAGGCAGCCACCCCCACGGGGCCCTCCGCATAATTCAGGGCGCGGAGGCTATCCCCCGGGTCCAGCTCGTGCAGCTAGCTCCGGGCGAGATGATCGCTACAATCGACCTTATCAGGATCCCATGGGGCCTCCCCCACCAAGCCGAAGTGCGACTATGCCATCCCATATGGTTGCTCCAAATTATCCCGGCCAGCCTTCTTACAGGGAGCCGGATTTCACAGTCGCTCCTGTGAGCGAGGTGCCGCCACCGCGGCCAAACACGGCAGGGGGATGAGACCCCCGCGCCAGCCGAATTACGATATGGAGACGGGCTTCGGCGCGGGGGCTAGTACGGGTCTGATGCCTCCCATTTCACCCGATCCCGGAAGCCGAATTTCTTACGCGCCGAGAGAGTTCTTGGACACTTACTATGATGACGAACCTGACATGCCCAACTTCGACGCCATACCGAATTCTCGAGCGGGCCCTACGGATGAGATGGGCCTGGAGTCTCCAAAGCCGAATGGCCCATCCGCCACCTGGGGTGCTGGTCACCCTGGTCAAGGTCACCCTGGTCAACGACAGCCCTCTGTTCCTAATCAATTCGAAACCGCTGGCTTCCAATTCGACATACCATCTGACGGCTCCTCCATGCCAAGCTATGATAGGAATCGGGGTTATCCGCAGAACGGATACGGGCCTGGACATCAGAATGGTGCTACCTATGAAGCACCGCAGACTTACCCCCAACACCAACCACCACCACCGGTACAAAACGGAAATCCAGATGCACTTCCCCACCACCCAGCGCCGTTCCGTCCAGGTCACGACCAAGCAGCCAAGCCAGTCCCGGTGCGTCAATATGGATCTGCACCAAACCCACATCCCACACCAAACCCTGTCTCTATTCAGGCGAATGGCCCCGCGCCCGGTTCTCTTCCCGTCGCCGAATCTGGGCCCGAACCACTAGCGTCTCAGATGACGCCTGCCAAAGCTGAGGAGTCTAGACCCATTACACACGACGAACTTCAAAAATTACAAATGTCAGCACGGGGTAACCCTGAAGATCAAGGGCTTCAGCTCAAGCTCGCAAAGAAGCTCGTCGAGGCGTCCGTCGTGCTTGTGGCCGAGAATACCCATCTTGACCCAAAAATGAAAGCAAAAGCCCAGGAAAAATACACCCTGGATGCCCACAAGATTGTGAAGAAGCTAGCCTCGGCTGGATTCGCGGAAGCACAGTTCTACCTGGCCGATTGTTATGGTGAAGGCAGACTTGGTCTACAGGTAGATGCGAAAGAAGCGTTTTCTCTGTATCTCTCCGCCGCGAAGGCGGGCCATGCACAGTCAGCCTACCGAGTTGCCGTGTGTTGTGAGATTGGCGCGGAAGAAGGTGGAGGTACCCGCCGTGATCCCTTCAAGGCTGTGCAATGGTATAAGCGGGCCGCGGCGCTGGGCGACACTCCTGCCATGTACAAAATGGGGATGATCAACTTGAAAGGATTGCTGGGACAGAAAAGCAACCCACGCGAGGGTGTGTCGTGGCTCAAGCGTGCGGCGGAGCGGGCTGACGAAGAGAATCCTCATGCTCTTCATGAGTTGGCGCTCATGTACCAGAGTGCCAGTGGCAACGACATTATTGTTCGCGATGAAGCATACGCCTCTCAGTTGTTCCATCAGGCTGCTGATCTCGGCTACAAATTCTCACAGTTCCGTCTCGGTACGGCATACGAATATGGCTTGTTGGGCTGCCCGGTAGATAATCGCATGAGTATCATATGGTACACTCGCGCCGCCGCTCAGGGTGAGCACCAGAGTGAGCTCGCCCTCAGTGGATGGTACCTCACTGGATCGGAAGGAATCTTACAGCAGAATGACACCGAGGCCTATCTGTGGGCAAGAAAGGCAGCCGCAGCGGGTCTCGCCAAGGCCGAATACGCCATGGGATATTACACCGAAGTTGGTATCGGTGTGACGGCAAACCTGGAAGATGCAAAACGGTGGTATTGGCGTGCTGCTGGTAAGTTCCGATACTCCATGAAATTCGTCGACTTTGAAAGCAAGATACATCCGTACTAACCTTGCCATCTTTCGATTTGAATAGCACAAGGATTCCCGAAGGCACGAGAGCGTTTAGAGGATTTGCGGAGGGGAGGCGGTCGATATGAAAAGACCCGCCTGTCTCGTTCTGCTGTCAGCAAGCAGAGTGAAGGGGACTGCGTCCTCATGTAACTTGTATTTCTCTTGGTCCTTTTAATCTCCATGCTGAGCGCAATACTCGATTTGAACGTGCAGAACTGGCTTCTTCGCGCTCGCAGAGTGACTTGTATGTATCTCTTTAATGGTGACCGGCGCTTCATGATTGCCTTTGCCTGTGTACGAATTTTGTCTATATTTTCTTTTTTTTCCAGAGATTGACTTGATTTCACGGTATTGCCCTTCGTCATTTGACTTGTGTGACTCTTTGAATTTGTTCTTGAATCATCCCATACTGTGCTACTTTGTTTTTGAAGTTCTCTGCCACTATCGTTGGGTTCATGATTGATGTCCTCGTCGAAGTAGTCGATGTACATTACTTGCTTGGTTTCTATGGTCTTTACGTGATAAACTGGTGCTCCGATGCCAATTGCAGACGCTGATTCTCGCAGTACAAGGATGAACTCAATGAATCGCTAGCGGATATTTCAGTAAAGCTAGGAAGTCAGATCCCACCTAGGCAGGGCGTCGGAAACGGCACACGATCATATGCGAGCGAGTATGAGATGCAGAGTATTTCAGAACATTTGCCTGCGAAGCACTGTTTCAAGCAAGGAAAATGGCCCTCGCTCTTGTTTCATTGGCAGAGTTCACTGAACTCTGATCCTTCATGATTTTCTTGCCTGGGAGGTTCTTCCAGAACCCACGACATCAACTTCAACCCCAGCACAAGCAGTGTCAAATGTCAGCACTGGACTTAGAGGATCCAACAGCGGATTCTTTCCGCGCTTACACAGCGCCGCGGTTGGTCGCATGTCGGCATTACGAGAGCCGCGATACACCCGGCTATCCGACATCATGGAGTCCGTGTGATTTCTAAGAAAAGCCCACTTCGGAAGACAAATGAACCTGCGAGAAACTACAAGTTTATATGACCTCAGTAGATCTCCTGATTGGCAGGTGTATGTTCCATTTTCACCGAGTCGCAACCCAGTCGCCCGCTCTTCGAAGACCTGCACGAGACCCGGGTTCCATCTAACCTTGCACTTTTATCATTCGAGTTGCGTTACCTACTCAAGTATTCCGTTTCATGTCAGCTCGGACTCAACGACAATCCTCTCCGCCTGAGCAAGCTTCCACGAGTGCATATGCAAAGAATCGACGACTCCTTATCTATGCGACTCTGATCTCTATCTTTGTCGCCCTATTCGTGTTTATCTCTCATCAAGACACCGCCAATCTGTCTGTCCTACGTCGTTTTTTCTCTTCGTCCTCGCGAACTACTACGTGCTCCGGGATTGCACAGATCTCGACCTCTCGTGCCAATTTATCGACAGCAGATATGAGAACTCCGATATATTTTCTAAGCCATGGTGGGGTAAGTCTTCAACTTGATTGACTCATGAACTGGGTAGTGTGAGCCAACAAGCATACCTATGAACAAAGTAACTGACCATTTTCCCTCCTCAAGCCCAATATCATGTATGATGTGGAACACCCAGCGTACAAAGAACTCGGCAAAATCGGGCGAGAGATCACGACCAAAGTCAAACCGAGTGCCGTCGTAGTGTTTTCCGCGCATTGGCAAGGGGGTCGAGACACGATCTATGTAAACACGGCCGAGCATACAGAACTGATCTATGAGTGGGTCGCAAAAGGCCTCTTTTACACTTCTGTTAGTGACAATCACTAACGCGTTGGCACAGCTTCTACGGCTTCCCGAGTCATTACTACGAGGAAAAATACCCGAATGTGGGCAGTAAGACGGTGGCGCAGAAAGTGCTCGATGCATTGAAGAATGCTGGAATTGACGCCAAGGGCGTACAGCGTGGTCTTGACCATGGTGTCTGGGCGAGTTTCAAGTGTGGTGAGTCTAGTAGATGTCCCATTCGTAGCCGAGGACTCTCCGATTGTGGCCAGACCTATGTTAACCTAACAGGGCGGATAGCATTCGAACCGGAGTCGAATCCGTTGAACGTCCCCATTGTGCAGGTCTCTCTGTTTGACTCCGAGGATCCAAGCCAGCACTACCGACTCGGCCAAGCCGTTTCGCGCCTGCGAGAGCAGAATATCCTCATCATCGTGTCTGGAATGGCGGTGCACAATCTCCGTGATTTACGATTCGCGTTTGGGAATTCGCGTCCCTTGCCATACGCTGTTAGCTTTGACGAGGCTCTGAAGGACGCTGCGACCAAGTCATCTGCGGAGCGGGAAAAGGCTCTCGTCGACCTTCTCAAGCGGCCGGATGCCCGTCAGGCTCATCCGACGTTTGATCATTTGCTGCCCATTCATGTTGGCGCGGGTGCGGCGGGCGAGGATCGGGGTAAGAGACTCTGGACAATGCCGGAGGGTAGCATGAGCTGGGCACAATACCGTTTCGGAGAGGTGGACACTGCCGGTGGAAGCTCATTGTAGACTGCATTGGTGAGGATGAGAATTTCAACTATGAGCTCGAAATCAATTGGATGAGAGAGAGAGAGAGAGAGAGAGAGAGAGAGAGAGAGAGAGAGAGAGAGAGAGAGAGAGAGAGAGAGAGTGTGTGTGTGTGTGTGTGTGCGTGAGCGTGAGCGTATGTGAGTGAGAGGGCGATATTGTAAATTTTGATGAGGTTTCATTTCCACCTATAGGGTACAAGGTACAATAGACTGTTTGGGGAAGAAGTACACGCGAAAAAGGACACTTCAAAAAGGACGATGCGGAGGAGGCTATGCCAAGAGGAGGGAATGTCGTTATGAGGCCTGCTTCACCAGATTCGTGATGCGCTCCTCAATCTGGGAGTCGGACAGCCCTAGGCAAAGTTAGCCCGCAAGGTCAAACTGGCTGGAGTGGCTCGAGACATTACCAGACAGAGCTTCTTGAGTCTCCTTGCCGAAAGCTACAACGAAAATCATTCAACTTAGCATCAGTCTCTCTCGTACACTCCAATTGGAGCTTATGCATGATGGTACGAGTAGCGGTAGAAATTCTAGCGTACCGTATCGGGCAAAGACTCGCGGCTCGGTACCGGCAGCCTCGCGGATCATGATGGGAGTGTGCGGGTTGTGCTTCTTCATAGTGGGATAGGCGCGGTTGATGAAGGATCTGTGTATTGATCGCATCGAGTCAGCTAGTTGGTCGCTACCATTTTGAAGAGAAAGCGCGCCGTGTAAAGGCAGAAGAGCTCGATCCGATGTGCTAGGCTGATGGACCGACCTTGTCGCAGCGCTCTGCTCGGAGGATTGGCAGAAGAGAAAACGCAGCTCCTTCAGGCCTTTGGAAAAGACGTATTTGCCGGACATTGTGATTTTTGAATTTTCTCAGATGGAGGGAGAGCGATGTGAAGCGTCGAGGTCGAGGGGTATCTTGCAATCAAGACAGGACCGGAGGTGCGTTATTCGCGGCGACAGTGATTCGCCCAGCAAAGAGACACCGCCGCTAGTCTCCTTTCGGTCTTCCGACGGGCCCTCGAGCCTTGCTTACATCAGCTTGCTTAGCGGGCGGTGAGACTTTATTGTCCAGTTCATCTGTTCATGCAGGACAAGGTACAAAGTAAGACAGTGATGATTCAGATGATTCCGGTACTAGAAAACGAGCATTCCCCTATTCCTCGAGTATTCCACCTTAATTTGAATCTACTTTGACTTCTGAGGTCAAAGTGAAGTCCACGGCGCGAAATGTAAGCCTACGGAGATAAACATGGATGTTGGGCCCGTTCACCGGCCGATTCCGCCCTGCGCACTTCTCAACCCTTCCCGGAACATCTTTAAAGACTCGGTCGATTGATCCTCTCTCCACTCCTCATCCACCACATTCACATCATGTCGTCCTCGCGTGTGGGATTCCGTTTCCTCAACAATACGCGTTTTGCGTTCCGCAATGCCTCTGCGCCGTTCCGCCGGCCGGGCGCCAAAGGTTTCCGCTTCCAGAGCTCCGAGGCCGGCACCGCGGAGCAGCAGAGCACTTTCCAGCGTATGTGGAACAGCCCAGTTGGTGTCAAAACTGTGCACTTCTGGTAGGTTATTGCACAATCGTGCTATAATTATTCTGGTCTGGAAGGGCGCACTGAGACTAATGTGCCGTCAACAGGGCTCCCGTCATGAAGGTACGACTCGCGTGACTCCGATGGTCCTCTTCGCTGTAATGCGCACGTCACACCCTTGATTCCACAATTTGATTACTATTGAGGGTTCGAAAGATCGATTAATGCCATATTGGACGGGAAGCGAACACAACGACATAAGCGTGTACGATGACTGATTTCTCTTCGCTGCGCAGTGGGCTCTCGTCATCGCCGGTATCTCCGACTTCAACCGCCCTGCCGAAAAGCTCTCCCTGACCCAGAATTGCGCCTTGATGGCCACTGGAGCCATCTGGACACGGTGGTGCCTGATCATCAAGCCCCGTAATGTCCTGTGCGTTAACTCAGTGAACCGCTCAAACTGCCGCGCTCTCAGCTAATATTGTATATCTCCCAGGCTTGCCGCCGTGAACTTCTTCCTCGGATGCGTCGGTGTCGTCCAAGTGTCCCGTATCCTGATGTGGCAACGCAGTCAGAAGGGCTCGACTATCGAGGCTGTCAAGGAGATTGAGCAGGAAGCTGCCGATTCGGTCAAGTCTGTCGCCAACGAGGCCGAGAAGGCTGTCAAGACTGTTGGGGAGAAAGCCACTTAAACGCGCATCTTCGGCGATTCGGATAAATCAGGCACAGCTTTCGTCGCAAGGGATGACTATATGGGACCGATTTGAGCAGACTATACTTGGGTATCTACAACGAAAATCTTGAGCTGGGCAAGGGGCCCTTTGGAAAAGGGGGAATCATCTACCTCGAATGAGTCTCGACGCGTGGCGATCTGCTTCAAACCCCATCATGTCTTTAGAGGACCTGCTGTACATATATCTCATCTATGCAGTGATCATTTCGTGCCCTGATGTGGATTTTGGATAAATCTTCCATGATACGCCCAGCGTACCATTTCATGCCTCGGGCGTCTCAAGAATTGATTTATTCAGTATGCAGCTAGTATTCGAACCAGTGTCCATGTTTTCTGACGAAGCCAAGATTGTTGCGCGCCTCAAGCTCATCCAGCAAGGTCGCCGATCATCCCCATCAGGCCTGCTATGGCCGTCTGGCTCACGACGTCATTCCTCTGCAAAGTGCGAAAGGAAGCGATGTCCAATCTTTATACCAAAGTGGTGTTCTGTAATTGGCTACGGCAGATGATTTATTCCTCTCTTTTTCCTTTTCATTTTCTTTCTTTTCTTTTCTTTGAGAAAGGATGAGAGCATTTCATTCGAGGATGTATCACCGCGGTCGCGCTCACGCGCGATCCATGCTTCAATATGTCATTTACCACGTATGATTCGGGTCAACGATGTCTGTTAAGTGTGAACGACTATACCACTGCGGTGCCTGCGCTGCATTACAGCTGTAAAGCATACTCGACTAAACGAGGACATAGCCGAAAATTGCCTCCACGACGCCCTGTTGATAATCTTCTGGCGGGGATTTTCCTCCCAATCGGCAAAATCTCCACAAAGATCTTCCTCCAACCGCACAGGCGCAATCGTCTTCACCGACGAGCAACGAGCTTCCTTCAATCTCCACAAGCTTTGCTAAAGCGACGGATTGTATGCATCGGCACTGAGTGCCCCCTCACGACAGCTCCGGCTTCCCCACAACATCCCAACCCCATTTCCCCGGACAAAACCTTCAGCCTGGGTTGACCCCACTGATTGATGACCGGGGTTTGATGAGCACCAGTATCTGATGGATCTGCAATTGCAATGTGCCGAAGAGTGCGGTTTTTGGAAAACACATGAGTGCGGCTTGACCTCGATCATCACGGAGACTATAAATACGTAGAGGCGGACGCGCACTTGATGGATGTTAGCTGGCATGCTCCTATCTCCCCTGTCTATCGATTATTGACAGCCAAATCCTTTACCATTGGATTTCCCCTTATACCACCTGACTCACTATGAAGGTCACCAGTATCCTGGCACAGGCTATTGGCCTTACTCTGTCCCTCAGCACCCTCGCCGAGTCCAAAGACCATCGCTCTCGCAACGATGCATGCCACCCTCATCATCCTTTCCATCCGCTTCCCGGTAGTCAACATCGCCACAAGACATGTCACGTTCCAAGCAATGGAGACGGCACTGATGATTCTGCTCATATCATCTCGAGCCTGAAGAAGTGCAACAATGGCGGCAAAGTCGTCTTCGACGCCGAAAAGACCTACACTGTCGGCAAGGCTATGGATATGACTTTCCTCAAGAACATTGATCTGGGTGCGTAGTACTCAATTGCAACTTTACTTGCGCCTCATGATCTTAGGCATCAAGCCACGCCGTACAAGGAAAGAAATCTAACGTGGCTCGTGACAGAAATCCTCGGCACTATTCAGTTCACCAATGACACCGACTACTGGCAGGCGAATTCCTTCAAGCAAGTCTATCAGAATGCCACTACTTTCTTCCAACTAGGTGGCACAGACGTCAATGTCTACGGCGGTGGTACCCTGGACGGCAACGGACAGGTCTGGTACGATCTGTACGCCAAGGAGCCTCTCATCCTGCGGCCCATCTTGTTCGGTGTTATCGGCCTACACGGTGGTAGCATTGGCCCTCTTAAGCTGCGCTACTCGCCACAATGGTACAACTTTGTCGCCAACTCTTCGGATGTTCTCTTTGAAGGCATCGATATCCGCGGCTATAGCAAGAGTTCCCACGTGGCTAAGAACACCGATGGATGGTGAGTATTACCACAGCTGTGAAGAGAAAAGAGTTCATGACATGCGATAAGAGAAAAAGCCACTGACAGGGACGAACAACGTAGGGACATTTACCGATCGAACAACATTGTGATTCAGGATTCAGTGATCAACAACGGTGACGGTATGGTTCAACAATGAAAGCTCTTCACATTCACCTTTCCTCAGAAATGCTGATCGTTCTCTAGACTGTGTGTCTTTCAAGCCCAACAGCACGAACGTCATCGTTCAGAATCTTCACTGCAACGGTTCCCACGGTATTTCCGTGGGCTCGCTGGGCCAGTACAAGGACGAAGTTGATATTGTTGAGAACATTCTTGTCTACAACATCTCAATGTTCAATGCATCGGTAAGCCCCACCGGAGACCAGTGATGAAGTCCGTAACTTCCTTTGACCGTGCTCTGACACTTTATGTAGGACGGTGCCCGTATCAAGGTCTGGCCCGGTGTTGCCTCGGCCTTGTCCACAGACCTCCAGGGTGGGGGTGGTTCTGGCAGCGTGAAGAACATCACCTACGATACCATGACCATCCAGAATGTCGACTACGCGATCGAGGTCACTCAGTGCTACGGACAGAAGAACCTGACTCTGTGCAACCAATTCCCCGTAAGTTACACCCGCCTGCGCTTTCCAACGCTATTATTGCAAACCTTGAATCATGCTCTAAATTCTTCCCGTCCCGCAAACAGAGCAGCATGACCATCTCAGATATCCACTTCAAGAACATCAAGGGCACAACCTCGGGAAAACGCGACCCTATTGTCGGAACAATTGTTTGCTCGAGCCCAAACGTAAGTCCCTCAGTCGGTTGCTATTCGGCACTTTATCACGACGTTTACTGTGAGAAATGAACCTGACCATCTTGTCCTAGGTGTGCTCCAAGATCTACGCCACAGATATCGATGTTTCTAGTCCTGGCCCCAAGGACTACCATAACGATTTCGCCTGCACGAATGTGAGTACTGTATCAATGAATGAATATTCACTGGCATGTGAATGTACAGCGATTGATCACTGACACAACTTAATACTCTAGGTTGACGACAGCCTGCTGGCCGTGAATTGCGCTTCCAACTAGATTGGAATCCTGATTGACGTGAAGGTGGATCTGAGCTTGTCAATGATCCAGCCACCACAATCTCTCAATGTAACAGCGGAATGCACATAATAACCTTGCATGTATCAGTTGGATGCCCTTCCCCCCTGTACTGTACCCGACTAGTTGAATGTTGAATATGGTAGACGAGAAAGGCCACACCGGGAAATACTTGATCCACTATAGCATTTGTAGAAAACCCTAGTTGCGAGTGGGAGCTGAAAAGTCCACTTAAGCTAAACTTTCTACAGATGAACGCATGTTTCATCTATCGTTTAGAGCCTCTCCAGCAAAGAAAGTCAATTCGCCTTTCAACTAAGGACTACCAATGTATTATAAGGTCCCGATCCACTTCTACCGTTCCAAGCTACTCACCTTGTTCTGGATTTCCATAATATACTTTCTCCTCCCCAGACCGGCTGTGGAGTTGCGGCAAAAATGACCTGTCGTAGAATCACACAAATAGATTTGCTAGGTACTTCCGCTTCTAGCTCGAAACTGAATCACCTTTGCGTAGACACGAAGAATCTGGTTGATATACAGTAGATCTTGAACGGACATTCCTTGCAGTGCTACTTATGGCTTGTCGCATTCAGAGTCGGCGGATGGTGAACGATAACAGCCACGCTGGGCATTTGTACCTCGTACCCGAGCCTCTGGGGTATTTGAGGTTGATTCCTTGATTGAAACCGCATACGTTACCTATTCTTATGTATGCCCCGTGGACGTATTCGGGGTTCGCACAATTGCATGGGAGTCTCAGTTCTTTCGGCATCTTCGGGATCAGACAGACATTCATGTTCCAGCAGGGTGTGGTGATTCTCTTATAGTGCTAAGGTTATATCTCACTTTGCCCCTTCCTTCTGCGCTTCCTCCTGCTCCTCTTCTACTATTCCTCTCTTGTTGTAATCCATACAGAACGCAATATTGACGATCACTCATGCAATAATTTCCCTGATCACTGGCATAAAGACTTTTCCCAGCTTCAAGTGGACGCCGATGGCCACCCTCTGGCCCAAAACCCTAGATATCGATATCACAAACGATGCCGCTCAATAAACGAGATGAGAAACACAAAATAATGAACCAAAGTAATAAAAAATGCCGAACATATATGCCCAATTCTCGCCCGATCGTGTGTCAAGTACCCGTGAACTCACTCGAGACTCAAAGTTTTCCTGGTCATTCATCCTGTAACAGGACCTTGAGCTTCTCAAGCTTGTCCTCACAATGCACTTCCATCTGCATGATGACATCAACGGCATCCTTTTTGGTGATGAGTAATTGGGAAACGAGCCAGAAATTATACCCGTTTTTGTAGAAACCCATCGAGGCCCATTCGTCCTTGGGGACTTGGCGGCTCAGGGAGATCCAGTAGTCACGCCAGCGATTCAGGGCCGTGCGGATAGAGCCTAGTATTGAGTCTTCGGGAATCATACTCAGAGTCATGCTGCCCTCTCCTTGGACGGGCTGTAGGGCGAGAGCTTGGCGCCTGATCAAGCCCACCAGAGTCATGTGTGTGTTGATGAATGCGAAAAGCACTGATTGGAGAAGCTACTAGTCAGCGCATCTTCGACCACATGTAGCGACGGCGGATGTACGAACCGTGAATGACAATAAACATGTCCAAGATAGTGAGCTGCAAGCGTGTGCTAGACGCCGAAGGTGCCGGACTTCCTTGTGGGGGGCTTTCGAACATGTGTTGAAAGGCCTCAAAGATGGACAAATCACGCGAGAATCGAAAGTTTGGATCTTGAAATGGATGGGGAGACCGGAAAAGAGCCTCTTCACATGGCAGTTCGCTTTCTAATTCTCGATGCGTCAGGCGACACGGATAATTCTGGTAGAAGAAGAAAGCGCAGTCCAGCAATGACATGAGACTGATTGTCCTGTTTCTGGTCAGTACAAAGGACTCCTTTGAATGCGATCATGATCCATACCGTATACGACACTCCCTTTGAATCCACAACTGCTCATCATACTCTTCCCCGTCCAGCGCATGTCGAATTCTCACAAGTTTCAGACGGCGGGCGACCTAGCTGTTGAGTCAGCCATATGTATGATGGTGACGGATAAGCGACGCGAGGAATCGACATCCAATTTACCTTTAAAACCTCACTGAATCGATTTTCCATTGCCCGATTCTTGGAGGACCGACTTCCAGCCCAGTACTGAACAATGAGAATGACAAAGCCGGCTTGAAACGTCTGAAATCTCGTCCAGTCAGAGGCTTCGTCCTCCAGACTCGGAGCCCCAGTGTAAGTGCTGGCGACCTCGAATTCAGGCGAATACATATGACTGGAGAAGATGTACAGTTCGGCAATATCCAGCATTCGCTTGGCCAAGTGTGCTTCCTTTGGATCGGAGCTGTACATTGCCCCGAAGAACGTGACTGCAGCCAGTAGAGGTGTCCCGACGGTCTCCAAGTTGAAGGTGGGGACGTGGATCATGGCGCAGCTTGGCTGCCAGTACTTGAAGTAGAGCGAGACGAATTTGCGGACGCGGGCCGTAGTGAGCAAAAGGCCAAGATTCGCTGAAATTTCCTCCTGCGTTTTCGCATCCAAAGGTAATGTCCAGACACGCGCCATGATATTTTGGACTAAAGCCATGGCGAAAGGCTGCTCGGGCTCGAAAATAGTCGTCTGTCCGGGTAACGCCAATTGTCCATTGGGCACTGTCGCGAACGATGTCGGAAAAGCGTTCGGTAACTGGTAAGGACCTTCCATGTTTTTGTGTTCGCCAAATGGACCGTTGAAGAAGTCCACGAAAGTGTCTGGGTAGAATTGCAGATTGCTGGGGTCAGGTCCTCCAAAATCCGCGGGAAACCCAGCCTGGTCACCCTGCATGCCAATGTTGACAGGTTGGAAAATCTCCGCATCAGGACTACTCTCTTCCAGCGTGCCTTTCTGATTGTATACCAAGTTTCGTTCCGCGTCGTTTCGCGGTGGTAGTCTGAACCCCTCGGTGAATGATTCAGTGCCGCCATTCAGCAGGAATTTGATCGACCCGCGATCTGACGGCTGTCTGTATAGTGGCGGTCTTCGAGAGCCAGGGTTGGGTGAGAGTTTTCCTACAGTCAAGGATCAGTCCCCGGGTTCAGTATGTCTTTCCAACCGGTGGACGACTGACCATCTTCAATACTCGGCGCTGGACTGGGCCCATTCGCATTCTCACAGATGAAGCCTCTCTTCACGCAGGATTCGCATGGGGTGTTGCCGTCACAGCGCAATTTCATCGCAGTACACTGGAGCTCGTCGAGTCAGCGCTTCGATATTCTTTCACCATACCAGGCCACATCGACCCTGGCTTCGGCGTCTGTAGAGACGACTTACCGATTGACACGCATGGCGCCGGCGGCCTCGCTGGCCGGTTTCGGGTATCTTGCGATCGCCGCGCTGACTGCAGTCGGTATAGTGATCCCGAAGGTTATCGCTGCGGAAGCGCATTAGCTACCGGAACCTCTCCGTTGGGGAAATCTTGATCGAGGCGTCTTTTGCGACTGACCACCGCGCGAAGGATTCGTTACAAAAAACACAGGAATAGGGCTTCAAGCCGGAGTCTATTTAAATTGAGCAACGAGACGACGGGGGATACTTTTGTAGGTCGGGGAGGAGCAACATACGTCTTAGATGGTGCCGCTTCAGATGATCAATGCGCGTGAAGCCCCGCTGACAGATGGTGCAGCGAAAGTGCTTCTCGGCGGGCTTCATGTTTGTCCATCGGGGAGGAAGATGGACCAGATGAGGGGAAGAGAGGAGAGAAATTGGGGACGGCGGATCAGACGGGGTTCCCAAGAGGGGGAGCGAGTTGGGTAAGAGTTTGGCTGCAGGAGGAAGAGGAGGATGTAATGAGATAGTAATTATCGATGGGTCCCGGATAAGATTAGGATTTAGGGGTCGTCGGTATGGGGGGCGTATTTGTACCGGCCGGTTGATTGCGGGCGTTCCACTGCCGGTGGCCCAGTGACTCTGACTAGAAAGTGGGCGGGCACGTGGTGGTGTGTCACGGGCGCAGAGCAGAGCAGTCCTGCAGTCCTGCAGTCGGATCGAATCTGGGTATGATCGGTAACGGTATCGTAAGACTCTTGTACGGCCGAGGCACTCGACACCTAGATTGATGATATCACCAGTCCACTGCAATACGAACAGTCAGGAATAGGAAGGTCAATTGTTATCTGAAGGATAGCATCACTCAACTGGTCAACTTACTCCAGTCCCTAACACTCCTGGACTCTCATCGATTACCGCGGTGCTCATTTCTTTCGCCTCCACATCTACGAAACAGGCTACGGGGCTCTAGATGAAAGCTTCCCATAATGATTGCCAGCATCGGGTGATTTAGTTGGTCAACTGGGTAGGTGGTACAGTTCAGGAAGCGGATCAAGAAGACTGACACAACTCGTCCAGTGCATGCACTACTGGGACTAGTTCCAGCCTGAACCTGGAATAAGGCAGGGAAATAATGATTCGTTGAACCGAGGGATTTCCAAATGCGTGCCCTTGCACTGCCCAAGTGCCCATTGCTCTTCTGCAGCAATATACCCTACGCCTCTCGAAATCCCATTTTGACACAACAAGAAAGAGCGAGGGCCGTGGGCAACCTTGCACTTCACCACAAGGTTGTCGGAAATTCTCTGAGAAGCCGACAATGACTCAGTGGATCATAGACAGGTAGCAATGTGAATTTTCAGATGGAATTGGATCCGAGGACTTGATCTGAAGTCCAGGCCAATGTGACGAGGTTTGACACAACAACGGGTAAAGCACTCATCCGGATCAGGAAGACTATGCTCCTGCACCTGTCTTTCGTGGCCGGCTAAGAAGGATAAATCGACGCCCTCTCACAGGATGTTGACAGAATGCATTATTTCGGCCGGTTGTGGAAAGTCCACTCGATCATCGTCCAAGTAATCGACGTTGATCTGATCAAGTTTTTCATTCTGCGTCCAGCCGTCTCCAAACCAGCTCATTGGGTTGTTGTTGACATACTCAATGTCAAAGTCCTCCCATCGAGGACTCGCGACGACCTCAATCGCATGAGGGAAGATCCTATTAGCAATCAGTCACTTGCTGCAACCAAAAAAACTCCCCGATAATGCGACCATACCAGGCCAGAGTGCAATCACCCGTCCATCCTCAGTACCACCCTTGTACCAACTTTGACAATTGTCAGCGAACACGGTGCCCGCGAAGCACGAGTCACAGTACTGAGTGAACAGGTGCACCGCGTTAGCTTTCATCGAGAGCGCGCGAATATTGTCACGCTGGACCTTTCGGATGCATTGCGTGAAATTGTCAATCTGGCGCTCGATGAGAATGAGCAAGTTGCCGCCGTCCAGTCCAGTATTGGACCCCCAGGAAGTGTAATAATTGGGGAACCCATTCACAGCCACCGAAAGATAAATTTCGGGGATCTGCTTCCATCGTGTCGCCAGTGTCATTCCTGCTCGTCCTGTGATTGGAAAGTGCGGAGTGTGGGTAGTATCGAACTCGGTTGCACAAACAATGGCATCGACCTCTCGGTGTTCACCATCTGCTATAACAATACCTGACCGATCAATCTTGGTAATTTCTGATTTAATCTAGGTCACTTTGTCGTCGGTCAAGGCCTCAAGGTAGCCCGGACCAGGGGTCAGGCGCCTGCAAGCTGGAGTAAAGGAGGGCATCAAGTCATCCATCAACTTGTGGCTTTTGCCCAGTCGTCTGGTCATGTTCTCGACGAGGAGCTTCTTCACCGACAATTGTTGAGGACGGCCTGTCAAGGTCATTCCATGAACCGATTGTAATTCATATTCCACTTCTGCGTGCGGGAATACTCAGCAAAATCCCTTCAAGCGTATGCAAAGGGGGGAGGATGCAAAGACCAGATCAGTAGGACGATTCCAACATACTCTTCCGAAATCCTGATGATCAGTTTCAAACGACTTGATCTCTTCAGCAGTAAAAGTGTCTATGAGAAATGAGTCCGAATCGATGAGCAAGCTCACAACACCCGAGCGTCGATGGAGGACTTCCTCACAATTGTCAAGCTCGGAGCCACGCTGCTCTAGATATTCTCTCGCAAAGCGAGGAGCAATCCATGTTCGACTGCGAACATAGTGGTCAATATGAGCTACCTGTTGCAGCATTCCCAGCACAATTTGAATCGAATACCACTTGAGCTGTTTACAATGACGGCTACGCGTTGATTCTATGAGCGAGTTTCAGTATTCATCCCACCTTGGGGAACGGTAGTTGAGAGGCTCACCGAGTGATCATAGTCAACATCCCACGATGCACTATGTAGTAGTTTCCCCCCAAAGTCATGCAAGCCAGGGATGTTGGGCCATCTCCGGTTGTTGAGTGCGCCCGTAGCCTGAATGATCACATTGGCCTTGTCAAAAAACATATAGCCAGTTATCGTATCTTGTACCTGGAAAGCGCCGTCGTCAGAAATCGAAACAGCGACTGGTTACGAGTGCCTGTGGACGGTATGCAGCAATGTCATTGACTTTCACGTGCCACTTGGACTCCTTTTCCACCCAAGTGGCCTGCTTGACCTGATATATCAATCTGATTTATCTCATGCATCGCTCCACTATACCTTTCCAGTCCCGGTAAATCTCAGTAGACGAGGCATAAAAAGATGACGATTTCTCGTTGGACTCAAAGGTTGCCTGGTAGGTATGTGCAGGGATGTCTTTCGATAATCAGCATGATTGGGTGGAAACTCTCAGTACAGATCACTCAGCATCACAACTTGATGTCATGTAGTGCCTGTTGTACTGACTTACCACATGTGCAGCCAGGATATTGATTCTCAAAGTCAGATTCTTCTCAATTAGCCAGGGGTTTGCAGCAATATTTAAGGCTGAAAGTTACGTATACGTCTCGAAGTTCGCAGCGTGGGTAACATCCAAGCTTTCACTGCATGCTTGAGAGCTCTTAGAACTCAACTTACCTCTAACCAAGTTCCTCCAATATCAGCATTCTTGTCATAAATGCAAAGATCAAGATTCGGCACTCTCTGGTTCAGGCGAATGAAGGCGAGAATGCCCGAAATGCCAGCCCCGATGACAACAATCCGCAAGGGTCGGCTTTCATCTACAGCTCGAGGCTCAATCAAAATGTCGGAAGCTGTTGATTGTAGGGGACTCATAATGAAGAGCTCGCACATTGCTCTAAATACGATTTGGGGTGGAGAAGTAGCACTATGAGGGCAAGGAAAAATTACGAGGATGGACATCGAGGAGAAGATAAGCCGAGGGGCTCGTCAATTCTGCTAGAAACTTTCAGCCCCCGACCCTCAGCTGGCTGTACTTTTGATCTTGCCCCAGTAATTTTGGAGCAACTTGAACAGTTCATACGCTTACCTGACGCTCACTCCATATTATGCCATCAGCGTGCCCTGGACACTTGAAGGGTGCTGCTCAGGCTAGACCCGGGTGAATGGGAAGCTTTTGCGCCATTTCGCCTATGATTCCTCACTACTCGGCGCTACTCCGATGACTTTTTCTCGTCTTTGCGTCGGATACTAATTATGGATGCATTGGACTGTAGACGCACAAGCTTGAATGATTCCACTATGCTCGCCGGAAATCCCCCTCGGATAGTGTTCACATCTAGATTAACATTAAGCTCGGGTGCACTTCGGTTTACTGGTACATGCGGGGATGAGGCTTCCGAGGAGGAGTCCTCCCCGAAGTCAAACTGCCCCGCACGATCGGATCTTGGAGAAGAGAAACGGTTCCCCGAATCGCATCCACTTTGTCAATGGGCATGCCATGTCGACCGTGCAGATGGCTTCCATGCAGGTAAGTCTTGATGCATGGACGTTGGACTCCGATTTGATCGTTCCAGCCTTGTATTTCCGTCTCAACTCGGCTTTAGACTACCATCGACCACCCCCGATCCCAACTGCCGACGACCATGAATTCATTTGTTGGTGCGACCGGTGTTTGGGGCACAGCGAGATGGATCGATCGAGCTGCCACGCATTCAACAACGAGCTCGACATCATTTGGTCTAGCGCACGCTAGGTGTTGTAGAGGAACCTGTCTTTCTGATATCCAATATATCGCGTGTCGGCTCAATCAGACATCCATCGCCCAGGCGCGGCAGGTCTTGGGCCTGGCTGTGCCTCTGATCCAAGCCAGGTTCCCACGAGCTACCGAGCCTTTTGGAAGGAGTCATGACTCGCCCTCGCGTTGGTGGAATTGAGCTTTTTCGGTTCAAGACAAGCCATGCATATTACATAGTGTACTTCAACGATTGGAATTTGATCAACTTGACCTGACTCGGCAGCACCACTCTCTTTTCAATACTCTGTGACGTCATGCGTCATGCGTCATGCCTAGTACGGAGGACTCAAAACTGGCGATAAATCATCTCTCGATCCAGCGGCTTCCGCCCGCTCAGTGAGGGTTGTTTCGAATGAAAATATATCTCCCGGTCAAACCAGTCGTCCAGACTGCCAGCGGTTCTCTGCAGTAGGCCGGCAGAGAATACTGGAATCAAGCTCCCCAAGCCGCTCCACCCTGCAGTGTGCGCCTCAATTGTCACTGGAGATCGGTTCTTTCAGAATCATTGCTAGTGGAGACTATTGAACCTTGCCTACCGGACAATGTGGACTCACCCCTCAATTGACGGGTAAATAATCGCCCCTCCGAGCGTGATAACGGTGGGCCAGCACACAACTCAACATTGGCGAATTGCATCATTTCAGTAAAGCGTTCATCCCACTCCTATCACAGTGTTCCCAAACGAGCACAAAGCCCCTCATGAACCCTACCGCACACCCAACCGTTGAGTGAACCCTCTTCCTCCGGCTTGAAAGACCACACCTTCCAAGCGACCGTCATGCCCGTCTTCACCGAATACTCTGCATCGTCCCGAGATCTGCGGGTCCTGCCTTCGTTTGCACCACCACTCCCTCGACTTGCGCCGACACCACGGGTCGAGGGTGGTGATGCACAATACGAGGTTATCGTGGTTGGAGCAGGTCCCGCGGGACTGATGCTGGAGTTACTACTGGCACGATATGGATTGAGCGACGAGTCCTTGCTTTGTATAGACTCCAAAGCGAGCACGCTAAAGTCTGGTCAGGCGGATGGTCTCCAACCACGTACACTCGAGACATTGAAATCACTAGGCCTGGTCGATGAGATCCTCACTGAGGGATGCCAGATGTGGCAGGTAAAAACTTTGCTTTATTAGCAGCACTCTGTATGAAAGATGAACACTGCTGATTCGACGATGAACTACACAGGTCGCTTTTTGGAATCCCTCCCAAGACAAAGCTAAGATCATAGAGAGAACGTCTCTTGTTCCTGACGTGGCCGTTCCAGCACGGTATCCTCACGAGGTCACAATTCACCAAGGTCGGATCGAGCGCATCTTGGAAACGGATCTTTTACGATACTCGAAACGCGGCGTGCAGCGCAACACCAACCTTCTCGATGTGAAGATAGACGAAGAAGGGGATCCAGACTACCCCGTGGTCGCCGAGCTCGAAAGCGAAGGTTGTCGTCGCAAAGTCCGAACAAAATATTTGGTGGGGGCGGACGGCGCTCATTCTGTTGTGAGACGTGCTATGGGACTGAGGCTGGAGGGCGAATCGCTCGACCATATCTGGGGCGTGATTGACCTCATCGTGGACACCGACTTCCCTGATATTCGTCGGAGGTGTGCGATTCACTCCCCTGCGGGCTCAGTCATGGTCATTCCCCGTGAGCGCGTTGCCACTGGTGACTACCTGACCCGACTCTATGTCCAGGTTCCCGGTGACTACAAACCATCTAGTGATCGACGGACGGACGGGAACTCGAGTGGTCCTGCGCCAGGAGACGCAAGAGCCCGTCGTAGCCAAGTTACGGACAAGACCATATTTGAACATGCCGCAGCTGCGTTCAAGCCTTACTATATTCGACCTAAGACAGAGGGAGCTGTCGATTGGTGGGCAGCGTACCAGATCGGCCAACGAGTCACTGATCGTTTCTCGGTGAAGGATTCCAAGGGTGTCAATCGAATTTTCATTGTTGGAGATGGTAAGTTACAGATCGCCAGGGGTGCCGAATGAAGCGCTGATACGTATCTTTCTTGAGCCTGTCATACGCATAGTCCCAAGGTATGTCAAAAGACAATCTGTTGGTTTGGCGAGCTGAGCTGACCTCGAACAAATAAACAGGCTGGCCAAGGGATGAACGTGTCGATGATGGACTCCTGCAATCTGGCCTGGAAGTTGGCTTACCGCATCAACGGTCTGATTCCGACGTCAATGAACAGTGCGCAAGATGCAGTCCTCGACACTTACCAAACGGAGCGACAGACTATTGCTCAGCAACTGATTGAGTTTGACAAAGCCTTTTCATCAATGTTCTCAGGGAAAATCGGCGCCACCGAGGATGGCGTGCAGGGCTTGACGCACGAGGAATTTTTGCAAGTGTTCAGTCAGGGCAATGGATTCACCAGTGGATGCGGTATTGAGTATCCCGACAGCGTTGCCGTCGACCGGAGTATCAATGGATCCAAAAATCCTATCACCGGAACGGACTACTTGTCAGGACTTCTGCGGCCGGGTCGCAGAGTCTTGAATGTGCGCGTGATTCGGCACGCCGATGGTTGTCCTCGAGATCTCCAAGACGGTATGTTTCTAACCCATGGTGGCACCGAGACAAACAATGATCGCTAACATCAATCAGATTTCCCATCAACTGGCCGGTTCCGTATTCTGTGCCTCACCTCTTCCGATCTGTTGGACAAAGAGGCGACGTCGGCCAAGACTCTCACTGCCTTGGGGGAGATTATTACCAACTTCCCGCCTTCAATCATTGAGCAAGTTGTGATTCACCCTCGCCTATCCCGATCATTTATGTGGCATGATATACCATATGAAGTCAAGAAGTACTCAGAAATGTCGTTCTATAGCGGACACGAGATCGAAGATGTGTACGCCACCTATGGGGTCGATCCGTCTAGGGGTGCTCTTGCTGTAATCCGACCGGACGGCTACGTGGGAACGATTGCAGAACTGGCTGATGTGACACGGGTTGACACATTTTTGAGCAGTCTGATCGTGTCCAGAAGAGTGCGAACATAAATCCATAGTTATCCCGGCGGTCCCTTAGCATCCGCGAAGAACAAAGGAATGCCCTATTCTTGTTTTTTGAATACAAACTCACCCTTGGTCAAGAATCGATTTTAGCCTTCGAGTACTTCCATTCTGGGGAGTCTACCTACGCTGGACAATAACGGTCACCCCGAGAAGTAAGGGCTCGTCTTTGACCGTACGACCTCATGACCTTGTTATTCGTCCACTGGGCCCAATATCCCTCGTCGGCACCTTTCCATGTTGAAATATTGATAACATTCAAATGCTGAGCAAAAGACAATATTTTCTATGCAATTTGCATCTGTGAACAAATAGATCTCTTTCTGCTGCTCTTTCCTCTTCTCTTTCTACCTCTTCCGGTTCAGACGTCTGCCATTCTTGAAGCCCTCACTGTACACCTTCCTTTCACAATCACCATCAAGCCGACGGCCAGTTTACTCCATAGGGATGATCATTTCTGTGCGCATTTCACTTCTAAACTTTTTTTTAGCATCACAATGATTGCATAGGTCGAGGGGGGGGGGGGGGGTGAACCACAACCTGTCCCGGCCACAAAGACGGGATACTTTGAAGCAGACAAAGCATTCAGCCTTGGCTTGACTCGAAAGGAACTCGCTCAGCCTCCAGCATCAACATGATATTTTTTTTTAGATCTGCTGCACACGATCCACATCTTGACATGCTTGATCAATCCCTTTTTTCTCTCGATTTTTCTTCCGCCGCTCAAGATCTGCCTCGTCTTCATCGGCTTCATATACCAAGATGCTGGCCAAGATCCTACAAGCCCTGGGACTCGGAATTCTGGCTGGATCCGGTTTCACGCATGTGCTGGCACAGGCTTCAACCACAACCGAAAGCACAATCACCCCAGTTCCCGCGGCTGCTTCGGTAACTTTGACGGGCAGCGTCACTCATACTGTCCAAGTCGGACCCAAGGCTAGTCCACACGCGTATGTGCCACAGAGTCTGACGGCGCAACCGGGTGATGTGGTGGTGTTTGAATTCTATCCCACCAACCACTCCGTTGTCAAGGCAGACTTTGGAGCACCGTGTGTCCCGGCGACTGATGGCGTCTTTTTCTCTGGGATATTCGACAGCTTTAGCCTGAGAGACGGTCAAATCGTTGGGCCGGTAAGTGGGCTCAGATAAAGTTGTACACGAGAATACCGAGTTGCTGATAACTTTGATGGCAATAGCCGCCGACTTGGTCTTTGGTAATCAATGACACTCAGGTAAGCAGGCACTGACGAGTCGTCCTGACTTGTTTTAATAATCGTCCATCGTTGCTTATTCGACGGCCTTCAGCCACTGTTTTACTACTGTACCGCCATCAGCTCATGCTTGGGAAATGGGATGGTGGGCGTGATCAACCCAGTAAGTCTGGTCATTTGGTCGAGATTCTATCTCGAGATTTTGACCCCGTCTAATCTATGCCTCAGAACTCAACACAGACTTTTGAAGCCCAGTACGACAAAGCACTCAAATATCCATACATGCTGGTTCCAGGACAATCAATGCCCGCCGAAGGAAGTGGTTCGCTATCCACCAGTTCAACGCAGAATCCATCAAGCGACACAGCCACTTCAGCCGCAAACAAAGGGCTTAGTGGCGGCGCTATTGCTGGAATTGTAGTTGCAGCGGTCGTTTTTGTTGCTATACTGGTGATACTTTTCTTTGTTCTGGGCCGCAACCGCGTCTACTCGCAGTGGATGTCATCGCCAGATGGACGAACAGAGCGTACCGCGCGATGGGCAATGGGCAGCAACTATGGAGGTCAGAAGAGTGAAGCGGAGAGTGTGAGTACAAAAGCACCTGGTACAGAGGTAAACTCGGTCGTGTGTGGTGATCATCCCATGCGTCACTTTTCTCCTGGGCCTGAGAGCAAGGTGACGGCAGGCCATGCGACTACCTGGCATCACTATTACCCTCCCTCCTATTCTTCGGAGGGACAGCCGGCTTCATTCGGTGCCCGTGGCCCTTCGGAGTTGGAGGGAGCTGGAGTCGCTCATCAACTTCCTGAGAGGAGGTTCCGGTAGCCCAGACGACCCGGAAGAATATTTCAGGATTGATTATGAGTGCACTCCCATGGTTCATTTGTCATTTTTTTTTTGGCTGTTGGGGATAAAATCCCTGTGAGGTGTCTTTTGGTTCGAGCCTGATAGGCAGTGACTGTGATCAAGAATTTGTTGTGTAACATTTATGTCCAACCAGAGTCTTGTACACATTCTTCGATCTTTTTTGTCCAGCTCGTTTTTTGTCTCACGCGACCCGTTCACTGCAAGTGTCTCTAGCTACTACATACCACGTATCATTATGTATAATCTCTTTCTTCCTGTTTGATGCCAACCGGCTTTCCAGTCTTGTTTTGGGGCTATGTCGTCACTGTATCCCTATCTCTGGCTGAAGAATCCCATTCAACTGCGCATGCAGTACGGTGAAATTGTGAACATCCATCTATCTCACTCGGCTCCACGACATTCCAAGGGCCACCTATCACACCTGGATGGTGCGACAGCGCTCTGGGCATTGAAGTCCTTACAGTATCTGATCTGCGCGAGAATGGCGATGAATTGCCGAGTATGCTTTAATCGAGCTCGATGCGTCCCTTCTTGAACTCCTCTACCTCAATGGATCTCCAGACCACTATGAAGGCTGCTATTCACTTTCTCACACTGATCTCCGCCTGTGTAGCAAGCCCACTGCTCTTCGGGCCCCCGGGGTAGTTCGCTGGTGTCGTCGACCTCGCATGCAAAGTAAAAGTGGACGATGGAACTACCATTCCATCGCACCTGTCACATAGGGTTAAATGTTGTGCTGACCAAACGCAAACATTAGCAAGCCGAGTCTGAAGGGAAACCCCACCCCCAACACTTGATCCGCCCAGTGCCCCCCAGTTATGTCCTTGTTCCTATGTGAGTTCTCTTTCTTGCTAAGTTGCAAGGTCGTTACCAGGCCGTTCTTGGATGCATTGAACTGACATAATACAGATTGCCGATGAACGCATCGTAAGTAACTCATTAACTAGGCCGAGCCCGAGCTTACCTGAGCAAAAATTCCGATCTCGTCTTTGCACCACACTAATACTCTCTCAGCAAGGTGGCGGATATAAATGACCATTTCCGGTATGAGCACCTTGTAAAGCAACAATTCATATCCTTCTTAGAGCCCGAGTCAATGAAGTACTGAGTGGGTCACATGTATGTAAACCTAACGGATGTAAATACCAGCACGCTCGGCGGGTGCTTGATCAGATTCCCAAAGATTTGAATTTCGGCCTTTTGAGTTTCTTCATCAAACCATGTCTACCTAGTACCTACGATAGAATGAAAGTGTTGTCAGCGACTGAGGTAGTCGGATGTAATTACCGTTAACCAATTACTATGTAATGTCACAGAGCTCAGGGTTGGCGCAGTTTGGTGTAGTCTAATGTCGATAGCTTGGGGAGATGCGATGAAGGAGACCTTGGATTTTGCTTCGACGGGAAGGGAAGCCTTGCCAAGCTCTCGGGCCCGTCCGTTCGCATGTGCAAGGTTTCTTGGCACGCCGCGTCACCTTTCTTTGCCCCTTCCACTCACCCTCGAAATATATTCCTACCAGCATGAACACAACACATGCGCAAACTGGCCGACTCTAGACGGCGCCGTTCCCAGTATCAAGGATTTGATCGGCTTTGTCCCAAAATAGCAGCCAAGCCTAGCTCTCTTCCAAGCCACCTCCCGGTCGCTGGTCTGCGGAGAAAGAGTGCCAAGACTGCGTACGTACGCCTCGTACGCGTGCCCGAATCGTCGGGCAATCGGCGTTAGCTTTGCCTGAGTTCTAGCAATGCCGCGGAACGACCAAGCTCGGTCAGGGACCGCACCTAAGGTTGTCTATGCTGACGTGCGGTCATCCGATTGAGATATGATCTGCGTCAAATTTGCCCATATTTATACCTTCGTGCAGTGTCCGTCTTGCCCTCCACCCAGGAAGCAGGATGCGGTGACTCGGCAGATGATCCACATAGCTGAACATACGAAGAGGGCTTCCTGTGTTCAGATGACAGTTCGTCGGTCCACGTTTGGAGCCTATCTAGGCGCAAGACTTGGCACAAAGTGGACCGGTGTTTGACGGACGAATGATGCCTTCATCATTAGCAATACTGGCATCAATCTTGGTTGAAGAACCGTTGCAGGTTCAATGCGACTTGCGATGTAATTCTCATCGCTCAATGGGTCGGGAGTACTGCGCTGGCAAAGATCCCTCAACATTCAGCGTGTCAGTCGAGTCTCACGTGCCTTTGAAAAGCTTCAGGGCGGCTTGCGTAACTGAGTGCACAGACCATGCATCTCATTCGAGCTAAGCAGGCCGGTCTGGTCACAATGGTCACCAAAAGAAGCATGCTACTGGCTTCCACAATCGATCATAACGTCGTTCACCTTCGTCGTGCTGGAGCTGAGCCCGGGTCGGTGCCCCGCCGCAGGTTCACACAGTCCTGGACTTGCCCTGACTGAGTCAATCAGCCTGGCTTGATTCGAGCGTGAAACCGTAGGATCGCCCACTGGCCCTTGACGGAGAGGCTTGTGGAGCTTGAGTAAGAACAAGTTTAGACGACGCGTATGCCTAGTTGATGGGTCAAACAAAGCATCGAAGACTCGGCACATATATAGTCAAAGACATCTGGCTGAAGTGTCTTCTTCCCATCAACAATACTTGGACTCAAAAGCCCCCTTGTATCAGCCTTCATCCAGCAAGTCTCCATACCTCATCAGATATGGTTCGCATCGTTTCCGCTATCACTGCCAGCCTCGTTGCTGTTGCGTCCCTTGTCGCCGCTCATCCTGGTCATGACCACAAGGCCGAAGCGGCTGAGCGACGCCAATTCATGGCAAGCGCGCGAATTCAAACCCGTAGCTTGTCTCAATGTGCCTCTCAGTTGAAGGCTCGTGGTCACGAGGCGAAGAATGTTGCTCGTCGCCATCATGCGGTCCGGAGCATCCGTCACCGTCGAGGTTTGATCGGAGGTACGAAAGCTGAATTGCCTGACGTGAACCATTCACTAGCTCACGACTAATTGATTATCCTGGTCGTAGGCAATCGATACTTCAGGGCTCGTGATCTGGACAGTGCTCTGGGCACTTCTCACGCATCCAACTTGACTGGAATTACTCCTTCAACCGATGCCTCCATCCTGTTCGGTTCGGAGGCCACCTGCATTCTGGCGCCAGATGTCACTCAGGGTCCTTATTGTACGTTTTGTCAGGATTTATGCGTACAAAAGCGCTAGTCAACGGAAGAACAAACGAATGCTGACTCTGGACAGACGTGAGTGGCGAACTCATCCGACAGAACATTGTCGAGAACGAGGGAGGTGTCCCGCTGTACATGGATATCCAGCTCATCGACACCAATACCTGCGAGCCTCTTCCCGATGTGTACATGGATATTTGGCACTGTAACGCTACTGTGAGCTGATTCTTTCTTACTTCTCTGCTCCTGTCGTCTTATGCATGACGCTGTGTTTGTCTGACCACCCTATTTTCCCATAGGGCGTTTATTCTGGTATCCAAGCCAATGGTAACGGCGACTCCTCGGATGGGACCAATCTGAACGCGACCTTTCTACGTGGAATCCAGCCGAGCAACAGGGACGGCATCGTGCAATTCGAGTCCATCTTCCCTGGTCACTATACTGGCCGTGCCACTCACATACACGGTTCGTCCTGTTCATTGCCTTCTCTCCTCGCCTTTTTGCCCCCCGCATCTCTAACAAGATTGGTATCTCATGTCTCCAGTCCTGACCCATCCCGTCAATGAGACCACTGCCCTCCAAAACAACACTATTTCCGGCCTTTACTCCTCCAAGACTTCCCACGTTGGTCAACTCTTCTTCGACCAAGACCTCATCACCCAAGTTGAAAAGGTCTCTCCGTACTCCACCAACACGCAAGACCTGACCACCAATGCCGAGGACAGCATTCTGTCTGAGGAGGCGGACTCAATCGACCCCTTCATGGAGTATGTACTCCTCGGCAATGACATTTCCGATGGTCTCTTTGCTTGGATCACCGTTGGCGTGGACAGTACTGAGGATAGCACCGTGACTCCCGCTGCGTATTATACCGAGCAGGGCGGCGTTGAAAATGAGAACAGCGGCATGGGTGGTGGTGGTGGTAGCGGTGGCCCTGGCGGCAGTGGTGCTCCTCGCAGCGGCGGATTCTCGTCGATGGCTGCTACTCCTTCTTCGTCAATGGGCCTGGCGGCTACATCGAGTGCTGTTGCTGCATGCGGTGAAACTACTGCTTAAAAGGCCTTGAGCGAAGAGCTCCAAGAATCGTCGTGGCGCTTGTTGGCCGGTGCAAGATTCTGAGTGGGCCGTGCAGTGCAGTGCAAGTATGGATACTCGGTAGTTATCCTGAATTCGTGCTTCGTGTTAAGATGGCACAGGCTCTTCTATGTGATGGCACATTTATGGTTATTTGACATTCGCTAAGACCCCCATTGACAATTCGAGACATCTTACAGCGGCCGATAATTGAACTGGAGAACGAACGTAATCTCACGAAGATCGGTGACAGGACGTGATAGGCCGATCTGACAAGACTACAAAATCAGCAAGATAGCGAGCAAGCCCTCTGAATGACGTTCAAAGTAATAATACCCTTCAAAAGATGGTATGAAAAAATCTTTGAGCCTCTGCCATTGAAAGACTTCTCCAAAGGACCATCCGAAATTAGAAGCCCCATTCAGATAGGAATTTGTCAAAAAAAATGTCCATGCGATTACTACCAGTACTTACATGGACTAGTGCCTAACTAGTACTACCACATGTAAGAGTGGAATTCTACCCAAGAGGTGCGAGCCAACATCGACACCAACCATAAGAGGCTCCATCCAGCCCGGTTGAATTCCCAGACGAGTACCTTATGTCTAGTCATGTCAGACAAGAGAAAGCGCAACGGAAATGAGAGGTAACGCTGCGAGATTAAATAGGAATGCCTACTACCTAGTCGTCGCTTGCGAGGATTGGCCATTTCCACGACTACCTGGATCATCGCAGATTATCAAGCACAGAAGGAAAGTTAGGTTGAACTACCTATGCTCACCAGGAGAGGCCGTTGCCATGATCGGATTCAAAGAAGTCACCACCAAATTTCGTGGGACCGAGCTGCAACTATTCGATGATCAGAAGAAAGAGTAAAGAGTGAGATCAAGGTATAATGGTTATCATTGATTGGATAGAATTACGGGGACATTGATAAAATCCTCATTACAAAAATGGCGGCATACACACGTAAACGCATCAACACCCCTGGTATCCGCTGAATGACCGGTACCAGTCTGCAAAAAAAGCCAAGAGGGTATAATATCGAGGTTGACACTGTCTCCTGGGATAAGGGCAAGGTTCGAAGTTGATAAAAAAAACTTTTCCCTTGCTCAGGACGAACTGTTCAAACATCGTGGCCGATAGTAGCTAGAACGACCGAGAATGAGTGGGCTGAAATTTGATTCTTTTTCTGGGACTTCTTCTCCTGCACCAATGATCGATTATCTTGATCAGAGAAGAGAGGCGTAAGAAAAGAATCGAACCCTGCTTCACATCTCTTCACAAAAGGAGAAAAAGAAAAAAACACACCAAGGTCGACGGGAATGATCCGAGAAATGACCTAAGCCTCGACCTGGGTGACGGTGGGGCCGGTGCTGACCTTCTCGTTGTAGGTGACACCCATCTCGTCGGCAAAGGTTGAGTGAGGCTTCCAGCCAGCCGAGGTACGGGGGTGGTCTCCTCCATCATCTTGTCGACCTGCTCGAGGGTCAGGCCCTTGGTCTCGGGGATGAGGAAGTAGGTGTAGACAAAGGCGCAGGCGCAGAGGGAACCCCAGACGAAAAAGACCTTGGCACCGAGGTTACCCTGGTTCGCGTCGACGAAGTAGGGGGTGATGACGGCGATGATGCAGTTCCAGAGCCAGTTGGAGGCGGTGGAGATGGCGACACCACGGGAACGGATGGGGAGAGGGAAGATCTCGCCGATGACGACCCAGGCACCGGGACCCCAGGTCACGGCGAAGAAGAAGATGTAGATACAGATGAAGGCGATCATGGCGGAGACGGCGTTGGGGTTGCCACCGTCGGTGACACCGATGATGGCGACGATGAACTGGCAGACAACCATGCAGAGGGCACCCCAGAGGAGGAGGGGACGACGACCGACGCGCTCAATGGCCCAGAAGGAGATGGGGGTGGAGCAGACGTTGACAATGGTGGTGATCATGCTCAGCAGGAAAGGGTTCTGGATTGTGCCGAGCTGCTTGAAGAAGGTGGTACCGAAGTAGAAGACAAAGTTGACACCGGTCCACTGCTGCATCATCTGGAGCGAGGCACCGAGAACAGTGCGGCGGACGTTGCTGTTGGGGTGGAAGATGTTGCCACGGAAGCAGTTGATCCAGCTCTCGAAGTAACCGACCTGGGGGATGACGGACATCTCATACTGGTAGTTTGCCTCGATCTCGCTGAGCTCGAGCTCGATGTACTCGGAGTCGGGGGCCTGGCCACGAATGCGAGCCAGAGCTTGACGGGCAGCCTCCTTGTTGTCCTTGCGGATGAAGTAACGGGGGGACTCGGGCAGGAAGAAGAGACCGATACCGAGGATGAGGGCCCAGAGCATCTGCAGACCGATGGGGATGCGGTAGGAGCCAGAGTCCATGCGGTTCTCGGTGGCATAGTCGACACACGAGGCCAACATGAGACCGATGGTGATGCAGAACTGGTAGCCGGAGACAATAGCACCACGGACCTTGCGGGGCGCAATCTCCGACATGTACAGAATGATGATGGCGGAGACGAAACCAACACCGAATCCAGCAACGAGACGACCGGCAACCAGGAGACCAATGCTCGCGGAGGCAGTCTGCAGAACAACACCGACGATGAAGACGAAGCATCCGCCGATGACGGTTGTACGACGACCGAACCAATCAGCCAGATCACCGGCGAGAAGAGCACCGAAGAAAGTACCAGCGGACAGAATAGAGACAATCAGAGACTTGCGGGAGGAGGTGATGGCAAAGGCATCGGGGTTAGTGACGGCCAGGGAGGGATCCTATTCACATGGACCAAAGAGATTTGTGATTAGCAGACGGTTCACTTGGACTGACTTGGGATATGTTGGCAGATATCTGGCGGGGGAACTTACAAGACCCTCGAATTGAGAGATGAAGTACTTCATGCCCAAGACACCGGAAATGTATCCGGAATCGTAACCGAAGAAGATACCACCAAAGGCAGCAAAGGCACACATCAGATAGGTTCTGACGGTGACGGGGGCCTCAAGACGAGTCTCCTCGACATTGTCCCCCGAGTCCATGGTCACAGCACCACCGGGCATTGTGATAAGAGGGGTGTTTCTTTTCTTCACTAGTAGACGTGAGAGGAATATATGAGGTCGTTTCGAGGTTGAGACTCGAAAAAAGAAAGAGATAGGAGAGAGGATGAAGAGAGAAGACCCCGGATTGCCCGATATAGCACAAAAGTCTGGGGGAGAAGAGTCGAGGACCACAAGGATGAGAAAAAGGAAAAACGAATGTAGATCGAGGGGACGACAGGATGTTTATATCCTCATCCGACTGCCATGTGTTCTATGAATGTGGGCAAGGGGACCTCCGCCTTTCTTTCTTTTTCTTTTTCTTTTTTGGGGTCGCCCACTGTCCCCGGGTCTGGTCTCCCCATGGAGTTCTCTCCAGAATCTCATATCCCCAGACGAACAGAAACCCCGGGCGAAAACAAAAAGGGAAATGAGGTACACAACTGGAAGAAGGAAAAAAGAAAAATCCATAAAATCAAAGTCCGTGAATAATCAAAAAGAAAAAAAAAAAAAAAACCCCCCCCCCCGCCGAGTCACCCGAAACGGAAAGGTAAATGGATGGAGAAACAAAAAACCTAAAATCCCAGATTTAGTCCAGAATCATCTGAGACGGTAACCTTGGTTAGCGCATACACAACAGAGGAAGTTGCCAGTAGAACAATACAATTGACGAGGGGAATTGCAGCATGACTTCTGTGCTACTTAGATGTCCCCTATATTTGATCACGAGGATAGTAGTAAATTTATCAGTACGTCTGCTTTGTATTCCAACCTTGTCGAGACTCCGTGTGCCATTCTCCTTCTCGTGGAACATACGGTGTCCCAGCTGCAGAGACGAACAGTCTCCCACCCTCGACCCCATCACCCGGTTCGTGGTCTGAATGGGACTGGAGATATGGAGACGCAGGGAGACACCACGAATCAATCACCCGGATGGTCAGACATTGGCCCCTCTCGGCTTCGCTCTTTTGCCTTCACGGCCACGGCCACGGCCGGAGGTCCTGCTTGGCCACCAGCACATGCGGATACAAGAAGTGGTTGCCCGATGGTCGGGTTCTTGTCTGGTGGCTTGGGCCCAGGGAGCCGAAGGAAAATTCCAGCACATTTCTAGGAAGAGGAGCCGTGGTGTGTATCACGGGATCTGCTGCGGCAGATTGAGTAGCACGGCTACTCTTTGAATGGAAACTATTACTACTACTACTACTACTACTACTACTACTACTACTACTACTACTACTACTACTACTACTACTACTACTACTACTACTACTACTACTACTACTACTACTACTACTACTACTACTACTACTACTACTACTACTACTACTACTACTACTACTACTACTACTATTACTACTACTACTACTACTACTATTACTACCACTACTATTACTACCACTACTATTACTACCACTACTATTACTACCACTACTATTACTACTACTACTCCTCCTCCTACATAACAAGATATTTCAAGTGTAAAAAACATACCGCACTTTATGTTAGGGATAGTCTGTACTCGGGAGTGAATAACAGCAATTCCTAACAAAGTAGGCAAGAAGACAGCAATGCTTTGTACTCGTAGTGTAAAGGAGTCAACTTCCAAGCAATGTAAGTGGCCAAAAAAAAAAAACCAAAAAAAAACACGGAAAAGCTGCAGGACAATTATCGGACCAGAGGGACCAGAGAACAGAGAGAGAACAGCCATTGGGAACAAGAGGGACATCAGACCGTGGCCTGCCGCGTAGGAGTACTAATTCCTGGTGAATTTGGACCAAGATTTGTCAAGTGGGGACCTTACTTACTTTCTAAGTACTTACTAGGTAAGATAGTTACCTAGTAGTTAGTATCATACCTTCGTATGTGCCATCACTGCAATCATGCAATGTGCAATGTGCAACATGTAAGTTAATAACAAGTCTACCAGTTACAGTCAATACGGTGGTGAGCATTCTCAGACATGACCTTGAATAATGGTGGCCAGAAGAGAAAGCCGGAAATTATCTGAATGACACCACTGGATCAGTAAAAGTCCCTCGATACAGTAGAAATGTAAGACTGCAGATGTAGTCGGTAGTCACTGTACAGGTACCTGTCTAGATTCACTACTCCTCTCCTGCGGGAGAGAAATCTCAGATCGAACTCACCTTCCAAGTGGAGCCGGGGACGAGGTTTGCACTCGTGGGAGAGACATGTTAGAGTGGAGTCTTCTCGGGTTCAAGAGTCGGGGGGGGGCAAAGGATGGGACTAGAAGACACGAGAGAGAGAAAAAGCGGGAAACGGGGGAGCCCCATGGGCGATGCGGGTTGTTCTCCTCGTCCCCCAGTCACACTCTCTTTGTGGGAACCCCCGGGTGCTTTGACTCTTGGAATGTATGGAGATGCGAGATGCAAGATGGGAGATGGGTGATGAGAGATTCGTCTGGAAAAAACACCCTCCGAGTTCAGGTGGCGGTTGAGGGTCGCAGACGCCCATGGTAGTTACTATCTAAAGCATGACTTCAAAGTTATTCATGTTTTTTCTACTGGCTAGAGTACGTTTGTCTGTATAGGCGGTGGCAGTTATTTCCAAGGGTTCAATACAAACTTAAGAAGCAGTGATGATGATTGCCACACGAAGCAGAGATTGACTGTTGAATATCCACTGTACAACTACAGTGTACACTGTAGTCTGTACAGCCTTGGTGAGTTTGCTCGATTAGGTAGGAGTATCGATCGCATACTGTGGTGATGAGCGGGACCTGGTCGCCTTCTATCACTTCCTTGGCCAGGTAAACGTCTCAACGATGGTACCTGTTCACCTACTAGGCAGGTCCATACTTCATAGTACTGCTATCTATAGTCAAGGTAGACAAGGAACTTACCTCTCTATAGGTCAGGTCTGGGAACTGACCATGTGTCATATATTTTTCATGGCAGCCGTGCTCGGAGAACCACGAACCAGGCTCTCTCTTTCTCTCTCTCTCTCTCTCTCTCTCTCTCTCTCTCTCTCTCTCTTTCTCTCTCTCATCGAGGATCACCCGGCCTCCAGGCTCCAAGCAAAGTACATACCACTCCATGCAGTCATGCACCGGTGGTGGTACCTTCAATGGCCAACAGGGACACACATGCATGCCGGATCCGGCGGGAGCAGAGCGGAAGTCCAGAGCGTGAGCTAAATGGGAACAAAGTCCAGAGGTCATGCCGACCGAGCCAGTCAGGTGCTCGGCTCTGGTGTGTCTCCGGTTTAGACTCAGCCTGCCTCGTCCAGTCATGGCGGTTCAAATCGACGTAGCGAACAGCACGGTTGCCCTTTGGAACTCTTTTTCCCTTTTTTTTTTTTTTTTTCTTTTTTTTTCTGATTTTCTTTCTTGCCTTCCTCCCCTGCAGAGTTTCCCTCGGCTCACGGAGACACTCTCCATTTTGGGATACCTGCTCCGCTCGTTGCGTCTGTTGGGATTGGCTCTGGCGCACGACCCAGACTGCGCCACGGGAAGCCAGAAGTATGAAATTTGCAGACGCCAGAACGGTGGAGGAGTGAGAAAGGAAGAGCGACAAACTTGGTACGAGTTTGCTCAGCTGGCCAGTACCGAGTCCCCGACATTGAGGATTTCTAAGCTCAGTGACTGTGCTATGCTTGTATAAGGTCACGCGAGGGAAAGATTGCAGTATGATCTGCCAACCAAATGACCCTAACACAGTTCTTCACCTCCAAATGGAGCAGAAAAGTGAAGGCACAAGGCACAGGGCACAGGGCACAGGGTACAGGGCATAGGGCATAGGAAGAGATCTCCCCCCGGGATTGAGATCCAATGAAACCTTTCATTTACCCAGCTGGGTTCGTCTTGTCTGGTGCGTCCATGAATGAGATATCAGGAATTTCGCGTCGTGAACTGTTTCCGGCCCGCTGGCGCACATTGCTCACTGCCTTTGCTCGTCCGCGAAGCTTCGGCCTCGGTTAGCCGCGCCGTGTCTGTGCCGTGGCGTAGCTTTATCTGTTCTCAGATGGGCTCCCGAGTCGCGTGAGCCGAAAGATTCGTGAACCCCGTGGGCAATGGATAGTGGATAGTGGATAGTGTATAGTGGACAGGGAGTTCGGCTTATTGGAGTACCGTAGACACTTACCGCATGTTGGTGGAGTGGTTCAGCCTATGGAAGTACCGCAGAGCCAGACACTTGCCGAATGTTGGTGGTCAAAAGCAAATGAAGGCCACGAACATAGACACAGCTACTACTACCAGTCAAGTGTATACACCTTGACTCTTACTAGTTGAGCCTATTGCGGAAGCGTTGAGCACTGACCCAACTGGAAGGACCGAGGTCACACAGGTGTGAACTGTGAACTGCGAACTGCCGCTTGGGTCTCATCTCAGGTCTTCTACCCAGTCGCCATTGAGCGCGTGTCAAGGGGAGAGAACTTTCGCACAGCTCTCTCATCCATGACACCTCGATCTTCAAGTGGTGCCAGCCCCACCCCGCTTGGGGATCTTTGAGAGGGGAGTGAGAACAGACGACTAGGCGAGAGTCTCTCCAAGTCAGTCAAGTTCGACTGGTTCATCATTGCAGCGGCCTGAGCATCAGAGGCCAAGAAAGGAAGAAAGAGTCCCTGCCCTGGTGCCGTTTCTTGACGGTGCGAGCTCACTTCAGCCAGTTATGAGGCATCCTTCCAACGGAGTCTGGGGACAAGATGTTGTGATTGTGGGGTAAAAGTGTAATCCCTCTCCTGCAATCACTAAGAGCTTCATCAACAAGGCAGGTCAAGCCCAGTTGGGTAGGGACTCTTAGGGAGACTCCCCAAGGTTGACGACGAGGTTTAAGCGCTGTCCACCTCATCCGTGGGCTGAAGAGAGACAAACCTTGGAACATCACGTGGCGTCCAGTCACTGACGATTTGCCCTTTTGCCTCCGCCCAGAATGGACAGGTGATCGTTTTGAGTTTTCTGGGATCTCCGTGAGCTTGTACAGTAGTAGGAGTGATACCTTAGGCTGGTACCACGGACGTTTTCGTTCAAGCGTCACTCCCCTCCTACAGGCTCCTTCTCCGTGTCTCTCACGGTTGCTAACCGTGGTAACTTGAGTGGAGAAGAAGTTTTCTTCTTTCCAGAATCATCCAGTGGTCCCCGATCCACCGTCCACCGTCACATAGGCGAAGGCGTGGAAAGGCGCAAAAGGCGCAATTCTTGTTCGGATTAATATCGGGACAAGGTCTTGGAAGACGGAGATGATGGGCTGATAGTCGGCGCCTTGGGACTTGACAACTCCGTCCATTTCACCTCGATCCGTTTGGCAACGGAGAAGAAGCGTGATGGAAGGTGGGATGGAATGTTTGCCTGAAGCGCCATGATGATGTCTGCGAGTCGGCGACTTGTGTCGTTTTGGCCGATCTTCGAGGTGAGATTGGCTGAAAGGTACAACAGGGGATTTTCCCATCCTGGGAGAAGGGTTCCCATTTCAGCCGTACAGTTGACGTGGTCAAGTCATTCGAGTATACTCTTGAAACTTGAATCTACCGGTTTGGTGGACTTTGGCATCCCCTCGTTATTCCTCCTGCCCTCCCTCATCTTGGTTCGGACCAGCGGGCTGGCCGGTACGGTAGACTACCCAGTTGTACTACCCTGACGCGACTGCCATCGGCCAGATCGCACGGACGGTCCCAGAGGATGGGGGCGCCGAGATAGCATCATCTCCAAGCGATGGTACATTTGCACGCCTGCATGTGCACTCGATCTCGACCTGGTGACTCGCTCATCTCGGACAAATGAGGTGAATGATCTGGTACGTTCTACAAAGGAGCATGTGGACTTGCACATGCACGGGTAGCGCGACTCTTGAGGAGCAGGAGAGTTCCCGTGCTCGAGATCTCCACAAGCCGAGTCCCTCGTGCGGCCAATCAACCGTTCCAAAGTCTGCAAGACTAAAACCGGTCAGGCTAGTCAAACTCAACCCTGTATGGTAGTATCGACTATCGAGTAGAGTACTATGTAGATACAGTGGAATGAGGAACCCATGATCCCACTATGGGTGAGCAGAATACCCGGGCAAAAGTCGGATTTCTCTCCCCCCCCGATCTTCTGTCTCTTTCACCCCTCCACTTCGTCCCTCGCTCTATTCCTTCTGCTCTGAAATTCTCGCCGGGGCCGACTATCAAAATCCGTCTTTAGCGATGCTATGACCCAACCGGGTTAGCACCGGGAAATGAGGGGCGGGGCACACAGCAGACAGGGACCAGCAGGGATGGAGTGACACGGCAGAGCGCTGACTTTCTCGGGTCTCCCCCCCGCTAGTCCGCGCTTGGACACCTTTACTGGCCGACCCCATCCCCAAACTGGGCAAGTCTCCTTCCCCTCGTCCCTCATCCCGGGTCCCCAGTTCGTCCAGGGTCTTCGCTAGCATCGCCCGGCAGACAATTCAGGAATTCAGGGGGGGGATCGTTGCATATGACCGGTGAATCCTAGTCATCCTAGTCCATCAGGCGTGCCAACTTAAAATAACCCTAATGGAGTTGCTGACATGGGTCAAATTGAACGACATTCCACGAGCCGGCTGCGAGAGACATGTCACCGCAAAGGAACGGTATCCTGTGGGGAGGGGCAATTGTTTCAACCGGGGTAACAGTGACTGATACGGGGAAGAAAGAGGCGGGGAGGGGCAATCAAATGAAATGAAAGCAGGAGGGTTTGGCAAAAAGTCTTTTGAAGCGTGTCCAGAGTCTAAATGACCGATCGCGCACGCCACGAGGTGTCCGTTCGTCTTGGACTTTCCCGGGCTTCTCTTGGTATGCGTGTCTGCCTCCGAGTTTTGTTTCCATTTGGAAACGTGACTTGGACCACCTTCCCTTGGCAACAGGGACACTAGTCCCTTTTGGGAGGCGGCCCCCGGGGGATTTCCCAGGCTCTGAAGCAGATCAGAGTGAAGGGTGAGTGGTGAGTCGTGATTTGTTTTTGGGTGGACTGCGATCATCTCCACGGCTGGGACGGAGGAGAGCCGTGTGTCCAGCCACAAGGCTCGGCAACTCTCTCATCGAAGGAAGTCAAGGACGCATGGATAACGGCAGCTGACAGCCCCCGAGGATGATTGAGGTAGAATATCGAAAAGCGTCCTGTGCCACTCAGTCCGGTAATACAAGTCCACACTACTACTGGCCCCGGGGAGACTGGATCACTGGAGTATGGGACAGTTCCTGTCCTAAATGAGCCACCCACCCACACCGGCCAGTATCTACCTAGTCACAGCCACGACCCAAAGAATCACGACTTCATGGCTCGATGCTTACCAACCGATTTTATATTTTTATTTCTTTTTTCTTTTTTTACATAACAAGAGCTTCTCGGTGAACATCCTCGACCTAGCGCCGACGGCAAACACCTGGATCCATCTCTCCATCCCCATCCCGATGCCTTTCGCTTGTCAAACCCGGGGAGAGAAAACTCGGGGTCGGCCAACTTTCAGATCTTTTTCAGGCCGTCTCGTCCCCATGTCTTTGCTCCTCTGTTCCTTTCCCGAGTAGACGGTCTGGGCCTGGATCCCGGCCGAACCCAATTGTTGTCCACACTCCACCCAATGCGGATGCCGTGTCGACACTCCACCCAATGCGGATGCCGTGTCGACACTCGTCAAGTAGACTATTGGACCATTGAACCGTGGTCACTGGAGTCTGGAGACGAGGGACACGATTCTTCGTCCGCCAACTGGAACTACATCCCGCGTTTCAAACGGTTGAGCCGAGACAGTCTCCCTCGAACCCGGGGTCGGAGTTTGCCGAGTAGTGACCCATTTGTGTCCCGGGGATACCGAACAAATCGGGCATTGACATTACACCATGGAGTCGACGAAGAACGAGAAAAAAAGAAAGACAAGAACAAGGAAGCAAGGACTTTCCCCAGACTAGCTCTACAGATCTTGAGCCTACACTCCGCATCCACCTCCGCATGCGTTGATGACGATCTTTCATGGTTGACAGGCTTCCGATCGACCTTCTCGGTGACCCGATACAGCTGGAGGTCACGGACAAGAAAAGTGAGAGGCAAGGCATGCGGAGGCAGAACCGGGGTAATGGAGATGAACTGGTTGCCACGTTTTTTTTTTTTTTTTTTTGGCTTTTTCTCTTAGATCAAGGCGTGAGGCTGTCGAGATGATCTGGAGTCTGGGGTCTAACAAGTCTCCATGAGCCTCGGGAAATCAGACTGCGGCAGTCCGCAGCTTGACAGATGTGTCTGCTTTGACTTCAAGTCCCTTTAGTCTTTCCTGGCTTTAACACTTGTACCAAAAGGAGATCAACGACATAATAAGGGGCCATACTCGGCATAGTACCTTCTTCCCCATGTGTGTTCAATCACGCTGCAGGTAGCGCAAGCTTACCATCCGCAGCCCTAATAGTGTCCATGACTCCGTTGCTCATGATGAGGCTGTTCCTTGAGGAGGTCATGAATCTCTCATTCCAGCAGGGCTACACCCTACCTAACTCCAACAGAGCAGTACGTAAGTCCACTTTATCAAACCAGAAGTACCTAAGCGTATTCCCTGCTCCGTCCTAGATGACCATGGATTCTGTCTGCACCGTTGTATGTCTTCGTGCGTGGTATGTGCACCACCTTCAAGCAAAACCCTAAAATACAACGATTAGTCCTTCGGCCGGGGCCAGGAAATGACCTCGTCAACTGCAGATGGACATCCGTTTGGTAAACGAGGTCAACCGACTGCTCTATGAATGAAAACAACACCAGGTCATAACCTTACCACAACAACAGGTCATAACCTTAGGTCTAGGTCGCGCGGGCTACCCTTGACGTTCGAGATTCGAAGGAGCCATAAGGTGCCTACCGACATACGCACCTACGTACAGGTGGGACGGGATGTTTCCAAAGCTGAGGTCCTGTCTGGTGGAGGTATACCTGATAGGTAGGCAGTTGGTTGGAGGTAAGTAATTGGAACGTTAGATAGTCTATGACAGAACCTATAGCTGTCGAATAATGTAGCCTTATTTAATTGTTATTTTTATCTTGGAAAATTGACAGCTCACCTGTCTCCAGATATGACAGCCCTGGGTCGTAGATTACATGGGGCTACCCTACCTACAGGGCAGGGCTGTGAGCAGTCATGAATGGGGCTAGAATTTGGATTTTGGTCGGGTGGTCTGGATATATAAAATGCGGGGTGAACAACGGCTTCACGGGCTGTTCACCAGCGGCTGAATATTCCCGTCAATCCGGCCGATCGTGAGAATCCAATAAGGGTGGCGCATAAATCTACCACTGATTGCCTGTACTGTACAGGCTAGGCCGATGAATTCCAGTATCAAGTCAACATGACATTTCCTGATCAGCATCAGTGACAGTCCCCTGCTACCACCAGTATCCTTTTTGTCTCTGCATTGAACCCCTCTTCTAGACTCCTCAAGCGGTGCGCAGTTGCGCACTGACATTTCACTAGGCTTCGCTTCACTGGGGTATATGCACCTCATCGATTACTCAGTGAAAACCTGCCTAGCCCAGTGTCGCATCTGGCCGTCATTGACGATCACGCATGTTGCCTGATTCCACCGGATTGAGGTGATCGTCGTGCATGTGACAATTAACCAATTCATAGCTGAGACGAGACTTGAAATTTATGGACTTCTGCGTACAAGGCGTGACTCTGCCATGGATTAATAGAAAGATAGACATGCCACTACGTATGCGCAAGTCGATCCTTTCACTATCAGGAATACAAGGCGCATGTGCTGCCCGAGTCATGTGCTCACCGGCGCACTCCACTTCTTCAACTCATCCGTTGCGTTGCACTTTTCAAGTTCTCACCAGCTCTTCCCCGTACTGCTTCCCACCGGCAAGTCATAGTCATTGATTGACCAGGTTGAGATGCTATGACGGACGGCGTTGCGTGCATGAGTTACATCCGGTACGATAATTTCGTTCAGCTATGAATGATCCCGAATCAAATGGCGCGGACTGTGGACGGTCCACGTCTGACTTCAGGTATGCTGTTCAGCACGATTGACACGGGGCGCGGTCAGGTGTGATTCATTGGCCCATCGTTCTGAACTTCGGCCGGCCTGCCCAGACCGATGCCAAGAAACACGAAAACAGTTCAAATAACCGACGCGTCAAGCGATCGGAGCGATGGTTTGGTTACGCTCAGCGCCGACTTCTCACACTCATCCCAAGTTCTTTGGAATCACAGATTATGACACCTGCACCAAAGGCCGTGAGATGTGAACAGGTCTGGGACTTCCACGGGGGGGGGGGGGGGACGAGCAGGGATTACTCGGCGCCAAGACCGCCACGCACCTCCTGATTTGATCGGAACGGCGAAGTGGTCGGCCATGGGTGGAATCCTGAAATGGACGGGTGGCTTGGGTTCTTGGCGTGACCGAGGAGCGCCCTCGAATAGGTTGGCGATGATGGTCAACTGCTGTGCCTGAGAAGCCGGCTTGGATCTGTTGGGTTGGGTGTCTCGCGTATTCATTTTTGTTGTTGTTGCAGCCTGCAGCCCATGTTGCTTCTACTACTACCCACCCACCCGCCACGCCCCGCGTACCTCTTCCGCAGATAGGATTGTCGGTGATGCTACCAACTTTGCTCAGGGTAGTGGCGGCGGCGGTGGTGGTGGTGGCGGCCTGTAGCCCATCGCTGGTGGATGCCACCGCCGCCGGACACTTTGACAAAATCTCGGGCTGTGCAGACCCGTGGGGAATGAAAAAGTGCTCTGAAAAGACAGAGAGAGGATTCGAGAATTGTATCATCGGGAACTGTTCCGCGGATGGCAAGAACTGCTATGACTCGTGTCAGGGAGACGTCTTTTGCATGGCGAAGACGTGTCCTTCTGTAGGAGTCGAGTGCATCAATGCTTGTGGGTGTGTCAAGGCCACGGATCAAATTGACTGCACGGCGTCAACTTGTTGGAACCAGGTTAGTGTGGTTGTCACGAAAAGAACAAGAAAAAAAAAGCACTGGTTATTCTTGCCATTCGCTTCGCGGGTTCGCTGATATGTCTTTCCTAGGTTTATACCTGTGAATATCAACAAACAGCCCAAGATGTGATGAACTTCTGTTTGGGATTTGATATGGCATCACTGCCCTTTTGGCCGCCGCCGTCAGATGCTCCCGGCGGATGCTCTTGCAACATATGGAATGTGACTCGGCAAGAGACCCTGATAACCTCGCATCTCGACCGATGCCGCAATGACCAGAACTCAATCGATCGACTGGACACGGACGAGAAGAAGAAAGATTATAAACAAGCGTGCACCTGTTGCGCCGAAAGCGCCATAATATCAACGTAAGTCGACGCCTGGCCCATTGAGATTCCGAGGTGTACACGACTTTTATATGATAGTGAGGCTGACCAAGACGACCATGATGGAACACAAACAGGATATGGACCGCCTGTCCCAACACCAAGCCATCTGAAATTGGAGCAGACTCCTGGTACGACTCGTTCTTGAAGCCCCATGGTTGGGACAAGTGTGCTTCGTATCTCGAGAGACACGACTGTGCCGATGAGCTGGGCTTTTCCGTCGACAGCGCCGGAGGAACAAAGTACTTTTACCAACCGGGCAAGCTCCCGCAAAATGGAACACAGACCCTGTTCAATACGGGAGAATCACTCAGCACACCTGCCAGCGGGGCGACCTTTTGCTGGACGGATGGATCTCTCATCCATACTATCACTGCAGCTTCATTCCGAGCAAGTGCGCCGGCGACAACCTCTGATTCCGATGGGCACACGCGGACCGGATCTGCGGTCCTTGCGTCAGCTACCAAGTCGGGGGGAGCTATTCGCGACAGAAGTTCCTCATGGCTTGGTGTGGGCATTGCAGGGACGGTCGTGCTAGTTTTTTCGTGAAACCTTTGCACTTTATATCCCCAGACAATTTGATCCACTACCCGCTCCATGACCAGCACTGAGAAAACTCTCATTCATGAAGCATCCAACAAGGATACCCATGCAATGAATAAATTATGTCATTTCCGGCAGCACGCAGCGCGGGGGCAATAGATCCTTGAGGTGGAGTCGGTTCGAGGAATCTTGTGAACAAATGGACGTGTTACAAGTGCAATGGTCACACATTTCCAATGTGCAAAAGTAGGATTGAAATCAATGTTCCTCAGACCCTGCTTAAGTTCGAAGACATACGAGAGCCTCGAGAACCCTCGCTTTGACTTTATCCATACTTGTCGGACCTTGGCAAGCTTAGCGATATTGTCACAGTACATATACTGTACTTGTGTATTGTTTTGTGTATTGCTTCCAGTGCTACTATCAATCAGCGGATAGCTTTTACGAGGGTTCTTCTGGGGATCTATTCGGCGATCTTCCGGGTCCTTGCGAGATTCTCTATGAGGACAATTCTTGAGAGAACTTCCAATACAGACCTACACCAGGAATTGCCTTGATGTAGATCGTCATTTGTGCAATGATGATTCGGTGGATACAAATTACGCGACTGTTATTCTTCTTGAAGTGCAAGACGGTGGTGATCTGCCGGATAGGTCACGTTTTGTGCAAGTCCCGAGTCGGATCGATTCCATCCAGTCATTCTATTTCGACTCGGCACTTGAACTGCGTAGTATGCGCCCAGATCCTCTAGTGTGACTGTAAATCGAAATCTTGATACAAGCCACACAGCGATTGTGAAGTTTCTCTGCCTCTGATTTACATAGAATAGCCCATAGTCCCATCCGGTTCTATGCTCCATTTTGCATCCTGCAGTTGAACTGAGATTTTCTGCCTTGGTCGAAGGTTACGCAGGCCCCTGATACCCGTCGGCAATCTTCCGCCCCCACGTTGTGTCCCACCAACGTCATCATCATCGTCCTCAAAACTGAGCCATTCGTAAAAACCCTGAGAACAACAAACACCTCCGGACGGCCGGGATTCGAATATCCCCAAAACAAAAACAAAAAACCCATTGATCGATTGATCCAACACCAAACTCACCTGCAGCGCCATCCATCCATCTCTCACACACATCTTCCCCTCCGACCACCCAACCATGACACAAATACCAACGATACCCGGGTCCACAAGCCTTGCCCTCGCCATCCTAGCATCCGGCTACTTATGCGCCCTCTGCATGACACCACCGAATCCCTCGCCCGACCGAACCGAACGACATCAAAAAGACCGTCTCTCCTTCCTCGCCGGCACCGGCGCAACCATCACCCGCCGCATCATCGTCACCGCCATCATCTACCACTCCATCCTCACCCTTCTACCCATCTACGCGTCGTCCCAAACTCTATCCACCTTCTGCCCACGACCTCAGAACCTCAACCCGTCGCTCTTCCACTGGACCCCCACCTCGGCAAGCGCCCTGCTCTTCGTCTGCGCCGGCGCGCTGATCCGACTCGCCGCGTACAAGAGTCTCAGCCGGAACTTCACCTTCCATCTTGCGGCGCCGGATGAGCTCGTCACGACGGGGATCTACGGCTGGGTGCAGCATCCGAGTTATACGGGGATGATGCTGGTGATTGGGGGCATGGTGCTGTTGGTCTTGAGGTGGGATGGGGCGGCGGCGTGTTTTCATGAGGAGGCGTGGCAGGAGCGGTTGCGCGGGTGGGGGGTCATGGTGGTGGCGGGTGGTGCGTGTGTGAATCTGGGGATGTGGTTTATGAGGATGAAGGATGAGGAGGAGATGTTGAGGGGCAAATTCGGGGAGAAGTGGGAGGTTTGGCATCGGTCGACGAAGAGGATGATTCCGGGCATCTTTTAGGAGACCTGCGGATGAGAATTGACATTTGCTTTTCGGGGCGCCAGCAATGTTTCTTCTTTGAATGGGTTCTGAATACTTGGAATGTCCATAGATAGGATTTTTCCCGGGCCGCAGTACCCTTCGGCCAGGAGTATGAGAATCCAGTGGTCATATTCCTGAGTATTCTTCAACATGCAGACACCCTCAGCAGTACTTTGCCTAAAAGAAACGAACACCCGCCGCTTGGAGTTCCACTGAAATCCCCGACTCGACAGATCTACACGTGCGCAGATTTGGAACGATCTATCGTTTCCATCGCCGGGACAGTCGTCCCGTCCAGGGCATCCACGGTGATGTCCACACGCGGCCCCGTAAAGTTCTTGCGTCCGTCGACGAACCACTGAAAGACCGAAATGATGATGATCACGGCAAACGCAGCCACGGCGTAGTCTGGTTCTCGGGCATTAAAAGGTCTGTCCATCGGGAAGACGGGTGCATCAATGCATCACTTACTCATGCTACTGCCAGTCACTGTGCTGGAGGGCGGAAAGACAAACAGAACGGTCGTCAGAGCGATGTATGCCAGTGATACCTTTTCCCCAACTTCCTTTAGCTAGTGGCTTGAAAGCTTGTCTAGGCGAGAGACTTACCATGTCGATGATCCAGCCGATGGTGCTGGAAACTTTCCACTTTCTCTCCGGCAAGGCGCGGCGACCTTGCAAACAATTGACGAGGATGGGCATTGCGTAGGAAAGGTCCAGTGACACCACCGCAGCGGAAATGATTGCATTGAAAGCGCTGCCAAGAACCCAGTCAATACCCAGAGGGAGTCAGTTGTTGACGATTTACTGAAAGGGAGCCGGGCTCACCTGGATGATCCGAGGAAGATACAGCCAAAGATGATGACCACAACAACGGTCAGCATCAAGGCATTGAGTGGTAGCTGAAGGCTGGGGTGGACTTTGGCAAAGAATCGTGATGCAGGAAGACCGCCGTCCCTGATTTTGTCAGATGGTCAATGTCCATGAAACATCTCTCCTGGGTTAGGCGTGGAAGAATACCGACCGTGCAAAAGCAAATATCATCCGGCTGCTAGTGGTCATTACACTTAGAATCGCCATGATCAAGCAAACCAGAGGAAGCCTAGATCGAGTCAGTCCTACAAGATTCAGTGTCAAAGCTTAAAAGTTGTTTTGGATCCCTACATGAGCAGGCAGATTGCACCGGCGGTGTTTTTGGTCGCATCCATGAGAATCTGCAGCAGAGGACCGGCAGCGGACGTGGTGACTTGGTCCATGTTACCGGCCACAAAAAGCAGGACAATCAAAAAGATCGATCCTGTAAAAGTTCCAATACCAACACAAGAGACCATGATCTTGGGCCCCTCGATCGATGGATTCGGCACCTCTGACAGTCGAATGGTCAATTGAGTTAAGCATGTCCAGTTCTTAAGCAATCTCACCTTCAATCATATGAACAACCGCATCCTATGAACTCGTCAGAAAGGCATGATCCTGGATCCTCAACTCATAAAAACTTACGAAAGCCGTGACGCCAAGTCCTCCCTGCAGCAAGCCCAACAGCCAAGCAACCCCATCAGGCCCTGAGTCATGACGTCTCAGTGTTTCGTTATGATAATGAACCGGCGTTCTGCTTGCGACTTACACCCCGTAGTATTGACAAAGTTGCAAAACACAAAGCTGATGGTCGTTAGCAGATTGCCTCCAAGGTCTGGCAGTCTCGCACTCACTAAGCGGAATTGAAATTAGGCGACGCGCACGCCAAAACAGTGATTGACACGAGAGCGAATCCGCCAATTGACCAGGTGACTATCTGATATTAGCGCCTGATTGCAACTGCAACAATGTCGGGAGAACGGTTGATACATACAAGCACCACGATAGATCAGCGGCAGAATGGAATTTCCAAAGGCGTTGATCACAAAGGCGCCAAGAGTCAATCCGACGTAGATGAGGAATTGGTGCCACCGCTCAGCGACATAGCCCTTGGAAAATCGAGACCGGTTAGTTTCGTCTTTCGGCGGAGTATATGAAAACGTCAGTGATGTCTTACAGTGTGCATAGCCGAGATACAGCCGACAACGAGTTGACTCGAAAGCAAGGAATTGGTCGCAACGAGGGCAACCTAAGCACGGTCATTAGATGAGTCCAAATTACTCTCACATTGGTAGATGTTCTCTCTGCCTTACCCAGCCAGCGACATTGATCCAGCCGGTAATCCAAGAAAGTAGAGGAACCCACTCGGGCCAGGCGACTAGGTCCAATAGATCAGCACAAGAATTGTCTCAGAGACAACCACGATACACACAGGGTAACACTTACTAACGGCAACCCAGTGATATTGACCACCGGCGCTGAAAAGATGATGTCAGCATCATCACCACCAATTAGCAAGTAGGGCTGTATCCCACAACATACGTGGGATATGCAGAGAGGAACTCAGCCAGTGAAGTAGCAATGCACAAGTTGCACAGTCCGGCGGTGACCAATCCTGCGCAACAAGCAGGTGAGCTGGGAGGTCTTCCAGTTGAAGAGTCAAATTGGCCAAAAAATTGCCGGCCTCACGTACCCCAGATTACACTTGTGCTCCCTCCAGACGTGATACTGATCGACAAGCTCGCAGCAAGAGCTGTCCATGACTGAGATAGGGAAAAGAAAGGCCATCAGTTCACCCTTGCATCTACCATTCTAGGTATGTCTCCAGCTCTCTCTCATCTGATTCGAGACTCACATTAAGTACTGCAAATGCCAATCCTAGCATTGAACTATGAGGAACTCGAGTATCAGTGACCATCCTTGGACATGCATAAGCGTCAAAATCCAGATCTCACCACATTGAATACTGGCGCTTTAGCTCTGGCTTGTGGCCGAGAGCTGCCAGCTGAGCATCGTCATTCTGTAGGTGACCACTTTTAACCTCCAGTGAAGATGTCATGATATAGCTGTGGAGTCCAGTCGAAGGAAGTATCGTTTTGAGTGGGAAATCAACCAGCGGACTTGAGAATTTATGTTGTATTTGAGAAGAGACAACCGACTCATCCTAGTAGAAAGCCGCTTGGGGTTTCCTCGTCTGAGGTGTCTTGCCCGCCCGCATGTCATATACTACCTACCCAGTAGGTACTAGGTACTGACTGGTAGTACTGGCGTCGGAAAGGGACTGATATAGTACTTTACGGTCAACTCCGACGAGAGGCAAGGGGCAGGTGACGGCGGTGGATAGAGTCACAAGCAGAGGTAGCATTCCCACTTCCACCCTGATTCAATTGCAGTGGAGTATGGATGATGTGTTGACATATCGTGCGGAGAACACTGCGTAAACTGCGTGGGTAGTGAGAATCAGGCTGCATATCACCGTGAGATCCGTACCCACTACGATAGGTCAATCTCCTTGTTGAGATAGCTTGGTGGTCAGGCGTGTCACCAGCGTGGTGCGCGCCCACGCACACCACCTTCGTAGCTTAGATAGGCACCTCTCACCAGATGCAATCTCACCATTCCTTTCTCCCCTCTTTTGGGTCTGCTACGTTCTCACAGTAGCCTCCAATAGGTTATGAGCCCTGCTTAGCGCACAAAAAGTGAGGTTATTCACATTTCCTCACTGCCTAGGCATAACTTGCTAAATAACCTCTTTTTCTATCGTTTTTCGGCGCCTTTTGCGCCTTCTACAGAGTGCAGACTTCGTACCTCCTTATAACTTGACGATCCCTACGGCTACCGAAGCTATCGTATCGAATCGTCGCCAAAGTCCCTCCTTCGGCTTTAACGCTATTTAAAAATATACAAAATCCTTCCGGCTTCTACGCCATTTTCAGAGCTCTTACGCTCTTTACCTGCGCAGCGGTATATCGCCGTAGCAGGTACGCCTACGTAGCGGTACTTCGCCGTAGTAGGACTACTATATAATATACCTTCGTTATCGTAGACCTTATACCTTCCGGCTCTTACGCTATTTAGAGCTTTTAAGCTCTATATCACCTACGTAGCGGCACTTCGTCGTAGTAGGATCAACACATTTACGCATATTTAATATAGTTTCCGATCTCGAGGCTTATAAGGCGGCTAAAATCTTCGCCGAATTAGTCCCTACACTTAAGGGAAGAGCCAACTTCGAGAAATAGAAACAGGGGCTTTAATTTATTGTAGATAGCCTAGACGAAGATCTATAGTCTATCATTATAGGTAACCTAATATACCCTATTCAAGAGCCTCGTGATACTCCTACAGAGGAAGCTATCTAAAACGTCCTTTTCGCTTAACTTAGACGAGAACCTACCGAAGAGGAATTCAATAAGTAGATCAATAAGAATATAACTTAACTAAATAACCGATTTCACTGGTTTCGCCGAAAATATACGCTTACGAAATACCTTATCTATTATACACTTAGCGATTTAGCTCGTAGCTTTATACGCGATTACAAAGATTTATATGAAATCTTCCTTCGTATTAGTAACACATACGGTACTAGTAACTACACTGCTTTGAGCCATAGGCTATTATCTTTAATTAAGCTTACTTATACTAGTAGTAATCCGTATAATTTCGTTACTAAATAGTAAGCTGCTTTGGACCTTACGAATTCAGCCGTTCTAAATATCCCCTTACTACCTAAATAGGCTCTAGCCTATTTTAAGCTTATAATCAATAGCTACTAAAGTATAAAGGGTTTCTTAAACACGTATAAACCTCTAGCTAATCCGGACAGCATGCTTAACTATATTTTCGGTAAATTTATTGAATATAAGTCGAATAAAAAGTCTGTAAATATAGCAATCGTAGCCGTTTCTACCTTAAAAGATACGAAATCTACGCAAAATAACGATCGAGATAGAGGTAGAGGTAGAGGCCGAGGTAATAGAGGCCGCGGGAGAGGCTCCGGACGAGGTCGTGGTTAAAGTTAAAATAATAAAGATAATAATAATTAGCCACCGAATTACTATATCTACTATAAGCGTTTAATAGCTTATACTAGTAAGTAGTGCTTCTTTAACCCTAAATCTAAGGGCGCCTCTTAAGGCGGAGTTGATATAGTAGTAGCTAGTACTTCTAATTCAAAAAAGGACTTAAAATCGAAAGAGAAATCTGAGAAGATTTTAATAAGCTTCGCCGAAATAAGCTTATTAGCCGTTAATATTACGGCTATATTAATAGACGACGAATAGTATACTTAGATAGTAGACTCTAGCGTATTAGCGTATATAATACCTTATTATACAAATTTTATTAATTTCACGCTACTTATTACCGATGTGAAGCTTCCAAACGGTTATTAAGTATAGACTAAAGGATATAGTAATATTATCCTGAATTTTTCGAACGAAAATACTATTTCTGAGCTTAAGCTACTTAAAGTCTAGTGTATTCCTTCGTTTAATATAAATCTTATTTCTTTATAGTAACTTACGAAGGATTCTGGCGTTAAGACTCGATTTAATAGGGAATACGGCTCTCTCTATAGGGGGGTAGAGCTTATCGTTACGGCTAAGCAGGAGAACGGTTAATATTAGATCCGTACCTATAATAGTAATAGTTATATTAATATACTTAGAGCTCTATCTGTTTAACTATCCTACGTATTTAGTAATAGTTATATACCCGCCGTAGATTCGGCTATAGCTTCTTAAATCGGCAAGATTCAACCTATTTTAATAGACCTAGCTTATCGTAGAGCCTACCACGTAGGCGAGTAAAAGGTTAAGCGTATACCTGATTTTGCAGAAGGAATCATTATCAAAAAGGGTTCCGGTATTATATTTCTATATCCTCCTTATATCCTAGGGAAGGGATACTTCTTATCTTTTAGAAGAGGTAAGCGTATTAAGACTATACCGGTATAAAAGCTTTATATCGATATTTAGGGTTCTATTTCTATCGTAAGCGTTAGAGGCTATCGTTATTTTGTAACCGTTATTAATGATATAACGTGTTTCTGTTAGGTCTTCCTACTAAAGGCTAAAAGCGAAATTACTAATAAGATTTATATACTAGTAACCTACTTTTTAACGTAATTTAACTATAAAGTCAGGGTGATTTTAGGCGATAATACGTAAGAATATATTGAAATCGCTACTTTTTGCGAAGAAAACGGTATTATTTAGGACCCTGTTCCCTCCTATATACCTTAGCTTAACGGTATTACGGAGATTAGGAATCGTTAGCTTATTAAGCCGCTAATCGCTATATTAGCTAAGAATTAGCTTCCTAAATATCTATAGGGCGAGCTACTTTTAGGTGTTAATTATATAATAAACCGTCTCTGGCAGTCTACTATTAATATAACTCTATATGAAGCTTTCTATAGCAAAAAGCTAGATATTTTAAATCTACGCGCCCTTAGCTACTAAGCTTGGTATCTGATTCTAAAGGAACGTAGGACAGATAAGCTTTCTCTATATATAGCCGAAGTAAGGCTAGTAGGCTATAGTACTAATAGATATCGACTCTATAATATTTATTTAAAGAAGATCGTAGTCTCTCGTAATATAGTCTTTAATGAGAATATAACGAAGGACCTACCTAAGCCTACGTATGATCTTGATATAGAGCTAAAGTTAGTTCCTGCGTAATCTACGGCTAATTAACGCCGTTATATACTATCGGATTTCTTACCGGCTAATAGCGATTAACTAATTTAGCTAGATTTGGCTAATAGCCCTAATAAGCTAGTATAGCTAGTGACTCTATCTCCTTATATTCTAATAGGAGACCTACTATTATCTGAGCGGTCTAATATACTACTTTCTTTATTTGAACGCGAAGTCTAACTTAAAAAGCTTCGGGAACAGATCAAGCGGAGATTCGCCTATAAATAGAATGAATATATCGACGATAGCCCTTAAACTATAGAGGATAGTTCCGAAACTGTCGAGGGTAGTCCTGGAAATATTAATGATAATCTTTAAACTATAGAGGGTAGTTCTGAAACTGTCGAAAGTAGTTCTTAAAATATACCTGAGATAGGTCTTCGGCGTTCCTTACGAGTCCGTAAGAAGACTTAAGCGGCTATAGAGTTAGAGGAATATTTACGTTTTCTTAAGCGTTTAAATATAGCTCTAGCTAATTATATTAAATACGCTACTTTTTTAGTTCGTAGTGTAGCTGTAGACGTATAACTACTTCTAAAGCTTTTATATTAAGCTTCAGCTTAGTTAACGCTATATAAACTAGATAGCTAGTAGGATATAATATAGAATTGTAGTAAGGATAAACAGACTAAATAGATTGAAGCTATAGATAAGGAAATATATAAGTAGCTGACAAACGGTACCTAGCGCGTATGTGATCTTCCTACTAAGGGCACTAAAAAGACGCTTCTTCTACTTCGATGGGTCTTTTGTATCAAGGACGATAGGACCTATAAAGCGCGTCTCGTTGTAAAAGGGTTTAAGCAACGCGAAGGAATCGATTATCTTGATGTTTATGTAAGTATAGCTAAAGCTTTAAGCTTTAAAATATTCTGCGTAATCGCTGTGTATTTCGGCTGGTAGATGTATTATATTGACTTCGTTGCGGCGTTTCTTAACGTAGAGCTTCTTGAAGAAATCTATATTCAACTTCCTGATGGTTTTAAAGAGCCTGGAAAATGCGGCCTTCTTTTGAAGACTTTGTACGGTCTAAAACAGAGTCCTCGCGAATGGTATAATACTGTCTATGGGGCTCTAATGGTAATTGGATTTATTCGCTTGTAAGCGGACTATTCGGTGTTCGTGTATATGAAACGTAAGCTCTATCTTCTTATATACGTTGATGATATGCTGATTATTATGCCTTTGGACGTATCTCTTATATGGCTTAAGGACTATATTCGAAAATCCTTCGATATCACCGATAACGGTACTGCTACGCGATTCCTTGCGATTGATATTATTTAATCTGTAGATGGCAAAGTCATGCTTTCTTAGCTCGCCTATATTCGCAAAGTCCTCGCGAAATTCAACCTATAAGATATATACGTAGTCCCTACGCTATTTTATGATAAGGAGATCCTATAACCGCGTAAGGATACTGCTACTCCGGCGGAAGTTGAAGCTTACCGCAAGATGGTGGGCTTACTTATTTGGCTAATGGTCAATACGCGACTAGATATTGTATTCGTAGTTACAAAGCTTGTAAGATATGCGTATAATCCCTCCGCGAAGTATATAACTGTATTGAAGCGTATCTTTCGATATCTTAAGGGTTCTGAAACGCTTACTATCGCGTATTCCTACTTACCAGACCCCCTCTTTGGATTCGTTGATGTAGATTGGGCCGGTAAATATGCGGATAGCAGTATGTCAACCTCCGGCTTCCTTTTCAAGCTTGCGAATGGTGCGATTACTTGGGCTTGCAAAAAGTAAATATGCGTTGCTCTTTCCTCTATAGAAAGCGAGTATGTGGCTGTATCTTTAGCTGTCTAAGAGGTGTTGTGGCTGTAGCTTTTCCTTAAGGAACTTAATATGGAGTCCCTTTTGCAACTTCCTACTGTAATCTACGAGGATAACTAAGGCGCTATTTACCTCACTGAAAGCCATGATTTATACTAACGAACGAAGTATATTAACGTTAAATACTATTATATTAGAGACCAAGTCTCTAGGGGGGTATGCAAATTCGTCAAAATCTCTACCACAGAGTAGGCAGCAGATGGCTTCACTAAGCCGCTGTAGCGAGTCTAATTCGAGAGGTTTCTACACCTTTTGGGCATGAAAAAGCTCTGATTCAACAGCCTTTCCAGCGAGCTTAATTCTAAGGGTTTAAACACCTTTTTGAGCTCAAAAAGCTGTATTAAGGCGTTATTAATATATTTGTATGATCACTTTTCATTTTTTTTTTCGTGTTTTGAGTGAGATTGGTGGATCGAGGTCCAGGGGGGTGTTGAGATAGCTTGGTGGTCAGGCGTGTCACCAGCGTGGTGCGCGCCCACGCACACCACCTTCGTAGCTTAGATAGGCACCTCTCACCAGATGCAATCTCACCATTCCTTTCTCCCCTCTTTTGGGTCTGCTACGTTCTCACAGTAGCCTCCAATACTCCTCACTGCGAGTAAGCGATCGCCAAAGTACACCAGATTGAAGTACCCAGTACATGTGCTCGTACTCAGGTTGAGTGAGGTGGTTGTTGTCCGAGTCTCCGCTCCCCGATACGACGGCTCCACTCTTTAGATTGACGATTTGTCGGTGGAGACCGCTTGTCTGCGATAGGAGCCAATCGACGTCGCCGCTGGCGTCTTATCACAAGATTAGGTGGTATCGCCTTATCAGCCTAGGGCCCGCCTCCGCACTGGTCCCAAACTCTCACGGGAGCTCTCGACAGCTTACAGTTTCCACTGTTTACACTGACAGTACTCCTGTCAGGTCTGCCACCCCGATTGAATACTGTAGTAGAACCAAGTTGATCATTTTCCAATCCCGGACAGACGTCCAGAGCTGGGAGTCAGCACCATCTCCTGCTCCACACAAGGTTTCTCACCACGTGCACTGACTGGGCTAGCCCGCCACGGCTCGACTTGCTCTTTTCGTCAATCTCATCGCATGGCCCTCCCTAACTGGTGATGCTATTTCGGCAAGCTATCTCGAGAGATCCCTGGCTCGCTGCACGTCCTTGATTAGCACCGCGGCATGACAGTTGAGAAACGAGGGGATTTGAACCTAGATCGGGTGCATTATTGAACCTGCTGCATGAACAAGCTACGACTCCAGGAAGAGTATATTAACAAGACAGGGTCATCAGGTTTCCACAATTAAATATCCTCGCGTCCATCCCTTCTGATCGACCGGTATCACTTCCACTCCGACTCGTTGATCGCTGAGCATCAACGACGACACCCACGTCGCGATGGTCTTTAGAAAAGGACTTGGTCTGCTGGCTGCTGCGCTGGCAGCTCAGACATACGCAGCTTCGACCAGCCAGCCTCGTGACGACAATGCCACTTGCAAGAAGACCACCGTCGCGATTCTGTAGGTGATCAACTACCCAGTTCCATAGATACCTATAGTACCCGTGTACTGACACAACCCAAGAGGTGGAGGAATGGCAGGCGTAGCTGCAGCCGTAAGTACCTCATCCCCTTCTTGAACTGGACCTACCCACTTGAGACAGTATCCCCTGACTGACTCGGCCGTCGATCCAGCAAGCCTTGTCCAACTCCTCGATGCATGACTTTGTCATCATTGAATATCGTGACACCCTGGGTGGTCGCGTGATGCATACCGAATTCGGCAGGGACCCTCATGGTAAACCATATACCGTCGAGTTGGGAGCCAACTGGGTGAGTACAGCAATAACAGTTGATAATGCGGGTGGCTTGGACCTCATCTAATCAACAATGGTCCAAATAGGTGCAGGGACTGGGATCTCCTGGTGGTCCAGGTAAGAAAACCCCGGTCTAGAGTAAACAGAACTCGTCTAGAGTCGCTTGATTTCCGTCTTCGGAACATCTCGGCATTCATACTAATCGCTTGTTGATGATTAGAAAATCCCATCTGGACTTTTGCTAAAAAGTGGGTGGTGAAAAACACTTTCTCCAATTACAGTTCCATTCTGACCTACAATGAGACGGGTTATACCGACTATTCCTCCCTCTTGGATGAATATTCGACTTCTTACGATGATGCAGCCGTCGCCGCGGGCGATCTTCTCACAGAGAATGGCCAAGACCAGACAGCTCGCACCGGCCTTGCTCTTGCCGGATGGAGACCCAAGGTCGACGACATGACGCGTCAGGCTGTGGAGTGGTGGGAGTGGGGTGAGTTTGTTTTTCTTTTCGTTTGATATATCCGCTACACGAGCCCTTCGCAGAAAATGTCAGCGCTAATCTCAGCTCTGGATTGAAAGATTGGGAGGACGCCTACTCTCCAGAAGAAAGCTCATTCATCTACGGAGTTGCTGGGTCCAACCTGACATTCAACCAATTCAGCGATGAAAACAACTACGTATGGGATCAGCGTGGCTACAGCCGGATCATCGCCCAGGAAGCCTCCACTTTCCTCAAACCAAATGATCCGCGTGTACAGCTCAACTCCATCGTCACCAACGTGACTTACTCCAAAGACGGCGTGACCATCCACAAGCAGGACGGCAGCTGCGTCTCGGCCGCATACGCCATCTGCACCTTTTCCCTCGGCGTGCTGCAGAGCGACGCCGTCTCGTATAGTCCACCCCTGCCCCAATGGAAGCAAACGGCCATCCAAAAGTTCAGCATGGGCACATACACCAAGGTCTTCCTCCAATTCAACGAAACCTTCTGGCCACGCGATACGCAATTCTTCCTCTACGCCGACCCCACCCGTCGCGGCTACTATCCCGTCTTCCAGTCCCTGTCCGCACCGGGCTTCATCCCCGAATCCAACATCATCTTCGTCACTGTCGTCTCGCAAGAATCCTACCGCATCGAGCGCCAATCTGACGCGCAGACCCAACAGGAAGTCATGGCCGTGCTCCGCAAAATGTATCCCGACCTGAAAATCCCCGAACCCACCGCATTCATGTACCCGCGATGGTCCACCACCCCCTGGTCCTACGGAAGTTACTCTAACTGGCCGCCCTCGACCACCCTCGAGATGCACGAGAATCTGCGCGCCAACGTCGACCGTCTCTGGTTCGCGGGCGAGGCGACCAGCGCGCAGTACTTTGGTTTCTTGCACGGGGCCTGGTATGAGGGCCGCGATGCCGGCGAGCGGATTGCGGGTTTACTGGGCAAAAAGTGCGTGATCCCGGGACAGTGCCATGAGCGGGAATACTGGGAGCGGTTGAATGGAAGTTCGCCGCTGGCGGATTATAGTGTTCTTGATGGGTGGGTGACAAATAGCTTCTACTCGAGTTCCTGATTCGCGGTTTCTTGAGGGATTTGTATCCCGTGCACACGATGATCGAGCGTGAGCGTTAGGCGATGCATATCAATTGACTTTATCTCTTCAATCCGTTGTGTGAACAGAGAGCATGTCATTTAGTTGTCCAGAGTATATCAGATCTGAATCTGGGATTTCACGGGATGAACAGGTACCGTAGCTGTTCTCTGCTGTTGACAGTAACCCCGGGGCTGGGAATGTCTCGTCCAGGGTCTTTTTACCCTGGACCTTTGACTAACCAGTCCTGCCCGGGTACTACCTAAGGGAAGTCCATATGTTTCTAGCCCGTGGCTCGAGCAGAAAGTCAACAATGTACTTACTACGACCACGTCATCCATGCTGCATATCAATGGGGAAAAGCCCGCTGATCATGTATGAGACTTGATGCCCACGAGAGGTACTCGAATCATGATGTCAATGCAACAGGATGTGATCACTATCTTGAAGGAGGCCTGTTTGATGTGTTTTCTTTTTATTTTCCTTTCATCAAGTTACTGTAATGATAGCCTTGTTGGAATGGGATCATGTAGATTGGAGGGGGGGCAGAGGAAATCATCTGACCCAACCTAGAGATGGATGTAGTCTCAAAGACATGAAAAAGAGATGAAGGTAGGGGAAAAGATGGGAGGGCGAACATTCTCGGAGCCAGTATAATGCGAGTGCTCGATCTGTCAGTCGAAGATCGAACAGCTTTAAATAAACCTAAACACCTGCAAGGCAGTTCTTCGGAAAACGTCTCTCGAGAATGAGAAATGCCCCAGCTCGACAACGACCAGCATTGCCGTAATATATGACACCGAAAGAAAAAGAAAATGTGAAAAATCGAAAGAAGAAAAAAATGTCACCACGCAAGATCCAATGGTGGAGACGAGGGATGGAAAAAAGGCCAAACAACGCAGAACCGATGAACACCGAATTCAAATCAAATATCCAATCCGATGGAAGGACTTCGTTATCGAGCGTGATACGCATCAAGCGCTTGCTGCATATCCGATAGTGACTCTTTGCTCCCGTAGGCGTCCATGAGTTGTTGATTACGGGCCATTCGCTTCTCTTCCTCGATCATGGCAGTTGCGTGACGCGCTTTGGCGTCCATGTAATAATTGTAGCCGGCAAAGCCTGATAGTTGAGAAGAAGAAAAAAAAGTGTTAGCTCTATCTGCCGATGGTCATGCCGATGGCTTTTCGTCTTGGACGGTTGTTGAAGGTGTCTGTGCCGATGCCTTTGCCGATGATTCCGCCGATATCCGGAGGATACGGGGCAAGGAGGAGAAGAGCTCAACTCGTGCAGACTTGGGAATTGGCAGACTTGGATCAAGAAACCAAATTTGAGAGGATGAAGGAGTACAATGTTTTTGAAAAGGCAAGGAAAAGAAAAATCCAGGGACATACTTAGGCCGATGACTGCGACCACGGGTAGATACCTGTTCAAAGGAGTGAAGTGTTAGCATTGCAATGGATCAATTGCGTCCGTGAATAGCATCCAGTTTCAGGGGGGGGGGGGGGGGGGGGTTTGAGATAGATAAGAAGGATCGTACGCACCAGCGAATAGGCCGGGGTTTAATTGCTGGACCGGTGGGATGTGGTCGGTGTGATGGACTTGTGCCTGGGAAAGCGTATTGCGACATGACTGCAAGACGGTGTGGTGGTTGATTTGACAAGGAGGTGGAATTGGAGGTTCGCACAAAAGATCTCCTAGGGGATGAACGTTGAAGAAAGTCAAAAGTCAAAGGGGATTTGTGCTCAGTGAAGATGGAAAGAAGAAGAAATGTGGCGCGTGTTCGAGTCGGAGGGTAATCCTCCGTATAAAGCAAACGGTAGCAACCCGAACCACGAATCGCAACTGGGCCCAAGAGCCAAGGGAGGATCGGCCGTGGGAAATGCGGGGGTGGCATGACGCGGAGAAGGTGGAATGAGTACTTGGGCGGTACATGCTCGACGACCGAGATCTACTGCCTTGATGCGAGTCTTCGCGGGAAGGGCTCAGGTACCTTTGATGTGCCCTGTAGGCCTGTCCCAGACTCCGAAGTTCCAACAGCACGAGTCAGTGAACGAGTCTGGCTGATGTAATTCCCACGAATCAAACCATCCACCGCCTGACTTCATATTGTCTGATGATCTTCAGACCCACGGCTGATTGACGAGCTCTCTCCATGTTTTGCCATTCTACAGTCCAAGATGACGCTCATCATTTGTCGCCCAGCCAATTACCTCCTGTATCGCGCGCGGTACTGTCGCTCAAGAAGTGGTGTGACTTGACGTTAAGGTACTACCTTTGTTGTCGCTGAACAGACTGCATCGGTGAGGACCCGCAGACAGGGTTGCCATAAGACCGAGTATGATCATGGACTCCGAGACGAAGGGTAACTATAAAGTCCCCACCCCAATTCAGGGATTCTCCAAACTGATATGGCAGCTATGCAGCAGATTGTCATTTCACAGAGCAACTTGCAACTTGATCCAAGCCATCGAAGAGTTCCAGTGTGAGGAAATTGATGATTGTCAAATTTACCAAGTCCACCACAGCACACGATAAATGCAGGCCTCTCCACTGGAGAGTCTCACTCTCCAGTCCCTCTCCTGCTTGGGCGTAATGCACTGCCCCGGATCCACCACGCCCCCCCGGACACTGCCGTTATTCATCCGATTGCGGATGTTTCATCGTCAATGCGGCCTGAGCCCTTGAGAGCCCTGCACCAGTACTCATGAAATGATCTCCGTGCTTTGGTGATCTGGTTTAGCTTACCTAGTACTTATGTCAAGCTCTCACCTTCTGCATGTCTGTTTCCTCTCACATAATCACCGTCTCGACTGAGCCTTGCATTCATGTGAGAGGTGAAGCATTTTCGTATCGATGATTCGATAGGCAAACTTCAACCGTGTCCTCGGTGGTCAACTCGGCGTGAATAGAGCTGCTAACGTCTTCAATCTCATGATCGATCGTCAACGATCCATACCCTCCGAGTCTGACTCTGACGAGGTATGGCCATCTTCCCACTTGATCAGCAGTTTGGATTCATCTCAATATCAGATGCGAAACATAATAGTCTCTCAACACATGGCATGATTTCCAGTGACAACTGAACCGTCGTGGACGCGACCGTAGATTTTGATAAAGGGACTCGAGCAGCTTACAATCAGAGCATGCGATTGTGGCGCGACGATGTGCATGTAAATAATTTCCGATTCACGGCGGTTGTCGCTCCGTTCACCACTCTCGCAGTCTTGGGCCCTTTACCCGGCCCGGTAGGTAAGGTACTCTTCGACGGATCACAGCGATGGAAAGGATTAGGTCGAAGACGGTCAAGACAGTGACACCGTTCTTGTTCATTTTCACTCAAAATTATACCACAGATCTGACGAACTAATGGTTATTGATGCAATACCCGGTAAAGTAGGTAGACTGAGCAACATTCGGAAACTACCGGTGCAAGAAACAAGCTTAGTTTTAAGATGGGCTCATATAACAGTACCGAACATTTGTTCTTCGGCTCATCCATTTATGGCAGGTAGCTGCTTGCTGCTCGAAGAAGGCAGATGGAATGGTAGTAATAGAATGATTGTCGCATGTCCCACATCAAAGTTCCAGGGAGATCATGCTGAACTGGATGATTGGTGAATTCAAGAACCTCAGGGGGCCGACAATTAGCAAGTTGACACCTGCGCTGTGGTAGTTATGAGGCAGATTGTTCATCCGGCTTCGTCATATCTGGAGTCCGGAGTGGTAGAATCTAGACCTTCCAATGGATCCGCGAATGCATTCCCATTCAATAGGATTAGGTAGTTCATAGTTCGTAATGATGTATCAGCCATTCCTGAATCCTGCCGGACTTAAGAAGTTGAACCTGCGGATTTATGAATCCACGAAAACTACAGACCCTTCATGGATATATACGTAGGTGATGACTCTCTCCACGAAACCTACCTAGACTGGGTCCATTTGCGTCGCTGTCGTGTTCAATCTACTAATATAGTATCTTACTTCTCACGACAAGGTACTAAATCTACGGTTTTGTGTTCCCAGTGCGGTAGCACAGGGTTCGTTACTATCCCCGCCCAGCAGATCAAGTCGTTGGTAGCCTTCCAAGCGCTATCACATGCGATATCACATGTGGCCCGCATGACGTATTTCCCGGAAAGTCCTTCCTTCTCCAAGATCACAGACGAGTACCTCGACGGGTACAAAACTGTACCTCCGACCATCACAAGCCGGGAGCTTTCGGCGGACCGCTGTCATGCGGATGGACCGAGAACAGCCGAGAAGAATGTGGCAGCTACTGATTGTGGTTGATTGCTCTGAAGAGTACCTTGCCTATCTGCAGGCTGACCCGAGGGTTGAACCGCGGCTGCTTTGACAAGCTCGGGCCAGGAAGCGGATAGTGGCTCATGCGGGAATCCTGGAGAGCGGCATCATTCACATTTCCAGCCTCGGGTGAGTTAGGAACCTTGAGGTGAGGTGGCATGGAGGCAGTATTTTCGAGTCCTCCTCACAGTCGAGGAGTGCAACCCGGACTTCTCGGACAGGGAGATGTGTATGTGGATGGCCTGGGGCAGAAAGACCAAGGAAGGTTGACCTGCATACTACCACTGTACTATGTACTTATGTACAAGTATGTAGACCTATTGCAGGACTCACGTATCGGACGGAAGGGCCATCGTTCGGTAAATCGGAACGCAGACTCAACCATACACTGTGGCCGTCATCCTTGACATGGAAGCAGTAGATAAAAAGCCCAGCGGTCGCTGTGTAGTAGATAAAAAGCTCAGCGGTCGCTGTGTGGCATCTTTAGAGAAACCCTTGATTTTGATGTCAAGACTGGAATAGATCTCTCGCCTTCTTGGGGAGCCGATTGCGCTGCGATGAAATTCGGCACGCGGCGTGTCCCGAGCTTGTTCGGAGGAAGGAGACCCCATTCTGATATGGCGGGTTGTCAATCTGTCACACAGTCGAGACGATAACCACATTCGGTCGCATAAGATCAGATCAATAATGCCAATCCAACCTATGAGAATAGACTATGGGAGTCAGAAATCGGAAAAGGGAGCTTATCGGCCGAGCGGAGCCAGCCCGCCAAGGGGGTTTCCCGGCGGTAAAGTCATGTGATATGAAAGCAGTTGACTGCACCATTGGTTGTCTGAGCTGCCCGAGTGGAGTGTGACCCGGCGGAAGAGTCAAAGTCACCTCTTGTCAACCGTCTGCAACGACGCCTTCCACTGGCCCTAAACCCAATGATGCTGGAAACTCTGGGTTCTGGAGCGATAGCCGAGAAACGACTCGCATCAATTCGGTGGAACTCCTGCAGAACGGTCGCCGGAGTCAATTGGTCTGGCCGGGAGCTCGTCCTACAGCCGCGGCTCCTCAAAACTCCAACACTGACGTTGGTCTCCATCTCCGACCTTCGGGCGGTCGAAGGGAGATGATCCCCCTCCAGCCCCAAAGGTTGTCTGTATATAGTCTTGGATGACTGCTGAGCGGGTCATTTCTCCTCGCTCAATTTCATTTCGTCCGTTTTCTGGTCTACATAAAATCGGCTCTTCTCTGGACCCTATTGTCGCATCCGTCTGGAAGGACTAGAGTCACCGTACGCACTGAAAGCTCACTCTATACATCTACTAGAACATTGGTACCGAGTCCGGTTTACTTGGACACAAACTACTCATCCCCGTCTCATTCCGACTCTTTCTTCTTTGACATCATCGTCCCTCTCCTCTACTCACCATGGCTGCCTCGGTCGACTCACATCTCAAGGACGTGGCCATCCTGGCCAACATCCCCAATGAGGCCCGCAAGATTCTCACCAAGGACGCCTGTGCCTTCCTCGCCATCCTGCACCGCACTTTCAACCCAACTCGCAAGGCCCTCTTGCAACGCCGTATCGATCGTCAGGCCGAGATTGACAAGGGTCATCTGTTGGACTTCCTGCCCGAGACCAAGCACATTCGCGAGAACGATGCCTGGAAGGGCGCTCCCCCAGCCCCGGGCTTGGTGGACCGTCGTGTCGAGATTACCGGTCCTACCGACCGAAAGATGGTCGTCAATGCCCTCAACTCCGATGTGTGGACTTACATGGCCGATTTCGAGGACTCTTCTGCCCCTACCTGGGAGAACATGATCAATGGCCAGGTGAACTTGTATGATGCGATTCGTCGCCAGGTTGACTTCAAGCAAGGTGGCAAGGACTACAAGCTTCGCACTGACCGCAAGCTGCCCACTCTCATTGCGCGTGCTCGTGGCTGGCACCTGGATGAGAAGCACTTCACTGTGGACAGTGAGCCCATCTCCGGTTCTCTCTTCGATTTCGGATTGTACTTTTTCCACAACGCCAAGGAGTTGGTCGCCCGCGGCGCCGGTCCTTACTTCTATCTTCCCAAGATGGAGTCTCACCTGGAGGCTCGTCTCTGGAATGACGTCTTCAACCTGGCTCAGGACTACATCGGCATGCCCCGCGGCACCATTCGTGGCACTGTTCTGATCGAGACCATCACTGCCGCATTTGAGATGGAAGAGATCATCTACGAACTGCGCGAGCACAGCTCAGGTCTGAACTGTGGCCGCTGGGACTACATCTTCTCCTTCATCAAGAAGTTCCGCCAGCACCCCAACTTTGTCCTGCCTGACCGTTCTGACGTCACCATGACTGTTCCCTTCATGGATTCCTACGTGAAGCTGCTCATCAAGACCTGCCATCGCCGTGGCGTCCACGCCATGGGTGGCATGGCCGCCCAGATCCCCGTCAAGAACGACCCCGCGGCCAACGACAAGGCCATGGAATCCGTCCGTGCTGACAAGCTCCGTGAAGTCCGTGCTGGCCACGACGGCACCTGGGTTGCCCACCCTGCCCTGGCTTCTATTGCCTCCGAGGTATTCAACAAGCATATGCCCACGCCAAACCAGCTGTACAAGCGCCGCGAGGATGTCCACATCACCGCAAACGATCTTCTCAACACCAACGTCCCCGGCAAGATCACCGAGGACGGTATCCGCAAGAACCTCAACATCGGTCTGAGCTACATGGAGGGCTGGCTTCGCGGTGTTGGCTGCGTGCCCATCAACTTCCTCATGGAGGATGCCGCCACCGCCGAGGTGTCCCGATCCCAGTTGTGGCAATGGGTTCGCCACAACGTCACCACTGCCGAGGGCAAGCGCGTCGACAAGTCCTATGCTCTGCGTCTGCTGCAGGAGCAGGCCGATAGCTTGGCTGCGCAGGGTGGCAAGGGCAACAAGTATCAGCTTGCGGCCCGCTACTTTGCCGGTCAGGTCACTGGTGAGGACTACGCCGATTTCCTGACGAGCCTGCTGTACAATGAGATTTCTTCTCCGGGCTCTGCGGCCAAGCTGTAAAGGATGAAGAGAGAAGAAAGAAAACCTTGAACTGATGATGATAATGAATACCCTTTGTTTTTTTGTTGTTCCTATCAACTATTCTTTCCCTTGTCTTTTCCTTGACAACCTCATCTGTACTTGTCTGTTTTGATATTGGCTGAAGTGATCCCGGGATTTGGGGTGAAAACTTGTAATTAGCCTGATCTCACCCATATGTCTCGTTGAAATGAATTATCCTAACAAAACTTCAAACCTGTGCCCTTTGAGAAATTTAGTTCCCAAAAGACGCCTAGATGATCACCCCCCAATGTAAACGCAACGGGATCGCACGTTTCGCCCACTTCCGCTGTCAACTCGACTCGAAGCTCCACATTAGATATAAGGACGGGAGGTTTTAGTAACGACTAAAGACTAAAAAGCCCGCCTGCTCATCCATCTGATGGATCCAGAAAGCTGTCGCCCCGCCAATCAACTAGTCCCGAGAAAATGGAGAGGACCTTACAGCTTATTACTTCACAGGCTTTGCCAGGACTCCTGCCCTCTAAGTGGCAAGCGAAGCTCGCATCACGTCGGTATCGTAGATAGACGTTTTAGACTCTCCCAATTGATCGACTGCGTGAGTTTCTACAAGATGGAAGATGATTCGGTCTATGCGCGAGACAAGAGGAAAGAACAGGAACACCGAAAGAAGAGTGTTTGTATATAATAGTGGTGTTTTCTCGGTGAAGTGTCAAGAACCAAGATAGGAAGTGAAAGGAGAAGGAAATGCCAGCCCAACCAGTGAGGTTGACATCTTTCAGGGCTCAAGACATAGTAGCATCTAGACGGACAAATAAGGCGCGAACACTATATTGTTCGATAACAAAGCATGACAAGTACACAACAGACCGGAGTTGCAGACAGCCGTGCGTGAAGGGAGAGTAAGCCTTGCGAGAGTGGAGACTCCATTGGTCAACATTCAGAGTATTTTTACCCGCTACCAGCAATCCTCTCGAACTGTCGGATCTGACAACTGCTTGTCAGTTCCCCACTTAGATGTACTCCCAGGCAAGCTGATCAGTGGTCATCTTGGACTTGACAGCCAAGGCCTCGAAGCCAAGACAATCGCTCACGTTGCCAGTGGGGACAGTGGCATTGGGCATGGCCGCAAAGATCTGCCAGCGGGGTGCGTTGATCACGGTGCTCTGGCGACGAACACGGCGGGCAGCTGAGGCAGTAACGTTTGCGGGAGCCGGGCAAGCCATGAAGCCCGAAGCACCGTGGCCCTTGAAGGTCCAGGTGCCGGGGGTGTGGCCAGAATAGTGGACCTTGAAGCCTTGGACAGACGAGCCAGGAGGGATGTAGCCCGAGTGAGGACGGGTGAAGCTAAGAGCGCCAGTACGGTCAACGTAGATTGCTTGACCACCGGGAACAATCACGTCCTGAAAATTCACAGGTCAGTCATTGTATGCTTTGGGTTGAGCTTGACACTCGAAAGAGAGAGAGAGAGAGAGAGAGAGAGAGAGGCAAGACTGTGAGTATGACATACCAGGCTACGGTCACCGAACAAGACAGTCTCGTTAGTGCGCTGAGCACAGTTGGGAACAAGAGTAGGACAGTAAGTTCGGCTAGCACCGCCGAGCCAGAATTTGCTATCAGATGCAGTCATGGGCAGGAAGTGGATGGGCGAGCCAGAGCGAGCAGCAACCACGCCGAAGGAAGAGTCAGAGTTGGTGCCGTTGTGGTGGTGACGGGAGCCAGAAAAAGCAGTGGCCAGGCTGGCCATGGAGAGAAGCGCAGAGATCTTCATAGTGAAGGTATATCGAAGTGTCTTTCGCAGAGAGATGGATTGTAGTGAATGAGGTACGAGGAAGTAAAAGACTTGGAGAGGGCAGCGAGTGTTGAAAAAGATCTCTCCCTTTTCTTGTTTGGATTTTTTTTTTCACAAGTAGACGATTGACCCGTGCACGGAATAGTGAATCAAGATTAACAAAGGAGTCTTCTCGTTTTGGTCCCATCTTGAGCTTTTAAATAGACTCCAAAATGGATGTGTTATCCACAGTGATACCCACATATGGGCAGAAAGGGCGACTGACGACGGTCATCGGAGTATAGTCTAGAAAGTCTGTGGGTCTGGTCTCAGCAGGTTAATCCATCCTGCACTTCTCTTTGAGGTAAGGATTTGACGGCGGGATGTCGGGTCAATTGAATGGGTCAATCGAATCGACTCCTGTCGATCGAATACTTCGCAAGCCTTGAAGAAAAGCAAGCTTTCTGTCATTGAACATTGGTCACGCTCGGCAAAGCCAATGATACTGAAGTTTGAAACAACTCGAATCAAGCTCTGCGTAAAGTGACAATTCATCCTCGCTCCTGAAGAGTAGCGGAACCCAACACTACCTCCACGTGAGCGTTTCATGGTAGATCACTCAGACAGGAGAGACAAGCGTATATTTCCTGTAGGTCAAGCCCGACAATCGCGCAGGTAGACTGGTCTGCATCATCTTCAAAGTCTAGGCGGACGAGAAGTGGGTCGTTTCATCCTTATCAACAATGTCAGCCACACGGGAGGCGTGGTAACGATCGACAACGCCGGTGCCGTGTTGTGTTCATCCTGTAGAATCAGGTCGAAGAATGGAACCACCGAAGCTGTAGGGGGAAGACTAATTGGGATGTGATCGCTTGTGTCTCCCTTCGGAGTTGGTGAACCGATCTTATGCCCTCGAAGTTCAAGTCAATTCGTAACATATGACGACCCCGATGAGAACACTGAGCAATCATAATGACCGGCCACCTGCGTGTCCGATAGTCTGGACACTTGAAACTCAAACGGTCGTCTCAGATTATCTCCTGATGACCTCAGGGTTCACATTCCCCCCATGTGTGTCCACCAATCGCACTCAGCGCTGCTGCACCCGTGTAAAAGGGAGTGAAGAGACAGAGGCAGGAGAGATAAAGATGGGAGGCTGTGTAACCCCAGACTCATCATCAATCAGAGTTTGCATATCGCTCTCCAGACTCAATCTTGATTGAGCTCGGGATTCACCCCGTCGATTCTGTCTTGAGGAACAAGTTCGGTCTCGCTGTGTTCTCATCGTCACGCATTAGCTCAATGTTGATCATGATCTGGATGAGCTAAGAAGACCACAGTCGAGACTGTGTGGTTGTTACAGACTAACGAGCGCTTGACGAGTCCATGCTCCACCGGAGAAAGAGGAGTTAGAAGGGGATTGAAGAGTTAAGTCGTCAAGGACGACACAAAGTAGTAAAGGGACGGGGCTATCGTCATGTGACAAGTGGCATATAGTATATACTACATTAGTACATACTAGTCGCTTAGGTTTGTAGTCGGCTTTTGCCCGGGACCTGGAAGGTAGTCGTAAAACACGCCTACTGGAGCTCAAGCCCCGCAGTCTCAACATCAGCAGAGTGCCAGAGTTCTTGGTATGAGGTCTTGCAGCTTTTTGTACAGATCAAACTCAGCCATGCTTAGGTAGACCCCAACCACCAACCCATGCATGTCCACTGGATAGGTCTGACCTGACATGAAGTTGTTGTATAACGCTCTTTGCAAAGACCCCGTCATGTCTAACAAAACAAAATAAATACAGCTACAGTTGAATCAAAACACCATCGCTAATGACCGCCTTTCCAACTCCGCATGCAATCGCGAGATCAGACACAGTTTTGCAGTATATTGGCATGAATCAAGTTAGAACTCCGCGACCAGCGGCAGATCTCGAGAGCTTCGACCTGCCCAGACACGAAATGTGCCCTCAGTTGGCATGATCCAGTTCTGAGCTCGAACGCTCCAATAACTCAAGTCTTTCCGCGACAACGTCATGTTCACTGTTGTGGTCTGTCCCGGCTCGAGGGAAATCTTGGTGAAATTTCGAAGAACCCGATCGGGGAACTCGATGTTTTCACGCTTTTGGCCCAGACCACGGTTTTCTGAAACATGTGAGGGGAAAGAGAGATATACCTGCACAACTTCTTTGCCTGGCCGCAGGCCTGTGTTGCTCACGTCGACCGAAATGGAAAGCATCTCATCGTAGAGAGACGGGTTACCGCCCGGTCCACCACCTGCATCAGACAAGTGCTGGCGAGTCTTGTAACCGTCGGGATAAGGGTACGAGCCAGGCTTTGTTCCACTCCCATCCTCTATATAAGGATATATGTATTTCGAAAGAGCTTTGAAACCTTCAGGGAATCGAGCTGAAGCTTCGGCCGGAGGCTTGCTGTCGTAAGTTGGCGGATCAATCTCGTCCTTTGGCCGTGCTGCTGGAAGTCGGGACTTGTCACGAAGGAGCTTGACATTGAGGGAGGAGATGTTGAAGGTAGTATATGACAGCCCAAAGCCGAACTCAAAACGAGGAGCAATGTTGTTCTTGTCAAAGTATCGGTAGTCGATGTAAAGACCCTGATCAAACATAAACTCCGGCTGTCTGTCTCTCGTCGAATACAGCACTTTGGCTCCTGGGCCGTAATCGTCGAGAGACTGACCAATGCTGTAGGGCAAACGGCCACTAGCATCGACATCGCCAAATAGCACATCGACAAGGGCGTTACCACTCTCCTGTCCTGGCAAATTTGCGTAAAGAACTGCGTGTACGCTGGGTAAATCGATCCAAGACTCCATGACCACAGGGCCTACAGAGTGAATCACCACAATCGTTTTGCCTTGTCCACCACCACAATTGGTGGCGACTCGCTCAATGAGCTTAGCGCCACCCTGTTGCAACTCAAGGTTGTTGCGGTCACCGAATATATCACCATCGTGAATGAAGCCTTCGCCTCCATCAGAATTGGCGAAGACCAGACAGAGGTCTTGATCAACCAGGTGCTTCAAAGCCACATCTTTGCCAAAGAAACCTCGCACATCGCTCTTGTCAGATGGCCAAGCAACGCGCAGTGCCTCCCACGGGGAAACGAGGTACGGAAAGTCGACAGCACCACTTCCCCAGCCAGATCCTAAAGTGCCTTGATTACATCCTCGATCGGCACAAACGTTCGGGCCCTCTCCAGGACCCGCATCCTCGCCATACACTCCAACGCGATAGCGCTCCGCTGGTCCAGTGGCTGTCCGCGAAAGAGGCAAAGTGTTGTTGATGTTTTTCAAAAGAACGATGCCTTCCGCGGCTACCTTTCGAGCGATCAGTGAATGGGCTACCTCTTCGGCGCCGGTCGCTTGCGCGTTCACGTAGTGATTGACCACTTCGTGTGTTGAGTCATCTTTGCTGCCTGGGTGTAAGCCACCCATTTTCTCGTGAGTCCAAGAGGAAAAGTTAGGTCCACCTTTTCCTAATGGCGGTGGCTGGTCCCAGGAGTCCTGTCGGAAGTGATACCAGGCTGCAACAACACGAGTGGCCATATCATTAAGACGCCACATAGGGACGGAAGCGTTGAGTGCAGCTTGGGTCAATCGCTTGCCCCAGAACGACTCGCCGTCTTCCCAAGCCGCACCATCACCGGGCATGCTCATGTCGAGGCCGCTCAACGCGCTTTGCACACCAGATCGCTGAGCAAGCCAGTCTGATTGGACGAATCCCTGAAAGCCTAGTTCATCCTTTAGAATACCGTTCAACAGTTTGCTGTTTTCACATGCATAGCTGTTGTTCACTTTTTGGTACGAGCACATGACGCTGGCCACACCTGCACGCACACTCTCTGCAAAGGGCCATGCAAAGACTTCGTGGAGCGTACGATCGTCAACATTAGATGAAATCGCATGTTCAGTGTCCCATTCCCCTCCAGCTTGACGATAGTGTTCCTGCTCATTCATCAACCAATGCTTGGCAGTTGCCATCACGCCATTGCGCTGGATACCTCGAATGGTCTCAGCCGCGGCCACCCCTTGTAGAACGGGATCTGATCCGAAACCTTCCCAATTGCGACCGCCGGCAGGCATCATGCCCAGGGGTCCCATGGAGGGTCCAAGAAGAACATTAACACCTTTAGCCCGAGCCTCTTGGCCGAGCGCAAGACCTCGTAGATGCATGAGCTCTCGATTCCAAGTTGCGCCTGTGGTGATTCCAGCGGGAAACGCGCTGATGTTGTCCGCAAATCGCAGACCTAGTGGACCGTCCTGGAGACACAGGGAGGGAAATGCGACGTTCATGGCGGGTCCGGTATTGCCAACGCAAAGTCCCATCTTCCACCCGGTCCCGGTTGTGATGTTGACCTTCTCCACAAGTTCCATTTGCTCGACAAGATCATGGGCTTTGGTGTAACTCTCCTTCCATGCGCCGCTTGTCCCACCAAGAGGGGTCGGATACCAAGGAACGGGTGACTAGTATACGTGTTAGCCGAGTGACTAGTGTTCAGTTGAGCCAGATTGCAAGCCCCCCTCCCCCCCAAAAATCACCCTGTGGGAAGAGAGCCATACATATGCTTTCGGGGCTTTACCACCCAATACCCACGGCAAGCCCTTCGTGGCAAGCCACATCAACAGTATGCCAACGGCGATCAATGGGAAAACATGCCACCAAGCTGAGATGCGCAACAATGATTTGATGCCGGCGGCCCAGCCTCGCTTCCTGCCTCCATAGCCGAAAGCTCTTTTGTCTTTGTGTGTCGGTATTCCGTACTCGTCACTGTCCACCTCATCAAGCATGAGATGCGAAGCACGGTCAAGGTCCTCGTCGAAGGTCTCTGACAAAATGTCTCGCTCTCTGCTCAGCATATTCTCAATCGCCTTGCCGACATCGCGTGGTTCACCGGGCCCATCAATGTAGTCGCCGCTCGCTGAGCTTGCGTCAGGGGTGAATTGAACATGTTTTCCCTTTCTCTTCTTTTGGACATTCTTCGCGATCGGGAGTAGCTTCACGTTTGCGTCGTCTTGAGAAGTGGACTCGTCGCCACTTGAGAGAAGATCCTCAAAATATGGATCGTTCATTGCATCGGGCTTGCGAGTCTCCGCGATACCGGACGCGGTTCCTCTTTCAGACGGGGTATATTCATCGTCGGAGTCGCGCGCATCTAAGGATTGATACTCTGTTCGACGCACCACTTTCGAAGTGCCAGCATTGGAAGGCATTATTGGTCTAATTAGGTAGTTGGTATATTGCAGAGAGATTATCTTCTCTCAATTTCGTGTTTCAAGGCATGTCTGTAATGAAGAAAGACCTTTAGTAAAGCTTTGGCGGGAGATAAATGAACGAATGGAGAGGTCACTGTCCGATAACAAATAACTGCGACTGATTAGGTTGGTTGCCCGTCGTCCTCCGGACTCGGTCACATGATCTTTCACATGCAGACGAGCTGCTGGCAACCCAACTTAATTTATTGAAAATAGAAGATCTCGAGGCATGGTCCGTTGGTCACTACATAGGATCAATTGATATTTTTTTTTCTCTTAGTGCTTTATTCAACTGTAGATGCTAAAGATTCAAGTCCTAGCACGTTGAAAGATCGGTAAATTTGGGAAGGCCGCTCGACACGAGATCCGTCTTTGAGCATGGTTTATTGCAATACCTAGTACTGGAGTCTATTTCTGCTTCTGCTTAAACGGATGTGATTGAGACAATTATTTAATCCCAGGATGAAATTCCCTTATCTTGGAGCGCGCGCTTTCTCTCATGCTTGACATTTATTGTCAGCCGGTCTTTATATATGGCTACAGTTTCTTGGTAGTGTTCTCGGCCATTCTCTTGAGTCTTGAACCTTCAAAACGTATCCGAGAGTGAATGGTGACTTGTGATCAATTAACATAAAACTTTTTATTCTTCAGCTGAGGCATCAAGTATTTACCAAAACAAAGCCAACGGCAAGAATGCGTATCTAAGCAGTGTTCAAGAAAGTGGAAAGAGAAAGAAAAACCCAATAACGCCATCTATAGAGTCCCATGCAGAAAGCCACTTAAACTCGAAGAGAGAACTGATGCAGTAGAATGTCCCGGGAAGAGACGGTCACAGAAATGAGAGAGCCATTAAACATCATTGTATCGTAGAAAACGTACTTCATGCTTCGTCGTCAGTGTCCACGGGCTTGGGAGTGCCCTTGGGAGAGTTCAGCTGAAAGACAGTTAGTAAAATAGAAAGGTCTTCATTGCAAATGGCACGTAAGACTTACCCATTCAATGTGACGGAGACGGCGGCGAGCCTCACGATCCTTCAGCTGAGCGCGAGTCAACTTCTTCTTCTTCTTGGCACGGAACTTCAATTCACCCTGGTCCTCGGCACCAGAGTTGACAGCCGATGGTGCCGCACTGGTGTTGGCAGAGGCAGCAGCAGAGACACCAGCAGGGGTACCGCTGCCGGTGGGCGAATTGGCAGCGCTATCCTCGAAGCGATCCAAAGCAATAGCAGCGTTGGTACGACTCACAACTCGGCCGTCGGCAACGTGCAGCTGCTCGGGACAGAGAGCACCCACAAACTCTTCGTTGTGAGAGATCATGACAACACCACCCTTGAAATCACGAATGGCAACAGCCAGACCACCAAGGGAGTCACGATCCAAGAAGTTAGTGGGCTCGTCCAGCACAAGCAAGTGAGGGTTGTTCCACATGGCACCGGCCAAAACGACCTTGACCTTCTGACCACCAGAGAGACCGGAGATTTCATTGTGATTGGCGATCTCCGGGTCGAGGCCGACATCCTCGAAGTGCTTGGAGATGGTCTTGGGTTCGAGAACACGGAATCCTAGACCTTCACGGGAAGCCTCGTGATCATCGAATTCCTGGACCATCTTGGTGAAGCCAAGATTCTCGAGAGTCTCACGGGAGATCATGGTGTTGAACTTGGGAAGGAGACCAACCCACTTCACCTCATACTGGAAGGACTTCTTCCACTTCTGACGACCCATGAGAGCTTCGATACGGCGGGCGCCACGACCGTCGCCAAGGTCAACAGGCTTTTCGAGCTGGGCTTTGTCCTCGGCAGTCAAAATACGGGTCTGCTTCAGGAACACCTCACGGTCATCACCGTTGGCATAACGCCACTGGAGATATTGACTGGGGGTCTTCTCCAAGTGCATCTCAACGTGCTCCAAGGCATGCTGCTTGATGTAGCCAATACGCAGGTTGGGGTGCTTCTCGACCTTTCCGGACTGAGGAACAACCTCACCGGTCAGAATCTTGATGAAAGTAGATTTTCCAGCACCGTTTCCACCAATGATGGCTGTCCGAGAGGAGAGAGTGAGCGAAAGGGAGGCCTCACTCAAAGAAGGCTTGGAGGCGCCAGGGTAGGTGAATGAACAGTTGGACATGCGGAGAATGGCGCGAGTGTTGGACTTGATTCCGGACAGGATCCCAGGGGCCGGGAACTTGAACTGCACGTTGGAAGCAGACAAGGTGTAATAGCTCTTTCCTTCGGGCTTCACCTTGACAAAGGCAGCCAGGTTACCGGGGTAGCAAACAAGCTTCTTCTGTTCGTAGTGGTAGATGTCGGTGCAAACCTCGTCAAGGAATCCAGAATCGTGACTGACAATGAGACTGGTGATCTCGGTGTGCTTCTTTAGATACTCTTGCAACCACTTCACATTGGCAACGTCCAAGTGGTTAGTAGGTTCGTCAAGAAGCAGCACATCGGCCTTCAGGAGCATGGCACGGGCCAAAGCAAGCTTCATCTTCCAACCACCAGACAGTGATCCCACGGGTTGCGACTGACGGCCCTCGGGGCCATCAGTGAAACCGAACTCGAGCAGGACGGAGCGAATGTTCTCATCACCCTGAGCGGCGATCTCGGGGTTCTTGGCAACATACTCGAAGATGCTGAGATCAGCATCCTCGCCTTGGTTGTGCTCGACAAAGCAAGTGCGCACTTCAGAGGCAGGAGGGAAGCCCTCCAGTTTCTCGTTGGCAATGCTGCGCATAAGTGTGGACTTGCCGGCACCATTACGACCGCAGAGGCCATAACGATGACCCTTCACGAGACGCAAATTGGTGTGAGAAAGGAGCAGCATACCACCGTAGGCCAGAGAGAAATTGGCGTCCACGATGACGATCTCATTGGGGTCGGTCTGAACGGGCTTGCCGAACTTCCGCTCGTCTTCTGCAAGGAAGTGCTCCTGCACAGCAGCGGCGATCGTGGTAGCTTGTTCACTGGGCACCAGACCACGTAAATAGGGACCAATGCAAGCCGAGATTCGGTCAATCTTGCGGCAGTTGATATCTTCCCGAACCATGCCAGCAATGAAGTTCTTCGCCAGGTTAGAGAAGGCAATATCTCCAAAGCTGACAAAACCAGCATGCTCCTGGATCTTCGGCTCCAGCACAGCCAAGACCTCCTCCGGGGTGGTCTTGGAGACAGAGCCAGCTGCCACATCGTTGTCCTTCATGGCCTTCTCCATGACATCGAGAGCACGTGTCGCCAATTCACGAACTTCGGGGAGAGAGGCACGGTCTTTGATGGCCTTAATACCTGGTTGAAGCTTAGGCAGGAAAACACGAGCCTCGGCGGGGTCGTGAACAAGTTTCGTCAGGTTCTCAACGACCACGACGGCTTGACGAAGTGTCTCTTGGGGAGTGGTCGGGGCATTCAATGTGCGCTCGAGCAGCGGGGTGAGGAGCGCCAAGACGGGAGAGGTCACGATGGCGACGAAGGTAGTCTGTGAGAGTGCATGGATGGCTTTCTGGAGAGTTTGGGGGGAAGGCTGCTCCATGGTCTTGATGAGAAGAGGAATACGCGGGGCAACATCGTCGTTATACAAGAGGGTGGTCATGGTAGTCATGGCCTTGGTGGCCTGCTTGGCAACGTCGGCCTTGAGATCGTGCATACCGGACTCGACGATCGGGATCAACTCTTTGAGAGTCTTGCCCATGGCCTCGCGCAGCACTTCTTTCTCGTTCTCCTCTTCCTTGGTGCCATTGCCCATCTGGGCGCCAGCAGCCATCTTCTCAAGGAGCTTGAAGCCACCAACGTATCCTTGCCACTTGCCGGTGCCGGTGCTAAGGTACGACTCCAGAGCCGGGAGCAGTGCGTTGGCTTTGGCTTCGGGGCTCATGCATCCGTACAGAGCGTCGATCGCATATTGAGCCGCGTCACGGACGACGGCACCCTTATCGGCAAGCGAGTCCAGTACGACATTCAGGACACCGCCGTTGTGGAGAAGAAAGACGACCTCACTGAGAGGGAACTCTTGGGGGAACCGCTCGAAGAGGGCGCCGAAGATCAACATTGCGCTTTCACGGCGGGCTCCGTTCTTCTTATCGGTGGCAGCCTTCTTCGCTTCGGCCAAAACATTGGAGGTGAGAAGGCCAGCGGTGCCGACGCTTTGGATGAGTACGTTTGCGACCGCGTAGGCGCCATCGAGGGACTGCTGAGAGGTCTCTGCGTTGAAAATGCTGTCTAGGATCGATGAAATCTCTTCCGTGGTGGGCGGCACCCCAGAGGGGCCCTTGGCGACGACAGTCGGCATGACGGGAGTGTCAGAAGGCGACACAGTGTGAGGCATTATATTGTGATGGCGCGAATTGTCTCTCGCGCTGACCCCAGTGTACGAGTCTTGTATCACAAAGACTCTGTGATGGACGGCGAAAATCTCCTTGAACGGATGGAGAGCGGGGGCACACCCGGGCCTGGAAAAAAAAGGACAAAGACTGCAAGGTCGAACGCTCAGATAAGTGGAAGTGCAAAGACGAACTGACAGGGAACTTCGAAAAGAGCGTCGATATCTGCACCGTGACAGCGGCAGATGTCTGAATCCACACAAAACTGTACAGGTCTAAGGGAAGATGAAGACAAAGGAAGGGTCCCCAAGGCACAGAATTATTATCGGGACGCCAGGAGTCCGGTGGGGGATTGCGTATCAAATTTCGGGGCTTACCCACGCTTGCTGCGCTTTTAATTTTTTTTTTCGTTCCCCTTGGATACGATGGATTGTGCCCAATCAGCGGGGCTCCTATCGCCATGACACGCCACTTAAAATCTCGCATACAAATTTGATCGCGGCCTTATCTCCTCCTTTTGCCTGAGGCAGAAACCTTTTCACTTCAGCTTTCAGCCGCTCGATGGCGCTTACATAATACCATCAGTACTGCCGCGGGCGGTCTCTGCCCCGGTTAGGTAAGCATTCATATACCCCCTCAGGCACTCAAGCTCACTATCGGTTGTCAAGGTCAAGTAGCTTGGAGTCACGAGATCTGCGGTCTTGATAGGTACATCCGAGGGTAATACTGGACTCATCCCGTCATCCGACGCTGGGTGTGCAGTAGTCTGACTATGCGGAGTATGTTTGTCAGGTTGATGCACTTGTGGCGTCTCAGGCAAGGCATCTTGTTTGACTCGGGTGGATGGAAATAATCGCCTTGATGATTTCACTGTGAATGACAAGGTTATCCATCATCAATCTTCTGCGACAACCTGGCGACTTCTTGGGTTCACAAGTGTTATCAGCGCGGGCCCAGCGATTACTGCCAGATTCCAGTACGTAGCAGAATCCTGTCATTGACTTGAGAGTGATTAGAAATTACCTCATGTATTCCTACCTACCGTTAGGCCCTCAGATGGACGTATACATGTCTGCACGCAACGTCGAACTGAGAAGAGGTGATGGAATAATCAACCAGTCACGAGGTTGTTAGCGAGGCAGATGTGATGTAAATCCATGACACTACCACAAGACAACAGACATACCAATGACTAGAGAACATCCATAGTTTCCCATCAACACCAGTCTCGGGATGCTGACGCCCTGACACTGAGGTTTAGTCGTACACTAGACCCTTATGCACCTAGTAGCACAAACTATCTACAGTCCCACGACTAAAGTCTTCGGCCCCGAAGGTAGAAAAAGGCGGGTAGTCGTCGATCAAAAACTCTAGTGGTGGGACGCTTCGGTATATAAGTTACGCAGCATTCACTAATTTGTCACTACTATCTTGTACAGTGCATAAGTTAGTGTCTACGAATCGAGTGCTTAGTCTTACTACCTGATACCTGGTGAAGGCTTGTCGTGGTTGATTGACTTCAAAGCTGGGCTGTCGAACCAGTTGTCATAATCATCCATACTACTATGGTAGGGTTCAATAACCTATCAATTGATCCTTCAAAGGCTCACTGAAATCGGAGTTCACAAAATGATAAGCGCTAGATTTGAGTTTGGGTGACTCGAGCCCGAGAACGATGATCCATTTTGTGTCGGTGGTACAGCGACTCCTCTTGATGACAGTAACAAATGTACAGCAGCACCAGCATTTAGGAGACTTGCCTGGTCGAGGTACCCTGTTCACCGCACTCACATTGCGAGGATCAGAACAGACTCGCACACCTTGATGTTGGAGAGGGAAGGAGACGAATGAGAAACTAATCGAACAGGGATGGCCGACCGCATGCAGCCGCCCCGGGCCTCGGTAGAGGTCGGTGGAAGAACCCCCGCGTACAACCGACGGACCGCATGTCATTTGATTACACCTGGTCGATCCCAAACGCCGATGTCTTTTTCTCTCCCTTTTGTCCGTCCCAAGCGTGATTCAATCTATTCTCAAAATCTTGCAATTCTCTCTTCCGGAGTCATCCTTGCTTAGGCTCACTTCTCTATCGCCTGAGAAACCTGGTCACTGCCATTGATTCTCCCCGCACCAGGCTTCCGCCCCCACAAATCTACCCCGGATCCGTACCAACACGAACACAATGGCGATGAGCTTCAGAACGACCCGTCACGCCTCTCGATTGGCAAAAGTGAGTTGTCTAGCCAGGAGAGAGCAATCGCTTGGGAGACTCTTCAGCCTGGAGGAGATGTTTGATAGCATGTCAGCTCACAAGACACTCGCAGGCCTCTCGACCGCTGTTCTCAGCCCGGCACTATGCGACCGCCGAGCCCGACCTCAAGACTGCTTTAAAAGAAGTGATTCCTGCGAAGCGTGAACTCCTGCAAAAGGTCAAAGCCCAGGGCGACGAGGTCATCGGTGAGGTCAAGGTCAGCAATGTCATCGGTGGCATGCGTGGGCTCAAGGCCATGCTGTGGGAGGGTTCCGTTCTCGACGCCGACGAGGGCATCCGCTTCCACGGCAAGACCATCAAGGATTGCCAGAAGGAGCTGCCCAAGGGCACCTCCGGTACTGAGATGCTTCCTGAGGCCATGTTCTGGCTTCTCTTGACCGGTCAAGTCCCTTCCACCGCCCAAGTGCGCGCATTCTCGCGCGAGCTCGCCGAGAAGTCGACTCTGCCCACCCACATCCTGGATCTTATCAAGTCCTTCCCCAAGAACATGCACCCAATGACTCAGCTGTCCATTGCGGTCGCTGCCCTGAACACCGAGTCCAAGTTCGCTCAGGCCTACGAGAAGGGTCTCAACAAGGCGGAGTACTGGGAGCCCACCTTTGATGACTGTATCTCGTTGCTGGCCAAGATTCCCCGCGTGGCTGCGCTGGTGTTCCGTCCCAACGAGATTGACGCCGTCGGCACCCAGCAACTCGATGTGACTCAGGACTGGTCATACAACTTCGCCGAGCTGCTTGGCAAGGGCGGCGAGAGAAAACCAGGACTTCCATGACCTACTGCGCCTGTACCTTGCTTTGCACGGCGACCACGAGGGAGGCAATGTCTCCGCCCACGCTACTCACTTGGTTGGCAGCGCTCTCAGCGATCCCTTCCTGAGCTACAGTGCCGGCCTTCTCGGTCTGGCCGGTCCTTTGCACGGTCTGGCCGCGCAGGAGGTTCTCCGATGGATCCTCCAGATGCAGGAGAAGATTGGCACCAAGTTCTCGGACGAAGACGTCCGTGGCTACCTCTGGGACACTCTCAAGTCCGGCCGTGTCGTCCCCGGATACGGCCATGGTGTTCTCCGCAAGCCCGATCCCCGCTTCCAAGCCCTTATGGACTTTGCCGCCACTCGCCCTGACGTGATGGCCAACCCCGTCTTCCAGCTCGTGAAGAAGAACTCGGAAATTGCCCCTGGGGTGCTGACTGAGCACGGAAAGGTGAGTACTGATCTAGCTATCCTCTCTCCCTAACACTACCTTACCAGTGGGCTGATTTTTGTATAACAATCCAGACCAAGAACCCCCACCCCAACGTTGACGCCGTCTCCGGTGTCCTTTTCCACCACTACGGCTTCCAGCAGCCCCTTTACTATACCGTGACCTTTGGTGTCAGCCGTGCCTTGGGTCCCTTGGTCCAGCTCATTTGGGACCGTGCCATGGGTATGCCTATCGAGCGGCCAAAGAGCATCAACCTGCTGGGTCTCGTTAAGAAATGAAGAACCCAGTATTTCGGGAGATGAATCTTTGTTTTCGATGAAAATTTCATGCTAGCGAGCTTTCTTTTGTGTTATTCCGAAGATCGATTAGACCGTTCTGTCAATTGAGGATTGCGGGCTGGCGCGCGTGTGCCTTTTTGGTGATGACGTGCACTCGCGGACGAATCTTATTATATGCAAATCAAATGAGACAATACTCAGAAATCTAGTCTATCTGGCTCGTATGGGTCGTAAACCAGTCAGGTAAATCATGTTACTACCGCCTTCCTCTCTAACATATAACGAAGATCACCCACGGAACGGCCTAGCATGTGGGAATGGTTTCCCTCGAGGCGGTCATTAATTGAACGAACAGACACCTACTCGTATCTTCACTAGAAGCCAATCCTATCACCTCTACAATCATAGCCTTGCCGTCCCCGAAACGATCTTCTCCCACTCATCCTTCCCGAATGGCGAAAAGCCTTCATCTCCAGGAGCCATCCACAAGAACCGATCGTCCCGACCATCAGTGACTTTTGTCCCAATCAGTGCGGGATCCACACCCTCGTCGCGAAGAGGCACTTTATTCTGTTTGTGATTGTGAATATGAGATGGATTGTCGACGATACGAAGGAACACCGGGACTGCGTAGCGCGGAAGCTTGGATCGCGCGTACCGAGATAGCGCCGCATAGTCAAAGGTTTGTCGAGCCTCGGGGCTGATTTGAAGCGCTGCACATCCGGCGCGACCTTCGTGGTTGGGTAGGCGCACGCCGTATACGTTGGCTTCTTGAATACCGGGGTAATTACCGAGGACCTCGGAGACTTCGGCGGTGGCTCTGTGGTGAAGTTGATTAGCTTTGAGTGTCCCAGGATGATCGGGAAGGTAGAGTTTAGTTGGGCTTTCCTGAGACGTACACATTTTCACTCTTCCAGCGGAACGTATCGCCAAGTCGGTCGAGGAAGTACCACCGGCCATCGCTCTGACGACGGAGGGCATCACCGGATCGATACCAGATGTCGCCCTTCTTGAAGACATCCCGGAGGAACTTCTTCTCGGTGGCCGAGTCGTTGCGCCAGTAACCTTGGAATCCTTCTTTGTTGGGCATGTTTACGATGATCTCGCCTCCATCTTCGTATCTCGCCCGCACAACAAGTCCGGTCTTGGGATCTCGAAGCACATCACCCGTTTCAGGATCGATGGCAACGGGGACAAAGACATTATGCAACAGGCCTCGCATCAAAAGCCCATGGTGCCCAACACTCCCGGCTGTGTAGGGTCCGCAATTGAAGTTGAAGAGACCGAAGACACCCTCGGTGCTATTGAAGAACTCACCAACCTGAGCGACGCGGAAGCGCTTGCGGAATTGTTCCCAAACGTCAGGTCTTAGTCCATTGCCGTACATACAACGTACGTTATGTTTGCCGTCCAATGGGGAGGGCGGAGCAGCGAGAAGGTATCGTGCTGTTTCGCCAACGTAAACGAACACCGTAGACTCGGAGTCACGAACATCCTTCCAGAAGTTGCGCACACTGAACTTGGGTCCCAGGGCAATACTAATCCCCGTGGTTAGGCACGCAATGAGTGTCATCGCGGCTGTGCCGTGGTATAGAGGCATACAGCTATACCAGCGATCCCCATCAGGACCTTCCTTGTCACCCATCACGTCCTCTCGCAGCATCATTGTCGTGTAGATCCGTGACATTGTGAAGGCGCAACCTTTGGGCATTCCAGTCGTTCCAGATGTATAGAGGAGGATGGAAGGGAAGTTGCCCTTCATATTTTCAGCCAGATTCGTCGGTGGAAGGGAGGTCTGGAACGTGCGGATATGTGCCTTGAGCGATTCGTCCAGGGTCATCAACTCCATACCCAACTCTCCAGTGACGCTTTCCCGACGCTCCTCCATTCGCTGAATGCAAACAGGATCTTCATCCACCAGGACAAGTTTCGCGCCGCTGATCTTCAGACAGTGGAACAGCGCATCACCCGTCAGATTGTAATTGATCGCCGCAGGAGCACAGCCAATGCTCCAGAGACCAAGCCACGCGATCAAAAACTCGGGCCGATTCTCCAAATAGAAGCCCACCAGGTCCCCCTTCTTTACACCCTTTGCCAGAAAGAAATGGGCATATTGGCATGCCTGTTCCAATAGATCTCGGTAGGTATATGATCGTTCGCGCGTCCAGAGTGCAACCATGTCCGGATATCGCGTGGCGGTTTCCACGAAGACGAACCAAGCGTTACCTTTGCTGTTTGCCACTATCCGAACGGAGTTAGACGTGGTAGTGCAGCATATTGTGGTAGGCAATACTTACCAGCCTTGGCATAAGCTCGCTCACTCTTCTTCACAGACCATATCGCATGGATATCTTTGCCCAGGTGAAATTTGGCGTTCAGATAAGCAGCTACGGTCGCTCCACCGGCGAGGGCAGCTGCAGCGGTTCCTATGGACCTCAGTCTATCAGTTTCGGGCTTCTCAGAACAATGACCTATTGGGGTGAGTTCTTTACCAAGGTCCATCCGAGCGGGTACGCAGAGGTCGAGTAAAGCTCAACCTTTGATTGGTAGAATTGAACTATTGCTTTTCTATTGCTCCTTGCGTCAAAGACTGGTAGAGCCAGGAGGATAGTGAAGCAATTGGCGATCAACAGCTCACGCGGAGCGAGTGGTTGGGTGTCGGTTGGAGTGAATATCGTCCAGTCAAGGTCTTGTTAGGTCGAGTGAGAATTTGGAGAAGATAACAGTTCCTCACCCAGAATGAGAACGGCAAAAGATGGAAGTGGACTGGATTGCCGCCAGCCGAGATTCAAAAATCATGCATGTTCTTTCTCCCTCGGCACAACTGACCTTTCTCCGCACAACAAGGATGTAGCGGGCGCATTAGAAACCCATTGTGAGCAAGACTAGGTCACTTATCGCCGTCGGCCAATTTCCCCTCACAGTGGCTTGAGTTGCTTCCGCATGTAGCGAATCTACTCGCCTATGCTCAAGAAGCTTCTCGCCCTAGACCTCTTCCTTAGCCGATGCGTGTGTGGCTATGAAAAGGATCGAAAGTGCGGGGAAGGCCAGTTATCCACCTTCATAAAGGGTCGATCATTTCCGCCAGTCGGTTCCCGACTCTCGAAAGTTTGATCGCCTCGGTAAAATCCACTCGGTAAATACTGGGTAGTCGCTGTTGGGTAGTTTCAACCCAGACCAGTGTTCTGGTTGTCAATCGAATGCCACGATTGCAATTGTCTCTGATTATCATTAGATTAGTCGCTGTATCTGTAGTTGGGATTCAATCGTAGACAGGCATAGTTAGGTCAAAGTGCCGAACAGCAAAGGTGGATCGATGCGGTTGCAGAAAAGAGGCCAGTGCTTACTTCACCGCCACCAGAGGACCTGACCAGGTGGGCACATGGCGTGTTGAGGTGAGGCTGAAACCTGCAGCGTAGCACAGTAGTAACACTACCTTCTTTCCTTCCCGTTTACCAGTACGACTGACTAGAAGATTGTACATCGGCTGGAGGGGATGTCTACAGGGTTTACGTTTATTCGTGTCGTCGTCGTTGGCTCGGCAAAAGGCATCAGTAGCACGCCTGGGTGAATTGAGAAACCGACCAGACATATCGATAGCTGCTCTGGTGTAGAGATGTCTCCTATCGAGCGGTCATCTTGGTTCGCGGTTTGAATAATCGCTGTCTCACTTCAATTGCTCTAAGTTTCTGACTGACTTGCCCGCTCAAGACAACTCAGACGACTCATCATGTCTTGCAGTGATCAGGCGAGCATCTCAAGATAATGATGTAGTAAAATCCCATTCTGTACATACTATGATACATTCGGTAGATGACAAACGCTGAAGAAGATACTAGTGTGATAAACCGTCTCGGCCATTCAGATTGGGACATGACGTGGTTCAGCTCACGGGCGCCTCGCTGTCGTGGAAATCGCCGAGTTTCAGCAACTTCTTTGCATTGTCGCGGCCAATAGCACGGTAATTGTCGAGTCCACCAACCGCTTCGACAATGGCATTTCTGTCATTGTCCCACCAACCGCAGCCTGCTTCAATCGTTTCGTAAGGGTAGTCAACACTGAAGAGCATGCGATCCGCGCCGATCTCGTTGACGACATACTTCAGGGTTGCAGTTGAAAAGTGGCCACTGGTGGTCAGCCAGATATTTTCCTTGAAGTAGTGGTAAATGTTCTTCTGGGCCATCGCACGGCCCTCCTCCTGGGCAATCGGTCGCTTGATGTCCTCGAACCAATGGTCGATGCGCCAGAAGTCAAAGGGAATATGTTCACCTTGGTGGCCGACGATGATTTTCAATTTGGGAAATCGATCGAACACTCCGTTGGAGATCAAGCCCAGAAGGTGCAGACTGACGTCGTTGGCGAAGGACAGAGGGGGTCCGATCAGAGAAGGACGTTGCTCGTAAAGCTTCTCATACACCACTCCGGTAGGTGCAGAAGGGTGGATGTACAGCGGCACATCCAATTCTGTCAGTGCCTGCCAGAAGACATCATACTCGGGCTGATCGTAGAAGAGATATGTTTCTCCGTCCGGACCGGCATGCTGGAAGTTACACAATAGAGCACCGTGGAAACCGAGTTCCTTCACGCATCGGCGAAGCTCTGTAGCAGCTTGGCTGGGGTCGTGCATGGAGAGACATGCAAAAGCACCCAGCCGATCTCGGTGGCTCTTGATCTCGGATGCAACCCAGTCGTTTGTCTCGGTAGCCACCCGCTCCGCTTCAGCCTTGTCGGTGATTCCTTGGATACCCGGGACCGTGAGGGAAACGATCGTGTATCCAATGCCGTGAGCGTCAGACAGCTTCAAGCGCTCGTTGGTGATATCCCCAATCTGACGCATGTAGCGAGCACGGTCGTGGGGAGCAATGTAGAGACGCGCCTCGCGCATGGATTTCTCCTCCATGTTAGGGCGCTCGTAGGCTTCTTCGAGGGAAATCTTGCCGAACATCTTGTCTGTTGGGCTTCTGGGTGATGCACAAGTGATGGGATGAGGAAATTGACCGTAGCAAGAGATCTCTCTTTCTGACTGATGTGAGATAAAAATGCCTTGGATGTTGGAGTAACACGCCGAGCAACGCAGGGTATTTATGCCACGGTGATGGCGAGGTATGACAGCATCCGCAACTTGAACACCAAAGGTGACCGCATCTTGTTACTCGATATCGGAAGTGATCGGATATATCGACACTTCCACGTTGTTCTCTCCAAGTCAAGAGGGTCTGATACTTCAAAATGCGGGATGTACAAGTTGCAACCGATCCAAGAGTCAACCACCAGACAACCGGAGTGAGAGCTACTTCACGCGTGGTAAGGTCCACTTGCCGGGAGCCCTGTGGGTTGCGGTCGACTGGATAGACCCGCAGGGCTCGTTGCGACCGCAGTTTGATTGGTTTGTATGCAGATGACGTCGCCAAGCCTTGGTGCGCGTGAATCATCTCGCCTCTACTCAGTCTACTGTATTCTCGACTATGCAACGAAGAGGATGGTCTGGGGATAATCGGCATGCCATCGCATGACAACACTCATTTCTTGGTTCCACAGAGCGGCTATTGACGTTCATCAGATCGAATTCGTGGTCATCGCGTCCCATTGACGTTGCCGCAATATCGGGTCCGACTCGGCCCGAATGATTCACTTACAATGCCTCGAAGACCAAAAGGGCTAAAGTCGAGATATGGCTGCAGCGAATGCAAGCGGCGACGCGTCAAGGTAGATGGTACTTTGAATCTGAGTACGAAATGCTTACCGTTAGCTAAAATGATACTGTCTTTTAGTGCGATGAGACAAAACCATCCTGCTTGAATTGCAATCGGTTGGGCCAGTCATGTAGCTACACCCTTATAACTCCACAGTTCTGCGGTGGAACAAAGCCTGTCCCAAGTAGTATCAAGTGGCAACCGCCAAAATCTGGCCAGCCAGATCGATGCGTCTTTAGGCTACGCGACATGCAACTGCTACACTTTTTCACCATGAAGACAGCGGAGACATTGTCAAGTCACCCAGAAGTGCAGAACGCTTGGAAGACGACCGTCGTCGACGCGGCATTTGCGAACTCATTCCTTCTACAGGGCTTACTGGCCCTGGCTGCTCTTCACCTCGCAAGCCAAAGTAGCGCCGATGGTGAAGATCTTTCCATCCTCGCGGCCACTAAGATAGAACAGGCCTTGGTCCAGTTTCGACATGAAGTGCGCTGTTTGAGTTCTCAAAACTGCGACGCGGTCTTCATTTTCTCGGTATTGATCGCCTTCTATATACCCGCATCCGCTGGAACGGCAATCAATCCATCCGCCAATTTTTTTGGCGATGACTTTTCTGTCTCGGTTGTCAAATGGATGCGTCTCTTCCGGAGTGCACGGGATGTGTACGATCAGTATACGTCTCAGATTCGAGAGAGATCATTGTCCATTCTGATTTCCTGGTATGACCGCGATTTACCACCTCCAACTTCATCGATCCCTTTGCCCGAGGGTATTCCGATCAACGAATATCTTGCGGATCAGCTCAAACGAGTAGGGGTCCCCGAGGCAGAACTGGCTTATCTCATCTCAACATCCCACCCAGAGGCTGCGCAGACCAATGTCAGAGCCCTGAACCTCGCACTCGAATTGTTTGGGATCGATGGTGAACATCCAAAATTACTCGAAGCTCAGTGGAAGGTGTACATGCCCACCACACTTGGCCGTTCAGGACACCCATGGCACAGTACAGATGGTGTTGATTGGTTGAGCAGGTCATTTGCATGGCTATTTTGGATACCGCTACAATTCATTGAGTTGCTCGAGTCACGCGACAATATCTCGCTGATCATATTTGCATGCTTCGGACTTGGCTTTGGTCGTGCACCAGGCAAGTGGTGGAACAGTCATATCCCCGGTCTTGTCATGGAAATGGTCCATAGGAATTTACCCCCAGATTCTCGGGAGTTGTTCTCATACATACTCCCGGCTCGGTCAGATGATGGCCTCGCTGACTGCGCGATAACAGCCTCAGTCCATCCCCATGTTTCAAACACGTGACGAGTCCATCTGTCACACGTCTCAAGAAATCTCCAGCGTGGGATTCTTTCTTACTAGCACTGGGAGATATTTTTCGCTTTGGCGTTCTGACTTTCCGAAGGAATCTCTTCACACTTCACAAAACTTCTCACGTTTGCACCTCATACCCCTCACCTTTTACACTCCCACAATGAGATCCCCCACAGCAGAAAGCAATATATCGCCTCGATCGGTCTTCATCTGTCGTGGCTATCGGTTCCTCTGTCATGAAACACTCAATCAATTCGATGAGATGCGATATATATCGTTTCGTCAATAAGTAGCATGAAGAAAAGTCTGCGACGGTGGATGGTTGGGGTGTCCAATCCAACCTACTGCACTTGACTGTCTTGGTCGGTTACCCACATTGGGAACAGATCCCAGAGGGTGCGATCTCTCTTGTCAAGGATCAGTTGGAGTCTACCAAAGTCGAACTGCTCCAAGATCTCTGCGCCCAAGTCCAGGTTCGACGCGGCATGTTTGCGGTGGAGGATACTTTGGTAGAGACTCTGAGATATAATAGGGTTGTCTGCAGCTTTCAACTCAAGCGGACATCATTTTGATGATCGGATCACCTGTTGTTGGTGCTCACGACTTGCAGAGCATTGATCGATGTGACTGGCTTCTCACGAGGAGAATGTCATGGCTCTGAGGAGTTTGTTACTCTCTCCTTACAAATCCGATGGTTTCGATCTCCCGAGTGTTTCAAGTCCGAGGAAACTGTGATTGAGAGAGACTGTTCCTGAGCCTTCAAGATGATGTTTAGCAGAGGAAGTGAGACTGGATAGACAGTCGCGGGTCTTTCAAACAGCAATGTCTCTTAGTGCTCGTGTATCGACGTATAAACAGCATTCACACCACAAGAGAAGGGAAATGCGATGGAGCCCTGAGGATATGATGTGCTTGCAAAATCAGCAATACACTTCCTGCAATCTGCCCATTCGGAATAGGCTCCTATCCGGAAATCTTCATCTTGTGACTGGGGACATGGGACTGTAACTACACCTACGAAACTTCTCCTCCTAATAGAATAGATTCCATTCCGTCCCATCTCTAAATTCGAAAACTAAAGGATGGGACACTACTCAGAGCTATCCACCTCGAAGCGAGTCCCATGACTCGTGTCAATCGTGCCTGGGGGCCGTTCCCCTCACCCCTGCATGACACCATTCCCAAACGATGCTCGCGCAGACCCATTTATAGACCAGTGTTCACCTCGCACGCGGCCCGTTCTCCCCCGGCACATTGACTCTAAGCTCGACAATGCCGTCATGACACCACAAGCTGGCATAACCGACCTTGCGCGAATCCTTGCAACCCTGCCGCTGGCACATCCGGCCCATCAACCCCTTGTCTAGCGCCATGATGCTCAGCCCCAGAGCTGGCTGCTGCCTGTAGCTATGTGACTGAAAATGATGGTCTTGTACATGACACCGACGGGACTATCACTGTAAGGCTGAGCAAGGCGCCAATTTTAGAAACCGTGGAGGAGAAGTCGTGAAAATTGGAACAGATCAATATCTATATCAGCCTTGAGCATATAATCTGAGCTTGTTGCCCCGGTGAAGTAAGATCTAACTCAAACTCCATCAAGCTTCTCACTCTCCACCTCTCGGAGAAAGTCAAATTTGAGGCTCAATTAGGCCCCATTTTCAATCACTTAGAACAGTTTTGAGCCGAGCCTGTGTATCGACCGAGGGCTTGATTCACACAATCGAATCCTTCTAAAACATTGAATACGTCAATACCTCTGTATCCTCACCTCATAATGGCACTTTCCGATGAATTGACTATTGGGGACGTGCTCGGCATCGACCCAGCGCAGGAAATGAAATGCCTTGCATTACGTCCCACAAAAACTGATTTTGCATGCAAAGATCGTATCAGCGATCATGCTCAGAAAAGCGCGAGAGAAGCCCTTTCGGAGATAATAAGATATGGAAAGTACGACAAGAGGAGGATTTACAAGAAAATCAAGAAGGTCGTTCGACTCGTCGTCCACCAGGGAAAGCATCAGCGCACATGTCCTAATGCTTACCAACGCCTTGAGGACATTTGGATGCAAAAGATGAAAGCCCATTTCGAAAGTCGAGCATTCAAGTTCAACATTGCGAAACTTGAAAAGTCGTTCCAAGAGCGAGAGGAGGAGAAAGTCAAGGCCCAGCTTCGGTGGTCTTCTGGTAGTTCCCACGAAACGACCAGCACCGTCCAAAGACAGACTGAGACTGGGAACTCGGACGAGGTCGTCTATCCCACTTCACCTACGGACTTGACAGACGATATGGAGGAGCGGGAGGCTATCACGGCCGGATCGTTTGAATGGTCCCCTTCTACTGCCTACGAGTGTCCTGCGCTCACGTCTCCGATCAACAATGTCGTGCCTCTGTCCTCACCAGTCCGAGCAAGCACGTCAGCAGCGGTGAATGTGCAGCAGGTCAGCACAAAACGCGCAGCTTCCAGTGCTGATACCGAACTCAATCGCGCACCATGTTCAATATCGCTTTTCCAGATCACATTCCAAATGCTGCTGAAGCTGCTCCTCCTATTCCGAAGCCGTTGGACTCGTGTCCGTGTCAAGACGGTATCGGGCGAAGTTCAGGACGAACTTGTTCTCGATATGATGCTCGTTTGTGGCGTTCGAATTCCAGTTTACCAGGCGATTTCATGGATGATGCCCATTCTTTTGGTTGTATGGGGCTATTGTTTATCGTTTCTTTGGGGCTCATTTCTGTGGACGATCGGTCTTGTTCTGATGGTTGGTGTATGGTGTCAGCCGAGGATATCATCTCGACAAGAGATGGCCAGACTATAGGAAATGGTGTATTCGAGTGAGTTTTGCGTGTTTTTCAATTTCTGTACTACTGGCGGCTTCTTTTCTTTCTGCTTTATTATGTATTAGCCACGTCGAGATGAATAATGCATATGATAATGAGAACATGTGTGTGATGCTCCGTACCAACCGCCACATGAGAACAAATGACAAACGGTCCGAATCCAGCAGAACTACCGACTGGAGCAGCAATAGACTTCCTAATACGGATGGCAAGGGAACGGTGGGCTTCAGATGGTCGGCACGCCAAAGGTAAGGCTACTGGCGAGATCACCATATTGTGCAGTGCAGCAGTGATAAGCATGGGTCATCAACCGGTCCAAAAACGCAGACGGCATCACCATTGTGAAGAGATGATGATGATGAAGATACTTTCGAATACCATTAGCCTATAGGTAAAAGATTCCTACAATCGACCTTGACTTATGATGAATTAAATATATTGGATGTAGAAGACTGCCGATCGATGATACACCAAAGCTTCGAGACGAGGGTTCCACGAGGGGCATACCAGTTACCACCGCTCTGAGTTTCGTCACGGGCGGATGGTTCTCTCCCGTTCGGGTGTGCGGGTGTGCGGGTGTTCCTGGCCAGCTTGAATCGCCGAGAAGGGAAGACGAGAGAAAAGGGAACTGTTGAGATAGCTTGGTGGTCCGGCGCGTCACGCCAGCGTGGTGCGCGCCTACGCACACCACCACCACCAGTAGTTTAGATAGCACCTCTCACCATATTCAATCTCACCATCCCTTTCTCCCCTCTTTTTGTCAGTGCTACGTTTCACCGTAGCTCACTGATAGGAACGAAGAGCGACACGAGCCAGAGCCACAGAACAAGACGAGACAGGCCACAGGCCTCTGCCCAGAGCTCAGGGCAAAGCGCATGATTGCTGTTGCGGCGTTCCACGGCGATCTCGGGTTGGGACCCAACCGCCGTTCTGAACTTACCACCTCTACAAAGGACCCACCCCACCTACCCAGCCACATGCTATGCTTCAACGATGAATACGTTCAACCCACCGGATATATTTCAGGGGGAAGAGGCCAAGAAAAAAGCCTTTGGGAAATCTTCAAGTGATTCAGACTCGACGATGAATCGTGCAACACAATGACCTGCTGAACCATCACATCTTCCCTTCGTCCCGTCATTATACCTCAACAGCAAAGAGGACTACGATGTGCCGATAATGCCAATGTGGTCCTGTCGTCAGACGGGCGGTACGTCACGGGTCCTGTGAGCCTCGGTTACACTCGGGGGCGGGGAACTTGTTCACATCGCATCCATCACAACAATCATCAACACTCTACAAAGTGTACAAACACACTCTGCAATGATACTCTTCAACCCTCTCGCTGTTGAGGCGGACCCATGATGCATGCCCAGGACACAGTTGGGCCGATTGCGCCATCTCCACGGGGTCTCGAAGGGGCTTCCGGTGGTCCGGTGGGTGGGCAATACTAGTGCCTCCAACAGGGGTTCAAAAGCAAAACAGTTGATGTGCGTGTTGTTGGGACTTGGGAGAATGGGGACGCGCACCGTTTAGAGTTGGCGGCGATGGACCCTCTGCCCTTCTCCGTCGAACTCGTTTGCAGAAGAATAAGATTCGACACGGACCCAAATCAGCGAGGTATGATTGGAATCATCTGTGGATATTGGCTGAGTGGACATGAACAAGTGGACACTGGACGCTAAGCACACCGGAAAAGTCTCTCTGGCTGTGACTCGCCGCTCCGGTGAGCGGGGAGAAGTGAACCATCCGAATCATAGTAGGACTACGCAATACGCATGCTCGTCGCATAATTAAAACTTTGATAACGTAAAACAGCAATAGATAGTACTTACTGGTACCTACTACTCCAGGAGTTAGTACTTACCTATTATCATTATCATTATCATCATCATATTCATTGACTACTACTCTTCAGAGTCGTTTCTCTACCCCTCCCACAAGCATTAGAAGCCAATTGAAGCAACTAAGAGTGACACTTCCTCATCATGTATTGCAAACAAACCCCCAATGTAGATAAAGGTAAAGCTCCAGTACCACCAGGTGCCAGTCAGGTACCGGGCACACTGGAACTTTGTAGCCCCATACTACTTAGTCGTGCAGTCGAACGACTCGGTACTACTGAGGAGTACTGAGTATTCTCGAGTCATCACGGACGGACTGGTACCTGACTCCGTCGGTACTTTGACACTTTCTACTTTCTACACCCCTCCTCGAATCCTCCCCTCTTTCGTCTGGACCTGTCTCGACCACCTCTACCTCTCTCTCCTTCTTCCGCACTCTCTCCACATCTCTTTCCTCCTCTTCGAGCTGTCACACCCCCAACCTCCCCAAAGATGTCTTGGACTTGGTCTCGGTCGCTCTCGCGGACCGCATGGCGATCCTACGGAACCGTTCAGGGCTCCCCTAGTGCCGCCGCCATCGCCAGTCGAGTCCCCAGTGCCCTCGTCGAAGCGACCTCGGCCACGGCGCCTCGAACCAACTGGACGCCCGAGGAGATTAACGCAATTTACCACACTCCCCTGAATCAATTGACATATGCCGCGGTAAGGCTGTTATTCTGATGATGATACTCAAAGTTTCTCACCAATGTCCTTGCTGTCTTTTTGAACTCTTTGATCTCGTCTTTCTGGCTTCATACCGTTTCTCAAAGCTCAACCCCGTCTCGGTGTCTCCAATTTCAAACCACCGGCAGGCGGCTTCCTCTCCGACGATTCATGATACTTACACTTCTCTTCCACAGGCCGCCGTGCACCGACGCTTCCATGACCCCTCCGCCATCCAAATGTGCACTCTGATGAACATCAAGACGGGTGGTTGTAGTGAAGACTGCTCGTACTGCGCCCAATCTTCCCGTTATGACACCGGTCTCAAGGCCACCAAGATGAGCCCCGTCGATGAGGTTCTTGAAAAGGCCCGGATTGCCAAGGCCAACGGAAGTACTCGATTCTGCATGGGTGCGGCATGGCGTGATATGCGGGGTCGCAAAACCAGCCTCAAGAATGTCAAGCAGATGGTCTCGGGCATCCGCGACATGAACATGGAGGTCTGTGTGACCCTCGGCATGATCGACGGGGAGCAGGCCAAGGAACTGAAGGAAGCCGGCCTGACGGCCTACAACCACAACCTGGACACCTCCCGCGAGTTCTATCCCACCATCATCACCACTCGCTCCTACGATGAGCGACTGCGGACGCTGGACCACGTCCGCGATGCCGGCATCAACGTTTGCTCCGGGGGTATTCTGGGCCTGGGCGAGTCGGATGCCGATCGTGTCAGTCTGCTGCACACCGTCTCCAACCTGCCCTCGCACCCGGAATCCTTCCCGGTCAATGCGCTGGTTCCGATCAAGGGCACCCCCTCGGAGATCGCAAGATGATTCCCTTTGACCGGGTTCTCCGGACCATCGCCACGGCACGCGTGGTGATGCCGGCCACCATTGTCCGCCTGGCAGCGGGTCGCATCGCCATGTCCGAGGAGCAGCAAGTGGCCTGCTTCCAAGCGGGAGCGAATGCCGTCTTCACCGGTGAGAAGATGTTGACGACCGACTGTAATGGTTGGGATGAGGATCGGGCCATGTTTGAAAAGTGGGGATACTACCCCATGAAGAGCTTCGAGAAGCCTGAGTTGCGGGACAGTAGTAGTCTATCCTCTGCCTCTCCCTTGTCCCCTTCTCCGTCGGTCTGAAGAAAAGGCACTGCGCTGGTCGCAGCGGGCCCGTAGAGTCATGTCATACAAAATGAGTTCCACTTCGTACACATTGATCCGATCATGATCCCCCACCAGTCCTTTGCCCAAATGTGGTCAGAGCTTGATGAGTAACCCGTATGACTGTCCGTGTCGGGTCACTATCGATCTCACTAAATGGAAAAATCGTAGCTTTGAATGGGGCCCATCTCAGACACTTCTTCTCTCTGGAGACTCAAGTAGCCTTCGAACTTCCTTCTCAAAGAGCAAACCAGGTGACTACCGTCACTGGAAACGCCACATCTGAAAGCCCGACACCCACGAGCGATGAAGCTAGTCCTTACTCCCTACATATCTGTCTTTGATCTCAATGGCTCATAGGCAGCCACAAAATCGGAGCGCCAGGTGACTGCGCCGGCCGGAAGATTTCAAACTTCCGATATTTCGAAGTATTGCAGAGCTTTTCTCGGGTCGTTGAATCTCATTTGCTTGGCCCACGTGGAGATCGGGTTGAGGCCTTCAGAGCACCAATGTAGGTGAGGAGTAGGACAGAGTCGGTCGAACAACTGTTGAGTGATCCGGTTCTCACATGAGGAAAGGGGCTGTGTTGGGTGACATATGACTGCATTCATCACAGACTCACGTGCACACACGAGTCAACGCGTCCCCCTCATCTATCCGGTGCGCCGTCTTCGACCAAAGTCATCATCCCAACATAACCCGTCCAGCCTACTAAGCAAGACAGGCTCAGCCGCATCCCCAACACGCTTGAATCATGATCGTCTGACGCTCCCACTTGGAGGGAAGATGGACATTCCATCTCCAACCTCATCGTCATATCAACCGCAAGCATATCCAAATGGGGTAGTAAATCTCCCTCGGGTCCCGCGGCCGAGCATCCACGCTTAACCAGTGGGGGAGTGCCAACACCCCCTCTGGCGCGGGAGATGTGCATGTCCATCTGAGGCCCAGGATGCTAGCAAGAGCCACCAGAGATATGATGATTGGCGCGGTTATTTTGAACCCCAGTTCATCTTTAAGTCATGACTAGCGCGAAACCGAGGACTAAATACTGTGCTGCCGATCATTTGCTTCGTGAATGTTCGTTCAACGAGTCGATTTTCACACAGTACCGGGGCTTCTATTTTATTAATATCTCATCCTTTTCTTCAGTATGGACTATGGAGTCATCGCAAGGTGCAAGTTGTAGGAGGATCGTCGCCAACCAACCGCCGAGTGGACACGGTTGATCCCGCGCCCCAAAACGAGAGAAGAAGCAAATGATTCTCTCTCCTAACGAGATCACTGCATCCATGATCCGAGGCTGTCCCAAGCCCAGGGGTTGCCTTTGAATTTCCGCATTGAGGTCCATTTTCACATGTGCCATGAGTCGATCTACGCCAAATGGGGATGAACAGATGGTCGGCCTTCAAGGCCCTAATCTGGACATGATGAGGGGCCGCAAAGATTGTTGGGAATAACGAATCAATGGAGATTCACGATGTGTAGCGTCATGAGGACGCACTCCACCTGTTCTTCACATGTGTGCCAAGACACTTCTATTGCAAGCAGATCAACATATAAGACCGAATGATCATGTCGACTTGATGCTCTTCCGATCTTGATGTTCTCTGCAAACACTCACATACACAGAGATCAAAAGGAAAGAAGTCTTGATCTCTTGAAACATGGAGACAAAGCCTCTATCAAAAGACTCGATGCGGTCGACATGGCGCACAGCTGACCGTTCTCAATGGAGTCGTGCGCACTGGGCCTTGGAGATACTCAATGTACATCCAACCGAACTCGACAAGGAGATCCCCGTGCATCCAAAGGATGAGAAATTACCCTACATGCCTCAATGGTCCCTCCAACGCTGGGTACTCTTCTACTCAGCCCTGCCACTCCTGCTCCACCAAACCTTCACAACCTACACCGGCATCACTCTCAGCCCCTTTGTGACATTCAATCTCTACTTCTTCGCATTCAACGCCACAATCATCTACCAGGTCCACATCCTCCGCCGTCTCGGCCACATCCACGGCTTCCTCGATGGGGACAAGCACGAGCGTGACGGGATTCCCGACGTCGGCGTCACCAAGGTTGTCGCCTCCCTATACAAAACGACCGGTTCCCGCCTCGTGCTCGCCACCTACCTTACCTACAACCGTACCACTCTACCCAGCCAACTGAACTGGGCCTGGCTCCCGCTAGAGATCGGCCTCTACGGCATCATCCTCGACTTTTGGTTCTACTGGTATCACCGCCTCATGCATGACGTGAGCTTCCTGTGGAAATTCCACCGGACGCACCATCTCACCAAACACCCCAACCCTTTGCTCGCCGCGTACGCAGACCACGAGCAGGAATTCTTCGACATGGTCGGCGTCCCGCTGATGACCTGGTTGACTATGCGCACCATGGGCATGCCAATGGGATTCTACGAGTGGTGGATCTGTCATCAGTATGTGGCGTTTGCGGAGGTCTTTGGGCACAGTGGGTTGAGGATGCATTTGACTGTGCCGTCGACGTTGAGCTGGTTGTTGCAGTGGTTGGATGCGGATATCGTGATTGAGGATCATGATCTGCATCATCGGAAGGGGTGGAGGAAGAGTCATAATTATGGCAAACAGACTCGCTTGTGGGACAAGGTTTTTGGAACCTGTACGGAGCGGATCGAGTCCAAGCCGGATAATGTGGACTATGAGAATGTCGCCAGGATGCCTCTTTTCTGAAAACAAAAGGCACACATGCAGGCGTTTCGGTTTCGAGCCTGTTGGCTGACAATGATCGAAAGTCTTGAATCGGTTACTTCATTATCCACTCGGAAGAATTCGATGGAAGCGTCCTTCATCTCGCGTATCCTTTTCATTTAACCCCCCCCCCCCCCCAAAATACATGTGCCATCAGTAGCTATGACATCGATCTGGAGGCTCTCGCCAGCAGGGTTCATGGAAAGATGGACGAGAAGTCCCGCCTAGATACCTTGGAAATGAACCAGGTGACGCAAGATGGCTGGATTGAAAGTCCTGGACTGGCGTTGAATACCGCCAAAAAATAAATGAGTGTTTCTAGAATGTCCCTGCTCCAGGACATCGTATCTCATACCTACATACTTAGAAAGATAGCAGATATGAAGGCTTTTTTTCATGTCTGAATCGGAATCTATTCGGTCAACGCGAGCCCCGGACCTTGGTTGGTGGTGGATGAGGATCCTGAGTATTGAAATTTCGACTCCAGGTCGAAGCGTAGTTTCTTTATCTTCGAATCGATACCAGCGACCTATTGACTGTACAGGTCTACTAAAATATATACATGAACAGAACCTCTTTCTATATGTTCATCTGTGCCCAGGCGGTCGATCCCGCAACTCGATATCCGACTCTCGAACAGCATGAGCTGGACCGGCATCATCGTCATAATCCAAAGCCCAGGGCGGGCCGCCACGCGCCGAAAAGTCTCCGACGCGATATTTCCGACCCTGTTCAAGCACGTACTTGTCCCGCTCGCTACCGCTCATCTCCCATGTGCCTTCTAGATCGGCGAGCATGCGACTCTCGACGACCCAGGGGATTAGAGAGCCGAGGGTGCGGGGGACGCGATGACCTCGGTAGCGATTGTATCGGACGGTGAAGACGGTCATGAGCGCGACAGCGTCAACTGACAGTAGACAGACGATGATGACTACCAGGCTGGTGACCGGGATGAAGCCCCAATAGCTATCGAGGACATTTCCACGTGCTGGGTATCGTGTGTCTGTCGGGAGACGATCGAAATATTGTTCTCTCCACAGAGCAAGATGCGTCGTGAAACTTGTCTTGTACACGGCCTGCACGACCGGGATGAAATGAGTGGAATGCAGACTCTTGTCCTTGGGATATTTGTTGGTGTAGGAGTTGCTGGTCAAGCCACCAGGCCAGTCGTGGTGATGGAAGTGGTAATTGTGGTGACCAATCATGGCCTGGCGGTATCGCGATGGAAGCGTTCCGTGCGGACCCAGCAACAGTTGATTAAAGCTTTTCAACACATGCGAAGCATTTTGGTACAGCTCACCACTCGTAAGCTCACTTCCGACGATTGGGTTCATGATCACAATCGTTCCGTCTGCGTCGAACTCGACTCGAAAATCTTTGATTTGTAGTGTTGGCTCGCAATGCATCGCAATCAGCGGAGATTTGTCTTTATCTTTCCGATCCTGTCCCTCCCAGGATCCCAAGACAAAGAGGCTGGACTCCTGACAGGCTGGGCTTGTCCCATTCGGCGCGAAATAACGCACTGTTTTTTTCATGCTCGTCTTGAACCTTTCCGTTATTGGAAGATCAACGTTGCAGGTCTGATTGGCGGATCCCACGGGTATCGTATAATTCCAAGATATGTGACCAGAGGACGATGTAAGCGGTAACTCTTCGCAGCGCAAGTCAACTCCAAACCCTCGCGTCGTGGTAACATAAATGGGATAGTTGTCATCCGCCCCGTTATAAACATCATAAGGAGCGAAGAAGTAGCTGCCGTCAACGGTCACCCATGGAAGAATCGTGACATTGTTCAGAAGCTTGCTAGTGGCGACGAGCGAAATGTCGATGTTAGTGTTTTGTGTGTTGAATAAAAGAGTGGTGTTATACACATGTGATAGTGCTTGAGTGGGCGTAGAGTATCGTCTGAGTTGAGGCATGAAAATGCCGCCACTGAGGATGCGGAGCACAAGATCACCAACACAAACAATTGAAACAAACAACAATATCCCGGGCTTACGATGTCGTTGCTTGAAGAGTGGGACAAACGGGGTCTGAATCGCATAATTTTCAACGATGGATTGCCGCGCATTGGCCATCCCATCTTGCAACCGAATCCATGGTTCCATCGCGGTCAAATTGCGATAGATCGAGACCAAGAAGGAGCCGATGATCGACGCGATTGCAGTAGGACCGAAATTGAGAAATACCATTGCTACCGTGGCTCCAGTGCTGAAAAAGGAGTTGATGGACTTCCAGCGAATGTATGACAAGCTCACCCCAAAGAACGAGAGAATCGACGCAATGATGAAGCATTCAGCTAGGAAAATCAGAGGTCGCAAAAAATGCGGCATCGGGTCCGGCCGGTTTGGAATGGCACGTAACGGCCACTTAGGGGCAGGCTCGGGTCGATCAACAATGCGAAGCTTTTCAACGCCATTTTCCACATGCCACTCGCATGCTTTGCCCCGGGCCCATCTCTTGAGTTGCCTGGTGTTTGCCATGTGCAATTTGGCCTCTGAAAATAAGATCTTGGTCTGTGAATCGAAGAGACTAGCAATGATTGTACATTGGGCACTGATGGATCCAGGATCCCACTGCATGAAATTGGGTCGCTTTGGGTAGATCCAAAGCATGACAGCGATCGCAACAAGACCCATGCCAAGAATAGCCTCTGCGACTGAGACGGCATCTGCAGCAATCATCAATATAACCACTTCGCTTTTCTGTTGAGCATCCGCAGGTGTGGGGAGTCCACCGGGGCTGAAGAAGCGGTCAATGGTAACAATGAATTCGTAATTCCAATAGCGGCGGATTTCCTCTTGAAATGAGCTTGCGCTTTTTATCGACCTCGTTGCGAGAGCGACCCCTGAAGTACTGTTCATAGGAACGTTCTTCTTTGGGCCCGACTCGGCAAGCGAACGAGATACAATCAAATCATGAACCCCATTCACATAGAACTTCTGCGAGTCGAGCGGCTTCACGGCGATCGGTGTCATGTTCGCACTCGTCACAGTGGCATTTGCATTTAGGGTGACGTCGGCCAATGCTTGTTGGTACAATGTCGAACATGCGAACACAGTGTAGTTAGCACTGGAGATCTTGCCCGAAGCAATGTTCATGTCAATCAGGACCCCAAAAATATTAAATTGACTACTGCATCCCTTCTGGGTGAGCGCTGAGGAGGGCGGCAGAGTCCCTGATGAGTCCACAGGTTGCCAGAACCGTGCCTGAAGCGCCGCGGAGTCAAAATCGATTGTTGTATTCAGACTGACGTCGAGTTCACAGTGGGGACCGGCAGACCTATCCCCATTGTTTCCCATGACGGCGCTCTCGATGTTCCACGACAAGAGTCGCTGCCCAGCCGGTAGATGGGATGTCAAGCTGGCATCAGCCACTGGTTGAGGGAGAATACTTCCCGCGGAGTGGCCGGGGCAAGTCAAGCCGGCCCAGTAGACATCTTGAGTCAGACTCAGGAGCGACGAGTTGTTCTGGTCATCCGGCAGCGATACAGGGGCGGTGGTGAAGTCCTCGGGGTCTGGCATGAAAAAGCTGTTGAGTTCGGGCGAGCTTAGGGGCCCATTGTCGGCCGATCCCACCGATAGCCAAACTCTCTGCGAGTCCAGGTCGATGACGGACGGCCATGTATTGACGACTTTGTTCTCGGTCCAAATTCCGTCGTCCAGATCGACTAGACCGGCTAATAAGGTCGGCAGAAACATGCGAAAGACGAGCGATACCGGCGCAATGCACAGTACGATCCAGTTTCGATTCCTGAACGCCATAAACGATGCCGCTAAGGTGTTGGAGCAATAGTTGGTGAAAAGAATCGAGGCCGGAGCCCCCTGAGGCTTAGCCAGCTGTAGGAACGGTTCGAGTCTCAGGACATCTTGAGCGCACATATCGAAGAGATTGATTGCCATCAGAGCAAAAATGAGGGGAAGATAGGTGTATGCTCCCCAGATGGCGGTTGGTAGATCCGATGAGTATGCCCAGTGGACGATACCACCCTGTCTTCGAGCCCACTGTCGCAAGAGCTCCACAGCCCCGAGCATGAACATTAACAGACCTGCAAGAACGAGGAGATATGGGCGGTGCAACGTCCGCGGGAGCCAGCCCCGGGTCGTCCTCCATTTTGATATGAAATTTTCTCCTCCATCTGCTGGGCGCATTCTGGTATCGAGCGATTGGGGCGAGACAGACCGAGAGCGCTCACCTGCGAGAGGCTCAATAAGCGGGGACTAAGGACGAGTTGCGGTTAGTGTTCTTTTGCTCGTCTTTCGCCATTGTTCTTTGGTCCTCACGCGGCCATACTTGTCCCTTTCCGTCCATGACTTACGATGGTCAACTTGTCCGGCCCATTATGCCCGTTGTAAGAAGACGAACCCGTCAGCGTGTTTCGCTGCCGTTGAATATCGCGCACGTCGTCAGATGATGATCGCAGATGATAGGAAGTCTAGAGGTTATGTGCATCGAGGCTTGCGATCGCCGATCGCCTCTTGGCCTCAATCTCGAGCACGAGGCGTATATGGTGTGGTGTACGAGGACGAGCCGGGCGGAAAGTCGGGGAAGAGTCGAGTAAGATTTGGATACCGACGACTGCGCTAAAGGCGCAAAAGTCCACATTGAAGGGTGTGGTGGTATCAAGTGTGTACCGAGTTGAACGCTCTCTTGGCCCCCGCCGAGCACGGGGAAGCGGGCTCGTTTACGCCAGACAATTTTTCTGAATTGCGGCGCGCTATCGGGCGGTTGGGGCTAGTGTCCAGACTACTCCAGACGGTCGACCGTCCAACACGGCGATCTGAACCCACCTCTTCGCCTTCCGAACATGGTGGGTCGTGATCTCTTGCTGGCAGTGGGTGATTGGTCTGACTCATGTCCCAATCTGTATCTGACTTTGCATGGGTGCAGAAGAGTCGTTCTTTGGAGAACTTCTAGGCTCATGGACTCACGGAGAACGGGATCCTGATTCGGCTGACTGATGAATTTCAAGTCGAAAGACCCATGATGCAAGTCGTATGTGGAGAGAGAGCTTTCGCCCGTTCCAGGATGATGCTTCGTCTTTCTCTCGGTATGTGAGAATGATATACGGGGACAGCATTTGACAAAGACGATATGCTTATGCACTGGGGTTTCCACCCATCACACACGGACAGGGATGTTTCATGTTCAGGGCAGCTCCGCCACTTGAGGCGTCGAAGTGAGATGATGAGGGGAGGAAACTGGGTAGTGGTGATCACGCTCCGATCCTCCTCAGCCGCAGCTCCTCAAAGCGGTGGACTCCCTCGGATACTCCAAGCGACTAGTAGATCAGCACTAAACCTGCTAAATGACTAGACTCAGTGGACTAACTGGACTGGAAACGGACTCGGAAGTTGTTCTGGGATAACCTGACCCAGCGTGTCATGGTAATGTGAACCTAACTACCTATCCCCCAAAGGCGCAATTGTTTGCAGTGTGCATTGCCTGACGAGAATCATAACTAATGATGTACTCAGCACTTACGTTGAGTATGATGGTTTTGCTACCGACTTGATGGTCTGAACCTGGAAAATGAAATCCAAGTATACGGGCAATAGGTATTTCTCAGGAAAAAGAGATCCGGTAAGCTCACTGTGGTCACAATGGGAATTATTAGGAATGATTTGCAGGTCCAGAATAGGTACACTGTACGATCTACACATTGCTAGAATGCACTTTCTGGGACCAGCCTTGAGACAATTGACTTTTTACCGGTGAGGAAGTTCCATTTGAATCGAGCTCAGGAATTTCTCTTGCGCTCTTGCTCTACCCATGCTTGGACCGCTACTCTCTACGACTTGTACCCATCAATGCCCTCATATAGGTTCATAATCATGCCCGCCAACGACCTCAAGAGAGAGAGGCTCTGAAGCGGGGTGCTGGAATGGTGGGTGTCCCTCTTTTGCGGTGGAGATGATCCCTTTTTAGCCCCCATCGGGCGATCCCCGACGGATCCACCATGGTTAGGAAAGCAGAATCATCTTTGGTCAATGGATCTATTATCGAGGTCATTATCTATTCAGAGCACATAATCTATATTCAATGCCATGACTACAGTAATGATATGACTGAGTATGACTTAGCCTTGTGTATAGCGCATCCTCATAGTCGTGAGAGACAGACAATGATTGAATGGCCACCAAAGGTGATTACTGTATGGTTTCCAGTACTCGCCTACTAATTGAGTGATGTATTATGTATTGTAAAAACCCGTCCGTATTTAAACCATCTCCGACTCACGAGGCTTGGCGCTGCCGGGAGAAAAGCGATCGAAATCTTGAGGAGGCCCAAATTTGGACCCGTTTTCCCGTTCTGCCTCCAATCTTACTGTCTACGCGAGTCACGTGATGACCCTGGCTGACTCCAAGGTTTTGAGGCCTGAGGATTTGAGGCTGAAAAGAGTAACCTACCTATGGGAGGCCTCACTCTCTGCATGAACTTTTTTCAGACTTTCGAGGTGTCTGTGCCGAGCTTCGGCGCGGTCGGTGCTTCATCGCTTTACTACAGAAGCAGTGCGAATGCAAGTGAGATGGAGGGAGGTTCTTGATAGGTTCGATTTGAGTGTCCTAATAAGAGAGCGCTTTGATCATTCGATGACCATCATACTAAATACCGTAGCGGCGTGAAACGCCGCCGTGAAAGAAGACTCGTCATACTGGGGGCATTTGACTCTATGTTGGAGTGCACAGCCAAAGTCGCCTTGCTGACCTTCCCCCGCGTCAGATCCCTGCAGCGAGGTTCGTATCTATTGCTGTTTTTGAGCGGACCCCCATGCCAGACGAAAATGATAGTAAGAGTAAGGATAAGACACACAGTTCTCGGTACTAGGAGTAGGCGGTGTTCTTTCTTTTGGCGATGATTGATGTTTTCTCGTAACCTCGTCACATGATACATAGGCAATCTGAGCCTGATACAAAGTGCTTACATACAACGAATCTCTCGACTTTCTGCCGCTGCCAGGATCAGATCCATTGAAACAAGGGCGCCACCAGCGATGAACCCCCCACGAGAGCGGTCAGTCCTGTGCAAACGATGACCAGCCCGAATCCTTGACCATACGGTCCTATCGCATGGCCCTGCCAGTGATCGGCGTGGATCAGCGCCTCACTTAACGGTCCGCTCACCACGTTGCCAACGCCTCGACAAAAAGCAAGGGTCGAGAAGATCATGGTCGCATCCGCTTCGGGATTCACCTTCTGGATGTCTCGGATCATGCCGGACCAGATGGCGGAATAGCTGCCGGCAAACAAGCCATAGGCCACTCCGAACACAATCAGGATGGGTAAGGAGGTGGAAAGGCCCCAGAGGAGAAAAACGGACAGCACTGTTCCCAGAGTGGAAATGGCAACGCAGGTCCCGGTGGCGCATCGGTCACTCAGATGTCCCATCGATACACTGCCAAACACAGATGCCAGGTTCAAGGCGGTCACGGTGAGCGAGGCGACCAGGCTCGAGGCCCCCTGCAAGCGCGCCACAGTTGGAAGATATATCGCTGGCAGGAAGAAGCCCAGCGCCTCGGCAACGCATCCCAGCTGATAGATGATTGATATCCGACTGAACATGAATCGGAGATTCAGCCGTTCGTATTGAGTCTGTTTGGGTACGGGCAAGCGAGGTTTATGGAAATAGAGTAACGGCGCTGCAAGTACGAACATCAAAGCAGAAAATATCCGCAGCGTCGTGCGAAACCCGAAGTTTCCAAGCAGTTTGTCCAGTGCTAGAGGGATGAGAATGCCGGAAAGTCCCGATCCAGCCCAGACAATGCCAAACGCAAGTCCTCGTTTCTTGTCAAACCATTCGGACATGAACAGAATCGACGGGCTATATGCGATGCATCCACCAATTCCGAAACCAATCCCTTGCGACAGCACAAGGTGGGTGAAAGTCGTCGAAAACGAGGCCACGGCGAGCGACAGACACATCAGAGTCATGCCAATCGTGGAGAACCATCTGGCGTGGCGAGGAAGAAGAATCATTATCGTGATCATAAGAGGACAGCCCAAGTATGCAACGCCCTGGAGTAATGCAATGGCTAGTTAGTTGTCGCATCTTGTAATGTGGATATGGTGAACCTTTGCTTACCGTTGCGCAGGTTCCAATCACCGCTACATTGTCAGACTGAGAGAACATTTCCCTCTCACGGTAATAACTTTGAAAGACGCCGAACGAGAACGCGAAACCTAGATGTGATCAAAAACTGGTCAAACACATCCCGCAAGGAAACGGTGACATCTTTGACGAACCCCAGACCAAAGCTTCGATTGTAGCCGAGGCGGCTAGAAACAGCCATGCATGAGCCCCTCCATCGATGGGCGGGAGAGTATCCAACACGGTGGGTTTTGTGGTTTCCAGAGATAGTGACAAATTTGTATCGTCGTATGACTGGGAGTCGTCGGAAAAGGAGGCCTTGACTTCCATCTCGACTGGCTAGGGCATCCAAAGAGGCCCCAAAAGAAGGAATTCAAGAAGCGACCTCGAAGTCAGGTCCAAGATACAAGTAAGATATACATCAATCCCCCGGCCTTTTCACGCAAGGGCACACCCAGCGACGTCACATTGCACACGATCGGTAAGAACAAGTTGGGGAAAAAAGGGAAGGGATGCCGGATCAGCTTTGGCTTGGATCAAATGACAAGAGGAATTTCGGCGAAAGAGTACTTGTCTTTATTGGACAGCCAGACGCCAAAGTGTCTTTAGGCTTTGGAAGACTGGGCGATCATTCTTATCATCCCAGCACTGCTGCCACCTGACAAGGTTTCTCTGTCGGAGAGATACCTGCATCATATGTGGCTCGCGCAAGCCAACGCGCCGCAAAATTCCTCGGACGATGGACTCTTGCAGTGTGAGCCAATGAAAGGAACCAACCAGTAGTGGACTGCAGCAATATAGTCTGCGCTTGACGTGCTCTGGATGGGGCATAGAGCCATAACAAGGGCCTTCCCATCCCTTGCCAACGCGCTTATGAACGGCAGCATCGCTCTATGGAATGTAGGGTCCTTGACTCGCTTCGCCTATTACCTGATAAATCATCCGACGCGAGAGCGAGGGATTTGTTTTTCGAGTGCAAAGTCATACCGTTCGACTGGGTGGCAAGCTCAAGTCATAGGTCTCGAGATCACTGGAGTCGGCATTTGCTGGATTATTCGGAGACTTTACACAGCATGTGTCAGCAGATGATCGTACACAACCTTAGCTGCTGTATTCGCCTGGATATGCATGAGTTTAACGATCAGGAGCTTAATGACATCTGTGAACACTTGATGTTCCAGATGGAGAAAAAGTTAACATCGTCTGACCCTAGAACTATTTGAATATCAAGTTGGACTTGTGCCCTTGCAGTTTGAGAAAAGTATTCAATTCAGACCCGGTTGTTCATACAGCCTTTCTCAGACAAGGGCAGCTCGTAGGAGTCTCTCCAGTTCCTGCAAATATTCTGTTTTGGATGTCACGCTCGACATTAGATACAGCACATTGCCGAGCACGCGAGAGTGAACATTGAATTTATGACTTCCGGCAGAAAGTTGCTGCTGCAGGCCTTTGGCGGCATTTGATGTGTATCCTAATGGAAGTGTTAGTCTGGACTGTAATAGTCGGGTACTCATGACGAAGTGCTCACCACCGCCCTGGGTATCTTTCAAGGAGACGCTGAGAACCGTTCCAATAGCAAAAACGCTTTCGACAGACTCGGCACAAGACAACTCGTGAAGTAATTCCGGTGACCAGACACTCCATACCTCGGGGCCCGTTTTGCCAGAGAACGCGCCTGCTCCCTTGTTCCATTTTGTTTTGTGTTGATCAAACGTGCCATTCTCATTCATTGTATTCATTGTCTTGATCGATTCGACGGCAACAGTACATCCGACCGGATGAGCTGTGTAGCTATGGCCGTGGAGAAGGGCGTCGCTCTTCTCGGGACTCAGGAACGTTTCGAAAATTTCCTGGCTAGCAACCGTTGTGCACAAGGGAATAAGACCACCAGTAAGAAGCTTTGCGTTCACAGCGATGTCAGGGTCCACGCCAAGGAAGGACGCCGATGTTGGCCGTCCAAGTCGATAAAGTCCGGTAAAGACCTCGTCGAAAATGACCGGCAGGCCTGACCAGGATCCGTCGCTCGTCTGAGCAACAGCATCCGAAGTGAATAAGTCCGGATGAGCACGAACGACGTCAGTCAAACATCGCTGAAAGAGAGGATCACTGGCAAGAATGCAAGTAAGTACAAATTCACGTAACCCAATAATCAGGACGACGCGTTCTTGGTCAGACTCACCAGAACAACATGCCGCCGGCGCCCAGAATGACAGGCTCCAAGATTAAGGCTCCAAACTTCATGCCTTGTTTCTTGACTAAATCTTGAATTGTTTGTCGGATATACTCTTTGTAAAGCTGGCTTGTCTCGGAATTGGCACGGGAGTCAAGATCAAAGATGGAGCCCAGCGACTCAAACTCCGAATCCGATCCCAGTGCTTGGCGCAGTTCAGCTGGTACCTCTACTTTCCATCTGCCGTCAACCATCTTGACCAGTGGGAAGTCAAACCAATGGCCACGGCCACGGTACCATTCAACCTTTTGGTTGTACACTGACGGATCGGAACAATCCATCACACCAATTGTATCCCCATGATAGCTTCCCTTGAGGCCGAGGATACTGATTTGCTCCTTGGAAGCATCCCAACCGTAGCGGTCACAAGCGACACGGAGGCCCATTTTCAGAGCCACTTCCATGCCAGTGCTGCCATTGTCTGTGTAGAAGACTTTGGCGAAGCGCGGATTGTCAAGAGTTTTCAACAGAGTGTCAGCAAGTGTGAGCGCAGGCTCGTGCACGGCACCGGCGAACATAACATGACCGTATCGACCAGCTGCATATGCTGCTGAAAGCGACAAGTCGGGATTGCCGTGACCAAGCCCCTGTGTCCACCACGACGCAGATCCATCAAATGTCGGACGCAGTGCACTCGCTGCAGCATCAACAGGGCTGGTGCCATAGGTCTGGAAGAAGTCGTCATGAGCCGAATCGATCACAGTAATATCCTTGGGGCGCATGCCATGGTGCTGTGTAAAAGGGTACCATATCAAGTCTTGCGCCCGACTGGACATTTCAGCCAATCTCTCGATGCGCTCAACATTCTTGATTTTCATCTCCTCCAGCAATTGTGCAACACTATCTTCTTGTGAAGCTTGCCGGTAGTAAGAAAACATTGCTTCCTCATCTCGTGCTAACGAATCGGTGTCAGACTGAGATGGTTTCACTGGTGGTGCTGGTAGGGACACCAAGGGTATACTCTTTTTGCGGAAGAAGTCGCCAAGATAATCGTGGTTCTGGTAGTAGTCATCGCGGAATAGCAAAACAGATTGCACATCGTACCCGCGGACCAGAAGGGATTCGTAGGCAGAAATCGAGGAAGAGATACCTCCGAGTCGGGAATCCGCCACAAGTACGATGGGCAATCGTAGAGGCCGGTATAGATCCGCTTGAGAGTTTCCGTTCGGACCGGGTGAATGAACGCCTCCTGCTGTCTCGACGAGGGCAAAGTCGATCTCCGTTCGGGCCCATTCTGACAAAGTTTTGTGGATGGCCGCAAGCAGGCCATCATCTCTAGGTACCTACTGGCCTGTCAATCTACATCCGATATAGGATTTCGAATCCCACTCACCGTCTTGGTCTTCTGTTTTGCCGCTATGTGCGGGCTCACAGGCTCATCAAATTGGTAGAGACACTTGGTTAAAGTCCCTGCTCCATACTTCTTCATGTGCCTGGACATGTCATTCAGAATGAGATGAATAATCGAGCAGTCAGTTGAGGGAGATTCGTGTCTTACCAGTCATCCGCATCATCAAGAGACCCAGTCGAGACGGGCTTCAAGAAAGCTGCTCTCTGTTTTTGGCGTTGAATCGCATTGCACAGTACCGTAGACACGATTGTCTTTCCGACGTCGGTATTGGCCCCGTAAACCTGGTGTGCTCGCAATGTCCGCCAGAGACCCGCGCCGACCGGAGCCATTGCTTTCAAAGGTCGACTTGAATTGATAATGAAACAATCTTAGATGGCTGTTCGAGATCAGTCCGCCCCTTGACAATCTTCTGGATATGCTGTGACACTCGCATGTGCAATTCCTCTCAGAGGAGCCAAACAGCTACACAAAGCACATTTAGTCATTTCCAGGCCCCGTCAAGCCCAGGTCTGGGCGTGATGGGGAGGGCATCAGTCTGTTAGCGAATCAAGCACCTCATTCATCATCTCCACCTGCTTCGTCACCGAAGTTCACCGAGGTCCAGGTGCGTCTTGATCAACGAAAGTCAAATACAAATCGTTGAGGGCTTGTCTCCCCCAACCATGAACCATGGCGAGTCAGTTGCGAAAAGACACAATGTACGTCTTATCGAGTGAGTAAAGGTGTCTTTCAACGCATACAACGAAGAGCCCCTGCTGGACACGAAGAAGAAATCGACTCTTGGCTCTCGTTCGGAATTGACGGGCGCATGGCGCATGCACCTCAGACTAGGCCCCGCCTGGATGCTCTGAGCCCACCATTCTGCAACCCCCGGACCCATCCGCGGTTCCAAAATGGCCCCGAACACCGTCTCAAAGGTGCGGGATGGCCTGGAAGCTGGAGGTTGGATTGCCGGGCCACGTTGGGCGATGGAAATGAGGCACAAAACAGGGACGCCCGTGACTAACCGATCATGTGCACAGAGCGGTGTTCCGGAGTACATGTAGCCTCTTTAGGTTATTGGTAAACTAGGACCAGACCTGTCAGGGCAATATCATACAGCACTCAGTCCTCATCATTACTGAGTCATCTGTACAACATATCGATGGCTGACCGATCACCAGCTCCCACCACCTTAGTGGATGCCCTCACCAGTGCCCTCGTTAAACGAGAGGCGAAATCGGCGCGGCGAAAATTGACCGTTTTGCCCGGAACGGCAGTGGACTTTTCATCGAATGACTTTCTCTCTCTGTCGACGTCTCCAGCGTTCAGGAATCGGTATTTGTCCCATCTTAACTCGGCACCAGAGTCATTCCCATTTGCCAGTGGGGGATCTCGCCTCCTGGACGGGAATTCCGCCTATGCAGAGGAGCTGGAGCGCTTTGTGGCCGAGTTTCATGACGCACCAGCAGCCCTCTTGTTCAATTCCGGCTACGATGCAAACATCGGAGTGCTTGCCAGTATCCCTCAGCCGGGAGATCTGGTCTTGTACGATGAATTGGTGCATGCGAGCGCCCGAGAAGGCATGAGACTTTCTCGAGCAAGCGCTCGGAAGATGTTCTCCCATAGCTCGCCCACATCTCTCAAAGAGGTCCTGTCCGAAGAAATGAAAAGTGACCCTTGGATCTGGGAAGGCACTAGAAACGTCTTCATCGTTATCGAGTCACTGTATAGCATGGATGGCGATGTGGCACCTATTCAAGACTTCATCAGAGTAGTCGATGAGTTGCTTCCGCGACAAAATGGGTACTTCATTGTCGACGAAGCTCACGCAACGGGCGTCTTTGGGCCTCGAGGGGCTGGAGTAGTGCAACATATTGGTGTTCAAGATCGAATGTTCATTCGGGTACATACATTTGGGAAAGCCCTTGCAAGTCACGGAGGTATGTTCATTTCTCTGCTAGTTTGGCGGAATTGGATGACTGACAAGACATGCAACAGCCATGGTTCTATGCGGGCCTCAAACGAGGGACTATCTCATTAATTATGCCCGCAGTTTGATCTACACCACCGCACTTGGCTTTCCATTCTTGGCCTCAATTCGCACAGCCTATGAGCTCCTCTCCTCAGGACAAACTGATTCGGTGGGAAATCCAATATTCTCTCCTCAGCCATCGCTCTATCTGAAGCTAATCACGCTCAAACAGCTGCGAACTCGGTCACAGCAACTCATCCAGCATCTCCATCAACGCTTGCAGGCCCTCCGAGTACCTCAATCAGTTCCTTTCAGAGTCGATCACTTTGCAACTTCACCAATCTTCTCACTACGCACTTCTCGGCCACGAGAATTGGCGAGTATCTGCCAAGAGGCTGGGTACATCATCCGTGCAATCATGCCACCCACAGTTCCCCGAGGAAGTGAACGGGTTCGAGTATGCCTGCATTCCGGGAACACAGAAACGGAGATCGATGGTCTAGTGCACGTCATTCAGTCTTGGCTAGATCGCAGCGCGATAAGCACTGGTTCAAAATTATAGAGATTTTTACTTCTACGGAATGTGATATGCCAATACGTATTCATCTTTGCCAGTCACGTTTCAACATGGAGCTGTATTGTCTTGGAATATCTCTCTACACTCGCATTACCTGGTACATTCGGATTGCTCACGTGTCCCATGTGCATCTATTTCCATTGACTACGACCCCAGCAGGAACGTTGTGCCTCTGAGTGAGCTCCCGCTCTCACTCATATTGCGTCGGGTCGGGATGGCAGACTAGGACGTCAAGAATCTTGGCAATACTGTACAAGCTACAAAGTCAGTGAGGTTTGACACGATTCGTAACTTCAAATTTATGATTGAAAAATGTCTACTATGGTTCTAAGTGAAAGAGACATGCAGTCGGTATAAAGGAGATGGTGCCAAGTATGAACAACGGAAGAAGGGAAATAGAGATCAAAATTCGTGAGTGCCGGGAATCAGTTCATCATGTCATGCTTAAACCATCGACTTCTCGACCTTTTCTTCTCCACCAGCGGACGTCTCCGATCGATCCATGGTAGTGTAGCGACTGAAGTCCCGGAGCGCCCGGTGTTCACCTGCGCGAACGTCCCGGTTTTGAGTCTGCTGCTTGTGTGCCTGTCGACGGAAGAAAGCGCGCTTGCACCACTTCCAGAACTCAATGCCTGCAAAGAAAAGCACTGTCTCAACGAAGACAACGCCCCATTCCCAGGAAATAGCTGAGTGCTTGAACACTTGGCGGTTGATCACGGGAATATACAGAATAGGGAACGCAAGTACGAAGCCGGCCATAATACCGAAAAACAAAAAGCGATTGGCCCAGATGTCATACATCCACTGCGTGAAGTAACGCTTGGAATCGGGCTTCATGCGGAAGAAGCTTCGGCGGAGGTTCATCATTTCCCAGGCGAGGAAGAGAGCAAACCAGGTCATGCAGGTGAAGGTCGTGGCACGGGCACGGAAGACTGTGTCGCAAGTATATGGTTTGTTTGGGTCGTTGTATTCGGTGTTACAGCCCGTGCCCAGGTTGCCATCGCCCCAGCGGAACATGACAAGGGAAAAGGCAGAGAGACACAGAGCAGCCATCCACACGCCGTAAACAAAGGTGTCGATGATGATCTCCCAGGTGAAGATACCTTTTTTTCTGTAAAATGCGTATTCAGGTTAGAAGCTGGTCTTTTGAGTGACGTGTGTACATCAGGTATCATAAACTTACACTTTGCGGTGGTCGATCCATCACTTCGGGAGCAGCTTGCTCCATACCCAAGCCCATATCTGGTAGACCAGAGGTGACCATCACAATCCAGATGATCTCGACCGGTGAGATAGGAAAGACGGATTGGTTGGAATCATCCTTGAAGACCAAACCAATCAGCAGCGTGAGAGCAAGAGCAACGTTCTCGGCAAGCAAGTGCAGAACGAATTTCTGAATATTGTCAAAGATACGGCGACCCTCGGAAATGCCATTGATAATAGATGCGAAGTTGTCGTCGGTCAAAACGAGTTCGGAAGCATCCTTGGCCACGTCGGATCCATTTTGACCCATGGCAATGCCTACATCGGCTCTCTTCAGTGAGGGGGAGTCATTCACTCCATCTCCTGTCATTGCAACATAGCAGCCACGACGGTGTAGCGCGTCAATCATGCGAACCTTTGTGTTTGGTGCGCATCGAGCGATGACAAGGGGCAGAGTCGGCAGAGCATCGATCTCACCCTCGGACAACTTGTCAAACTGACTTGCGGTCATGACCATCGCGTCGGCCACATCCTTGGCCAGCATATCCATGCTTGGTGGAAGAATACCGATCTGAATTGCGATAGCCCGCGCGGTTCCGGGGTGATCACCAGTCACCATGTGGACCGAGATTCCGGCTTTGTAGCACTTTTCGATGGCTCCAGCAGTCTCCGGACGAGGAGGGTCGTAAAGGCCAATCAATCCGTAGAACGACAAATCCTTCTCAATTTCTTCACGGGGGAGAGGCTCGCCAGTCGAATTCGCAGGAGGATTGTGTTCCCGTCCTGCGAGACAAAGAACTCGAAGACCCTCGTTTGCTAGGGATTCCACGTTCAGCATGATTTGGTTGCGGATGTCATCGCTTATGGGGACCGACTGGCCATCTTCCCATGTAATGGAAGTACAGGAGTCAATCACTCGTTCGACAGCGCCCTTTGTGAACACCATCTCTCGAGAACTCTCCGAGTTTTCGCTTCGCTTGGCATAAACCACAGACATCTTCTTGACGCTAGAGTCAAAGGGATACTCGGCCTTCTGAATCCAGGCAGGCTTGTCGCCCTTATTCAAGCGATCAGCACCCCAGTTGAAGCGAGAGGCAAATACCTGAATGGCGATATCGGTGGGCTCGCCGCGAGCTTGCCACTCATTATTTGAGTCTTTATGGATGTGAGCAAGGTTGGCCAAAGCAGCAACGTTGAGGAAGGCTTGCAGATGCTCATTATCCTTGACCAAGTCCTCGGGCTTGCTGGCTTCACCAGCTGAATCGGAACCCATCTTGTGGGGTGACTCTCGGCTCAGACTGAGTTCTCCCTCGTAAGGGTCGAGAGGATTGTTTGATGATCCAACCGAGTATGTTCCTTGTGATGGAATCCAGACTCTTCTGGCAACCATACGTCCTTGAGTCAAAGTACCTGTCTTGTCCGAGCAGATGTTGGTCACAGCTCCCAAAGCCTCCAACGAGTCCAGCTTTCTGACGATGACATGTCTTTTCACCATTTGTTTCGTGCCCACGGCCATAGTGATGGTCAGTACGACGACCAGACAGGCAGGAATCATCGAAAGTCCAGTTGCAACTGCATAGATGATGACCTCTTTATCGCCGCGCCAATCGTTGGCACCTGCCACGATGACCGCACAAATGATGGCAATGAAGAAGAGAAGCAGGGCGAGCTTAGAAAGCTTTCGCTGCAGTGGTGTTCCAACATTGGTTCCCAGGAATCGACCGATGGCATCCGTGGTGGTCAAGGTCCAGGCTTGAACGTACCAACGTTTCTTAGTTTCACCACCAGGGCCGCGCTTGACTGGGCGCCGTCTCGAGTCACCACCCCGAAGAGCAGCGGCGATAGCGCCGATCTCGGTGCGCATTCCAGTGCCAATGACAATACCTCTACCACGACCCCGCGTCACTGTAGAGGAGCTGTAGGCGATGTTGAGACGATCTCCGGGGCCAGTGTCGACGTCATACACTTGGTCGGCTTCTTTCTGGACAGGGAGCGATTCACCAGTCAAAAGAGCCTCGTCGGTTTCGAAGTTGAACGCCTCGGTCAATCTGAAGGAGAGCAGCTGTTAGTTACAGTCGACGAGAGTGTCCCCAAGCGGATAGTTAAAACTTACCGGACATCAGCAGGAACAGTATCCCCAACTTTCAGCTCGACCATGTCACCAGGGACAATTTCCTTAGCCGGGACAGTAGTTGTCTTGCCATCACGAGTGACCACACCGGTGGGAGAGCTCAAGCTTCGCAGTGAATCCATAGTCTTTTCCGCCGCAAAGTCTTGGTACACACCCACAACCACATTGAGGACGATGACTGCAGTAATAAAACCACCTTCGATCCAGGATTGAATACCGAAACTAACGGCCATGGCAATGATAAGGATCTATTCAAAATACGCGACATAATGTTAGCTTCTGTGCGAGGCCGGTATTTCCTCCACTTGAAAGAAGGATCATCGTTTCTTTACTTACCAGAATCATCGCATTGGCGATTTGTCGAATGAAAATTTTGGCAATGGAGATGCCTTCATCTCCCTCCAATACATTTTCACCATATTTTTCAATTCGCTGCTGGACGTCGCTTTCATTGAGACCATCCTCCAGGTTCGTCTCTAGCTCTTGGAGAACAGCATCAGAGGTGAGACTGTGGGCTGGTTTGGACAGGTAGTATTGTGAAGAAGCATCCTGCGATTTATCGGCGCTAGGTGACTGGGTGGCCTGGTTCTGTTTGGTGTCCTTAGACATCACTTTTCCAAGTGGAAGAGTGGACTTGGGACGGGCGATTTGAGGGGTGATGTTTGGGGAGAGTGAGATGAAGAAGAATTAAAACGAAATCAAAGGTAGATCTTTGAATGGAATCTTCCTTTAAGGGGGCTTCAAATTGGTTGGGCTCCAGTAGAAGGGGAAGATCATGGAAGAGTCAGAATGGTGATTGTTGATGCGTTTGTAATGATCAAAACTCGTCGAGCATAGCAAATGCGAGTTCTCTGTGATTGATCTGAAGTTTACCTGAGTTACGAGTTCATCAATACTTTACTTCGCGGGGTTCCATCAGGGTATAAATAAATCCCATGCCGGAGTCGAGGGCATGATCCCGCCGAGGAAACATTGCCTCCCTCCATGACATCTCCGATTCTCCGTCCGTGAACCAAAGTTGGAAGGGGAAGCAGGCTTTCATGGTAGCCAATCGACAGTGAGAACCAAGCATTGGCACGCAGCGGGCTCTCTTGGCACAGTCCTCGTTCACTCCAACCGATGCGCCTGGTGACGCACATGACTTGTTTGGTTACTGCACAGCCCGTGGCCGCCAAAGGACGCTGATTGGGTCCGGGACGCCTCGCCAGGAGCGGGAGTCTGGGCATTCCTCTCGGCGGTGCCGGGCGCGGCCTCCGTGATTGCAGATATCGCGAAGTCGACCTTGGCTCATGATGAATAGATCCTTGGCCGTATGTGATTTTTGGGGGAACGAAAGTCCGACTTGCCGTTCATATTCGACATGAATTCCTGTCTCGAGTTCTTAAGCTCGCCATTCTGTGCAGAGCGCGATCACTTTCTCAACTTTCCGGCGCAGTGGCAAATGAAAAAACGTCCGCAGAAGCAGGCTGGCCCTCGACCTTATTGGGCTCACGCGACTCTACACCGTTGAGGCAGTCGATTGAAGCTATCAACATTTCTGATCCGATTGATCCGATCGAGCAAGCACATTACTCCGCGCCTGTCGAACGCCCGGTTGCTGCGATATCACCACAGTCTCTAATTGGATATTGGGACCTTCCAACGTCGATTCGTATTCGCACTAGTTCAGCCATCTCTGCGAGGGTCCAAAAATGACGGGGGAGATCATACCGGGGCGCGAGTTAGTTGGCATCATCATTGGGGCCGTGGTGTTATTCTCGCTCATCAGCATCGTGCCAATGTGAGTTCGGCAGCCGGGCACGGACATGGCTGATCTGTGGCCCACCTTATGCATCATGGTGGTCTGGGAGCTTTAACTAACTTTCATTCCCTCTCTGTTCGATAGTTTGATCATGTGGCATCATCGACGACGACAGGCTTCAAGGGCTGGTGGTGGTGTTGAGGCCCCTGACGAAAGTCCCATCGAGCAATGGATTGAAGGACAAAATGCCGGAAGTGACGTTGCACAGCAATCGCAGGCGCTTTGGTGAGTCTCTCCAACCTCCTTGTTCTGTTTCCTCCCCGCCCGTTCCATTGGAAGTGCCAAGTCCTTAGTTGGGACTTTTGGGGCACACGATATGATGTGATGCGGGGGTCACCCAAGGCTCGGTGGTGGACCGTCTGCCCTACCGCGCCCAGACAGCGTTCCGGCTGTCTTGGCACTGCTCTGGGCGCCTCTGGGCATGAGCAACCACCTCCAGTCTTGGCAACACCCATCCAGTCTTGGCAACACCCATCCAGTCGACATTGTTCCGCGACCAGGTCTCTCTGCACTTCTTTTGAAAAACGCAATGCGCAGTCGGCAAAGGCCCGACTTTGGACCACATGGCTATCAATTTTGGTGTGTCATGGAAAAAGCTAATTGGCTTCTCCAGTCCAATCTGTCTCTCCTCCTTATCATCCACGTCCGGTCTTCTTTCTCCAGAACCGGCTCGATTACCCCACAATCATCGCAAGCCCTCGGATAGCAGTGGCTCGACTGCGTTCTCTCGCGCCGACCTCGACACGGAGAAAGGCGGGAGACGCGACAGTGCGGTTGTCGTTCTCAACCGCTGTCATCATGTGTTTCACAAGGCCTGCTTGGCGTCCTGGTTCGAGTATCGACGGTATAGATGCCCAATCTGTCAGACATCGTATTCTCCAGGACAGGCTGGGCGGCACTGATCCTGATCCTGGGTGTCTCATATGCATGCAGGAGTGCAAGACGTTGGACGTTCACCCACTGTATAATGAAAGTTGAGCAGGGTTTCTTTGGTCCATACTACTACCAAGAGTACAAGACCCAGAATGTCTTTGGGCGCATTTGAAATTCCCGCATGATTGTTTACCATATGTATGTTCCATAATAATTCACGCTTCTCTCCATATGCAGCACGAGTCTTACTTGATATCCAAATCTTCATGACTGAAATGTGGTCGAGGCGAAGGCCCAGTATGACCTACGACAAGACGTTCGGACCCTGGACTCAGGCCACCTGGGTTCGGTTCGGTCTTTTGAAGAACACAAGGCAGTAACGAGGGGCCATCCAGATGACGAGGAGAGAATGCCCCGAAGACAAGTAACCACGTGCGAGTGAATGAACCGCCAAATCCAACATCGTTATTGTGAGGCTTGCTTGAAACAGACCTAGAAGGTCCAGTGAGCTTAGCTCTGTCTCATGTAGAATGTACAAAGAGTCTAATCGGTATCTAGGGCTGGAAGTTTAAAGTCTCAACCTTCACCATACACCAGATTACTATTTAATACCTACTTCCTACGAAGCCCCAGCCTCCAAATGATGGGGAGCGATCATTTTATGAAGGTTGCTATTGGTAATGTTCACACTGCCATCTTACAAAAGGAGTGAGGTTCCATTGTCAAAAGTTTATCACTTGCGACGACAAGAAGGATCCATGGACGATTGTCTAGGGCTGACTGTGACTGTCCTAGCGCAAGTGGCTTTTTTTTTTTTTTTTTGGAAATAAGAATGGATGGTGTCCTCTAGATATACCCGAAGTTTAGGATAAAGTACGTCAGATAGAAGTCAAAAGTACATGGAATGATCACCCTTGGAGGTCTGTCACCTCTAGACTATTTTTCTGAGAAACTGTTCGAAGCGGCGCTGTTGCATAATCCCATCACGTACGTCACGAAGATTTGTCCGCGGGGAAGGTCAAGATTCCTCGAAGTCTCGAATGATGATTCAAGGTTATGTTCCTCGTCATCCGCAAGATGAGTAACTTTCGCTCTTTTCTCTACTTGCTCAAATTGCACTTTGCGTTAGGTAACCGACGAAAGACTCATTTAAGGACTCCGAGTGAGTACGTATATCCGTAATATAAATCATTCCAACGAGAAAAATAAACGGAAATGTGTAATATACAGTCAACAGCGACAATCATGCTTCGCTTTTCGTGGAATGGACCTCAAAGTGAATAGTCTGCTGAATCACGTTCAATTGGTCAGAGCCAGGAACCAAGCCTTCCGTGCTCTCGCCGTCATCCTCAATCGATTCTCGCCAACCACTGGTCACTTGCACCGAGGTACCGGGCTTCATGCCGGTCTCCGTCGACTTGCCCATCGAAGAGAAGTTATACCCAGTACGAACGTGGGTGGGATCAGAAGGGTCGTTGTTGATGGTGTATGCGTGGACACCGGGCTGAAGTTCGATGACGAGGCGGCCGAGGGAGGGAAGGGCTGTTGTTATGATGCTGAGGTTCATCATGGCTCTGTTGGGGTGGGTGAGAGATGAGGTCAGTTGGATATCATTGAAAGTAGGTTGGCGAGAAGGATGCACTTACTGGTCCCAAATTGTAGAGTTGGTGTTTTCCCCTAGAGACCACTTGTTAGACGAGGTATGCAGAGCAAGTGAGGTAGATGAACATAGAAGACGAGGGCAATATTGTCTTACAGGGCTTGTCGGGGGATTCCAGCATCTTCACTGTATATTTGATTTGCAAGCCAGTCGCGACACAGACACTGCGGGCGTCGTTAGTTGCGTTGATCGATTCACTTCGGTTTGTACGATCAGCAAGTGCACTTACAGTAATCTGCTTGCAAGTAAAGACATGATTCGGAATCGCTTTAACTGTGTCAATTGAACATTGCGAAGTAGGAGACACGGCAGCACGACGAGCACAATATCCGTTAAGATGTTGAAAACTCCGATCACCGTAAACAGCGCCGTCTAGTACACGACGTGGACATTTGTCAGCTTCTTGTCTCGGGGCAGAGAGCCCGTCTCATAAATGTGACTGACCTGATTACCGCAAGACTCTGGCTGATCCCATCTCCACGGCGTCGGCATAGAGCAACGGAAAGAAAGCGCGAGGACTGAGCCTATCGTCCAGGCTACAATCACAGCCATCAAAGACTTGTTGGCAATGGATGACCGACGCGAAGTCATGAGGTTTTTGAATAGTAGACCGAGCGAAAGCTTGCTAAAAGCAATCGTGAAGACGAGTAATATTTGAGCGGCATATTCATACTGTTGCAGGGAGATGTACGTTTGAGTCAACTGATCTTTGGCAAGATTTCCGTCACCTTTACGGAGTCTCTTACCTTGAGATACTTTTCCAGTTGCGCGGCCTCCAGATTGGAAAATCTGCGACCAAGGCCGTGCGAGATGGCTAATTGAGCCAATATACTCTGTATAAGACCAAGTAACTGTTGCACATTTCGATAAAGATTAGATCAGCAACCATCGCACGCAAGAGAAGCAACCTTGTGCCCGCAACGGTTTGCCCCAGGAATGAGAGGCTCATACCAGTGAAATGGCCAGCAGAATATCATCGGGATGAATGACGCGACCGATGAACCACCGAGTGGATAAACGAGTGGACACAATGACAACAGTCAATGCCAGCAAGGTATAGATGGCCACGGCGCCATAACCTCCATGATCGTCGGCGGTAATCTCAAAGAGAGGAGGAAGAGTGCCGGCCATGGCGACGTGGAGGGGGGGGGGGGACGATCAGCCCTGTACTTTCTGCGATAGGGAGGGGCTCGGTAGTTGGAGAAAAGTGACGGGTCATAAAAAAGAAGGAAGAATGAGAGAGCGCACAATCACAAGGAAACAAGAAAGAGAGGATGGCAGATCACAGTTCGTCGATCGCATCCAGCAGATCAGAAGATCGTGGTTGATGCAGCGAAGGTCCCAGCTGCTGGGCTAGTGGGGCTTGCTTATACAACCTGGTACTGAAACTGGTGTTATGTGAACTTGTGAAGCCGACGATGAGGCCGGACTGGCGAGACAGTGGTCACTAATCAGTAATCACCCTCCAGTGGCCGTGCGATGCACGAGATTGACTCAAGGTTCAATCAGAAGTATGGGTCTATGGGGGTATTTGGAACTGGGTCTTTGCAACATCTCATTTTGTTTTTCTCTCTGGCGGTTCCTGGACATCTAGAGAAGCTTTGGCTTTTCACGTGGAAGGATCGCACCGTGGCCCATGAAACCTTGCCGGCCACGAGGCGAAGACAATCACCATCTTGGTCTTCTCGTGGCGACATTGTGTGTGTCCGAAACAGGATTACTCCCCGACATTATTACACTAGATTCAATATGTATTGTCTAGTGTCGTCCCTGGGAGGTGGATACACGCTTTGGTGTTTACCAGTCGATCAGGTTACATGACTGGCGAAGGTCCGGGCCAAGCGCTGTGATACATACACAAGCGTGGACGGCACGGCAATATGCTGCTACTACTTTGCTACTACTCCGTACAGATCACGAGATTCCCTCCTCGTTGCCCTCGCCCTCTTCCGTCCTCGAAGTTTAATGCTCCCTGGGAGCCAGTCTCGATGCCTTTTGGCCGGCGATGAGGCTACACTACGACACGGAGTCCGGTCGGGGGCAGATCCACATGGGAGGAGTCCTCGCGGGGCCTGTGCACATGGAGTTTCGACTGTCTCGTATCAACGACTCCTGGGTTATCTTGACTGATTACGCTTGTTAAATGACAGATGGCGCTTCCATCGTCTCAAAATGAGGGCCACCTTTTGGCCCCTGTTCCAACTCAGACGTCGGGTGAAATTGCGCGATTCGGCGATGAGCTCGGTCGCGATGTGTATCAGAACCAAGAAGAATCCAAAAAAATCCATGTCGGTTGTTTCGGCAAGGCCTGGAAACTTTATCGGCTCGAATGGAAGCAAGAAGCTTTTCTGACCATCGGCTGTTTAGACTTTCCCAGAGGCCGCCAGATGGCTGTCAGACTGCCGGACCCAGATTATGGACGATTGAAATCCGCCCCGACACATACCCGGCCGGTGTCAGTGTCAGTGTCAGTGTCAGTGTCACTCAGTAAGTCAGTAGTAGTGTCAGACACAGGGACTAGTACTGTACTGAATGCCTACGAAGTGAACTCACTCAAGATCATTTGGTCCTAACAGAGTCAATTGACGTTGAACTAGTCTGCCTAACCCTTGGATATGGCAGCATGAAACTAATTTCTGAATTGCTTGCTCATGAGCACCGATCGTCATCGTGAGATCGAGGCTTGCAACACAGGACATGACTACACTGAACGCTGAATGCTATGAAGGGTGAACTTAGACCCATGATCGGTGGGGGACTGCCCTGACTTCATCGGCGGCCTTTCTCCTTCGGCCCACGACAAATATCCAGCTATTCAGCTGTCCAGCTACCCATGATCGCCGTGCTCCATTCAGTGGAGACTCGACGAGTTGACAGAGACCGAATCGAAAGAGATCGAATCGACAGAGACCGAATCGACAGAGACCGAATCGACAGAGACAGAATCGCCCACTCGCGACTTTGCACAACTGGTCGTTTGGCAAAGGGGCAAGAGGAGAAACGCTAATTTCTCGCGGTGGCAACAAGATATCCACAAGTACCATCGACGGATGGCGAGGCTCGCGGGACATTCTACGACGACTGCACTCACGGCATCAAGATAAAGTGCAAGTGTGGATCACTGGATACTGGCCAGTGGACACCGCTCAAGTGTGATTTTGACCCCGAAAGGACCGCGGGCGCATAGCATACGCCAGATAGAGGCATCGCTACCTGGTGACTTTCTCTCCCTCTCCGCCAACTTTAAAGTAAGTTCACTCATTTCACACTTCGCTAGTCTTGAACTCTCCCAAAGCTTCGACTCGAAAAGTGGAAACGGGGGGAGGTGTCAGACTTCCACTGGCTACTGAATACTGGATAGTGGACAGTCATGGTGGATGTAGATGTCGGTTGCGACTCATATTCGTGATCTCTGTTCTGGCCTCTGGTAGCATGAGCAGGGCAACTCGTGTGCAGTTGTGCACTACACAACATCCCACTGTCGGATTCTACTACTAGGTATTACCTAGTAGGTAATGTATACGACTTCACCAGTCCACAGTTCCACACTCCACACCACCCGGTTCCGAGTCCACCGTCCCCTCTACTACTGATCAGTTGAAGACGGTCCAAGACCAACCTTTACCCAGTTCAGCAGAGGCCGCGAGAGCTAGTCTTCCTAGTGAAACGGCTGTGAATCTCCGGTCGGGGCAGTGCGGGTCCTTGCCATCGTCTTGACATCCACTCAATCCCGATAGCGGCGCCCGAATTCTTCCTCTATCTGCGGTAATTTCGGAGAAAGTAGTAAATACAACTTCCCCCTCGATGCTTGTCATAGCGTCCCTTAACCTCGAGGATCCAAACTTTGTCCCCGCTCAATGCCTTCCATGGGAATTCATTGGCTGAATTGGCTTGTTTGACTCCATGGCTGCGACCCGCCCGTATAACACGCGGTCGGAGATGGGTATCGAGTCCACTGATAGGCTGGAGCGGCATGCATGTCTCGCCCAAACATGACGACGATGTGGTTGCCAATGATCGGGAGGTCCAGCCGCCACCTCCCAGATAGTCAAGAGCTCGTGCGTGACAAGGTTCATATCGCATGCAAGTGCGCGACCATGGCGGCCGAGGCGGCCTAGGGGAGGGTCTTGAATCGAGAACACACGGCCCATGAATGCGCTAAGAAAAAGGCTGTTCAAGAAGGGCTATCTTTCTGGCTGACACAAAGCTTAGAAGTAACCTTCTATCATCCGGATAGGCAGCCCGATGGAAACGCTTCTCGGCACATTCTCATTCACTGGCCCCTAAATCCAATTCCTCATGGTGGTCTGGACAGAACGGAACCTTGCCGCCCTAAACAGACAAAGTACTCTTCTCTTGAGCTTCCATTGCGCCGGATCAGTCCTGAGGCGCGGTCGAATGCTTCATTCGCACTAGATCCGAAGCCGACAGGTTGAACTCGGTGGATGGTCGCGATTGCGTTCTGTTTACCCTCACACTCTTTTTCACTTTCTTTGCGACCTCGCCGCGCTATCTCGATGCGAATTGAGGAGTTTGGCATCATGTCGAACACGGACCAATTTGAAATGTCCCGGATGGGTGTCAAGTCTACGCAATTCAGTGTAGGCGAGCCACCCCGGGGCCACACTCGCTCGGGTTCGAATGGCGGGTACAACGGGGGAGTGACAACGTCGATGTCGAGTGGGAAACGATTAGATGTGAGTGTATTTGGCTCGAGAGGTGTGCGATCCCAGAGATTTTGTGGAAAAGCACTGTATGAATGCGCTTGGGTAGAAGCAAATTCATGAATGTTCATCTCCGTCGACCCATTCGGAACGGATTCCCCGTTATACTACCCCATGCTGACAATCGCTTTCTGATCGGCAGAGAGGATTCGGATCGCTGTCAGTCCTTTGTCTATCAATCACCCTTCTCTCATCGTGGGAGGCCGTTGCCAAGTACGTCTGTTGACATGCTCCCAATAACACTTGGTACAAATGCTTACCGCAGTGTCTCTTCCTCGCGCATAGTGGATTCGAAGCCGGTCTCATCAACGGTGGCCCAGCCGGCCTGGTCTGGGGTATGGTCTTATCGCTTGTCGGCACTACCCTCATCATGCTTTCGATGGCCGAGATGAGCTCCATGACTCCCCTGGCCGGAGCGCAGTATCACTGGACTGCGGCTCTGGCACCACCACGCATCCAGGCATTTAGCACCTGGATTCAAGGATGGATTACCGTATTTGGCTGGCAGGCTTCCACCACCAGTATCTGCTACTTGATCGCCAGCCAGATTCAAGCCATGGTGCTCTTGAACAACCCCAGCTATGCACCCAAGCAGTGGCAAGGAACTCTGATCATGTGGGCCGTCATTCTCGGCGCCGGTCTGGTCAACATCTATGGCATCAAGATGCTACCCGCATTGCAGATGATGGGTGGCATCCTGCACATCACCCTCTTTATCGCCTTGGTTGTCCCCATCATTCTGCTCAGTCGCCGAAGTACTCCCGAATTCGTCTTCACTGAGCTTCTCACGGCAGAGCACGGGTGGCAGTCCCCCGGCGTTGCGTGGTGCTTGGGTATGCTTACAGTGACCTATTGTTTCCTCGGGTTTGACGGCGCAATTCACATGAGTGAAGAGGTGCGCAATCCCGCCACCGTCATGCCTCGAGTCTTGTGTCAAACCATCGCGATCAGCGGTGTCCTCGCTTTTACCTTTCTGATCGTCATTCTTTTCTGTATCGGCAGCGTCCAAAATGCGCTGAACCCGCAATACATATTTCCTATTATCGCAATCTTCCGAGAGACCACCAATTCCTCCAAAGCCGCTACGGCTATGCAGACGGCCATTACCGGAATTGGCCTCATTTCCAACGTTGGTGTTGTGGCCTCGGTCTCCCGCCTCACCTGGGCATTTGCCCGTGATGGTGGACTCCCATTCTCTCAATACTTTGCTCATGTCAGTTTCCACATTGATGTTGCCCATCTATTCTGCGATACCTTTTTCAAAGATACTGACCAGTACTCTTCCCAGGTCGATCGCCGCCACCGCGTCCCCACGCGAGCCATCCTCCTAGTCTGCGGCGCTGTTGTCATCCTCTCCGTCATCAACGTCGCTTCCGAAACCGCCTTGAGCGCCATCCTTGCCCTCTCCACCAGCAGTCTCTACGTTTCCTATCTCATTCCCATCGCCATGATGATTATCCGCCGCTTCGACACCAGTCGTGGGCCCATACCCTTCGGACCCTGGAAACTCGGTCGCTATGGCCTCCCCATCAACATTATTTCGCTCATTTACGGCATCTTTGTCTGCATCTTCGTTCCTTTCCCTACCCAGATTCCGGTCACGGCGGCGAACATGAATTGGTCCGGTCCGGTGTTCTTGGGCGTGGTGCTTTTGCTTTTGGTGGATTGGACTTTTCGTGCGAGGCATAAGTTTGTGGGTCCGTCCAAGGATCTTCTGTTTTCGAAAAGTAAGGCCGCGTCTTAGTGAGTGTACACCTTGGCTTGATCCTTCATTTTCCTATATCCTTCTCTCATAATGTAGACCCATGTTTTCAAAGGAAAAATCATTCTGTATAAACGTGTGTACCACCTGCGAGCCGTTTCGTCGACGGATCCTCTTGATGAATAGACTTTTTTTCATGTCTTATTTGCTCTAAATACTCCCAAAGTCTCAGGTAGTTTTATGTACTAGGACAGACTCAGAAAGGACCTCATGCATTGTATAGAGAAACTTACTCACAGGCCCAGAAGCCTAATTTCTAATTGGCCATTGTTTCATAGCGAGTCATCACCATCAAACTGCGTATTTCCTATTCTTTGGCGACATTTCATCAATCTATCAGTTGACGGCTAAGAGGACCCCGCCAGAGGCCCGTGACTTCTGACGTTGGCAATGTTTTAGCACTGTACGCACTAGGCAGCCCTGCTTGCTGTGATACAATGGTCCTCACGTGGAGCTCGACTGCTTGTTGTCATTTTTTTTTTGTTGTTAAAACTGTCGTTTTGATTGGAATGCACAGCATGCTGAGCATGAAGCAAGTGACCGTACGAGACAGTACCTAAACCCAACAGGTCTCTGCTTGTATGTCTCGCACGTCTATAACTCTCGCAACTCTCGCAACTCACGTCCTGACTCTCCTGATAAATCCCACGTGTCTTGCATGAAAGGGGCTCGGATTAGTCATGGGCTTTTTCTCAGTCCCGCCGGCCTCCTCAAGGGCTGGTCTTTTCTTGCCCTTGGTCGAATGCACATTTCTGGTTGACATGGTGAGAGTGTATGTTGACAGCCGCCCCTACTGGTGAGTGTGAGATAGGGATTGTGAAGATGGAGGAGAGCAAGAGAGCAGGCAGCTGCCCCAGGGGAAGCAGCGTCTCAAAATCGCCCTCACTCCAGCTGGTCGTGATTTGTGATACACCCGACGAGAGGATTCCTCTTCCGTGCTCTTCGACCGTCTCACATGATGCCTTTCTTGTACGGTGCTCTCCGGACATCACAGCAATCCGCGCCTCTACAGCATTCATTCACGGGGGCACTATGCCCGGAGGAAACCACGTGATTGCCCAGGACATCGAGTCCTCTCGGTTGCTTCCAGTGTCTGCAGAGCCCAATGTCTGATGATCCAGGGACTGAGTGTGTACGGTAGTGTAAGCCTCAAGGTACATACATATCCCGTCTACTAATAAGGAGGTTTGGGACCTACAGCAGACCGCGAGGCCAGAGGAGATGAAGTGTGAACATCCCGCAGGATTGACTCTTTCTACGCAGTGATTCCCGCAGATAAAGTGGGTAGGCATAGGAGGATAGAGCATCCATCGCATTGCCCAAACAGAAACCAACTCCCTTCACCCTGTGGATATCTAGAGTGAACAAAAGCTTCATTGCCGACAAGTAAACTATCATCTGCACCCCAGGCTCCAACTTCAGGAGATGAGCAAGCACAGTCCACGATACACCAAAACACCCACCGACCCGTACAGGACATGGTGTTGGGGGCCATGGGGGCCGTAAGGACCAAGGGGGCCGTTGACGCATTCCAACCTTGAATGGGGCCCCAGTCTCAGAAAGTGATGGGTCGAGGAAATCGTCACTTGGAGAGACGGTGGCGAACTGGCCATCGGGCCAAATCCATCATGTTGGATATCATGCGCCCGAGCTAATGCCGGTCAGGAAAGACTCCATCCACCTGCAGGTAGTGCAGGGGTCGAGGATATCAGTACACAACTACACACAGCTGGATGACTACACCCCGTCGCGGTCATTGTGGTCGCGGAGTCCTTCTCCTCGTGTTTCGATTAGTCTAGGGCGTCAGTGATGTCGATCGTGTTGGAAATCTAGACATTCCGCATTGAACATGCTTGACGCGATGCGTTACCAGGATGACCGTGCTGGTGGGGGCCTTTACGAACATGCACTCGAAAAGAGACGTCTAGGCAATGATGACACAGAGGGTCTACCGTAGACTGTAGCGCACTACAGCTCCGAGAATGAACAGTGCCACAGGAATGAAACAGAGGATGGATTGCATGTATCACGCGGAATCCTATGGACATTCAACATGGTAACTCACATACATACCACTACATTATTTACTAGTTACTACATTAGGTAGTTACTTCCTAGTACCTACCTAACCTAGGTATACTACCTACCTATACCGACCTAAGTATACTCGCCGGTCACCCTGACCCAAGTCCTCCGCAGTTACTGTAAGGGGACCTGGTGTGTACCATTCTCGCCATACCAGTCGTTCTCTCTTGTGTAGCACGGCGATTCCCAGAGAACTCTTCAAGATCATCTCCAATGCTTATCCATGGTAAATGCAGCGACAGATGGGGAATTCAGAAGCCGCGCTTTTTTGACCAATGTCAGTATGATCAAATCGGCAAAGACTTTACACTGTTTAGTGTTTACAGTATACAGTAGCCAACCTCCCCCCCCATCCATAAACATGTGGACCGGTCTCGAGGAGAAGACCTCCTCCCTGACCAGGGCTGACGGCTGGTGGCGTGGGTAAGCAACTAAGCATCGCCATCATCACCACGATGGGGCCATGTCGATCGTGACGGTGGGGCTGCTGTCAGCCCCGGATCCACGGGTTGCATTTTCCAACGAGGCACGGGCGGATGGCGATCACCACCTGAGCAACGAGCGACGAGAGACCAACTGCTCGTTTTTAGAAGAGAATTAGCCCCAACTCGCATGAGACAGTGCTCGTCGAGTAGAGAGTCTTGTCCGCTTCTCAAATATCAACCACCAAATAAAACGGACCTCACACTTCGGAATCTTCTGTTGAGTCCTCGACCTTGGACGCTTTTTTTCTATCTAGTTCCGGAAGTATACCACTACTATACTACCTGAGCAAATCTCACGGACTATACACTCTGCCACCATCCATATCAAGGCCTTTCTCCCTTTTCCAGTCAAGCCGTCTGAATTCCGTTACGCCCAGCGAACCGAGTCCAACGATTCCAGGCCACCCATTCAAATCCCCCGTGGTGCACCCACATTATCCATTCAGAAACAAAACGGGTGCGTTCTTTGTCCTCGATTCGGTTTGGATCATCCCCGATTGGGAGAACCGACCAGTTGGCGACTACTCGACAGATCTGCTGATATATCTTACAAGAGACCGGGTTGATCACGAGTTTACCTCGTTGTTCATTGTTCGCGAAGACAGCGGCTCTAGGAGGAATGCGCCGCTGAATGTTGGATAGTAAATTCGCGGGTAAGCCAGACCTCGAGCGAAGGTGTCCACGAAGATGGTTTCGTCCCACATACTTCCATCTGTCAGATACGATCAAGACTCCAAGAGATCAAGTAACAAAAGTGCCGTCCGGCCACCTCCGCCGCTCAAGTTGGAAGGCGATCGAGTTCGTGCTCAGATGTTCAAGGATCTGAGTCAGAGAACACCCCGGCCCAAAGGCGTCCGGGGCCGCTTGAAAGGGCCCTCCAAGGCAGGACAAAACAAAGATAAAAGAGTGAATGAAACTCAAGAAGTGCCAATCATGATGGAAGTGCCACTCGCACAGGCCGCAGGCAGGACCGATGCGCGACGATCGATTCAGAATACTCCTCCACTATCCTCAGAGCGAAGAAAGACAAAAGGCAAACTGAGTCAATATCAAAGCAGCCAGCCTCAAACTGTACGCTCTCCTGTGCCCAAATCTCGCTCGCCGTCCCCAGACTCCACTCAGGACAGCCTAGAAAGTCAATCAGTTTCCCGGCAGGATTCCCTTCGAACGATAGTAGTGCTCAAATCGCCCGACTCATCTGATACCGAAGAATCAGACATCTCCCCCATATCAGATACTTTCCCCGTCGCGCGATCAAAGTCAAGTCGAGTCTTGTCACGTTTCTTCCCCGAATTGTCCAACAACTTTGGAATCGTCTCTCCAATGAGTTCAAATCCGACCATCAATAAGCAGGGCCCGCAGCCTCCAGCGTATTCGTCGATTCTGGAGTCGGAACTGCACGAGCGGGTCCAGGCCCTGTACAAGAGCTCTAGCGACGCCGATGACAGCTCTTCCAGCTCTTCCAGTGTAGGAAACTTTTCCTTGGAGCACCAGACAGAGTCCTCGTCGGGCTCGGACGAGCCTGGTGATGATGCGTCGTCTTGTTACAGCCGTCGAAGCTCGATCACGAGTGTCGAGTCCAACTGCTTCTCCGCGACAAAATCGCTCACCAGGTACTCCATTTGCTCACCTGCAGCAGCTGGTGTCTTTGACGACTTCGCATCCACTTATCTATCGAGACCCTCGTCGGTCAAGTCTCGTCGCTTGTCAGCGATTTCGCAGGCTTTCAGCCCCAGCTCCGGCTTGACCGGCTACGAGAATCCTCGTACGTTCCTCAGACGTGCATCGACTGGCTCATCTCTGTCATTGTACGACGTCAGAAACAAGCCATTGCCCCTTGAGCCCGTGGAAGAGCCCAGTCCACTGGAGGTACGTCGTCACCATGGCAATTCTATAACGACTGCGCGGCCATCGTCTCCATCTAGCACAGCTCACAGGGGCGAGAACCACCAGGATATTGCGACAGTGACTCGTGCATATCAACAACCGCAAGAGTTAGACACACAGCTGCGGCCGCGGTTCCGCCGTGACCCAACGTTGGACGAAGCGGCCGAAGAATTGGAGGATGCATTGGCCGACCTGGTCCGGAGTCCACCCCTGCATCAACAGAGTTCACTTGTTCAAGGACCGTTGCAAATCAGTCGTCACCATGGCGATCTCATTGCAACGCGGCCGGCACCTCTGCCACCGACGACCAAGCCACACTCCCAGACGCGGTCGTACAAGCCGTTCACAAAGTCGAAAAGCCTCCACTTCAAAGCGATCAAGTCCGTCGACCACGCGAATCAGACAGGCGCAAGTGTACTACGGCCATTTCGGTCGGCCAAGGACAAGAGATCGAGGTGGGCCTCAGACAAAGACGACCGAAATAAAGACTTGGCTGGCGCTGAAGATGCCAAGCCTCAACCTCCCCTTCAAAGGAGCTCGGAAACAGTGGAACAAGATCATGACGGGAAGTCATCCCTCCGTGCTGAAGCGACTTCACATTCGCTAGTGGAGCCTGTCAAATTGCCCAAATCCAAAAAGTCGTTCAGCATGAAGATGCTATCCTTTCGACGGGCCAACCAGCCTCCCGTTCAAGTTTCGGCGTCTCAGGAACCCCGTCCGGGCGTCATGTTGGCTTCGCGGTCAGAGTCCAGCCTGGTCGACCCACACAAACCCACCGAGGGCGACGCTCGGCCGGACGGACCCCCACAGCCCCAGCGACTTTCTTCACGGGCGCATGCCAAAGCCGACGAAGAAGTGGATGGGAGCAAAGCCAACGAGAAGAACGACGGGGCCCGGACGAGACTCTCAAGGTGCGATGATCTGCGCCTGCAGCTGCCACGCTTGCAGACGGGCGACTTGGCCCTGGAATTGGATTTCACACTTCGAAGCAGCGACAAAGAATCTCTTCCCCATCAGTCACCAGATCAACAACAGCTTCGTCCCCAGCCAAAGCAGCCGCCATCTTCACAACTACCGTTTCCGCCGCCGCCGCTCGAGAGATCAGATAAGACTCGGTCGCCGACGATGACCTCGTTCTGTGCGCCCGGGCCCACTCTGCCAGTGCATCATCGTCATCATGCCCCCGCGCCAACCGTGAAGCACAAAGTTCAATTGCCAGCAGTCAATCTGCGCATCTTCCCCCCGGAGGATGAGAAGATCCTTGTCGCCAGTGAGATAGTAGCCAGTGAGAAACTGCGCCATTCGCAAGCATTCATCTCGACAGCGCAGGCGAGTAGCGTACAACTCCCGCCAGAGCAAATCTTCGAACTTGCAGCAACGCCGCCATCGCCGACCTCTTCCATCCCCTCTATATTCCAACATCGACCATGTGCGCCTGTGCACTTTCCCGGCGAAATGCCCGAGCACCTCGTCACTCTGATCATGGAGCGCATCGATTCGCTGGACGATCTGTTCAATTTTGTGCTCGTGAATAAGCGATTTTACCAGATCTTCAAGCGTCGAGAGCTCTTCTTTCTCAAGACCGCGCTCTTTCGCATGTCACCGCCCGCCTGGGAGATGCGCGAAATGAGTCCGCCTTGGGATAATGAGTGGCAGCTCCTCGTGAACCCAGACACACCGGTGGTCGAGTATACTTCGAAGTCGTATCTGGACCGATACGCGAACGACATCTACACCCTTGCGCAGCTCAAGTCAATGATCTTGGTCCGTTGCTCGCCATTCTTGCGCCGCGAGACAGTCAAGGGACTCTCCGGAGTTGACATGACTCGGGCTGAAGAGGTCGATGACGCCTTCTGGCGCATTTGGACATTTTGTCGCATCTTCGGCAATGGCAAGGGTCGCGAAAATGACATCGAGGGACAGATGGACTGGCTCAAAGGCGGCACCATGGCTCGCAATTCGTTCCGACCAACTTCGACCGTCAATGGTCCTTTTGGTCTGGATGGTGTTCTTTTTGAGCCACCCGAGGGCTTTGCCCGTGGAAACGGGGCATTGGGTCTTTCTGCTCAACAGCTGTATGATATGACGGAGATTTGGACGTGTCTTGGTGTATTGCTTCAACCATTGCACGGCCAGTGCGCCGAGGCGAGAAAGGTCGGTGTCTTTGAAGGGCATGAGATTACCGCAGGAGATGTGGCTCAGGAGGAGATGGCACTGGGTAAGTGATCTTTTTTTTTTCTTCCCCCAATCCAAGATGTCAACAAGAAATGAGAGTAAAGCCTGGCTAACCCCCTCATCTGCAGAGGAATGGACCTCCTTTGTCATGACCCTTGGTCTTTCGGCTGTTCTGGCTCTGAGCTCGCTTTGTCCTGCAGAGGCATCAAGCGCCCTGTTCAGCAGGGCAGAGTCTCGCGGTTTGACCAAGTGGGAACCAACTGCCAATGGCATCAGCCGATCGTCATTTCTCAAAGAAGCCGTTTCACGCGTATACGACGAAGAGGAACGCCTGAAACCCTCGATCAGTCTTCAGGATATGAAGCATCCACACGACGAATTCTTGCAGCGCCGAAAACAATTCCAAGAGCAGCTTCGAACTGGCCGTCTACGAGGACACTCGCGCCATGAAAGCGCCCCTCTGAAAACCTTTTCTGATGAGCGACCCATGTCTGAATTCAGCACTATCCTTTCAAAATTGGAAGAACCAGAGCCTCGAAAGGCCCCGTTAGAATCGATAGCACCGTCTACTCATGGAAACTATGCTTATACCCATAACTGCACCGTTCCCAAACCACCTTCCAACCCCAGTCTCCAGAGCCTAAGTCATCTCCGCTCACGCTCCCTAAACTCTGAGACAACGTTTCGCTCCGTCTTTACACCGCCACCTCCTCACACCCAGGTCCAAGATCCCGTCGACCGAGCACTTACTCGCATGGTCAACGAGCTCGGCTTCGATCCCGAGGATGCCAAGTGGGCGCTCAAAATCACCGACACAGGCGAAGGGATTGATATTGCCGCCGCTGAAAAATTGCTCAAGCAGCAGAAGCGCAAGAACGATAGGAACCCCTTCGCTCCAAAGGGCAAGGACGGTCTACTCAAGTCAGTGATGAAGAGGAAAGGATCTAATGACTCGGGTTGGCGGTTTGCCTGAATAGTTGTGAAAAAGGCGGTCTCATTCCCCGGTCTTACTCTCTTGCATCTTGTTCTCGGAGCGCCATCGGGTCTCTATATTTTGTCTGATTTCCCTGGTCTGTCCACAAATTGAAGTGCGCTTGGAGTCTCTCGCCATAGAGAAATCCAGGGAGTAGGACAGGGTATCGTTATGAAGTATGTTCGTTCCCTTTTGCTGAATGCTTCTGCGAGCAAGGCGTTTCCAGGTTCCGTCAGTCCTTTGTCTTTCTTGTCTGCCTCGTTGATCATTATGATCGCACCCGATATACCCTCAAAACCTTCAATTGCATGCCCACAACATAAATCCAGTTAAGATAGGAATGTTTCAATGACCAAATCAATAAATTACGAACAAACTATCTACCTTGTTCCCTGAAAGTGCCAACGCAGATTTCCCCTAGTTGTACTTCGTCGTTACTACCTGGTAGAAATGGCTTTTCTTTGAACACCTCGACTTCAGCCTTGGCAGTACTGACAGGCGCTCAATAATTGTACAGTGCGTAGTGTGGATCACTAAGGGAGAGGTCGATGACAAAATACCAGTGATCACGAATGACAAAACTTCATGATATTTTTGGCTGAAAGAGAATAACTCCTTGCGCATATGAAGGTAGGAAAAGGAAAAGAGAACCCAGCAAGCCACCTTATCAAATCAGCAGGATCACCCCTCCTTGGCAATGGTGAGTCGGCCGTTATACATCTGACAACCGATGGATGAGTAGTACAGTAAGGAAAGACCCCTCCCCAACCACTCTCTCCCAAAGCCTTCTTTTCAATCAACGTCACAGTCACTGATAACTCGTCATCTTCACCCTCGTCACCGGGCCCTTGTACACATGTCTTGCCCTCAACACGTAATAAGACAGGGAGACGATGACCACACCGCCAAAGATGACGATGCCCCAATTCATAGTCGTCGGGTCGACTTCCTTGGTCAACGGGAAGAAGCTGAATGTCAAGACGATGCTGAGAACCATGATGGAGATGGTATCGCAGATCGGGGTGAATTTGCCCATGCTCCAGCGGGCGGGGGGCAGGGGTTGATTACGCCAGCGGCGGAGGCGCACACAGGTGATGGAGATGATGTAGGAGGAAAGGAGGGCCGCGGTACCAAGGGACATGATGGCGTTGAAGGCGATGGCGGAGCCGATGTTGATGAGGGCGAGGGGGGAGACGATCACCAGGCTGACGCAGAGGGCGTTGAGGGGGACGGTGAATGTTGGGTTGACCTGGCAAGGTTGGGTACAATTAGTGATTCTGCTCCTTATCACCTACTTATGGGTGGACCGTGGGGAGAAACAAAAACATTTTGAGGGAGTGGATGTGATGGGTGAGAGTGTCTTATTTACCTGTGCAAAGAAGCTCGAGAATGGCAGGCCGTTGTCTCGGGCAAAGGAGTAGACTTGACGAGATGTCGTCGCGACATTACTGATCGCTGCGCAAAACTGCATGATCATGATCACGCAGGTCATTCCCGTGGCGGCACTGACTGATCCGGTGGCATTGAGGAAGACCTGAATGAAAGCGAAGCCGGTCTGTGTGGACAGCACCGTGTCGATGTCTCCCACACAGAAGGCCATGGTGATGATCATGACAAGACCGGTGGAGCCGTTTAGGATCAAAGTCCAGACCATGCCTCGGGGAAGCACACGGGAGGCATCACGGATTTCCTCCGCTGTAGCAAAAACGTCAGTATATGAGAATGAGAGAGACAGAAAGACAGAGGGGGAGAGAGAGAGAGAGAGAGAGAGAGAGAGAGAGTAGCGTGACATAGTTACTCACCCATGTGAACAGCCGAGTCGGGGCCTAGAGAACCATGCGACGGTTAGTACTCTTGCTTTTGTTCTTCCGATTTCCAACAAGGGCTGCTAGTCTCTCACTCACCAATCAAGGCATAAATAGGACCGGTCAATCCAACCAAGCAGGCAAGACCATTGTTTCCCCAACCACCCCGATCCTCGATGGAACCAAAGACATCAGCAGCAGGGACCTTGGGAGACAGCACCCACAGAGGGATCAAGATGCCGAAGAACCCGAAGCAGTGCACAATCAAGATGATTCCCTCGATCAGGGGGAGCTTCTGCGCCAGGAACGTGTTGAACAGCAAAGCCACAACGGCCACCGCGATGACGAGAAGCGTCACATGCCACGGCTGATAGACATAGGTCTCGGGATAGTTGATGGCAATCACTCCCACCATCATGTTGGCCACGGTATAGCAGCATCCGGCAATACCAGTGTGCCAACCGAGGACACAGATCCATCCGGTGATGTAACTCAGCAATGCTTGCGAGCTAGGAGGTGCAAATTCGGAGACCCAGTGATATTGACCACCGGATGTTGGAGCCCTAAAAGCGATTCCCATAATGAGTCAATGGTCCCTTGCCGCTGCGGTCATATGCGAGCCTTTCTCTCTCGCACTCGGGTTCGCTCCATATCAACTTACATTGAAGCCATCTCCGCCATGGAGAGAATGACAAAACTAAAGCCAGCAAGTGCTCCAAGGTAAGTGTAGATCATTCCGCCCTTGCCACCATCTGTCAAGCCATATGATGCTCCACTACCAGAATTGTCAGATCACTACCAATTTAGTCCTTAGACTCAGCCTGGTATTTGGGTGGAAGTGGTGGATGAATCATTCCGCTCTCTTTGAGTACTTACAAGAGAACAGCTTCCCAAGTACACATCAACACTGCGGTGAATCCGAGGACCGATAAGAATCGGAAATTTCTCTGTCGAGCATGGTCAATTATCTCCTTGCCTTTCGTTCGACTTCCTCAATCACTTGTGTTGCTGGTTGACTTACATTTAGCTCCTGGTCTCGTCCAACACGACGCATATCCTCCTTATCCTGAATCGTGCCCTGCTTCGCCGAGGAATAGTCGTCATCCGCCGGCTTGGACCTTTCGGTCAAGACGATACCATTGTCCTGACCCATGGTAGTTGGTCTTGATCAAAGGTGAACTTGTCCGAGATATGAGAGGGTTCACAACGTCAAGGGGAAAAGCTTTCAATCGAAAGCCTTCAAGTGATCCTTGAGTCCAGAGAGAGACAATGAAAGCGAGAAATCAAAGAAACAAAAGCCAGGGGTTCCCAGGAAGAGTTCTTTTCATTACAAATGGCACGAGGGGCCTGGCCCGAAACTCTAGATATTCTCGCCAGCTCGGGTAAAGGTCTTCGGGGTTCGCAACAGGAAAGTGGCCTAGGGCCCGGGGCCATTCGCGTCTCAACAGACCTGCCACTTCTTGATAGCGTCCGAACGGAGGAAACACTTATCTAGGTTTAACGGATGCCAAATGAAGTATGATGGGAAGTCTGATTCGATTCCGACGGGGAACGGGATCAACTAGCAAGCAAGCAGGCAGTGGAGGACGGGGCCGGCGTAGTATGCACGAAGCCAGCATTAGTCCACCATCCGAGTCGTGCGTTTTCCGCCACGAGCATTTCCATTGCAATCTAGAAAAGGGCTCATTGATTGAGCAAAGGGGCGGGGGTCAACAGGATGAATGTTTTAACAGGGATTCAGTGGCTCACGATGCTTTGCAGAGTGGGGGGAGAGGGAGGTGAAAAAGCACGCTAAACACGGAGCGAAAAGGCCGCGAAGAAATTCAATAAACTAGAAATACAAACGAAGAAAGGTGTCAGTAATCAGTATCCAGCACAATAGTACTAGTAGTATTAGTAGTCGTCGCGAGTCTAGCGACTAGCGACCATTTGTTGTTTTTTTTTCTTTATCCCTCAGCGCTGATCCTTTCCGGGCCTGATGGATTGCAGAAGGATCGGAATCCCTGTCGGGCCTGGTTTCAACAATGGACATTGCTCTCTACCTGTCTCTCATTTGACGATCGTCGGCTAATCTAGGCGGAAGAGACGACAGGGATCAAATGCGCCAACTGCGGTGACTGTGACTGGAAGCGAAATTGAAGGCGACAAGCACGCCAATACTGGCAGGATGCAGTGGAAAAGTCATTCCGGCGTCGACGGTCGGTGGTTCGCGATCGAGACAAGTCCCTCAGGTGAACAGGGATCTTCGAGAGGTGGAAGCATATGATAGCCAGACAATAATGGATCATATCCATGTGCTGACTATGCTCACGACAGAAAAGGATCCTCCAAGTGTGATATCCCAGGCCAGTCAGTCTCTGGCGCTGAAGATGAACTTTCTCGTCCTCTGCTGCTTTCATTGTCACCGATCGTGCGACTTGAATTTGTCGGCATCATGGAATACCCGGCGCGGTATACGATCTCTGCGACAGACCGCAGCGGTCTGATCGTGATAGTCGAGACGCTGTTCATGTCGTGGATGATCATGGTCACTTTGGTCCGGTTGTACATGCGCCTTGCGATCAACGGACCAGTGCAGATAGACGATCTAGTCGTCTTTGCCGGAGCCGTGAGTGATATTCGCCTTGAAAAGGATCCATGGGTGGGGGGGGTTTACTCTTCCCCATCGAGAGTCCTTCACTAACTATGAACAGGTCTTTGCTGTTGCCCACGTTGGAACGGTGATGAATGCCATCTCCCACGGCCTCGGCCGAACAATGGATGGTGCGGTGGCACCGTCGAGTGACTTGAGTCAAGCTGGTAGAGTCAGTACCCGAACCTCCATCAACATGATCCCGGAGACACCTCCAACCAACTTTGCTCACTCGGTCTTAGGAGTATTACATTGCCAACCTTCTCTTTCTCTTGGGACATGGCGCTGCAAAGATCTCGGTGTCTTTGCTACTTACACGGCTGGGCCGTCAAAGATACTATATGTTGTGCGCCAAGGTCCTGCTGGGTCTGGTCACGGTGTGGTCCATTGCTTCGATCTTTGCGATCTCCTTTGCTTGTCTGCCTGGAGACCAGTGGAACATGGCTCAGCAGTGTCGCAATATTGTGAGTGGCCCGGGCATCTGCTGCCACGACGACAAGGCTTGACCGGGATCTAACACGAGAGATCTCTAGGATACTGCCTGGAAAGCCATCTCCGCATTCGATATCATCACCGACGTGCTGGGGTTCGGACTCAGCATTTTCTTGGTCTGGGGTATCCAAATGCGCTGGAAAGAGAAGGGGACGGTCATTTTCGCTTTTGGCACCAGGCTTCCGTAAGTGGCGTGACATGCCGTCCTTTGGCCACCTGACCTCGCAAGCTATTTCAAAGGTAGTTCTTCTGATCACTGATCCCATGATGACGGCTGACTAGATCGATCGTGCTCATCATTCTGCGACAAACCTACCTCGACCGTGCCGTCTTCTCCTCCGACCCAACGCTGCATGTGTCAGACTCACTCGTCATGACTGCCGTCCTGCTCCACTACAGCATCATGGTGGCGACTGTACCATGTCTGAAGCCATTTGTCATCTCCTTCAACACAGGTTGGGGACAAGGGGTTGTCAATAGCCATGGCCAACATCCCTACTACACGCCGTCCGGTAAGAGCGTGTCTGGTAACCACTCCAGAGCCTATACGGAGAATCGCGCAGATGAAGATACCACCCAGTCCGCAGCAGCCAGACTCTCTTCCGACAGTCATAATTCTCAGCAACTGATCATCCGGGAGACGCGGGAGTGGATCGTCGAGGAGGAATATGAGCTGCACCCGGTCCACGATCAAACGAACCTGGACCAACATCGGGAGGGAACGCCGCCTTTTGCTCAATATTAATGCCATGTTTGCATTTTGCAATACTTGAAACGGACTTTAAAAGACGTGCCCGGGGTCTAGTAGTATCAAATATAGTACCTCTTCCCCCCGCAGATCTTTGCCATCAAATCCATTTGGTGCCCTCCAGTCAGTTCACTGCTTGCTGCTGAGGCTCTCGAATCATCGGAAGAGCTCCATCCGCGGTCACGCCTTGATCATAACAATTCTGAAATCCAAACTTTCTATAGAAAAGTGCCGCATCTTCATGAGCATCCAGATACGCCGGCACTCCTTCCTCGTCGGCAAGGTCACAACCCCATTTCACCAGCAAGGACGCGGCACCTCGACCCCGATACTCGGGATGAGTGACCAACATATCTAAATCTGGACAGGGCAAACAAAAAAAGAGAGAAGCAAACATCAGTCAGGACGGCAATGCTCCCATAGTCTTTCACGGCCCCCCGTCCACGTGCTCACTCGGGACAGCAACAAAGGCGAATTCTTACAAAAGTGTTTCCGGTGCCCCAAAAAGGCCCGTCGCTTCTCCCCCAGACTCGTGAACAGGCGTTCGCAGGTCTCCCGGTCCGACTCCTCGTGCCAGGGTGGGAAGCGCGCGCCACTCTCCGATGGATCCAGATCCCACTTTGCATAGGCGATGATCTGATCCGGCGTGGAGGGATCGACCACCTTGAGTAATTTTCGGCGCGGGTTGTCGAGGACGTCGTGGCGGTTGGCTTCGTTCCACCACGCGCGCACGCCGGGAGTATCGGGGAACATGCGCAGGTTGATTGGGATGTTGAAGGCTGTATACCAGAGTTGAGTGATGGCGGGAATCTCATCCACCGTGACTGGTTGGATAATCAGGGTGTGAGACATTGCAAAGACTTTAGAAATGGGAGCTTTGGGGCACAGGATGGGTGTGTAGTTGGTGAACTGGGTATAGATTAGATTCTGACCGGAAGGCAGTTGTGGGCAAATACAACCGGCTTCTCCCCCATTCGACAATGAGTGTTTCGCAAAAGAGAGTACGTGCTGATCTGCTGGTGCCAACCTTCGCACTTCAATGGGTTTGCTGTCACTGTAGCTGCTCAATCGAGCCCGAAGGCCTGCTCATACGCTTCATTCTCCGGAGCCTTACCGTAGAATGTGTATGAGAACCGAAGCTATCGTAGCTTAGCCCACTATTGAGAACAAATTGGAATCGGGCTCAAAAGATTCCCTGATCCATCTCGTCGTGACTGACAGTGATTCGATTTGGACTTCCGGACCTTCTCTCGTGGGAGCAGGAGCAGGAGCAGGAGCAGTAACGCCAACTAGTTTAGACTCGACTCCATTCCCAATCTGCCCTACTTTTTTTTTTTAGTTTTACTACACATCGCAAGTCCGACCTGGGTGAGGTTGCAGCGCATCGTTTAGAGCACTCCACTCCAAGTGGGCCTGGTCTCGTCCGCACCAGTAGGATAAACTTTTTTTGAAGTCATTTATCCTCGTGGAGGAGTAGCTCGGAGGATGTCTCAATCGGACGGCCGAGTCATGGGAAAAGGACATCTCTTTGTGCCCGAAACGGGGCGAACAAGCTCCGATCTCTGTCCCCAGGCCCCGGGGAGCTTTGACGGAACGGCAAGCGGGCATCACTTTTTTTTAATTTATAAGAAAAAAAAAAAAAAAAAAAAAGGACGATGTGCGGGAAGCTACTAGCCTCCAGGACCTCAGGACAATAGTACACAGGCGGCCTGAGCGAGATCCATCCCTGAAATTGCACGTTTGCAGGCCATTGACAAGGTACCTTGCAGGCTTGTACAACCCGCAGCAACAAAACACGACTCCTAGAGAAGTAGATATGGTATGGGCTATTGTTTGTTATAACTTGGTCGGCAAAACAAACGTGCCACGTGTGTGATGGTCAGGAATTGTCCAGCAGAGGGATCATGAACAAAAGAGTGTACATCAAACGCATCGTACCCTTGACTGATGATCCCCGGGCCAGCCGTCGGGTGTGGCTTCAACTACGCGACGACCAGCGTGTCGACTTTCGACGGAGCTGCACGGACAAAGCCCCCGGGCCGCGCACGATCTGGCCTCCTTCGCATGTCGAGGCACGTGCGGTACTGCGGTGCAATCCGAAGGTCGCTGCTGAGTGCTGACTGACGGTAGTGAGTCTAGTGACTGTATCGTGTAACCGTGGTGTCCTCTTTTTCTGGAGCCGAGCGATCGCGATGTTGTTCCATCGGAAGCTTTGATCTGATCTGCAACCGATGCCACCCTCTTTGTTTTTTCTTTTTTTTCCTCAACCTGACTGGATTTTTGACTTTTTCAATCCGACAAGGTTTGCGCCCCGTTAGAGTTTCCAGTAGCGGCGAGTTTATCGTCGCTTATCGGGAAACGAGAGATAAAGTGATTGAGTTTCTTGTAATCTGAGATGTTCCGAGTCCTTTTCCCTGAAAGGAACTGGGACTGGGGGGGGGAAGTCGGGGACTGTGGAACAGCGCAGCAAACAATGACAGTGTGTAGCGTTGTACCTACCATTCTGCTGCAGCGGAAACAGAGCTTTATTGGGTCTTGTTGTGTCTCGTCAGAGACACAATAACAATAGTTTAGGCTAACTTCTTTAGGATATACGCTTAGGGGGAAGAGACGTTCTGCCATGGCGGTGTAGAAAGTACAAAACACGTGACTTATGGACTCGCGCCTCAGCTTTATGGCATCAACCCTAGCCTATAATTGGCTAGACGTAACGGATCTGGCTACGATACTGGCTGCGTTACTGTCTACGATGCTGGATAAGATGCTGGCTGCGATACTAGTGTGAATCTGGCTGCGTTACTGGCTGCGATGCTGGCTGTGTGACTGGTCACTGGTGTAAATCTAGCTACGTTTCACTGTGTATAGAATTCAGAATGTTGTTGTGGCCTCTGACGAGGCACATTTCCAGTCCGAAGACCACTTTGGTCCTAGGATAGCTAGTAATAGTACACATACTCCTTGAGTCCTTAGACTCCTTACTATGTGGTGGATTACTGGCCAATGATCACTCCTACGAAGAGTACGCTCGCAGTTCTCCAGTACTACATTTATACAGTACTGGCTCCGGAGACTGCCCAATGGTTCCAGATCTAGTCGACTTCCATTGCACGAGCGAAGTGGATCAGTGGGCAGTGGCACGGGACCCGCCGGCTAATGCAAGTAGCCAAGTACTCTCATGAATCTTCTCGTTTCCATCCATCTCGCGCTCGCTTGATCCCTTTTCCAATTTTGCCTGAACCCTTGCTACACACTTCACCAATTGGGTTCATGTGGCTTCGGGACAACGACTCAGATTACGTGGTGCACAAGGCCAGCACGGTCCAGTGTCCACTAACTTCAAACTACTGCAGGCACTAACCGTACCCGGCTACACTAGTACAGACTACAGACTGCAGTGTGAATGCTGAGTGCTGAGTGCTACTGCTCAGTGCTTAGTGGCATTAGACTCGTCGCACTTTTCCATCGCTGACATGATTTTGGGATTTCCAGTTTCCTTCTAGAGAGGTCGGCGGCGAGCTACCTTCGAAGGGAATCGAGGGACGTGGAACCGGATTCGCCTCTGGGCTGTGCAGGGATGGATAGTAATACGAATTCTTGTCGACTTGCGCCTGATATGAATTCTCGTCTACCTGCGCCTGAAGCGGCTTTAGCGAAAGGTGCCAAACAAGATCGAGGCTCATCATGTGACTAGAGGAGGTATCCAATATCCAGGATATCATCGACAAATGTACAGCACGGGCATAGATCATTTGTGTGTACCTAGACTTATGGATGAAGGGACTCCTTGTACAGCAGATGCCTGGTCGCAAAACTCCGGCATTTCGATTGAGACCCCATCGAGAACCTCAAGGCCTTAGCCAGTTCCATCGTGACTTCCGGGCCAGACAGATACCGCCGAACGCTGCAGATTGTGCTTGCAATGCTTGTTCGAGAATTGGGATGTTGTGAAAATGAATCTGGCTTCTTCGTCAACCCTAGCATGCACACATTCGATCACCTTCTTTGATAGTCAACGGTATGAAACTTTCTCGAACATGAGCCCGAGATCCTTGCTCGTCTCGTCCATGAGCCCTGCATACCACTCCGGAGAGATTCCCTCCATGAACAATCAAATTACCTGGGCGACCTGCATCGGTGTAGATCCATGCCCGGGAGAGTCAGAATCCACTTGGGCTAACGCTGCACGTTGCGGGACTCTGCCCGGAACAATCCTTGCAGTTATGGTGGACATTGGACAATACTCGTGATCACGCCACCGGGTCTTCAGTCTTGTACATTGGCCGGGTCATGGATATTGATATGTTATGGGACTTTTGGACAGGACACATACGATTGACGGATGCATGGTCCAGTAGTAAGTACCTGTAAGTTGTCACTTTTGCTAGTCATACAGTACTTTCAAGTGTCGGGTACCGATCGTACTTAGTGATTGGACTCTTACTCTAGGTAGTACCATTCTATAGTAGGACTAGGGAGTCGGGACTGTTCCATGAGTACCTTACTCAGTTCCAGGTGAGCTATGACTTTGGTCCCGCCTTGGAGCTGGGTAGTGATGCATCTAGACTCGACACTGCTACCTGCTTGTAGTGGAAACACACACCTGAATGGGCGAGGTTTTGAGCAAGTCAATCAAATGGAGTCGGAGAAACCCCTTTCCCAGAATACAGCATGAACTGGAATGCCACCCGAAAAATGCTCGCACAGACTTAAGCCGAGAAAGACAATCACAGGCAGGGCAAGGAAAAATCATCACCTTCAACATGTAACGTATCACCTGTCAACTCCGGCGCGGAGGGTTTGAAGGAAAAATAGCGTGTCAACAAGACGAAGGAAATTTGTGAATGGGTAGAATAAACGCCTTCTCTCGCATATACCTGTAACAAGCGCTGAAAGATGACGAACTTTGGCCGAGCACTCTGGGATGCAGGTGGCGGCTCAGGCCAGGTGAAAAAATCATGATGTCGTTTTGGCAGCTCATGTCTTGAGCTTCGAAGGTTCTATACAGTAGATGGGTAGAGTATGTGCAATGGTAGCATAAATCGACCTTTGCAATGCATCATGCTTCCAAGGTCTCGTTCTCTTCGTCGGATTTGTCAGTATCATCCTCGTCCTCCTCCGAGACCCACCCCTCGGCTTCAAGGGATCGACCTCGAATCCCAAAGCTCATGATGAAACCGATGAATGAGACAGCTCCAAAAACCCCAAATGCAATGGCTTCTCCCTTGGGTTGGATTTGGGCTGTAAGCGAAAATAGTCCGCCGGACAAGAAGGGGCCGATGGCCCGCCCGGCAGCAGAGAGGGTTTGGGCAAGACCATTGAGAGCACCCAGCACTGCATTATTTGGTGCCGAATTGGTGATCTGCAATTATCATGTTAGTGATCTGAGTGCGAGGCAACCGCAGTGATAAAGAACCTGTTGGCGGGGCGTGACTTACCAACAATAAGGCACTAGTCAATCCACCCACTGACGCAACTGTCTTGACCAGTACCACGAAACACAACTCCACGGCCATGAGAGCGGATTTTTGAGTCAGTCCGTTCCCATCATCACCCTTATAACCTACGAAAGGCATCAAGACAAAAGAGACGACAAAGCCAAAGAGGCCAGCACGATAGGACCATCGGTTGCCCATCTTGTCACGCAAGCGATTGAAGACGCAAATCTGAAACAAGATGGTCACCACACCTGCAAAGCCTTGCGCAAGCCCAATCTCAGACGGAGTCAAATGACGGCCAGCTGGCGGGCTAGCCTGGGCGAAAATTGGGAACAACGAGTTGAAAGAGACGTTGCAGAATGCAAAGATGAGATAAGTCAACAGTAACAGAATGGTATCTCGAGAGAAAATCTCGTCCCATGTCAAGTTTTGAACTGGTGGACCTTGCCGGCTCGATACTTCCGACGCCGAGTCAAGATCGCTGTCGTGGTCTTCAGCATCAGTATCGTGATGCGCAGTCGTCTGGAGCAAGCGAGTGTAGGTTGGATGTCTCGAGAGCCCCGTAAACTGCCAAAGCCACGTGAACAGGCTGCGAACCCTCTTTGCCAAGCGTGGCAAGATGTCCGCGTCTTCCAGAGACTCTTCCAAAAAGATGGCTGTCAAAATAAAGTCCAGCAACAGCACGGCAGCGGAAAGGAGATTGGGTGCCAGGTAGGGATATGTGCTCCTTTCACCCGTGAAGGGATTTCGCTCAAAGACCAGCAGACCTCCAAGAAGTGGACCGGTGATACCTCCGAGACCGTACAGAACCGGGAGGTACGTGAAAGCCTGCGATTGATTGCTCCGGTCCGTAATCTCGCCCAAGCAAGTGGAAACAAGTCCCTGATTGCCATTCACAACTCCCATAAGCGCCTGCACGAGAATGGCCTGCCACAAGGTCTTGCAAAAGCCAAAAGCAACGAAGCACAACGCGGTCAAGATGGTGCCAAGAAGAATGACCGGCTTGCGCCCAATTCGATCCGACAACCAGCCCCAGTAGTAGTTTGTGGCAAGTTGAGCGAGAGCAAAGGCCGATGCGATAGTACCTACGTACACTCCCACCTGACCAGGTTCAACCTCTGGGAAAGTTGATGCCATATGTGGAAGATAAGGACTAATGGAGTTGAGCGCAGTTTGTTCTGCGAGGGCGATCATAGCAAGCACGGCCATTTGCCTCTTTGGCAGCGGCGAATTTGTGTCGGAAGGCTCATTGTGGTCATTTTGGTCGTGAGAACCGTCGCCCGACGATCCAGACTGGCCGGAGTTGGGACGTCCGCGGGACTTTGGGGGAGGAGTGTCGAATGTTTGGTAATGTTGCGTAGAGGATCGCCGATGGATCTGAGTAGATTCAGAGACCGTCATCGCGAGAGATGTCGAAAATCCTCGGAAGTGAGTGATGTCAAAGCGAAGAGGTATGGTAGACCTTCAACGCAGTGACTGACTGAGGCTGGTCGCCCCTCCGCGAATGACGCTGTCCCCGGATTTTTGATGTTTTGTGCCAGATCCCACAGAGGACCTCAAATATGATGTACAAAGTCACAATGACAGAGCAAAGTGTCTCCCGCAGCTCTGAGACCGTTTCAGCGGGTGAGTTAGTCGACGTGGGGTGAGGAGAAGTCAGTCTTGAAGAATGACCGCTTTGAGATCAGCGCGGCTGGAAACATGGCGGAACCGGGTTCGAGCTGTCCAGGGCTGCGTCAGGTGCTCGCCGAAAGAGATGATGTAAGCCTCGGCCCGGCGGGCACTCGAGTGAGAATGCTAAACCACAGCACAAAGAGTCTGGGCGGTGATGGCCAGCCAATGCAAATGTTCATCGAGGCTTTAAGGTTGGCGTGTAGAAATCGACCGCTTTCAAACTTGTTCAAGTGATGACCCATCCCCAAAGCCTTTAGGGATGCTATCGATCTTATACCATAGAGGAAGTCCATGTACTCAGGCCAGGGTGCGTATGGTCACGTTAGACATGGTATCATTTTCGCAGGTCTAATCCCTCTTTTAATCGCATCTGGACATCCAAAAAGTGAGTGAGAGTCCGATTATGCTTTACACGTTCCAAATTCCAGACCAATATCTCCCAAAGATGCTTGAGGTTCCTGGTCGTGCGACCGCGATCTGCACGTATGTGTCCGTGTGTCCCGCAAGATCACTGAATCGAGTCTAGTTGGCGGCCTGGACGATCAGATGCAGGTACCGAACATAATTGTCTAACTTCTATAGTCTATACTCTGCAGCGGCCGATAGGAGCATTCGGGAATTAAGTACTATACAGTGGCAGACATTAGGACATGGTCATTACTGGGGCTCCAGTTCTTCATAGTATGAATCCTTATTTAGCTGAACAGTCATACTGATGAATCTCTTGAATGGTCTCTTCAGATGTGATCTTCCCGAATTACATTGATTTCATCTTCCTAATGATCCAGCTGATACAGCAGTCTTTCCACAAATGTATCATCGTCAAACTAATACGTCCATTCTAATGGACTTCTCCTGGCCTTCGTAAGCACGCAGAACAGTCTCTCTGTCTGACAATATAAGTCTGATCAATGTATATTCGAGAGTCTCGATTTGCAGACTGCACCATATGAGTACCCAGGACGAGGAAGCTACTGCCGGCTGTATTTACGGCGGCGGTTCGAAACGTTGGGTGTACGCAATCCAAGCAAATGGGATTGATGGGCCAGGATTAATCATTTTGCTCGCGAAAAGAAGCTCCGTGGGTTTTCGAGCACTGCTGCCCGGCCGACGACTTGAAAGCCCCAGTGTAGAGTGTAGACTGTTCACTGTAGTCACACAGTTCTCAGTACATGGACAAATTTTAGTACGCCGCTAACCATCTGAACCGAACTTCCAACTGCCACAGTGCCGTGGCACGCGTGCCGGATACGGCAGTCGGAGTGGATCCACTTTTTCCCCTCGTTGACCAATTGCACATGTCAGAAAGAGCCGCAACGAAAAGTCTGCTTGATATCGCAATAACTTCGCATCCTTTACATCGGCCTGCTGGCCCAATGGCAAGGCGCTTGACTACGAATCAAGAGATTGCAGGTTCGACCCCTGCGTAGGTCAAAAATCAATTGCTCTACCAAGTGATTGTGTAATCTTTTTGCCGGTAATATTCTGACCCAAATATCGAAAAGACTAACTCCAAGCACTCTCGAGTGAGTCGAGTCTCGACAACGATAACGCTGCTTGGCGATCGCAATTTACGTGTGTTATAAATGGCTGGACTTATCGATCTTTAATGTGCGGACTGATGGTGTTATTACAGTGAGCGCATTTGATTCGACAGCAAAAGGAAGCCAGAAAAATATTTTATTCTGCCTGAGTCGCTGCAAACTAATATAACACTGCTATCACTCTGCTCGTCATATTGTCATGTCTCATTTCATCAGGAGATTCACAGCCCAAGGGACACTCAATCCTCGCAGATCACCATAGTGCTGCCCGACTCCCAGGAAGACAATGGGGATACCGGTAGCATGAACCATGCTCACCAATGTGCCGACCATGTCACCGACGGTGTCACACTTGCTGATAATGAATCCGTCCAAATTGCGTCCACTGCCAAAGGCCTGGTTGAAATTGCGGGCCTGCATGACACTGTCGGTTCCTACCAAGGCCTCCCCGACCATAAAGATCTTGTCTGGTTGAGCGAACTTGGCAAACTTCTCCAAGGAAGACATGAGGCGTTGATCATTGTGGCGGCGGCCCGCGGTATCGATCAGCACAACGTCGAACTTGTTGGCCGCACCATACGCAACTGCATCCTTTGCAACGTTGGCCGCGTCCTTCCCATAGCCCTTCTCGTAGAGCTCAACCTCTCCAACATTCTCGCGCGCACTGAGCTCCTTGAGGTTGCGGGCATGAACGCGCAATTGCTCAACCGCACCCGAGCGAAATGTATCGCAAGCAGCAATGAGAACACGGTAGTTGTTTTGCAACAAGAAAAAGCAGATTTTGCTCAAGTTGGTGGACTTTCCAACTCCGTTGACGCCAACTATAGACATGACGTACGGACGCGGGGCCTGTTGCTTCGTAGTAGGTGCGGTCACCGCATTGATTTCACGAAGAAGATCAAGTGACGAAGTTGGTGTCAGAATCTTGCGCAAAGATGCCTCCATTGCGATGCGCAGCGCAGCATCAACGCTCTGGAAGTTTGCAGTCTTCTTGCCGACGAGTTCGCGCTCAACACCTTCACAAAGACGCACGGCTGCCTCCCGAGCAACATTTTTCTTGAGAAGGTGATCTTCCATCGCCTTCAAGGGCTTTTGCAGATCGGCCTCTGTCAGAACCTTGCCGCCAACGATGTTGCGGAAGAACCCGCCGATTGCATTGAATCCAGAGCCTACAACACCCGAAAGCGCCGAGTCTTTGCCCTTTTCAGCATCGGCATTGTCCAGGATGTTGTGAACTTCATCGCCCAAATCTTTCAGGACAAATTCACCCTTCCCAGTCCGGCGGCCCATGTCGTCTTGGGAAACAGCTTCTACGACGGGCGCGTCAGCACTCGTCTGATCTGCGGGTGCAGAATAATCCAAGACGACTCCATCATCTTCGTCGGCGAAGCCATCGGCGTCCCACTTCCGCATCTTCTTTGTAGAGCTCTTTGGCGTAGACTTTCCGCCTTTCCGGGAAATTTCATCGCCGGAGGAGGCATTTGCGCTAGCGTTGGCGGCTTTTCGTGCACGGCGAGAGACGCGGCCCGCAGGCCCAGCCTTGCCGGCAAGAAGGTGACCCGTGACAGGAGTTGAGGTCCTAGAGATGTCAGGAGTCCCTGGTGGGGTAGCCTCATCAGAGATCGCCCCAGAAGGCGCGGCTTGATGCTGCGCTTGAGGCTCGTCAGCTTACGGGTCTTCAAAGAACATTCCAGATTGGGCATGTAAGTATACCTTTGATGAGGCCCGGCACAGGGGGCGGAGGTGGACCACCGTTGTCAGATGACACAAGCGCATCTTTCTTGTCGTCTGTGCCAGTAGCAAGCCCATCTGTAAAGCTGCCAGTATTATCCTCTAGTTCTCGCACTTGCTGCTCGAAGTATGCGTCGAATTTGTAGACGGAGATGCGGGCACGGTTGCCTTTGAGTTGGTCTTTGTAGACATCGATAAAGATGGTCGAAATGTTCTCCAGAAGTTTGTCGATCCAGCCAAGATGAAGTAGCGATTGATAGACGGCCTATAGTAGGAAATTTTCAGTCTTACGATTCAGAACTCGGGGACACAGTAGCCAATGCGACAGATCGCATGCGACAACTAATAACGTACCACAAATATGAGATTGAATTCCTTGATTCTCTTCCACTTCAAAGTGTACTTCTCCTTCTTGTAGACCGGAAATGCTCCACCCACTGGGCCGCTCTGAGGTACTACCTTTTCCTCGATAAAGACATCGTTGATGAGACTGTTGATAACATGTGACCCCACTGGCGCATATGACTTGGACCAGAGTACCACGCCGGAAGTGGTCAGAATCTCAAAGGCTTCCAACATGATACTGAACTCCTAGAAACGATATGACAAGGAGGAATTGAATGCGTTGAAAAGGGGGAGTTCTGGGGTCTTTCTGTGGTGGGGGAAGGAGGCGAGATCTAAGCCGGGCTGGTGGTAAAGTTCCGCTCGCGGTGGCGGACTGAGCCAAAAGGACCGACGTCGTGGAAGCTCGGAGGCAGAGCGGAGCTTGAGCCACGTTGGGACACACCTCCTCCGATTTCCCAGGCGCACTCATCCCCCACAACCACTCAACATTCGTGACGTGCTCCCTCCCTCCGCTATCAGACTCACATTTGTGCTGTCTCGACTTCAAAGCATCTCGCTCCTCTATCGAACACTCCAGCAGAGTACACCATGTACCGGGGCTCCTTTGCACCGCCGCCTGCGCAATCGCCGCCTCTCCATCACCCTGTCCCGCAACATGTGTCCACCGTGCCAATGATGCGATCACCACCTCCTCCGTCATCCCAGCAGACACCGAACGCCGGCTATGGCGGCGGGGGCAATCCATATCAGCCTTCATCTGCACAAGGAGGTGGCAGCGCTTACGAGCCCGGATTTGGTGGGTTCATGAGTGACCCTACCGCACAAATGGGATTCCAGGTCGGCCAGACCGCGATGAAGGCAGGCCAGGAATATGTCGAGCAAAACGTGTGTATTTCACATCCAGGGCCAGTCCTAGTGGTTAGAGCAGCGAGCTAATGTCACTCTTCAGTTTAATCGTTACATTTCAATCCCTGCATTGAAACATTACTTCAATGTCTCCAATTCGTATGTCTTGAGGAAAATCGCACTCGTCCTCTTCCCATGGCGACACAAACCCTGGTCACGCCAACAAGCCCGAATTTCCGGCAATGCCACTGGCCCCAATGGTCAAATCATTCAACAACAATACTCTTCCATGTTCCTGCCGCCGCGAGACGATCTCAACTCCCCTGACATGTATATTCCCGTGATGGCGCTTGTCACATACATTCTACTCTCGGTGCTACTGGCTGGATTCCGCGGAAATTTCCACCCGGAGCTCCTGGGGTCAATCACAACTACAGCTATTGCGGTCATTGTCTTCGAGATTCTGTGTCTGAAGATGGCCATGTATATCCTGAGTATCAACAACGACTCCCAGCTGCTCGATTTAGTCGCATACTCGGGCTACAAATTTGTTGGCATTATCATGACCCTGGTCGCGTCGGAAATACTTACACCTGAACGTGGTACGAGCGGTTGGGTTGGCTGGACGGTGTTCGTCTACACCTTTTTGGCGAATGCCTTTTTCCTGGTAAGTTGCATTGTCCTGTAAGGATGTTTTACGACTGGACGGATTGTTAACCAAAGGCCAATCACAGCTTCGTTCATTAAAGTACGTTCTGCTACCCGACTCGACTGACTCAGCGATGCGCAACGGTGGCATGCATACCGTTGCGCGGTCCCAACGAAACCGCCGGACTCAGTTTCTGTTTGTGTACTCGTACCTCATTCAGTTCGTCTTCATGTGGGTTCTGAGTCGTGAGGGGCCGTCTTCGGCGAAGACAAGTGTCAGCTCCTGAAACACAGGAGCGGAGAACAACACCTGGATAGCGAAATATCGCCTGACATTCTCTGAACGGGAGTCGGGAAACCGGGATGCGAGACAGCCGCGACCCGGACGATCATGCCCGAATCACGTTTCGAGGACTTTGATCAAGATCATGGCCAAAGATTTATAGTACAGCCACTCGATGGCCAAACATCAAGCCCACATGTCTAGCCTAGTGTTCAAGTCGACATTCCGTTGCATTACGCGATCGGTACAATCAACAATGACTACGTTTTATGAGGACAACACGTTCGATGTTCATGGAAAATATGTTTGTGACTTGTCATTGATAATGGTGCTAAGAAGTGACTTGAACACTAGGATGTCTTCTGATTGTTAGAAATTATTTTCAAGATGACATGATCAAAGAAAAGACAATGTGATGAAGTGGTCCTCAGAGATCTTGGTGATAAAGGTAATATCATGGCCGTAGCTCAATTACTATCTAGGCGTGATAAAGGTTTTAATCATAGGGCCGGGGGAAGTGGGCTTGGGGTGGTGGTGCTTGGAAACGAGATCGAAGAATACCAACCTTTGCTGCAGGATGTAAAGCGTCGAGGTTATGGACTGTCATTAAAAAGACGACCGGCATCGAGATGATCTGCATGTCTTCAAACAGTTAGCTGCCTTGAACGAATGTATGTTCGAGTGAAAAAAATGATTCATGAAATGGAAGCATATCAGAATATGTAAGAAATTGAATATCATACGACAGTGCTGCATAAGAGAGCTCCGGCGAGAGCCTCACAGACACCGGGTCAATCGCAAATTACCGCATCATATGAGCAAAGCAAAGGGCGTGGGGTGAGAATGGGGAAAAGACTCAAGACGTACCAGTGATTAGTTCTACATCATGGAGGGCTGCGAACGCTGCTGTCCAATTAGTAGAAAGGGCGACGGAAAGGGTGTTAAGACATTGGTCTAGAGCAGAGCATCGTTAAACTCTTGTAATAGGCCACAAGTCCAGTTGCACTGAATGGAGAAGAAAAAAAAACTTCAAGATATCCTTCCCGGCGGAACAATGTTGATGCGGGACTGGGGATATGGCTGACATAAACCAACCCTAGACCCGCCACGAGTGGCCCGCTAAGCGAGACTTGTGTGGGCACATCCGAAATTCGCAAAGCCGACTTGGACAATTCGACACTTTCGACAACAACCCCCCGACACATCCAAACCCGGTCGACCGTGAGTGCCGCTGCTGCAACCGTACGATTGAGAAGAGCACAGGAACAAACCGCTGAAACTTTTTTTTGCACATCTCAGAAATTCGCGATGGCCGATATCGACGTTAAGCTCGCTTCCTGGAAGCTGGTCGAGGTTGGCCGCCTCGTCCTGATCCGCCGAGGCCCCTTCGCTGGCAAGCTCGCTGCCATCGTCGAGATTGTTGACCACCGCCGTGTACGTTGAGCAAATCCCCAAGAACCGACAGATTGTTCGAACCGCACGCAAGCCCGGGAATATGAGGAGACCTCCAAATTCGCACGAACAATCTGGAAGAGGAGCCGTGCGATTAACCGGCGGAGTCAATGGAAATTGTTGTATTGACATGGTGGCTTTTGCAGGTCCTGGTCGACGGTCCCTCCGGCGAGGAGCAGAAGATCGTGCCCCGTCACGTTCTTCCCCTCGCTCACGCCACTCTCACCCACTTCGTTATTCCCCAACTTCCCCGTTCCGCCGGTACTGGCCCCGTCAAGAAGCTGTGGGCTAAGAACGAGATCGATGGCAAGTGGGCCAAGTCTGGCTTCGCCCAGAAGACCGAGCGCACTGAGCGCCGCAAGAACCTGACCGACTTCGAGCGCTTCAAGGTTCTGCGCCTCCGTAAGCAGGTACGTTGAACCACCTACGACCAGAGTCCGGAATCGAAGGGGTGGCAGAATACGAAGATGGGATCGGGAATCGAGCATCCATGGCCGGTATCTCGTCCACTCTTCTTTCTGCGCCAACAAAAATCGGGATTCAGTCGTTCCCATCTCCTGCGATCGCAGTGTCATTTCTAACAATTCGCGATAGGCCCGCTACGAGGTCCAGAAGTCCCACGCCAAGGTCAAGGCTGCTGCCGCCAAGTCATAAATGATTACGAGGGTTTGGTGCATAGGATGAAGGAGGTGTCCTGGGACGGGTTTTCCACAGCTGGCCATTTCCACCAGCAAAATCGCTGTACGCATTAATCGATCGACAGCAAAAATGATCCAACTGCCTTGATATCCCGGCAATGGCTTGTGTCATAGTTCTGCTCTGCGTCTAGGCCCTATCGGTCGTCCTACTTTTGATAGATCTGGGAAACTCATCTTTCTGCAAAACGGAAGAGAGGAAAATGAATTTATGTAAAAAGTGGCCAGAGCGAACAAGATCCAATATGTAAGACTGCAATGTCATATCTTCTAAACCGGTCGAAAACAGCCGATTCTGGTAAATCCAACGTTCTGCATACTATTCGATCTAGATCGACCCGCCCTCATGCACTATCCATGAATGACGATGTAGGGGGGTTTGGCCATAGTAACGGGACTTGAAGTCGTGGCTGGTGAGGGCCTCAGGGCACAGTGTGGGAATCTGGGGTGGGCAGGGAACCGCCTCGCTAACGATTTTCGGCCGACGGCCTGCCGCACACCAGCTATTGAATCTTTGACCTCACGAGCAACAAAATCCACCAGCTACCACCACAGCCTCATTTCTGTCCTCCAGGTGCGTTAATCAGCCCAAAGTTCCGCCAGAATGAACCCTTCATCTTCAAACCGTGATTTTCTGAGCTTTCTGCCGGTTTGTGGGGGTTGGGTTGGCAACCTCTGCCCGCTTGCGCCCGCCCTCCCACCATCTCACCATCCCACCACCACGTCAACCGGACGGTTCCAAACCGACCTGCGCCAGCTCCATCAGTCGACACGCCCCTTTGCGCTGAACATTGTCGTTAACTGAATTCCATTCATTGCTCATTAGATTTCCCCTCCCCCACACACACATTCACAATGGCCGACCCCCGTGTTGAAGAGCTCCCCGATGAGGAAGTCCCCAAGAACGTCGAAAGCGAGTCCGAATCCGAGGCTGGCGATGAGCCCGTCATCCCCGGCGGCGCTGCTGTCACCATCCACTCCCGTAACGAGAAGAAGGCTCGCAAGGCTATCGCCAAGCTCGGCCTGAAGCACGTCCCTGGCATCACTCGTGTCACTCTCCGCCGCCCCAAAAACGTAAGAACTCCTGTCCACGGATCTCGCCAGCATTCCGCCGCTGTACATCGAAGCAATCGTCAGCTGCAAAGATACAACATTACCTGCCGTACAAATACGCTAATGGTCTCGTTTCTTGCTATCCAGATGCTCTTCGTCGTCAACCAGCCCGACGTCTACCGTTCTCCCTCCAGCAACACCTGGATGTATGTAGCTCCCCCTCCACCCGCAATTGCATCTTCTATTTCCATTGCGCTCACGCACTAACTCACTATTCTAGCATCTTTGGTGAGGCTAAGATTGAGGACCTGAACGCCCAGGCCCAGGCTTCCGCCGCTCAGCAGCTCGCTGCCGCTGAGGCTGCTGGTGAGCACGCCGGTCACGATCACGATCACGATCACGACCACGACCACGGCAAGGGCAAGGCCCCCGAGACCGAGGCCAAGAAGGAGGAGGAAGAGGATGATGGTGAGGAGGTTGACGAGTCTGGTCTCGAGGCCAAGGACATCGAATTGGTCATGGCCCAGGCCAGCGTTTCCCGAAAGAAGGCCGTCAAGGCTCTGCGGGAGAACGACAATGATATTGTCAACTCCATCATGGCCCTCAGCATATAATGACTCTACTGCGTAGGTCATGATAGTTTGGAGAGGCTTAGAATATCACAGTTCGATGGTCTAAGTTCAGATCGAGTTGCATTATAGTGTACACAATGGAACCCCAAAAAGGATTGAACTGGACTTCATTTAAATATGCAACCCCTTTAAATTGCTCAAAAATATCCATTAGAGACGAATTGCAGTCCATAGAATCACCCAATTGACTCCTCCAATTTTCAGTAACCTTGTTGCAATATACATCCCCCGGTAGGTCTGAGATTGGTTCACAGCTATTCAACCACTCGTTGCTCGGAATCCGGACGGTCACGTGATTCACGTCTCCAAACCTTTCCGAGTCAAACTCGCCCGTCCGGCACCACCCTGTACAGCGAATCCTCACCCCTCGTTCCTCTTTCTCCAACACACCTCTCTCGTCTCGACACAATGGCAGCTGTACGTTCCCCCCCCCCCCCCCCCCCCTCCCCCGCAGTGAAGAAAGGCGCCTCATGACCGTGACTCGTGGCCGGGCCCAGATCGCGTGAACCCCAGTCCGCTAACCAAGGCTCTCTCCTCTTCTCTCCGTACGAACAGCGCAGTGCCGCTCTCAAGATCGACTGGGCGAAGGTTTCGACCTCCCTCGGCCTCCGTGGCCAGACCGCCGCCTCTCTGCAGGCCTTCAAGAAGCGCAACGACGATGCCCGCCGCAAGGTCCAGGCTCTCTCCGAGCAGCCCCAGACCGTCGACTTCTCCCACTACCGCGGTATCCTGAAGAACCAGGCCGTCATCGACGAGATCGAGAACCACTTCAAGAGCTTCAAGCCCGCTTCCTACGATGTCAGCCGTCAGCTGAAGGCCATTGATGCCTTTGAGGCCCAGGCCGTTCAGAACGCCGAGCAGACCAAGGGCAAGATCGATTCCGAGCTGGTCAACCTCCAGAAGACCTTGGAGAACATTGAGACTGCCCGTCCCTTCGAGGACCTCACTGTGGTATGTATCAAGAGAGTGGAACCCAGGAGGTGGTGCTTGCTCGGTGCGGTCGCTAACTCTTTCTTTTCACTTTCTTTTAGGACGAGGTTGCCTCTGCCCAGCCCGAGATTGATGAGAAGACCGCCTCCCTCGTCTCCAAGGGCAAGTGGATGCCGCCCGGTTACAAGGTATGTTCCAGTCCGGGGTCCGTGTTTAGGCTGAGTCTACAGAGGTTCTCACATGTTTGTCCATATAGGAGCGCTTCGGCGATCTGTCCGCCGTTTAAGCGGTTTGAATTTCTTCGATTCAATTTCGCATGTTCTCCCACGTGTCATTGCGCCGCAAGATGTATTTTTCCCATTTTCAGCATACGCCCGCCTCATCTCGGTGTGCTCACAGTCTGGCCATCGAAGCAAAGTGACTGGGTGCATGGGGTGTGTATAGAAACAAGTCCACAACCAGATCGTTTCTGCGTGTCCTTTTGTGCCAAGGCGTGCCTCTTAAGCTCGTAGTCACACTCTAGTCCCCTCGTAATTCATGAGAGTGAATGTTTGTTGAGACGCAGAGGTGAGCTCTCGAGAACGACACGTACGGATTGAACAAGCTCCCGAAACAAGAAGTGGTGAGGTGACGTCTGATTCTAGTATGCGACTGTCGAATGTTTCTCGGTACCAGTCCGATCAAATACAGTGACCGGACTGAAGGCGCTTATCAGGAGTGGTCTACATACTGAACTGATCATTGGCCGTCTATATAGGATTGTCGCGACTTGAGACGAACAAATCGAGTAATGGATGTTAAGCATCGTAGAGTATGGAAGTGCTTCGAATCGAACATGGTATCTGATCATCGGCCACTAGAGCTGGAGTTCTGCGCATTTCACCCATGCCGCCTACTCCCGCCAGACATGGCCCAGGTGAGGAAGTGTGAAACAACTCTAACAAAAGCCCGAGGCGATGCGTAGATGCCACTACAAACACGCACAGGTTACTACCTATGTATATTGAAACGGACGGAGTCTTGCATCTTGTCTGAATGTGTCGATTCAATCCGTCGAATGTGTTGCTCCTCACCTGAAACCGCCGACCCACGAGGTCACGAGGTCGTATTCGGAGGATCGCAATCTACCTCAATGGACATCACGTAGGATGATTCTCTCGTTGCTATCAAAGGCCGTGCACAGTGGTGTCAATCGACATGGTACGGGATGGATATCTGATATTTCAGACGAGCGTGGTCGAGTAGGCATGACTTTAGGTGTTGAAGGGTTTGGGAGCTTGGAGATATATACAGGCTCGCGGGGAAGGTTGCACATACCACCAAGTCACCACTGCCGCCTTCACTGGGAATCTGTGATGTGGGTTGCTCCCTGGAACCAACCCTGTTCCAAATTTATACACATATATATGTATAAAGATATAGATATATATTTTCCCCTCACGTAGCCAGAAGAATCTTCGCGAGACGCAGCTACTCAGGTCAAAGTACTTCCAGCCCTACCGACACTTGACCGTGAATTCGAAACGCCACTTGAACTTTGCATTGAATGTTTATGCCGCGAGCCCCAACCGGGGGTCATGCCAAGACATGTCAATTTACATCTGCCTTCTATCCACTTCTCCCCCCACACTGCCTCTTCTCTCTCTCTCCTATAATCTCCAGCATCAAGCAGGGTCGCCAAGCCCCCTGATTCTTGAGGCCAAACCTCAACTGAAGATTGATCGCTCAATGGCTTCGCCATGACTGACCTCTCCTCAGCATACCCGACCATCGACGATTCTGATATCCTTCGAGTGGAAAGGGAGAGTTGATCCAAGTCTGAACGACCAAGGGGCGCCACATTTACCACACCTCGAAACAAGCTAATTGCTCATCTTGAGACAAATACTACTAGAGCCACGGGATCGTTGATTTGGCTTTGACCGTGACGGGAGGCTTTGGAATTCTCTTCAAATTCATTAATCCGGGCTTGTGGAGAGTCATTTCCATTCGAGCTGGGTGACCTCATCAATTGAATGATACATACCCTATTCGAAGCCAGCTCGAGGGGCCACGCGAAAGAAATTTGTCAAACCCCGGTCATCTAGAATCTTCAAGCAGTCCAATGAATCCAGTCAGCCCGCTAGCTGCACATGTGTGCTCGTCTCGCCTCGAAGCTCTACCCGTGGAGATCATCCAAGCGATCTTCCTCCACAGCCTAGAGATCAACCTCCCGCGAGCCTCGCCATATATCGCCCGTGCGCTCTCCAAACCCATTCTGTACACCTGGCTCATCCGCCTGGCTTTCAGCAGCGCCAATGCCAGTTCACAACAGGGCTTCTTCACACCCGATTTTTTACCCCCACCGCTGGATTTCTGGAACGTGACCTGGCAATGTCGACAGCGGTTACAAACCCAAATTCTCGAGTGTCGGTGGTGCACTTGGCCCCTGATGCGGCGCTGTCAGCGCGAATATGTTGAACATGTTCTCCGGCGCAAGTGTGCGGATCTGGTCTTTACTGATGAAGCCCAGCTCGTACTGGGATCCCTGGATGCGAGCTTCAACGATCTGGAGGGTGCGGATTGGGCCCCAAGAGGATACCGCGGTAAAGGGGACCTCATTCTCCCGGCTTATCTGCCGAATGAAGACGCAGCTACTCCACCGACCGTGAACCGTAAAGTGGCTATCTGGCTCCATCTCGGAGCCGTGCAGATCAGATTTCTCAACGACGTCTTCTACGAGGACGACCTCTTCCAACTCCCCTGTGGATCCGCTCTCGGCGCCGGCCAAATCCCCGATAAATTGCTCCAGGAGCCGTGGTCCGAGGAACAGTTTCAATTTCTTCAATTGCTGTCCTCCGATTTCTACGTCGACGAGGATGGTGCCAATGCCGAACGATCCTCTCAGATCACGACGCGGTTGATTCGCAAACGCCGGCTGGATCCCTTCCACCGATTACTCCGCATGTACTTTCGCACGGGCAATTGTCGGGTCCCGTCGCGATGGCCTCTGCAGGCGTCGCACTTTGCGTTGATTCAACGATGCATGGAAGGGCCGGAGGATCCATTTGCACAGGTGGTGTGGAATGTGCGCTGGGATGATATTCCGACGTCTGCGCGCCAGGAGCTGATGCTCGCCATGACGGCGAGAGCTGAAAAGGAGTGAGGAGTGAGGAGTGAGGGGGAGATGAGACAGAGTCTCGACCATCGACTTTAGACTATCAACCGAGAGGATGTAGGGGCCGAGCTGGGTTTGGATTTTCTTGTGTTTTTTTTTTTCTTTTTCTCTTTCTTTTTCTCTTTCTTTTTCTCTTTCTTTTTCTCTTTCTTTTTCTCTTTCTTTTTCTCTTTCTTTTTCTCTTTCTTTTTCTCTTTCTTTTTCTCTTTCTTTTTCTCTTTCTTTTTCTCTTTCTTTTTCTTTTTCTTTTTCTTTTTCTTTTTTCTCTTTTCGTGATGGCTGGTACTGCCCACATCACTGGGGCCATATATTTCACGGCGTGTCTCCGCAGGTGGTCAATCCTTCGAGACATTTGCGTAAGAGGAGACCTTTGTATGATATGTAGATCATGTGCAGATTCCTCAAGTATGCAATTTCTTGATCTGCTATATATCTACGACTCTTAGGGGTCGATCGTGTCCCCGCCGAAGCTGGACCTATTTCAAATCATCTTGAGGGTTCTTTGACGAGAGACGCCACACGAACAGATTCCACTTCTACAATACAGTCTCGATTTCAAAAGTGCACTCCGGTGGGAACTTGGAAGAGAGAGAGGGGGAGAGAGCAAAATTTTCTGCAGTAAACGTGTTGTATTAATGCGCTCGTAGGGGTATGAAGCATAATCATTAAAAAAGAGAGGGAACATGCGAGAGAGAGAAAGCAAATAAACCAGGAGCCAAGACTCAAGCCTGATATCTCAAGCGCGTGTCATCCAAATCCAAAGTCAAACTCTCAACCTTCAGTCCTCAATCAGTCCAGGGAACGTCATGTGGACGATAAGAGGAAGAAGACAATAAGCCAGATCAAAAAACGAGATACCGCCCCTTCGATCAGGCGATGGAGTGGTCCTTAGACGGCAGATCTGGATCTTCTATGACGCCGGCCGGAGCAGCCCTGGCAGGTCAGGCAGGAGATGATGACATCGAAGATGGTGATGATGCCGTCGAGGATGGCGCGGAGGACGGAGCCGATGGCATTGACAATGCCCATCAGACAGCGGCCGATGGCGTGAAAGACGCTGGTAATCTGTACCGCAGCCTTAGCGGTTAGTAGGGCGGAGAGAGAGAGAGAGAGAGAGAGAGAGAGAGAGAGAGAGAGAGAGAGAGAGAGAGAGAGAGAGGAGTCGAGGGGTAGTAAGAAGGTGTTGTGGGTAGAATGATACCAGCGAGGCGATGATGGGGGACTATGGAGGAGAGTGGGTAAAGACATACGCAAGAGACAACGGCACCCATCTTTGCGGAGGGAGAGCAGTTCACGAGGTCAAGGGCGGTCAATGATGTGAAGTCGTGGATGGGAGTTGATCAATCTGTCTGTGAGGGAGGACAGAAAGAAGGAGCAAGAGAGCCCTTTTTAAGAGGATCGAGAGTTTGGCTTGGGAGGAATAATTGGGGTCGAGCTGGAAGAGGCCGTGGCGTGGAGAGAAGTATCACTGAACGGTCTCATGATGAAAGGGAAGGGAAAAAAAAAGAAGAGAAGAAAACAAGATCAGGGAAGAGGCTGACCTTTTTAACAACCCGCAAGAGGGGCCCCGGGAATGAGGACATGAAGAAATGAGATGAGATCAGAACGATGATGCACGAGAGCGATGGCCAGCTGCCGAGCAACAGCGAGAAACACGGTCTTGATTCCAACCTGGCGGGGACTAGTTTGCACTTTTGCAGGGCGTGTGGTCCGTATCCAAGGATGCAATCTAGAGTCCCACAAGCCACAGTTCGGGGGAAAGCACATCATAGAATCCCACTAAATTCAAAAGAAAAGAGAATCAGGCAACGGAGAGTGAACAGACCAGCCGCGAACGAACCCGCAGGAGGGACGGGGCTCACAGCGTGTCTGATGCACGATACGTAAGGATGGCTGAAAGAGGTGAATGATAGACACTGGCGGGGACTGTCAGGCTTGGTTTTTGTTTTGTTTTGTTTTTTTTTTTAAATTATTATTATTATTATTATTATTATTATTATTATTACTATTATTATCATTATTATTATCATTATCAATTTTTGGCGATGGCCCGTTGACGTTTCATTCTTTGTCTTTTTTTCTGGGGGGTACTTTGGTCTCTGTTTGGGGGTGACGGTAGCCCAATTCTGATTCAGGAACGAGGGTGCCTTTCCTCAAAGAGTGGATGTTGACCCCAAATATGACAGAATCATCATCTGGCAGATTCTGACAGTAGGGCTGAGGACCACTGACGTAAGTGAGCTCCAAAGAACTCCCAGAGGAGCGGACTGGCAGAGCGAGACGAGCAGGAGATGGGGTGTCAGGTGACAGGTGGCTGGTGTGGTGGAGAGGCGGATGAAACAAGCTCAGAATAGAGCGGAATGCAGTCAGGCATGCGCGACGAGCGATCATCGATGACCGAGGACTGATGACACTCGCAATACTAGTAGACTAGTAGACTAGTAGACTAGTAGACTAGTAGACTAGTAGATCAGTCGACGACCTACCGACATTGGGTAGGTAGCCAGACTAGCAGTAGCCAGACTAGCAGTAGCCAGGGGACAGTCACAAGTCCCGCAAGATGAGGGCGTAGTAAGAGCAGAGGTAGAAAGAGGCTCTGAAAGAGGAAAATGGGCTCGACTGCACTACCTGAGAGGAGCTTGCCAAGGTTCGACGACTACAGTAGTCAGTAGACTCGGTACTAACTCTGGCAAGTCCTAAGTAGTGGTGGTACCTACTACCAGTCCCTACCACCTACTACCTAGTAGTACCAGGTAGCTACTACTAACTACTCTCAGCCAGCATCAAAGCTAGTACATCATACATCATCTATAGGTAAGTACTGTATTCACAAGTATAGAATGAGTAATTCCGATTCCCCAAACATGACCTTGTGACACCTGCTCCGCGGGACCCCTACCTCTCCCATGGTGCGCTCCAACCGTCAATCAAACCCTCGGCGGGCATCTTCCCTTTCCAGCAACTTCTCTGGTACATCGCGAGAGGATCCATTTCTGGCCAGTACCTGAGCCCGTGGAGACGGTACCTCAATGCCGTGATGACGACGTCCGAGTCGGACTCGGCCCAGATTCCTTGATTTCTGCGCCACACCAGAGGAGCACGACCAGTGCCTGTCCGGTCCTCTATCCTCCATATCACTCTTGACGATTCACTCCACCATGAAACTATCCCCCTACCACGGCTCATCAACTGCCATGTCCTCTCACAAAGTCAAAATTCAACGCTCCATCTGCGACCCGTCTGCCGGTCGGACCTATCAGACGAAGAGTGGCACACCCCCGTCAATCCTCCTGCCTGCGGAAGGCAGGGCGACAAGCGGTAGCCCGTCAGAAAATTGACGCGTTCGGGATCTGGCCCCTAGACTGGACGCACCTCGTCGAGCCCCCCCGTGTGGCTCGTCGTGCTCTCGTATGCCGTTCATCATCCGAGGGCGTGCACCTGCTGGAACTCTACGGAGTTGCAAACCGTGTGTGTCGAGCTTGATCTCGCCAAACTTGATTATCCTGGACTACCTTCCCCCGAAACGGTAGCACAAGCATCAGATAGGTCAAAAGGAATACACGCGCTCCCCAGGTACATACGGTAGACTCTGGAAAAAGTATCCCCCATGACTGCATCTCCCGCAGACGTTGGCTGCAAAGATCCCAATGTGGCTGAAGCCCAGATTGGCCTCACTGGGATCGGCAACAAACTGACATCATTCCGGGCTCAACGGGCGGTCCAGAGTAAGCTAAGCCCCATCAGGTCATCGGCCCTGATATCGCACGTGATGATACTCTGTGCCCCCAGCAATGTGGCTGGTGCCCCCAGCGGGTCCCTTACCCGCCAATCAACATCGCGTGGAAAAAAAATGAAAAAGATCCGCGCGGCAGTGCCAAGCCCTCCTCGTATTGAATGTGTGCAATCCCGAACTTTCCTCTGGTCACATCGATATTATTATTGTCGTTGTCAGAGCCATCCCACATCATCAGGCATGGAGTCCCTCCTCACAGTGAAGTGATGGAGGACAGGTACTCTGAAAGCTTCCCTTGGGCGGTGATCTGAGATGGGGCTTGCCAACATGGGCAACGATGCCCCCCAGAGTCGGCGGGGGGTCGCTGGCAGAGATGCATCGGCGCTGAACATCCGACCTTCGACTCGCACAACACCTGCATCAACCACCAAAACCTCCCAACCAAGGATCACAAAACATGCAGCGTCTTCGTCCAAGAAGATGCGACGTCCTGGGCGTCCTTTCAAGATGCCCAAGCAAGATCTCCCCTCCCCACGAGCGTCCCAGGAAATGCTCGCTGCCTCAGACATTGACGTCTCCCAGACCTCAGTGACCCCGGAAGTCGCACCCCCGCATGCCGCACCCACCCCGCGCTCCTTGTCGTTGCTCGAAGCATTGCCAGTCGAGGTAATCGAGAAGATTTTCCTGTACTCGCTGAACCTGAATCTCCCGCGCGCCTCATCCGTCCTGGCCGCCGCACTGTCCCGCGATCGGGTTTACAGTCTCCTCACGATCCTCGCCTTCTGGGATGACTCGTCGACCCACCCTCGCAGTGAAGCAATGGATCGCATCCTCGCTCCCCTGGACTATACTCCCCTCACCCTGAATGAGCGGGGTCAATTACAGCAAGCCGTCTTCCGGTGTCGATGGTGTACGATGGAGCGCATACGTGACCAAGTTCCGACCATCATGATTCTCACGATCCATCGTCAATGGCTCAACATGGGGGTGGAGATGGATGAAGAGACACAGCGCAATTTGGACCGATTCGTGAATCGACACGACGATACAGTCACGAGCTTCCGAGGACGAAAACACCCCCTCGAAGCCCCGGCGCTCACAAGTCATCCCGAAATGTTCTCCGGTCCACACAATTACCGACTCGTGGTTCACCCCATGACGATGATCGAGATCCGCTCGGAGACCTTGCAAACTGCCAAGTACTGGCCTGCTCTGTCAATCCTGAGGTTCCCCAATCATATCCTCCGAGGACGCTTGACAGGATTTACCGCGGATGACGTGATGTTCCTCGAAATGCTTCGAATGTGCTCGTACAACTTCGTTCCGCGTGCATGGCAGGACGTGCCCGCGACCATTACAACACTCAATCGCACCGTGCTCCACCAGGGGGTCCGCAAAGCGATCCTGACCCAAAATTACAATGCGCTGGTCTCTCTTCTCAAATTAGACGAGTTCGTCTTCCGCTGCCACGAGTCCCGCCGAGACAAACTCGTCCAGTACACCATTCCACCAGATCACTTTGTAGCGGCGACGCGAGTCGGCCGGGACAACCCACAGTTGAACGTGGCCTTTTTCGAGGCGCTGGTGCGTGCGAGCGCAGAGTCCGTCCCCGCCGATTCCTCCGAGATACTGCGGTGGATCATGGAGAATACGCGTCTTGCCCGGCGTGATCCATCGGCCTACCATGAGGTAAACGGCCGGTTCGCTGGGTGGTTGGCAGATTTTGTGCTCCGTTTGCCTGGGCTAATGGAACACACGGCTGCAGTTCCGGAAGCGCAATTGTTCCTGTTTGGGCAATTGGAGGGAAGACCCGTGGAAGTGTGCCGGTTCATTGAGGAGGTTCTTGCGCCCAGCCGTGAACCTTTTCTTAATTGGACACCCGAATCCCAATTCAGTGTTGACGGGTGGTGGGTGAAGATGGATCAACAGACGATCTCTTGAACATCATGAACAAGTGAATGTTGCGATTTTCTTGATGAACTTGCACGGTACGATTTGATGGCGGGTTTTTTGTGCCTTCGGCGTTTACACGGGAACCTCAACGTGTGCAATTTGACTTTCTCTATTGCTGACATAGACTATACCCCTCCCACATTATTCCTGAGACGACAGTCTTCCGTCACGTCCAAAGTTCGACCCTTCAGACAAGCTATTGTCTCCTTGTGTGCTTGTACAAACTCATGACAGACGACGTTCGAAGACGGTTCATTAAATTATACATTCTGTACAGTGTACACTGGTCATTCTCTCCGATTGACCTTGTGGCTCGTGCCCTGATGGTCTCGCAACGTAGCTGAATCTTTCCAACAACTCAGCCATCAGCTCGAGTCACCAGATCTGCTTCATCCGTCGTCATAAGACAGCAATGAGCCAATTTTCGCCCTCTCCCTTGTCTTCCTCCAATCTTTTAAATATTTCTCAACAACCGCAGAAGACCAGCAATCCGCCCACCGAGAGTAATCTGATACCCCGTCTCATTAATCCCCTTACACATCTCCCAAGCAGATGGCCCATCTGTGGCCCCCGCCCGACCCTCCCGTTTCTGAATCGGATAGTCCACGCGCGGCGGAATCGCCGTCCCCACGACCTTGGGGAACCTGTCCAGACAGAGAGCCTTGGTATTACACAGACTGCGCAGGCCCTCTTCGCCCGCGAACCGACCGTATCCCGACCCCTTGACGCCGCCAAAGGGCAATTGCACGACGTAGTAGGCTCCGAAATCATTCACGGCCACCATGCCGGCGTTGATGCCGCGCACGCAGGCGTTGACGTCGCGCGGGTTATGGCCGAAGACGCTGGCGCCGAGAGAGTACAGGGTGGAGTTGGCGATGGAAATGGCGTCGTGGGTGGTTTCGGCGCGCATGAGCAGGAAGACGGGGGCGAAGAGTTCTTCCTGGGCGATGCGCATGGAGGGCGTGACATCCACGAGGAGGGTTGGCGTGAAGTAGTGGCCGTGTGGGTATTGAGGGTGGTGGTGTCGCTTGCCGCCTGCGAGGAGTCGAGCGCCTTGGCCGACGGCTTCGGCGATGAGACCTTCCAGTTTATCAAAGGAGGTAGGGGAGATCATGGCGCCCATGTCGGGTGTGCAGGTGGTCTCGTTGGGGGTGTCGAGGAGGATGGAGCCGAGTCGGAGAGCGCGGATTCGAGGCGTCACCATTTCGACGAGTTTGTCGTAGATTCCGGGAAGAGCGATGACTCGCTCGATGCCGATGCAGTTTTGGCCGGCCGATTGGAAGACACCGCGCATGAGAATGGATGCAATGGTAGGTAGATTGCGGACTGTGCGGGCGTCGTCGAGAATCACAGAGGGATCTTTACCACCCAGTTCAACGCAGACTGGAATAAGAGACCTGGCGGCTGATGCACAGACTTTGTGCGCCACGGGTCGCGAGCCGATGAAGGTGATGTGAGCAATGTCCGGGTGCGAGGTAAGCTTGTCGGCGACAGCGGGCAGGCAGACAACAGTCTGCACGAGATCTCTCGAGTGGCCGCAGCTCGACAGCGCGCCTCGCACAATATCCAGGAAGAACGCGGTCGACCAGGCCGTCTGCTCAGAGGGCTTGACAACAATTGAATTTCCAGCGAACAATGCGCTGATGATGGGCCCGATAAAATTGTGGAATGGATAGTTCCACGACACAGCGGCAGCCACCACGCCGAGCGGTTCATAAGTGACAAGATTATTCTTGTACATCATTAACAAGTTGGTCGGCCGACGTGAAGTCAGCAAAGCCTTTTCTCCATGATCAATTGTCCACTTCAGCTTTTCCACCGTGACAAGAATCTCGCCAAATGAGGCATCCACTTTGGTCTTTCCGGAGTCGAGGCAGCATGCGGTAACGATGTCGTCTTGGTGATCGAGGACATATCTGGTAGGAGAGGTTTCCTCAGTAAGACAAAAGTCCGGATATGGAACAGACATGGCTAGTCGAATAATTAAACAGACTCACTTCAACAATGTCCGAAGAACTTGTCTGCGCTGCGCAAACGTCGTCGTGGCCCATTCGCCCTGAGCAACCTTCGCAGCCTTCACGGCATTCTCGACATCCTCCGGTGTAGCTGGCTTGATGCCATTACCGAGCACACGTCCATCAGCAGGGCAATAGCTCATAATAAGCTTGTCACTCCAGACCTAAGATTGCATGATCATCACATTAGTCCCAATTCTCGTAACCCAAAACATCTCGTAGCAATGCACTGCGCGACAACAGAGACTCACCCCTCGAACCTGGTCATCCAGAACACGCTTTTCCATTCCGCCGACCGTCTCCCATTGCTTTCCCTCTGTGCAATTGCGCACCTCAACTGGAATAGGCACATTGAAGCTCACAGCAGCTTCCTTGACGCTCAGATGCCAAAGGTACCCCACATAACCCGCGATTAAGGAGATCGCGGCAATGCCCGCCCACTGGGCGTGTTCAGGGCTGATTTGGAGGCCATTGGCTTCGAGAAAATTCGCCAACGAGGGTGAAAGGTATGGCCAGAGCTGGTCCATCATTGTAGGGTGTGAGGAAGCCAAACGGGGCGTGGCCCTGGGGGTCGTGGTGGAGGGAGTTAAGAAGCTCCGCGACTAGGGGATGTTTTTGGGGGAGGAGACTACCTTACGATAAACTGATAAGGTCACTATCAGCCATCACGGTCAGCCATCGTTATCGTGGCTCGTACATTGCAGGATGATCGAGTCACCAAAGGAGCCTGAACAAAGTCCAAATGTAGCATCTCAGCCTTTCTGTGGTTCACTCTGGGTGTTGTCTTTCATGACAACAATCGATTCAATACGAGCTACCCCTATCTAAACAAAGTATACTGTCCCTACTATTAGTCAAACATAGTTAATTACATCGGACATCTTTTGGAATAACGAGGCAGACGACATTGCAACATCCGTCGTAATATTCGTGGCATGTAGCAAAATAAACTCAGCAATACTTGAATATCGGTTACTGACGATGGCCTTGGCGTCTCGTTGAGCCGTGTAGTATAAACGAAATGGAAAAAGATAAATGCTGCACTTGACCCCAAATCTGCAATACCGTCAAACCTTGATTGATAACGCCTAAACCAGAGGAAAAGATCAGTACAAACCATACGAACGCCAGAGCTGAATAAGTATGCAAGTAAGTAGTGGGTACACTGGGTAGTAGGCCATCTGTTGGGTTCAGTAAATTCAATCATATCCAGCAATGATGATAGCAAAGGTGGCCAATTGAGCCGCATTCATGCGCCAAGCATGCGCGCCTCGTAAAAGCAAATGCCACAGTTGACACCAAAAACTGTGGTCGCAACGAATTTCAAAACTCGGGTCAATAATGCATGGAGGGCGACCAAGAGATATGCTAGAAAATGATCGCCAGGACACCAAACCTGAGTATTGATCCATGCATATAGGGAAGTAGTGCGTACTGTGAAGTTGTCCGTTGATGAACTCATTCAGGCGCGTTTCAACAACCGCAGAGACCTGCGTGTAGGAGTAGCAGACGGCTTGGCCTTAGCAGACTTGGATCGTGCAGCTCGCTTTTTGGGTCGAGATGAGACTTGAACGCTTTCGCGTCTGCGCTTCAAAGTCTTCGACTGTTTCTGTTGACCTTGACCAGTAGCCTGCTCTTCCGATCCGTCAATATCCATGTTATTGGCAGATGAACTCTCGACTCCGTCCATCTCCTCGCCAATGGAGTCCGCTGACTCTGACAAATGGATTGACGGACGCGCCTTTCCGCTTCCAGTCATCTTGGACCGAGAGGCCTGTTTAGCCTTCGCCGTTGTTTTGGCGGCTCGTACACTCTTTGAGAGAGTTTTCGTCGCACGAGTCTGCTCTGCAGGAGCTTTGTTTGTGGGCCCCTTCTTGACTCGCGAGCGAGGTGTTTCCCCAACCTTTCTACCCGTTCGCTTAACAAAGTCCTCAATAACACAACCTTCACCCCAATCTGCACTTGACGGGCTGGTAATTGCGCGACAGCGTGGGCATTGTTTGCCATGCTTGATGAGTAATTGATGTAGCGAGTATTTTAGGTCATCAGGGATTCTAGCGTCCAAATGGCTGAAGGCTGTGATCTCATTGGCGTTTGGTGGTACCCAACCCAGCCACTTGCAGATACGGAAGATGTGTGTATCAACCGCAAAGCATGGACGCTGGAGACAGAAAAGCAGGACACAGGCTGCAGTCTTAGGCCCAATACCGGGGTACTTGATTAGAGCCTTCAAAGCCTCAGGTGTCTCGTATTTGTGGAGATATTGCAGGTTTAGGAAATGTTCATTGACACTGGCAATGTCATAGTCCTTCACGTCTGCAGCCTCCAAGGACGAAGTCGGGGCTTCCTCTTGTGACATTGGCGTATCTTCAGTGTCGTGGCGATGCTTGCGCTCTTGGTTTTCTTCATAAACCTGATCAAGGATAGCCTTCAAGTTCTTGCTTTTAACGTCTGCCAGTCCCCCACTCTCAATTGCTTTGAACACAGTCTTGAGTGGCGCTTTACGGACCGCATCCCAGTTCACGCTTCCCTTGCCAATGCCTTCCTTGAGCGTACCGAACCGCTGTACCAGCCCACTGAAAGCCCGAGCAGAGTTAGTTCCTGTCGTCGCGCCACTGAGCAGCGTGCGAATCAATGCATCCAGTACCGATGGCACCTCACCACAACCAGTGATAGTCAGTGATGGCTCTGGGATGTTTTTGGGTGCTATGACTTTGCCATGAGTCTGTGAAAGCAAATCGTTCACTCTGCGACAGGCCTCTGGGGTGGGATCTTTGAAGTCCGGAAACGGAGTTTTTCCAGGTGTTAAGCCATATCCAGACTTTTTTGCCTTCTTCTTTGGCCCATCCGTTTCTTGATTGAGAGGTGCTTGGGAAATTGAAGTGTCAGGCTTTCTTTTGGCACCCCTAGCCGCTTCACGGGACCCAGTTTTGTCATCAGATTGAGACTGAGCATCCTCCGGGACTCCACCAAATGGGGTGCTGTTTGCCGCTAATGCTGGGGGAATCGAAAGATTGCCTAGGTTATGAGGAAGTTCTTCAAGAACGTGCTCACCCTGGTCTTTGGTGGTAGACTTGAACTGATCTACAACAGGCGCGTCGTCTGCGTGTTCGAGATCTTCTTTGGCCTCTTCAGGGACATCCGTTTCATCCTTGATGCCATTCGGATGAGCAGAGGGTGGAGCGGCTAGTGGCCCAGCAAGACCAGGAGAAAGCTGCGAGTGGGTTTGATGATTGCCGGAATGGACAACGTTCTTTTGAGTACTCGTGTCAGATGGGACAGCAGAAGCTGGGGAGACGCTGCCCTTTCCGGGCGATGATGACACCTTTTCAGGACTGCCAAGAGAGATGCCCGAATCGCCCTCTGTAGGTGATAGCTCTGGAGGAGATGGTTTCAGGGGCTGTCTATTTTTCTTCGACTAGGGGCTCGACTTACCTGTGTTCTTCGATTCGCAGTTACGGCCTGTCTCATCATATCCGGAAAGCCGAGAAGACATTCTTCTTAGCTTGGGACGAGATAGTCGGAATGAGATGTTGAACATAAGAAGTCGAGATCTTGCAAAGCAAATTGATCGAAAGCGGCCCTTTTTTGGCGCTCCCGTGCGCTTTCGTGGCACAGCTGGGGGGACTAGGTATGCTTGAAACTGTGATCGCCTTCCTAATTTTGCCGTAGAGTTCTCTCACAGCGTCAGTAAAGAATCAAAATTTGAAGACAGAGTTGTGGCAATGTAGAAGAAGATCGAGAGGTCAAGCTGGAAAAAGCAAGAGTTATCAACTTGACGTTCGAACTGGCCGGACAAGTTCTGGATGATCCCCAGATCTCGATCGGGAATGTAGTTGACAGGAATGACGTCAACTGACCTTTTCCCTGAATAGGCGCAAAAGAGGCTGGGCTGATGGTGTGATTAAACCCAGAAGCGCTGTATAGGATGAAACTCTTCTTTGTATTGACGAACCGATCAATGCGGTGGGTTGGTAAGGGTAGGGCAAGGCAAGTGAGACGAAAGTCAGCTTACCGGAAAGGGTACTCGTCGTCGATCCCGTGATCCGTCACTTCGTTGACGGCCATTCGCAGATGAGCGATTTGGAACAGGACAAGACTATTCTGAGGGTTCATAAAGTAGTCGATACGATAGGACAGAAAGGGCAGGATTAGTCAAGTGAGGTGAATATCGACGTGATGAGTGGGGACTACGTCTTCGATCCTGTGATTGTTCATTTTGTAGAAAACCATCCGTACCTCCGACGGGCCTGAAACTGCATCGAAAGTCAAAGAAAGTGCAAGAATTGAAACTCATTTCCTAGGGACAAAAATATCTTGGAAAACAACAAGCTGACAAAGGACCATACAGAGAACATGATTTTCATGACTGCTGGGATTTGGGTATCAAGTGCAGAAAAACACGCGCCAACGACAAGATTGAATCGTCACAGAGATGACTTGAATTCAGGTGGTATCAAAATTGGATCCTGATGTAGCTCAGGTATCATGGCTATTGAACACATGAGAAAAATGCGTCAAGACATCACCGTCTACATCACAGAAGAAGATCGTCCGCTGGTCTAAGAATATGTGCCGCCAAATGAACTCCTTGACTCCAGACGCAGCTCCATGAAATGAAGAAAGATAAAACAAATGTTGTCAAAATAGACACAAGAAAAAGAGAAAAAAAATGCCTTGACAAAGTTCAAGACTTGAGAGTTCAAGGATGATCGCCGATGTTGTGGATGCTGATGTCCATGCGATCATCGACCTTGTGGGGGGCCTCGTTCGGAGACGACTTCGCGATCGGTTCGGGAGATTCGGCGGGAATAATCTTGCCGTTGGTGTCCATGACTACACCATGCGCAGCAATTTGAAAGTCAGCCATGCTCGCTGTGCCATGAGCAACGGCCTCCTTAGCCTTGTCCACAGCCTTGATCTTGCGACCTTCACCACGTAACTGCTCGAGGTGCTCGAAGTAGCCCTGGCGCACAGGTGTCACGTAGCGACCACAGAACACGCCGACCTCGAAATTGACAGGCTCAGTTTGGCCATTCTCCCGGGCAATCTCAGCGCACGACTCTTTCAAGTCATCGAGAGTCTGGAAGATGACACTTTCGGCACCGATGTGGCGGGCGATGCTGGCAGAATCGCGGTTGTGAGCCACCAGCTCCTGCGGGGAAGCAAGATCGATACCGTAAATGTGAGCATGTGTGATTTCGGGGGCACAACTGGCTAGATAGACCTTCTTGGCGCCAGCCTCTCGAGCCATATTGATGATTTCACGACTTGTGGTTCCACGAACGATGCTGTCATCAACCAGCAGAACATTGCGGTCCTTGAACTCCTGTTTCATGGCATTTAATTTCCGGCGGACTCCCTTTTGCCGGGTCTTCTGCTCTGGCATGATAAATGTGCGGAAGACGTAGCGATTCTTCACGAATCCCTGGCAATATGGCTTGTCCAGATACTGAGCGACGTGAGTAGCGGAGGTCGTTGACGTTTCGGGCACAGGGATGACAACGTCAATCTCCTTGACAGCTTCGGGGCCCAAGACATCGAGAATGCGGGCACCAAGCTTGTCGCCCATGCGCTGCCGGCTGCGGTACACGCTGATACCGTCGATGACGGAGTCAGGGCGGGCAAAGTAGACATACTCGAAGATGTCAGGGGCATAATCGCGCTTGGGTGCGACCTGGCGGAAGACAGGCTCACCTCCCTTCTCGATGATGACGGCTTCACCAGGCTGGATATCCCGGTGATTGGAAAATCCGAGTTGGTCCAGGGCAACGGACTCTGAAGCCATCATGTAATCGGTGCCTTCGCCGTCAAGAGAGGGACGAGAGCCCAGCACCAGAGGGCGAATGCCGTAGCTGTCACGGAAGCCAAGGATGCCAAACCCTAGGTGGAACAAATAATGTAAGCACTGGCTTCAACTAAAGAGGGAACAGTCTATGCCTTTCAGACTACTCACCAGCAAGCATGGCAGTGCATGCCCAGCCACCTTCACAGCGCTCGTACATGCGGGTCAGAGAGGAGAAGACATCCTCTTTGTTGACACGAGCCTTCTTGGTCTCGCTCAGCTCGTCCGCAAAGATGTTGAGCATCAACTCACTGTCACTATCGGTGTTGATGTGACGGTGAGCCTCCAGGTCAAGGTAGCGCTTAAGTTCTGGCGCATTGATGAGGTTGCCGTTGTGCGCCAAGCAAATACCGTAGGGGCTGTTGACATAGAACGGCTGGGCCTCAGCGTTGGCACTGCTTCCAGCGGTAGGATAACGAAGATGGCCAATTCCCATAGATCCAGGGAGATTGGCTACTTTGGCACCATCATGGAAGACCTTAGCTGCCATGCCGTTGGCCTTCAATTGGTAGATCCTACCGCCAGACGCACAAGTTGCAATTCCAGCTGCATCTTGCCCACGATCTGTTGTTACACAGCAACGGTATTAGTTTGTGTGCCTTCGCATACGGGGCCATCTTCCACTAATGCGTCAATGTACTACTTACGTTGCAGTAGATAAAGAGCCTCATGGAGGTCCACAGCAGCCGCGCCAGAGGGGTTGGCCAGGATCTGAGCAATAATTCCACACATTGTGAGGCGAGGCTAGCTTCCTTTGATTGAGTAAAACGAGCAGAAGTTAGTGAAACAGTCGAAATTGTGAGGTAACCAAAACGAAAGTTGAAAGTGAGTCTCAAGTCAGGATTGGAGGTTCTCCGCAACAAAAAGTTAGGAAGTCTAACATCTATAAAAAAATTCCATAGTTCATCATAGAGACGAGGGCTGTAGTGAAGGAGCGCCGATGTCACTTACCAGGACCGTGTTGAATGAGTGTTAACGGGGAGTGAAGCTCATCGATGACCCCCAGAAACGGAGAGAAGAGACGGGGATGAAAATCTCCATGGTGGCATTTCAATCCAGTGTGGTTCCTTCCCCACTGAATTTTTTTTCTTCGTTCTTGCCGACCCGGCACCCGGGATGAGTCAGCTGACCCAGACAAACCGCTTCGGCTCCCCAGCGGAGAGCCAGTTATAAGCCCGTAATGACGGAATGGACCCTCCCGCATTAGCAGTAAAGAGGTTCTTTGGGAGACGTGTGATGGCGGGGTTAAAGGCGGTCACAGAGGCGGTGGAGACTCACAGGCCACCTGCTTTTTCCAACTCTCAACAGGCCTATGCCCTATCTCAGTCACTCAATAGGTATTGACATTTTTTTGACCTGCAGTAGTTACATTGTAATGTTCACTGAGTACAGGAAGCTGGTGGAGTGAAGTCAGTGGCGAATGCAATATCTGCTCGCAAAAGAACTGACAGTCCATTAATGCAGTCAAGCACTACTTTTTACCACCTGAAAAGACAGGCCGATATCGCTTACCCACCTACTATCTTGTTCACCGGCCACTTATTGACATCACACTCTGATTGTCCAGTGCCGTCACCCGCCAGACTCGCTCAAAGAGAACTCTGGATATATCGCGAAAAATTCTACTCTATGCCCGTCAGTGTATAATAAACCTGAATGATTGGGCCCGACTCTCTACCAAGGTAGTAAGTGTTGAGCGGCCACGATACTTACTCAGAGTCAGACACTCAGCTTCACCTTAGCGAGACCTAATCTGGCCCTTCCTAACAACTCCCACTCTCTTTGAGTATGCTATATTGATGTTGAGTCCTTGATAGGCATCTTTAGACAGTATGTTACTTGCATGATGCATAGTGACAGTACCTTCCTGAGCTTTATGTCCTGCCATGCTAATGGAATCCCGAGGCTGAGATCTTCGCTTCTTTGAATGCTGTTTGATGCAAACATAAAATTTCAGGGCGCACAAATAGTGAATAAGAGAGTCATCCTCGTGTTATCATCCTGCGCTTCCTGAGAGATTGAGTTTTCAAGGTAGGGTCAGAGCTAGGCATGTGTCAACTTGTGGCAGTCACATAAAAGGACATCCGATTTGATGCTTAGATAGTCTCTAGTACAGACCGATGGCCTGTCTACAGTCATCTGGATGAATCCTTGCCAAAGCCAACAATGCTCAATCTTTGATTCAAGAGTATCTTCATGCCTGAAAGACTGATGGTATGTGCTATACAACCAGGCCCGCCGGATTATGCATTGAAGGTAGGCATGCACGTAGGAGGTTTATTGAAAATAGAGCCTCGACAGTAGAAACTGTACCGCCCCGACTGAGCTAGTATCAGCTTTAATGCCCATCCATGGATACCCAGAGTCTTAAATCTTGACAGGTACATCAAAGGGGACATCATGAAACAAGCTCAGCAATCATGTTGTGATGGTATGCGCCCGACCTGATAATCTATCTGCCCTGGTCGGTTGGAAACATGCATGCCAACCACAGTGTGCCTTCATGATCTCGCTTTCCTGATCTCAAAAATATTGCTGTTCTCAATTTTAGCGTCATATTGGCTGCCTCGAAGTAGATCATTTAGACCATCAAGATTGAAATTTCCATCTTCACAGATCTGTCTCTCCATATACATCTGGGGTTGATATTAGATGGTTTCTCGCATAGAGCTCTGGTCCGAGTTTTCGCCCTCTGATGACCTTCCTCGGGGAACAAAGAAAGTTGCAAGGTCATAAAAAGTCAACCAAATGTCGCTCGTTTTGTTGCTTCCTTAAATCCCTTCCAGAAACTAGATATCAAGTCTCTTCTACAACCCTTTTCTGAAACGCCTCTAGCGCTCTAACCCGTCTTTTTCCGAATACCCATATTACTCAACCTCAGTCCTTTGCTTCTCTTTAAAACATATTCAGAGTCTGATGAAAGAAACGTTGGTCTCTCACGATAATCAGATAGAAATCTCACGAGAGTCCCACCAGACTTGCACCAAACTGTCCCAAAAACCCTATCGGAGAATCTCCCCGGAAATCTCCACGAGGACCTCTGATTTTGATAGATCAGGCGAGCTTCAGAGAGTTCTGCAATGCTGTTGCTGGAATGGAAGTCGAATGCCGACTTCGACTTGATCGACAATGGCCAGAAACCTCAATGCCAAAGGCTGCCAATGTCAACTGACACCGAACATCAAGAAATGAGCTCCCAAATTCTCATTGACCGCTCTCAATATAAAGAGGCGAGCTGTCATATATCTACTGACTGCGCTCAGCATCAAGACGCAAGCGTTGAAGTAGCCATTGCTCCGGCATCGCGAATCATAGGGCTCTCAGACCCCGAATGGCCAGACGATGAAATTGGACACGGAGGTCGAAAGTCGGCCATTTTTGCTCCAGGTTCTTGGCCTATTTCATTTAGACGTGTGAGTAAATCACATATTCATAGACACAGTCGTCAGCCGTCGGGAAGAAATCGACAGCTAGAGCTGGCCGGCGATGTGCCCCGAGACGCCCAGATTGTCGTCTCTCTCATTCACTCACCTCACTTCAAAATGAATTTGTCGCATGCGAATCCCCTCAAGGATGGGAATATGCGCAAGGCAATTGACAAACGCCCCCGGTTCATTTCAAAGGATTCTTGGCGAAAATCGCAAGGTGAAGTCATTCCGTCATTTGAATCCGTGAGACATCTTTTCAACACCGGAAAAGATGATACCAATTGGACTCCCTCGTCCCGGGCGCCCAATGAGGGCACCGAGGGAACATTGACTGGGTCTTCGAATGATAATCCGGTGGTTGTTTTCGAGGAAGATGAACCGTGTATCACTGTCGATGAACCCCGACGGGCCGTAGGCAGCTTCGTTACTAGCACAACGGGTTCTTCGACGATGACAATTCCCATAAATGAGGATGGAGAAGCGAGCAACGAAAACCAAGACGCACGGAGAGTCTCGATTTCTACAAGACTCCTGCGAGGACCTGTTGGGTCTCCACGCCGCGGTCATGCGATCGAGCTTGCCGATGTGGAACACAATGGACAGACGATCAAGAAAAGTTCAACTGTGAAGCTCGAGAACGGAATGTGGCTACGTGTCGAGAAAATTAAACGCCGACAAGGTCAGGTTTTCCTTTGGGGCCGACAATTAGTCGGCTGCAAAGATAGCCAATGGCCCAATTTCATCCCGAAGAACAGGCATGAACTGGTCTGGTTGCCCTGCATGGACCACGAAACGGACCTGGAGAGTATCGAGACACATCTGCCTGTTTCACTATGGGAAGTGAGGGGGCTTTGCCAGGTGATTTTTACGAATGAGCGTCGACCCCCAAACTCACGATACTTGTCCACTGCCGGTCTCTTTTGTCGGCTGAAGGTTACAGCAAGAAAGCGACCTACTATCTCCAATCACGGCAGCCGCGGTCTGGCAGTTTGCAACTACCAATTCGACACGAGTGTCGAGTACTTGGCCAAAGATGAGTGTGACGAGGGATATGGTCTCGAGACTTGGGTACTGCGTGATTTGTATCGTGGCTGTGAGACAATCCCATTTGGGGAGGGTCCGAAGCGCTATACTCACCATGACGCGCAGAACGAAGGCGATCAGCCCGTCCTTGATCTTACGGTCGAGCCCACAGGATACGTCTTCGGAGATGCTTATTGCGGTGCTGGCGGAGCCTCCTGTGGTGCCCAGCAAGCAGGCGTGCACATTAAGTGGGCCATTGACATGAATGAGAGCGCGGTCGAAACGTACCGGATGAACTTTCAGGATGCCATTGTCCACCAGAGCTCGTTCGAATGGTTCCTTCTGAACCCCGAGGATGAACTGCGGTGTGATCTTGCTCATTGTTCGCCGCCGTGTCAACCTTTTTCGCCCGCTCACACGGTCAACTGCGAGCGCGACGAGCCCAATTCTGCCTGTATCTTTAGTGCTCGGAACATCATCGAAAAGTCCCACCCGCGCGTCATTACCATGGAAGAGACAGCCGGTTTGATGGAGCGACACAAGGAAACATTATGTCGGATCATCATGGATATGGTCGAGATGGGTTACTCGACTCGCTGGGCGATCATTGATGTCCTGCATTACGGCGTACCGCAGACACGGAAAAGACTGATTCTCCTCGCAGCAGGGTAAGTTTCGTGCAATAACATGTTGCCTCCTCCTTGATCTATTATGACACCTTCGAGGTACGAAATCGTGCCACTAACCCGAGATGTTGTAGCCCGGGTGAGACTCTTCCCCCCTTCCCCGCCATTACTCATGATCTTCCGGGCAGCGGTTGCAAGGCAGTCTTGACCATCCAAGATGCCATCAGCAATATCCCCGATGATACCCCCAATCACGACGTCCAAGGGTTGCTGAGAAAGTGGGCTCTGGAACATTATGAACCCTATGATGCTCGGATCCCTGCCAAGACCCTGACTTGCAGTGGAGGCGAAGCCAACTACCATCCCTCCGGGAAGCGCAAGTTTACCGAGCGGGAGGTTGCGTGTTTGCAAACCTTCCCACTCGATTTCAAATTCTCTCAAATTGGTGTGCGCAAGCAGATTGGCAATGCCGTTCCACCGGCTTTAGCTCGGGTTCTGTACCAGGAGATCATTGCCTCACTTCGGGCAACGGACATGCGGGAGCAGGAGCTTCGAAGAGACGAAGCTGCCGAATGAGTACATCGGATGAGGATGATAGGAAACGAAAGTTCTTTTTCGGTACAGTACGTCCCAGTTTCCCTTGTCACACACATTGTGGTTTGTTCCTAGAGGTACCGCAGAGGAGCATAACTTGGACTTGGAAGAAAGTTGACACTCTACCCAGCAGCATCGGAATGGAATTTGCTTTTGAGTTCATTTCGCTCCTGGCAGCCAACGCACGTGATATACCGCGAATTTGCGTCATGTATCAGTTGAGGATTTCGAAGGCCACGAACAGATGGTAGCATGGCAATCAGATTGACAGGATGAATCATCTGGGGTTCAAAGATGTTTGAATCTGTGTCCGTGTGGTCGAGGGGCTGACAACACCCGTGTTTCTTTTCATACGGTATCTTGCGACTGTCGTTGTGTATGGGTGACTTTCATAACGTACCACATGAGATAGGGTTGCGAGTCTCCAAATGGGCCACTTTTCGTATTAGTTTGCTTGTGATAGGTCACAGTTTCCCATTCTTACCGTGCATGTCACATCTCACTAGAGTTTTGATGTTGTCGCCTGGCAGTAGGTGTGCGCGCTGGCAGTAATTGCATAGAATCGTGAAGTACCTAGCTTCCACCGCAGCTATGATTAGTTAGATCTCGTCAAAGCGGTCTACGAGTACGATCACCACATTCGTTCGATGGACAATCTTCGGCCCGTACGTTGTAGTTGAACCCTTGCTATCTTCACTGTTTTACGCAGGTTGTCTTGGAAGACACATCGACATTCAACTGGGCCAGTCGTACCGCCTGCTATTGCTGAGCTTCACAGTCCACAACCGGTCAATTCAAAGTGTCAAGGCTCCATTTTTTTTTTCTCTCCGTTTGTTTTTTGTATCAGCTGTACATCCATCATAAGCAACATCGCTGTTCATTAACAGGAGCAAGCAGCTCGTCAATGTTATTATATGACTAAATAGTAAAGAGTATAGTGAGTAGCTACCTGGAAGACTGGCACTCGTACAACATGAAGTCCGCACGAACTTCCATGTAATCATTGCTTCAATGCTCACTAGGACCCGTGCTTAGTACTTCCGGCTAACCGACAGTAACCGAGGCGGGCGGTCCCTCGGCACAAGACGATCAGCGCGTTTGGGGCCTCGCGCTGCTTTCCCAGCTTTTTTTCCCGTTCAACGGATTCTCCACATTCCCCGAGTGATCACGTCCCTCTGCGTCCGTGAATCCCTCACCCGCTCTCCGTCTTTCTCCTCTTACCTACCCTTGCCCCTCTTAAATTTGTTCATTTGAGCCTCCTCATCTTCTCAGCTCAATTGATCTTCTACTAGACTCTTCTTACTCAATTGTCCCTGATCCTTGTACATCGTTCACCTTCACACAGCTCGACCATGTCCCTTCCTGCTGTGAGACGGCTGACCCACACGTCTCCCCGCACTTTGGCCCGCATCCCCGTCTCTCGAGTTTCTCCCACATTTGCTTCCTCTTCCTCCTCACGTCTGGCTGCTTTCGCTGCTCCTCGCATTAACCAGGCTCCTCGCTTTTCCACCATGGCTGCTCGTCAATCCGCCGCTCCTGCGGCGCCTTCCTCCGACAAGCCCTATGACCCCGAGATTCAGGACATGGCCAACTATATCCACCAGTACAAGGTGGACTCTGATCTGGCAGTAAGTGACACGTTAAATTCTGCATTTGGCCCACTGGGTCTGAGAGCCGGAGCTAGGGAGCCCCAATCGTACTTGGAAAGCTTTGAGGACTGTGGCTTACACGCGCCATTGGAATGTAGTTTGATACTGCTCGCCTGGTCTTCCTGGACACCCTGGGCTGCGGTCTGGAAGCCCTGAAGTTCAAGGAGTGCGCCAAATTGCTGGGCCCCGTCGTGGAGGGCACTGTGGTCCCTAATGGCCCCAAGGTGCCCGGTACCCCGTATCAGTTGGACCCAGTCAACGCTGCGTTCAACATCGGTGCCATGATCCGCTGGCTGGACTACAACGACTGCTGGCTTGCTGCCGAGTGGGGCCACCCGTCTGATAACCTGGGAGGTATCCTGGCCGTCGCCGACTGGATCTCCCGCACCAACCGCGCAGGTGGTAACCTGGGTAATGGCAAGATCTTGACCATTCGTGACGTGCTCGAGGCCATGATCAAGGCCCACGAGATCCAGGGTGTTCTCGCCCTGGAGAACTCCTACAACAAGGTCGGCCTCGACCACGTTGTCCTGGTCAAGGTTGCGACCACCGCTGTCGTCTCGAAGATGATGGGTCTTACCGAGAAGCAGACCGCCGACGCGATCACCCAGGCTTGGGTTGATGGCCAATCTCTTCGCACCTACCGTCACTCTCCCAACACCATGTCCCGTAAGTCCTGGGCCGCCGGTGACGCCTGTCAGCGTGCCGTCAACCTGGTTCTGAAGGTTCAGAAGGGTGAGGGTGGTCTGCACACCGTTCTCTCAGCCCCCACTTGGGGCTTCTACGATGTCCTGTTCAAGGGCAAGAAGTTCCAGTTCCAGCGCCCGTACGGCAGCTACGTCATGGAGAACGTCCTCTTCAAGGTCTCCTACCCTGGTGAGTAGCTCGACCCGCTCGGCCGTACTGACCTGCTGGAGACCCAAGAAGCTAACTACCGTTTGAATGTAGCTGAGTTCCACTCTCAGACCGCCATTGAGGCCGCAGAAATCATCAACAAGAAGCTGGCCGAGATGGGCAAGTCTGCCAAGGACATCAAGGAGATCACTAATCGCACCCACGAGGCCTGCATCCGTATCATTGACAAGCAGTTCAAGGAGATGGATAACTTTGCCGATCGTGACCATTGTGTGCAGGTGAGTGATTGACAGAATCGTGACTGAATCTCCACTACTGTTCCATGCTAATGTGTTATCGTAGTACATGGTCGCCACTATGTTGGCGTTCAACCGTCTGACCGCCAACGATTACGCGGATGGTTCCGAAGCCGCTACCTCCCCTCTGGTTGAGGACCTGCGCAAGCGCATCCGCTGTGTCGAGGACGAGCAGTTCACTGCCGATTACCACGATCCCTCCAAGCGCACCATTCCCAACGCGCTGACTGTGACTTTGAACGACGGCACTGTCCTCGAGGAGGTTGTTGTTGAGGCTCCTCTGGGTCACCGTCTGCGTCGTGAGGAGGCCAAGCCCGAGATTCTGGCCAAGTACAAGCGTCATCTCGAGGCTCACTTTGACCAGGCCCGTATCGATGAATTGCTCAAGGTGGGCTGGGACCGCCAGCAGCTTGAGAACTTTGAGGTTGACAAGTACGTTGACCTCTACGTCAAGGACAAGATGGTTGCTGCTGCCTAGACAATGGGATTTGATTATGAGATTTTTCCATGGTGTATGATGACCCCCATCTTCTCCTTTCTTACCGTTTTCATCACTGTTCACAAAATATGTTTCTACTGCTGTCATATAGATTCGCGTTTCATTCCAAATACCTTTGTGTTCAAGCGATCTTGGTCGTGGTGTTCTTATGTGGTGACTTGGATAGGGTAGAATCCCCATGTAGAGCCATTGTTGCTGCTGCTTCTTCAAAGACGGGGTGTCTACTTCCTACGGCTATGAACGGACAATGTCCCGACGCTGAGCAAAGGCCTGGTCACATAATCGCCATCACGCCCTAGGCAGCCTCGCAGTCGTGCAGACTTGGACGGATCATCGATCATCGATCTTTCCTACTTCAATCTGGGTAAGGGGAACCTTACTACATCACGGGTACGCATGTTAAAGAACAGATTTTCTGTTCAGGGCAGTCTTTACACTTTATTTTCTTCATTAATCACACACCCTTCCTAATCACTCTCTCGTTCTCTGTCTTCATCTCACTCTCTCTTCATCGCACTCTCTCTTCATCGCACTCTCTCTTCATCGCACTCTCTCTTCATCGCACTCTCTCTTCATCGCACTCTCTCTTCATCGCACTCTCTCTTCATCGCACTCTCTCTTCATCGCACTCTCTCTTCATCGCACTCTCTCTTCATCGCACTCTCTCTTCATCGCACTCTCTCTTCATCGCACTCTCTCTTCATCGCACTCTCTCTTCATCGCACTCTCTCTTCATCTCACTTCTCCATCTTACTTCTTCATCTCGCTCCAAGACACCCCGGGACAGGCCAAAATCGAACCACCTGTGTCGGTCTGCAAATAGCTCTCCAAGAGCTATTCCAAGCGGGGGATGCTGTCCGAGACCATCCCTCAAGGAATGGTACCTTGCATTTCACATCTTCCCCTCCCTTCGCATGAAAGCTTCCACTTATTCACTTGTAGAGTCACACCCATATCGCCTACCATAGCTCAGTTGAGGATAAGGAAAACCCTGGTGACGCCTATGTGGAAAAAATGGGTAAGGAGGCGCCGTTGCTGCGATACGATGCTGAGCAGAGAGTAGCTACTTATGAAGGCGGCTTCGGCTTTCTTGCGGAAATGCGTGGTGTTCGTGCAGAGATGGCAAAAATGAACCATGGGCTTAAAAATCTCGAATCTCATCGCCAGAGCCATCTGGATATCCGTCAAAGCAAAGGGCCATTTCTATATGGGTGCGAGATGCGCTTAAGAAAGACACAGAACACCCCAAGGAGGAACTCCGCAGACTGAATAAGGATGTCATCCACGGCGGTGATGTGCGATCCGACGCCATGGTAGTCACTGAGCGCTACAGAAAAAACAGCACCGAATGGCAGTCTTTCCGTACGCTATATGGCCTCACCCCGGACAACGTGAATGATCTCGGGATTGTCCCCAAATTTCCTTGATGCTCTTTTCATCGCTGATGTGTTCTAGACCAACCAAAATGCTATCGATCTTTGCAGGCCTTAGATAGAGCAGCTTCTATCCTGCTCAAGAACGCTCGAACAAACCTCCCTACTGAGGTGATGGGGAAGCAACGCGAGGATCCTGTCGCTCTGCTGCTGGAGGAGAGATATGAAGAGGCCTGAGAAGATGAGCAGCACTTTCCTTTGCGAGAACGAGTCATCTGTGGCTGAAGAGAAGTTCTAGTCCGGCCGAAAACCTAGATATTGCTCCCCAATCAATCGCTTTTCAAGAAAAAATCTTCTCATACTTACCTGTAGACTGAGTCACAAACTGTCTACCACAAGTTCGAGAGGAGAAGAAAGGAAAGACGGCGGTCGTGTTGACATGCGGTCTTGTCAACGCGCAGTCGCATTGCCATGTTGCTGAATCGGGAAGGAAGGCCAGGATCATATGGCCACATACGGGCATGGGCTCGTTCCAAGACATGACGACATCCCTGGTTGTCGACAATCGACATACCTCTGTCGTCGGCGTCGCATCTCCACTGATCCGAGTCAAGCCCTGGCAATTATAAGATACAGGACCGACCGCAGCAATGCCCAAATTCCGTCCCCAAATTCAAGAGGGGGAAGCCAAATCCTCGAGACCAATGCAGGTCAACCACAAACGTGAAGCGAGTCAGGGTGTGTCTGATTCTTTTTCTTTTGTTGGTTCAACCAGGAGCAATCAGACGCAGTGGTCCAACAGGGGAAATGGATGTGCACTGTGCAGTGTGCCTGTGTACAGTGTGTACTGTGTAGTGTACACAACATTGGAAAGTAGCAATGATCGTCTTGGTTTGTCTTGTGTCATTGTGATTGTTAGATTTGGAGATTCCCGTTCGGCAGGTCGTTTCGATGCGCCCCCTCGTGGCGTCCAGTCGAGCTTTGGGAAGGGGCCGCAGTATGTAGTTATGTACTAAGCTACGCTATGTAACTAAAGCGATTGGCGACCGAATCACACGAGACTGTAGATCCATCTTTCAAAAGCCTGGTAGTTTCTATTTCTATCGAGTAAGATGTCCATCACGTATCATCTAAGGTTTACATCGCTGATCCGACCACTCATTCCAGATCGTCGAGCTCGTCCATAGTAGCGGCCCTTATGACTCCTGAGTTCCTTCTCTTCAGCTGAGGCCGACCCTATCCAGACATCAAGCTGAGATACACCGCCCAGACCACCCCGAACAAGCTACCGACCAGCAGCCGTTGCTCCACAGGAACCACCGTGAAGTTGAGAATCGATACAAAGGGCCAGAGCTTGAAGCCCGCGCTCATGATCGGCCAGAACTCCTGAGCGTGATCCAGTGTTAGTGGAAAGGATCCCAATGTAGGTAAGGTGTTCACGAAGTGTCCTCATCGACGGAAAGACGTACCTCGCGGATTTGACCCAGGACATCGCCATAGTGCTGGCCTCGCAGCAGACCCATGGTGAAGAGGAACAAGACTGTGTTCCAGGTGCCGCCGATCGTTTGATCGATGACCACCTTGGTGATGGTATTGCCCACGTTCAAGGTAGACCTTGAGGGCTTCTCGAACTTCTCGGGCTTGGTCGTGTCCGGCTTCTCATTGTGAGTTGGCTCTGGCTTCGAGCTTGTTCCGGGGAAGGAAGCCTCGAGATTGGTCTGCCAGACGTAGTTCAAGGGTGTGGTGATGATCGCACACGCAGTGAACTGGATCAGCGCTTGCAGGTCAAATTCAAATGGGATCTATGGTAGGTATGGTCAGAGCCGTCCTGATTAACCTTGACATGCGCCGACCGCGAAAGAACACGTTTCCCCCCCGAGACGATCAATCCATGGCCACCGAGGCTTTGCATTGTACCTGACTGCACCTGTTGATGGACCTGTGGTGGATTCACGGGTTTACTACTCACATCTGCCCTGTAGGCCTTGATACCCTGCGCCAACACATTGGAGCCAGCGTTGATGACCACCGCCTGTAGCGTGGCCTGAACAATGGGTGAGACCGACATCATAGGCCTTTTTGTTGATCGCAACGAAAGGAACGAAATGACAACAAAAATGAAGCCAAGTGTTTTCCCTTCTCACAAGTAGTAATCTGCAACCAGCGCGGTAAGTACTTGAGGGTGCTTCCACACTCGATGGCTTTCCTCTCAAGCACTATCAAAGCAAAACGAGGGACTCTGGATAATGGGTCGGGTATTCAGGTGTTGACACGGGCGGGCGGCCTAATCCCAAACACTTTAAAAAAAAGATGCTGCAGGACTTCGTCAAGTGTGACCCACCACAGGGCACAGAGTATTCTCAAATGCAGTCTCCAAGTAGAAGCGAGGAAGCAAAGTGAATACCACAGAGGCACAGACTACATGCCACATGGGAATCTTACGCCGGTTCCATGGCCGTGCGCACACCTACCTCGAGACCATCTAAGCTCCGGCTTCGAAATAGCCTGAATTCGAGGGAGTTCAATAGGCTATATCTATTATCTACACCTCAGATGCTGGTCGGTCGTGTTCCACGAGGAACGTGAGCTAGCGGGCACGGCACTCTGTGTGACTTCCCTCCTTCGGCGCATATGGAAGATATTCTCAATCCAAACCGTATCGACACAGGATGAATCATGGCAATCACGGCCAAGCTCAGGCTTTACAGAAGGGGAAGTCGTGCCTCTTCGATCAGTTTTGACTCTCGCCCCTCTCCGGGATCAATGCATCAGTCCTGCAAATCAAGTGTGGCGCAGTCAAAAGTGCGGAGGGCGATCACCATCGAGTGTCGGGTGGGCCTCTTTGATCAAGCATATGATTAATCGCGGCGGTATTGGACCGAGTAGAGAAAGCTGTTGACAAGAGGATCCTTCGCTTGGTGGTACCCCAGCGGCGCGCTTGTCTAGTCCGACTCGCCTGAGAACGATTGCAGAAGAACAAAGACCTTGACTCGGTCATCGTGGACATTTCACAATCTTTCGAATTCCTGCTACGTCTGTCGTCTTTCGTGGAGAAAGTAATAGAGTTCGAAAATTCAAGGTTCGCTCTCCAAACGCGACGGTCGACGAAGCAAGTCAGCTGCTGCCTGATGAACGGCGGTGGCAGTGACTGTGGCAAGAGTCAGAGACTCCCGACAGGCAGAATAGGCCCATAAAATCGATTGTCACCGGTAGACTCTGCTAGTGATCCCTCTCGACCATATCGCACACCAGGTGGAGAATCAAACGAAGGGATTCAAGAAGATCAAACCATCAGCTCGGGAGGTGTTTTGACCTTTGAACAGTGAATTCCTGGGGTTTGGTGCCAGCAAGTCTCACTCGAGAACGGTGGAGCTTCGCAAGGAGGGGAACATCCGGGCTTTATCTTATCGCAGATCATCGGATCATTACGTCTTTCTTCTTCAACCGCTTTTCCGACCCTCATCAGAGTCCCAGAACGAGGAGCCGTTGAAGTTCCTTTGCTTCTTTGATAGTCTTCACCAGAAGACCACCATGGCAGGCTCTGCAAAGTACACACCTCCTCCGACCCCGCCATCTCCGACGGCTTCATACTACGACGTGAGTGACGACGACGAAGATGAGTACAATACTATTGCTCCTGCTCGGCCTCGCCGCGGCGTGAAGTTGCTCTACTCCAAGAGCAAGGTATGCCCTCTTTTTGAACCTCTCCCCCTCCCGCGCACCTCTTCCACATTCAGACTGACCAATGAACCTTGTGATCATCATTTAGGTCTACGTCCACCCTTCGTCTTCAGCAAAGGACAATATCCCGGGATTCATCGCCCTCCTCCAACAAAAGTCAGAGTCCAGCCCCGTTCAGACAAGCGGTCTCCACTCGGACGCTTCTTCCTTCCTCTTAGCCTGGGTTCCCGAGGCCTCATTAGGGGAGGCTTACAGCACCTACGTGAAAGTTGATCTGGCAGACCACGATTCTCCGCCCCGACAAAGGTGTCTCGTACCGCCACTGCCCACAACCACAACTTTCAGCGATCCAATCGGACTCTACTCCTTCGCCATCCCACTTTCTCAAGTATACTCGTTGTTGGTGCGCCCGCCGAGTCTAGGATGGTGGTTCGGAAGTGTTGTGATCAATACTCGGTCCGGGGATAGCTTCCCTGCCCTGTTCTTCCATGACAGCGAGTGCGAGTCAACAATTTTGCAGAAGAAGAAGCGTGTAAAGGAGAGCTTTGACCCCTTCGACAATGAGGGGACTCTTTATTGGGGCGGAGATGAAGTTCTGCGGTGGCTGCGAAGATATGTGGATGTTCAGCGCTCATCTGTCGATCGAAATGTGTATCTGGTGAACCCGTCCGAGGAAGATCAACTCTCATTTGGTCGCGGTATGAGTAGCTCAGACGCAACAATCACAAAGACGCAACCTGAAGCCAGTGCCGCCAACCAGCCGCGAGATGCCGGCATGGACCCGTTGATGAAGACCCTCAAAGAGACCCGGTGGAAAGTGTTGGAACAGTTGAGCAAAATTACCACATTCACCAGACGTACGGCGAATGAACTTGCAGACAATCCGCGCATTCCACCGCAGGTTCGACGGTTGATGAAGAACCCCGAGGTCCAGACCCTGCAAGATGAGTTTGACAGCGCAAGGCTCTACTTGGCGCGCTGGGCGATGAGCATCGCCGAGCAAGGGGAAAAGGATCGGAACCGGCGCATCTGGATCGCGCAAGATGTGCTCGAGTCGGAGAACAGTGCCCTCGGCGACTTTGAAATTCTCGAGCTAGAAACTGGCAGTTTGAGCATTCAGGAGCGACGAAAGGTCGTCACTCTGGCCGAATGGGAGGATTTTTTCGATCCAGTAACCGGGAGACTCCGTATCACGGTCGAAGAAGTCAAGGAACGCATCTTCCATGGCGGGCTAGACGCAAATGATGGGGTACGAAAAGAGGCCTGGTTGTTCCTGCTGGGCGTCTATCCGTGGGATAGTAATCGCGAGGAGCGACAGGCCATGATGGCATCGAAACGGGATGAGTATATTCGTTTGAAGGCTGGGTGGTGGGAGCGCATGGTTGATGGTAGCTCGACCACTGAGGAGTATGAGAACTGGAAGGAACAGCGCAATCGCATCGGTTAGTCCACAAAGTTTCCCGCTCATCGAACCTAACGTGCCATTGACTGGTCGCCTAATTCGCCGCACAGAAAAGGATGTGCATCGTACTGACCGCACGATTCCCCTCTTCGCTGGCGAGGATATCCCGCATCCTGATCCCGACTCTCCGTTCGCCGAAACGGGAACAAACGTTCACCTCGAGCAAATGAAGGACATGCTCTTGACATACAATGAACACAACCCCGATCTCGGTTATGTGCAAGGCATGAGCGATCTTCTTGCTCCTCTCTATGCCGTCATGCAGGACGATGCGGTGGCCTTTTGGGCCTTTGTTGGTTTCATGGACCGCATGGTATGTTGGGGGGTGTGATTTCATGGGCCGCCACTTCGACACGGGCTAACTTATGTATCGTGTTTCTCTCTTTTTAGGAGCGAAACTTCCTCCGAGATCAATCCGGCATGCGATCACAGCTACTTGCACTAGATCATCTAGTTCAGTTGATGGACCCGCAGCTTTACCTTCACCTTCAGTCGGCCGATAGTACCAATTTCTTCTTCTTCTTCCGAATGCTGCTGGTCTGGTACAAGCGCGAGTTTGACTGGCCCGATGTCTTACGTCTCTGGGAGGCACTCTGGACCGACTATTACTCCAGTAGCTTCCACCTCTTCATTGCTCTAGCCATCTTGGAAAAACACCGAGACGTGATCATGGATCATCTGAAGCACTTTGACGAGGTCTTAAAGTACAGTAAGTTTCTTTGCTGTCTTCGCACTTGCAGACTGCCATCGAAAGATGTCAAGTTGACCATTATTTTTAGTCAACGAGCTTTCAAATACCATGGACTTGGTACCTCTTCTCACTCGAGCGGAATCGCTCTTTCGACGTTTTGAGCGCTCGGTGCAAGCTATAGACAAAAAGGACAATTTCCCAGTTCCATCTGTGCAGCAGCGTCGAGCAGCTGGCAGTGATCAAGATACCGCCGATAAAGGCAAATCGCCTGCGCGCCCTGCTGCGGGATCAAGCAGTGGTGTGCAGGCTCCCTTGACCCTCCAAAGAGCAATCGACAAGGATAGACCAAAGGTCATCTCACCTGAATTACGAGCACTCTTGAGGAAGGATATTCCCTGGAACAGGCAATCTTCACCGTAGATCTTCCTCGATCATGCGACGGCAAGGCGATTCTGCGTTTGTCGTACACATTGTCTCGCTCCTACCCTTACGAAGTTGACGAATCAGATATGGCGTTGAACTTGACTTGCTTTGATTTGGTTTATTTTCATCCCGTCCGCTCCGCTGCTGTGCACGCGTTTCTTGTTTCTCATGGTCAGTCGAGTGCTTCATGAGTTTACCATCTGGACTCGGCTGTGCTATCTCTTGTGTTTAATATCATTGTCACTGCATGCAGCACCCGTCGATTTCAGACCCTCTACCTTAGTACCTACTATCTACTGGGTATTTCAGTTTTGCGCCCACTCGTGTCCCGGTGTACTTGCTAGTCAAAAGCGCCGTTGATGAGTAAAAAAATGTATCTTCTGAACTGTCCGCTTCAACGCAAAAAGTCATTGGAGGTCTTCTCGATCCGAACCCCCCATCATCAACCCCGTGCCCGGATAGGCTTATCCCATTCCATCATCTCCATGCCTTTGCCATCCATAAACCCAGAGAAGGATGAGCCCTAGCTCTGTTTCCGACCCGCGCGCCATTTAGGCGCTCACACCAGGGAAGCAGTCCGCAAGACCCTTCTTGTGCTTGTTGGAGGCATGTTCCAGTAGGCTAATAGGTATCTCGTCAGTCCCCAGAATTCCAATCCTTGGGGAAGAGCAAGAGACCACACTTCCGAAGTAGGAACGCATCGAAGGGATCAGTCAGATACATACGCAGGAGCCTTGGTCGTCTGCAAAAATGTCTGCAAGCAGACCTTGCACTGAATGTTCATGGCCTTTTCGTTCTATAACTCGGCCGGAAGGGGTCAAAGATGAGATGGATCATGTCAGCCAGGTCATTCATTTCAAGTCTTTCGGGGCCTGGGATTTCGGGACTAGAGCTCTACCCTGTCTTGCGGATCTCTCGCGAGCCAAGATGGAGAAGAGGAAGAGAAAGAGCAGGAGGGAGACAGAGGAGGGGAGTCTTGAAACGCTTCAGTCTACGTACGGTCTTGATCTGCGACTTGGCAACTTTGCCCTTGTCGGCGGCGTTGCGCTCGCGCTTCATGTTAGCCTTGGCGCCCTGTTGATGATGATTAGTAGGTTATTCTGAAATGAGAACTAAACACAGATCATCACATCGGATCGCCAGCCTGCCATGCTCCAGATTTCCTAGACAGTGAGCGACAGCGAGAACAACCATGAAAAGGATGAGCGATACTGCTCTCTTCCAGGGGCTTTGCTCGTCCCTTTGACATGTCGAGATCTTTCTCGATGTCTCTCTCCTTCTCTTACTCTTTTTACTCTCCTGGCTGGTGCTTTCCCAAGTTCCCAGGAAATCAAAGATCGTTCCAACGACAATCAGAGAAAAAAACCAACAAAAAAAAACGCAAAGCAGGAACTTACGTTGCCCATGATTGTGAATGTCTGCTGGCGGAATAGAAGGTGACTGGAGAATGAGATCGTGCCTGTTCCTGAGGGAGGAAAATTTTCTCCACTTGAACGATCACGTCCGCGCAATTTCCATACAGTCCAGACTCCAGATGACAGGACGGCCAATGGGCCCTTCAGTAGTGGCCACTGGCCACTGGCCCGGTTTCCTGATCGGCCGTCTCTTTTCGTGCGCGCCTCAGGCTTCCATTCTTGCCATTTTCAGTATTACCATTTGAGGAAAGAAGTTGGCCATCGCCGGAGTTAAAGCTTATCTCCAGTGGCTTGGTCGAGGTCACGGGGTCTGATGTGGCTGCCCATTCTTCACGCTATGACCGGACGTGCACGAGGGAGGCAACGGTATACTTAATAAGTCAATACTACAGAAAAGGGAGGGACAGGAATTACTCGACTCTGGCACACCAGTCTGGGCAGTCGAGACACACAGTCTCATTTGGGACCAAAGCGCTCGTTATGGTGTCGTAGACTCAATCACGAAAAGCTTGAAGTTGAAGCAGGAATGAATGTCAACCTACCTAGTATGGACTAATCCGATCATTCCGATGACTACTGAATCCCAAATCCTAAGTAGAGCAATATCATATCAAATCAGGATGACGCGGACCAGGGACTGTGCTAATCGGAATTCAATCGACATGTTCGGTGGACAATGCTAGAAGGAGCATGAGAAAAGAGCCTCTTCTGAGTTCAAACCGGGTATCTCAGTCTGAGTCTGTTTCTAAAGCCCAAACACAAGTCCTGTTGACTCGACTGGAGACTGTGATAAAGCAAGTGGGCCGACGCCATCGGAATTGACCTCCGTTAGGGGTCTCAAGTCCCTGATCACTGAAGTCTAGAGTTGAAAAGGGGTGGAACCTCTATCTTGTGCTTTGATGTCTACGTAGGTATTCAAACATACGTAGCTCCCTACTCACCGACCTAGTGAGACCATATCTTTCTCAAAAGAGAACACACCCAAAGACTGTCCGTACGCCGTAGGTACTAGGCAGGGACCAAGAACCCCATGGTAGCCATCAATATTTCATTCAATTGCCCGTGTAACCTAGTGAACTTTCACTTCTTGTTTGAGTCCTGATACAAATCTCTGATAATGACAGAGACACCTAAACAAAGGTGAAATGTAACACAAGAAACATTGTAAGAGGTAAAAGTCTCCATCCGACTTAGGGGAATCGGCAACGGCCATATAATCTTGGCAGTTCATGTTGCTGACGGTGAGAACTTCTCGATCACTTTGAAATACCAGCCAGGCTTCCCCCTTCAAGAAAGCTTCATCGCCGTGCTTGAATGTTGTTTGCGAGAGTCTTGCAATGCGGTCGACAGACGATACCCTTGTAAAAGACCTCCTTCTGAACAACTGCCCTGGTGTACTGATGTCTGTCAACATTCTTTTGTATGGTTTACACAATGGGTGGTGAAGTTTGAGACCAGCCCGAACTTGCATACTTCGAGAGTCAAAGTTGTTGGTTGCCTCGAGGTTCTTATTGGATGTCTTCCAAGAACGCTGCCTTTACGATTGGGTTGATCGACTCTGCTATCCTCTCTGGTAGCTGGCTTGAGAGATAATTGGTGGATGGATTCGCTCAAGATCAGTTATGTATGCTGTACAAAGATGCAGAATGACACGGCAAACCCCCAAGCCCGGCGCTCCAAAGGGAGTTAGGGACCCTCCAACAGAACAAAAACAGGAACATGCAATACGTAAGCAACAGCGCCCAACTCACCAAGGCCATGAGAGGTCCATGGATGCAAAAGATATGAATACATGCCGAGTGCGCTTTGCACACAATTCCAACGAAGAATATCCAAAAAAAAAAAATTCAGTACAATCGCTTTGTTCCGCCACGCTGATGCAAATATGATGATATCAAAATGGGTAAGGCAGCACAGCCGATAAAGATGAAAACGGAGATAGAACGCAGGGGTATGCAAAAAGACAATCGCAAGAAACAAGTCGCAAGAGGGGGAAAAAATGCAAAATAATTGGATAGACAAGAAGTCGACCCGGTCGCGAGATTCACATCCTCAATGATCAAACAATAGCTTAACATACGCATGGGGGTTCTTTTGCGCATAGAAGTCTTGTCCACTTCATCTCACGTTTCCGAGACCTCGCAGGGAAACCTGTTTGCTGGCTCCGACGGATCTGATATCGCTGACACTGGATACTTTTTGCACAGATCGCCGGGGCTGATTATTGAAAGGGCGATCGCGTCCCTCAGGCGAAAGGACTTCGTTTGCCTTGTCAGCTCCGAGTACAGAGTTGAGTGTGAAAGATGGGGCATGGGCGGAGCTAGACCGCCGCGTCTGCTGCAAGACATCCTCGACCCATGCCTCCCCCTCAGGACTCATAGAAATATGTCTTGAGCGGGGTTTGGGACCCGCGAGACCAAGAGGAGCCGGCTGGCTATCATGGCCAAATCCGTTGGATGCGAGATCGGGAGAGGACAGATCGTTGTTGCTGTTGTAAGAAAAATCTGGAGACATAGACACCCTGCGTTGACGGGATAAAAGGGCTTGGGGTGGAGAGATGAAAGAAGTGATAGCTCCGACTGTCACGGATCGAGACGCATGTATCTCAGAGACATTTGAACCACGTCTCTTACGGACGTTCAACGAGGATGCTGGTCGAGCGCTGATCACCGACGGGGGGCGAGATGGAGTGACTCGGCCTGTTGTCAGGTAAGGGGATGTAGATCGAGGTGTCATCACAGCAGCAGGAGATGCATAATTCGGTGAGGTTTTGGCCGTCAAGCCTTGGACTTCCACGCGAGGTGTTTCCGAGACTTTGCGGCGGCCATGGTGAGTGAGATATTCACGCAAGTATTCCCCAAGATCGGCCCAACCACCCCCGACGCGGACCATGACCCGCTGATTTTCATCACCTACTGTGCGCACAAAGAGTTTGGTCGGCGCAGTCTGGCCACCATGATGTAGGTGATAGAGTTTCACACAACTATCCTCAGGCTTGGTGACATGAGACAACCGTCTTCGAGCGGCTGGCATGAGCATCATGGAAGGCGCAGGCGTTGTACTTCGTGCAGTTGCACCACGAGGAGATTCGGACTGGCATCTTGATCTGCGGTCCACAGATAAGGCCGTGTTCCCGTTGTCGTGATTTGCATCGACGAGATGGATTCTGCCGGACAGCCCGCTCAGAATAGAATCAATCTTCTCGTCAAGGTGGTCACGAGGTTTGCGTCGCAATGGGGAGGATGCGCGAGAGCTCTCATAGGCAACCTCAGCCTCGTCTTCCTCGACGAATGGTAAATCTTGCCTTTTGACACCCAAACTTTCAAGGCTGGGATGAGCGGTCAATCGCTGGCGAAGGCGAACAGACTTGGGTTGATCCTGATGAATCAGGGCACGATGAGCAGTGTTCATGCCGAATACTTTAGCGGGGTGCTCGGCGGATTTCTTGGACTTCGCGGCATCCTTCAGGTCCGATGCGGATTTTCCGCGAGCCAGTCTAGGCGGCCGGCTAGGCCCCGGCGCGTAGCTGATGAAGTGGGCTTCGCATAGGCTGCGGTCGAATGGGACGGAACCTCTACTACGAGCTTCATGTTACTCCGATCACTGTTCGCGTCGACGTCGTCTTGTTCATGTCGGTCGAAGTCAAACTCATCGTTGATGAAGCGCTCCAGTTGCAGGCTGACCGCTCGATTCTCCGAGAAGCCGTTCGCGGCAGGCTTTGGATTCTCGAGGCGCAACAGATGACTTGCCCGCAACGAATGACCTTCTTGCGCAAATTCGGGCTTGAGACGAGAATTATTTTCTCGGGATGGTGTCATGAGAACGTCCCCGTGTGAAGAACTCGTTTGAGGCTCAGGGGCCTCTGGGCTTGAAAGCGAAGAGGAATTCTCAGAAAGCAAAGACCCCGAAGAACCATTCGACGATCTCCTACAGCCTTGACGTGGTCTGCGGACGTCTTGACTGATATTCAATTTAACAGGACGGTGCTTCGCCAATTTGATTGGACTTTGTAACGGCTTCCGAGCGGTTGGGGGCTCCGGTTTCGAGTCTTCTTCCCCCACACGCGCAGCCGCAACGGCGGACGTAGAACCTGGGTCTGAGTTCAGAGCAGAACTTGCCAGTGGCGTGGGCTTCCATTGAAGTTCTGAGAAAGGATGAGGTTTATCTTGCGAGAAGACAGAAGTATCGTTGGTAAATGGGCCACAGGGAAGGGCCGGCGTATATTCTGCCGAACCTGGACGTCCTCTAAATCTCCAAGAACTGACGGCCTGATAGGTCTCTGAGGTGTCTGGTGTTCTCTTCGGCTCTTGTCTCGGGGACAATGACAATGAAGATGTTGCGAGAGACTGCGCCGTGCCGGAAACATCGTCATTTTCTCGACTGACGGGCAGATGGCCGTCGGCGAGATGTCCTCCCTCAGATTGTATGAAATCTTTGGGGGACACAACCTTGACTCCAACACCGCTAAGCGCCACCGTACTTTCAATGAACGGGTCACAATCAGTCAGACTTGAGTCTGTCAATCGGGTCAACCCCTGGCTGTGTTCGGGAATCGGCGGTGTCCGGAAATGGGAAAAGGCACAAGGACTGCTTGCCGTGCTCGGGATTTGGGGAGTTTGTGGTATCTGACTATGAAGAGAAGGGTCCTCGGCTGTCAATTGCCTAGCACCGTGTTTCAGTGGAGCTTGTTCAGTGGGGCCTTGGAAGTCCCCATCGAACAGATCATTGGAAATGGTCAAAACATCCTCAGGAGGTACAGTGGGTTTGGATTCTGATACAGACGGGATTGCCAAAGACGCATCGGGTTCTTGAATCGACGGCTGTGGCTCTTCACCTTGAAGTGGAGATTTGCTGCGGTCGTAGGAAAAATCCCGTGAATCACGCTCGTCGCAAATGTAATGCAATTCTGAATCCTCCATCGCTTCTTTGATGGGAGAGAGCAACTCAGGCATAGCTTCCGGCTGGGAAGATTGATTGGCGGTCTCTTGCAAATCTGGAATTTGCATCGCCAATGGAATCTCATCTTTGACTTTCGATTCCACAATGATTTCTTCACTGCGTTGCTTCCGCCTCATAGAGAGCCACTTCGTGCGAAGTCTGTACCGTTCGGCCTCAACCGACCAAGCGGCGAAGTCCGACTCAATGGACTCCAGCTCATCAATCCAACGCTCTGGTAGAGAGTCCGGTCGACCCTCTAGTGAATCCAGAGCTCTGTCCATTCGACGTCCCACGGCTACGACAGCCGATTCGATCTTGCCATGTTCAGCGACTAAATGCGAGTCGGTCTGCCTGGAGTCAATTCTTTGCAGCGTGTCGGCAGCACGAAGCTTTTTCAAGGCCGAGTCGATTTCATGTCGTGTGGTCTTCAGCTCCCGCAAGAGACCTGGGATTTGGCGCAGGACGAGAAGACGGACATCCCAAGTTGTTAATAGACTGTTTAATTTCGACAACAATGGCAGTGCACGCAAGATTGTCGCGGTGACCACGGCAGTGAAATCGCTTAGTTGTACATAGCTGAGTGGTGGAGGCACGGATCCGGAGCTGGTTGATGAGGAAGGGCGGGAGCGGGCTGGAATGTGGGCGTTGAGGACGTGCTCCTTCAATTCTTCGACGTTCAAATTATCCATTCCGTCGCGGATCTCTTCAATCCTCTTTTCGTACTCTTCCACAAGCGTTGCGGGTAGGCTTCCATAGAACTCTATCTCGGAGCTGCTTGAGGCTCTGCCGACCGGAAGGTCAGAGTGGAGTGTTGAGCTGGCGCACTCTGCGTCCGCCGGCGTTTCAGCAGGCGGCACAAATCCAGCTCCCATTTTGGCATCGTCAAGCGCGGGCCACATCCAAGATCGAATTTCCTTATACCATATGTTCAAATTCTGCGCAGCAATGGCTGCGCGAATACCGACTGCACGCTCCCCCGGGGTGACTTGAGAGATGCTCTGAGAGAGTACATTGTGCGAGAAATTACTGTTTGCGGGTACAGCTTCGGTAGTCGTCAGGGCTAGAAGGGTCGATTCCGGGGAAAGATTGCTCAGCAATGGGTCGATTTTTTGGTATAAGGATGTCGGATTGCGATCGGGTGATGTCGAACGGGAATTCTCCCGCGAATGTATCGGCGAGAGCCGTATTGACGGGCGACATGAGGCGGTTCGGCTGGTGGCCATTATGAGAGACCGGCCTCACTCACAGATCTGGATCGGTCTTCCCAGTGATGAGCTTCGGTATATCTCGGAAGGCTAGAGCTGAAGTCTGAATGACGGAGCGTCGGAGGGTTGTGGCGGGCGAGCAAAGAGGGTAATTTCGATCCTGCATACTGGGACAATGGGTACAATGGGAGGAATTGGGCGCGAAAGAGCTCTTTCTGATTGTCGGGAGCTCGTCGAAGGCCGGTCTTTGGCGCAGCAATGCAGCTGACCCGGATGAGAGGGATGAGGATGGCGGTCAGTAACCCAGCTGGTTGGCGGGACCAAGGACTTGCACATGAGTATATGTATCCGAAAGACGATCCAAATGAGGGAAAATGTGAAATCACATACATTGGCGCCCGTGTGAGAAGCCAGGAGCATGCAACCTGATTGGATTTGATATGACGAGATCGTGGGAAGACCGGCTTTCCGATAATAATCCCCTTTGTTTTGGCTTCTGCCCGATATACTGGATTCCCTTTTGCTTGAGGCAAGCACAACAATCAATCATGAAGGCGAATTGGAGCGCGATAGGAGACTTTCTTTTGGACTTTTGGAAGTTGAGTGGAGTCAAAAGGGGTGGACGCCGTGACGGAGAAGTGGAGACCTTCCAACGCGTTTCCGCCGATCCCGCCGGCGCTCGGAATCTCTTTTGGTTTCGTTAGCCCGCTACCAGAGAGTCTATCTTGGTTCTGGGGTACGGAGCAGGTCAATATCAGGTGTGATAGTACCGCTGATGCAACAAAAATAATTGATTAAAAAGGGATTGAATTATACCACATACTCATTAAGGGCTCGGCATCGACGAGCTGAAACAGGTAGTCCTGTCAATAATTGACATTTTTCCAATTTTCTATCGGATTTTCTATGCAAGGGTCGAAGGTATAGCCAGGTAACGATAGAGTGGGAACCGCGAATGGCAATGAATAACAATAATGAACTATTGTTGGAAGTCCCAAGCAGAAGCCCGCTTCGAATGCCTACAGCAAAACTGACTACCTTAGCATCAGCACATGATGGCTGACCAGACATCTACACTGAGTGGTTCGCGTCGCTGGACTATCATGATGCGGTAATGCTGGCGTCGAAGGAGGCAAATGGGTCACAGTCAAAGACTACTTTACCGCAAGCAAGCTGGAGGATACCCCCGGAACTTAGCATCGTATTCCTCCTTTCCAGTAGTTTCTCAAAGTAGAGAACATGTCCTTTCTCCGTTATCCAGCCGACGTTCTGACGGGGATTCCCGAAGAGCGAATTCAATTCTTGAAGCAATATGAGGACTGGTTCACGATCGAGGCCCCGGCGCTGAGGAATATCACCGAGCACTTCGTGCAGGAGCTTGGAAAAGGACTCACTGAGGAAGGCGGGAATATTGTCAGTCACTTTTCAAGTCCCCCTTCCTGTTTTCACCCGACATACTAGGATCTGCTCATCGGCTTACCGTCTCTGTCTGAGATAGCCCATGAATGTAACATGGATCACCGACTTCCCCACAGGCTGCGAACAGGGAAGAGTCCTGACCATGGACATGGGCGGAACCAATCTGCGAATCTGCCACGTAAAACTCGAACCGAATCGACGAGACTTTGAGCAAACCCAAAGAAAGTTCAAGCTGCCAGGGGAGGTGAAGACTGGCACCGGGGAGCAGCTTTGGGAGTTTATAGCAGACCGGTTGAAATCATTCATTGACGACCACCAGATCCAGGTTTCAATCTCGGAAAAGGTTCCAGTGGCCTTTACTTTTTCGTTTCCGGTACATCAAACTGGGATCAAAAGCGGCGTGCTCCAGCGATGGACGAAGGATTTCAACGTCGCAGGAGTAGAAGGACATGATGTCGTTCCGCAATTGACAGCGGCAATTGAGAGGAAAGTAAGTATTTCGTAGAATGGCATTGAGTCCCGGCGCAAGAGGGTCAAGAAGGTACCGAGCGACGCAAACAATCGTGTTCTCACACCCACTCATTTAGCAAGTTCCAGCTCGAATAGAAGCCCTAATCAACGACACAACGGGCACATTGTTGGCGTCACGCTACTTCGATCCGCACATCCAAGTGGGCTCAATCTTCAGTACCGGCTGCAATGCTGCGTATATGGAAAAATGTTCCAATATCCCCAAGATGCGAGACGAGGGATTCGCCGAAAACGCAAAAGTCATCATAAACACCGAATATGGGGCATTCGACAACGATCGCAAAGTTCTGCCCCTGACCCCTTTTGATCGAGACATCGACCGAAAATCGGCGCGGCCTGGCACGCAGATCTACGAGAAGATGGTTGCTGGGCTCTATATTGGGGAGATGCTGCGCCTTGTCTTGCTGGCATTGCACGAAGAAGGCCGGCTCTTTCGCGATCAGGACATTAGCCCACTCAAAAGGGAGCACTGCCTCGAAGCGGCCTTCTTGTCCGCCGCGGAGACGGATACCTCTGAGGATCTGAAAGGTCTGCGGAAAGAATTCGAGGACTACTTCGCCTTATCCCCGAAGTTGGATGATCTCAAAATATGTCGATATCTCATCGGCCTCATTGGAATCCGGGCAGCTCGTCTCTATGCGTGCGGCATTGCGGCTGTGTGCAAGAAGACCAACTCGTTCAGATGTCACGTCGGTGTTGACGGTGCAGTGTTCAAAAAATACAGTGGTTTCAAGGCACGCGCATCGCAAGCTCTTCGCGAAATATTTGACTGGCCTGATGATGAATTTGACCTCATTTCTCTGAACTCGTCCGAGAGTGGATCGGCAGTTGGGGCAGCACTAGCGGCCGCTATGTCCATGGGGTGTGAGGCTGGCGAGAGATCGTCAAAGCTCGCCTGCATTGTCTAGAATGTGGGGTTTTCATACAAGACGGTGATAACTCCTTGTAGGTTAGATGACCAGAGGACCAGAGGAAGGGAAGCAGTCCACGGATCTCGATGGCTTCATGCTTTGATAAGTGTACCACCTAGCATGATACAATCAATGATTGCTCATCCATAGACGTTTGCGAATTGACAATCATTGCCACGAGATAGCAATACGGAGGTCTAGGACTGCACAGGAAAGGCTGACGCGCTTAAGTCGCGCCGGGTATAGCCCAGATGCGGTTTGATAAGATAAGCTTGTCTCCGCATCAAATACAACTTGCTGTGGCGGCTTGAATGAGGCACAATAGCCACATTCGTCTATTCTCTCCGCTTCACCTTATTCAAAAGTGCGCGAAGACTTGAAGATGCGATTCCGTACGCAATTGAAGAATACGAGAACTTTCTCTAGTAGGTGCAATGTGCCACGTTAATGTCCCGATCTCCACGATTTTCTCTAACGTCTGCCAGAGTTGACTGCCTCGTTGTCATCCCTAGGGAAAGTGTGCTGGATGCGACTCGAGTACGATGTTGTGCGATTCACTGTGATTCCTGATCAGGGGACTCAAGTCTGGGCGCAGATTCCCGTGGTTCGTCTTGATCTGCTTCAGAGACTATCAGATCCTTGGGACATTGATCTGAATCACTGACAAGGCAAAAGGACACCATTTTCGAAGAATGTTCCTATCAACTGGAATCTAATTCAGATGCCGTCAACATTGAAATCAACATAAGTCTTCTCAACAGAGCATTGAGGTCGACTATGGGAGCTTCGTCGTCTCAATTGAGGCTGACTAAGAAAGACCGAATGCCTCTGCTTGCTCTCACAGTCCTGACGACTGAATGGGCCGAGGGAAACATGGCCTTAGCTACCGACGGCTTAGTAGAGCGACGTCCCGCGGATGGATCTGCCACATGTAGTGACGTGGTTGGCGATCGACGTGCTCGTGAACGCGAAACGTGGATTACACAAGAAATCCCCATCAAGATCCTGCATGAGGATGTGGTGGAAAGTCTACATGAGCCCCACTGCCCTGACCCCGACGTCTACATCATTCTCCCAAATTTGATGCAATTGAAGAGTATCTCAGATCGATTCACCAAGCTGGCCTCAACGGAAAGCAAAGGCCAGCAACAGAGCATTACAGTTGCTGAGCCAGCAGCTTCCACTGCGGGAGCCACGGCGCTCTCCACAAAAGCTGCACCCAAATTAGAACTGTCGGCCAACATGCACGGCAAGCTACGTCTCGCCATTGCAACAGATGGGCTTCGCATTGCAAGTGCCTGGTCTGGGCTTGTGAATCCTCCGTTGGATCCTGCACACATTTCCGAAGACCGGGCTTCGCAGTTACCAAGCGAGCGAATGCGTGAGGCGGGTGATGATGACGAGGCGGGGTGGGCGAGAGTCAGAATTGACGGGAAAGATTGGGGTCGTGTGCTCAGTGTAGGACGGTTGAGTCCTAAGGTTGTTGCTTGTAGGGAATCGCATTACTAGTGAATCAGCGACCAAATCGAGACTAATATCTCTCAGGCTTCATCAACAACACCGCGCTTGTCCTATACGTCTACCTGCCCGGGACGTGGAATGGCGAGGAGTCTTGTCTGACCGTAAGTTTCAGACCCTCTGCCAAAGTGGTTCGCACGAGGCTAACCTCGCTTTTCAGTATTACATCAACTCATTTACGGCATGATAGCAACTCTGCAGATGCTACCTTGATGACCAACTTCGTCTTCATTACCCGATACTGCCGAGGGGGGCATGGCACAAGTGTCCAAGGTGATAATTCGTAGAGATTAAAACATCGCAGGACATAAGGCCTTCGCAGAAAGACGCTTCCACCGCAAAAACTGGGAACTGCGACATACAAGGTTATAGATGCAAAATAGCGTAACAGGAAGATGGCAAAGTGCCAGATGGTATACACTCTCAGTGAAATGACCTCCGATGTTTGACTATTGCGTCAGCACGGCGGTCAACTCCAGTAGGATCGGCACCTTCCCAAATGAACTCTCTGAGGAGTAACAGGCGCGCAAGCGATGGACCCCGAGGCTGAGACGGAATGTTCAGGGTTAATTCGCTTGATCACAAATGCAAAATGCCGAATGCACGACAGCTGGTAATTGTTAATGTCTATCATGGAAATCTCTCGGTGTATGCCCGGGAGAATCCTTCACCACGCAAAAGAAACATTAAAATCATAATGATACAAAGGAAACGACAAAGAAAATAGAATGGAACACATAACCAGCTCGGCCAGAGCAGTGTCGACTGAGTGACCCCGGGTCGATCAGCCGCGAGGGTTCCAAATGTATATTACTGCGCCATCACATCAACATAGCGACCCTTCTTCTTGCTCTTCGCGACATTACCTTTGCGCGCGGTAGGTGCACCGAGGAGGTCGTCGATAGAATTAGCGTTGGTCAAGGAAGATGCAGGCCTCGGTGGTAAACCGCTGGAGCTACCGGGTGGAGTGGGAACTGCCGCTCCTGTGGATACTGAACGGGGCATATTCCCAGGGGGCAATGGCACGCCGAGTACAGAAGGAGCAAGATTCGAGGGTGGAGGTGGACCGGAGAGATTGCTTGCAGATGATTGCGGTCGGCTACCAGTCCCAGACATCGGAGGTCCACCTGGAGGCGGAACGCTGCTTGAGCTAGCAGCTCGACTCGGTGGGCCAGAGCCGCGTGGAGGGGGCGGCGTGGCTCGAGCAGCAGAAGCAGAGTTGGGATCTTTCTTGTTTACCCATTTTTTCAACTCCTTATCGTAGTAAAAGGAGTTCTCTTCTCCAAGTTTCGCCTTAATCGGTCCACCTCCGGTGTTTTCGGCTTCCTTTTTGGCACCTCCAAACCAACCGCCAAACCATCCTTTCTTTGAAGAATGTTGGGCATCTTTTTTGGCTAAAGCAGATGGTGTCAGTAAGTATTTAGGGGACGCTTTGATGAAGCTTCACGTGAACGTCAACATACCGTCTTCTTCGGCAGCTTTACGGAAGGCTTCATCAGCCTTCCGATCATTCTCGGCCTTTTGCATGGCCGCAGCTCTTGCAGCAAGGTCGTCTTCGTCGTCGTCGTCCATGAAAGACTTCTTCTTCTGAGCTTCCGGTCTCGAGTTCTCTTCGGTTGTCTCTTCCGTCGTCTCATTGGTCGAGCTCAAGTCAGGGCCAACGTATGAGGGCGGCGCGTACGTATTTCCAGGTGGTGGCATGTACGCCGACCCATCAGGTTGTGGAACTTCCTGCGCTTCCTGGAAGTAGGACGATTGCGAAGCCACATGGGAAAGAGGCTCGACCTGTCCTTGATTAAAATGCCCTGAAGGTTGATAAGGAATCTCGTTTGGTGTATATTGGGAGGGCGGTGCCGCAGCTTCGGCGTTTGTGGAAGGCTGAGAGCTCATATCTTCTTCAACGGGAGCGAGAGGTATGTATGATGACTGCGGTGGTGTTGACTGATAGGCCAAATTCGCTCCTGGGGACCCGTATACTGGTGCGTAACTTTCGACTGGGGTGGAAGGGTGGTCCTGTGATGTGCGGCGTTGACCAAATGGAACGCCACCGAATGACGGAGACCTTTGTGAGTCGATCGACGATCGCCCCCGAAAATGTTCAGGCGATGCATTTGGAGCATACTGGGATGGCATGTACTTTGAGGGACCGCTGGTGGAAATAGGTGCCGGCTGAGCAGCCCCTACGCCCGGATATGACCCGTACAGATCAGAAACTGACGGTGAGCGACTGACGGTGGGTGTTCCTGCGACATTGGCGAATGGACCAAAGTCTCCCACCTCTCCTGCTTTGCCTGGGCCTGTCGATGCCGCGTCGGCCTCGTCGCCGGCTACGAAGCTATTGAATCGGGCCCACATGGATCCTGAGACCTTCTCCATGCTGGGCTTTGAGATCCAAGAACCACCATCTGTCGTAGTCTGACGAAGACGGGCAGAAAGCTCGTCGACCTCTACAAGAAGAAGTTGGTGATGGTACGGCGAGGGTCGCGTCGATGACTTCAGCGATGAAGCGACGCCATCACAGTAAGCCTGGGCCTCAGTTTTCCGGCCTCTGTCTGCAAGTTTCCTCGCGTATATGAGCTTGAAGGCCAGGAGGTAAGGCAAGGTGGGTGCAGTGGAATTTCCAAGCACACTTGTGGCAAATTCATACACTTCGGTGAGAAGTATGGCGTCTTCATCTACCAGGGAACCCGGGTGTCGCTGGTGATCTGCTCCGAGAAGGACAATGTTCGCTTGAGGATCGTCGGCGCCGCTGAATATGGCGCTGCGAGAAAATAAGAAGCAGATGTGTGCAGCCTCTACGCGGCCATAGGAAGCAAGCAAGCGGCCAAGGGCAAGCAAGGCAGACTGATCTTCAGAGCTGCGGTTGCTCAGCACCATAGCAATTGTGTCTTTCCAGCTGTTCAGGCCTTCCAATGCGTTCTTCTTCGCGCCTCGATTGTCATTGATACTGATGAGCTGATGACCAGCTCGGGCAGATGGAGGGACTAGCTCGTCAACACTTTCCTCAATGTTACCAGCAAAAATCTCGTAAACGGCGGCAAGTGATTCTGTGTCACCACCATTCGATTTGATCTCGCGTCGAACGAACTCTTGCACAGCTTGTTTCCAAATCGATCGGTCCATTGTGGATGCAAGAATCAGGGCATGTCCCCACATCCGGCGATCGACCGCTGCCCAGACTGCCTTTTCTCTTTCGCCAGCAAGCAACAAGTTGCGAAGCTCGCCCATCCACTCCGGATCAGCGGCTGCATCAGATTGACTTGGCGCGCTGATTGAGGCAAATGTAGCAAGAGGTTTGGAATCACCTACCAAGGCGCTATCTGGTTCGAGACCAGAGAGACTTGGCACGAATATCTGTCGAAGCGAGCGTTTCGAGTCAGTCGAAGCTTCGAAGCTCCCGTCATTCTCTACCAGCAGCTTCATAAGTTTCCAAAGCAGTATTTTTTCTTCAGCCCGCTTGCGAAGGTCAGGATGAGACCGATCATGGATTTCAGAGATGTCATTCTCGAATGCCGCAATCTTGCTCGAGAGCCAAACAATTACATCTTTCTTCTTTGATTTGGACTTCAAGGGGCCTGGGTGCTGTACAATGGTATCGAAGGATGGAATAACTTCGGTGGTTTTTGACAGCTTTGGTTCTCCTGGCGTGGGCTTGATCATTGGGCTGGCCTGCCCGACTGAATACCGCGGAATATGTTTCGGGAAGCAGGACACCACTGCGCCACCAAATCCGAACTTGAAGATCGGGGCACCTCGCCATCTCTGGAGGGGATCGGCCTCTTGCCCGTCGGTTGGAGCAATAAACTCCAGCTGCTGGGAGTACCTTCTCGCAGGATGCTGTACCGCCGTTGGCAAAGATGCATAGGGATTCGTCGTTTTCGTAGGTGATGACGAGCCATGCACCGACGCGGGACGCGGCAACGTTGCGATTTGCTGAAGGGTTGCTCGAGGACTCGTCAATTGTTGACCCGGCGAGGAGGTCTGAGATCGACGGGGGGCCGGAGCGGATGGCTGCTGACTCAATTCCTGCGAAGGGGGCAAAATTGAGGCCGTATCATGGCCTTCGTATCCCTTGCCCGGCGCGACTCGTTGGGCAAATTCGTTGAGATATTCTGGAGGGGCATATTTGTTCTGAACCGGCGAGGTTTGCCGATTCGTGTGCAGAGAACTTGAGCCAACTATGCCGCCATGCTCGCTCGGCAATTGAGGAGCATAGGGCGAGCCTTGATCAAAGCTCGCGCTCTGGTTGCGGGGCGGGGACAGGTCGACGGAAGGCTGCAACGAGGGCTGCTGTGGCAGATGAGTCTGTCCGTCACCAGGCTGGTACGTAGCTTTCTCATGGTAGGCAAGCGGGCTCGAAGTCCGCGGCTGGAAGGGCAAGTTGTTGACGTGACCCGGAACAGCTAAAGGCTGAGAAGCGTATCGATTACGACCAGCTGACCCGGACGTGGGAGGAGCAGGCGAGTATCTTGAGACTGACGGAGCCCTGGCCGATGGCTGCAGGCCAGGTGGCTGTGGAGAGTATCGGGATGCTGCTGGCGGGCCAGCCGGTGCACTTGAACCCAGTAAAGCTGGTCCAGCATACGGTTCTTCGCGATGGGGAAGCTGGAGCGATGGCTGTGGGTGAATGTTTGCGTGAGGTGTGGCAGCCGGCGCAGTCGGTGCATACGTGTTTTGAGGCGGTGGAGAAGCAAGGACAGATTCAGAGGTTGGGTTACCACCTGGTTGAGGCGAATAGCGACCAGAGTTGGTCACAGGTCGAGACTTTGGAACGGGCAAGGGCAATTCTTCATAGAAGTTCTTCTGAGCAGGCGGAGCTACCGGCCGCGGAGCGCTATGAGCCGCAGGGGAAATGCCCGCTTGCGATACAGCCATCGGCGGAGGTACGAGAACAGGCGCTGACTTTTGAGTTGTCAACGTCCGCCTAGGTCTGGCCAAGTCCTCTGGCAGGTCATATGGTGATTTATATCCCTCCTTTGACCGCTCTGCAAAGCTCTCACCCCGTGGAAGCACAGGGTTTGCTGGTGGATGAGACAACATTTGCGGCGCTGCCGTAGCCATGGTCGCTGGTGTTCCTTGGAACGATATATGGCCCACCAAGTCCGCTGTCGTTGGTTGATGAGGCGTGTAATGTCCTGGGGCCGGTCCAAACCGGTTAGGAGCTCCATGAGTCCCAACAGTAGCATTGATGCTTGGGTCACTGGCGTTTGAAGTGTACGAATTCGTGGCCTGTGGAACGTACTGCTTCTGCGATATGCTTGCTTGTGGCCCAGCCGGTGCAAGTGGAACTGGATCATTCTCCATGAGAATATCGTCATCGTCTAGATCCAAAGCTGCTTCCCACCGAGCAACCAATTCGTCTTCACCAGTGTCGCTTAGTTCCGCCTCCCAGCGGGCAGCAAGTTCATCTTCAGTGGGCCCGGCAGACACTGCATTCTGTTCACCCGTCGCTGTTGAGGAGACTTTCAGAGCATCCTCAAAGAGAGCAGCGGCCTCTGTGTCGCTTTCTGGAGAGGTGATGGCCATTTCCGCAGATTTCATGACTTGCGTAGTCGACTTGCGATGGATAACAGAGGGGGGTGCTTCATTCAGTTCATCCTTGCGAGATGAGCTGAAGAAATCATCCGCGTCGTCTTCCTCGTTCGCAAATGGATCTGCCGTCTCCTTTGAAAATTCATCCGGTGCGGGTGTCCTTGCCTCATCTTCCTCCAACAACGGGACACCCTCTTCAAACCGTGACTCTGACTCTGGTGGTGCAAAGATAGGCTTGGTCTGGGTTTTCAATTGACTGAAGAAGTCATCACCTTCGGAGTCCAGACCGGTTTGTTCCTCCTCATTCCACGAGTCTACTTCCGGCTTCGGTCCTCCAAAGATAGTCTCGTCCGGGCCTCGCGACACATTGGGCTCATTTTGGGTACTGGTCTCCAATCGCACAGGCTGCGGCTGAGCAGACAAGTCGTTGAAAGCGTGTTCCAGATTCGCCGAGTCATGAATTGCCACTTCCTCCCTACTTTTTATAGTTTGAGGGATAGAGGACTGCTGCCATCCCTCGCCGTAATCATTGTCGACATCCTGCGCTGACGGAGGTTCGATGTTGTTGTCAGAGAAAGGGGTAGCTTCCACGTTCTGAGCAGGGGACACGGGCGGCGGCGAAGGTTGCATTGAATCGGTCATTGGCGACGACCCTGTGTGTGACTCGAGGAGTTTATTTTCCTCTGGTTCTGTTGTCTGGGCATCGGGCGTCTCCGCCGCTGCTGTGTTCATGCCGGCGATATCTGGGATGCTGCCTTGGGCAAGCGGTGTCCTCTCCGCTTGTGAAGCAATGTCCACTGCTTTCGGAAGTTTCCCATGTTTGCCTTGTTGGAGGGAATTCGATATCGCAAATTCCTCGTCGCGATCGGATGATGTCACGTTGGGGGCGTAAACCGACTGGGGGTCTGCAGCTGTTAGGGGCGCAGTATCAGAATCCGTTGCATGGTCGGCGAAGTTCCCTTCGGGACGACGAGCAGGATTCCATGATCTTCCGTCATCCACAGGCGACATTTGTTCCGCCATGATGCGCAGCATGCGATTCTCTGCGACTTTGATCTGAGGGCGTTTGTTGCGGTGATCGCCGCAACCTGACACGTCTCCAGTGGTCAACAGTCCCAACTCAGCGGATTCTCGATCAATGTCACGTCGTCTGGCCCATACGCAGCGCGTGTATATGGTCAAAGATGCACGGAGCTCCAAACTTGACACCGGCGTGACTGAAAGAAGCTCAGGAGTTGATTGTAACGAGCACTCCAGCAGTCTAGCAGTAATTACACCTACGCCCCGAGAGTGATAAAGTGGCCCCATACCAACCGCTCTGCTGCGACTGGTCGAGGCACACGCTCCCGGCGGGCCTTGGGCTGAGTCAGCCTTCATTTCCCCGGGCGGAAGATCTATAGTTCCTCTTATCAAAGATAAGAGAGCTCGACGTAGGTATTCACCCCAACACCAAGCGGACACTGTTGTTAATGTTGTACTACCGTTGGGCAATGGTCTACGGAGTACATTCATTGACCACCCAACGCTGATAAAAGAGCGTTGGCATGGGACATAACAGGTAGAACGTGCGGCCGGAAATGCATGAACACATTGCAATGCGTATTTTGAGAGGCAATCGCTATAGAAAGGCCTCGCCTTCAACCAAGGTCAATTGTCTTGTTAGAGTTGCGTCAAGTACTGTAGTTAGCTGCCGCACTCCGCTCTCGACTTATGGAGTCAGGTGACCGTTGCCGCGTAGCACAGGCAGTTTGTCAGGCAGTAATAACTTCCACCTGGAATTCAAGCAGCAGTACAAAGCAGACTTGTGACTTTCCAGTACCGATTCAAGGAGGCGCGTATTAGGTCGCTGACGTCCATTTCTTCCGACTCGAGCGTCATCCCTCTACTTCTCGTCGCTATGCTCCGGCGCAGTTCCGATGTTATTGGATTCGGTATTTGAGAGATGATCATCACATGCGCCGAAAGAGCTAAATTACTTCCAGTCGCTGGGAACACTGTAATCCGGATTACAACGCAAGATCGAAAACGCCGCAATGTCGTCTTCGCGCGATTATATTCACCCACCTCAAGGGTCGCACGATCCCGATGATTTCTCCGGTTCTGATGATGATGACCTTCAGTTGGAGGAGCTCGATCCTCACACAGCCATACCCAGTGCCTCTACCAATGCAGAAGATTATCCGAGTCGCTTGAGAGAGCATGGTCCAGGGATTGCTTTGCGGAACTTGCGCGTGAATGTGGGCAATCGTTGGAAACGGAACACTTCCGGTCATCGTGTGGGAGCTGATGACACCGAAGCTCTTTTGGAGAACCAAGGGGACGATGGGGCACGAAGATCACATGGCAGTTCAGGAAATTTGGCAGACGATGATGCGCCGTTGCTGAACCCACGAGACTCGTTTCAAGCCTCCCGACCGGATCATTCAACGAAAAAGAGTAGCCGATTCCGCATTCCAAGCCTCGGCGCTAGAAGTCTTCTACAGCGAGCAACCCTCACGTCGCGCCACAGTCGAGATGATGGAGAAGACGGGCCACCGCGTGATATTTTTGTTGGCCAATATCAGTCTGCCAAGTATCCGGCCAACGTTGTTTCCAATGCCAAATATACCCCTTGGAGCTTCCTACCGCGCACGCTGTACAACGAATTTTCGTTCTTTTTCAACATATACTTCTTGCTGGTGGCTCTCTCGCAAGTAATACCAATTCTTCGAATCGGATATATGTCGTCGTACATCGCCCCACTGGCATTCGTCGTATCGATATCGCTGGGAAAGGAAGCTCTTGACGATCTTGGTCGACGACGGCGGGACGCTGAAGCAAACTCCGAGGGATTCACGGTCATCTCTGTGAATGGCTCAAGTGTTGTCGAATTAACCAAGAAGTCTCGAGATCTGAGGGTCGGAGACGTGCTCAAGGTTTGCAAAAACCAGCGACTGCCCGCAGATGTTGTCATCTTGAAAAGCGTCTCCAACGACACCGGCTCAGAACCTTCGTTGAAGAGGTCACCCAGTGGCGTTCCCATGAGCACAACTGACGACATTTTCGAATCATCGGATACCGCGCATGGTGCCGGGGCCGCGGGAATCGCCGATAACGCCGACATAAACAACGACACTACCGATACGTTCATACGAACCGATCAACTGGATGGCGAAACAGATTGGAAACTTCGGTTACCGTCTGCTCTGTCTCAGTCATTGCCTTTAAAAGAGCTGTCACGACTTAAAATCACAGCAAGCTTCCCTAGCAAGCGTGTGAACGATTTTGTAGGCACTATTCAGTTAGGCCCACCGTCAGGATTTTACGACACCCATGTCGACAAATCCAGTAGATCCAGCGATGACCACGACTACTCGAGCAGTCCGTCCCAGCAGTCCAGCTCGGCGCCCCTTAATATTGACAACACGGCATGGGCTAATACTGTCCTTGCATCAAACACTGTCACATATGCAACCATCATCTACACTGGCTCCCAGACAAGAGCTGCTCTGTCTACATCGGCCTCTCGGTCTAAGGTGGGTCTGCTAGAATACGAGATAAACAACCTGACCAAGATCTTGTGCGTCTTGACCTTTGCTCTGTCACTCGTCCTTGTTGCTTTGGAAGGCTTCGAGCCCACGAACGACAAAAAATGGTATGTCGCAATTATGATTTACCTGATTCTTTTTTCGACAATTATTCCTATGAGTCTACGTGTCAACTTGGACATGGCAAAGTCTGTCTATGGGCGATTCATTCAACGCGACAAGGATATACCGGGTACCTTGGTGCGAACAAGCACTATCCCTGAAGATCTAGGCAGGATAGAGTACCTGCTTTCAGACAAGACCGGTACCCTTACTCAAAATGGTACGTCAATTTCCACACTCTTTCTGTTACAAACCAATGACAACTAACCTCAACATAGAAATGGAGCTGAAGAAAATTCACGTCGGAACTGTGTCTTATGCGAACGATGCCATGGATGAGGTTGCGACATTTGTCCGGCAAAGTTTCGCTGGGGACAAGTTGACGACCCCATCCACCTCATTCGGAACGCAGGGTGGCCAAGTCAATGCCCCACGTACCAGAAGAGAAATAGGATCCCGAGTGAAAGATCTGGTCTTTGCCCTTGCTCTTTGCCATAACGTCACGCCGACTGGTGAGGATGAGGAAAATGGACGAAAAGTGACAAACTACCAAGCCTCTTCACCTGATGAAATCGCCATTGTCCGGTATACCGAAGAGGTTGGATTACGATTGTCGCACCGCGATCGTCAAAACATTGCACTTGAGTCAACTGATTCAAGAAAGGTTGTTGTTCGTGCTCGTATTCTCGACATCTTCCCGTTCACTTCCGAGAGCAAAAGAATGGGCGTGATTGTTCAATTCGAGCAGAATGAACATATTCTCGAAACAAGTGGAGAAGCAGAGCCCGAAATCTGGTTCTACCAAAAAGGCGCGGACACAGTCATGACTTCCATTGTAGCGGCAAATGACTGGCTTGACGAGGAGACTGCAAATATGGCCCGAGAAGGTCTTCGCACTCTAGTTGTTGGTCGTAAGCGCCTGTCTATCCAGATGTATGAGGAGTTCTCAACGAAACTCAAACAAGCCTCACTTTTGCTTCAAGCGCGAGACGTCGGTATGGCTAAGGTTCTGAGCGAATACCTGGAACGAGATCTGGAATTACTGGGTGTGACCGGCGTCGAAGACAGATTGCAGCGTGATGTCAAACCTTCATTGGAGCTGATGCGCAACGCCGGCATCAAAATCTGGATGCTTACAGGAGACAAAGTGGAAACCGCGCGTTGCGTTGCGATCTCAGCCAAGCTAGTCTCCCGTGGCCAATATATTCACACGGTGTCGAAGGTGGCCGACAAACCAACCGCTCAGGAAGCCCTGGACTTCTTACGCAACAAAACCGATTGTTGTCTCCTTATCGATGGAGAGTCGCTCAATCTAATGCTTGGAGAATTTCGTTCTGCATTCATTGCCGTCGCAGTGCTGCTACCAGCGGTCATTGCGTGTCGTTGCTCGCCAACTCAAAAAGCCGAAGTCGCTAACTTGATCCGCCAACACACCAAAAAGCGTGTATGCTGTATCGGAGATGGTGGCAATGATGTCTCGATGATCCAAGCAGCAGATGTTGGAATTGGAATAGTGGGAAAGGAGGGGCGTCAAGCCTCCCTCGCCGCAGATTTCAGCATCACCCAATTCCACCATCTGACGAAGCTCCTCGTGTGGCACGGTCGCAACTCGTACAAGCGCTCTGCTAAACTCGCGCAATTCATCATGCATCGCGGTCTAATCATCGCTGTATGCCAAACGATGTTTAGCATCGCAGGACACTTCGATCCTAAGGGTCTCTTTATCAACTGGCTAATGATCGGCTATGCTACGGTGTATACAAACGCGCCCGTCTTCTCGCTCGTGTTCGATAAAGATGTCGACGAGCATCTTGCGAATTTGTACCCCGAGCTTTACAAGGAGTTGAAAGACGGCAAGAGCTTGAGCTATCGCTCATTCTTCACTTGGGTTCTGATCTCCGTCTACCAGGGCGCTGTCATTCAGGGACTGTCGCAAATTCTGCTGCAAACTATCACTGGCCCGCGGTTGATCAGTGTCTCCTTCACAGCTCTTGTCCTCAACGAACTGGGAATGGTCGCGATCTCCATTACAACGTGGCATCCAATTATGATCTTCTGCCTCTTTGGTACCCTTTTGATCTACGCTGGAAGTATACCCTTCTTAGGCGACTACTTTGACCTACGCTTCGTCATCACTCTTGACTGGCTTTGGCGTGTGTTCGCGGTTCTCGCCGTCTCTCTAATTCCTATCTGGGCCGGGAAGCTCATCAAGCACTCCTGGAAGCCACCCAGCTATCGCAAAGTACGTGGCTAAAGTCGAGTCAGTTTTGACATGAGTTCCCTTGACCTAAGGGACCTCGGCTCAACGTCATCGAGCTATATATGGTCCACTGCCTCCGATCCCCCTCCTTTGCACTTTTGTGGCCACCTTGTGGTCTGATTAATGACATTCACCGTGTAAATAGTATATTAAGCTCATCTGTTTTTCTCCGCGTGCATATAGCGTCTGAGGAGTGTTTGAACTGCTTTTTCGTCACAGTCATTCATAGATTTCAGGATACGCAATACACCCATTTCGAATCCATCTTTTGAATCAAATTACCGTTCCATCGACTGGATCTAGACGAAAGCAGAACGTGACGGTTTTGCAAGCTGGCTATCAATTGATCTAATCGATATATATATTCTCTCAATCCTCACGACATCTATTCATTCCACACAATCGCAAAGTCGGGCCCTGAAAGGCCATGCATGACACTACCTGTTGAGATGGATATGTAGAAGTATCCATGAAACAATTAAAGCGAGGGGCTACCTGAGGAGTATTAGGTAGGGACAGTCATTGGTCTAGGTAGGTAGGTAGGCGGGCTAGATCTAATGTGGCTCGGTCGATATTAGTGCTACAGCTTCGAACAATTGCGGTGGAAAAGGAATTGTTGTATATTTGATGGAATGTTTATCCATTGTAAACCATCACTCAGTAACATGCTCAGCCTGGAGCACCATGCTATTTATTTTCAAGACATGGGGTAAGAATTAAAAGTCATGAAGATTTATATCGTCTCACATCTACTGGGTCTCTCGACACGCAGTTTCATTCCGTCATTTGGCGTAAGGCTCCGGGGAGAAGACCTTGCGGAAGCGGAAATGCGCGAGATCCTTGATAATCTCGGAAGTCTGCTTGAGGTTCTGCTTGACAATGACAGAAGTGGGCTTGGAAAAGAGCTCATCGATCTCCTCGAGAGACTTGTTCTTGGTCTCAGGCATGAAGATGACCTGGTAGAACCAGCCGATCACGGCAATACCACCGTAGAAACCCAGAGTGAGACCAATACGGGTCATTGCATCCATCATGCGGGAGAAGTTGTAGGTGACAATGAAGGACATGAGGAACAAGTTGGCGTCGGCGGTGGTCATACCGTAGGATCGAAGGTAGGTAGGGAAGACTTCAGAGGGAATGACCCAGGTCAAGCAAGCGTAGGAGCCAAAGAAGCCCATGTACAAGATGATACCGGTCAGATAGACACCCTCGGCGGCAGCGGGGTACTTGTTGTAGTCGATGGTGTAGCCGGCGCCGACGAGAACCAATCCAATGAAGAAGCCAGGCAGCATCACGTTGGCCCAGTACCGGCGACCGAAGCGCTCCATATACAGACAGGCAGGAATAGTGCCGATCAATAGAGCACCGCCACCGACGAGAGACATGAAGACTGACTTCTTGTCGTCGAAGCCAATGTTCTTCATCAAGGTAGACATGTAGTACATGATGGCGTTCACACCGGTCAGTTGACCGAGCACAATCATGATGTTGGCGTAGATGATAGCACGGCGTGCACGAGGGTCGGTGAAGAAGTCCATCCAGGGGTACTTCTTAGTCTGTTTCTGCTCCTCCGCCTCTGCGGTGACAGCTTGACGCATTCCCAGGAACTCCTCCTTGGCCTCAAAGTCATTGAACCCGCGGATCTTCTTCCACACAGCATAAGCTTCAACCTCCCTCTCCTTGTGCATCAGGTATCGGGGACTCTCAGGCATAAACAACATGCCCACGAGCAAGATGGTAGAGAAGATAAGGGATGAGCCCAGAATGTATCGCCAGTTACCGGGGACCGAGACAAACATAGCAGCAACAGCATATCCCAGAACTTCACCCAGAGCAATGTTGAGCTGGTAAAGCGAGACAAGGTTACCACGGACACGGCGAGGGACTGAGACAGACAGGTCAGTAAACTTTCGACCGCGGATAATTTGTTGATGGAGATAAATACTTACCAGACTCGGCGACGTAGACGGGGACAGTACCACCCTCGAGACCGACACCCATACCGAGGATGAACCGACCCGCGAAGATCATACCAAAGTCGATGGCGCCAGCCTCGAGGGCAGCACCGATGGTGTAGAGAATGCAAGAAACAATAATGGCCATGCGACGTCCAAGATATTCGTTGGCAGGGGACAGCAGGAGAGCACCACCAACGGCACCAAGAGGCATACCGGCGTTCACCAAACTGTTCAGAGAATCGGACAAATGCAGATCCTTGGGGAGATAGAGGTTGGCTCCACTGATCAAGGACTGATCCAACCCTGAGAGCAGACCACCCATAGAAGCAAAAGCAACCAAGAGATAGGTCCACATTCTGGGATTTTCGAAAGAGAGCTCGAATCGCGACTTGCGCACATTCGGCAATTGCTCCTCCAGCACTTGCAGCTCGGCATCCATCGCCGCCTCGGTCATGCGGTTTTCGGACTTTGACTCTTGGACATCATCGATCTCGTACGCACCGCCCTCCTTGTGAGAGTCGAAAGGCACCTCGGCGTCCTTGAGCTCCGACATGACGGAATAATGTAGAAATAAGTGCCTTTGGACAGATAATGGCAGAGGGGATGTAGTAGGATTATAAAAGAACAGGCAGCCCCGTAAGTCCTGCAATCTTGAGCAGATCAACGACGTTGCTCAGGAACCAAACAAGTCGGTCTCAATCCGGGGTGGGAACGAAAGCTCTAAACGGATCAAGGGAGAAGAGAAAGATGGGGAGACCTGGGGTAGAAACATTCCAGTGCAGAGGGGGGAAGCACGTCCTATTTGAAGTTTTCAGGACCACGAGGAATTGCGGAGAAATTGCCATGTTACCCCTACTACTTGACTACCACCATGGGTACTGCGCTGCAGTTCCAGAGTCTGACGCCAGACACCCCAGGATGTGGAGAAGCGTCGGGGAAACTCAGAAGGGAAGTCGGTTCAGGAGGCACAGGTGACGGTGGAGAGTGCCCCGAGTCTCCCGATTTTGCTCAACATTCCGAGTCGTCGGGTTGCCTGGAACAAGCTGGGAGCGCCCAACTTCCCGGACGGGATCGGTTCATGATGTGAGTTAGACTCAAGTTGGTCCCAGTCTGTCTCGACTTTGAGTCTTGGAGGGTGTGGGGGAACTGGGCCCAGTCCGGTGGCCTTGACCAACCACGGCATCGGCAGCGACACCCGCAAGCCACCCTCGAGCATCAACTTGAGGAGTCCGGGAGGGTTGTGGAGGATTGTGGAAGGTACGAAAACGCGGGCGCACACCGGCCATCCGATACTGGCATGGCGAGGGTAACGACCCACTGCATCAGGAGGACTTTGTAGGCCAGAATGTGGAGAAGTCAAAACTGGGGAACGTTGACTGGACAAACTGCGGTGACTTTGTGAGGGGAAGAAATTTTTGTCCTGCATGATACATGGCTGACCCAGTCAAACTGTCTGTGGTCCCGTGAGACGGTTTCACACGCAGGACAATATCTTGCATGCCTCACAACAGAACGTGTCCCGTGCACCGTAAGCGTAGCGGTACATAAACTGCACATACATGGTCCAGTCGCTTAGTCGTGGTAAGGTTTAGAGCAGGGCGCTCGGTGGCAAGGTCGGGCTCGAGCTGCGATCGGACTTGCTTGTTCGCGTGAATCGAATCTGCACGCATGTACTGTACAGGATCTCGAGGCAGTATGATTGGGCGGTACAACACTCCCACCGCAGCAATGACGCAGTGTGACCTCCCGTCAATGCGATTCTGGAAAAGTCCCGGCTTCGCGTTACGCAGACTTCTCGGCTTCACTGGACACTCATCATGATGCCATGACTAATATGGCAGAACATTCATGTACCCCGTGGACCGAAATCAGGGCAACGGTGGATGCTCACTGCGTGCTTTACAATTTGTGGAGGAGTGCTGCCACAAACTCTGTTGGTCGTTCAGTAGTCCACTCAAGTCCTAATCACAACGGTGAGTGGACCATATGTCCGCAATTACCGGGATGGTTTCGGACACTGTCCGCGACGAGCGGGATCCAACATGCCATGAAATGTATGTGAAAGCCAGCATACAGCAGGCCAGGTTGGGCCAAGACTGATTTTCCGCAACACATTACGCAGTCACACGAAAAACTTGGGGGTACCCCACGGAGTCTCCAGACGACTCCAAGGCAGGTCGGCGCCACTTCGGCGAAATCTTGAGTTTCGATCTTCACTGGGCGTCCCAGAACCTTGCCGGGCCGGAACCACAGACCGATGTCGATCTGGCCGATAATTGGATACAAGGAACTCAGGTTCCGGCCGGAATCGCTCTAGGGCTGGATGAGAGTACCGATACCAATTCTTGACCAGGGACGGGACTCAAATTATCGCGAGATCATTCCCATGGTTGACGATATTCCAAGCAAACGATGCCATTGCAAAGACCGGCCAATCCCTCAGATCTGGGGGTTCTACCGCGACGCAGCAGGATCCCGTCTCTTCAAAGCCGGGTGTTTGATTGGCTGTGGCTAAAAAGCTTGGTCAAGCGATGGCTTCGGGCACGGAGCGCAGTGAACCGCTGGCCTTCTCTGAGCCTGAAAAACGACGAGTAAGTTCAGCCCTGAAGTTAGCAGGATGTCACGCATGTTCTGTCCTTTCGACCAGGCCAGACAGTGGCATATCTCATAAGTCAATGATCGGATGAGAAATGCACGGGACACATACCTCCTAATAGCAGGTGGTTGGTTCAGATGGAAGCAAGTAGGTGGGGGGCAGAAAATCGGGGCGTCGTAAGGAAGTGTCATCACCAAGGCGAGTCACGAGTCAGTGAGATCACATGGCGTCTATTGTACACTACGGCACACATTGCGATACTCGCTCCGATGAGGGGGACAGACGTAGGATGTAATGATATCGAAATGTTCTAGCTACTGTAGAGTGTGCACCGTACACTCTACACGCTGACACTAGAGAATGGCGTCCACTGGGACCTCATCGGGCCCAGATCTCGAGCAGAAACAATGTAGAATGTTAATCATATCCGGGCCCTTGAATGTTGCTATATCTTGGTCTGGTAGGCCACCTCAGTACCTATAAAGCTTGGCTCAATAGCTATTGCGAGAACAGCTTTACACTTGAATAATGGAGGTGATCGTGGCTGCACCTTTGTCGTTCAAAAACTCTCGCTAGCGTATCTGAGCTATTATGTTATATACACACAGCACTTGAGTCTAGAACAGACTGACACATGTCCGCGATTCCCCGCGCCCCCCGCTCAGTAAGAGTACGACTTGACCCCAGGTATGCAATCCACACACCCCACCTACCACTGTCTCCCTCCGACAGGCTTGCGCACGCTAGGGTCGAGATTTCCTGGACTAGGAGATCTGCCACCGTGCAGGCGAGCCCGCAATCGTTCCTGCGCCGATCCTGCCCCAGATCTGCTATCCTGACTGGACTGCGATGACTGATATGATCCAGACCGTTGAGAAGGTAGCGGTCGAGCTGCCGAAGGTGCATGAGGCTGGAAATTTTGAGGGGGAGGCGACATCAGGGGCCCCGGAGAAGCGCTTTGAGGTGCAATCATTGACCCACTGGCACCGCTCGCACCACTGCCGCGACCCCGGCGAAGACTGGCTGTCTGAGCGCTTGCCGGTGAGGGTGCACCTGAATCACCCCAGAGGTCACCGAGTCCACCACCACTATTCCGGCCGTAAGCACCACTGGGCGCCCCTTGTCCGTGTTGTCCGGAGGCAGTCGCAATGGGCCGAGATGCGGCAGGGGCTGGAGCCTTAGGATCTGGAGGAAGCCATGCAGGGAACGATCTTCCCTTCTCGGTGTAATAGGCACGTAGCGCATTAGAGATATGGGAGCAATCCTCGTTGTCTGGGTCGTCCCCCTCGTCGCCTAGAGAGATGGCTCGGCGCAAGCTGTTGAGCCGTGATCCCAGAACATTGGAAATAGAGGAGGAGCTTTTGAAAGATGCGAGATAGGAGCTCATATTAATGCGTGCAGAAGGTGAATAGAACAAGATCGATCGTGGGACAATGTACAGTAGAGGCCGTGGATGCGCCGATGTGATGATGTGGGGTAGCTGGTGATGCGGAGTTGGGACTCGGGTGGCGCACAGCGAAGCGGAAACAGAGAAGAGGCGAGGAAGGGAGGCTCGTTCTCTGATCAGCAGATTTTCAGGTACAGCTGATGGAATTGCACTTGCACGCCACGAAAAGACCAGCTTCTGTGAGTGATGTGGGTTGCGGCGATGAGGTTCGGTGCACAGATCAGCTAAGAAAGTCGACTCCCGCTGCTGGCCCGATTAAATTGGCACGTGACCAGGACTGAGCTCGACGAGCCGATTTCCGATTGAAAGTCTGGCATACAATGTCATGGGAAGCGAGAGAAGAGTCTGCTTCCCAAGGCTGTAGAAAGAGTTTACTCGGTGGCTTTAGAATCTAGAGTTGACGAATGGGACATGGAGGTCGATGCAATATCTAGTTGGGTATGATGCCCGATCAAAATTAAGCACAAAGAAGAAAGAGAAAAAGTCTCATCCCAGAACGCCATGCACAGATCATATAAAGCTTTTCTTCCCGCAGGTCCAGCCGAATATTTACGCCATGATGTGGTTCTTGCCAGCATCCTCGGTCTCGTATTCGATCTCGATACGAGGACCCTTCTTCCGCGGCTTAGCTGGAGGAGCGGCATGCTTGCGCTTCGTGGCAGACTTGGGCTTCTTCTCATCCTCGCTGGAAGCACTCTCCTCATCACTCGCTTCATCGCTCTCGTCATCCTCCTCGTCGTAATCGTCGCTGGAGTCGGCGGAATCGCCACCCAGCCAGTCCTCAATGTCCTCCAGATCCTCTTCCTCGTCGAGATCGCTGACATACTCGACCTCGCCAACGCCCTCCTCTTCGTCCTCGATCTCCTCGCCATCATCCATGTCCTCGTCACGCTCGCCTTCACCGGCACGCTCCAGACCACGCAGAACCTTCTTCCAGATGTTCTCATCGACGTTGAGCGGCTGGTCACCGTAGGCGCCACTGCGCAGACGCTCAATGAGTTCACGTTCGATGGCACGTTCAACTTTGGCTGCGGACAGAGCCTTGCGCTCCCGGGTCTCTTCACGCCGGCGAATCTTGGGTGCCAATTTGGGCACGATCTTCTCGCCAAGACGGTCCTCCTCCTTGGCAATGTTTCTCATGCGGATTTGCACCTGCGTCAGACGGGTGAGACGCTGCTTGCACTTGTGGACCAGGAATTTAGGCCAGTAGATCAGACGCTCGTCAAGTTGCTCGAGGGCCTTAGCATAGTTCGACGACAGGCGAACACGCTCCCACCATTTGCTGGGCATGTGAGCACGCTCAACAGTCTTCATGTAGAGGTACATGTTTCCGGTCTCGGGGTCGGAGCGCACTGTTGCATATCGAGAGTTGGCAAGTGGACATGACTGGCGATTGCACAGACCAGTAACATTGTGCTCGTTGCGACAAAAATTTTGCTCCTTGGTGGTTCTGTTTCAAAGTATCAAATTAGTAAGGTAGGATGGCAACTTTGTTATGTCTTATTAGATGTTTTCAAGGCCATCGTCTTTTTTTTGATTTTAATGGCCTTTCATATATAAAGGACAAAACATTTGGGTGGCGCACTCACTTCAGCTTATAGGAGCAAAACTGCTGATTTATCACCTGCCATACGATCTCGTCCGACATGACGGGCAGAGTGCGATGTTATGTTTGATGCTAGAGAACCTTTACCTTGGTGTTGACGGAAAGGAAGAAAAAAAAGTTAGGTCACGTGGCATGGGCCTTATCGATAGCCGGCTCAGGCCAGCCCGCGAGTGATGTTAGAGGAAGTCCGGTCAGTTAGTTTCAATCCTATTTACTAAGGAGCAGAGAAACGTTGTCGCAGAAATGAAAATGATTATGAATATTCTCCGAGCAAATTTACCAAGGTAAACAAGAGCTCAACAGGTTGATTGGGTATTTTAAGTTATTCATATCTTCGGCGAGAAGCTTTAAGATTGCAGCTCACTGTTGCCAGGGAGCATCTACTGGAAATTGACTGGCATCCGCCCACTCACCACTTGGTGGATTCCCGCTCTGATCCGCATCCTCTCCGTTTGCCGCTTCTTCAGCTAAACCCCACCCCATCGACTCCAGTTCGCGGGTGAAGAAATCCCGTTCCTCGTCCATGATGTTGGCACCAGCATCTCCGCCCATAACGTCCTTGTACTGACGAAGATGCCACCAATGTGTCAGTCCCCGAAGAGCCTGCTCAAGAGGCAGTGCCTCTTCGACTTCCGCGTCAACGTCCGAACCAGCAAGCCAATCATCCCGCAGCTCCGGTCGGCAGTAGAGGTAAATAGCAGTGATAACTCGCATATTGCTTTGGCGCCATTTGCGACCACAGTAAGGTACTTGCGACTTGAAGAGCTTGAGAGTGTAAAATCGAAGATGAGGGTCCGGAATCTTAAGCCCTTTTCGAAGGATAGTGCTCGACTTGTACTGCACGAGAAGAAGACAGCGATGCGCCTTGTCTCTCGTGATTTTCTGCATTATGTGAAGAAAATTGATCGCAGAGAAGAAATTGCGGAATGAGAAAGTCGTGATAGGTTCCTTCGGCGGCGGAGCAGTAGGATATCCAAGCTCATCAACTTCTGGCCGCTTGGGTCCATCCAAAATATCCTCAAACGAGCTGTCTGGGGAGAAAGCTCGAATGACGCTGTCGCTGGTATGCAAGGCAGCCCTCTGCCGAGCTATTGGCGGTGGAGCAGCTTCGTCCTCACTCTCAGTGTCCCCGTTGTCTGCGTGCTGCGTTGCAGGTTCGGTAGTTTGACTGCAGAAGTGGAAGAACCTGAAATGTTTGACAGTCAGCGATTAGGCCATATATTCGTTAAGGTGTCAACGTACGATAGGTCCTCTCGGTCATTTTTTTGCGCCACGGCTTGATCCACGTCCTGATGCGCGAACATTTTGAGGATCAAAGGCAGGTAGTTTGAATCAAGCAGCAATTGGGTCATGTATTCAAATTTCAAAATATCTAGACAAGTAAGTAGGGGGGACATGGAATTCAACATGACGAGGCAGTTTGGCTTACGCGACCGCTTGAACCATTTCAACAAAAGAAGCAATGTGCCAGACACAGCTTTGCCGGTGATTTCTCGTAGGCGGATATTATCCAGTTCGTCTACGGATAGATCGGACGGTAATTGTCCAGACGATACGCCGTTTTGCGAGCTGTTGACTTGGGCTTAGCGACTGCTTCCGATTATAGGCAGGTGATTTCGAGATTCTGGTCTTGCATACCTTGTACTCTGAGAGGCCTGGGAGTTTGGCTGGCTCACCATGGCGCTGACGTTCGTGAGAATGATCTTGAGGAAGACAATCGTTATGGACTGTAGATGAGCCAAAATGTGGGCCTTGTGCAGATGTCAGTGCCTCATTCTTTGCGACAAGCCTGATTTCACTCACATATAATGCTTCCACCGCATCTAGTCGCCGCTGTACATCAGGGTCGTCTATCTTTTCCTGGCGAATGTGTGACTCGCCTTCTCCCAGCTTCAAATCCTCCAGTCCAGCTGTAATATCATCGAGGGGAGGGAAATTTGGCACCGCTGGGTGGGATTGTTCAAAATTCCAGCCTCGGTCATATTTCATGAAGTTTTCTCTTTCCTCCCACATCTGTCGCATCGCTCGTGTCATTTTGACGTGAGTTGAAAACAACTTTCCCGCCTCGATGACAGATGCAGGCACGTCGCTACCGTCCCAGCGTTTGCCCACTAGAACATCCTGACGTTCTGTCGTACCCTTACCCCCAATCTGATTGCTAGTGTCATCCAATGGAGGGTACAAGAGGGGAAAGTTCTGGTTTGTCTGATAATTCTGCTTCTTGCCCGCCTTCCCTCCGGGTCCAATCGGTGACGGGGGCGGTGATGGTGCTGGAGTTGCAATGTGAACTGCTTGCTGGATGATAGACCCATTCCCACCGGTGATAGGTGGCCCAACTCCACAGAAAAGGCCACTGGACGCACTTGACCTGTTAGGGTGCTGGGGCAGTGGCGGCAGAATAGAATTATTCTCGAGTTCCAACGGGACAACTGATGGAGGTGGATTGTACGATGGGTATTTAGACGTGATCTCTTGACGGAACAGATGGTAGTCCAAGGGCTTCGCGGTTAGGAAAGGAGTTCTGCGGGCTGCAGCCTCCTCTTCTGAAATCAGAGGTGGTTCAAGTATCTCTTTGGTCTTCTTTAACTTCTCGCTGCCTCCGAACACAAGGAGAATAGATTTCCAAAGAAGCAATATGATTCTCGTGAGTGGAATATTTGCGGATTCATCCCACCGCAGCCGAGCAATTACTTCCACAATGGTCACTAGCAGACAAGGGTTTGATGCAGCAAGCGCATCCCGTATCGAAGTATTCTGCGGATCCCGTGCTTCCTGTCGCCGACCGACTTCAACGGAGAAGTAGAGAATTGTCAGCACCAGATTTGCCTCACGCTCAGGAGCGGCGATATCGCCTGGACTAAGCCGTTCCAATTCCAGATCCTCGGGGTTCACACCCAGTGTGGCCCGGTTCTTATCATATAATTGAGAAAGTCTGAGAATGAGGGCGCCAATTCCTGAACATCTCTGAAGAAGACTGACATTCTTCTCCATCCAAGAAATCTGGAGCGAATTCGATCGGGGGGTTTCAGCTGCGCTCCGTGTGTCCATCTCCTTGGGGTAGTCGGGTGATTCGCGCCCACCGGTGATTCCCCAGACTCCAGTCACGGCGTAGCAGAGATTCTCCAGTGCCTCGAGCCGCGTTGAAACTTCATCACTTCGCAGATCTTCCAGGGATCGTTTAACAAAAGCCTCGCGCATGTCCTCGGAGACTTCAGTCCACGAACGCTCATCTTTTCCAGGGGCATACTGTTGAGAAAAGGCAGCCCATTGTCTGTCGAACGAGATTTTCATTTCAGTCAACATCACGCGATCAAACTGGTTGTACTGAAACCACTCGTTGAGTTCGTCCGGGAAGGATTGAGCGTCGGCATATTCAAAGGCGTAGGCCGGCTGTTCAATCTTGGGAATGTCCTGCACAAGCTTCCGCAACTGAGCCAGGCTTATGGAAGAATTCTGTAGTCGGCCTCCATCCTGTGCATTGGGTGCTGGAGGTGGTGGTTGTAGCGGGGGTGGAGGAGCAGAGGCCTCACGTCGCAATTGCGGTCTTTGTGAAGTTACCTTGGACTCTGTCGGGCCATCCGAGCTCCCAGGAGCTTCGAGCGATTGCTTTTGTTGCTGTAGCTCCTCTGCGACCTTATCCATCAACTGGTCATCTGGAACTGGGGAAATATCGCTGCCAGTCTGGTCCACCTCATCAGCCTTGACAATGTGACTTTGCCTTGTATCCGTATTGGTGTCAGTCTCTGATGATGACGTTCCCTCCATGGTGAGGAGCCAGGCTTAGCGAAGAGACGGAAGGTTGGACCTGGCAGTTTTTATGGTGCTCGATTATCGGGCGAAAGGTGGCGGACAGGAACAGGGCAAACTGCTTAAAAGACGTGATCATAAGCCTTCATCGCCAGTCGATATGAGTTGACGCAAGACGCCTTGACAGTTGCACAGTCTGATCGAGCGGTATCACAGTATGGCCGGTGCCATGGTGTACATGTCTGGCCGTTTTGTCGTTTTGTTGATAATGTTGTCCCTGGCATCTGCGGGGAGCAGCGGCGATCAATTTATCACGTGATTTACGTTGATGGTAACGGTGTTATCGCATCGACTACATGGCAAAGAAGCCATACAGTATCATTGGGGTAGCGTGGTAAGAGTGGAAACTGGATAGTCCCGCGGCCTGGCATTTGTTGAGTTCTTTCGTTACTTTTCAGCCGCCTATCTGGGCATATCTGGTTGCGAGAAACATATATTGTGAGGATCATCTGTATGTTCGAAGGTGAGTATATGGGTCTGGACTCATGTCTTTGGCCTCTACTGAGAGACAGCTCAACAGGGGGAAAGGCTTAATGCAATCAGTGTCACGACGAGACGTGATTCATAATGGCAAAAAACGACCACAGTTTGTCAGTCAGCCACAGTAGCTCAGTCGGCTGCGGCCTCGTCTTCCGAATTGGTGTAGTGGCTAACATCGTCGTCTCTCACACGACAGCCAGGGGTTCGATTCCCCTATTCGGAGTTTCTTTTTATGCTTACTCCAAAGTCAGCATGTAGTCAATGGGAGGGGATGACATTGTTTTGAATAACAAAGTTCGCTGAGGGTAGCATGATTATTGGCACATTTTAAGTATTTCCTTTCCACCTTGTGGTAATGGATGCAGTTCCTGAGACATCGCAGTTATGTAGTTTCCTACCCATACATATATGGTATCCCATCGAAAGTTGCAGGTCTCCAGTTTCTAATGTCCACTACCTACTTTCCCTCACGTAGTACTAGGTAGGCTACACTGTGAATGATCAATTTCTCCATATTCAATGATTCCTCAACAGTGTGACACAGGCGGCCACTCCCACGGACACCTAGTAGGTTTTCAAACAACAATCCTCGTCATTCAACCCACAACCTCTGGTACAATTGGTTCGAGCACTCAGACCAGCCCTAGCCGGCTCGACTCGAAGCCCAGATTCCCGTCGTTGTCTGGAAATTGGTACCAATACCTATCTAAGAAAATGCGCGAACTTATGTGCTAGGTGGTAAGTGAGGTATCAGGTAGTGATCCTAGGAGAAGGTATAATACTCTGCAGTCTGCGTGCAGTCATGCACTGATGCAGAATGTGAATCTCCAATGGTGGGGATATCTACCCGCCCGGTGGCACGTACAAAGTACCAAATATATATTCGCACTGATTATCAACACCTCGTTACTCCGAAAATCACCGAACGGACTTCGATTTAGGAGTTCAACCTCTGGCCCCAGTACAATTCCTCCTGGCAAGACAACATTTCAAAACTCAGCTCCCGAACGATCAAGCGATGAGGCTCAACACATTGTATGCCACACTCGATTGCGCATTGTCGTGCCAAAGCACTATTCTGACTTCCTCAGTGACTTACTCCGCTTCTTCAAGCGGAGAGCTTCCCACTGCTGCCAACCTGCTTCCGCCAGGTCCTCATTGACCAGCAAATCTCGAACCCTCAGAAGGCGGCACACGGTCATCTCAGTCGCCCAGTCGATCCAACCCGACCGACGGAGTAGGCCCGTCACCGCAAACCATCCGCACGCACACAAGAACCCGGCTGCCGAGCCTGCCAGAACCTGCTGGGGCGTATGGTAGCTTAAATAGACGCGGCTGGCGGAGACAGCCACTGCGCTAGCACATAGGCCAACAATCAAGGCGCTTCGCAGTAGGAAATCCGAGTAAGGGTAGGAACCAGCGTATGAGGGCGAATGGCGAAATGCGAGGAAAAGAGACATATAGACAGCGAAATATGTCATGAATTGGGCGTGGGACGACGGCATGCCATATCCCTTACCGAACATTTCTGTTCAAGCATATGAAAACTCATCGATTAGCGCTTGCCTTCTGGTGGCTAAGTGCACTGACTCCGAGAGTTCAGACAGTATAGGCTACTTATTGGGGCTCCTTACCCTTCGGTCGCTCCTCTTTGATGACTCTCTTCAGAGCAAAATTCAGTGCCTCACAGCCAAGCTGCCCACCAAACATCAGAATGACTTCGACCTCGCGCGAGGCCCAGATCAGGGTCGCATAGGAAACGCAGAGCGCCTGAGGAGCGAGAGCCAGCCATGCTGATGCGAAAGACAGCGGATCTTGGGGGTTCTTAGAAAGATGTTAACAGCTGGTCTTTTGCAAACCTCAAAGTGAAAGGTTCAAGTCACGCACATAATGGACATGCGTGAAAGATAGTGAGGCAAGGGGAGTGTCGCCCATATTGAGATGTATTCAAGCTTGACGCTCTCTGAAGAGGCCTAGGAGTGAGGAGAGGCAACCGAGACAAACGAGACAAACGTGGTAGAAAACTTGGAGGATATGCCAAGTTAAACGGGCCGAAGACCGTTTGTCTTCACGATCGAGCGCAAGGAAGCTTGAATGTTGATTGATCTGAAGGACTCGGCCCGATCAATTGGAATGCGGTAAAGAAGCACTAGGCGGATAAACCGACTGCTCGATAAGCCGATAAGCCAGCAGCCGATAAGCCGATACTGCGACAATGGTGGTGTATTGTAAGTTAACTGTACGGTAATCGGACAATTTAGTTTTTACTGTGAATTGTGGAACTTCATGATTGCAATGCATGATGCTGCCAGCTGCACTAACCTACGTACCTAGAGATGTACATAATACCTATCACCTATACCGTGGCATGCATAAAGCTTTATAATGGTAACATCTGCAAGGTCTATTCACTCAGCCACCTTGTTCAGTTCTACCATAGTTTCCAAATGGGATAAGGGGTTCCTTGACTGCAGCATCATCATTAGAACTTCGTAGGTCACGTACTTCATAGGTACATAGCTATGGATGTAATCAACCAAGTTCTATTGACGAATATGCATAAGGAAGCTAAGGTTGCGTAATGTAGCAGACTCGCAGAAGTCGTTTGCTACCACTAGACTTTTATTCTGGACAGCAAGTTGTAACAGTGTTCCTCTGGCTTATGGACCTACTTTAGCAGACTGCCACCTCCGACAACTTCTAAGCTGATATAACGCTGTATCGTACAGTCAGAGACACAGCGGTAACTTACAGCCACCAACCGATAAGAAGTCCCACGTGCTCCGCCTGAAGTGCAGAGCGCACGGCGGGGACCCGCAGTCAATTTGATGAGGGCGGGGGACACAGAAAAAGGGCCGCCGTGCAGGGAAACCAACACAGCCACCAGCCATCATTCAGGCATCAAAAAAAAATGACCACCTCATATTGGACATCATTATATCTGTTTCATCTTTCATCCCGTATGCTCACCTAACCTGCACTTCTCACTCTGTCCTCAGAAATACCATTATTCTTCTACTTCACTTCGAACCATGACGCAGTCCCTGTCACTGACCACTCCCGTTTTCTTCTTACATCATTTGAGAGACCCCGCCTCGACCCAGAAGTCACGACAAGGACGAGGGCGATTACAGAGCATCAAGACGCCTTGATTGTGACTTGTATATGGTGGAGTGCCTCGAGGTACGGTTCGAGGTGACCGTAAAGGGTACCTACCTCATATATATACATTACGTGAGGATCGACCAATTAACTCTGGTTGGACCTTTCTTCAAGATCGCCACTGGAGGACTTGAATTCAAAACCCGCTTAGCACCTGCCCACACGCACGGTATGTAGCCATTCTCGACTTCCCTATGCCATGACTGGATTGTTTCAGTATCAGATCCAGTTCCGTTCCTTCTGCTGTGGCAGATGCCGGTGGCACTAGGTAGTTTGTGACGTTGAGATCTTTTCTAACATCGACGGCGTCGCACCTTTAGGGCTGGTCACAGAATGGATGACAATACAGATGAAGATGACCGATCTGTGGAGCTCACCTCAATCGCCGCCATCTACCCAGAAATCAGAATCGATCCAGAGAATCCATATAAAGCCTTTCTTGACCTCCCCGTCTCTCTGCCGTCGCCGACACGAGTCTGCTTCCAACAGCCGGTCGATCTGAAGTTACCGGCGGCATTAACGCCGCCAACATCGACGGACGGCTTCAAAGATGAGCTGGGACAGGACGCCAATGAGGACATTCATCTACTGTCGCACCTGCCACCACTGAACTTGACAATTGAGCTACCTGTTGGGTATCCTGCCGAGAAACCGCCGATTGTGCAGCTCACGACCCACCCGCGATGGCTCCCAGCGAAAGTACTCACCCGCCTGATCGAGGATTGCGTGCGACTGTGGGAAGAATGTGGACGGGACATGGTTGTCTTCACATATATCGACCATCTCCATCAGTCAGCGGAGTTGGCCTTTGGAATTCAGGACACCACTGAGGGTGCGCTCTCTCTGTCTCGGGACTTGAAGGTGGCATTACTCGACTTCAATGGGAGCATGGAACGAGAGAAGTTCGAACAAGAGACCTTTGAGTGCGGAGTGTGTCTCGAGCCGAAGAAAGGTGCTACATGTCACCGCCTTCTTCGATGCTCTCACGTGTTTTGCGTCCCGTGCCTGCAGGACTTTTACAATACTTGCATCACCGAGGGCGACGTTGACAGCGTGAGATGCTTGGCCCCCGATTGCGAGACGACGCGAAGCCCCGTGTTGGTGCCCGCGGACGGTCACACACCTCGTCGAAGCAAAAAACGGGACCGTACACTGGGTCCTAGTGAGCTTCTACAGATCCCTCTGTCACCAGAGATCGTTCAACGATTTGTCTTCCTGAAGCGCAAGAAGAAGTTAGAGTCTGACAAGACCACCGTATATTGCCCTCGTCAGTGGTGCCAGGGTGCCGCTCGGTCGAGACGGCATCCCAAGCCCACAGATCCAATGGCTGACCCTGAAGATGCCGACGCCTCTGACGACGAGGATGAAATCAAATATGACCCATCAGGACAGAAAGGTGACCTACCGCCGGTTGCTGAGCGTGTCGCAATCTGCGAAGAGTGTAATTATGCCTTTTGCAGTGTTTGTCGGAAAGGCTGGCATGGAGAGCTCGTCAGGTGTTTACCACAGCGCAAGAAAGAGGAACTTTCGGCCGAAGAACAGGCGACCGAAGAATATTTGCGTTTATATACTTCCATGTGCCCGACATGCACTGTTCCGTGTCAGAAACGGATGGGTTGCAATCACATGCGTTGCTTCCAGTGCGACACCCACTTCTGCTATCTGTGCTCGGCGTGGTTGTCCCCTGACAACCCATATAGCCATTTCAACCAAAGTACGAGCACATGCTACAACCGTTTGTGGGATTTGGAGGGGGGTGATGGATTGGATCCAGAAGGGGCGGAGGCTCTGCACCGGATCCCCGAGGTGCTCTTGCATTTCGACGTCGAGGAGGAACATAATGCAGGTGCAGAGAATGGCGGCCAAGAAGATGAGCCATTGGAGCTGGATTGGAGCTCGGGTTCTGAAGAGCCGGATGATGCACCCGGATGGGACTACAATCAGAATCGATATCTCCAGCCACCGCCGCCGGCGCCTGTGCCTCCGAGAAACCCAGCTGCTGGCCGAGCTGGCGATGCTAATAATCCTCGGCCTGACGCGGCGGCTCGTGCCGCGATGGAACGAGAAGAGCAAGCGCGCGCGATGGCCGAAATCCGTCAACGGAACCCCAATGGCAATCGCCTGCCCCCCGGACACCGGCAAGACCAAGTTCGTGGTCGCGCAGGCCCCGAGCCGCGAGGAATGGCGGGGCTTCAGCGGTTTCTGGAGCTTGTGCAAAATGATCGTGAGGATGAATGGGACAGTGATGAGCTGGAGGACTTTTAAATCTGCACAGGACGTACAGTATGCTGTGGACCAACAATGAGCTTGTCTAGCATGGTTCAAATCGACAAAATGGGTGCATGGTGTTTTTGAAGCGTGTGATGTTTTTGATGATGAAATTCCAAGTCTCTGCTACTCATCGATGTGTATCTAAAATGATTTAGCGCGTGGGGTCGATCCAAGGTTGCTTTTCTAGCCTAAATCTCATCTCATCAATAATGACTACGAACGTCGAAACAGGGCCAGCTGTAATAGTATCACCAGCAACCGATCAACCAAACACCGCGTGCCATGGACACGCCGCTAACCTCATTGCTTAGGACCTTCACCACATACGTCACTTCCGTTGTGGACCTTGAGGACCACAAATGTTGAATGCGGAGTCTCGGCCCAAAGCAACAGCCAACGTTGACTTCGCCGGGTGCCTTCCCGCCAATGCTTCTGCAATGTCACATTGAAAAGCAGTGGTCTCTAACTTCAATCCCATATATGGCATCTTGGCATTTCAGTAACCGATGATGCTTCAGTAATGCTTTTTACCTCCACTGCATAAAGAGGTCGTTTTCTAGATTCCTCCTCATGAGAGACTAGCGATGCACTGAACGTCCAAGCGCCTGCGCCGCGCAATCTATTCAACCAACGTCATCAGCCCGAACCAAGTCGCCCGTTGTCGGACTTGGCCAGGCAGCACCAAAAGGTTCATTTTAATCACCTGGGTATTCCTGGATATCACCAATGTTGAGGGGGCAACTCAAAATCACGACCACGGCTTCATTTCAAATCTCATAGTCGCCAATGCAATCTAAATCATCGGCCGATAGGCCTGCCATGTTGGCTGGGGCCTTGAAACGCAGTTTCTCCGCTGCGAGTCTGGATTACCTTGGCGCTCGTTATGTCGGCGCTGGCCACGAGATATGCAGCTACACTTCACAGCCCGTCCGCATCCCCATGCGTGATGGAGTCCACCTGGCCGCGGATTTCTATGCGCCGGAAATCCCTGCCGGAAAGAACCCAGCTGGACTCATTCTTATCCAGTGCTGCTACGGCCGCGGGTCAGGGATATCGTTCATCAATGCTCGAATCTATGCGGCTCGAGGGTATCAGGCGCTGTTCGTGAGCACCCGTGGCACGTATGGCTCCGAAGGCGTCTTCGACTCCGGCCGCAGTGAGCATCTCGACAGCCAGGATATCGTGATCTGGATGCGACAGCAACCATGGTATCGGGGCTCCTTTGCGACTCTGGGTGCCTCTTATTTAGGGTATTGCCAGTGGGCACTCTTCAACGACCCCCCGGAGGATTGTGTCGCGGCTGTGATTCCTGTGGCACCGCATGACCAGGCACTACATGCATGGGGGACAGGATCCTTTCGCTTGGATCGAGCTTCGTGGAGTGATGAGATGTCTCGGAGGCAGGATGAGAAGGGCAGTTTCCTTGAACGGCTGGCCAACATGCCCGGCTTCAGTTTCCTACGGTCGCCAGAGCTGGATAACGCACTCGCTCGTCTCCCACTAGAGAAGTCGCTGCGGACATATTTCGGGAATCGGGCACCCTGGCTCTTTGAGTATCTCAAGCATTCCGATATCAACGATGAGTACTGGACCCCATGTCGTCACCATGCAGCTCTTGATCGTGTCAAGATGCCTATTCTGCTCATAAGTGGTTGGTATGATTCGTTTACGGAGCAGACACTGCATCAATTTAAGCATCTGAAACAAAGGAACGTGAACGTCAATTTGATTGTCGGGCCCTGGACGCATGTCCAGGCATCTGGTCTGTTTTCAGTGCCTGACATACTCGATTTCCTTGCAGAAAATGTGGCAAAAACTGGATCATACAAACATCCGGCAGCGAAGATCTATGTCACTGGTGCTGAGGAATGGAGAGCCATGTCTGATTGGCCACCGAAATCGCAACCAAAGACCTTCTACCTGCAAGACCGCAAATCTCTCGGACTAGTGTCGCCAGCCGAAAATGCAACGCCCGCTTCCTTCATCTTCAACCCGTTGGAACCCACCCCCAGTCTCGGTGGGAATCAAATGGCGGCTGGTGGACGTGTAGATGACAGTGAATTGGCAGACCGATCCGACGTTTCAGTCTTCACAAGCGAGCCGTTAAAAGAAGACCTCGAAATCTTAGGTGCGCCAACTGTGCACCTGATGCACACCAGCGACCCTCCTATCGCAGACTTGTTCCTCCGGTTGTGTGAGGTTGACACTCGTGGTGTCTCACATAATGTGACGGAGATGTACCAAGCTCTTCAGCCGTCTCGTGAAACAGGAAAATCTTTACTCTTGACTTTCCGTGACTGCGCTCATCGTTTCAAGAAAGGTACTCGAGTGAGACTTCTTGTTGCTGGTGGCTCGTTCCCATTGTACGCAAGAAGCCTGGGAACGTCGAATGATCGTGTCCGAGGCGAGAATACAGTCCCCCAAAAACACACTGTCATCGTTGCCGATGGAGTTTCCCGGCTTGTTCTGCCGGAATGTCAGATGTCGGGTAATGTAGCATGATTGACAGGGGCTGTTTCTTGCTTGTTAAGGGCTCGCTCAGAAGGTGGCCATTGAGCGCGAATTCAGGATTGATACTCATTACCGCACAATAGTATGGGTTGGATTCGCGTGGGGCTGATCAACGCAGCCGTAATCGGGACAGTATTATGACAATAATTGACATGAAGATTTATGACCATAGATTCCAGTCACTGGAATGAAGGCAGTTTGTAGGGTGTATCCACTGTGTCCTTAGGACAGGACGAGATCCTCGAGCTATTTAAGCGTCAGGGTCGTCGACCTTGGGGCCCGCAACGTTCGGATCGGATCTCCAGGTGTGCCAGAATTCATAAGTCATCACCGTATGATCACGGAAGAACAACATCAAGCGGTAGTGTCGAGACGGGTGATCCCCGTGCCAGCGCTGCTCGGGATAGTAACTTGCGGAAGCGAGCGCATGTAGCTCTGGAAGTGTGAAGTCTTCGTGGCCACTGGCTGAGTTCAAGACATTTGAGCGACTGCCTTTATGCTCTTCCTCTACCTCTAACTCCAAGTCTGAGAGCGGGCTGGCCAGTTCGCTGGCTTGGCTGCGGACATTTCCGCTGTCTGTAGTATGCGGCTTTGTTTTAGAAGGGACTACACCCACATCGGCCGGATGTTCGAACCCAGGTAATTTGGGAGATTTAGGCAGCGAAGAAGAATCATCGACTGGGTTGGCTGTGCAGTGGTTGAACTGCACCCAATCATTAGGGTCAACGCCGCGTGGAATGGTGGGCACATCTGGCGGAAGTTCAAATCCTGGCATTGGGCTCACAGCCATGCCGAGAAGTGGACCTCTTGGCCGCTCAGAAAGTTTCTCTTGATTTGCCAGTGGAAGAATGTGGTCCAGGCGGAACGCATAGCCAATGTCCTCTTGCCATGTAAGAGATATAATGGCCACACGACCCTTTTGGGACGCAGCAACCACAAGTCCCATGTCAGGAAGATACTTGCCCATATTGAAGCGATCGTAGGCACCAGCGATGCGATCATCTCTGCGATCACGAAATCTTTGATAGAGTGGTTTGCGGCACAAGACCTGGTAATCTGAATTGATCGGGTACGGAGTCAAGCCAATGTCGTGTGCAGGGAAGTGTATGGTAGGAAAGAACTCTGGCTGGCGTACAGCTGTAACGATGAGCGCCAAAATTAGTAGCTGAAAGCGGGATAAAAAGACAAAAGCGGCAGGGGTCACTCACGATGCACAGGCCTTTTCATCAGTGTGCACAAGGTTGACTCCGAGAAGGCTTCTAGGTCTTCAAGAAATCTGAGATGGAACTGAGACGGCGCACGAGGGGGCTCATCATCCACTTCCAAAAGACTGGCTATAGGAAGCTTGTCTTTGTGTCTGATATCGGCCGATATGTTGTCATCTCTGGAGTCGAAAGACGAATGCCTACTAACGTAATAGCCTTCGTGCGGTTCCTCTGAAGTCAATGTCCAGGGAGAGTTGCTGAATAAATCGTCAGGCAAACAGTCGATCCGGTCACCCAGGGTCCGAGCTACAAGTGGGCCATGCGCACACGATTGTGAAGCATCCAGCACATGTTTGACGGAGCTGGACACGTCCAGGTTAGTTTTATCTGAGACAACAAGGGTGCCAGGTTCGCATCCACAAGCATCCTCCTTCACAGCATGCTTTTTAAAAGTCCGAGGATCCAGCGGAAACACCATCCAGCCCATTTGACGAGGATCATGGAATAGATCTCCTGAAAAATCAGACGAGTAGACATGGTATGGGCCTAAGTCATCCCATATTCGCCAGACTAAGATATGGCCAGAAATGTCGATACTGACCATCCATAGACCGTTAGAATCCAAGTCGAAGTTGGCAAAGGACACGTGGGGTATGTTCGCAAAATGACCACGATAGGTCAAACGTAAATTGCGAGAACGAAAATGGCGAGGCATATACCTCTTCAACTCCTCAAGTTGATGGCCATCCTGAATGGATATCCACGTATTATCAGCATGAGTTGAGTTCATCCCGTCAGAATCCGGATACGACGCCACATCATCCACGTCTTCCGCTAATGGATCATCTAATGCAAATGCATAGACAGTGATATGTCTATTATTCGCACTGACAGCGATGAGTCTGGCAAATTTGTGTGTGGCCAAGCCCCACGCGCTCATCCCGACGTTTTCCACGAAGAATGGGACTACGCCGGTGCTGTCAAAGGGCCGGTCCTGTCCGCTCTCCGCAGCACGCTTCACTGCAGAAAAAATGGACTCTACATGATAACCGCAGACATTGCCAGAATCAGTAGCTATCAGCAAGACTTCATCTCGGCCGAGTTCATCCACCAGGATACTGTTGATGGCATGAGGATTGTCTGGGTCGATGTAGCCATCTGCGAGTGGATCCTTCATAACTGGGTGGATGATCATCTCGGCCTGCCCGCCCAACACCTGAAGGGGCCCCGAAGGAATCCAGACGTGGACTTCGCAATTGTATGCAACGAAAAGCAAGTTGCGCCGCTGGGAGGAAGCTGCCTGTGTGACCGGTCAACAAAAAGCACATGCGCGATGAGCTCCGCCAGTTGCTTACCAAGTTGCTTCTCCAGTTAGCCACCGCTGGCTCCAGAATATCATGCTTTCTTTGTTCACAAATCAGCATCAATGAGGATTGGTGACGCGAGTCAATGCTATACCTACACGGAAAACTGTTTCCGTCAGTTGATTTTCCCCCTTACCAGGCAAGGCAAGAATGCTACGCACTCGTTGATCTTTTCGCTCGACATTCACAGCTTGCACTCGAGGGCCACGAGACGCAGGAAAGGCTTCAACATAAACCTCTTCAGGCCATTGGTCTGGATCGTGGCTGTCGTCCGACATTGCTTTCAGGCTAAATGGGATCGTCCCTAAAAGTTAAGCGTGCACTAAGAATCCTCACGAATCTAGGGACGGCGAGGTCGAAGAGCGAAAGAGAGAAGGTGCGAAACGCCAGAGATGCACTTGTCATTTCCAAGGAAGAGCGCATCTGCGACATGCAAAAAGAGGAAGGGAGAAAGTTGGGAAAGAAGCATGATCACGTTCAAGCACGGGCAGTTGTTAGGATGTCTGCTACAATGCGGGGAGTGGGACTAGCCGTGGAGCAAGCAGCTAATGATGAAATAGTTTGATTCACCGCCTTCCTGCTAAACGTTCGGCATTTGAGGCACAGCAGTGTTTCCAGATAAGGTTGCTCTCCCGAACACTTGCTATCGAAACCAATCAATTTTGCCGAGAGCATGGACCTCGTTGCAGGAGTCAGGAAAGAAGGCAGCCGGTATGCGATCAAGCACTCAAGTTGACCTAGTATGCCTAAAGTGTTATTACAATTCGCTGATACTGACTATCTACACAGCGGCGGCCGTGGCGAGTTCAAATGGACCGACGTCCAGAACTCCAGCCATCGCGAAAACTACCTGGGCCACTCTCTTATGGCCCCGGTTGGCAGATGGCAGCAGAATCGCGATCTTTCATGGTATGCCAAGGGCGATGCGGAGGCTGAAGAGGAACGAGCTCGTCAAGAACGCGAAGAGCTCGAGCGTGTGAAGCAAGCCGAACAGGAAGCTATGGCCAGGGCCCTCGGCCTGCCAATTCCCGTTAAGACCGAGCCAAATGCGAACTTGACTCCTCTAGGGACAAACACAAATACGTTAGACAGAGCAGATGCGACATTCGCCAAGGGTACAGCAAGAGAAGAACATGGAAGTCGCAAACACCGGCGGGACCGAAGCTGCAGCCCGCGTCGTGAAAGGCGAAGAGATCGAAGTCAAGGCCGACATAGGGACGACGAGCGGGGTAGTCGAAAACACTCACATGATCATGAGAGAGACCGTCGAAGAGATCGTAGTCGAGATCGTCTCCATCGACGTGACCGATATCGATCGCGGGACAGAGCGCATCGATCGAGACGCTCACATTCGCGTTCACGATCACGAGGTGGTGATGATCGGAGAGAGTGGCAAAGACCACATCGACACGAGCGCGGCCACTCACCTCCTCGACAGCCTCGCGAAACAGAACGATACAGAAACAGGTCTGAACTTGATCGCAGACGTTAGATGCTCACGAGGAAAAGAGCTTTTTTGTTCGCGAGATACCACATGAAGTTCACAAAACAGCGATGCTTCAATATCCATCATCAACGCAATTTTTCTGCTTCATGAATATCTTTCCAACACAAGGAAAGCCTTTCTTGTAATGGGCGAAGGGTCTCGACGAGTCGACTCGGTGGGTAGGAGAATACATGTATGAGGTATTCACTCAATTTGTAAGCGTCTTCCGCATGCTAGGGGGATTACAGGTAGGAACCAGATTCAGGGGAAAGCAGATGTCACCGTCCAGAGTTTTTACGACTCGATCCGGTTTAGGTTGAGTAAGAAAAGCGCCAGCAGATGAGAACGCATTCGAGACTGGAAGACATGTACTGTTTTGATTTAGCCATCTGTAATTCAGGGGCTTTCTATACGCGCAGAAAGCAAACTTCGCTGACAGGTCACTTCGGTCATCATAACGTAAACGATGACTTGCGAGTCAGGTACCATCTAACGCTAGCAGCGTCATGAGACAGATCTATCATCCAAAATATATGCTTCATAGCTCATCGTGGGAAGCTGGCTTGCTCTTCCGCAAATCCGGCATCGCCATCACATTCACCACCAGACTGGTCCAGCCAGTGAAGTGCTGAGTTCGCTGTCCCACGCCTGTTTCAGGGTTGTACTGCTCCCAGGCAAATCCAGTCCTCTTCCATTCCTTGAAAATGTTCTCCACTAGATTCTTCCGCAAATTGGTATACATCTCACGAGCTTGATCTTGGTGAGGGCCAGAGACGATGGCAAGTTCCTATGTAGGAGGTAGAGCAGCTGTCAGCATAAATTTCAGGGCAGACAATGCATGAGCGGAGGAAGACTTACATATAGATTCTTCAATACCAGATAATTGATTGGCATCCAGACGGGGCTTCGCCAATAGTTCTCTTCCGTGCCATAGTGCTGATCTTTTTTGCTGAGACTGCGGATACCATAATCACTCCACAGTTCTTCTGGGTCGCTGATCAGATCGAGAATAGCCTTGAGACGAGGACTATCAGGGCCCAACATGCCGGTCAGAAATGGGAAGATAGAGACGTAGCCCTTATGGCATACATGGACGCTCTCTTCAAACTCGTCAATGGTGGCATCGCAGAAGGTTTGCTCTTTCTCGTCCCAGTGAAGGTCATCAATGTTGCGTGTGATAGCATTTTCGTAGTAAGCAAACTCTTCGGCATCCTCTGTCTCGCCCAGATAATCGGCAATGCGACGAAGCGTGCGGGTCATCATGCCAATCCAGCTGATGAGGTCCACGTGCAGCTCACCGGGGTGAGGCGGCTGAGGGCGGGGATAGTCATCGATACCAGACGTCAAGATGTGTTGCACTGAACGTCCTCGCCAGCGGTAGCCTTCCTTAGTTGAGAAGGCCTCGCGATCATAAGACTTGATGTCTCCACGCTGAGTCTTTCGGTACCAGAAGTAGTGTCTCTTCATCAAAGGATAGAATGACCGAAGGTAGCCATTTGCCAACTCCGGATTCCGCAAGGTGGCTGACCGGAGAGACTCCGCAGGATCCTCATGAGGGGTGCTTGTAGATTGAATGCTCTGGTTTGATCTGGCTCTGTCCATGAAGTCTTCCAAAGCCATGAACAGTGTCGGAGGATTTGCGTAATGAGGGTACTGAACTGTAAATTCAGCGGGAACCTTGCTTCGTGCTTCGTGGCCCAGGATTTGCTCTCTCGCAATCCAACCGTCTTCGTCCATAAGATGGAACCAGCTTTTGATGATTTCGAGACTAGTTCACGGATTAGACTAATGCTTAGCGGGAGCTGGTATGAGTGACTCACGCAAGATCGGAATCATATTCCATGATGGGAATGAGGTGGAAACCTTCGTCCCAAAGGAATCCTCTTGGGAAGAATGGCCGAGACGGAACACACGTGAAAAGATCCTTTGGACCCTCCGTCACTGGTTGAGCCTCAGCGCGCGCTTTCGCAGTCTCCTCCCAGAAACCCTCATTTTCCTCTTCGTAGGCGGGTGAAGCAGATCGATCAACAACGTCATCGCCATGGAAGAAGCCGATGCCGCCCACCAAATTGGAAATCATGGCCTTGGAGAAGGTTGAGAACTCAGCGTCCTTATCAAAAGGCGCTTGCGGAGCAAGCACCTCCTTGAATCGCTCGGAAAATGACACAAATGCTTGCTTCTTCTGTTCTGTGATTGTGTCCGCTGTGTCCGCATTAGCAAAGGACAGATCTGGGAAATGAAGGTCACACTTGGGTCTTACAGGTCATAGGTTTGGGGGCAGATCCTGATGAGAAAAGGACATCAAACTAGTTGCAGTCAGTTGAGAATGAAATTGCAAAAACTTTCTATCATCAGCCAGGAGATGAGCTCTGCTTACCTCGAAGGCGCCCTTGAAGACTTTCTGCACGAGATGAACGTTGCCGTCGCCAGGCACGTGCTTGATGGTGAAGAGCTGAGCTGGGTGAGGTGGGTTATCGGTACCGAGCTTCTCAATGGCGGCATCGACCTCGCCCTTCATCTGGGCAAAGAGAATGCCTATTACAGGATGATTTAGTCAGATACAGCGCACCAAAGATCTATTGGTAGAAAAGACTCACCCTTCGCTTGCCAAAGAGCTTCCTGTGGCATTGTCGCACTGGAGACAAGGCCATGGCCCAGTAATTTGCCCAATTTATCATCGCCAACTTCAAAGTATTCATTGCTGCTCGGGCCATCTGTGACGTCGATTGTGAAGTCCCCCAGTTCAGAAGCATATCCATTGAATCGCAGGGCGCCCTCCATTGGCGCGTGGTCAGAGACAGTGCTCATATCGACTCCCAGCTGACCAAGCCCTTCCAAGGTGGCGTAGAAAACAACTGAAGTCGCTTGATCAGGGCTCCCATCTTCTCTTGGGATTCCTTTCACGCGAAAGCCCCAGCTGCCACCGTGTTGACCACCTGGCACTTTGATGAAGTCAATGGTCAGGTCCAAGGTGTTTCCGGCATCGTGAATGGTTTCACGACCACCCTTTCGAATATCGTATTCGTCCCAGCCATATCCCGCCATGCCTTCATTTTGTTCGCAGGTGTGCCTGAAGTCTGAATTCGAATGTCAGCTACCAATCCAGTCACGATTCGGTAAGACACAATTTAGAGACTGACTTTGTTGAACTGAAGCGAAGTCATCAACCTTCGACCACATAAGGCCTGCAGTGAGACTGTTTGCAAGACGAGGTCGCACGCCGAAGTAGAGATTCGACTTGTATGGACCCCATAATAGAGACTCATTGTTGGCTCGCGCGGCCTCCTTGATCAAAATTGACACATCATTAGGATTCTGATTAGCGAGAATCCCAATGGTGTGCAAAAGAGACACCAATAACAGTGAGATTCCCAAGCGATGCATCGTTGACCGCATCATTCAAGTTGATGGCATTGAAGGGAGACACTTCGGCGAGGACAGTCAAAAGTGCGCGGAGCTGCAGGTGTTCTCTCCGCAATTACGTGGCCCGAGCTCCTCACCCTGCATTGGCACGGCATCATATGGGCGGGCCGTTCGTAGTGATGCTCTACTACCTGTAGACTACCAGGGATGGTCGAAATACAAGAGAGACTTCAGCTGTGGAAAACTTCTATGTACACGCGCTGGTCTTGTTTACTGATATCATGCAACATGGACACAAATCTACATACGCCATCTTTCAATCAAAGCTGATTACGGGGATCCAAGGAACCGATCCTCGCACTTTTAGCTTGCCCTTCGAAGACAAACTCACTCATGAGTTTGCCAGTACCAGGTCCATTTTGGATACCCCAGCACGTATGGCCAGCTGCGAGATACAATCCCTTAGTATGGGTCAAGCCCACCAAAGGACCCTTGCCATTCTCGCAGTTGGGTAAGTAACAAGCCTGCCTTGTCTGAATGTTGCCGTGGCGCAGTGCATCTGAGATACTGCCAACCTGATCGATGATTTCCTGGCAACGCTCCAGGTCGACTTCGACCTCGGCAGAGGTACTCGGTAGTGGTACAGTCTGGTCTCCGTCACCACATGCGTATACTGTGTCGTCCGGACGGGTGTAGATTTCTGGGGCTGCGACGGTGGCCCGTGACTTCCTCGCAGGGTCGAAGTTTGCAGGAATCTCAATGTTTGTAAACAACGCGTAGGCACTGACAGGCCTAGCAGGCTCAATGACAACGCTGTGAGCACGCATGGCCGTGATTGGTGCCTCTGGTAGGACTGATCGAGTCCATGGACCAGCCGCCACGATTACATCGGTAGCAGCAATGGTTCGGACTTCCCCGGAAGCTTTCTCAGTGTAGGTCACTGATTCAACAGCATCAGCGGAGCGAGAAATCTCATCCACTTGACCAATGATGACTACCGCGCCTTTCTCCTCTGCCAGTTCCGCCATGGAAGTGGTGAACAGATATGGGTGGACTTGAGCAGTCTCACCGGGCCCACTCATACTCTCATAGGCCCGCAAAAGGTCTGACTCTACCCAGTCGAGATCTTTAGGGATGTTGTCGACCTTGAGCCTAGAGACTGCGGCCTTGCTGCGCTTCTGAAGAGATTCGCCTGCCTCCTTGTGGCTCTTGTCACTCATGGCGCGGCCTTTGACAACCAGTTGACCACAGTTGGTCTCCCGGTAGCCCCATTTCTCACTTCCATTGTGCTCCTGAGCAAGCTGCGCGTGGAGAGAGAAGCTCAGGTCGACGATGTTGCTGGGATATGCCCATTGAGCCAGTAGTCCGCCTGCCTTGCCTGAAGCCCCGCCAGCGATCTCGGATGCCTCGAGGAGGGTCACCTTGTGGTGAGCTGGATCATAAGACGGATGTCTCGTCAAATAATATGCTGTACAGCAACCGATTATACCACCGCCTGATGAACACCGAAAGTCAGTCACTCATCCTTGCGGCATGTCTGACAGCGGGGCTCTGAGGAGGGGAAGTGGAAAGATCGCGAGTGCTGCCAACTGACCAATGACGACAATATCGCGGCGACCAGTCGAGGTCGACATAGTTGCTACAGGCAAATTTCTGGAAGCGAGACGAGGTAATAATGCCACCTTGTGATTCAGTAATGACCAGAGATGAGCGTGAAACCGAATTTGGCAAGGCAATTCCAGACTTGTGTTTCGCTACGTCACTAGTAGGATGGAGGCCCAGTCATCCGCACCTGACTCTTGTTGGCTACGTGACTTAGTGCTTGTCTATCCGACCCGCTTGAAGCGATCAACTGATAGCTGTTTCAACGTGCTTCAGGAAATTTCACGCTATTTCTTTCATCGTGCAACCGAGATTCCAAGTTTTGGAGATAATATGTCATCTGCTCAGGCGTAGTCATTGCCATGAACAACGATAATAGTAAGAAATACAGGTAAGCTTGATACTCCTTGACGCTCCTCGAAATGCATAAATGCGTACTGTGCCGTAAAGCTCGAGATCCTCGAGAAGGTAAGAGACCCTCGTAAAGAACGAATGTAGGCCAGAGGACGCTGTATGATGGTCGTGATTCACCTGGATGGACTGAGCGGCCGGTTGAAACCACCGGGACGGTTCATGTACTGGCGGTATTCGTTCTGCTTCTCCTTGTGCACGCCATAGATGTTGTTTCCTGGCACCTTGGTATTTTTTGTAGTTCGGAATTTGGTGAAGCCCATGCTCTTCCGCATCATTGCTTCCATCTCATCCTCATCGACGTCTTCCTTGAAGTCCACGTCCATCTCGTCTGAACCATGACCAGCGTCCGTTGGCCCATTCGTAATGCGTCCATCGTTTCGAGACCGAGCTTCTTTGGGATTCGGTCGTCGGTCGCCCTTAGGACCTCGGGGAGGTGGGCTTCGTGTGCCAGCTCTCGCTCCATTCCGCCTTGGAGATCGCGAGCGTTCACGGGCTTTGTCACCCTTGCCTAGAGCAAATATAATCCATTAGCTCGGACATGATTTCTCAGGTGAACGCTGAACATAGCTATTGAAGATGTTGAATGTACCTCTGCGATCATGTCCACGTTCTCTGCTCACACTTCGCATGCGGTCTCGAGCCCCGCGATCATCTCGACCACGCTCTTTTCGATCATTGACCCGGCGATCTCGAGACCAGCTCCTATCTCGCCGTCTTTCATTACGATCCCGAGAGCGCGAGCGGTAGCGACGTTCTTCCCTGGGTTCATCTCTCCGTGAATGGTGGGGATTTGGCGAACGTTGGCGGTGGTGACCCATGTCTTGCCCGGCATGAACATTGTGTGCATCTTTCCTCTCCCACATATCACTGCTGTCCACGCGCCGCGCGCGCTTCGCAGGAGGCTCAGTCATGTGAGCAGACGTAAAGTGAGTGGTGTTGTTGGGGGATCGGCTTTCTCAGGTTCCGCTTGGGTCGAGGTCGTTGAAATCGAGACTTGTGCCAGTATGACGCCAGGACGCTGTAACCAATGATTGCAGGTAATTTCAATTATGTGTGGACCACCGCGTTTTCATGGGTAATTGAATTCTGAGAGTGTGTTGAGTACCGCCAGACCTCAGCTTGAGGCTGAGCGGACAAAGGCGAGAAAGTTTATTCCGGTCGCCGACACATCCCTTTCCCGCAGTTCCCGCAGAGAACACCTCTGCCCGAAACGGGCTGCATTAGAGAGGTTGTCAGCACCATCACTCCTGCAGCGCTCTCGTGGCCCACTGACCTCTATTTTCAGTCCAGTAAGCTCACTGAACTCTGTATGGCTCGTGTGGTGATTGCTGAGGGTCTTAATATGACTATCCCTCAGCATGGCCTGATCCTCTAGGGCTTGGGATCTTGTTCACATCAATAGCTACATACGAGATATCTTCAAGTCTGTGCATGATCACATACTACCTGGAATATACTTCACCCATTTCTTTTCAACTCTTCCTTGGGCTTTCAACTTCCTCGTAACGAGCCCTGCGATATTGAACAGATGTGCACCACGGACTTATATTCGAGAGAATCGATCAACAATTTTTGATGTCAGTGGTAACGCCCGAAGGTCCATCTATTCTTTGGAGACAACGTCGCTTTGAAATAATTCGCCAAAACAGGTTTGAGCTCGAAGGTCTTCCACTTCTGAGGTACATTTTCATTGTAGGTAATCATTGAACAACATCTACAGAATGTGACGCTGGATACTAATAGCTTGCAGGTGAATACCGGACTGGTATCTTATTCGAATATTTGGCATTTTGTGTTGTCGGACTCATTTGTCCATCAATGCAACGCCCTATACTTCCTGGAAAAGAAAAGGGTTACAACAACCGGGATACACGATGTACCTACCTAAGGTTCTCTGATCTCCACCTGCAATGAGCATAGGGAGCGACCCGATTGACGATTAAGAAATCTTTCAAGATGTCAAAAAGCCTTGATCTTTACGGCATCACTCGACCAAATAGTAACCTTGCCATATCGATAATCGGCTGTCCAGTAAGAACAGGTACCTACACATTACCGGGAGGGCGAAGCTCCAAGTACGCTTGCTACCATCAAAATTTTTCCGGCAACGATGAGACATTAGGACGGAAAGTCTTCACACAGATGACTTCCTTCGAATCGTTCTAGAAGTGCATCGAGCTTTGATGGATATCCAGAAAAAAGCTGCGCAGCAAGAAAGAACATCTGATAGAATGTCGAAACCATACCCCCCAATGTACATCCCAATCTGACGTTTGCATTGTCTACCATCCACCTGAATTCTCGAACTCGTGTGCGCATTGCATATGTATTTGGGGCAGGTTTAAATGCCGGCCTGGCGGTAATTAATCTGCCTCCACTGTTGCTTTTATTTAGCCTAGGATGCTTGAAATATTATCTTTTACTGACCTGGAACGAGGCAAACCCCTGTTGGAGTGACCGATATCTGATAGACAGGCCGAGTGGAAGTTTGATATGCCCTAGCTTCTTGACAAATCTCCCAGAATGGGAACCTGAAGCTGGAACGGCTGGACAAACCCGAGACAGTTGCCCGGTGCACCTAATTCTTGGGAGTTTCTAGACGAGCGACATCAGGCCAAGTCTGATGCATTGCAGTGGATGCACATATAGGCTGTTCAATTGTCTTAGGAGAAGCTCCATAAAGGGTAAGACTCGTTGGCGTGCACATTCAGAGGGCTACAGAAAACGTCAGTGAGTATTTTGCTGTCAGCATACGCGGAGCCAAAAGTGCTATACCTTTGCGCAAAGTTTCAAGGACCGCGTGGACCCAATTCAGCTCTTTCGTTGTGGGGCATCGCTGCATGTCATGAGACGATGAGGCAGAGTAGGTAGTTACCTAGTTAACTAGTGGGAGTTAGTTACTAGTAACTCTTTACCTGGAGCGGGCCAACCCGTCAAGCCCCAACTTTAATTTGTACCTCGAAAATTTCACAGCACGTTATCAGCAACCCCACTTCACATTTCCTTCGTCACCATCAGACCCGTGTTATTAGAACCCGATCTGCAGGCAAAATGGCACCCAGCAACCTGTCCCATCGGAGGACGCATAACCTTCTGCTGATTTCAAAATTGTTGAGCTTAAGGGACACAGCTTCTCCATTTACCCTGCTTCAAGATTCGCTTGAGCAACCCGCCGCTCCCTTGGTCAAGGAGTACATTAGACGAGCCAAGGTGAGTCCAAGTGACAGAACCACCTTGCAGGACTCTGTCGCGCCTAACGATTGAGAGCTGAACGGAGGCTAATAGACCCATAGCTCTCCAAAGTGCATGTCACGTTCATTTCGTACGAGACCCTAAAAAGGCCGGACGGTGTAGATGCCTTTATTTCGACCCGTCGGAAAACGCCGACCGAGATCATAAGGGAAGCCAGCTCTGCTTATCATCAAGGCACGGGCACAGAGCCCGTGAGGCGTACGTCGGGACGAAAAGAGGAGTGCTTCCTTCATTGACTCTTCCCTGAACTGACAAGTGTATTTCAGGTCGTCTTATTATCATTGACTCTATCAATCCGCTCTTGAATTCGAAGACACTAGACCCTGGGTTCCACCTCCCCTCATTTCTTGGTTCCTTCATCGCTCCTTCAGCTTCAAGCAATGGAAGGGCTGAAGCTTCACTTGTGGTGACATACCATCAAGACATTCCTTCTCAATCTCAGCGAGATCACTACTCACCACCGCCATTGTCGATGTTGACATACCTGGCGACGAGTATCATCACGCTTCACTCTTTCTCACACATCTTGGCACGAAAGGCTGCTCGAGACCGAAGCTTTGTTCCACCAGTATTTGGACTGGAAGAAGTGCAAGATGGCGTCCTGTTGAGCAGGCTGGACAAGCTTGCTGGGACCGGCACTGCTGAGGGTGTTGTGCTCGAATTGGAGCACCGGCGTAAGAGTGGCCGCGGTGTGTTAGAATGGTACCTTCTTCCTCCAGCGTCAAGATACTCACCGCACCATGTGAAAGAGGTCGTCACTCTCTTGGACGATAACGTCCTGTATAATCCCCCGAAGGAGGCTGAAACGAGTGGAGGCAACGATGAGCCACAGTCCACATTTGAACTTGGTCTCACAGATCGACAGAGACGGGATAGAGAAGGGGTTGTTCTGCCATACTTCGACGCTCAGCAAGGCGATGGACCTGGCGAAGGTGGTCGCATTCTGTACGATATGGGCGAAGAGGACGACTTTGATGAGGAAGAGGATGAGATCTAAAAGCCCTCATGTGCCCGGACATCATGAGCTACGGACCTTCAGGAACGATAATGCCATATCTCATCTCAATGAGACGCAGGTGACTCGTGCCCTGCAGTTTTCATGGCTCTAAATGCAAGGATTTCGGGGTGAAACAGACAACAGAGGGAATCATAAGTTAAAACAACGATTAGAAGAACCGCCACCACAGCAAGACCAACACAACGAAACCAACACCGACGAAGGGACCATACTTCGCCAAACAATTAGCCAGGGGAACTCATCGTGACACATGCACTCGGCCGAGGCTTGAGTTGGTATCTTACCTGCTTCACCAACAGCTCCCAATTAATTCGCACTGCTGCCTTGCGATATTTCTTGCTGTCTTCTCTCAGCCGACCTGACAATTCACCCATCCGCTCCAAACTGTCTCCTCGATAAAGCAGATCCTCGATGTTTTTGGTCATAACTTTAGTGACATCACGCAGCTCGTCATTCAATTTGTCCAAATTCTGTGATGCGCGACTATCCTGATACAGCTTTTTCGTGCGCTGAATGAAGGTATCGAACTCGACAAAGGCATAAGGACGAAGCGATGGGGAGAGATATTGTGATTGCGTGTAAGTAGTCGTGAACTCGGTGGCTATATCGGCAAGATAGGTGAAAGCGAGTTTTCGGGGATAGGATCGATCACAAATGCATAGGAAGCAAACGTCATCTTGGATCATATAACTACGGCCGTGTCAGAGTTCATTCAATATTGGTCGTAGAGAGACAGCACACATACTGGAGATTGTATTGTCCCGATTCGATGCTGGCCTGAGGCGCAGAGTTACGATTCAATCGTCGAAAGATCATCTTAGCTTGGCCTTTAATTTCAGACAGCTCGGCTTCGGCCTGCAACAAGAGCTCGTAAGTCATGGGCCCGGAATTGCTGTACAGGATCACTGACCTGCTCGTCATCAACAGACGCCGCCAACATGAGCCCTGCACATAGAGATCAGCTTCAGGCGCAGCACATTCAGTCAAAGAGTTTGCCCGTACCATCGAGCCGAGCAATTTGTGTTGATTTCACCATCTTGGCGAGCTTGGTGTCAAATAAGTTGAGAACTTGGCTTCGATTGATTGCATTCGGCGCAGACAGCCACAGAGTTGGCCAGGCCAGCATGGCCGCATGGCCGGTGCAGGTGGGGCGGTAACGCACGGCAGAAGATGCACGGAGCCGGGATTAAGCCGCAAGTGGTCTGCCAGTTGCTTTGCTCATTTGACCCTTTGTCTGAAGTTCTCCCAATACATACTCCTGTTATCCAGGCTTGCTAAGCAAATGTAGCGAAACAGACCTCCGAGAATGTCTTCGCCAGCGTTCAACGCCGCACACAGTCCTCCAAAACGCAACTCCCGTAAAAGTGCGCCCCGGGGAAAGTGGAGCGAGGAGCATTTGCTTACAAGTGACAAGTCTGTACTGATTGACGCTGATCTTGTGGTATGTTGAGACCAGAGTTCTCATGCATGGGTCATGGCAGAGCTCAAATAGATTGCTAATTGTGAAGTATTGTATCTATTTTGCAGAAGCTTCTCGCAAAACCGGAAGCATGGGACTTACTTGAAGAGGAGGAAAAACGCCATATTCTCGGTCTCCTCCCCGCAGATATCCACCCTTCCTTGGAGCTCCCTCCCGACCAGCCGAACTCAAAGATACCCCCACTCCCAGACTCGTTTATTCGATACTCTAACAACTGGCGCGATGGTATCAGGCAATTTCAACTCGATCTGCAGAATGGTCGCTTGGACCCGGAGTGGCTGCGCCAGGCTGAGAGTGCGCGGCGCAAGCGAGAAAATGGCGATTTTGACTCGTTCAAGGAGCGCGAGTTTGAAAGATTCTGGGGACAAAAACAAAAGACGCAGATGCATGTGATGTCTGGAGAGAGCTCCAAGATTAAACTTCACCAGCTCATTGAAGCTGGCGTGTTTATGATTGGCGACGTGTGGCGTTTCGATTATGTTTGGGGCAAAGGACCTGAACGAGTGCATGTCGCTAAGGAAGTCAGGGTACGAACTTGAAACCGCTACCCGAGTCCCTGCCTACTGTTACATGCTTTCTAATCGATTGCAGATACATAGCATTGATGGCCAGAAGCTTTCATTTGTGGCCCCTAATGGTCAGCGGACCTTCCTCATCTCGCCACCAACCGTCATCGAAACCAGCAAGTCGCTGGACCAGAGTGAGGAACCCAAACTGGAGGAGCTTCCCCATTGCATATTATCGCAAGAAATAATCACAGAAGCCAACAGTGGGCTCAACAACAGCGCGGAGGTCAAGCCAGAGGAGCTCCCCATGTGCAATTTAGTTCAGGTGGAAACAGACGAGTGGAAGATTGAGCCTGTCGCACAGAACACAAACACTAGCGACATGCCCAAAGATTTCGAGGCAGTGGGCATAAGTGATACAGAAAATACAAGGCCAACCCCGAAAATGAAGGGCGATGCGTCCACGTCCGAGAAAACATTCATCGTTGACGATCACATATTAGCAAAAAACTCAGAAAACAATCCCTCCAATGACGAAGGCCTTGTGCAAGTTGTGATCGTGAGTCCACAATTCGAAGAGGAAAATTTGAAGCGATCGATTCCGTTGCCTGCACATGAACCACCAACGAAAAGGAAGCGTGGCCGGCCGCGCAAGGTGGTGGCAGAGCCTCCGCCAGATGAGGTCCCAACACAAGTGTTGAATTCAACGACGTCTGATATTCAGGTCTTGATCAGTGCTGGAAAACCTGATCAATCAACATCTGGGAGTGTTCTACAAGCCATTGTACCCGAGAGGCCCCTAACGCTCTTGGATACTTCGCCTACAATAGTTGGCATCAAGCATCCGGACCTGACCTCACCTCTTTCGCCAACTCGCTCTCTGTCCCCGCCACACTCTGCATCTGAACATTTGGATGAAAAATTCACTGAGTCCTTTGTTCCTGTGCATGCAGCAAACACTGCTCTCGGTGATTCGAAGCCTGACCAGGAGGTCAAAGAGAACGCTGGAACGAAATCGAATTCGACATCCCTTTACGTCAATTCGGACGACCCGTCCGAAGCGCCGTCCGAGAGCCAGCGTCATATGTCTGACCGAGACCCCCACACGATCTCTGCCAGAGATCTGGCGTCGCTGCCACCTGAAAAGTCCCAAGACCACAGTTCTAGTTGCGTACCTGATGAGGAGGCTGATAAAGAGAAGCGTGGGTGCGAATTCGACGAGAAATCTCATGATCAACGATTGGGTCGCGAGCCTGACGAGATCGTCATACCTGACATTTCTACGCCCATGGCCTTGGTCAAAAGAATCCTCCAGATTGACGGTCGCAGGGCAGACGGTCGTACGGCAAATTCTTGGAAAGAGATCAGGTGCTACCGTAAGAATCAGGACATGGGCAGTCTCTTCGATGTCAGGCAAAGTTGGTATTCCAAACAACAATAGCTTGCTCTCCAAGCGAAAGCCTTAAAGGGGCTTGCGCACGCCACTTCGATCCGCTTTGGCGCTCGAATATCAACGCAACAGAAGGAAATTTCTCGTGTAACCATGATGAAAGAGTTTAAGTGCGAGGCGTACATGGAGGTTGTGTGCCAGATGTCTCTGAAATGACAAAGATAACGATAATAAATCTTTGGTCTCGGGATGTGTACCTGTCCACACCCTGACCACCGGATGGGACTTTGAAATAGTTGGGCTGCCACCGATGTGATAATCGTACCTATGCCAGACATGCCTATTGTGGAAGTCTCAACGTCTTGACATGTCGTGCCCACGACAGCAGCATTCCGGACGGTTTTGCACCTTGACATGAAGTCCACGGAAATTTTTGAAAAGAATCGTAAGCAAAAGAACGAGCCTGTCTCTCGCACGTCTAGAGCTGGCCTGGACCTGACCGGGCATTGACAGCGCCAGTCTCTTCATTTCTTTGCCGGCTTTATCAGATAATCGACGACTTCGCTGCTCAGTCTCGAGCCGTTTCCAGGACACAGCACGTTGACGCGAAGAGAAAGACTAACTTTGGTAGAGCAAACTGTAGGATCATCGGATGTGCTTGACACTTTACGATTACCCGATGCCCAAAGCTGCACGTATATTGTCACAAAGTCAAGCGTCGCTGCTATCTCCACCAAGCCATGTCTGTCGCTGTCATTCGCGTTCCACGTAGTCTCTCGCAGTGCACGAAAAGCGTCTTTTGACGTTGATCGCCGACATCGTTGAAAAAGGGAGGAACTCGGGAGACGAAAATTTTCGGCAAAACCTTGCAATACTTCTGATTATGTTCATCTTGAGTCTGCTGTTGCGAAATTCTCTGGACTGCTCAATTCGAGAAAGAGGGCAATTGTGGCTCCTGAAGATGACGGGTAGGGGATGGGCTTGACATACATGCCGAATCGGCTGGGAGGGATTTAACGCAATCTCAAAGAGCCACGCCTACGATCAGAATATCTTAAATGTGGTGAAAATTGCTGCTTTTACTTGTTCTCTGATGAAATGGAGACTGCGGAGACTCATAGTCGTTTTCATCCTCGTACTCCACAGTCGATGAAGTTGACAATCGGCATCTATTGAGGGAGTGCGGTAAGTGGTTCATTACCATTATGCTCTAGGTTGACTTCTCCATAAGTTCTAAAAGGTATGGAAATCACACTCAACCTGGTCAAGCATTCTTCATCGCGGTGGGAGACATGGTTGGAGATGATGTAGATGTATGAAGGCACCGTAGGGGTGTTGGAGAAAACCTCTCCACAGCAGAAAGCAAGATTCGGGGAAAGATTCGCTTCCAAATGACGGAGACCCGCCAGTAATCACAAGATCTGAACAACTTAGTAAGTGCGATAAGACAGGCAACTTTCTGGTTAGCCCTGAATGTCGACGGTCAGTGAGCCCAACTGTCAAAGCGCTGGAACGTCCTGCACAATATTACTTCATACGGCGGAGTATGCCCGTCCGACCGATTGAAGGTTGCTTCCAAGTCACCTTTGCCATGCCTGGGGACAGATGACAAAGTCAAACTTAACATCGAACCAGAACGTGAAGTTCATGATGTTTGAGCACGCCATGAGCATGGAGCTGGTGACTCTATGAACTTCAGACTCAAGGTGACGTTTGACTGGGGAAGGTATTGGGAGGACCAGTCTCTGCATCGGCTGCCACATCGACCGCAAAGCTAGCTTGGATGAAATCTTCGAGTTCCTCACTGACTGTCTTCAGCTTCTCCTTAACACTGGCCACACCCTCCTGGCCGACAATATGCCGGGATGGAGGGTTTTCGTGACCGGCAATGGACGTGATAGCATGTACCGTTTCTGAGACGAGCACTTCAAGATGAGCGGAACTCAGCGGCGGATGAACAGTGACGACTCGGGGTGCTGAGAACGGTCCATCTTCAATTGAGTTGACTCTGGGACTTTCTGCACTCTCGGCAGGTTTGCTGGTAATTGAATCGTTTCCAATCAAGCCCTCAGCAACAGCTTCAGGTAGTCGCGGGATGAGGTGGTTGAGAATGCCGCGGAAGAGTGGTGCATGATTGTTACTAGGCGAATAAGCAGGGAATATGGGAGGCACGCTTGTCACCAAATTGGTGAGAATTCCAATTTCAATGCTGCACTGTACGATGGTAAGCTTGACATTGAAGGGGGCCACTTCAAACGCAAGGCTCTGTGAGTACGTGTCAGCAGTGTCTGTCCTCCAAAGTCATTCTCGAGACGATTTAAAAACCCACGTCACAAAATCCTTCAAGGGCCCAGCCGGCTGCACAGTACATGCCGAGCCCAGGAGTCCCGATATGAGCCGCTATTAGATTGTCAGATAAAATTGGGACAGGACACGTCTCGCACCACGATTCTTACTTATTCCCGAAAGTATCATAATGTGCCCGGAGTGGTGCCTCCTCATTTGGGGTAATGCGGCCTTGATAATGTTCAGAGGTCCGAAATAGTTGACCTCAAATTGATCGCGAACGAGGTTTTGAGTCTGCGGAGATGTAGCAAGCTCTTCGACAGTTCCAATGAGGGCTAATATGCCGAGTCAGCAGGCCAGCCGCTGCGAGAACGGTGTACGCCGGGTGAGACCTACCTTGGCTCGTGCAGCACAAAAGAATATCAACCCTCCCAAACGCTGCGACAGCTTGCGCGAAGACAGCCTGGCACTCGCTCATCATCCTGATTCAAGCGCAAATTTTTTCAGCATGTGATACCGGAAGACCAAAACATGAATCGGGAAATGAAGATTCTTCTCGTTCAAGAACGATAGCACCGGCGCATACCGGATATCTAAAGGCACAGCTCTCGTTCGCTCCGGCCATCCTTCGTCACGATGTTCCTCGATCTCGGCAAGAAACGCCTCGAGTTCGTCTTGACGTCGCGCATCACGGTCTGGAGCGGTATGCGCCAATCCAAGCAGCACAGAGTCACCATGTGCAAGCGCTTGTCGCGCGACCGATATGCCGATTGGGGAATCCCCGGCGGTGATAAGCCATACTCGCGGTGCGCTATGCGACGGAAAGTGCGAGCGAGACTCCGGCGCTGGACGGTTGTCCATTAGTGATGTCGTCTTCGGCCCCGGTGTGATCGTTTATCTCTCATTGTGTAGGCACGAGTTGTCGAGCGACTGGTCAACTTTGCGTCGTAGCTTTAGCTAACTAGTTCCTTTAACCCGATATTCCGGGATCTTTCCGAATGGTTGCTGCTTTTGGCGGTAAAAGACCCAACGGTGCCAAGCGCCCCGCTACTCGCAGTCAGCCCCCCTTGAGTCGGACCTTCTAGACCCGAAAGCAGCCAAGTCAGCCGCGGAACTCTTTTGGCCGTGTTGGCCTTTGCTTCTCTGCAGTCTGTACGCATCCCTACCTCACCTCCAGCAATCGCAAAATGCCTGAGCAACGGCAACGACGAGAGGAGGATGCAGGAGGTCATGTATGTTGAAAATATTCTACGCGGGAGCTCCAGAATCATGGCGCGCATTGAAGTGGCGCGTCTTCAAGTCACGAAGCTGACCGATGATTGTCTTGCCCTCTTAGTCCGGTCTCAAGGGTGCCCTTCAGGGTCTCGGAATTTTCCTTCTGATGCAATTCGTTGTGGGCCAATTCTTTGGCAACAAGCAGAATGCAACCTCTTCCTCCGTGCAGCCAGGCAACATGCCCACGTTCGCGGACCGCCCCGATCCCAGCGAGTATGCGGAGTACAGTGCTGTCCCAGATCTCATCGCTCCCATTTGGCCGTCCGATAGCAGCATTGACATCAGTATTTATGTATCGCCATCAATCGTGGTGCCATCTTCCAAGTCCAAGGACAGCACCCTGGTAATGCACGAGAAGAACTTCACTATCGGCAACTACAGCGACACTCGTGAGATCGACACCATCATCAAGCTTCCCAAGCACGTCCAGAATAACGGCACCCTCTTTGCTCATTTCTTTGTGGCACGGAGTGGTCACCCCTTGGATCCCAGCGCGAAGGACTACAACACCGCGGATGCCGTCCACTTTCTGCGTCCCCTGAACCAGTATCTGCCTAAGAAGAAAGCAAAGAAACTCAAGAATTTGCTAGCTGCCTCGGAGGAAGGAGAAGTGGAAGAAGAGGACCTGACTCCGGATGTTCAGACTGTGTCATACTACCATCCCAACTTCACACTTTCTGTCATCCCCGACTCGGGCTCGCAAAAGTTTCCTCAGATGCATCCGGCTGTCCGTCAGTACGTACAGCTCGAGCGGACCGGTGCGCGCGACAAAACTGGCCGGAACGGCTGGTACTACCCAATTCTTTTCCTCAACACTTTCTGGCAGTTGAAGAGCCACATGACCGAGTTGAACTCTACGGTGACGGAGGTGCCCCTGCGGATTACTCTCAACAACCTGGCAAACTGGAAGTTTAGCATTCTCACAAGTATTGACGAGGGTTCCAAGCAAAGCGCTCGTCAAGCTGCTTATGGCGGTCCCGTGCCTGGCGGGGGTGATGGCTCCGAATGGGAAACGATCAAAGAGGTCCTTCTGGACACGAACATCTATCTTTTGTGTACCACGGGAATTGTCACTATTTTGCACATGCTGTTTGAAACCCTTGCTTTCAAGAATGACATTGTGAGTTATCGATTGCTCTTGCAGACCGGCGACTCTTCCCCTTATTGGCGTGCCCCCGCTGATTTCAATTCTTACAACCACAGGCCCATTGGCGAAAGAAGAAGGACGTTGTGGGTACATCTGTTCGAACTATTTTGGCGAACGTCTTTATGCAGGCGGTGATCTTCCTTTACCTCATGGACAATAGTGACAACACGTCCTGGATGATCTTGGCTAGTCAAGGATTTGGTATTCTCTTGGAAGCCTGGAAGATCACCAAAACTGTGAATGTTCGCCTGCGGCCGCCACCACCCAGCTCCTTCTTCTCTTTCCTGCCGTACGTCGTTGTCTTCGAAGACAAGCACAAGCTGAGCGAGACCGAGGAGAAGACCAAAGAGTACGACGAGATTGCTTTCCGCTACCTTTACATTCTCGCGGTGCCTCTCCTCCTCGCCTACGCAACATACAGCCTGTTGTACAACACTCACAAGTCATGGTATTCTTACATCATCGAGACACTCGTGGGCAGTGTATACGCCTATGGCTTCCTCATGATGGTCCCCAGCTTGTACATCAACTACCGCTTGAAGTCGGTTGCTCACATGCCAGGCAAGGCAATGGCCTACAAATTCCTCAATACCTTCATTGACGACTTGTTCGCTTTCACAGTCAAGATGCCCTGGCTGCATCGTTTGGCTACCCTGCGTGACGACGTCATCTTCTTCATCTGGCTCTATCAGGGATGGAAGTACAAGGTTGACTACAAGCGTGTCAATGAGTTTGGCCAGGGAGGTGACAGTGATGACGAGAGTGATCCCCCCGCCACCCTTAAGCTTGAGGAGGAAAAAGAGAAGAAGAACGAGACCGTGGCCGCTCAAACCTCGGCCGAAGTCGATCAGAAAACTTCCACCCGTCAGCGGAAGTCAAAGAAATAAGCGAATGTCCAATACACTGGGAGGCCGTGTGGTCGCCAGAACTTTCAGAATGAAAATTGATATGCCTGAGATTGCGAGTTTTCAATTCCTGACTTTTACACAATCTTGGAAGTTGACTTTAGCCGTGAAATCTATAAGATACGAGACTTTTGACCCAGCAACGATAGAACTTTGCACCTTTTCCATAGCGAAAGCCATCTATGCCCATTTGACGCGATTGCATCACCACCTTCCATAAATTGAGCGGACAGTAGCATTAAAAAGTGATCTTGGGCTCCGGTGTGGTTGCGGTTTGCGGCAGCGGGACCTGTTTGGCTTGTCTTGCCTGTGACCCGATCGAGCTCAACCTTAGGTCGCTTCCCGCGCCCATCAGAATGTCTCTCTACGAAACCCCCGCTGGTAGAATTCAGGTGGACTATAAGGCGCCTGTTCAATCATGTCACGCAAATCTTGAACTAGAACGTTCAAACTGATTGAAACCACATGTCTTTCAGGAACTTGACTGCAGAGAGCTTGGAACCATTTGCGTCACGTTGCGCGACTCCCGACGCGTTGTTGTCGCCGAGACCTAGCACTTTTTCGGCCAACAACAGTTGACAACATGGCACAATCGACTACGAGTAGTGAGCTTTACCACTCTTGACTTAAATACACTAAGGTTTCAGATCAAACTAACCTGCTATAGACGTGAGCGAATCGAATCAATTGCTTGATGCGCTCGAGCACTTGGAAGCTGGTGAGAATACCATACGAGGAGAAGTAACGAGTATCCTTAAGTGATCTGTTAGAGACACTGACGTTCAAAAAGTTGCATTCGTGCCTGCGAAGCAGAGGTACACAGACGCCAGTCAGCTGGTCCAGACAATTGCCTCAGACGCTTATGAAAATGGGATATCAGAGGATGCGCTGGGCCGTGTGCTCAAAATTTTGACGGCCAAAAATCATCTTGACCAGTCAGCTACTACAACTTTGGTCAAGAATCTGTATCCGCAGGAGCGAATTGCGTCTAAGTATGTCACCCAGGTTGTGTGCTGTCTGGGACCCAGTAAATCCAAGCCGAACCCAGCTACGCAAGCCTTGCTTGTTCGCTGGCTAATAATGATTCTTGATCTCATGGAAGATCGAACTCATCTTGGCAAACTTTACGCAGTCCTGTTCAATCATCTGGATATGATCAGTTTACGCAAGCCACTTTGTCACTTGCTTTCTACTATCACTCGGCGGAAACATGTCAAGCCGTTTCGCATTCAAGCCTTGATGGAGCTGATCCAATCAGCAGGAGGCGAAGAGAAGGAGCTCTTGAGTCTCTTGAAGACATTCAAGAACTATTGCCCTGAGATCGTTCTCGGGAACATAGGCGTCAATCGAAAGACGGCTTTGTTCTTCAAGCACCCAGATCCAGACTGGACATCCCACGCGAAATTGCTGCTAGACCAAAGTCTCGAATTGAAGCTGGCAGCTCAGCAATCGTCCTACCAGGTCATACATCGAGGGCTCGCAAAAAGATCGAGAGTGGAAGTTATTGTTCCTGCCCTGCAGACCTCGCGTGTGTCCAACAAGCATACGTCACTGGAAGAGATACGGAATACCCAGCACTTTGTTGACAGACTCGATAAGATCGACCTGCCGAATCAAATTGTATCAACTCTTGGCGATGCAATGGCACAGAAATACATACACCTTGTCCAATCTGAGGCGGCAAATGCTCGCCTAGACGATTGGCTGACTGGCTTCCTGGCTGATAAACTTGCGCAAATAAAAGATGGCCAAGACGACGATCTCGAGGCCCTTACCTTCGTCCTGAGCTATCTAGAAGCACATACTTCGTTCGCAAAGGTCGGCATCATTCTCTCCTTTTTGTCGTTTGAGTGTTGTGGTAAGCTTATTCTACTACAGGTCCTTCTACCCTCCATAGAGAGTTTCTTGGCATCATATCTTCCAATTTGGAACGGCCAAGATAATCGCGCGCTGGTACTTCGCCTACTGCAGTATCTTCCAGTTGATTCTTTCGAGTCCTTGCGAAATCGTTTCTTCGTTCACCTTGAGAACGCCATACTAGACAGCACAGTAAGCTCTAGGGTCGAGCTACTCAACTTCTATTCGTCCCTGATCACAGAATGGGGGGCCAAGCTCTCACTGCAGCCCGGGGGAGTGAAAGAATCACTCCCCTTGAGTAGCCACGTCAGACATGCTGAGATTCTCGCATCCTCCATCATCGAGCTCACATGCATATTTGCAAACGCGAGCTCTGATTCACCTGTGACTGTCAATTCGGTCCTGCAATTCTACAGATCGATCGCACGGCTGTTCTCACGAGCTTCGCGCAATGCCAGTATTCGACTGACTGTGCCAATGGCTCCGACTATCTACTCCATCGCCTTTACGCCGAATATCTCTGCCATCTCGGCTCTCAACTCAATACTGGCTGACTACAAGTCCTCCTTTGAGACATCTTTGACCTCCGATGCCATCAAAGATCCGACTTCGTCCGAGCCGCTTTATTCGACTGATTTGGTAAATCAGTTCAACGGATTCGTGATGGATATGTGCAACCTCATCTGGCGGAACCGCGCGCTGAATACTGAAGATCCAAATGCTCAGGGTTGTCTTGTGCCGGCAAAAAGCGTTAACGCATTTACGACTTACGTGCGAAACGTAAATGAAGCTGCTCGTCACTACGACCGCGATAGCGCTTTTCACTTGACCCTGGCGTCTCTGTTCTCACTCAGTAACCACGCAGCATTCGCCAATTTGTCAGCCGCTTGCTTCGCGGACGTCGAGGAGATGCAAAATATCACGGGTGATCGCCCAAGGCTGCAGAAACCAGTCACTCAAAAAGCGTTACAAGCTCTCGAAAAAGAGCAGGGCGCCAAATTCACATGGCAGGAGTACCGCGTTCACATGCTGGAATGGCTGGACGCAGTGGGAAGCCGAGGAACCAGCGACCTAATGCGAAGCACCATGAAGGCGTTACGGAAGGAGTCTTAGGAGAGCAATGGATTTTTGAAAGAACCCGGTTGTGCAGCACTTGCGACAGTGTAGAGAGGAAATGAGATCTATTTGAATTCTCTGTGGTCTATACAAGGCTCCCACACGAGTGTTGCGTGGTGAGTCGGATCTTTACATGAATTATAATACACGAAAGGCGGCCGAAGCAGCCTCAGGTCATCGAATGACCAGGCCTTCACAACTTGATCGTCGAGTTAAGATATATGTCCTGCACGCTTGGATCATCTCGTAACGAGCCGAGGAGATCTTCGAGGACCTTGACTTGATCTTCTGGTAATTCAACCAAAGTCTCCTGGTTCGGATCCCAGAAAATTTCTAACTCTTCGATCGTCATTCCAGTCATTTTAGTGAATGACTCGCCGACACGTTTGGTTTCCGACGGATCAGTGAACAGTACAAGGCGACCATTGTCATCTGTGTGGAGGTCCATCGCGCCCGCTTCGATAGCTGGTTCTAGGAGTTCATCTGCATTAATGTCATCTTTCTTTTCCATGACGACGCGACCCTTCTTCTCGAACAGGAATGTCGTTGGTGTCACTGTTCCGCCTCCATTTCTAATCAAATAGCGAATGTCCTGAAGGACTCGAGCTTTTTGATCAGTTTGGCACTCCACCACGGCTGCGACTCCTCCGGGGAGCATGGCTTCAATCGTGACGGCCTCCAGGGCCTGACCTGACAAGCTCAGTCCCTGACCACGGGCAATGGCTGCTTCAATTATATTCTTGGGAATGGAGGCTCGCTTCGCATTCGAAAGCGCAAGGGTCAAACGAGGGTTGTACTTTGGATCGGCGCCCCATACTGTTCATATTCTCTAATCAGCAATGGGAAGGAGTCGCCAGTGAGAGCACCATAAGATAGCTTACATTGCGTTGCGCTGGCGATTTCCTTGCTCACCATCTGACGTTCCTTGCTTTTCGCTTTGTCATTCTTGGCCTTGTCGTGTTTGATTGTAGACCATTTATTATGTCCGGAGTACAGGATCGCAGACGATGAAATGCTACGAGTGGTCGTGCCATGGCTGCGCCTTAAATATCGCTGAAGCGCCTCCTTAGGCAGTGACAGAGCCATCATGCCCGTTCTTCTTCGAGAGATGGAACCCCTCTCAGGCTTGCGGGCTTCGGCGCGATATAAACTGGCTGCGGACCCACTGTTTGTCCGATTGCCGTGGTCGCGATGACGGGAGGCCCCTCGATAAGGAGGGACGGGGACGATGTTGGGATCTATACATGCTCGCTTTCGAGTTGTCCTCATTGATACCTTGGTTTGCCTTCTTTTAATATGAGACACTAGTCGCCTTCACTCCTTGTACCTGATGTCCGCTCCCGAAGCAGCTGAGGCACCGGCGCCTCGCGGAATTGCGGTGCCGGAGCTTGACGTCTCCAAGCTCCATGAGCTGCCATCCGAACAACAGGACCTATACTTGCTTACATTTACCTCGGACCTCGTGCAATACATCTCTGGACTTGACGCCGCTGAAGTATCTGCGCAACAAAAACCGCTAAAGAAAGAATTGTTCAAGATCCTCACACTCACCTCTCCTTCGCTCACCCGAGTGCTTCGCAACAATCTGGGGCGATGTTTCGGCGCTATCCTGGCTAAAGGGGACCGCGGAATACTTTTCGAGACAATCAATGACCTTTTGGGAATTATTAATGGGGGGAAAGACCTTGATTTGAAGATCAAGTTTGCTTCGGTACACTGCCTCGGTGAGGTGTTTGCGACAGCTGGAGAAAGCGCATTCATGCAGGCCAATGTCGCAGCTACCAGTACACTCAAACTGCTCAAAGCAGCGAGCAGTCACACTGGTCTTCGAGGTGTCTTGTTCTCGGTTCTGCGCAAGCTTGTTGTTGGAATAGGCGTCCCGATTGATGAGTCAATTGCTCGAGACATTTGGAAACAAGCACGAAATGCAGCGACCAGCGATAAGTCCACATTCGTTCAAGTCCACGCATGCCGTTGCTTGGAACAGCTGATTCATGCAACTCCGTTTTTCGAGAATACAAACGATTTCGAGAGCCTGAAAACTACGATCTGGAAAGTCATCGACAGCCCGACGGCACCTGTCCGCCACGCCGCGGCTGCTGTTCTGGGTCGGGCGCTTGTCAAGCTTCATGTTACCGAGATGCATGTGATATCGACGCCCAAGCCGAAGTCTAAGAAGTCCAAGCGGATTTCCAAAAAGCCGACTGCACGACCGGGCGAAGAGGATGAGGATGAGCTGTCTGAATCATCCACCGCTGCAGCTGCTGCAACCGGTACCTCCAAAAAGGATACGCGGCTTTTCTTTCTGCTTCCAGATCTGCTCCGCCAGCTCTCTTTCCAATATGTCAAAAGCTCAACTTCGAATCGCACTCGAGCCGGTATCTGTCTGTGTTATAAATACGTGCTGCGCAACTTGAGTGATAAAATCGTGGAAGAGCGATATGGTCAAATAGCATCAAACTTGCTTTTTGACTTGCTCAATCATCCCACTGTTACGTACAACCGCTTCCGATTGCTGATGACTCGCAAGTTCATCAAATCGATACTCGAAGACACTATTGGTCGCGAGTTGCTGCGAGAGAACAGCCAGCTGAACGCTGCAAGATGGCTCATCAATGAAGTCCTGAAGGACTACCCACAAGTCATGCAAGAGCGGCGCGAGCCAAGTAAATATACGCTCACCAGCACTATCAGCGCGCTCTCGTCCTTGATTGGGTCTCTTGGATCTGCATTCGTCGTGCTCGCAGATGCATCTCGGGACGCCTTGCTCCAAGTTCTTCCCCATCCCAGCTACACCGTTCAAATTCATGCAGCACACTGCTTGCGCGGCTTCGTACTAGCTTGCCCTCATCAGCTCATTTCATGCGTCACCATCTGTATGAATAGTCTCAATAGAGAGATTGGCCAGCTCGCTACGCCGAGACAGTCGCCTCGCCGCTGCGTTGGATACGCGAATGGTCTTTCAGCAATGCTAAGCACATCTCGGCTACAGCCACTCTATGGTGCCGTCGATGTCTTTGCCCGCATATTTACACAGGCCACGGATCTTCTGAAAATCAGTACAACATCGGAGCTGCGAGTGGCTGCGACACAGGTGCAAACCGCCTGGATATTGATTGGGGGGCTCATGCCTCTTGGACCTAGTTTCGTGAAAATTCATCTTTCCCAGCTGATGTTGCTTTGGAAAAACGCATTACCAAAGCACTTGAGCAAAGAAAATGCGGCCCAACCAAGTACGCTAGAGACTAGTTTCTTGGCCCATGTTCGAGAATGTGCTCTGAGTGCACTATTGGTCTTCATGGAATTCAACAGTAAGCTCATTACCGCTGATGGTGCAAAGCGCATTGCCGTCATGCTGCAGAACACTGTGGAGTTCTTGAACGAAGTGCGTCGTCCGAAGTCTATGGAAGATATCTCGCAGCGGCTGCATCCCTCCTTGCAGCTCATTGATTTCACGACCATGGTTCGACGTCGGGTTCTGCAATCTTTCTCGAAGTTGGTCCACGTTCAGCATCTCAGCCACGGAGAAATCATTTCTCAGTCGAATCTGCTGAACCTCGCGATTTCCTCATTCGCCGACCCGGAAAATCAAGTAAGGCCGCTCGAAAGCTCAATCGCGGCTTCTTCGGGTCAGTTTGATGGTCTATGGGATCTTTGTGATAGTTACGGATTTGGCGTTACTGGACTCGCCCGAGAGTACGTCCGTGCAACTTCGACCGGATCCCATGGCAACGAAACAGGCCCATCATGGTCGGCCGTTGATTCCGTGGATCAAGTTGTAGACGATGTCTTGACTTTTCCTGTCTGCGAAGCCAGCGAGCATGACTCTTTGCTTTTGTACAGCTTACGTGTTGGCGATTCTCAGATTGCGGACCCGCCAACAACAGGCGTCGTCAATGCGGCGATTGATCTTTTCGCTGTTGCTATCTCTCTCCACTCACCCAAGATGCAGGAAAGCAGCGTCGAACAAATTGCAACTTTTCTTTCTTCGCCAGGCCTTCAACGGAATCCTGGCCGAAAGGCTGCTTTGATCGTCAATATCTCAATTGCTCTTCTGCATGCCCTTAAGGTTGCAGTGAGAGAAACGAATCTTGTGGCCGGGAAACTGAATTCGTCTACAGATAAGATCTTCCAGGAGTTGATTCAGGTTCGGTGCTTTCCCCCTTGTGCTACTCGCTTTATGAGATGCTAACACTTCGTAGAAATTCGTCGTGGATGCAGATCCGATCGTCAGAACGATCGGCGTTGAGGCCATGGGCCGTCTTTGCGATAGCGCAGGAAACTCATGCACTAGTGCTCAGGTGAATTGGCTTGTTGATACGATCGTGGCAAACAGAGAACCAAATGCCCGAGCCGGCTGTGCCGCTGCTCTGGGGTGCATCCATTCGCAAATCGGTGGAATGGCAGCTGGTCTGCATCTGAAGACCATCGTCGGGGTGTTAATGTCTCTTTGCAACGACCCGCATCCCGTCGTTCACTTCTGGGCTCTCGGTGGCCTAGAAAGGGTGGCGAACTCGGCTGGCTTGACATTTTCCCCCTTTGCTTCAAGCTCACTGGGCATGCTAGCTCAGCTGTACAACGCTGATACCCACAACGAAGAGGCAGCAGTACTGTCAACGTCAAACGTCGAGATGTCATTCATGACTCCTGTTGTAATAAGTCGGTGTGTTGACTCACTGATCAACGTTCTTGGGCCGGACCTGCAAGACGTTGTCAAAACTCGCAACCTTATCCTTACACTGCTACGTCAATTCCAGTTGGAGGAAAATCCTGCCCTTGTCACCGAGAGCTCTAAGTGCTTGGACCATTTCTCTCTGTATGCGCCTAGCTACGTTGACTTTGATGGGTACGTCAAGCGGCTACAGGGGGAACTTCGCGCAAGTAGCTCCTTGATGCGAGATGTGGCTGTTCGTGGGCTTAGCAACCTGATGAAAAGAGATGCTCCGGCTGTCGTTCAAGCGACCGGTGAGAGTCTCGAAGATGACATCTGGCTCGCATTTGATGACGCCCCAGACAATGAAGCATTGAGGTCGATGATTCGAGAGTGGCTTCAGCAGACCGCGCTTACTGAGACCGAGTTATGGATTCAGCGCTGCCAAAACATCATGACCAAGACTCGTACAAAGACTGAGGTGATTCCCACCACTGGTGTCCAGGCTGCGGCAGCTGACATTCCTGATGATGAGGTAGCCGGGTTTGCGACGGCGGCGGCGAGCGAGGGTCAAGTTCACCCGGCTAGCGATGGTGTTTCCAGTCTTGAACTGCTGAAATGGCAGACTCGGAATTTCGCAATGAGTTGCCTCTTTGATCTTCTCATCATTGCCAAAGAAGCGATACTGCCTGACCAGACAATCCCAGCCGAAGTGGCACTCCAAGCTAAGGTTGGCGACATTGTGCGGATGGCGTTCTCGGCGTCAACAGCTCATGTGATTGAGCTACGAGTGTGGGGGTTGAAAATCCTCGACCAGGTTTTGACAATGTTCGGAAAGACCCCAGACCCCGACTTTGCTGAAGCGTCTCTTCTTGAGCAGTATCAGGCCCAAATAGGTTCTGCATTGACACCTGCATTTGCTATTGACTCGTCAGCCGAGCTAGCTTCTGAGGCGATCAACGTCTCCGCTACGTTCATCGCTACAGGGATCGTAACGAATGTGGACCGGATGGGTCGAATCCTGAAACTTCTAGTCCTCGGGTTGGAGAACTTTTCTAAAGACCCGGAAACAACCGAAATCGGTGATCTGAAAGGGTTGAACTCAAATGCGCGTGTCATGGTTAAGCTTTCCCTATTCTCAGCTTGGGCTCGACTGCAGGTGGCGAGCACAGAGCAGGAGTACCTTAATCAGGTCGTCCAGCCGTATCTTGCTAAACTTACACCCCTCTGGCTTTCTTCGCTTCAAGAATACGCACGCTTGCGCTTTGAGCCAGACATTTCTGGTGCGCTGGGTACGAGCTCGCAGAGCGGTGACTTGGACGAAGTGTACGCCGCGCTTAATCGCGAAACACTACTCCGGGTATGATCATCCCGCCCACTTTGAAGTAGTTTCAGTGCTAACCTGTCACTGTAGTTCTACCAGGATACCTGGCTCAGCTTTGTGAATGCCATCGCTGGGCTTGTGGAGAATGATATTGATTTCGTATTCGACGCCTTAGATGGCAAGCTCCAAATCACGAACGGATCGGAAGAATCTGAGAAGACTGAGGAGCAAAGCGAGACCAAGCCCAACGAGGATAAGGCAGAAGTCAATGGTCATACAAACGGCAAAGGTCATGATATCAACTACCGGGAAGAACCTGTCGCATTCTTCTTCGTCCTGTTTGGACTCGCTTTCGAGGCTCTTGTTGATCAGTCGACCTCCTCTTCTCAACGACTTGAGATTTTGCAGGCCCTCAAGAGGATATTACGACCTCTTGTTGCCGGGAACGCAATCTATCAAGATGCTGTCTTCTCGGAGACCATGGACACGTTCGACCGCCTCGTACTGACCGAGGCAAATCCTATCCAGAACGTCATTGTTGAGATTGCTCAGAATCTGTCCCTGGATCATCCGGCAGCTCAAAGTGATCAAGAGCGAAGTGATCATCTCTCCGACGATATTGAACAACTCTTTGAACTGACGAGGAGCATCATTCTTGTTCTCGCTGGCATGCTTCCCAATTTACGGGAATCGGCCCCCATGGCACGGTTCAATGTGACTTCCGATGATTCACTTGCCCTGATCCGCTTGGCACTCAAGTCTCTGGTCGACGTTGCGTCAGTGTTTCCATCCATCATCCGCAACGATCTTCATGCCTGCATTCTACACATTTTCACCACTATTCTCGCCACTGGCATCTGTCAAACGGAGGTCGTCCCTCAAGCCCTGCCCATTTTCAGGCAATTTGTGCAAGCAATCACTCAACCCACCGAAATACCGGACGATATTGATGTGGTGTCGTTCCAATTGCGCGGCTGCATGACTCGCTTCTTAACCATACTCACAATAGCTCAGCGCCGAGAGTCAGAGTCCTCCCTTCCCTGCGCCAAGAACACACTTTTGGCGATTACTTTCCTCCTGACAGCTGGCGGTCACGCAATCCCACCGCAAGATCCCGTGATTCGTCGCGTACTCGACGAGTTCCTCGATTGTCTCCAGGATGTGGGACTTGCCACGGTCGCTGCCAGCTGCCTCAGATCCATTCTGGGCAAACCCACTTCACGCTCTGTGACGGATGATGCAATTGCTCAGTACCTGATTCCTCGGCTCATTGCATTTTTGGTCAGTTGCCCAACTGACTCGGGTGAAGTTCCGCAAGACCCTGAGAATTCCCGCACAGTCATCGCGCGAACTCTCGTCTCCTGCGCAAGTAGTGACCATATCTGGCCAACCTCAAAAGCCACCAAAATCTCTCTGGTCACGTCCACGATACTGGCACGAGCCAGCAGGGAGGGACAATCGGTATATCAGCAGTCAGCATCATACCTGCTCGAGCTTGCCAAGGCCGATCAGCTTATATTCCGAAATTTGGTTGCGAGCATGAACTCGGAGCAGAAATCGCTTCTTGAGGAGGTCCTGCGGAGCGCTAGGACCGAGTCGGCGAGGTCCGAAGACGCAGATGATCACTTGCAACAAGCTGCACCAACGATTGCCTTGCGAATGGACTTTTAGACAACAGTTTGTTTCTTGTACCTGGCTTGCAGGTGTGACCTGGAACAGTGTTACTCTAGGAAGACCAGAGGAGAATCGACATGACAAGATGTGATTCGATCACCTCGAAAAACCAAACGTAGATTCCCTACCTACTATAGCTGGCATAACCGAGGAGGCTTCAACAGAGTAGATTCGCAATTGGCTTGCTTTGACCGCGTCCCGATCTTCGCTTGGTAGTCCTCACAGCCGAATTTCAGATGTACGAAATAGAAATTTCGACCGCGTACCACCGCAGCCTCCGGGCTTAGCTGTACAGACAAAGTCTTAATCCACCTAGTTCAATGCGTACGTCGCGTAGTCTGCCATTTTAAAAGCATTTCATCTTATTCGTCAAGGTCTACCCGAATTAGGTTGCCCTTTCTTCTATTCAATTCCAATGCATAGGGACCGCCGTACTTTCTTTCTCAGGTCCTTCACTCGCTGCTTTCAGTCCTTCAGTAGCTTCTTGGCGAACATCCGCTTGGATGTACGCGACGATCAGGTCCTTCCTCTTGGAGAGACAAGATTCAAAGAGACAGGGACAATGGGAAAGGGACAAGTCGATCGTCTGTTGCTCCTGACTTTCCCACGGGATGATCAGTTTGTCACCTTTGCGGCCATCAATCGAAGCAGTCGTAATAGGTGCTCATTCACCACTTGGACAGCAGTCCACAAGCACAAGTAGCTTACAGAATTGGAATTGCGTCGGCCGGCTAGCAGACTGTCTGGTTGCAGGCGGAGATGATTCCGCATGGTAGGTCGCACTGGACGGGGAAAAAGAGCCGGGAAATGGCTCGATGACTGTGATGCTCATACAACGGATAGACATATGGCTACGGGTAGACATAGGTTTATTTGACCTCGGGCAGCTGTCATACCACGTATCCGGACCCACGAGCGCAGCTGGGCAACCGCGCGAGGAAAGGACTCGACAGCCGACATGGGCATTTCTGTGTCGAGGGGGGTTGGAGCATCGTGTGTACTTCACACGACATACGACTGCGTCATAATCCTGAAATGTCAAAGTCAAGTCACTTTTGACAAGCCCAAGACAGGCTTCCGTGGGCTAGATTGCTTCTCAGCGCAGGTCCATGTGATCTGTGAAAAGACAATCCAAAGTAATGACTCTGGTGCGAGATCGTTCCAATGCTGCTCCGAGCATATCAAGGTGCATTTTGGCCTCCAGAACCAGTGTCAGTGTACTTGGTGGTTGAATTTGTCGGAGATGGGGCATTGATATTTGTCTCTCCGTGCGAAGGTGCATCCTCGATGTCCTGTTCGAGGCCATCTTCATCACTAGCATGTTCTCCTTCGGTGTCCTCGATTCCGTTCTCATTCTCTTCAAGTTGACGGTATTTCCTTCTTGCCTTCTTCAGCTTGCTCGCTTTCTTCTTTCGCGCCGCCGCTGCCTTCAACGCAACGCGACTCTGGTCGCCCTTTTCCTGTGACTCCACTTTGTCTGCGAGAAGCGAGCGAGCGATCTTCTCATTTTGAGAGCGCGAACGTGTCGCCTGACATTTCACTACGATTCCCGAGGGTGCGTGACTAATCTGGACGGCCGAGTTGGTTTTGTTCTGGAAGAACGTTAGCGGCGCTTCTTTGTGTTTGTCTTCGTCTTCGTCTCCGTCCTCGTCTCAGTCGTGTTGCGGGCCCGGTCACATCTTTGCGAGGGGACCTCGTGAATTGGGGATTCATCGTCTCCGCATCTAGTAAACGTACAATTTTCTGTCCACCGGGACCAGTACCCTTCAAGTAGGAAATGGTCAGGTCGGCATCGTTGATCTTCAGACGGGGTGGAAGTGGCTTTGACGCGAGGTTTGGTGTCTGCGAGTACGACCGACAGGAAAGATTCGCAACCAATAGCGAGAGGCGCGGTTCAAAAGATGACAGTCTCCGATAAGCCTGAACAGGCAGTCGCAATTGATGCATCATTTTCTCCGGATGGTCTATGGTAGGGAGAAAGACGCAACCTCTCTATAGGTAAGCAGTGGGATCTTGCCCTGGGATTCGGTACTGACGTTGCTTCGGCCAGCCGCAGAGTGCCCGCCCGCGATAAGCGATAAGCGATAAGGAACTATGCGTATGGCCCTTGTTGGCCCTCAAGCTGCATGGAAAGCGTTTGAACGGTTTAGAACTCAAGGCTGAGGCCTGTTCGGAAATCCGACTCTCGGTCAGTAGTATGGTTGAGTGTAGAAAACATCTCGATCGAGTTGTAACAATACTATTACACTGTGAAACGTGAACAATGGACATTCTACCAGTCGGTCAGCGTCCATGGCGGTGTTGTTCCTCAAGAAATGATCTTCAACGGGAGTGTCCCTGAAAATCTTTCTGTCCGGGCCCCGACCGGCCCAGTCACGCCCACCTGCCCGGTTCTCCTCTCCGAAAGAGTCCAACGCTCCAACACTTCTTTCCCCCCTGGACCCGCCCATCCTCTCTCTCCACTTCCACGATTCAGTTTCACGACTCTAGTGCTCACTGCTCACTACTCGACACTCGATCTGCGATTTCTCAGACTCTCGACTCCCGACTTCTCCAACGCCTGCTGCCCGCCACTTTCTCAGAGCTCCCCTCTCCTTTCAGCGATTGTCTCCATCCGAGAATTCAGCCGGTCAATTCTCACCGTCCTCGTCATGTCCTCTCTTCTTTGGCTTTTGACCACCCTGGTGCGCTGGGTGCGCCTGAAGATTTACCAGTATGAGGTGACTTTTGCCATCTACATGCTGACCCCGGCCGAGAAATTCATTTTCAGTACGTGATATCTCCCTCAGGACTGTGTGTATTGAGAGAAAAACTGTGCATGCTGATCGTTCTTCTCCTTCCGCCAATGTACAGATTCCCTTCTTCTCACATTGGTCACTATGATCGCCACCGGTATCTACATCTATCTCCCCGACCATTTGCGAGCCATCTATGGTCACCTCTATTATTACTGGGTGGGCGAGAGACCCTTCATTGCAACTCGTCTTTCGACATCGGCCGGGTCAGCACTGGCAGACGTTGCCACACAGAGCCTCGACATTGTCTTCGAGACGGCCAAGACTGCCGTTGCGGCCTCGACAACGGAGGCCCTCGGCGAGTTGTGAGTGGGAGGTTTGCTGTCTTTGGACCTTGATAAGAAAGACCCGGGGACTTGAGACCCCGAAATTGGGGATCGACGTGGGCACTCACTCATAGAATCTGCACAAGAGCACCATGCTGCCTCCACGCGTCAGATTCCCGGTCTGCTTGATGCATTTGCGGCGTTGTTTCTTTCCATCGGGGCTTTCGCCCACTTCATAAGGCCCCTCTGTACCGATCCTTTCAGCCAGAGAGGTGCACTGGTACTCATCGCAGCGTTTAAATATTACCGCCAGCTTCTATCGTCGCGCACGGAGATGCGCCGTGGTTGTCACATGGATGAGCAAGACAGGACGGGCTTCTGTGTGATAACATGTCTCCACAAGGTCCATCCAAATCGGATGTTTTTGCTCCTGACTCTCTGCCCGATTTCGCCGCGACTTGGCTCGCCAAGCAGTCCGCTCGCTCAACATCCCCCGTACGGAGGTTGCCTGCCCGTGTGACTTTTTTGCCATGGGACGATCTACATTGGACCTGTCACGAAAAGAGGCCGGATCGACGATTAATATGTAATGTAATATGAAGATAGTAATGGAAACCACAGAATCACTCATCGACGTTGTGATACCTATTGAAAGAATAAAATATCCTGAATATATTCCCAAACGCCCGTAAAACGCCTGACACATGCTGAGTGGGGTGTGATAGTACAATCCAAATCCATAAATCGCGGAGCTTTTCCAGGTGACGGCCGCAATGCTATGATCCTCGTCCGATTAGACTGGTATGAAGCGCAAACACAGCGCGAGCCGAGCCGAGCGCATGGCTTCCAGCTCAGCTTTTCTGTGAGTTTCGCCCCCGCAATCATTTCACGTCACAATTTGTCCCGGGCACTTCATTCTCAGAACCCGTCATCCCGTTCTTCTTTGCGCCGTCTCTCATTGAGCAGGTTGAGATTGCTGTGTCTCTGCTTCCGCCTGAGCGGCCTGCGCCTGGGCGGCCAACGCAGCCTGTTCCCTCTCCCGTCGCTCTCGCCGAACCGCGTCCAATGCTCGCATACGAGCGAGCTCCTTGTCGATTTCCTCCTTGTCCAGTGGAATTTTGTGTGATTGTTCGGCGGTGGGCCAGAAGTTCTTCACGTGGAACCGGTCGTCGAGGTTTGTACCGAAGTAGTACATCCAGCCGATGGGGAAGAGGACGTATGTGCCAAACTGCAAGCATAGCAATTAGTTACTGTGCTGAAAACTCTCAAGGATGCGGCGATTGCGCAGTATGTGCAGTAGATTTATGTTTGATTCATGGTATGTTGCAAGCGGAGCTGACCTTGAAAACTTCCAGGTTTCCGCCCTGGAGGCGGCGGAGAATATTAGAAAACATGTTTTGGAGATGACAATTCTTCAATTGCAGAAATTTGATTCTGTAAGACTCTGCAGGATGTACGTGGTTCGTGCGATCCCCTTAAGTCCTTCTGCAGCGCCGGAGCATAAGCCGACTCAAAAAGTGACCGCGAGGTATCGGGATATGGCCTGATACGCCGGTCACGAGTAAAGCCACGTGACTGCACCCGGGTCTCGCCTGGTCATCTTTCCCGACCGCTGGACCTTCAACAAACAGCACAAACATCTTCTTGCCACGCTTGAGGGAGTCGCTACTCCGATTATTCATTCCAACCCAAAAAGGCTGATCACCTGATCAGCCGCGGGCCTCGGCTTGCAAGGCCCCCCCCCCCCCCCGCAAAATGTCTCCAATCCCCGATGGTCCGCAGTTGGCGTAGACGATAAACAGACAAATTCAATAGTCTGTTTGTCTCTTTAGAAAGGCTCCATAATCTCACTTGTTTGATTCTTCTATCGTGATTTGTTCGCCTGGGGACATTCTCTCTTCAACTTCGAAAATCTATACTATATATCCAAGTGGTACACCCGTCCACAATGTCCAATGAAGAGCTTATCAAGGTCTCTTACCAGGATCGCATCGCGATCGTCACATTGAATCGACCCGATAAACTCAATGCCTTGAACCAGGACCTGTACTATCTCCTGGGTGAGCGCCTGCGAGAGATTGACCAACGTGAAGACATCTATATCACCGTCCTCACTGGCACCGGTCGATTCTTCTCAGCGTATGCCGTGCCTTGACCCCAGTGCCTCCTGGTCTTCTCATACCTTCTCAACTCAATGCCCTACCTACTCCCCCCCCCCACCCAGCGTTTCTCACCTAACTGACATAACCGCACAACCCACAGCGGCGCAGACGTGACAAGTTCCCGTCCCGATGGCGATCTTGGCTCCAGCGCCCGACGCGAACTCGTCAAAGGCTTCGTCGCCAACAACGTGGACGTCACCCGCACATTCTACAACCACAGCAAGATCCTCGTCGTCGCCCTCAACGGCCCCGCCGTCGGTCTCTCTGCGGCTCTCGTCTCCCACGCCGACTTTATCTACGCCGCCCCCCACGCTTTCATCCTGACCCCGTTCTCGTCCCTCGGTCTCGTCGCCGAAGGCGGTGCCAGTCGCGCATTCGTCGAGCGTCTTGGAATCGCCAAGGCCAACGAGGCGCTGATCATGAGCAAGCGCATTCCTTGCGACGAGTTGGTCGCGGCAGGCTTCGTGAACAAGGTGATTGAGGCCGACTCGAAGAATCAGACTGATTCGGATGGCTTCTTGAAGAAGGTTCTGGCCGAGGTCGAGGATCGTCTGGGTACGCATTTGAACCAGTCGAGTCTGTTGAAGATCAAGGAGCTGGTTCGTCGGCCGGAGAGGGAGATTTTGGACCGTCAGAATGGTGTCGAGGCTTTTATGGGTCTCGAGCGGTTTATGATGGGTGTGCCACAGGAGGAATTCCGGAAATTGGCTTCTGGTGAGAAGAAACATAAGTTGTAGACTAATTGGTTCAGACGTTGTTCAGGATAGATCAGCTTATCGTGACATGTATACAACCCTACCAAAACTGCCTGAGCGAAAAGAAAGACACTATTCAACCTAAATCCTCGGAGTTGTAATCAATTGGCAAGGGACCTATGAGTTCCCCAATTGCGGTGCGACCTCGATGTTCGAAAAACAATATGACGACATCGTACTTGAGCTTGCGTTAAATCTACCCCCCTTCCCCCCCCCCCCAGTATATTTACTAGACGCCACTAAGCCATCATGCTGGCTCTTATGCAATTCGATTGATACAGTTGATTTGGTCGTGTCGATCCCCGAACACTAACTGGATTCATCACTTGCCTCTCGGTCTTCACGTTCTTGCTGCTTCAGAATATCTTGCCACTTTCCCAAGAACTCACTCATACCGCCGGGACCGGCCAGTGAGGCATCCACAAGCTCCTTCGGCACCTTGTGTGCTGAGAATTGAGGTGTGTTGAACGAGTAAGATTCCGGGTCATCTTTCTTAATGAGCCGGAACTCGGGGAGGAATGGAGCGAACTGGTCATCCCCATTCACGCCAGCTTCCTCGACACCCTCCTCCGAGGCTGTGTCACTTTCACTTTCACTTTCATCGTCGGAGTGGGGACTTAGCACGCTACCGTCTCGGAGAGAAATGCGAACAACTCCCTCTCCAAGTGAATCCTCTAACTCTTCCTCGAAGCCAATGGGGTCCTTCATGCGCAGAATTTCTAGCCAGCTGAACAGTAGCGGGTCCGTTCGCTGAGCCCAAGGATTGATGTCGATCAGCCATACACGCTGGTGAGGAGCAGGGATATACACATCGAAAGTGAAATTGGGGTCTGGGAACGTGTCTCGAAGCTTCTCATCGAAAAATGACTGAATGCGCGATCGGAGCATATCTCGCATGCCAAATAAGAAATCAAAATGATTTTGATCCCTTTGGCACATGCAGAGCAACTTTCGATTCCGCACAAAACAGCGGAATTCAAGCGAGGGATTGAAGTTGACGTACTGACGAAGGACCAAGTGGTAGGGCACCTCGGGGGGGACGTCTTCTCCCGCGGTCTTCTTATCCAACGCCCCATCCGCAGTTACAAAGTCTGGCTCACAGTCATCGAATGGGTGCTCCAAATCATGTGTGATGAAATCACTGCTCTTGAGAAGAAGATATATGTCGTTTGGCGAGCAGCATTGCGTGTCGTTGGTGGGAGACATGAAGGTTGCATCCTTTGGCGCGCTCCAATTCAACTTCGGTGTGACCTTGCCCCCTAATTCAGATATGATGCTCTTGACCCGAGTGTGTATATCCACCCACTCCGCAGACGGGTCCTGCTCACTCTCTTCCGCATCGTCATATTCATCGAGCTCGTCATCTTCTTTGCGTGGTCGGGCTTCAGGCGGTAGAACAATCCCGTCTTCACGGAGATAGTTCACGAATTCGTTTGACAGAGGTATCAGGCGGGACTTGGGAATGAGAGAGCGATACCTGAGCTTCAACGTCAGTCTCTCACGCGAAAACAATGGCGGGGAATGAGAGGCAAAAAAAGTACCGAGGATGCCAGTCATGGTAGGAGCAATGGAGAATATGAGAGTAAGTCACAGGTGGAAAAGGCAGGCGATCTGGAATCTCCTTTGACCTGAAGTCTTGGGTCTCACTTTCTGTGTCCATCGTCTCGGTCGGCATTCTCATTTTTCGAGGCTATGGTCAACCTATTTGACTCATTTGCAGAAGCGCGGGGATTGATTTTCTTTGAGACAGCCCTTGCCGGCGATAACGATAGATGACATAAGCCCGTATCCGTGCCGGCGGTGGATCTTGATGGTGGCTGGGCCCTGGCCGCCGGTGCGGGAGGTAAGTTACTCAGAGTTCAGACATCACAGGCAGATCAATAAGTTGTTTCATCACAACTCACAGGTTCAGCGTGCGCCATTGCCACCATGACTCCTGATGCTCCAGATCCCCAGAGCTTGAAATCATGGCAAGATGCCTTTCAGTATCCCATTCCCACAGTTCGCCGGCTCGAGCAGGAGCTGCGTCGCGACATTGCGAGTAATAGGGAGAAGCTCCGAGCTCTCGTGGGGTAAGTAGTTCACAATCGATTGACAGACATGCCAAGTCATAATTGACAAGCAGTTGGCTTTGTATAGAACGCGCTATCGGGAACTTGTGGGTACTGCCGAAACAATCGTGGATATGCACAGAGAGATCCAAGATGTAGAAGGTACTCTCATCGACGTTGCACGTCGTTGCAACCCGCGGCTTGTGGAGAAGAAGCATCAACACGCCCGCCAAATGAAGAGAGACGCTACAAATCATGGTAAAGCATTGTGGTTGTCCAGCTTAATTGATATGTAGCTAACCGAACCTGCAGATGCCGACAAGCATAGCTTCGGGGCACAGATGGCTCTGCTTCATCGATGCACAACCACTATTACCCGACTTTTGCGCCGTCGAGCTTCCTTGTTACTCACCGCAAAAATTCTCGTTATCTCACGCCTGCTCTTAAAGACGCTCTCTCAAAGTACGCCTTCGCCACCATTCCTGGAAGACCTGCGCAACCAATTGGCGAATTTACGCCGAACTTTACTTAAGCGCGTCGACAAAAAATTAGCCTCTGCCAAAGGGTCAGACGAAAATATCATTGAGTCATTGTCAGCATTTTGTCTTGCTACAAGCTCATCGTTCAGTGATGCGGTTCACCATTTCCATCAAGTGCGCCTTGACATGACTCTCGGACTTATAAATTCATCTCACACGAACATTCCCAGAGCTCTTCACCTATTCGTTCGGACTCTACAAAATTCAAAGATGCTCCAATCCCGCCAATTCAATGATGCGCTTTCCAAACTCAAGTCTCAGCCCATACTATCTGATCCAGATGTCTTGTCTCTGGAGGGTCTTGAAATAGACATCCTCAGTCGCTGGGCCGCCCCTGAGGTTTTGAACTTCACTCCATGGATCAGGCTGAACGAATCGACCCGCTCCGAAGCACTTCAGTCCACCAAGCAGTGGTCCGCGACGGCATTTACCAGATTTGAAGAAGCTAGTCGAGAGGCACTTGCACAGGGCACGGACTTTGTGGAGATGCTGGAGCTGCGGACCGGCACCATTGAATTTTGGTTGAGCTCATGGGGATCGACGACAACGCATGGATCAAATGAAGTATTCGAGCATCTGAGAAAGCTCTTCAATGATGTTTTGAAACGCATCCTAACCGACAAGGTATCCACAATTACCTCAGTCGCGGCACAAATCTCCTCTGCAGTTCGTAATTGGGAGATCATTGAACACGAACCGGTTCATTCTTTGTGGGACCATGATATGATCTCACACGATTACTCCGACGGGGCCTCCCAATTCAAGAGAAGTGTCCTGAACCGGCTTTACGGGCGCGATGAGGATGTCACCACCGCCTTGAAACAATATCAGTCCTGGCTTACCTCAGTTAGAAATGTGCATGACTCTATCGAAAGCCTTCGGCGGCATAAGTGGACCGACGTTCTGATCACTGAAGGTGAAGATGTCGAAGTCATGTCACGCCTGAACAGCAATGACCCTCAATTACTCTCTCACACATTGCGCTCGGCGACTCACGCGGCATACCAATCCCTCCAGGAGTCGTTCAATACGTCTTGCAATGAGATTGGGGCATCTTTCCCTGGCCAGAAAAGCACTTTTTTGCTTCGGCTTGTTCGGCATGTTCGCCGCGATATTCCTCCCACTTTTGTGACAGAAGGCTTTCTCTTCGCCGACAGCCTTGTCGCTAAGTTGCAAACTCTGCTCGCCGAGGACATCTGCTCGAATTTTGACATGGCTGCATTTGTTGGTCCTACTCACCAACGGTCGAAAGCCGGCGGCCTCAGAAATGTACCCGGGCGATCACTATGGGAAGGCGAGCCTCCTACCCCCGTACAGCCATCACCAACTACCTTCAAATTCCTTCGTCATCTGACGGCGATTCTGGAGCAAAGAGGATCTGATCTATGGGATCCGTCGACAACACGAATTTTGAAGAAACGACTCGGAAAACTTTTGAATGAATCGCTTAAATCTGCCATGAAAGAATTGGAAACAGGAGAGATTGAGAGCGGGAACACTGCTAGCCCTGCAAGCTCGGATCAAGGAACCGTCAAGAATGACAGTCAGGTGGCGGTTAAAATCCACTCTGACAAGGACATCTCAAACAATATGGCTCCGCAAGCGAATGATGCCAGCAATGATGGAGAATCTATGCATGATTGGAAGGTGCAGTTACTTTTCGATGCGTGGTATTTGACCACAATGCTCGGGGATTCCTCGCAGCTGGATGATGCCATACTACAAGTCCAAGCAAGCGTGGCGCCCAGCCCCGAGATGATCAAAACCATACAAACGTCGGCCAAAGACTACTGGAAACGAACAGAATTACTGTTCGGTCTCCTGGCCAGGCCATAGACAGGTCATAGTCAGTGCGCCAATCTCAATATCCGCTTGTCTGAACTCTGTTTTCAGCTGTACGAAATGGTAGCTACTTGTCGTGCGGCACCATAATGTGGAAGCCACGTCCCCTCTTCGTTGTGAAGACCTCTCTCTTGATGAACCCTGGCAGTCAGAAGGATATTCATAGCTTGGATTTAACTCATTCATTCCAACCTGGAGGCCAGATCAGTTTTTTTTCTCAATCATTGGCATCGCAGATTCCTGTCTGCGGGGGCTGGGCTATTCAAAAGTTCCGAGCATGCGTCTAGAAGCCCACTAGAAATCCTGTTCTGTCACAGTCCTGAAGCGATCAAGGAGAGCAAACAAACAGAATCTTCACATGGCGTTGCTGATCGGCGAGGTAGGTATGAGCTGTCATATGTAGGGGAGACTGAGACGCCACCAGAAACCTTCCGCTCTGTTCCAGATTCGTGATCATGGTAGCTTTTACAACAATACCATGTCTATAATAGTCCGAAATTCGCAGAGCACCTTTGCCAGTCAACTATATACACTGATTGTGAGGCTTTCCGGCAATAATAGGTCGTAAAGGGTGACCCTGCATGTATGTCTCACATGCACTGTGCTGAAAGCATACCACGAAGCTACACATGGCTGTTGACCAATTACCCGATTGAACGACCCTGGCAGTATCACGCTTGGATTCCCATTACAACTGGGACCACGCGGAGACCTTAGGTCCCAGCGCGAGGGTCCACTTAAAGTGTGTCTTGGTGTCCGACCCTCTTCGCCTCTATGTTGGGATATGGCATGAGGCTGGACGTTGTTAGGTTGATCTACGATGCGTCAAAGCGCGGGTCGTATAAAGCTGATGGGTTGAGCCTTTCTTCAATCCTGAAATGGACAGACCGCAGCCCGCGCGACTGGACCTTGATCTCTGCCAATTTCGAAGCCGATGAAGCCAGGAAATGTTCTGGCTCATTTTGGCTTGGGTAGCGAGTTCGTTGGTGCCGGCTACACAAGCGATATGCCTTCCCTCAAGCACAGTATGCTCGCTAGGGGATGTCTCAATTCGACGAGAATGGTGAGAGGTCCCACCACAACGTTCATCTGCAATACAAGCGAATGACTAACATACATCAGGGGAGAACTGACGCCTACTGAACGAAAGAGCTACACTGACGCAGTACTGTGTCTGGCTCGAAAACCACCTCGCCTCTCGACTGCACTTTATCCAGGTGTTCGCAGTCGATTCGACGACTTTGTTGCGTATGTCTATTGAACTTGCTCCTGTTTCGGCAATTTTGAACTTCCATTGACTCCGAATGAACCACCGCAGGACTCACATCAACTATACTCTCCATGTGCATTATAGCGGCTTGTTCTTACCATGGCATCGTCGATTCACCTGGCTCTGGGAGCAGGCATTAAGAGAGGAATGTAGCTACACAGGCTATCTACCGTGAGTGCTGCATGATTATCTGCTGGAGTGATGTTTAGCTCACTCGCCATGTTGAAGATACTGGAATTGGCCGCTCTGGGCCCACGATCTCAAACACAGCCCCCTGTTCGACTGCAGTGAAACTTCACTTTCCGGCGATGGTGAATACAACCCCGGAGAACAGTCCATTTCGGGCGGCAGTGTTACACTTCCTCGAGGCTCTGGGGGAGGATGTGTTCGATGCGGCCCCTTCAAGGATTTCCAGATTCATTTAGGACCCTTCTCTCGCGAGCTGACATCGTTCACCGATATACCTTCCCCGAGGTTTGAGTACCATCCGCACTGTCTAAACCGCAGCCTCAACAATTTCGTCAGCTCAAACTATGACAATGAGACTGTTGTATCGCGTCTTCTTTCGTCCTCGGATATTTCTGACTTTCAGCTGGTGCTGGATCACTGGCCAGCCCGACCTGATGGAGTCTTAGGACCCCACGGAGGAGGCCACTTCAGCCTTGGATCCACCATGCAAGATCTGTTTGCCTCGCCACAGGATCCAGCATTCATGTTGCATCACGGTATGATTGATCGCCTCTGGGCAATGTGGCAGAGCAAGGACGAGCGACATCGCCGATATGCACTCAACGGCACCGCAACCATTCTGAACCCGCCGTGGGGAAAGCCCGTCGCTCTCGATACGGTGATGGAGTTTGGTGTTCTTGATCAGCCTTGTCAAATCAAGGAAGTGATGGACCCAATGGGACATGGGCTGTGCTACAAATACACCTAAGTTTCATATGTTTTTGATGTTATTCTAGGGCAATTGAACAAAGCTAGACAATATGGACGTTTGGTATCAGAATGCTCGAGTCAAATTGAGGGCCGTAGAATTCTTTATCCGCATCGGTCTCTGCTCCATCTGCATCATCGTCAACCCTGGCATCATCCGCGAAGGAAGAAGTTTATCCACACCCATCAATCGGGCGGTTTGGACAGGCCGAGACCATTTCACGTGAGAACGCGCGAGCTTAGTACGCTTACCTAATCTTGATTTCCGCGGGGGTAACGTCACTGGGAACTTCGCCGACGGGAAATGTTTCTGACTTCAACAACACTCAATCATGGCCCACCCTAGGCTACAGTTCCTCTATCCGAGCCTGATACGGTCAGTTCGCTCATGCAGACCACATACATATCGATCTATTCGAAGCCAGGAGCTCCAACATGCCTTCCATACCACTCAAATGCGCCGCCAAGAGACCTACCAGCGACGATATGGACCTGCCGTCGAACCCAACTTGCCGCCTCCGCCGCGGCCTCAAGATAACCAGTCCGGTCAAGGTATAGACGAAAAGACGGCTGCGCCGAATACAGAAAGCACCTCAGCAACCGAAACGGATGCGTCCCACCCCAACGAATCTCCCTCACAAGCGCAGCAAGAGGCGCAGCTATCCCAGGTAGACACGCATCAGGATATGGCTGACGCCGCTGCCTCCACACTGTCAGAGCAAGCCGCAGGCGAAGCAACAAAGCGGCATGCCACTCTGGAGCCACCTCTTCGAGAGGAGGAAGGTTCCACCCACGAGGATGAGGATTCCAACTTCGCGGGGGCTCAATCCTCAATGTCGGGGTCCGGTGATGCTGGGGAGGAAATGTCTCAGATGCCGCCGTATATGAATCGCAGTGCCTTTGAAGACGTATATCACATGCCCTCCCCGAATTCTGGCCTCGCAACAACAGAGGCACCCGCGCCAAACAAACCTCCTCATATGAGCCCGGCGCCTTACGTCCATCACTTTGACACATACTCTCTCGTCTTGGATTTATCCAGGGGAGGATACACCAGTGAACAGTCAATTACCATAATGAAAGCCGTGCGGACCATCTTGCAGAATAATCTCGACTTTGCCAAGCAGAGTTTGACGTCGAAGTCGGATGTGGAGAACGAGGAGTACCTCTTCAAAGCAGCCTGCTCGGAGCTTCAGCAGTCTTTGCAAACAGCCCGAAACTCCGAAGTGCAGAGGCAACGCGCATCTCGAACTCAATTAGAACACGAAACCGATATCTTGTCCCAGCGTCTCAACCAAGAGCTGGCGGGCATGAAGGATGAGATCAAAGGCATGTTCAACGATCACAAAATGGCCACTCGAGAACATCAACGTGTGATCGATACCATGGTCCAAGAGTCCAACTACAAGATCACAGTCTCGCTCAATAGTGACGGAAAGAGCGAAATTGAGGGCTTGCGCTGGATTTTGACTCGGCGCGCTGCCCTGACTGTCGCCATTTGTGCCTGTAAGCCATCCTTTTGCCAGGCCACCCCTGAATATAAGTATTTACTGATCATTCCTTCCAGTCATGATCATTGTCTTCCTCAAGTATTCCTCGGTACGGCGCACGAAGGAGCCGAAGCCCTCCAGCGAGGCAGAGAAGCCAGTGACGAAAGAGGTCACGAAAGAAACTCGCGTCATTAACGAAACCACCCCTCCCGTGGAAGGCTCTCCCGTTGTCGAAGCCCATCTGGGGGAATCATTAGGCTGATATAATCGCCTACCTCCTTGAAACTACAGTAGATCTTGCACACCGAGCAGCATTACTGTCTTGTTTTTCCCTTCTCATCTTTCGTCCTCCCACTTGTACAATTTTTTCCCGTCAGCCCGGTTGCAGTTTCTTTGGTCCTCGAACCATTTCTCGGCGGAAGTCAATACCTGTATCATTATAAACATAGACACTCGATACCCCACACAGAAATACAATTTACCGTGATTGTTACTTTCCAGCATCCCTGCGGCGTGCATTCTTTGATACCAAGTTGACTCTTGCTTCTATTGTATGGATCATCCGCTATTCCGTCGGCGGTCTTTCCAGATTCGCTCAAATGATAGTATCTCCCTCAAACCCCTCTGACCTTGGCCTTGTTTGGAATCCTGAACACAAACTTTTGGCTGGTTGCGTCGAAATTTTGAGGCTTTACGCCCCGACAGCCTCTTTCTTACCTTTGACCGATCGCGAAGGAGTAAAAGTGGTATCCTCGACCAGGAGGCTAGAGTAAGAATTATAAAATTGCAGCAGGCATCTTTCATTTTTGGGAATGCAGAAAAGGAACTTCATTACATGTCAGCGTCCTCCTTTCTTGGTTTGAATGCAGGAAATGGTTCGGTCAATACACCTCAGGAGATGTAGCTGCCAAGGACTGCCTTGGCTTGATCGTCAAGACGCTCCTGTGCAAACTGCGACACCCGACCGCCGTTCTTCTTGTCAGCTTCCTTCAGATAAGATCCGACCCAGGCCTTCAGGTCGATTCCTGTTTCGGGCCACGGGTCCCTGGGCTGCATGCGAATAGTGTTGAGTGGAGTGAAGCCAACACCAAACGACATCTCCTCGGCATCAATCTCAATAATATCATCCTTGTGGACAACCTCGGGAGGCATCTCCAGAAGCTTCAGGAGAGTGTTGCAAGTGAACGACCAACCCTTGATATACTTGGTCGCGAACGCTTCAGAGTTGGCCAGGGTCTTGGTCAATGAAATGACGGCTGTCTTGCGATCCAGTGGACGCGCCAGCTTCTGAGTGTCAGCGAGGACAAGTCCGAGGTAGACGCCCTTGAAAAGACTGCAAGCAAGCGATCATTAGTTTTTGCTGAGATACGTATATATGCTCCACAACTTACTCTGCTTGAATCTTCTCGCAGATCTGCTGGATTGTATCTGGGCTGTAGCCCTTTTCGTCATGTGCGGTCACAAAGTGATAGAAGCGCACAAAACGAATTGATAGGTTCTCCGTCTTCGAATTCTGAAGGCGTTGGAGAATGATTTGCATGATTTGAATGAAGTATGGCTGCATGACGGTGCTGGAAGGAATGTCAGCATAAGTGCATATCAAGCTTTGACGTGAAATGTTACTTACGGTGGGAAGGTCGCGACCACAGCCTCCAGCAAATCAAAGCCATATCCTTCATTCGTTTTGGTAGACAGCAATTTCTGGAAAATGCCCAGGATAGGCTCAACCTGGCCGTGCTCGATGATATACTGGGAACCACGAGGAATGATCGACGAAAGAAGGCGAACGAGGGCAGGAATATTGCCCCGAGATTCCCACATCACCGGCATCAAGATTGGAGCGATCAACTCCTGGTAGTAGGTGGGCAAATTCGCAGAAGGGTTGGCTTCTAGCAGGGCGGCAAAAAGTTGGAAGACGTAAGGCATGAACTCTGATGAGCAAGCGTCAGCAACATAGTCTCGTTCCATCATCGCGGAATGAAATAGTTACCTTGAACATCATTCTGCAGAATACCAGCGAATGGTGCGTAAAGTGCTTGTTCAAGCTTGTCAGGGTTCGCGGGAGCCGCAAATCTAAACTCAGTCAGTTTCTTCTTCTTCGATCGGTGGCGGGAGACGAAAAGGTCCAGGTCTCACCGAATGAAAGCACCCATGGCCTCAAAGTGGTAGTAGTAAAACTTGGGGTTGCTGGGGTTTGTGCGGATGATGTCGGTGATGCTAATGAGTCTGGCCAGAACGACATCCGTGAAGGGCACAACGCCCTCTCGAATGACAACCAGCACCCGCATCACACATCGCATGAGGAACTCATTTTCTTGCACCTTTTCAGGAGCCGGGTTGCTTTGGATTAGCTGGAAAATGTGCTCCAGAAGTTCCTTGGACAAAGGAGTTATGTCTGCAGGCGGGATGACAGGCTGGCCCTGGGCGTCACTCAAGAAGAGTGCTCGTTCCACAGCGATTGCAGCATAGGTGTACACAACATAGTTAGGAGACGCGAGATGTTTGACCAGGATTGGAAGCACCTGTTGCCACTGCTCCTTGGTGATGATGCTGCGGAAATTGTAGAGGTACTTGATAGCATCCACCTTAAGAATAGGGTGAATACCGTCATCGGCAATAAGATCCGCGGCCAGATGCTGCTGGAAGAAGTCAGTGATACTGACGAGACTATTCGTAGCTGTGACACCATGTGTTGAAGTCGCAACACCCTTGGCGGCGATCGCAGAGAAGAGATATGTCGCTGTATCCTTGGATTTCCAATTCGAAGAGGGACTCTTTGCGTATTCGGCAAGATAGTGCTCAATGTATTTCAACGTCACTTTCGTCACGGATGCCTCAAACTTCTCAGCTAGTCGTCGAAGGAAGTCCGTGGCGGCGCGTCGCCTGGTCTCACTGTCGGAGCCTTCGAGATCGCGACGAATGAATTCAATGGGTTCATCTTCGAAGAGCTCCTCATCTGAATCGCGCAGGCTAACATTGGGCAATATGACCTTTTCGATGATCTGCCCAAGAGTCTCTTCGGCCTGGAAAGACGCCGCGTGCTCAGGCATACTAGCAACTGAAGTCAAGAAATGGAGCGCCCGGCTGACGAGAATGTCATACTTGGTTTCTTGGCCAATGGTTGTCAAGAAGCCCCAAGAGCTCTGGATGAATTGTCCAACATGGGGCCCAAAGGCATCGAGATACTTCTGAACGTACAAAGTCAGAGCCTCAAAGATACCAGCCCGAACATATTCCAGTGGACCAGCCTCAGTTTCGTCATCGGTGTGTAGAAGTTCGTTGTCGTACGTGAGGTACTTGAGAAGAATCTGGGCTATCCCGGTAATGTTGTCTTCAAACATGGGAGGAAGATCGTGGCAGGAAAGGTCATAAAACAGCTTGATCATCAAGTTGAGCTGCGTGTAGCCCCGGGTGAGATTTTCCTTATTCGTTTTGTTTTGTTCGAGATAAGCATCGAGACCCTAGGTAGAGATATATTGTGAGCATGCTGAGTGTCGCCAAGACCAGGTGTAAAATCAATAAGGGCAAACGTCGATGGAAGGGATTCAATCAATACCTCGAACAATGACAAGAATGGTGTACCAAACTTTTCCAGAACATGGTTGATCTCGATGTAGAGCTCATTAGACTGGAACAGAGGTCGCCAGCGCTTGAAGATTGAGTGCGCGACTTGCAAGACGCCAATGTTCATGGTAGGGTTCGACGGGGAAAGTTTTGAGACAAGGTCCTGGAGCATTGAAGACACTCTGATTAGCATACCTTCTCCTGACCAATAGAGGATTTACAGAAAAAGCACTCACATCAACGAGAGTATCCCATCGCTCCCAGAAATCACTGTCCGCGATGACGCTTACGGCTTCGCCCAATTGAGTCTGGATCGATGGCGGAACAGAGATCATCAAGGTGATCAGCTCGCGCTTAATTGTTTCCACTTCATTCTGAGGTAATTTCCAGTTTCCATCCTCATTGGTCCAGTTACGCTTGACGAAGTTCTTGAAGCAGAGAGCGCTGGCAAGACGAATGTTGCTAGGATAGGATTCGGATGCCGAGATTTGAAGGAGCTGCAACGAAAATCCTGGTTTCTGTTCTTCCTGTCGAAGAGCGGCCTCGGCTAAATGTAATTAGTCAAAATGTGTCAATCGAGTTGCGGACCAGAGTCAAGGCAGCACACACCACCTACCTTCTTTGTTTCGCCGTGGATCCAAGCTTGCTTCCAACAGAGCTCCAAGCGCCTCCGCCATTTTCACCGATGCGTTGATGCTGGTCTGTAAAACAAATAGATGAAAATACCCTACCACAGACAGAGATCAATGCGGATGTCACAGCAATAGATCCTCGATTGGTGGCCAGGGAGATATGTAGACTGAGAGGTGTGGCTTTTTCAAGGCTGATGCAAAGGAGCCGTTAAAAGGCAGTTCTGACAATAAACAGTGAAAGCGGCGTCGCTGAGATTATTGTACAGACAGCCCACTACGTAAACACACTAGTCCATATACGGTTAGATCGTGACATGCTATCTGCGATCTCAGGCATTTACACTTCTTGCCTTACTGCCTGAGGATCCGGCGAACCTGACGACCGCTTTCTCTTACCCCACTCTCAAACCGTCCTAGCAGCATTTTTCTGCCTCGAGCTCTCAAGGCGGAGTCTTAACATCATAGGCCTCAGGTGACTCAGTTCCATAGACTAAGATAACCACAACCTGCTTCCTTGATGTTCCGCTCATGAGACCGTCACTCTCTTCAATCATCCGCTGACCCATTGCATGGAACTCGAACATCTTCTTTCTGAGACCTTCACCGGCTTAACTATACCCTATATGTTGAAGACAGTGGTGGAACCCCGCATTGAATAGGTCATATGAAAATCGCATTTTTATCAAGCTCCGCTACCTGTGTGAGTAAGGTCTTGATGTGAAACCTCTCCATCGATCAAAGTGGAGATTTTCCAAGGCGAACCCAGTCCGATCAGCGACTTTGGTGGCAGTCAATACTCGTGATTTCCGGAGAAGGCTTCCTTAAGTGTGTTTCTCGGCTCTGTATCTGGCAAGCCTTCTAGGCGAGCTGCTTGACGCGATTGCTTGCGCTGACCTATCATGACAAAAAAGAACGCTTAGTTGCGCTGTTCAACAATTATTTTCTTCTCTCTTCAATAGCTGATTGTTCCCCGATGATGCTCTCTCAGCATCAAATCTCAAAATCTCTTCGTCTAGTCCTGCAGATGTCTTGAAGACATTAGGCGTCAATCGACCCAAGCACCATTCATCACGATCTCATAAGAGTACATCAGCCACTCAAGACTTCCTTCTCAATTATTCACTGCAGGATAGCGCGATCAGCAAGTCATGCATCGCGGAAGTGTGGTTTCGAGCTCTTCGGATGCGCCGGTCAATTACAACCCCGACTTCGATTCGTCAGTGCGGATCATTGCGCAGAAACAGAATCTTACACATGCCATCGAGGAGACGGAAGCAGTTGCCAGGAGCCTAGCATGGTTCACTTCTGAACAATCCCTAGCTCTATGGGATGCAGCTGAGTATTTGCTTCATCATGAAGCATCCGAGGATGCCAGGAGAGGCGGAGCCAAACTGTTAGAGGCTATTGCCTGTCGTCAAGATTTGGCTCCCCCTGCACGACGCCTGATATTCGATGCCATCGTCTCTCCCAGCGAGAGTGACGTGATCGCCGCCCGAGTCCAGTCGCTTATAGCACTTTCGGACCACGGTCGGAAGCTAGATTTCACAACCTCCTCCGTCCTGCCGATCGTCTCGTCTTGGATTGTTCCGCTCTACACGAACATTGCAGCAAATCGCGCAAAAATGAAGAAGGGAAAGTCGCTCAAACCTAACGAGCTTGTCCAGGATGAAGCGACGTTTGGTGACCTCTTTCAATTCGCTGTAGATCTCGTTACTCTTCAGCGCAGGTCTCCCACGACCGAGGAAATTGAAATCCTTCTTTCCGAGACGTTCGCAATCTGCAGGAAGACCAGTGTTGCTAATGATATCAAGAACTCACTGGCTATCTTCGACGCCGTCATCTCATATGCGTCTGTACCGGACGCAAGTTTCCTCCCGCTTTTGGAAGTTCTCTGCAGCATTCATGTCTCAGTCAGGCCCTTGTCAGGCCCGACCTCGAGGGCTGTTCGTAGCCTAGCGAAATCGACAAAACAGGGGGATATGATAGACACTCTTCATCAATTCTTGAGAGAGTCATGCACAGAAGACCACCCGCGAAACTTGGTTGTTCACCGCGGAGCGCTATACGCCTTTTCAGATCTTGTGCGGGCATACGGTCAAGCTGGTCTACCAGAAATCTCTTTTGATCGGCTCGTCGATTCTCTCTCGGTAATTGCAAAGAAAGATGACGGTCGAGTCGATGCCGATATCTTGGATCTTTGCTTGACCATACTGGAGAGCGACTACAACCGTGTTTCCCTTGCGTTTGACTGGACGGCTTTTGTTGATCTTCTCTTACTTTGCTCCCGAAGATTACATGTTGAGCATGAAGACTCAGTGGCTTCACCGACGAGTCCATCTCATTCTCATGTCAAGTCCGCACACGACGATATCAAATCCCACATTCTCGCTAACGTGATACGCATTACTTCGATGCTTGAGTCTCTGTGGGGGCAACTCAGCAAGGAGCAGAAGCAGCAAGCAATCCGATTCTTGGCCAGAAATCATGAAAACATAGACTCTTCTCAGTCGGAACTCATCATTAACATGATGAGAGAAGATACGCTGTGCCGGCCTTCACAAGGTAGCAGTTGGATACAGCATTGTCGTGAAACCATCGAGCGTTTCATTCAGCCGCGAACACAACCCTCCGACATCCGTATACTGGCCCTTGACACCTTGAAAGAGGCGCTCACCGGAAACGAGCGGCTACTTTTTACTGAGGCGAGCGGTTTGTTAGACCTTCTAATTGCCGACCTAGCCAGCGAGCATGACTTGCTTTTACTGGAATCACTCGTATCGTTTGTCGCCGAAGTCGCAGTGTATGCGGATGATGATATGAGCTTCCAGCGTCTAGTAGATGCAATCGCTACACCCATGAGAAGTGATCCAGGGAGAGATGAATCATCAGACGTTTCGACAACTCATGCCCCCCGCCGAACATCAACGAGTCCTTTGGAACTGAGTCTTGGCAATGTCTGCGCAGTCGGACTTGTAAGAATGATGATTCGTGCCTTGAGCATGTCTGCAGCAAAATCTGTCATTCTGTTCGAGGCTTTGCTGCGAATCGCACAATCTTCAGATCGACCTGCGGATGCTCGTTTGACTGTACTTAAATTGCTGTTTCGACTTCGATGTGATTCAGCTGGCGCAATCGCAGTGGTCTCAACCTCGGAGCACGACTTCCTCATGAATGTTTTGGGCCGTAATGTCGAAGTGGTTTCCCTCCTGCATCAAGGTAGTGAGGTCCCCTCTAAAGAGCTCTCTATGCAGGAAAACTTCATCGTTTCAACCGGCGGCAAGTCCTTCGGTAAAGAGAACCCTGCAACTCAACTTTCCAAGTCAGGGCCTCGAGGCTCTATCTCGGCCCGTCCAGCAAAATTGACTCCTCCGGTGTGGACTTCTTCTCAGGTCCAAGTTCTTCCAGAACAGCCGTCAGAAGAGTCAAGTCAATTTGTTTTTGCATATTCACAAAGTGGCGACTCGTCATCAGCCGAGCCTCCGCTTGGCCAAGGTGTTCTCAAGGTCAACATGTGGGTCGAATGCATAATCTCAATTCTTCAGCGAGAGACGGACTGGAATGTCTACAGCTACGTGCTCACTCATCTCGGCCCCCAGCTTAGCAACAGAGAATACTTCAGCAGCTCAATCCCTCAGATTAAGCTTCTGCGCAGCATTCTTTGTGACCAGGTGAAGAATGAAAGCTTTCATGAGCCACCTATGCCCACTGGTTTGAAGAAGAGTGATGTTGCTGCCTGTATATTTGATACACTTTGTATGCTGGTCAGCTACCATGAGCACTTTGCTAAAAGCGAAGAGGATGACCTAGTACGAGCTTTCATGCTCGGAATCGTCGGGTCGTGGGGTGCGACATCACGTGGCTGCATCCAGGCGCTTTCCCTCTGCTGCCACGAAATTCCGTTGTCAGTGACGAAGTCTTTGAACATCATTCTGGACAAGATGTCGAAGATCATTACCATGTCAAACATTGCCGTTCACATCCTGGAGTTTCTAGCACTACTTGCGCGCCTACCGGATGTTTATGTGAATCTTCGCGAAGAGGAGATCCGTACTGTGTTTGGCATATGCATACGCTTTTTGCAAACCTCAAGAGAGCAGGAACAGCGATATAAAGCATCAGAATCACCGGGTACACGAAATGCGCAGCAGGCACCTCAGAAAGCCGGGGGACTTGCCAGAGACTCTACCTCGATCGCAGGAGAGGCAGCGGAGGGTTCATCGCATGATGCTATGTCCAAATACATCATGACCCTGACATATCACGTCATGGTGTTTTGGTACCTGTCTCTGAAACTTCAAGATCGCGCAAAACATGTCAATTGGATCACGAGTAGGCTGATCTTCCACGATGAACACGGCAAGGAGGTGGTCGAGGAACAGAGTCAGGTCTTCATTGATCTCATGCAGCGCGTGGCTTTCTCTGACTTGGGAGAGACCGTCCCATATGAGACTTTCCCACCAACCCCAGAAGATGGGCCTGTGTCCAAGAGGTCATGGGTTGTCGGCATGAGTATTGTCACTGTTGAGACAGCCGGCATCTCCGGTCTGACGCAGCTTGCAAAGCGACAGGCCTCGGGCACGACGTATTCTATGTACCAGCAACGGACTGCGCCTGTTCTACCCCATCAAGCCACGACTCTCGACTCTCAAATGCGCCACGACCCCTCACGATTAGCCATCTTACCTAGTCACATCATGCTTCAACTAGCTGCCACTGCGTTCCCAACACCGACTGTGATGCAGCCCATTCCTGTACCCGAAGACGATATTACAAGGCGAGCCATTGCCAATTTTGATCGCACTGACATTGTCGATGGTCACCGAATTGGAATCGTTTACCTGGACCGTGGACAGAGCAGGGAGGCCGAAATTCTTGCGAATACAGCTGGCTCGGCAGACTACGAGCATTTCTTATCTGGTCTTGGCACCAAAGTTTCTCTCAGAAATGCTCAGTTCAACACACAAGGACTCTATGCCGACACTGACGGCGAAGCCACTTACGCCTGGCGTGATCGTGTGACAGAAATAGTCTATCATGTTGCTACGATGATGCCAACGGACTTTGACCGTGACCCTCACTGCATCAATAAAAAGCGCAACATCGGCAACAATTTTGTCACCATCGTTTTTAATCGATCCAACCTACCATTCAATTTTGACACCATCCCATCAGAGTTTAACTCCATCAATATCGTGATCACTCCCTGCAGCAAGATTGCATACGACGAGTCTGGAGCCCTTATTGGAGAATCAGATCCCGAGAAGCTTTTCTACACCGTCAAGGTGATGAGTAAGCCCGGATACCCCGATGTATCACCCGCAGCGACTCCTAAAGTCATATCGGGTAAGAACCTTGCACCTTTCGTGCGGATTCTGGCCCTGAATGCATCCGTCTTTTCTCTGGTCTGGAACAACAAAGGTGGCGAGCACGCGTCCTCATGGCGTACACGTCTACGAGAGATAAAAAAGGTTCGCGAGCGGGCCCTGGCGGCGCAGGCTCAGAATGCTGAAACCGCCGAAGGTGCCTATCCTGGTCAACGTCGGAACACAAAGCCGAATATCTTCTCCGAGGATCTTTCGAACCGTCCTGCGCAAGTGCAGACTGACTTTGCTTCAGAATGGAACGCAGCCTCCGGCACGAACATTCTTCAAAATCTCGACTTTTCTCGTTGGAGCCGTTGATGAGGAAGGTTACTTTCGAGAACCTTTTCGCTCAAGGGGACCCCGGCCATTGTGGCTCACTTTTGCGACTGTTTGTCAAGGTTGGTATTGTAGGCCATCGTGCCAACTTCAACCTCCCAGCATGGTGTCCTCAATTGAAATCACAGATACTCACACCGCCCTGTACTGTACATTACTACATCTTTTTGTCATTGCGTACGACTCGGGACATTGGTCGATACCCCTTTGGCGTCAAAAATTCAGGCTCTCGTTCGCACCTCCTTTCTCCTTTTTGTCAAATTAGGTTCTCATTCAATCAAACATGTTTGTTGGAACCTGAATGTGATTTTGATATCCAGACGCGCAATTGCAGCCATTTGGTGGACGGTGCTCGACAATCGGTAGAGAAACTACGTCTGTTGTTTACACGTTAGCAACGCAAAATCAAATCGCCCAAGACGGAATTTACATGGTTGGATCTCAGTGCGCTAGATACAGTTCATGGAAAGATCACTCAAATCCGGACTTCCATCACCGGAGATTCATTTCTTGTGAAGGATGGTAATTTTAGATGCATTGCAGAACAAGATCAATAATTGCGAAGAAGGAATCGCGCTCTAAGTTTGCGTTCCTCAGCCCCAGCCCGACAACAAGAAGGCGCTTCTCAGAAGGTGACTTCACCGCAATAGCTGTGGCGATCTGTCGTGCAAGCAGTTGGCCTAACGTGTCTTGTCCAGCACCGTAGCCCCCAGAATTGATGTTGCCGTCAGGCTACTATGCGGTAGGAGGTTGTCCTCTGTACTTTCAGAGAAAACATGCATGCCTTCAGTCACCGGATTCGTATTTTCAAGAGGAACATGAAGCTTGTGACAGTCAGACATGGCCGATATGCGGGTTAATCTCGGAATAACTGTACGTACCCAATGAGATAGCCGGCCTTCTTGAGACACAGTGAGCATGATCTTGTCGCTGAAACTGACGACCATGACGTCGGTCTTCACACCCTCCACATGACCAGCTACCTGTTTTGTGGCAGCCGGAAAGGGAAGATTGAGATGCTCTCCCCAGGGTCCACGAGTAGAGGCCATTCTTCTAGAATGTCAGAATCAAGTCAATCAATATCATATTCATGGTATTGATGCTCGCTTCGAGAGCTGGAAGGCGGTGGGAAACAACCCCCAAGACTTTGTCCGGCAGAAACGCACCGCCTATGGGCTTCGTCGACTTTTTTTCTGGTGATCGAAAATAACAAGAGTGACAATATTCGACTGTGAAATCAGTTATTTGAAAAGGTCCCCTTCAATCAAAATGCCTAAATTTGTACCAAGGCAGCGAAAGCAAAAACACCGACGCCAGGACACGAGCGCGCCAGTCGACACCAATGTTGCGGAGCTAGCGCCGGTCTCCAAAGACGAAAAAGAGGCGCGCAGACAAAAGCTGCGGGATGAACTTCGAGAACAGAACACAAATGTCTCTTCAAAGAAGCAAAAGAGATTGGAGAAGTACATTGTGCGTTTGAATTGTCGATTTTTTTGCTGGGAGTGAGCACTGACCCCCACAGGAAACAAAACTCAAAAAAGAAGAGAACGTCGAGCTTCTGAAGAAGCTAGCGCAAGCCAATGTCGACACATCGGGGCTACAAACTTCGAGAGATCTAGGGAAGCGGAAAAGGCAGCCTGGCATACAAGACTCGGTCAGGATACATGCGCCGAAGGAAAGTCGGGCTGCAGGCGACTCCGATGACTCCGACATCGATTTACAGTCAACTCCGGGAGCAAAGCCTCAAATACCCACCAGACCTGTCGGAAGCGGATTGAAGCGCCCTCTTGAGCTTGGAGCAGACGGATTTCCGGTCATCAAAAAGCGGAAGCGCACAAAGAAGCGAAAGATTTCAGTGGCGCCTGCCACTGAGCCATCGTGGGAAGGTTTTGAGTCAGGCGAAGAAACGCCAAGTGGAGATGAGCAAGATGATGTCTCTGAGAAGTCTGATATTGAAGATTCATCAGAAGGAGACCTCGCAGATGCACACTTGACAGCTTTCTCTGATACTTCAGAGGAGGATGGGGAAGACGACAACAACAACGACGACGATGATGAGGAGGAGGAACAGGAGGACTCGGAGGGTGACGATGACGATGAAGGAAGTGAAGACTCGACGACCGACGAGAACGATCACCGTATTAAGCCACGCGAGTCAGCATTCAAATCATGGGCTATACAACAAATCAACGAAGCTGTGGGCTTCAACCCTGCTGAGGGACCCCTTGTTCACGAACATGTGCAACAAGCCTTCGCACCACCGAGGAAAGAACCTCAAAACACTGTGGAGATTGAAGAGCCTCTTCCGCGTGAACTCGAAGTAACAACTGGAAACCCGTTCCGAAAGGCATTTAGTGTCCACGTTGACCGTTCTGAGGAAATCCAGTCGTCTCGTCTCGGCCTCCCAGTTGTCGGCGAAGAACAGAAAATCATGGAAGCAATTTACAACAACGCTGTGGTCGTCATTTGGGGTGCTACTGGTAGCGGTAAGACAACCCAGCTGCCTCAGTTTCTTTTCGAAGCTGGCTTTGGCAATCCGGATAGTCCAAATCCGGGCATGATTGGTGTTACGCAGCCTCGCCGAGTTGCTGCTGTGAGTATGGCGAACCGCGTCTCCCAAGAATTGGGCCAGTTCTCCGATCAGGTGTCCTACCAGATTCGATTCGAAACTACGGTATCGAAGAAGACCGCGATCAAGTTCATGACAGACGGTATTTTACTTCGTGAAATCGCAGATGATTTCGCTCTGCGCAAGTACTCCGTGTTGATCATTGATGAAGCGCACGAAAGAAGCGTCAACACGGACATTCTCATCGGAATGGTCAGTCGCATTGTTGACCTTCGCAAGTCCATGAGCGAGGAGGATCCGTCTGTGAAGCCTCTCAAAGTCGTGATCATGTCTGCTACGCTTCGGATTTCGGATTTCACCGAGAACCCGAGCTTGTTCCGAGATGGCCCGCCGCCTTTGGTGCAGGCGGAAGGTCGCCAGTATCCAGTGACCGTTCACTTTGCGCGTCGGACTCAAAGGGACTATGTGGAGGAAGCTTTCCGCAAGGTCTCCCGGGGCCATCGAAAACTTCCCGCAGGAGGGATGCTCGTCTTCTTGACTGGTCAAAACGAGATTCGGCTTCTGTCGAAAAAGCTCAAGCAGGCCTTTAAATCTACGGAACGTCTTGAGACGGCGCAGGCTAAGGTGCAACTAAATGCAAATGAAGCACCTTTAGAAGCCGAAGACTTGGAGCTCGGCGGCATGGACATGGATCATGCAGGGGATGACGAGGATGATCTGGAAATCACCGGTCTTGACGAGCCAGAGGATGATGAAGGGTTTGATCTTGGGGAAGAAGCTATGGACTCTTCGACAAAGGTCCACGTCTTGCCGTTGTATTCGCAGCTGCCGACTAAGGAACAAATGAAGGTGTTCGAAGCGCCTCCAGATAACTCACGCCTCATCATTCTCGCCACTAATGTGGCGGAGACATCACTTACCATTCCTGGCATCAAATATGTTTTCGATTGCGGTCGATCAAAGGAGAAACAATATGATCTGTCGACTGGTGTGCAAAATTTCCGAATCGGCTGGATAAGCAAGGCCAGCGCGAACCAGCGCGCTGGTCGAGCTGGTCGAACGGGCCCCGGCCACTGTTACCGACTCTACTCTTCTGCGGTCTACGAGGCCGACTTTGCCGATTATACCGACCCTGAGATTCTGCGTACCCCAATTGAGGGTGTCGTTCTCCAGATGAAGAGCATGGGCCTTCACAATGTGATCAATTTCCCCTTTCCGACTCCTCCCAGTCGCCAAGGTATCGCCAAGGCAGAAAAGCTGTTGAAAAACCTTGGTGCCCTTTCCAGCAGTGGTCAAGTTACTCAGATCGGTCGCCGTCTGTCCACATATCCGCTTTCGCCACGCTTCGGCAAGATGCTCTACATTGGACACCAACATGGCTGCATGCCATACGTAATCGCTCTTGTCGCGGGTCTCGCTGTAGGCGACTTGTTTGTCTCAGAAAATCAATTACCCGGCAACGAGATGCAAATGCAACAGTTGAAGGATAAGAAGAAAGGTCCAGGTTTGGACTCGGACACGAGTGACACTGAAGATGAGAAGATCTACACAAACGCAGATCGTATTGAAGACACTGAGCGTGAGCAGCGCTCAAAGGACTTCGCTCGTGTTCACCGTCTGTTAAGCAAACATGACGACACAAGTGACGCTTTGAAGTATCTCTCCGCCATCTGTGCCTACGCCTATGCTCCCGATGGAGAGGCATTTTGTGAGCAGATGTTCCTCCGCGCGAAGGCATTCAAAGAAGCATCGCAGCTGCGGCACCAACTCTCAGACATCGTCCGGTCAAATAATCCAGGGCTCCTTGGCACATACTCGGCGAAGCTGCCCGAGCCGTCGCCTAAGCAGCTCAAGGCAATTAAACAAATCGTCACAGCTGGCTTCATTGATCACGTGGCCATTCGCGCTGACTTGGCCCCCGTGCCTCCTGAGATACCTCGCGCACCTCGTCGCGCTATCGATGTGCCATACCTCACTCTTTTCCGATCGCGTGAGCGACATGCAGACGACATTGCCGAGCGAGCCGTATTCGTTCACCCAACTTCGGTTCTGGCCAAACTCACACCGAAGGAAATGCCACCATACATCATATATTCGCACCTGCAGCAATCTGCTGCGGCGCCTCTCTCGGGACAGACGCCCAAGATTCGAATGTTCCCTCTAGTGGCACCAAGCGGCGCGCAGCTAGCGGCGATTGCCCACGATACACCGCTCATTGAGTATGGCAAACCCGTGGGAAAGACCGAGCTATTGGGGGGGATCCCTCAGCGCCGGTCATGCTGGGTTGTGCCGTCACTTGTAGGTGACTCTGGAAGCACCGGATGGCCGCTGCCGGCGAAGAAAGTGGTACAGCGGAAGGACCCCAGGGAAGGTTGGGTTATCGAGAAGTTTGTAGCATGATGACTCTTAATGTTTTCTGCATTAGAACATGATTCCTCTTCAAAGGAAAAGCGAAACACCCTATCACATGATTATGTCTTTATGTGTACAATTTCGTTGAAAAGCTTACCAGGATCCGAAATCCTTTCGCAATTCTCAGGTATAGTCAACATTGTCGGCGATTTTGCACTTCTCCGTTTGTCTCTGCTTTTGCCATCTCGAGGCAACAAGTGATTTTGCAGACGTTCAAAGGTTCCGGAAGGTGGCTGCTGTAAGACTGTAGTGTGTTGGAACTTCGCACTTATAACGAGGGTTGAGTATCATGTCTGGAAGAGCATCCATACATACAACGGAGAACATGTTTGAAGTGGCCACGAGGTCATAAATTAAATAGCAGACCCGGTATGAACGCCACTTGAACCAGGCCATGCATGCTGAATTCTGCTTTCAGTTATGTACAGGTGTAAAGTCAAGCGAAGATCAAGTGCTCACGAATTCATAATCAGTAAAAGATCCAGTCTGCCCCAGAAAAACGCCGCGAAAAACTGAAGAGGTAGAGATGACCTACAGCCATATCGAGGCTTAAAAAAGGCCTCTAATCCCGGCGTCTCTCAAAACGTTTACTCGTAATCTCCCCCGTCTCCCTATCCTCCCGCAACCCCAAAGCCTTCCGTAACCGCTCACTCTCCTCAATCTTGGCTTCAGCAAGCTCGTGCACCTGATACGTCTTGAATTGTCTCCGATCTAGTGGCGCGACCTTCTTGCCGCGCGCGGCGCCACCAGCGGCATTTTCTGCGTCATCTTCCTCCAATTCCTTCAGCAAACGTTGTCGTAGAGCATCGCATCGCTCGTCAATCTCCTCCTCGCTCAGGATACGCTCGGTCACTCCGCTTCCGGACTCTTCTTCTTCCCCGCCGTCTTTGGTGTCTTCGCTTCGCGGCTGAGATTGTTTCTTGGCCTTGGCCTTGGATTTGGACTCGGCTTGCGCCTCTTCGAGACGTTCGTTGGCTTCTTCGAGGCGCTCACGCTCTTCCATCACGGTGACTTCGATTGCGCGGCGACGGTCGTGCCCGAGGATCTGCTTATCGGGGAGTCGCTGCTTAAAGGCACGATCTGGAGGGCCGTTGGCGCCGGAAACAGGTGGGTATGGTGCGCCTACACCGGTTGCACGAGGTTTGAGAAAGGCGCCATTGCGTTGCACGTAGCCTGATGTGCCGCTACCGCGTGGTGTAGACAGACCGACATTTGAAGACATTCTGGCGAGCAGATTCGCAAATTTGAGTAGGAGATTGTGGCGCGAAGTTGTCGCGAACTGGGCGGTTCCCTTGATGTAGTGCAATCAGAGAGTCGGGACAAATTCTGAATCACCAAGATTCGAACAGCTGCAGTTGGCGAGAATCGCCAGGGGAACCAGATATTCTGATTGAGTAGCGGTTAGTCGGGTCACTGGACACTCAGACAAGTATATTGAATTTCATGAGAGCGTGATAATAAATGCCAAATGGAATCGATTGCTTTCGGGTGGGTCCTGCTATCTTATCTCTCAGGTCACGTGAGGTTCTGTGGCGGCGGAACGGAGCTACATGTAAAGAAAGAACCTGCGGGTGGTCGAGCTGATTTGGCGGATGGAAGTAGATCGGGTCTGCTACTATCCTGGATGCATGGGTTGCAACTCCGCAAGCGAGAATCATAGCCATGGTATTCACCATCTAGGCAATGCAACATCAGCCTGGCCGAGTTTCAGTGGAATTACAGAAAAGATGCGGTTGGCTGGGAAATTGGTGGTGGTATTGGTAAGAGAATAGCTAGGATAGCAATACATCCAGCCATAAGAGATAGCTCATAAGAATATACACCTGGTAAGCAAGGTCCATCCATCCTGTAGCAATATGCATGTCGTTCTTGGGGCAAATAAATCCAGACAAGAAAGGAATCCAGAAACAGACAACAAAGAAGAAAGAAACCCCAAGAAGACAAGAAAGAACCGGGCCATGCGAGGATAATGGGGATAATAATGACAACAATCAGAAGAACGTAAGGATTAGCAGTGGGTTGATGCGGTATCTTCGATGTCGTTCCGTTGAAGAGCAAGCCCCTGTTCTCAAGTCATATGCCAAAGATCGTGAAAAGAGACAGAGAAGAAGATAGCCACGAGGACATGCGTGTGTGGGGATTCGAAATGGCATGTTCAAATCCAATCTGAGCCAGGTCCGTAAATTTTTGAGCGACCTTTGTATCCCCAAAGCGGAAAGTACACGAAGACGCCGATTCCTGATGTTCCGATAGCCGCGCCGTAAAAGATGAAGAATTGACAATGATGATGATGTGAAGTAAGTCGTGAGCGGACACCGTCATCAAGGCAAGTAAAAATAAATAGACAGGTCGAATCACGTCACAAAGAGAATAAAGGTCGATCCGTGTCCAGTAAAGAGGCTGGTAAAAGATAAGAGTAACAATGAAGCAAGGTAGCCGTAAGGCTGGCGCGACTTGTCTTGGATGGGAGAACAAGTGGCGAGAGTAGGCAACAAGTCACGCCAGACCCGCTAAAAGGGTGTCACAACTCCGGTAATGAATGCACCATAATGCATATGGATAGAGATATGGAGGCTGATCGGCAGTTTGCGTGGTAGGATAAAGATAGAGGGGTAAAGGTTGGAGTCACAGAGGACTTAATGGCCAGTGACACGAATTGGGACGCCAGCATCCGGGCTGGAGTCTAGGCTGGACTCCAAGCTGGATTCCGAACTGGAGATTGACTTCACAGTGCCGTGACACAGTCCCTTGGCCTTGAAAGAGGACTCCAAAGCCAAAGAGGCGCGGTGCTCAATCAAGGGAGGGGTAATTGGACTGCTGACCTCATAAGTAGGGCTGGACGAGTGGTGAATACCAGCCATGCTTCGCTTCAAAAACAGAGGCGATGGTTTCTGAGAGCTGGGTGGCGTGGTTGAAGAGCGCGTCATCAAGCTGGTAGATGGAGAGCTAGGGTCGTAGATAAGCTTCTCAATGGCCACGATCTGCTTGCCATAACTGAACTTCTTCAACTGACTGAGCAAAGGCTTGATCTTGTCGACAAGAGCCTCACGTCTGGCGCCCTTGAGCTGACCGAGAACCTTTTGAATGACGTAGTTACCGTATTGATCACGCATAAGACCCAACAGTGGACCTTCACCGCGCTCGTTAGTCGAAGTCAGGTTAGCGATGATCCAGCGACGCTGGGACTCGTCACCAAACTCAATGCTCTTCTCAACCACATTGCTGGCAAACTTGTGCTTAGAGAATTCCAGCAAATGGGACATAACGACTGCGATCATCTTGTCTCGATCCTTAGGGTCTCCATTCTCGATAACATGCTGGATGACGTAGTTACCGAATTGGTCAGGGATCAAAAGTGCGGTGGACGAATGCAGTTCAGTGAGGATAGACTCGCGATCATACTCGGAACAGTGCTCCAACATGCGTTGAATCACGCGGCATCCGTAGGGGTGTGCGGCATGGCGGTTGACCTGACCACGGAACGCGTCGATGATGAATTGCACATATTGCGACGGCACGCGCTCAATAGCCTTTTGAATGACATGGTTGCCATTCTGGTCACGGACGCACTTCAAGACGTGATTCTCCAGCTCTTTGACAATAGCGGCTTGCTGGTCGACTAAGACATGCTCCAGTGCCTTCTGTACCACACGGCAGCCGTACATTTGAGTTGACAAAGCGAGGACATGACCACGCATGTGATTGGCCAGAACTTTCTTCTGGCTCTGGTTGCCATGCTCAAACAGCTTTTGAACGACATAGTTGCCAAAGACATCGGTCATGAGCTGCAAGGAGTTTTCCTGGATCTCACGGAAGATCTGATCCTTTTCGTCACTGTTAGCGGTCTCCAGCTTTTGCTGGATGAAGCGAGACCCATGCTGGTCACCACTGAACTCCACGACATGGCCGTAAATGTCCTTGAGTTCGTAACGCTTGCTGTTTTTACTGTTCGCTCGGAAATCTTCGAGCAATGGGCTGCGGATACTCTGGGAGGGGTCAAAGTCGCGAAGGTTGCGGGAACCTTGAGCGGTGGAGTTCATTCGAGCAATGTGGCCAACAGGGTAGAAGTTTTGCAGATTGTGCAAATGCGCGGCCTGATAATTGTGGTAATCGTATGTCGGGGAGAGGTGCATACGAGGAGTGGGGAGACTGTGGCCTGTTGCTTGATCCGAGTAAGCCGAGAGTCTGCGCTCATAGGAGAGTCTCTCGTTGATTCGCTGCTGTGCGGCGATGTGCAAAGTTGGGCTGTCAGTATCAAGGTACATGGGGCTACCAGAGATGTGACTGTAGGTACTTGGGGAAATTGTTGTGAGATCGCGCGCTTGGGCACGGCCATGGTATGCAACTTGCAAGTCTCTGGCAGCTTGCGCACTGAGCGCGACAAGAGACTGATAGCGCACCTCATCGGGGTTCTGACCCGTAACCCGTGGCACAGACCCGTCCAACGATGTTTGCGACGCAGTCGTGGGTCTCTGGGCCCCACCATGGGTTTGATAACCGCTGTCGTCAATCTGATACTGGTTGGAACGTGCACCCATCTGCACCACGCTGCCGCCATACCGTACGTCGGAGCTCTGTTTATCAGAGTTGTAGGACATGCGACTTTCATTCGAGGGACGTTGCTGCACATATGACGTCGTATTCTGGGGCATTTGCGTGAATGGAGATCGACTGTTCAGGGGAGATGTACGATCCGGTACGCCCAAGCCCAGATGTCCCTTGGGCACGTTGTGAGTGCGGGTTGCATCCAAGCCACTGCCGTAGGGCGAGTTGGCAGGGAATGACGCTACCAAAGGGCTGCTTCCCTGCGCATTAGAAGTGACTTGTTGGCAACGTCCATCGCCGTTGCGAATGCCGCCGAAAGCATTGAAAGTGAGAGCCTCTCCAGAAGGGGAGACACCTTCGGATCCCGAGTGAAGGTAGGGTCGTTGACTGGCAGGGCCAGTAGCCTGACTCATGCCGGCGGTACGTGGCAAAGCGAAGTAGGATTGATCAGAGTGATCGTTGAGCATGCCCGCACTCAGGTCGCTTGTGCGTCGAAGGGCAGGGCTTGTCGCCATCTGAGTGGTTTGAGCCTGGCCCATGCGCAGGCTGGAGGTGTTGCCGTTGTTCCACGGAAAGTGGGGACGTCCAGCCCAGACTTCAGATTCCGACAGCAGCGAACCGGAGCCGGACTTGGCCTCATATCGAGGCTGGGGGTTGTTGTTTTCTATGGCCATCAGTATTGGTTGCCTGAACAATTCAAGTTGATGGATGCGGGGTTGGTTCATGACATACGTTGTCCATGTCCGTCTGTGCGGTGGTTATCACTCCAGATAGCGTTCAGTCGGTTGTTACTATCACCCAGGCCATTGACCTGGGGACCACGAGCCTGACCATTGCTCATGTTGGAGGCGTTCATGTTGCCTCGATTCGATCGAACCTGAGATGGTTGGTTAAAGCCAGCCTCGACCATCGACCCCCTCATTTGGGATTTTACTTACGTTGTTCACGCCACCGGTCTTGGTACCCATCGCCGAAGCCATGTGTTAACCACCCGCGGACGTGTGGGAAGGTTGCAGTATGTGTCTTCGAGGACAAGGATCAGATTGTCACTGTGGCTGTCCAATCGATGACCAAAGAGTGGAAGGGGATTGTGATGTCTGTTGATGCTTGATGCTAGACACTGGAGAACAGTGCGAGTCGACAGACTTGACACAGGGTCAGTTCATCAATTTCATCAATCTTGGTTCGATACCAAGCCAAAGTACGACGGTCTACTGAGTCGGAGCAGGGAAGCGGGGGACGGCTCTGCGAGATGGAGGAGATGGCACTTACAGAAATGGTTTGGTACAGAAGACCAAGTCAGAGAGGGGATGTGAAAGACGCGGAGCCGATGATCTCGAAGAGCTCGACTGGAACAGATGAGCGAGTCTTGGAAAAGTGAGCGGATACGAAACGAACTGGGAAAGGAAAGTTGGTTTTGAGGAGAGAAAAAGAAGAAGGAAAGAAAGAAAAAGTTGAGGAGCGTGGGTTTGATAAATTCTTTTCCCTAGGGCAAGGCGTTTGAACCACAACGGCGCAAAAGCGTCACGGCGTGGAGGCCAATGAGGACGCAACAGCTTCACCACGAGAAGGCCAATGAAGACGCAAGGCCGTATAAGTTTGACGGGGCAATTGTCCCTTTCGTTTGCCAATGCAGTCAGGCCGCCGCTCGAGGCTGCCTGGAATTATCACGACCAGACCGCAGAAAGACGTCGCAACGTTTTACTCTACTCCGTGCATGCTCCAGGAATCTCTCAGCTTGTCGATCTTCCCAGCACACTTATTGCAGAGAGCTTCCCCAAGAATGGACGGGCAACTAGGAGGAGGTCGAGGTGGACCCGGAGGAGGCCTAGGACTTTAAAGGGAGCGATGCGCAAGGGATGACGGATGGATATCGTATAGAGGGATAATTAGGAGGGGATGATGGGATTCGAGATGGGCGGAAAGGGAGCACTCGCGGCCGACGAAGGGTTAACTAGAAGATAGTCGGGCAGAGGAATGCGGTGCGAATAGCCAAAGAAGGTCGGATGGAGAGTTCTACCTAGTGGATCGATGATTGGGAATGTATGTGAGCGACCAAGCACCGAGCATAAGAAGAGTTTCGCTGTCACACAGAGCGGCAGCACGACGGTCCAGCTTACAGCTATCGTCTCCCTTTCGCAATTGATATCGCGGCCAAGGGCCAAAGGGACCCAGGCGGATCGGAGAGGTATTAGCGTTAGGTGATGATGAGCAGGAGACGATACGATGGTTTGAACGGGAGGAATTGAAGCGCTCCAGCGTCACTCGTATAGAATCAAAGCAGACGACAAGGACGAACGCGCGAAAAGCCTTTTTTAAAACGGGGAAAAGGGAAAACAGAAGGCCCAGATGGAAAAATGATAGATAAGACAAATGGGCAGAAAATGATGCTTGGGTGGAGGAGCAGATCAGCCGCTTGTTGTAATGGAGGCTGTACAGTAGCGGTTCGGTATATGTATTTAATCGAGTCCTTTCGTCCAGTCTGGAGCGAGGACTCGAGTCCGACTTGCTTAAGCGGAGTGGACTCGAGGCCGATCGATACCAAGGCGGTATGGTATGATATGGCCAATCCCTCCAGCGGGCCGCCTTGGCTCGGTGTGGATGAAATAATGTCGATGAAAGTTTAGTCAGGGCCTGGCCCGAAACGGAGGCGGTGCACTAAGCTTCGGTACGGTATTGTTATTACAGTCCATGTCATCGTCATCTGTTCTTAAACTTCGTTCCCAGTATCCAATGCGACCATGTGTACTCAAATGGTGTTGTTGACTTGTTATTGACCTGTTACTCGTACGCTGAACCCTTCCAGGGTAGCAAGAGCGAAGAGCTCAGATACAGAAAGTCAATACTGATCACAACCGCGGCACATCAAGAGCCTCTCTTCTTCTTCTTTGTTCTCTGTTTGCTTCGTGGTCTCGAACTTCCGCCGCGACCGATCAAGCTCTCCCGGCCCTGGTGATCTTTTAATGACAAGCTGGGAAGCTTTCTGCGTTGCCTGGATTTCGCGAGACCCATTCACATGCCTAGAACACATCAGACTTGCTGTTGTTGAAGTTCTTTGGGAACCTGGCGGAACATTCTTTTTGATGCAACGAATTGAAATCAGATGCTACCTTCTACGTCGGTTGACCAGGGCTGACCGCTAGTCTGACCATGGCTATGAACATACATAGAGAGCTGGCTATTCAGTTTTCCCTCCATGGGCGACCGTATAAAGTGCCAGAGATGCGCCAGTAGGTGAAAACATGAAGTCACCCATCCCAAACTTGCTCAATCTTTCTTTCCGGTCAAGTATTCCTGGCAGTCCACGTTGCTCGCGTCCTGGCATGATCGGAGGTGAGTTCCACGGACCAGGCGAAAGAGAGACCGAGCCAGGTGGGTGCGTCGTGCGGGTCATGGCTACCGACTTAGGACAGGGGATAAAGAAGCGCTTGCTTACTGGATACAATATGTGAGACTGCCGAGCTCATCGCACGCGCTCGAGCAGATAGCAAGGACGATGTTCTCGGTATCGTCGAGATCAATTGCGACCGTATTGCAAGAACACCTCGTCAGCTCTGAGCTATTCTCAACCTTGCCCTCCAGGAGAGCGCTGAACATGATGATCATTGTATAGCGAGCCCCCAATTCAGCGAGACCTACTTCAAACATACCTGACGGGTGGTTGCTCGATATTGGTTCGGGCTGATGCCCGTACTTGTGTATAAACGCACTTAGTCTGGCCAAAGGAACAGGAGATACAGTATGTATCCGATAATCCGACAGCCCTAAAACTGGGGACCGATCGGGGCCCACTCAGCGCGCTAACTCGGACCCTTGGTTCATCAGAGGTGATAACATGGACCCGAAAGCGGCCCATCTGACTGTGCAGTAATAGCTAACTTGCTAGTCAGAACTTACGGCTTGTCGACCCGGCTTCCCAAGCTTCGGTCTGTAGAAACCGTGAACTTGAGTGAATTTCTACTCGAATGGCATGATCTCGAATAGGAGGCGGTCACTTTTCGTTTAACTAGTGGCGAAAATACGGCACTCCTCTATTACTGGATGATATACACACAGGAAATATACACAACCCTAAGTCCAAACACGGGCGGTGACCGACAGGAAGCAATACTCTAAAGAGGTCATGGGAGCAGACTTACTCTAGAAGGGGGCAAAAGTAGGTATGGAAACTCTCTTTCCACTTTCCCAAGACTTGCAATTCATCGAGGACCTCATTGAGCGACTACTTGATTTGGGCGCGGACGGGACTTGACCCTTCCATGAGGGTACCTAGTAGCCCAGAATCAACGCGTCTCTATATAACATCTGCTTCACTCACAGATGGTGGAATCGAGGTGTATCACTTGGGCTCTCAGAAATTTCTTAGACAAATTGTATTGCATGTTGATTGCAGGATTTGCAAGATGGACCACGCCCAGCTCAATGAAGACTAAGCGCGCTGGCTGTGATTTTCATCCGAACTGGGCGGGCAGTATTGATTCGATGATATGGTCCGGCTTGCAACACCAATGGCGTGTCGCCTTCCAAAGGAATCAGCAAACAACTCGGCCGATACCGAACACAGCGAGCAACTATGAGGTCATCTTCATAGCCAAGCTAGCCAGCAACACAACTATAGGAAGGACACCGCTGGAAAATTGAAAGGAGCAACAGCACATAGGTACAATAGTCAAGGGCGACCTTAATGTGATGATACCCCATGAGTCTTAGGTTATCAAGGTGATTGATTACTCAGGTCATTATGATTGTCTGAGAGTGTTTGACGAGTGGTTCCCAGGTCCGAGATAACCCCTTGCATTGCCGTGGGTCGGGCAAATGCCCTGATGTTTTGATTATACCCAATCTACTTCCTATGGAGACCTAATTTAGAGGACCGGGCACACTTCAAGTTGGTTCTGATGTCGCAAGTTGGCAGGGCGAATCTCCGCAAATCGGTTCTTATATGGTCAGGATATTTGATCCACAGCGGCTGATCGTCAGTGAGAACAACAGTCTGTCAAAATGTACTGGTGTATCAATGTGAAGTCAATCTACATAAAAGGTGTCGGCGATTGTCGATGGGGAGTCTCACAACACGGGCGTTATTATGGCTCGGATTACAATACACTCAGGGCAGCTAATGCTACCAGACTTCCACTTGGCAACCAAGCAATCGAGATCTCTACGTAACTAGGGCCTTCGAATACTTGAAAATATGAACTCGAGCTCTCATCAACAACGGGTCTGTCCAAGACCTATTGGGCTATATGGATCATGTATCTCGGAGGTATATGTGCCAAATACTGTCCACGCGCCATCGCACAGGATGCTGCGACGGAGAGGTGCTCCCTGGAGGGTACCTTATAGGTACCAGTTGGCCTCACCTGCTAGACTCAGAGTGCGTGTTAGAACTGTATATTCATATTAGAAGGAGGAGAAGACACTCTACTTCCAGTCGATGTCTCCAGTAACAACGAATTTGCCGCAGTCATAGTCCTACTTCACTGATCTATCACTAGACACCTAGTTCTGACATCACCATGTGTGAAGACCGATCCGTGCGTCAACATCGAAAAGTCGTATTCTAGAAAGGAGCGAAGAAGCCAGACGTAGGTAGCACTTCTATAGTAAGAAGCTAAAGACTATAGGTCGTAAAGTCTTTTTTTTTCCGTCGTAATCTCTTTCAGTACGGTGTATTTATCGATGCGAAGCTCTTCAACTTCCTATCCGGCGTCTCTACAGACTCCACCGAGCAGGCTACGGTCGTTTTTGTTTGATCATTCTTGAACTTGGAAAAGTACTCGTCCAACTAGAGTCATATCGAGAGCTTCTCTTCGTGCAGCAGGCAACGCCATACTCAAGCAAGAGCGATGCCTAGGATTTGTGACGTGAGAACACGAGAGGGGCCGAACAGGACTAGCCTATGGGGCCTAGGAGCAGAAAGATCGGACGACTGAACTATGAGATACTAGAAGCTCGTGTACTTTGTGTACTTTGTAGTCGGTGAGTCCACACAAAAATTCTGTAGTAATATTTCTATCACACTTGACCACCATACCTCTGACGGAGCTCTCTCAGATATTTTCCGAGGCCCAACGCAGCCTTTTCGTGGATGATGCAAGCAAACTTTGAACAGCACTTGGCTGGTCCTCGGGCCTGGTGAGCTGAGCAAGCAGGGCGATTACTTCCTCAAATGAGGGATGGACCACTGAAGCGTTTTCCACATGATTGAATGATTGAATTTAAAGCTAAACTTTGGGATTTTTCGTTGCATTTCCCATCTCTGTCGATTCTTGGTCACGCAAACACTTCCACTCTGCGACAATGATTTCTCGGGATCGCGGATAGAAGATTAGCTCCCGGGTCCTGTTTCCGAGTATCATGGCGATCCTCCATCAACCAAGGGTTGATTCGTGTAGATCTGGCTAGATAATTATGTTGAACATTTCTATGCTCTTCGACATGATATTCCAGGAGACATTAATATCGGGTCTGTGGCAAGATCCTTTTCCAACGCAGCTCGGATCTTGAGAACCAGATGACAGGTCTATTTTGCGGCGTCCGCGGTCGGTAGTGATTCTGGCGGCATGAAACTATCCGTGGTAGCTGATGGCTCATCGGTTGGCGCCATGGAGTTTTCTCCCCATTAGGTGCAAAAGTAGTATTGTCGGCCACATCATTCGACACGACGTGTCCAGGAACTGACCTGATTCCAAGCTAGTCTACGTGGGCTTTGCCGGCTGGGGTGGCAGTCTGGGTGCCTTCGTCATCATTGATTCACCGCATATTGACTTGGAAAGTTCGTCGGTCAACTCAAAATCCACTTCTTCACGTGCAGTCTGCTTTCTACGTCTTGGCATGGCTGCCCTTTTGAATTTCCGTCGGAGTCGAGGCAATCGACAGCGCGACGATGAGAATTCTCAGACTACAGTGCGTGATTGAAAATGATTCACTAGATAAGACTCTGGCTTGGTTGTATCTAGCATTTGATTCCGCCGGTTCCTAGACAGACTACTAGCTAAGGTCCATAGATCTTTTGACCTCCATGTAGCAATCCCACCCTCAATCTCGAGCTTTTTCAGCAATCCCCACTATAGACTGGTGCTACCTGATGAACCCATCAGTAACGTTTAGACAGGATTCGAGAACAGGGGGCGATGGAAGATATCCAGTTCGCGCGTCCTCCCTGATCAGATGACTTGATAGGGCACAAATGTCACACAAGCTCGAGGTCTGGCCCTGCAATAATCAAGTCCTACAACTTGCCCACTTGGGGACCGTACCGCTCTATCTATCATTAATGCTTTGCGTGTACCGGGCAAAACAGTTGAGGTGGCACATCCATCTCCCCGATTGGATTGTTCGAGTTTGAATGCTGTAGCGAAGTGCCAGACGGATTGGCAAGATGACTGGCCCATGCTGTTTCACATGGATTATTCAGAGCAATGTCTACGGCGTAAGCGCCTGGAAAAGGGTGGAGAGCACTGTGTACTGTGTACCTACTACCTAGATAGTACGTAGTACTATGTGATATGTATCTCGCAAGTGACATGGTCGATGTTTTCTTCCGAACAGATTAGACAGAATTCACCGACTAGGCTCAGACGGTAGCCATACCAAGGTTGCGAATCTCCAGGATTGGGCTGCTATGAGGTCGGAAGTGGCCGGGCAGGTGGAAGAGTTTGATCTTATTCAGTCTGAGCCTCTGTATGCACCATTACATATCTACCAGCCTACTCTACATGTATTAGACGTGGCGCAACCTTCATTTGACCATCTCTTTTCGTGAGCACATACACGTGCGTGACAGACTCCTGCACGTGGATCATATACGCATCAGTGCGCCGGTTGGTTCTTGACCTGACCTGAGGTCCAAGTATAAGCGGCCATGCTCACCTCTTGCTACAAACACGGCCTTTGACGCTCAATGAGAACAACTGCTCTCTTATCCTGGCTTTTGTCTATGCTCCTACCAGACAGTTACCGTGGTCTCAGATTAGCGATCTTAGTAAGTACAATCATGAGACCCGATATATGCGCTTGACTTTACCGAGGAGATGCCACAACAGTCCCTTGCCGACCGTACACAAGATCGGTAAGGAGAGCAGATCTGCGACTAACCATCCTCATACTGGTGAAGTAGTCAGTTCCTCTGCTAGATTTGTCCTGCGTTGACCGGGAAGTGTGCGGTGGTCCCGTCGACCCGATCAGCTGTTGACTTGGGATTGCATCATCGACCGTGAGCACCTAGTGAGCGGCAACGCACAGCCTATGAGGCCCCACAGGGGCCGGTTTGAGAAGTTTCTGCAACGGATTCTGGAAACAAATGGAGAAGGCGTACTGTGATGACGATCCTTTACCGATTTCATGAAGAATCTCCATCTTGTGCCTTGAAACCCAGCACACGAGCAGCATGACATATGTCCAGTCGTACACTGTCCAGCTGTACAAACTACACAGTCAATGGCGGACACACGGAATTTGTCGCTAAGATGGTACCTAGCAACAGGCCCACTCATGACTGCATAAACTGCATATAATCTGTATTCTGTACTCTGTAGCCTGTGCTGCTGCAGAGACGCTCTCCTGATGCCTCCTTCCTTTTGCCCGGGCACACTACTTCATGGTGGCTCTATGTGGCACCACAAGTTAGCACACAGCGTCCTCGATGGATATAATCAACTAGTTTGCTAAAGCTAGGTGTATATATCGAGAGCCGCGTTCATGACTTCCAGATTCCAGGCCGCAGTCTTGGGAGACACACGGAGTGTTGGTTTGATGATGTCCATTGTCCATCGCCCTGCCCCGAAATGAACCTGCGCTAGCGCAGGTTCATTTTCAGGGGAAGCAGTTGGGCGGTGGAGATGTGGATCATAACAAACCAGCATAGTTGGAGTGGACCGCAGCCGGCTATGCTTGAGGAATCAGAACGCGTTCTGGTGAGCGCTCAACTCCACTCGCCAGGGACCGTCGAGTGCCTATTGGGTTGATGAAGTTTGGATTTGAGCCCCAGCAGAAGCCCAGGCGCTCCCATTGAATTGCCCGTTGGTAGCTTAGCGAGTCCACTGGTGAGCTAGTCTCGATGGAGAGGGAGCGCAGCCAAAAATAAAAAGAAAGGAAAGTCTAAGAAGGAAATAGCGGCGGATATCACGAGCGTTATGGGAGGTGGACGACGGCCGAGCCTCTCTCGATGCAGTTTAGCCCCATGTCACGCACGTCTAGGCGCTGTTGTTGTCCGAGTGGTCGCGCTTCAGTGGGCGCGTTGACTGGATCACTGGACACTCCTTGGCTGGGCAGAGACTATTACAGCACCTGAGCACCCAACTAGTACGAAGATAGCAAGAGTCTGATAGTAGTAACTTCGCAGCAGTGCCCCAGTGTCCACCAGGACACCCACTCCGACCACAGTCACGACTCACCACACTACCACAGTAGGCTTGGACCCGAGTCTGCAGGGCCCAGAGCCAAAGCGGCCTGGCTTGAGCTGTGAGCCTGGTCCCTCTGCCCTCCTCTGCTCTCCTCTGGTCTGCTCTGGTCACTGGTTCACTGCTCCCCCTCTCCCTTTCCCCTGGCTATTCCCTTCATTCTCCCACCCCCCCCCCCCCCCCGAACCTTTCTCCCTCTTTACCCTCCACTTCGCCCTTCACCCTTCACCCTTCATCCTCAATCATCCTCTGGAGCTTGCGTTGCTGTCCCTTCCCTCCATTCTTTTCAAATCCCCCCTCCAAGCAGGCGACAGCTTCACTCTTTCAGCTGAGCGCCGTGCTGTCCACTCTTTCCCACTAAACGGTCAACTCCCAATCCGGCGTTGCCCTCTGGTCCAATTCGGCCTATCCTCTCATTCCTCTGTTCTTCACGACCAACCCACTTTCGTCCAGTCACCTGCACGTTGCATTCATTCCAAACGGAGCATAGCCAGTTCCACACACGTCCTCTTCGCCACGATATCTGTCGCTTGCTCCTAAAATTCCTCGACGTTGATCAACGGGACCTTTCCATTCTGCAAAGCCCGGGTCGACAGCCAGACAGCATCTTTCCACCTGCCCATCGGTCCACCAAGGGATCGACTCACCAACACCAAACCGACAACCACCATACGACACCCACCCACAGGATGGTGTCTTTCCACGAGATTGTTCGCCGCAGTGCGGGCAACACCGACACCAATTCCAACAGCAACAACACCGACAGCGGCCTCTCCAACGCCATGGTCGACCTCATGATCTCCCTCCTGGTCCTCGTCCTCCTCGCCCTTGCCCTGGTGGGCGGTCTGCTCGTCATCCGCCGCAAGCGTCAATCGATGAACAGGGCCTCGGGTCTCCCTGTGCACAATGGCCAAGTCGCCGGCAATCCACGCCGCCTGACCATCACCGCCCACAAGCACGATTCCATCTTCGTCTACGATGAGAAGCGATCTCTCATGCAGAACTCAGATAGCCCTCCCCCCAGCCCGGTCCCCGAGATTCGTATCACCTTCCCCGAGGAGGAGGATGAAGCGGGTCGACGCAAGTCGGGTCGTGTCGTCGTCGTTCGCATCAGCGAAGCCGGCAGCGTAGGGCTGGAGCCATGCCCCGAGGAGCTGCCCCCATACCAAACCACCGACTCGGGGCGCTTTCAGTCCCTCGACATTGAGCGCATGGGAGGTCTGAAGGAAAAAGGAGAGATGAAGAGCTACTCGTAGAGTGGTGTCGCCCCCTCCGCGCCCGGCGACGTGACCTACCTGAGCCTCGCGCGTCGCCTTCACCTTTCCATTTGCTTCTCCTCGACCATGACGGCTCAAAAGCATGACCAGCGACTCGGCGACATCATCTTCTTCCCCCCTCGTTTTTCCCCATTAGCCGTTTTCTACCTCCCTTCCCTTTTTACATATCTTCTTTCTCCCCTCTCGAAATAGCCCGCCGGGCTTGCACATATACCGCACGCAACTCTTGTGATTCCCTCCCATCGTCAGCATCTGCCCTTTCATGTCGCCCGGATCTGGCTCCTAGTTCCGTATGAGGCAATTCGTCCCCTTTTTGCCTTTTGAGAACTCCTCAGGGTCCAAATCCTCTCTGTACAGCGAGGGCATGCGACCTCCTCTAACTTTGTGGAATGGAATTCACAGCATTTCCTGCACGCGGTCTTTCATGTTACTACCACTCGAGCCCTGCTACGTACCTAGGGTTTAAGTGTGACGCGCGACAGCTTTTCTCTTCTCTGTGTCTTCATCTTGTTCCTGTCTATTTCATACTTTCTATTCCACCTCTTATAGGGGACAGTCTCTCTTTGGCCACGGCCCCATTTCACCTATTTTAAAGACTGCCCCTTTTTCTGTTCAACCATTCCTCCCTCTTTTCCTACCGTTTTGTTTTTCTGTCTGGTAGTTGTATCATGTATCTATGTACCCTCATCCGGGCTTTCGGCAAATTTACAGTCGAGATCATTCGGCCATCGTGCTCCAGTCATTCTATGGATACCATGCGCTCCCATCGTACCGGTCTGTCTCGTAATAAGAGCTTCTTCGCCTTCTCAAGGTACACTCCTTAGAAGACTCTGGAATTTGAAGTCTGCTCTCCCGATTTTAGATCCTTGTCATTGTCCATCTCTCGGTTGTCCCTGTCGATGGTCTGAAACTCTCAAGCAAAGAGCTCCAATTTCCTTGTGCCGAGCTTCCATCTTCAACCGCCCCACATCCCAGCTGCGCCAATCAAAGACCCCTGGTTGGAGCTCTCCTCAACCCGCCGCTTCCGCAACGTCAGTAAATTTGGTTACTACGTCTGCGACGACGTGGGAAAAAAATCCATGCGTTTGCCCATTCCTTCCTCTCTTTTCACATCTTGAACGCTGCACGGATTTGCGCACATGGAAGCTTGAGCTTCTTGCAAAATATCTTCGACCGAGGCAGTCGGGTCTCTTACTGAGCGCAACCACAAGACAGGGGCCATTCCGCTCGATAAGCCCGTACAGTGCGGAGCCTCGAGAGTCTCCTTTTTACGTCTCTCCTTTCATGAATGGATGGGGGTACAGCGGCCAATTGACTGGATCACATACTCAATATCCCCAGATTGAACCATCTGGGCTTTTCCAATTGTCGACTGCAGTCTCGTGGTCGATGCGCCCTTACGCCACGTAGACCGTGATCGAGAACTCCACTTTCGCAAAAGCTTGCCTGGAACGCCCTCCGTGGCCTCACTTGCACCTACTCGAGTCGCCTAGGTCGAATCGATCCGGATATAACATGGAACTACAATCAACAGACGCGCGGACATCTCCATCAGCGGGCTCGTCGCAATCCCCCAGAAGGAAACAAAATGCGCTTCAAGAAGCCAAAACTCGGCAGTTAGAGCAGGAATTCAAGACAAAGCACTTGGGTGTGCTCGGAGTCCTGGCCTGGGTCCTGTAAGTGTAAACGTGACGATATGCACTGCGATGAGTGACCGATTATGCAATCTCCACACAATCTTGAACGACGGTAGGCTAATGATTGGCGCATCGGTTGCTACCTACAGGCTCCTGCACGTTGTCGGTATATACTTCTTCACCAAAGGTTTCCTTCTGACTCGGATGGTCCTCGAGACCAAGTCTTCCTGTGAAATCCTACCCACAACGGACGAGTCCGGGAGGGCGATCACGTCTTCGACGGAAAGTCGCAGCGGATGCTGGCACGAAAAGACCTTCGACAAGGCCGTGGTCATTATTATCGATGCGCTTCGCTATGACTTCACCGTACCGTTCCCTTCGGCGAATGAGGGTCAGACAGCGCATCTTTTCCATAACAACATTCCGGTGCTTTATGAGACTGCCGTTCAAAGCCCTAGTAATGCCTTTCTGCTTCCTTTCATTGCCGACCCACCCACCACTACTCTGCAACGTTTGAAGGGACTCACCACTGGGACTTTGCCGACTTTTATTGATGCAGGCTCCAATTTTGCCGGCACTGCCATTGATGAGGACAACTTAGTCGCCCAGCTCCATCATGCCGGCAAGACCCTTGTTCAACTCGGCGACGACACTTGGCAGTCGCTGTTTCCCGGTTATTTTGACGCGAACCTTTCGCATCCGTACGATTCATTCAATGTATGGGATTTGCATACCGTTGATAATGGTGTCAATGAGCATCTCTTTCCCTTACTTCGGCCAGAGCACAAGTCCAAGTGGGACGTGATCTTTGGCCATTACCTAGGCGTGGATCATGCTGGACACCGCTACGGACCTGATCACGCTGCCATGGCTGCCAAACTGCAAGAGATGGATCGCGTCATTCGACAGATCATGGACTCCCTGGACGATGATACTCTGCTGGTCGTGATGGGCGATCATGGTATGGATACCAAGGGTGATCACGGCGGCGAGTCAGACGACGAGGTTCAAGCCGCACTGTGGATGTATTCCAATCGCGGTGTATTCGGCCGCACGAGCAAAGAGACTTTGCTGCCACCGCAGCATGCGCGCGAGCGTTCGGTCCCACAAATCGACCTTGTGCCGACCCTGTCGCTGCTTCTCGGCATGCCTATTCCATTCAACAACCTAGGCTCACCCATCGAGGAGGCGTTTGCCGGTTCGAACGGTAACGACTGGTCTAATTTGTTGGCTGTCAATCGATTGTCTGCTGCGCAGATTAAGAGGTACCAACACGCGTATGCGGAGGCCAGAGGCGCTGGTGAGGATGATGAATCTTTCGCGCTCTGGACCGCTGCGGAGGCAGAACGGAGCTCGGCTTCCAAGACCTTTTTGTCCAAGTCAAATGCCGTTCGTTCAAGCTACAAACTGTATCGTGATTATCAGCGACACACTCTGGAGGTTTGCCGCGGACTTTGGGCGCGCTTTGACGTTCCCAGCATGGTATCGGGCGTCGCACTCTTGTTCTTCGGTCTTGTTCTGCTCATAATTTATGCTCGAGGACTTACTGTGGATCGCACAGACATGACGAGTCCCCTTCTCACCGTCGCCGGAATGGGTGCCAGCGCTGGCGCTGTGTCTGGTGTGTGTATGGCTCTTTTCGGAGTGGTCGACACGACAATTGTCGACTTGTCAGTTCTTTTGGCAGCCTTTGGAAGTATGCTCGGTGGCCTTTCTGTACTTGTGAAGAAGCCGGCACGTCTGAGCTTGCCACTTCCTAACGGCATGTGGGGATGGCTCGCTTTCTTTTTCACCGTCTCTCAATCTGTCGGCTTCGCCTCAAACTCGTATACGATCTGGGAAGACGACATCCTTCTCTTTTTCCTGACGACATTCGGCGTGTGCGCGGGGATTTCCTCCATGCGCCAGAGAGCAACGGCGGATCGCGTGCTTGGCGTATACCACTCAGTTTTGTTCATCGTGCTGGGACGGCTCGCCTCTTTTTCCCGCCTTTGCCGTGAGGAGCAAATGCCCTTCTGCCGCTCCACCTACTACGCTTCCTCGACTTCGTCAGTCTCTGCCCCATGGCAGCTCATGATTCCAGTAATGGTGGCACTGATCCTCCCTGGTGTTGTGCGCGCCTTCTACGCAGGCTCCAAATCTTATGAAGGCGCTGCCAGCCTGTGGATTGGCTTTGCTTTCCGCATCGGACTTGTGATCACATCTACCTTCTGGATGCTCGAGGGCGCCGACGACGGAGAATGGCTGCCTCTCGGCAAGGAGACGTTGAAGTCGATCCGGGTCTTCCTGGCTCAACTTGTCCTGGCACTGGCCTTTGGGGCCGGCACCGCTGCGTACCTGTATTGCAAGCCGTGTATCACCATCAGTGTCTCCAAGCCCACGGAAGACCCCAATGCTCCACCTGCACCTTTTATTGCCGGTCAACAGCAGCCGCCACGGACCACCGTTACGATTCTGGGATTTGGAAACGTCTACGGCACACGATTCTTCTTCCTTGTTGTGAATTTTGCGCTTGCTATTATTCTCATGCAAAAACCAATGGGACAAGGCGCCATCGCCCTGCTGGTCTGCCAGGTTCTATCTCTTCTTGAGATCCTGGACACCAACGGTCTCACATTGTCCAATTCATCAATTGGTCCTATTGTTTTGGGCCTCCTTGGCTCTTTTTATTTTTTCAAGACGGGCCACCAGGCGGTCCTCAGCACCATCCAATGGGAGACCGCCTTCATTCCCTTGTCCACCATCAAGTACCCCTGGTCCCCACTTCTCGTTGTGCTCAACACCTTTGGTGCACAAATCCTCACCGCAATCGCAGTGCCTCTGACCGTCCTCTGGAAGCGGCCGCTTCGGACCTCTGAACTCGGCTCCCAGCCGAGCAGTGACAAGACTGCCAATCCGGCTACCAAATTGCTCTCGGACGTGACCCAGGCCGCTACTACGCACATTCTGTATCTCGCGACTATCAATCTCGCCACAACCATGTGGGCTGGGCACTTGCGTCGTCACCTGATGCTGTATCGTATCTTCAGTCCGCGCTTCATGATGGGCGCCGTGGTGCTTGGTGTGGTGGACGTTGTCCTGATGCTTGTCGGCGTTGGAGGGGTCCGGTGGAGCACAGTCAGCGTGGGCGATGTCTTTGGCTGGTGATGTACGTAGGTGATGGAGTCGAGCTTTGATGTCACGGTTGGCATACTGTATGTTGCATTGATTGGCTTTCTCTGGGAAAGGGGTAACGATGTGGCCAGTGGCCACTACCACCAGGTTCAACGCGTGTTGAATCACTTTGAAGGTCCATTAGATACAGTGGGATGAATCTTCGCATTGCATTGCCGGGGTGTATTTTGATCCTTGGTACATACTGCATTCACTTGCCCTTTTTATATATATATGCCCCTCCTCATTTCTTGTCTTTGTCTGTTGCCGAAGGCTACCGCTTGACTTTAATTTTCTTCAACATGTGAATACCTTTGTACAAATCAAGTCTTTTCAGATTCCAGCAGGATCGACCGTTCCACGTAGCCGCATAGCCCACAGGTGCAGGTAGACACTAGACTAGTAGACATACCCCTTGTACACGAGGCGTCCTCGAGAATTCCAGGCCGGAGGAAAAAAAAACTAGCATGGGGTTGCATGATATATTGCGCGCAAACCGGTTAGTCCACAGAGGTTGAGGCACCGCACGGGTCCCCGGTGGAAAAGTATGCAGTACGCACTACGCAGTACGCACTATGCACTAGGTACTGATGCGGCATGGGAAGCCCTCGACTTGTAATGGACGGTGTATGAGCCATGAACATTGCACATTCCTCATGGAATGGAATGCATGATGGAACTGGAAGGTGTTTGGTCATCTGGATTAAGCTGATGTAGATTGTAGGGGGGATTCTCGCGAGTATAGGAGAGAAAGAGACGAGACGAGACGAGAGGCCCGAGAGACTCCAATCAAGCACTTGCAATTTAGGCAGGATTAGCTATGTATCTGCCATGTGCACTCGATATCCTGCAATGGTAGGGTTCAGAATCATGTCAATATTTGAAATATTTGAGAGAAAGCACGATGTTTTCAGATCAGATCATATCCCGCATCACGAGTCAAATTGATAACATTGGAAGGCGACATGAACAACAATAAAGAAATTAGGTATCGAGAGAGAGGAAAAAAAAAAAAAAAAGCAACATCAGGCCCAAAATCATCTAAGAAAGTCCACCAACTTTGGCATCGTGTAAATCGTGCTCCTCCATCTTGTATTTCTTGAAATCGCGAGTCTTGAGATCCTTCTTGGAGAACAGGATGTCCAACTCTTCAAAGGTTCGGCCCTTGGTCTCCGGCAGACGCAGGAACGCCCAGATCCACAGAATGACGATAATGCCACCGGTCAGGAAGCCCGTCTTACCCTTCCAGTTACCGTTGCTGGGGTTGAGGATGTACGGACCAACAAAGTAGTTGATCAGCAGGGAGAGGTTGTAGGCGTTTCGCGCGAGCGAGACCGTCTTGGCGCGCAGGCGAGTCGAGGAGACTTCGCTGACGATGATGTAGGCGGCTGGACCGACGGAGAGCTGGTAGCCGCAGTTCCAGATGAGGAAGATGGCGGAGGAGGCGTAGCCGACGGCGGGCGTTTCGGGGGCCAGAGCGAGGAAGCCCAGGAGGAACATCATGAGACTCATGAAGGGGAGACCGAAGAGGTAAAGACGACGACGACCGACGTTGGCGACGGTGGAGATGGAGATGAAGTTGAAGAGGAGGTGGAGCCCGCCGAGGCCGACGCTCATCTTGTAGGCGTCTTGGGATGCGAGACCGGCCAGTTCGAAGAAGTAGGTCGAGTAGGAGGAGATGACGAATCCGCACCAAAGCTGCGAGGCCCAGGCCACACAGGCGATCTCCGTACGCCACAGGTTGTTGCCGCGGAAGCAGTCGAGGTAGCCGACGCCCTCGTGCATGTTCATTTCGAGACGGTTGGTCTCTTGCATGAGGGCCACGGTGCGACGGACTTCGTCCTCGTCGGCCTGACCGCTGATGAGTTGACGGACGACCTTTTCGGCCTCTTCGGGCTTGCCGTGACGGACCAACCACCAGGGGGATTCGGGGGCGAAGAGGATGAGCGGCACGATGATGGCCGGCCAGACCCATTGCACGGCAAAGGGGATGCGCCAGCCCCACTGATCGGTGCGGTGGTTCAGCGTCAGAAGCACGGAGTAGGACAGAAGCTGGCCGATGCCCCAGCACATGACGACCCAAATCTCGACCAGACCACGCAGTACCACGGGACAGAGCTCGGCGGCATACGGAGGCGCCAGACAGGCGAAGACTCCCCACGAGATACCGCAGAGCACCTCACCGGCGAAGATGATGGAGATCTTGGTGGCAAAGAAGGAGATGAAGATACAGCCCGACAACCAGGTCAGCCACACCAAGACCGATTTCTTATAACCGAGTCGATCAACCGTGTAGGCGCCCAGGTAGATACCGACAATGTTTCCGAGCGGACTGGAGCAACCCAGCGCGAGCTGCCAGTGAGCATCTAGCTGATATCCCGACTTTGCGTTGATATAGGTGCCGAACTGACTGCGGAAGGATGGAAAGGCAGACAGCGAACCCAACAAGGCACCATCGTATCCGTCCATGATCACGGTCAACGAAACCACCATGCTCCACAGAATCGCCTTGTAGTACTTCTTGACAGCCTGTAACGCCGTCATCTGATGCTCCGCCTCGGTGGCCAACCGCGCATCTTCGGCCATGGTGTGGGAGACCTCGACATGGTCGATGCCCGACTGGGCGTGCTTCTCGTTCTCCATCCTGCTGCGAGGCAAGCACCAAGAACGTGTCGTGTGAACGATACTAGGCAAAGAGATCAAGGGAAAGGTACACCAGTGAGAATGGATCGAGTCACACCACGAGGTTAGACAGAAACGACTTCTTGTGGGATCCACGGTCGGTATCGCTGTTATATAGCGATCGACCATGCCGTGCCCATGCAGACCGGCGTGTGCCCGTTGGCCCGGGCCTTCTCGAGGCCCTCCATCTCGTCTATTTTTTTTTACCCCATGGGCAGCTTCCCCGGGTGGATCCAGCTTCCCCGGGTAATGTTGATACTTTCCAGATGATCACAGCCCATTGCGACGCCCAGTACAGCTGAACGAGCTGGAAGGGCTTGCTCGAGGTGGGCACTCTGAACCAACCACGATCCAGTGGTGGCCAGCTGAGAGGTTGTGTCGATTGGATCCCAAACCCGATTCTTTGGAGAGCATTCCCCACCCCCGCATTATCGCTTACGATTTTTGGCTAAATAGAACGTGAGGATCTCCGATTACCATTCGCCAGCCACGGAGCAGGGGAGGATGAAGCCGAGCACAGGTCCGAGTCTCGGGCCACCGCAACGAACAAGTGATGTGGCTCCTTCGCGGCTGCGGTGGTCTCACTCTCAAGCGAGAGTCGCCCCCAGATGGCAAAAAGCGCAAGAAAGGCAAGGAACCAGCCGGGGGGGGCAATACGAGTCATGTCTTAGCTTGGTGCCGATCCGGTCTGGTCCTTTGGGAAGTTTCATTTGCCGTCCAGCCACCTTTTGGCGTGAAAAGGCGTGGACTCGACGCGAGGCTAAAGGTGAAACCGGCATAGTCTCCAGTCCGTCTGGCGCCAAAGAGGGAGGGAGGAGAGCAGGCGTCACAATTATTCCTCCAGTTGGGTTCAGTCGATTTGGTCAGGTGAGACGCTTATCTGGTCTTGTCTTCTCTCTCGTGGGGGACTCCCAGTTTCTCGGCTGATTTTCCCCCATCTCACCTGTCTCGAGCTCGAGGGGAGAGATCTTCCTGGCAGGACGGGCAGTGCCTGAGAGACAACAAAGATAGTCAGAAGTCGTCGATGCCTCTACTGTACTTTGGTCTTGCGATAGAATTCACGACAGCAAAGACACTATTTGATCAAACAATGCCAACGATAGGATCGACACCTCTCTCATACCCCAGGATGGAGAGGAAGATAAGGTACTTCTACCTTCCTTGGCGACGGGGACATAAGATTCGTACCATTTTTCCTCCCGGGACATTACCCTCGTCCAATCGGCACCGGCCCTCGGACTGGCAAAAAGACAGACTTTCTCGGAGCAATCCGACTGTGCCCTGCTTTTCCTTTCAGTCTCTCCATGTCGGGGGGGGGGGTTCGTTAGGGGTCGTTAGGGGTCGTTAGGGGTCATTAGGAGGAGAGTTTGGCGTTGGATCGTCAACCTTTTGCCGCTCGGTAACCTCCAGTCTCAACCATCCCAGAAGCTCAGTCGTCCACGCGGCCCTTTTCCAAGGTCTATTTAGACGGTCTGGGAGGGGAGAGAAAAGGCAAACGCCGACGCACCGCTCAAGTGCGCCAGAAATCTGGGTAATGACCCCACAAAGCTTCTCGTTTTCTGGTTGGGTATGAGACCTACTGTAAGACTGGGATACCACAGGCCAAGTTCTGTAGACGGTAGAGTAAATCCTAAATAGTAAATCCTAAATGCTAAATCCTAAATAGTAAATCCTAAATAGTAAATCCTAAATAGTAAATCCTAAATGCTAAATACCCAGCCGAGAAGGTGTCGCTGGGCGTGAATCTCACTGTCGCAGGGATGGCTCCGATGCATCACCCAATTCTGTCGTCGGGATGCTTGTTCCCCCGTCGTGCTCCCAATCACACGTGACCAAGACGTTGGGGACAACCGGACTGACTGTCGATCAACCGCCTAAAAGGGTCTTTCCGAAACTTTGTCTATCCTTCTTTGGGAGCTTCTCCGTTGGCATGGGGGCGGTGGGACTCGGCTGGGCAGAACGAGGAGATCATGAGAGCGCGTCAGAAGGTTATTTCTTCACCGCGATGGAAGCGAGAAGCGAGAGGATGCAGGAATCGGCGAGACTCTGACTACTGTCCGATACACGCGATCATTGAGGATGCGATGCGGCTACTGCGGTTCGAGGAGAGTGTAGGAAACCGGGTCAACCATGAAGAAGGAGAAGAAGAAGAGTGGGCGAGATGCCTCATCACCTCCCGTCTCCACTCTCCACTTCCCCCGCAGACTCTCGGCCCACGTGAACCGTGCAAATTCCAGATGGGCCCACGTAGGCTCGACCTCTGCTGGCTTGATCATTCTCACACTCGCGTCAGACGACGAGATGAATCGGTCAGGTCGACATGAAAAACCCGTGGTCATCACGATGCCATTCAATCTATCATATATACAGAGACCGGACCCATCTTCTCGATCCATCCAGGCACTCATCAACAGAGAAAACACAAAGCAAAAAACTCGGAAAAGGATCCAGTCTAGTCAATGATCCCATCCGGTAGGAAAGAAACATAATCAATGGGCGCAAGTTCGTCTCCATTGGGCGTACCAACAATCGTCAGTACATCCCCCTCGTGAACGGTCACCCCCTTGAAGGTGATGCGGGTATTGGAGTGTCCATCACGAAGATCGGAAAAGTCGTGAAGCAGGTGCTTGCCCAGATCGCCCGCCCATTCCCCCACGAGCCGTTTCTCACCACCCGGCCCGCTGCCGAGGAAGACCTGATAGCGAGATGTACCACCCAGATGATCGTAGTAGTTCACCGCGAGGTTATAAGTGCCCGCGGGGAAGGAGACGGGCCAAGTAGCCGTGCCGGGCGCAGTGTTGGACGTGGTGATGATGGCTTCGGCTCCGTAGGCGGCCTCAAAGGGCTTGACGGGGACCACCTGGTATCCTGTCAACTGCATGTCCTGGGCCTTGACGCGCCACTTGTGGTTGCCCACGCGGTTGCGCTCGTCGGCGATACCACATTTGGCATGGTAGAAGGTGTTGACGGAGTCGCGCCACACGAGGGCGTGACCGGCTTGATAGGTCAAGTGGAAGAGGATATGCTGGAAACGGTGGTCGTCGATGAGTCCACGGAGGGCTTGCCAGCGGACGGGGAAGGTCTGCGCGTTCTCTGCACCTTCATAGTGAGCGTCGTAGAAGTGCTGGATCACTGTCTTGCCCGACTTCAAGCGGTGGGTATAGGGGACATGGTGGAACCAAAGTAGAAGCTCGTCGGGAGTGGTCTCGATATTCTCAAAGACCTTGGCCACCTCGGCTGGGTATTGACCGGAGAATCCGGTGCCGGTGGCTACCGTGCGATCCATGCCGATGGCATGCGCATCGGCGCGCGTCCACTGGCCCCATCCGTTCCCGTCCATCGCGGCTGGACTGGGACCGTAGTGGCAGGTTTTGACAATGTCGCAGAGTGTCTGGATGCCCAGGTTTCCCGAGTAGTTCTCATATGTGGGCCAGGACTCCATCGATAGTTGGGTGATTGTGTCGACCACGGTGGGGTTCAGACCGAAGGTGAGACGGGCCCAATCTGAGACCACCGCGGCCTCGTCGCTGGATGGCTCCCAGCAGTACCGACCATATGCGTATAGGTTGGACATGGCAAGGTGACTGCCCAGCCAGGTCGAGTCATTGCCGACGTTGACCACGGCGGCGTATCCGCTGTACTTCCAGTTGAAGCGCTCGCCAGACACGACGTCTTTGACGAGCGACGGCTCCCCGTCGATGCGAAGATCGAAATCAAGGATTGTGCGCCACAGCGGCGCCAGATAGCAAAGATGGCTTTGCTGGCCCATGTACTCTTGTGCCACCTGGAATTCGATGATGGTTCGGGTTCGTCGTAGGTGAGCCAGCAGCGGCGAGGGGGGCTCACGGACCTGAAAATCAATGGGACCGTATTTGATCTGCACCAGTACGTTCTCATCAAACACATCGTCGAGCCCGTCAAAGAACTCCACCGCTGCGTTGGCTCGGTCGTTCTTCCAGTTGGACTCGTCGAGGTGATGGTTGTAAACGAACGCACGGTACATGACGATACCGTCCCCATGAGGCTTCAAGGCCCGAGCGAACAAATTGGCTCCTTCGGCCAAAGTACGCCCGTAGGTCAGGGGACCCGGTTGGCCCTCCGAATTGGCCTTGATCAGGTATCCCAGCATGTCCGGCACATTCTCATACAATTGTGTGGTGATATCGTTCCAAAAGGCCACCACATCCGGGTCTAGAGGATCGGACGTCTTGAGCCCTCCCAGCTCGATTGGAGTATCAAAGTACAGCGCGACTCCGATCCGCACACCCCAGGGTCGCATGGCATCGGCAATTCGACCGAGCCCCTTGAGATTTGAAGGATTCAACAAGTTGCAGTGCGAGTTGACATTGTTCACCACGATACCGTTGAGCCGCACAGAGGCCATCAGTCGTGCGTACTGCTCGACTCGGGTGAGATCGTCAAGGACAGCGCCATCTTTGAAAAAGATGGATGGTCCGGCGTAACCTCGCTCAATGGAGCCGTCCAGATTATCCCATTGATTGATCCATCGAATCGGTGCGCTGGGGCTGCTGGCGTAACTGGCAGGACTGGGCTGATTTTGCGCCAGACGCATGAGGAATTCCATAGCACCGTAGAGCGCACCTCGCTCGTTCTGGCCTATGATCACCACCGTCTGAGCTTCGTCCTTGAATGTAGAAGTTCCGAGCCAGAACCCATCTTCTTTGAGAGAGGAGACGGTGTTTTTCACATCCTGCAGAGAAGGAAAAGCCGACCAAGGGAAATCGTCTTGGGTGCCAACCACGATCGCAGAGGAGGAAAGTTGCTCGGAAGGGTCGAATTTGTGGCGGATATTTGCGCTCTGGTTCAGAATCTTCTTCAGGCCATCTTGAACCTCCTTTCCAGCCGTACATACGGGACTGGACTTGGAGTCTGTCAATGCGACAATGTTCGTGTAGCGCGGGTATTGCTTGGCCGCCTCCGTGGGAAGTGAAGCGTAACGTAACCACGCCTCGAGGCCATTTTCTCTGGGGTCAGACATTGCTGCAGCTCAAGAAAGTGATGAGAGAATGGTGTCTTGAGAAGAAGAAAAACAGCCGAACGAATACACATCTACCCCTCCTTTTCATGAAGCTCTGAGAGAGTTGATCGTCATTGCTAACCCCTCCAAAAATCTTGGATAAATTGATTTCTTCTTTTGGTATAGCTTGGTTTATTCAAAATTCCTTCTTTCTCGTTTTGGTCTACTTGAGAAAGACAGCTGGACCGGCTAAATCGACAGTCCCGGCTGAACCAGAGGAGAACGCAACATTGAAATGCCAGGATTTTCACTGTATAGCGTGTTCCGCGCTGTGCAAATGTACTGGGCTAATCCAATTGTACGGGTCTAGACTCTAGATTGTCTACAAGGTCCAGTGTCACTAATGTATTGCAGACTCCAGATTCTAGATCAATATTCATCAGTTGGTACTTAATCGACTACTGACTACGTAGCACATGCCCTCATACAGTCAATCAGCCCTCGCATCCACGATATTACTTTGACAGATCCTGGGATATCATTCTCAATCCCAGTATACTCAGATACTGTAATCAGTGAGTGTTGGGGGTAAGTGATGAGCATTGTGGAGTACTGCGGGGGGAGTAAACAACAACCTCGGAACTCAAAGGGTCCCCGATCCACAGTCCAAGTCCACAGGTCCCCAGTACATACTTTACTTATGCATCCCAAGCGCTGTGCGGTGTAACAGGTACATACTCGGGGCACTGTCGCCTTCGTGTTGTTTAGTACCTCAGTGACTCTGCCTAGCTACCTGAGCATTACCAGTGAGTTACTCAGAGGTACAGTAGCTCCCTACTCAGTGGTCAGTAGCAGTCTGCAGGGGCCTAGTACTTATTTTTGCCAGAATCGGGAGTGAATGTCGGTTCAAGCACGACTGACAGAGGCCAAGCCACAATCAAGGCACCATACCATACATTCAAGCTCTGGCAGAATCGACGGTATCCATGAGCAGTTCAACAAATCTTGGGTAAACCGAACAAGAGCTCTTTAGCCACGCGATTCTGTGGTGGAGCGGCACAGAATCCTGAGATATCTGACGACAAGTTCTTCGTATAGACTGTTCAATCGATCAGACGCCGACAACGGCAAATGATACAACGTTAGCGATTGGCAACCCATTCAGTCAGAAGCGGTACTGTAAGCCTTGGAAGGAACGTAGGTTCTGGCAGGCTTCGGGTGAGACACGAGTCTTTCCGGGCGAGGTACCACCGACGGACCACTTCTGACTCTTAGTCCTCTGCGCCGTAGAGTGGCCTAGTGCGGGGTGGATCACCGGTTCTCCGTTTGATTTTTCCAGGATTGCCGAACGATGCGGAGACGTTGACAAGAAGGTTAAGCTGCGTATGTAAGCCCTCGAAGCAACGGATCGGCTGTCGGGCATCCGACTGATGCAGAGGCCGTTTTCCAAAACGCTACACGCCTGAGGCATCATGATGGCCTTTCTCCAGGCACAATGTGAAAAAATGAAAGAAAGATTCTGCGAGCGCGTCAATCCTCCACTCTCTGCAATAGCATCGTGTGGGGGCAGCCCGGGCAGTCAGGCGCGCATAAGAAGTACCGTGTCAATGAATCCACCACTCATAATTGGACTCTCGATTGTGCCCTGTGCAGAAAGTAGTGGTCAATCACGATGATCGTAGGAATGATTAAGGGCCAAGTGGCAGGCTGAGTGCTGAATGCTGAGTGCAGACTCTTCTTTCGGTGGTGCAATCAAGAGTCCAGCAGTCGCGAAGGCAGAATAGATTAGCCTGAATTGCTCCGGGATCATCACCATTCATTTACTTCGACAACTGGGTCCAACAGTTGGTGGAGGTGAGCCTTCTCGATTAGGACTAGTGGGCCCCGTCGTGGTGACGCTAGCCGCTTGGAGAGGGCATGCAGAACAGCGCCGATGCGGTGCCTGGAGATTTGGTGAACTCCCCACAATCATCATGGCGCGGGCAGATATGGGGTCCGGGGTAATATCATTATGTTGAGGGAAGGCTGGTCGCCAAGGCAGGTTGACCGGATCAGCTTGGCACACACGGTGTGACTGGTATAAAGAAGCTTACAGTGCCGCGACAACAGAGAGGTTTTCTTTTTTGTTTTTGCGCGGTCGAATACAATCCATTCATCTCAGTGTGCTGCTGTCGATTGACCACCATACCAAAATGAGGACTTCATCAACATATCACGCCCTCGGGCTACTCGGCCTGACTGTGCCAAGCTTGGCTGGTGTCGCGTCCTGTTCGGCCCCCAAGGCCGATGCCATCACCATCAAGACCGACTCTAAGCTGCAAAAGATCGACGGCTTTGGATTCTCACAAGCTTTCACTCGCGCGGCCGAATTTCAGGCGGCAGACCCCCAGCTGTCAAAGGCGGCGCTCGATCTCTTCTTCGACAAGAAGAATGGCGCTGGTTTCAGCATCATCCGCAATTGGATTCCCTCATCTTCCAATTACACAATTGAGCCAAGCAGCCCAGGCTCTCCTTCCTCCACTCCTCAGTACCGCTGGGATGGCTGGGATGAGGGCCAGGTCTGGTTCACCAAGCAGGCCCGAAGCTACGGTGTGAAGACGATCTATGCCGATGCATGGAGTGCACCGGGCTTCATGAAGACCAGTGGAGACGAGGCTAAGCCAGGGTAAGTGCACGTATGACCCATGGACGTTGATCCAAGAATATGCTGTTCCGTTACGTGTTTATCAATTGCTGACGCGATACTCGAACACCTAGATTCCTCTGCGGTACTCCCGGTCATGAATGCGCCTCCGGAGACTGGAGACAAGCCTATGCGGACTACCTTGTTCAATACGTCGAGTTCTACAAGAAGGAGGGTATCGACATTACTCACCTGGGATTCTTGAACGAACCCGATTTCAAGTAAGTCGCAACGAGCGCACACCCCGGGAGGGACGTGATGAGACACATCGAAAAAGAAATGAATTTGAAGAAGCTGACCCGGTCGCCCTGGCGTCTAACAGGCCCTCTTATTCCAACATGCAGATCAGTGACAATGCCAGCGAAGCCATTGACTTTATTCCCATCCTCCGCAAGACGGTCGACCATGCCAAATTGGACGTGAGCCTCACATGCTGCGATGCCACCGGCTGGGACAAGCAGGCCGAGTATACCAAGGCCCTGGTCGCCGCCGGCATGCAGCGTGATCTCGACGTCATCACCTCGCACATGTACTCCAGTGACGCTACCTATCCCCTCGATACAATTTTGCCCACCTGGATCTCCGAGGCTGGTGTGGAGACCAGCAGTGGTCGATTCGTGCCCACATGGTACAGCACTGGCAATGTCAACGAGGGACTTGCCTGGGCTATTAAGATTGCCAAGGGCTTGGTCGATGCCAATCTGAACGCTTACCTTTTCTGGGAAGGCTTCGAGATCAACCAGCAGCAGTCGGCCAGCCACCTGCTCGATGTCACCGGTCCTGACCAGAAGACCATTCTCCCATCTGGAATCTTTTACGCGTTCAGCATGTTCTCTCGCTTCATCCGCCCTGATGCTTACCGTGTCGCCATTGAGGGTACTGACAAGCTCGCGAACGTGATTACCGCGGCTTTCCAAAACAAGGACAAGTCTGTCATTGTCGTGTTCACCAACACCGGGGCCGCGAGTCAATCCACTGAGATCTTGGTCCCTCCCCACCAGGCTGGCAGCAGTGCCAAGGCCTGGCTGACCGACAATGACCACAAGATCGAGAAGACCCCCGTGGAGCATACTCGCACTAACGATCACTCCAGCATCAAGGTGAATATTCCCGCTCATAGTGTGGTCACTGTCAAGTTTGCTTGATCGAATTAAGTGTACCATCGTCGCTTGGCTTGGACGATACTCGCTTCTTCGCAATTGATCAAGCATGATTCACTTCAAGTGGTCAACACATCAGGTATCCGCAGACATCACCTGCGCAGAGTCAGACACTATGTTTTTGGGATAAAAAGCACATGAGTGGAACCCACACGTTGATTTTGTACATAATATACAGTACACTGTACTTAGACACTATGAGCTTACTTCCCGACACGAATGGATGATGGATGACTTCATTTACATTTTTAGTTCTCCTGCTGGACGGATCTGAGAATTGGTACCTATGCGTGTAGATGTTGCCTCCGTATATCCACCACACTGTTTATTGTATATCTGTTGCCCGAGTGTTGGCAGACTATCTAGGAATCGGACCCGCCCGTATGGCGGCTATGAGAGGCCACCGCGGCGGCATTGAGTCTCAGTCCAGTGAGGTAAGTAAGCAGCATACTACCGGGCTGGAAAAAGATCGCCTATCGAGGTCACTTCGAACTTGGCAGGTCGTGGGATATAGTTCCGATAGAGCTGGAGCGTGTACTATGCTGCATACAGCCCTAGTACTTCAACCTTGCCCAGTCTTTAAAGGTCACTGTCTCAGTGTCTGTGCCCTGCGCCTGCGGTACCACGTACCTAGATAGTACATAGTAGAGACAATATCCTTTGAGTATCTTCCGCTGTTGGCAAATAGCTTTTGCGACGGTCTTTCCGAGGACCTTTCCGTGAGTCTTGCAGGAGGTATTTACGGGAGACTTTGCGAGGGACTCTGGTAGCACCTGTCAATGGAAAATCATAGACCTACAATTGGATCATCTTATTGCAGATCCCTGATTGCACACTGAGTATTGGTTCATTGTTGTATGCTGTATGTCTTCGCAACGATCCGTATTTATTTTCAGTCCCCATCAATGTAGGCAACTACATAGGCATGTACACTTTTACAGTACCTCAGCGCGTCTTTATCACGTGACTATCTGCTGCACATCCCTGACTAGTGCCGATCCATCGACAGCGAGGTCCTTGAATCCGTCCAATTGTGAAGGAGCTTCATTAAAGTTACATATGGCAACAGTCGCTATGCTGATGTTTACCGCTCCATGAAATTACGCAACAATTAGGTGTTGTCTTGATCTTTGATTATCATTCAACTTGTCGGGGCTCTGCAAGGCTTTGTTGTGGCGAACACCTGCTCCCATCCCGATTCCTTGGCTTTGTCAACATAGCAACCAACCAACCAACCAACCTTGAATCCAGCAACTGAAAGTTCCATCAGTTGAATCTTCTTTCTCCCTTCAACTGCCTGAAAATCTCTTCATAACCGACTGGGCCGCACGTTTAACACCGTACATAACCCTCTCAATGGACGCGTCAGCGCTTGAGCAGCAGATGCTGGCTGCGGCCATCGCCGCCTCGCTTGAGGATTATCAAAAGCAAGAATCCAGCTCCACATCCCGCAAAGTATCGTCAGAAAAGACCAAGGAAAGCCCTCACAGCCTGTCTAAAGGGAGCGACAAATTCAAGAGTGAACAGCCCAAGGAGAACCAGGCCAGTAAAATTAGCCCACAGAGGACATCCAAAGCATCTAGACCATCCACGCCGGTTGAGGACAAAGTTGTGGACCTGACCTACGATTCTGACTCCGACTCAGAGGTGAAAGAAATCTTCCCGAAATCTAGATCGACTGTGGGCTCGAATACCGATGAGGATATCCCACAGGAAGTGTCCGACAATGAAAGCGACGACGAACTGAAACAAGCAATCGCCATGTCATTGGAAAGTTCCCGGCAAGATTCGAAAAATTCAACAGCCGAAATTCTTTCTTCCGGTCTTCATGCAGACGACGGCTTGAAAAAAAGTACCCTTGAAACTGAAGTTGCTCAGAAGCCAGGAGGGCTCGGTATTGACAGAAAGCAGATGGAGCAGGAGCGTCTCGCACGCCTAGCAAAGCGTAAAGCTGGGTCTTCCCCTCCCTCATTTCAGCCATCTTCAAAGACAGCTCGTGTGGATCCAGGCGATGGCCCTACGCATGCCTTGGCAGCAGAGCTCGCTTCTTCACGGACTGGGGGACTTGCCAATATCAGCTCCGTCAAGAAGCCAGTCGGTTCACTGCAACCAAAGCCTCGCCCTGCCATTCAGTTCCCATATGGCGTGGTCAAGAAAACCTATGTCGCTTTCGTTCCTCGGTCAAATGATGATATCACCATGGAGGAAGTATTCCAGAGAGAGGATCTGAAGGTTGCTGTACTCAGCTCTTTCTTGTGGGACATGGATTGGTTGTTCACAAAGTTCAACTCAAGGACAACCAAATTCATCTTGATGATGGGGGCTAAGGAGGAGGCTACTGTAAGTGAAAAGTGTATTGTTGAGACATGGAAGCAAAAATTCTAAGCTCAGGTCAATAGCGCAAGCAATATCGAGAAGAAACAGCCTCGATGCACAATCTCGATCTGTGTTTCCCACCTATGGAGGCGCAAGTCAATAACATGCATTCAAAGTTAATGCTTTTCTATCATCCCACTCATCTGCGAATCGCCGTTCCCACGGCAAATCTAACGCGGACAGACTGGGGTGAGAATGGTTTGATGGAAAATGTCAGTACCGAACCCCCAAGCTCTCAAGCTTCTGACGACTGACCACTCTTCTGCAGACCGTCTTCTTGATTGATCTGCCTAGAATCACTGCCGGTTATCAAGGCAGGAATCTGGATACTGCATTCAAAGAAGAGTTGGTCTATTTCTTGAGAGCTTCTACACTTCGTGAAGATGCAGTCAAAGCTCTCAATGAATTCGACTTTACGGAGACCGCCCGCTACGCTTTTGTTCATACGATGTGAGTAGTCGCTGTCGCGTCTTTCATTCACAGATAGGGACTGATGTGACATCAGAGGCGGATCACGCGTTGGCGAGGCATGGACGCGGTCAGGCTACTGTGGGCTTGGTCGCGCAATAACACAGTTGGGCTTACAGCCACCCGGGCCGATCAATATTTCTTATGTTGTAAGTTGAGTTTTGACATAGTGGAGTCGACTAGGTACTGATTTTTGCAGACATCGTCAATCGGATCGTTGAATGATGACTTCCTGCGAGCCATCTATCTTGCCGCAAAAGGTAAACTTGCTCTGCAAGCAGGACTAACCGTCAGACTGATCTAATGTAACACAGGTGATGACGGCATGACGGATTACAATCTTCGTTACACACGAGAGTCAAGCACTCAAACGCATGATCCTCAACGCAAGGAGATGCTGCGTATGGGCAATGAATGGAAAGATCGCTTTCACGTCTATTTCCCCTCAGACCAGACTGTGCGTCTTGCGCACGCCGACCCCGATCGAACTGCAGGCACCATATGTTTCTCGTCGCGATGGTGGCTCGGTGCCAAGTTTCCTCGAGGGGTGCTCAAGGACTGCGTGAGTGAGCGCAGAGTTCTGATGCACAACAAGGTTGGTTCTCCCAATGGATGTCTCGAGAGAAGCTGACAAGTTAATGTGTGGCTTTAGCTCATGTATGTGTGGCCTTCTGAGCCTTTCAAGATGTCTGATGGCAGAGAGTGCAAGGGCTGGGCTTACGTCGGAAGCGCAAATATTTCAGAAAGTGCCTGGTGAGTATGCCGCTAATGTTCCAAGCCTGTGCTCTTGTCTTCCTTGTTTGCTGACGATTGAGCGAAGGGGAAAATTGGTGAAAGATCGCTCTTCGGGCCATCCAAAACTCAACTGCCGCAACTGGGAGTGTGGGGTCATCGTACCTGTTACAGCTGCCAGCACTGAATCTGCATCCAGCGTCATTGACACCAAGGGTGCAGTATCTGACACAATCTCAAAGTCTCAATTTGAGGCACAATCTCTTCCTGTCAAAGTCTTTCACGACACCGTGCCTGTCCCTCTGAAGATACCCGGAGCTGACTTGACTGAGAGCCGCCCGCCATGGTTTTTCCACGACTGAATGATTTGAGAAGATGCATTGCTGAATTACTGCATCGCACGAGTGCATGGTTTGAAAAGATCTCACCCATACATGCGTTGCCTTTTTTTAGGGGAATCTTGGGATGTGGCCCTCACGTTTCAGAGAATTGTTAGCAAACCGAAGAAGATCTGAGAATTCTGTCTTACGAACCGCTTCTTCTATCAGAAATCAATTAACACGGCGAGTAGCGCTTCGACTATGGTTACATTGAAACATGAGCTAGTTGTGAACTTCGCTACAGGCCCACTCAATTTCACAGGTACAAGTGAGTCCATGAAAAACAAGATTCAACCATGGAGGTGAGGTTGGTGGGATAATGGAACCACAAAGCGATTGGTGAAAATCCATTCTTGTCGGTAAAAGTAGAAGATCCATTTCATGCTGACGGCCACTCAGTACCTACGCAAAGTGAAGTCATGATAGGTTTGTACCTTAATTTGATTCAGACTTTTTGCCATTTTTCAAATATGATATATACTCTGGAAGCCCCTTTCCACGGCGCTTCAAAGCTGGGGAAATCTAGATGGAGAAGCCAACGCGCAAAGAATGATAATCAAAAATGCATCACGATCAAACAAAAATCAGACAACGCTCCATGTGTAAATTCGTTCATATTGCATCAGCAACACATGAACCCATCCCAGAGAAAAAAAAAAGAAATTAAGTAAAAAGAAGACTGGCCATGTTGAGAACGTGGACAGGAATGCAAAGGGATTGGAAATGGAAAAAATTCAGTGCTTGAAGAACAAGCAAGTAGAGGCGAGTCATCGATGGCAACTTTTTTTTTTTTCTTCACTGGGACTCGTTCTTGTCCTTACGCTTGAAGAGACCCTTGATCTTTTCGACCACAGTTCCTGCCAAGCCAAAGACGTAGCCGAAGCCGAAACTCCAACCGCGAACACGAACAGTGTAGATGAAGAAGTATACCAGGAGCCAGTTGATGATCACAAAGGCCAAGAAGATGCCGAAGCAGCGCCACTTGTCGCCTTCGTGCACGTTCAGATTCTTCATGTACTCTGCGCCGGTTTTGTAAGGGCAGTACTGGCAGTTTTGCGTGGCAGAGGCATCGACTAGATAGCCGGCCTGGGCGATGTTGTTGACAAAGTTGCCTGCGTACTGACCGCAGGTTTGTCCAGATGGTGGATCGAAGCGAGTTGTCTCCGCGGAGCTACACTCGATTTCGACTCCAGGGAGAACGACGGAGAGAACGCCGCGGAGCCACCAAGTGACCGGGTTGACGTAGTACATCCAGTACTTCCAGAAGACAGGGTAGTCTGCGTAGGGGCGGACAATACCGTTGAACAAGTTGACCATGACGAAGAAGAAGGGCAGCACATTGGAAATGACGGTGAATGAGGGCGCAAAGGCACAAATCCACTGACCCCAAGATGCCTGGAAGAGGAAGAACAGCATCGACATGAGGAAGACGTAGCCGGCAGAGGACGAGTCCGTGGGCAGGCCGACGGGATAGTACCACAGCAGCCAGTAGACGAGACCAGTGACGATGGCAGCTGGGATCTCACAGACGACGTTTGCAGTAGCAAAGGCAACCCAACCGTAGATACGAGACGGGTACTCGCGGGCTTCCCAAAGAGCGCGGTTGATGTAAAATTTGGGGACCACCGAGTTCATGATGATGGGTGGAATGAGAATGATCAGGAAGGCTGAGAACATGCGGTCCTGCATGGAAGCCACAGTCCGGGGCAGCATGTAGAAAGTGAAGCCGTTGAAGATACCGATGATGACACTGACGAAAAGCTTACCATAGTAGTAGCTGGGATCACGCCAGTACTGCAAGAACATTCGCTTAGTGAGAAGTTGAGCTTGAAGGGTAGTCGGAGCGGCAAACTCATATTGAGAAGTGCCGGACTCCTCCACGGGGATCTTGCTTCGTTCGGTCCTGATTCGATCAATCTCCGCAAGCATCTCCTTGTTCTCGGCAGAGTTTCGCCATTCCTCATTCCAGTCGATTGTCTTGCCTTCGCGTTGCGTGGGCTTGGCGGCGGTTTCGAGAATGAACTCGGCCACGTTCTTTGAAGGAGGGCACTGCACGCCACGCTCGGCAAAGTACTTAGTGACAGCTGAGCCATCCTGGCCGACAGGACCAAAGTAGAAGGTGTTACCGCCGGGGTTCAGGGCGAGGATCATGTCGAACTGCTGAATAAGCATCGACGAGGGCTGATGAATGGTGCAAACAATGGCTTGACCGGCCTGAGACAGTTTCTTGAGGAAACGAACAATCGAGAACGCAGCTTGACTGTCAAGACCAGATGTGGGCTCGTCAAGGAAGAGAAGCAAACTAGGTTTGGCAGCCAGCTCGACACCGATGGTCACACGCTTCTTCTGCTCAACATTCAAAGATCCAATGATGGCGTCTTGAATTTCCTCAAGTTCCAACAGGTCGATGATACGGTTGACGTAGTCAATCTTCTCCTGGCGGGGAGTGTCGCGATCTTGACGAAGAAGGGCGGAGAACTCAAATGCCTCCCGAATAGTGGAGGTCATGTCGTGCAAGTCCATCTGTTCACAGAAACCAGTACCACGCTGGAAGTCAGCACCCAGAGGATGGCCATCCACAAGCATGTCACCCTTGACGACACCCATCTTCTGACGCTGCGCGAGAGTGTTGAGTAGAGTAGTCTTTCCAGCACCGGAGGCGCCCATCAAAGCAATCATGACGCCAGGCTTAGCGTAACCATTCACGTTGTTGAGGAGTTTGCGGGTGCCATTGCCATAAGGAACGGTATATTCAACGTCGGACCAGGTGAAACAGCGCTCGCTGGAGGACAGACGATTGAAAGTTTCGTCGTTGGAAGCTGAGTTGGCCTCACCGCGAGAAAGAGCGGCGCTATCGTTAGCGTCCGCGACCTTCTCTTCATCGTTGCTTGCCGAGATTTGCTTCGCGACTTGCTTTGAGCGCTTGGACTTCTTGAAGACCAAGGCACCGCCGCCGCCGCCCACAAAGGAAAGGTACTCAACAGCCCAGATAGTAACCAAGATATATAGAACAGTGAACGCGATAACAACTCCAAAGTTACGCCAGAGATGAGAGCGTGTGAACTGGAAGTTGGTCTGCAAATACTGGCTTCCGGGAACCGTCGTCTGGCCAAAGGGAGCACCCGTCAAAGCGCAGCCCTGGTAGCCAGCAACAACACCGGGGCCCTGAGGAACCAGTTGAGATGGCGCACACTCCATGCTCCGATCAGCAAACTCATTGGTCAGTACAGCTTCATAACTGTATGAAATAGGATTGACGTAGAAGAGCCATCCGAACCAGATCGAGTCGTTGATGAGAGTCTGTTTCGGAATCACATAGCCGACAAAAAGGACAAGCAGGTTGAGCGCAATACCTGCAAAACGCACGGCGTCATCGATTGTTGGCGAGAGAGCGGCGAACATTCGGTACATCGAGGTGATGCAGAAGGTGGTGATGTACACGAACAAGAAGTAGATGAAGAACTTGGAGGCCGTAACATCCAGACCGGTCATAAAGTACATGATGATCGCAAATGGCACGACCATGGCGAGAATAGCAGGGAAGTCGACCACCACGCGGGCGATGGAGACTGCCGAGGGACGGTAGAAAGCATAATCCTTGTGTCGAGCAACAATGGCCCGGCCGGAGACGGCGGGCATCAGCTCAGTCAACTGAAGCCAGCCAAGGAACAGAATAGAGAAGAACAGAGCACCACCACGAGAGAAAGCACCGGAGGTATCCAGCGATTCTCCGTAGAAGAGGGAAGAGACAATCAGTCCGTTTGAGATGATGATGAAGAATTTGGTATAGAGCGAAGTCTTGTTACCCCACAGCAACCAGAACTCGCGCTTGACACAAGCTGTGACCTGTCGCACCAAGGAAACCGTGTACGGGGACTTCTTGGAGACAGTCTTACTTTTGGATTGAGCGACCGTCTTTTCGAAAGTTCGGGTATCCTGCTGCTGCGTCTCGTGGAGGCGTGTCTCGTATCTGGAGATGTCATCGGCGATGTATCGGTACGACTTGCTCTGCCGGAAGACCTGTTCTAACGCAGCAGCCGTCTTGGGAGTCGAGGCTTCTCGACCGGGTTGGAATTGGCGAGCATTGGGGTCACAGAGCGAGGTGAGGAAGTCGGCAGTGGTAGACTGGGGTGGGCAATAGAAGCCCAGGTCGATGAAGTACTGGCGAGCCTCATTGGCAGGCCCTTGATACAGCATTCGGCCTTCATCAATGACCATAACCTTGTCCATAAGCTCGTAGATGCTCTCCCCGGCCTGGTACAAAGTTACCAACGTGGTTCGCTTGCTCACATCAGTCATGATGCGCAACGACTTGGCATAGTCCAAAGCGGTGCTCGCGTCCAGGCCACGAGTGGAGTTATCCCAACAGACGACGGTCGACTTTGTCGCCAGCGTCTCGGCGATACTGACACGTTTCCGCTCGCCACCTGAGACACCCCGGACATACTCGTTGCCCACCAAGGTGTTTTTCGTGTGGCTGATACCGAACATCTTGAGGAGCGCATCAATGATGACCGGGATGCTCTCACGGTCATGTTTGCGGGTCTTGTTGGCCAAAGAGAACTTGAGAGTCTGCCATACCGTGAGGGTCGGGAAGTGCTGGTCATCCTCCTGGTTGTAGTTGACTTCACCACGGAAGTACTTGTGTTGGTCCTCGGCAGAGAGACCACCATAGCTGACTTCGCCCTCGACGCCGGCAAAGGCACTACGATCGTTGGCAATAGCCTTCAAGAACGTTGAACAGCCCGCACCGGGACGACCCAGCACCAGCATCATCTCACCCTCGCGCACGGCGCCACTGAAGTCATGAATCAGGTCCCGGATGGGAGGCTTCTTGCCGAATCGCAACTGTGGTACAAATCGGCAAATCACGTTGTACAGATCCGGGCCGAAGGTCCCCACTACGGCGTGAGGAAGCGTGCGCACGAATGACGCGCCCGTTTGCACGCCTTTGACCGTCAGATTTTTGAAAATGACGCCCACTTTTTTGGCGGGCTCGCCGGCAGTCGTTCGTCGCTCGAGATGACCGCCCATTAGGAATTCATTGAGGTCGAAATCGCTGCCCACCTCGGTCTCCGAGTCAGCGTCCACATCGTCCAGCCCGGCTTCCTCATCCTTGCGGCTGGCTCGGGATTGTCGGCGGCGGGCGCTTTTGGCCGTAGTTGATCGGGTTCGATGTAAACTCAGACGGGTTAATTCACGGCGCATCTCCTCCAAATCCTCTCTCGCACCGCGGCGAGAGACAGGCTCGCCGGCAGTGGTCTCGCCCCAGCGGCCCTCGGCGCTCTCTGCAACGGATGCCGTTGAAGAGGCGCTAGTTATGGAGGCGGCTGGAGGTGCGACGGCATGGTTGATCGCCTCTGGACTGCCAGAAGCATTCAATGGTGGGTGAGCTGCATTGAGTTCGTGCCTGTCAGGCGCTTCGGCGGCTTGATGGTTCGAGGCCATCTTGCCTGATGATGCGGGTAACGTCTTATCGGTCAATTTCGTGCGGTCGAGATAGATAACGCTTGTAGATTAAGGGTATTGATGAGGAAGAGAAGATCACCTTCGCCCATGTACAGAAGTCTCGAGATTAGGCGAAGGAAAGAAACGAAGAATGGAAAAGAGGTTGAAAAGGGGAAGAGAACTGATTTAGGTATATGAAGTCAAGGAAAAAAAAGAGGCCCTATTACTAAATCCGAGCCACTTATTGCGGGAACCAGGTCTTTCAGTCTTTCGCGAACCTTCAATGGAGGTGATTAAAAAGGAGATTTCAAAAGAAAAAGATAGGCTAGGAGCCGATCTGGTCAACCATATCAGTGATTTATCTTCCACAAATAGCCACCATGAAACGGCTCCGTTGCTGGTAGACCACGTTCCTACTTTTATCTCCGAGACTTGGATTTGTAAGTCAACGATCCAACGTCCATAGGAGGGGCCATCTGCTCCATAATCAGAGTACCGTATTATGAACCAGCGGCGTCAGCAGCTGCACGATGGAGCAACAACTCCACCTTCTCGAGCGCCAGACCCACAGCGAGAAGAAAATACCAGAAGGTTGGACCAAGCCGGGTGGATTTTGCATGATTCAGGGTAGTTCGCGGGTCCCAAAGATCAATTGGGAGCCGGCAATGTGAACGAATCAATTGGTGCCTTAGAAGGAGGGCTTGGGAGCCCAAGCGCCATCGCGGATCGGCCACCTGCAGACTTTTTTTGTTTCGCCTTTTTTCGATCTCCCTCGTCGGAGTTAGATACCGGGGATTAATCCAGTCCTGAGTTGGGGGCCCGTCAGCAAGCCCTGCCACTCACAGCATGTGAAATTGTCACCCCGATTGCCAAGCTCCTGCCGGGTCAACAATAATGTCATACTTGATGAGTTCATGGATTTTCCGGCCCAGTGTTTCATGACTACAAGGCGGGTCCAACTAGCGGAATTACGGATCTGGTCTAGACGAGGCCACTCCATGCCGAATCTGCAGCGTGGAGCAAGAGAACTCTGCGAAATGAATCACTCGAGACGGATCTCTGCCACATGCCGGTGCCCGAGACAGATGTACAATTACTCGTGGATCTGTGATCGGTTTGATGACAATCAGTTTCTTTGGATTTGATTGTCCGTGGAGGGAAAGACTTATGATAGCAGTTCTTCTCGAATTCTGGAACAACTCGTAGAATCCGTAAGCTCCATAAACATTCATCGGCTCAGCCCCATGAACACGATTACCCCTCGAGTAATTCCTGCCATCTGTGCTAGATAATAGACGCTACAATCACCAGGCTAGTGACTGGGCAAATTTATACTCATAGAGGCCAGACACCTCACATGCGCGAGTTCTAATCTGTAGATCACAGAATGTATGCATCCTTTTCAGGCTCTCGGCTATTCTCAGACTCTTCGGTTGTTGCGCGAGTAATGCGCCACCCGCATCGGGACCCCGCTACATACCCTACCACGCTGGTAGCCTGATTCAGGGCTGATCGATTACTCATAAGCTCGGCGACTTTCCCTACAACGAAGATTAAGGATGCAGATCCCCTTTGCCGACTCACCATCGGGGTCCCGAATTGGCAATAGACCTTCCACATTAACTTCCGCAAATTTGGCGCTCAAGCCTGCTGACGCCTGGTTTATGCTGGGAAAAAGGGACAGCGATTGCGCTTTGCAGGAATCGAGAGTCGTGGAACAGGCAATATGCCTGTACGAACCGAAAATGCGCAACCATGCGAGTTGGCGGTGTGTGGATGTACCGCAGACAGAGGCCAGAAGAAGTCTGGCAATTGTTAGTGATGCATGGACTACAATATTTCGTGTGGGCTTGCGTTGTAGTGGCTTTATCTACCCCAGGACTCTCCTCCTGCATCTTCGATATGCCTTCGATGAGGTTCCGTTCAGGTTTGTTGACCCACGCATCGCGTAAATCTCTATCATTCCGTCTTTTTCATGGGCACGAGACCAGATCAGATCATGTATGTACTGTAGAAGGCTAGAAGCGGATGTGATACCCCAAATTAGTGGACACCTGAATCAAGGATCATGCTGTTTCCGTAAGACTCGGGCCACCGTCGAAATGCCCGGCGATGGAGAGGGTTTCTTAAAGCTCCTACACTGAGCCTCTGAGGACCTCAGGACACTAGGTTACTACTAGGTGCGTTTGTCCAGAATCCAGACTCATGGCAGGGTTCCCACGTGATCGCAAGCTCCAGAAACCTCTTCTTCCAATTTTGGGATGAACAAGCCTGCATCTGAGTCTGAGAGCAGCAACCTGGGTGATCGAAATCAGAACCTGGTCATAAGCCCGGCTGCGCCGGCCTAGCCGTCAGGTTGATTGATGTTTCAGCATCCACGGCCCAATACCGACACAGTACCTTCAAACCTTGTACGAGTGGGACTAGTCGGCCCACCATTCCGCCGGCGTATCTGCGATGATTAATGCTTCACGAGTCATGGAGGCATGACTTACAAGCCTCTGGCGGATGGTTCCGACGTCCAAAATAATCATGCGCTAAGCCGGGACGGCAATCATCTTTCTTTTTGACCCCGGAGGACACGAGAAGTAAGCGATCTCGGGAGATAATGGATGTATGTAGGCCTTTTCGCACTGAGACTAGTTACGGGTTATGATGTGAATAGTACAGGACGGTTGACGGCGACGCAACTGAATGACGGCGGGGAGACAGAATCCGATTAGATAATCTACGCATGGCAATCTATGCACGGCAAGTTGCTGCGAGGCCAAAGTGCAACCCTAAAGGAAGATAACTTACGAGCCATTCAAAGCTTTGGCTCACCTACAATACCTCTCGATTCAAAAAGTACTTCCAGTACTTCCAGTACTTCCGGGGGTCAATGATCCTTCGTCGCCGCAATCCACTGAATCTCGAATTAAGATCCCTCTCAGCATCCTTACACTCAGCTCCTAAGACGATCGATTCAAGCCCTACAGATGGTAGATGTTAGATACAGACAATTGATCATGATGTGAGCCAAGCGCATGAGTTTCTGCCCGGAGCGGAGATAACTTTCTGTTGAGTGGGGGTTCCGCTCTCATTGAAAGATGACCTCTTGAGATGTGTACCCAAGCCCAGGACTCAACCCCGGCCCGGCGATAAGTTACGGTCAGCATCAGTGATTACAAGAAAAAAATATATGGCATATCAACCCCCAACCCTTGCTCATTTTCATGGAAAAGGAGGTCATGTACCCAATCGTTCTCATCCCACGAACCACACACACACACACACACACAAAAATTAGGCCGATGCTATGTGATGGTCCCAAGGAGAATAAGATTCTGGAGACGCTCGGAACCCGGCGGGCACCCGACCAGAATTAAGTTGGCTCAACAAACAGTCGATCAGAGCTTTGCCTCATGAGCCGGAATGACATCATCTCGCGAGATAGTTTGGGAGATGTGTGTATGTGGCTTTTGATGAACCGATCGTACGCTTGGTCCGGTCATCTAGGGCGACACACAGACCGGTTGATATGGTACTTTGAGTCAGTCAGGACTCAGTGGTCGAGTACATTAATACAACTACTGACAATTACCGAATGAATGGGGCCACACTCACCTGTTTTGTCAGAGACCGCCCGGCAATTTCCCGCGCAGGTCTCAACCGACCCTTGTGAAGGTCAACATAAGCGTCTCATTTCAACACCAGAATAAGGTTATCAATATGCTATCAGCCCTCAGCCTGGGCTTACCGATCGATCTCAAATTTTCTCACAGGAGAACGAGAGACAAGAGACTTGTTAGGAAAAATAAACTAGATACAGCGTTTAAGTTCCGAATCCTTCGTATGAAGTACTTCTCACAGGCCAATCAGCCTGTTTTTTTTTCGTGGGGAGTATATTATGGCTTTCAATGTCATTTCCCGATCGTGAGACCAAATCGATTAGTTCTGCGTGAGGAGCCTCGGAGAGCGGGATGCTGGAGAAAAATTGCCTGGGAATGAACCCTACTCCTGAGAAGATGGTCACGCCATGATGCGATGACTGAGACGAACGCAGAGTTGTAAGGTTGATTCGATTCATATAGTAAATGCCGTAGTACTAAGCTGTTTTGAGTTGGGCCCATCGAAGCACAGGTGGTAGACGCAAATGACATGGTCGTCTTCACAAATTGCGGGCAATACTCCTCCATTGAAATTGTCTCTAATGTACATATAAGGTCTCCAGGCGATTCGCCACTTGCTGGATATTCCAATTTTGGCCCCATTGACTAACTCAGTGCTTACGCTTGGCTTCGGCTTGCGCAATGCGCTTTTGAATTTCCTCCTTAGTCAAGATCTTCACAGCATTGTTCGAGAAGACATAGCTGAGTCCCGACCACACGGTGGTTGCAGCGACCAGGTATCTGAAAGTCAAATGGTCAGCAACATTGAAATGAGATATTGGGAAATCGAAAGCAAGATGAGAGAGACCAGAAAAGAGAAAATGAAAAAAAAACATACAACAGCCAGGATTCGCATGTGGTCACCCACCATACTACTAACTGGCCGGCGTGTGGCTTAAGTACGGCTGAGCGGACGGGAAGCCCTGTTCTCCACACCCTATGGTCGTATGTACCAGGAGGAGCCCATTACGGGACTATACTTGGACCAAACACAACCAAGATGGTACTTCGAACAAGGAGTGAAGTGATGAACAAAAATGATGGCAGAAGGGCATAAACTTACTGAAATCCAGTCATAGCTTCACTGAGATGCCAAGTGCTGATGATTGCTTCTGGAACCACTGGCAAAGCAATGGCACTACCCACGAGAACGAGTTGAAGAGCAGTGTTGATCTTTGAGATCTCGGTCGGCTTTACTTCAGCAGAAGGCAGTGAAAAGTCCCAGTACCGGGCCATGGTCTTGGGAGGAGGAAGAGAAATCCACCGATAGTAGATTGCGGAAAGAGCAAGACCGACATCGCGCCCCAAGATGATGACAGCAAGCCACACTGTTTGCCTGGCGGTCAGAAAAGCGAACACGAAACGCAACAATGAGCATGGAATCGGATGAGCTCAAGGTCAAGCACTTGCCTGGAAGAGAGCCATTTACGGCCAGACAGGCTACTCCAATCGTCATGAGTAGCTTGTCCGCCATTGGGTCGATGATAGTACCCACAACAGTCTGCAGGTGATACTTGCGTGCAATCCATCCATCAACAAGATCAGTAATGCCCGCGTAAGCGAAGAGGGAGAGAGCAGCTGCATGATAGTCATGCACCAGCAAATATCCAACCACTGGTGCTGCGACCAGTCGAGAGAATGTCAGAATATTGGGAATGGTGTAGATGTTCTCATGGCTTTTGACCACCGGCAACTTTGACAAGATGCGCTGTGTGGTGGTCTGGGGTCTTTAGTTTGGTCAGACAAGAAAGCACGAGCAATATTTGCGGGTGGAGTCTACGTCAACGCACCCTTTTCTTGGATGATCCTTGGACTCGTCTTCTTTCTGGGACGAGAGCCATCTTGTCTGTCCCCCAACCGCTGACTTTGAGCCTAGGGCCCTACAACGACGAAGACTTGGGCTCCTGCAATTCAATCAGTCAGCGTTGTTCCTTGCCGAACATCAGGGTGAACATTACCGAAATGAAAAGAACTCTGTAGGCGGATAAACTACCGAGACCGGTGATGGTCTGCAAAAAGACGCATTTCGTGGCAATGAGCTATGATTGAGCGTTAACCGACTACTGGGCCTCGTGCTAACATGGAGTAGCCGTAGACCTTGGCCGGTCCGCCCAGCTGACACCGCCAAATGAGGAGCTTTAATCAGAAGCATGACAGTGACCAAAATAATGGAAGGACTGGTAGCGTCGATTCAGAGCAGCAGTGAAGGTGGCTTGCTGGTTTAGAAATTTCACCGAGACTGGAAAACTGTCGGACAAGGTGGATGTTCAAATCACTTGGAAGGAATGCGTAAGCGTTAAATGAGTGATGAGCAGTTGCCTAGAGCGATGGTGTCGATTTGATACCAGAGAGCAACGAGCGACAACCTCTAATGCATGGACACCTGGTCAAACGAAAATGCAATGAATTGCAAGTACGCTATGTGTAAAAACGAGAATGGCAATCAATTTCACCTATGAACTCGGTCAGTCAAAATACAGAACAACAACTAAGACTGGAGGCTCTGAAGTTTCAAAATTTACACACAATTCTCCTTTGTCATTGATCAATGGTTTCCAGGGCGAAATGTAACCAAAGCAGCCTTGCCCCAGAGAGACGGACCTGATGATGCGGCAAGTTGGTAGACCTCGGCGGAGTCGACTGTATGACCCCGTGCGGATAATCACTTGTTCCGATCCCGCCCGTCGGCAGCCTGGGCCTGCGCAGCCAGATGGAAATAGTCTCGGGGATTGCAGTTGTCCATGACTCTATGGCGCCTCCTCCATTACTAGAGCCTCAAGTAGCCCAAACCATATATTTTGCTATTTTACATTTAGTGTCATACTCCGTAGTTTCACATACTGCTCTTGAGAATGACTGCTATACGCAGACCCCCTGGTCATTCCGACCACTCACAATCCTCTGCTCACCTGACAGTGCTGCTCTACACATGACATTCCGCCTGATAACGTACATCATCGAGAAGAAGCACTTATGTCATCGATCAAGCTCATCCACACTTCTTGAGTAAGAGCGTCCTTAAGTCACTATACCGAAATGATCCAGATGGACAAAGACACACAATCCTCACTCAGAGACTTCCACGATGTCCAACAAACATCCCTCCTCCACGGCAGGGGATCCACGAGCGATGTATGACAGAAAGCCTCTCTCGAAGAGACCGCGCGTGGGTCGTCTCACATCTCATGTGTCGGACTCAGATGCCAATGCGCCCTTACCGGGCAATCCTCACAAGAAGCAGAAGAAGATCTTGGAAACGGATCCTAACATGTCAAATCCTCGCCTGTTGGTGAATCGCGCATGCATTTATGAGCGCAATTTACCAGGGGACGCCTATATCACTGCTCATGTTGCTCGTCTTCAACATGGCTATTACGCCAGTAAGGCTGTATCCGACAACGATGCAGAGTACGTTGATTTCCTAGCAATCAGCTTCGTCTTTCACACCTCGCGGACTCTTCAACATCGGTTCAAGTCTGCCACCATCAAGGCCTCAATACGAAGTGCCCGCGGGAAGGGGCACCTTCGTCGCAATCGACATGGCTCTCCGCCCGTCAATCCGCACTTCCTCATGCATGCACCACATCTGATCTACGGCCATGTATCACCCGAAACCATGGAGTGGACATTCAGTCTGGCCGGTGCACTGGGAGTATCGGAGACGCCGGTCAGTGCTTGTATCATGCCGTCGCACAAGACGACGGGAAGATACCGACGATATGAGATGATGCGCGTCCAGGGCTCTGCTCGCACTTTGAAAAGCACGCGGGGTGCACAGTTTGATGTTGAAGCGGGGGAGATTGTCTGGTCTCTCGAAGAGAATAGTCTTCAACGTACTGGGCTTCCACGAGAGTTCACTTTCGTGATGCTTGTCCAAAAGCCATCGGCTACGAGTGCGCTCTCCTTGGACCTAGAGATTGAACCCGTGGTCCAAGCCATGGTGGGAAAGTACCCCAGCTGGCTTCTTGGACTAAGTCCTTACCAGCCACTACCACGCCGAGGTGTTGATTTCAATCAAGAGATCGGTCAGCGCTTTGAGCCCGTGGACGCAAGTCGGGGTTTCAACTTCGCGGCGTTGGAGAGTTCATTCGATGACTACATCGCCATGCCGGGCCGCAAATATACACGACAGGTAAGATGTTTCACCTCATCAATGAGCACTGAGCAGGAAAGAGTCGGACTAGTGAGCACGGCCAAAGGAAGAGATAAGACTGACATGGGCCTCGATAGATTGAGTACCCAGATGAAACATCCCCAGCACCAAACCAAGACAACGATCAAAGTGACAACCACGATCGTGACCACGACCACGACCACGACCACGACCACGACCACAATCACAACCACACATGTACCCACTGTACCCTCGGCCCGCTGCAACAGCTCCATTTCAACGCCATGGTCCTTCAGAACCACATGCTTCAGTCCCACGTGAACCAACTCTACGCCGCACAGCCGCAGCTTCTTACGTCCACGCAAATGCCTCGCTTATTCGATTTGCACCATGACCCGCACAATGCCACCATTTCAATTGTGGCCAGTGAGGCCATATCGCCGAGTTCCAGACGCGAGAACAGTGACGCTCTTCGCAGCTCGTACACAGGAGCTTCTCACCACGATGACCGTGAATCGCGCTTTCAGAGCTATGAAAATATTCGAGCCTCCATGTTGCAGGCTGTTCACCCGGAAGACCGGTGGACTGAGCTTGACCCCTCATTGAGCGCGAAGGGTAGAGCACGCGAGGCGCCGGAAATGGATGGAGGGAAAGATGGGTGATAGCGTTCGAATAGTGGGCATGTGGTGTTGTCGCGGGCAGGGTTGATCATTTAGCTTTGGATGGGTTTCTTCTGTACCTATTACGTGTTAGCGCCGGATACTTATGAACGTCTATACCGGAATTTCATTCGAGGGAAGTTGAATAGTTCACCACGCTGTATGACTGAAATACTATTCCTTTGATGTTAGCAGATTTTACCTGGTGGCTCGCCATATGATTTGGAAGGGCACATCGATAGTTTCAGCGGAAGAGTGGATGCATGAACGATCGAGGATGCCCGATTGGCACCAATCAATAGTCGAACAAGCTTTCAGACAAACGAAAAGTAGAAGAATGAAGTGAACATGTCAAAGTAGATCAACGCGCTATGATACAAAACCGCTTCTCTATGATACATTGTTTATACATAAGGTATTTTTTTCTGAAAGACCATCATCAGTCCGAACCAGATCTCGGGCCAGGTCTTTTTCATGATGTTTCAATGTCCAGCCCACTAGCCCGAGCTTTGCGGGTCGCTTCGGCAAAGAGCTCCTTGCAAGGAACACGACTGCCCAGCCGGGCGCACAGCAGGAACGCACCGCTCAACTTGCGATGCAGTGAATAGGTTTCCTCCGGAGGCGGGGCCAACCGCTCACGGATCATGAGCGGAATCTGAGCGCGAACACGATCTGTGATAGTTTGATTGCGGAAATCATACACATCGGGCGAAGAGAGCATAAAGGGCTCGGCGATGGTGACGATGGACGAGACGTGAGCGTCAACCATCGCTTGCGACTCCATGCCAGTCAGGTATCCCAGTTCTACCGAGAGATCTCGACAGGCTTGACGGTCGTTGCGAGATGCGGCGACTAGCGTCCGCACGTACTTGTCGATAAATTCCTTGGGATACTCACGCGAGGCACCAAAGTCAAGCAGCTCCAATCGGTTGGTGCGCGCATTATAGAGGAAGTTGGTCCAGTTGGGATCCGTCTGCATGTATCGGAATTCTGTGATTTCGCGGAGACACAGACGCATGATTTGAGTGCCGATCCAGTCACGTTGCTCTTGACTGAAGTCTTGGATTTTGGTAACTGCAACACCTTCCAGCATTTCCATAGTGAGGACTTGCTTGCCCGAGGCCTCTGGAATCACCTCGGGAACGAGGAAGACAGGATCGTCTTCGAGGAGCTTGCGGAAGCGTGCTCCACAGTCTGCCTCGCGAATATAATCGCACTCCCAGGCTAGCTCAACGCGCGCATTAGCGATGGTCTTGTCGAGGTACAAGCCCCTTGGGAGCATGCGAGACGCAGTGAGAAGAATGGAGAGATTGTTAAGATCGGAGTCAATAGAATCTGCAACGCCTGGGTATTGAATTTTGACGGCGACTGGTTTGCCAGTACTTTTGAGCACAGCGGAGTGAACTTGGCCGATCGACGCAGCGGCCATAGGGACTTCGTCAAATGACGTGAACAAATCCCGCCAATCTGGTCCGAGATTGTCGGCCAAGACTTGATTGCGTTGTGAAGCTGGCATATAATCGGCACGATCCTGGACCCGCTGGAGGACAAGCTGAATGGGCTCAGGAAGCATGTTCGAATCCTGAATGCTGAGCATTTGCCCTAATTTCAAAGCAGCACCACGCATCTTGGACAGCTTCGCCACAAGCCTCTCCATGTTCGCCGCGCTGAACATGATGGACCCAGAGTCTTGACCACCGGCTGCTCGCCGCACGGTCTCGGTGACAGCGCCGAAAGCCATCGAGGTTGCGAGACCGCCGTACTGCCATAACCTCCCCAGTCTCGATGATGGCACCCTCGATTCCACCATTTGGTATGGGAGCGGTTTTGCCGATGCGTTCGTCTCAGCTACGGGAGGGACAGCGTCTTTGGCGACCTCGGCCGCCAGCTCCTCCATTTCCTTCTCATCTGTCTTTGTCGCTGTTGTCGAGGAAGGCTCGGGGGTTTCGATGGCCTGAGCCAGCTCCTCTCGCACAAATCGATCCCTGTCAATGGGTGGCCACTGCGCTTGTGCCCGTGGCGGCGGTCCCGGCTTCCCTGACAGCATTCTCGAGACTCTTGGACTGTGAAAGAGGTTCTGCATGACCTCTTCCGGCAATTCCGACGTTTCCGCACCCATGTTTGACTTCTCAGACTTCCTGGCCGAGTAGAAGACGTCGGCATTCAACCCGTCATTTCCCGTGCTCTGTGCATCTTCAGCCGCCTTGGGCAACTTCATTCGAGGCAATGCGGACAGATTGGGTGCGGTCTGGTGAGAGGGCTCGTAGAAGACCTCTTGCTGAGGGCTGACGTTAAGGCCGTCCAATGTTTCGTCGCCTTTGTACTGCGCCGTGTGAGAGGGGACTTGGAATTCTGCCTGGCGCTGAAGTCTGCGAGCCTCATCGGCAGTCAGCGGTTTTGGTGTCGCGGAAGTCTCGACGACGGTGTGATCTCCTTTGGACATGTCCACGGTCCTTGTCTGAGGCGTTTGGGACGGTGCACTGGGCGTCGGCGGAGGTGCTGGCGATCTTTCATCATCACTGAAGCGACGAGCTAGAGTGGCGGCCGCCTGGGCCGTCAGGATCAAGCCCTCGGCTTGTTCCTTGAGGCCTTTGGTTAATGACGAGGTGCGGGTGTAGACATCGAGCTGCCGCTGCCGGATGGCCAAGTGTTTGACGGCGATGGATTTGGAGACATTGAGAAAGTGGATAGCATCCAGCACCCTCCGACCCGACATGATCTGTCAATCTCCCAGTCACCAGTGACTTGTTGTCACCAGCTCGAATGACAAGGGTGGGTTGGCGTGGGAAGATCAACACGAGCGGAGCCGGTCCAACTTCCTGTGGTCATTATTGTGGGCAAAACCGGGCGGTGTCGAAGCGTCGAGACTGTCGTCAGTGGGAACTGGGAACCTGAATCGCAGTAGAGTTCCGCTGCGGGTCAACCCGCCTGAGAATCATTCTCACTAAGCCTCAGGTATATTTAGGTAGTAGCACAAGATTTTTTCTTGAATATCAAACCACGGAATAGCTGTTCATGGTGGAATCCTGGGACGCCCGGAAATCAAGAACAGGAAGAGGGATCTGGATAGCCATGGGGTCATGTAGTGAACATCTGACATTGTGCCAGGTAACTAGCTATAATGGCAATCAAACTCAATAGTATATTACCAGAGACGGCTCACCAGTCTATACGAATCGACACTAATTTCCGTCAGCCGAGTCTGGTGTGGTGCAGAAAATGGAATACAATAATAATGGATGTCATGGATGACTCCATGCAATTATTCAGCCACGGGGATGTGTCAAGCCTCCGATCCACATGAATAATGAGAACTCCCCGTTCCGATCGCTCCGCACGCGACCTGCACAGCGAAACGAGCGGCACTGACTCGCATCATCGCACTGATAGAGAATCCGCCGGGCGCATGCGGCCGTCTCCGGACGACGCTCCACCCGGTGGACCACAGGCCAATGACCGGGTGGTGTTATACTAGCGACATTGAACAGGCGCTCCAGTCGGAGGCCAGCATGGAAGGAGTTTAATGTGATTCGGGCGCTGATTCCCTTGACTGTAATCGTCTTATCAGCCGGTGGGCCTTCGGCCGCCATTGAGAGGCCTCGCACGGAGTGCGAGTTCGCCTGGGCATCGACTTTAAAAAACACCCGTTTACCCGTCGTGGGACAGGAAACGACGGGTTCCCCAGATTCGGAGATATCTTCCCCAGATTTGTTTCGTGACAGTTCCACTAGAATCTCCCTCGCTCACTTCCTCAACAACCTGAACAACATCTGGAAGGCCACTCGAGAGCATTTGGTCACTATGTTGCAGGACATCGCCCAGTCCCACCACCTGCAAGACGAGATTGACCAGCTTGAGGCCCGTCTCCTCGACATGCGTACACAACTCGCCACATCGAAGTTCACCAGCACGTGCCCGACATCTCGCTCGTCCTGGATCAATCAAGATGCCCCTTGGAAAGCATCCACAGGTAAGATTGGGAGACGTTCTTGTGCGACAGTTCCCAGCAGCCGTCAACACGAGCATTCAATCCATGCGCAAGGCTAACAATCGACTATTCGACCCCCGCTAGACCTGGATCAATCCCACCTGACACGCTCACAATTCCACTCGGACTCGGTCCGCACCTCATCACTACACGCGCTTCTCCTGCTCTCCGACTCTGCCCTCCCACTCGGCTCATTCGCATACTCCAGCGGGCTGGAGTCCTATCTGGCCCACAACAAATCCCTCCGCGCCAACCCTCTCACCTCCTTCCACCGCTTCCTCAAACTCTCCATCGCCTCCCTCGCCAGCACATCCCTCCCCTACGTGCTCGCCGGTTATCGCGAGCCCGCCACCCTGGAAACCCTCGACAATGACCTCGACGCCTCAACACCTTGCATCGTGGCCCAACGCGCCAGCGTCGCACAAGGCCGCGCCCTGATCGGAGTCTGGGAACGTGCATTCCGCAGGAGCTTCGTCGGGCCGGGCCCGGGTCCTGCCGCAACGGACACCGGCGCCGGAGTAGCCACCGCCGCCATCGAGGACTTTTCCGAATCCCTCAAGCTCTTCTGCGAAGATCAGGACGAGTATGACCCCGGGCCACAGGGCCATTTCGCGCCCCTGTGGGGGGTCATGTGTCGGGCCATGGGACTCGATCTGCACCAGGCGGCGTATATCTTTGTGCTCAATCATGCCAAAGCGGTTCTGAGCGCGGCAGTGCGGGCCTCGGTCATGGGTCCGTACCAAGCGCAGAATATCCTGGCCAGTCAGACGTTGCAGGAGACGATCATCGAACGAATCGAGCGCGAGTGGAATACGCCGGTGGAAGAGGCGGGCCAGGTGGTGCCGGCGCTGGATCTATGGGTGGGGCGGCATGAGTTGCTGTATAGTCGTATCTTCAACTCCTAGGTGTATTTTCTTTTTCCCAAGTTGACCATAGAAGGAAGTGGGTGAGGTCCTAGGTGCCATCATTAGCCAGGCGTTGGATGATTCTTTTACCCATTCATTGCGTTTCGATGCAGGTACATCGTCAGTTCAGCGAGAGAATACGGATATTCTTGATTAAATATACATCAATGTACACATCATCAGCAATTCGAATACAGACCATCCCTCAAACTACCCGAGATAGGACGGCCTTGGCTCAGGACTCACAAGAACATCAACACCTATCAGCCTTTTGAGAGAACCCCCGACCCGGGTTTAACCATACGTGAACCCATCTTGGAGGGACCCAAGGCTGACGCTCCGCCCCTGTCCACGCCATCGCACGGGGTCGGGCGAGAGAATGACGCGAGCGATGCTCAACTTGATCGGTGGACCGCAGCTGCAGCGCGCTGGGAAAAAAAAATGATTTCTCGGTGATTGAGGCCTTGGAGAGTCTTTTCAAGTAGATAGCGCAGTGTTCAAGGGCGCATATCGCACGAAGAACGTTTGCACGGAGAGACGCGAAGAGACGAGTCGAGGCAAACTGAACGACGTAAGCTGAGGCCCAGGGTTGCGGAAAGTTGAGGTAAGCCGTGTCGACTTCCGTTGAGTCAAGTCAAGGTAGGGCAGGTAGAGGAGTTAGAACTGGTGGGAGGAGAGGTGGGATTCAACGTACGAGTGGAATGGAACACCTTGCCATGCACAGAAGGAATCATACAAAAGTGGTCTTTCATTTCGGGCTTGTAGATTCAGAAAATCTGATAAGGTTTCATCGAACAGTATTCCTACATGACGGGCAGGTCTAGACTCGCAGAATTGAGGGACGAGATGGGAGCACAGGGCGATGGTGCCTTCCTGGAGAAGCACGTCTCGGGGAAAAGGAGAAAAGAACGAGCGCAAGGCCCTTCGCTGAATGTGCTGCCATCACAACCTGGACCCAAACAAAGAATGGTAAACATGAGAGACATCCACAGGGTGCCTCTGCCACGTTAAAAAGACATGAACAAGAATTCCGAGGTACTCAACAACAGCGAGTACGGGAATCAAGAGGTCAACAAACGCCACCTCCAACCTGATCCAATGACGAAACAATTGGAGCGAATAGAAAAAACAAAACAAAAAGCAACGAATCCCAAGACCAATCACCGAACACCGCACCATGGACCGGCTGAATGACCATCCCAAGAAAGGTAGAGGAGAAGAGGAAAAAAGTGCCCGTCGACACAAGTCGAACGAAGAGGAAAGGAGGAACAAGAAAGGTGGTATAATACACAAGAAGGAGAAGAACCAAATGATGAGTTGCAACAGATCACAGGGTAATGTGCATGTGGTCGTTGCTTCCGAAGGATCTATTACAATTAGGGCACTTTCGAGACCGAGAAGTGAGTCGCTCCTCGACGCAGTCTTTGCAAAACACGTGGCCGCAGGTCTTGATGACGGTGTTTTTGAAATTGCGACGACAGACGGTGCAGAGCGCAAGAGTCTGATTTCAGGGTTAGAGAACGGTAAATAAGCGTGAAGGGAGCCCAGATACGAGATAATGTGGACTTACCCGTAGCATCTCATATTCAGAGGAATTGTTCCCAAGACTCTTGTTTTTCCAGTTATCCAAGCTCTTCTTCGTATCCGTGAGGGTCTGCTTCAGGCCGACGAGTTCCGTCTCTGCTTGCCGCAACGCGGCCGATGTGCTGCTCAAAGTTGCATCCTTCGACGTAGAAAGATTCTTTAATTCCGCTACCTGCTTTTTCAAGCCTTCCACGGCGATATTGCTCTCCGTGAGTTGCTGCTGGCTGTTCCGCTGCTTGTCAGAGGCCGACTTCAGAGCCTCCTTCATCTCGTTCACTTGCTTATCCATATTCAATAGCAGAGACCGGGTAGCAGCTTCGGATTCCTTCAATTGAGACACAATATCGGATGTCTTGGAGTTCTGCATACGAAGGGTGCGAACCTCGGCGTCCCGAGCTTCTTTGCTCTTCATAGCGGCAAAATACTTCTGGTCGGCCTTTGACTTTTCGGCGGTCAAACGTGCGACCTTGTCTTCCCAAGCTTTGAAATCAGTCACCTTCTGCGAGGCGAGCGTCGAGAATTTCTTGTAAGCCGTTTGCATGGATGTCAACTCCGTGTTGAGCATTGAATACTGACGGTCGAGACTGGCATATTTGGCGCGAAGCTCTTCAGTAGAAAGCTTATCAATCTCTTCGGTCGTTGTTGATCCTACTTCTTGGACTCGCAACCTCTCAACTTCGGACTCCAGGGCTGCGATACGCGCCTCCCTCGCATCTGCCAGTTCCTGCAGCTTTGCACCGGTCAATTTTTCCTGATCTTGGCTTGTCTTCCGTATTTGCTGATCTGCGAAAAGCTCATCCCGAGTGTTGCGTATCCGCGCCAGGTCTGATTCAGCTCTCATTAGTGCTGCTTCCTTCTCCGCAATTGCAGCATTGGATTCCTCCTCTAATTGAAGTTTGTAGGCATTTCTTTCTGAGCTGTATTTTTCAACCTCCACACGTAGTTGTGCGTTCGATGCTTCAAAGTGATTCAAGCGCTTCACCACATCGTCGTGTTGGGATCGAAGTTGTTTGAAAAGATCAGTGTGAGCGTAATCATCATCGGTAAGTTTGGAAGACTAAGAAGAATGGGAAGTTAGATTCAACCTTGCAAGCCTAGAGCCTGGACACATACCTTCACTTGCACATCGGTAATCTGGGCGAGGAGTGTGGCGTTTTCAGCTTCCAACTTCGAGAGCTGCTCTTTTTGCTTCTCCGATACCACTTTTAATTTATTGTAGGATTCTTCCAGTTCCGTACTTCGCTCAGCGGTAGATGCCCCGCCATTTGTGGGAGAAGACTCGTCGCGTCTGGTCCCGACATTTTCAGAACCGGAGCGCTGTCCCCCTAGCAAATATTGTTTTTCCAACTTGGCAACTGTCAAACTGCGTGCCCGATCGAGCTTCTTTTCAGCGACCATGTAACGAAGTGAAGCTGCCTCTAAGCTTTCTTCTAGTTGCTGCTTCTCGGCAATGGTCTGTTCCAGTTTGGCAATCGTGACTTTTTCTTCCGCAAGTTTCTTCGCTAATTCTCCCTGAAGACTCGTAACATCTGGTGACAGCCTGTCCACACTGGACTGAAAGTAAGTGATGATTTCGCGGATTTCCTCAGAACGCGTTTTCAAATGAGCCTCAAATTCATCGATGTCGGCGAATTGGAGAGAGCTTTTGAAGGTTGATTCTTCTGAACATTAGCATATTCCACTTGGCTGGGAGATATCGAAAGGAACTCACGCCTCGAGCGTTCGTGCGAGGGGCCAAGCAACGTTTTGACTTCGTCGACGAGCTTGAAGGAAATCAGCGACATGCGACAGACAAAGTCTCTCGATATAGGCGGGTGTGAACTTACCTGATGAAACCACGCATCAATAGCACGAAGATGATCGTCATGATAGGCGGCAGCTTTGGTCATTCGGTTCAATTGTGACTCAAGACTGGCTTTTTCGCGCTTGTATTCTTGCATCTGGCGGAGGATGGCATCTTTTTGAAAGCGCTGTTGCGATTCGTCTTTAGCAACCGATCCAACAGAGAAGTAGTACCTCACGGTACCCCGCAAGACCCATGTGAAAAAATATCAAGAGTTTTCAAAACCCACCTCCAAGTCATCGCGCCATGGCATATCTGCATCTGGGTGGGGTTTGCTACCACCGTTGACAGTGGTAGCTTGCTTCTTCGACGGCGGGGCCGACTCATTGTTCTCCGCCGCCGGCCTCTTCCGGTCCTCCATCTTGACAACTGCGGACTCTGAGGAGACAACTGGAGAATCAACGGCCGTCATCGGTGGCTAGACCGGCATCGATGAGGGGATCCCGATCACCGCCAGTCCGTCTTATCAGTCAACCACAGACCAGAGATCGCGATCGAGTGCCAATCCGGCGAAACAGGCACCGAGACACAGACGCAGTCTGGCTTTCACAGGGAGCACGACGAATGGAAGTGCCGACAATTGCTGTGGTGTGGAGCTGCGATGGATAGGATTGAAGGAGTTGAAGACAGGAGGATTTTCAACGAGGTTTAGCCTGCGGCTAGCGCCTCGCACGTGACAAAATATCCACTTCCCCGGTTGCGCGACACTTTTTCATGGTCTCGACCTTGCAACCCCTCAGACTTGCAAAGGGACCTGCAACTATGAAGTCATTTTCGAGTTCAGTAGTCAGTGAGTAACTTCACAGCATACTCCAGCGAGCCCACAATTTACCACTTACTAATATGTTTGACTCATAGATAAGTCGGGCAAGAAGTTCGCACCGAAGGCGCCGCCCCGCCGCGGCGCGCCAGTTCCTGCTGCGCCCGCGCGAAGGACCAGTTCAGCGCAGCAAACCCCGGCGCAACAGACTCCCAAGCAACAGACTCCAATTCAAACCGCAAATGCGCAGTTGGAGAAGGAGACTACTGCATCTGTTCCTCCATCTGCTTCTCCCAGAGAGCAGCAAACTCCTGCGATTGCTCCACCAAGTGAAGCTGTTGTCTCAGAGTCTGCCACACCGGCGGTGGCATCGCAGTCGGCTACACCAACTTCCATACCTCGTCCCCTCCGCAAACCGTCTCTTACAAAGTCCACCAAGATCGCTCCGCCTGCCTCCAAGAACTCCTCCCTCGCTACAGACGCCCCTGACGTTCCCACCTCACCACGAACTTTACCCGCCAGGACATCAGATGTTCTGCCCTCAATTGAAAACGAAGCCCCGGCTGTGAATGCAACCGAGAGAATACCCTTGAATGAAACAACGCTTGCGGATGCAATTATTTCCTCAAGTCAAGCATCTCCTGCTCCACGAGATGTACGCAATTCCGATGAAGCGATCTCTCCTCGCCAGTCAATATCAGGACCGCAGGCTTCACAGTCATCACCTGTTGCTGGAAAGTCCCTGAAATGGGCTAGGAAGACATCTGACTTCACGAATCGAGGCAGAGGCCCGCTGAATGCAGTGCTTCCTCCAGAACCCGCTACTACACCCAATGACGCAGTGGGGGGCACCCTGATATCCAGATCTTCGGTATCCAATGGAGCGGGAAGGAAACGAAAGGCCTCCAATATCTCGGAAACACGCCGTGAGTCCGAAAAGCCCAAACGCCGTATCAATAAGCGTGAGCCAACCCCTGAGGGTGCGGAAATGGTGGAAATCCTTCCCAATGTGGTCAAAATGTCCGAACTGTGTAAAGACCTCAAGACTGGCAAGAAATCTAAGCGAGAGACTGAGTTACGAAGGCTGGAGCTTGAGGAACTAGAACGCAAACGGAAGGCTCAAGAGGAAGGTTCAACAACAGCATCTGTACGAAACCCCGATGGGGCAAATACTGGCAAGACGGATCGTCTTGCAGAGCCTCAGCAGTCTGCTTCTGGCCCAATCATGCGCATTGTCAATGGTGAAATTGTCCTTGATAATGCGTCACTGGAAGTGGATCGGCACGCCGATGCCGCCCGAGCCGCCGGTGATCTGGAAGATGTTGTCGAAAACCAACTTACTCGCAAAGTCAACCAAGCGACGTATGGCAAGCGTACTAAGAATGAATCTTGGAACGAGGAGATGACAGATCTGTTCTACCGTGGATTGCGGATGTTTGGCACAGACTTCATGGTCATCAGCAAATTGTTCCCCGGGAGATCTCGTCGCCAGATTAAGCTCAAATTCAACAATGAAGAGCGCAAGGATCCCCAACGAATCAAGGATACTTTACTCGGACCACGCGAGACCATAGATATCGCGACATACTCGGATCTGACGAATCAGACCTACGATGACCCGAAGGTCATCCAGCAAGAGCTGCAGGAAGAGAAGAAACGTATTGAAGAACAAAATGAGAAAGAAAAACGAATGCAGGAAGAACTCCTGCGCAACCCGACTGGTGCAGACGGAGACGGCAACGCCGATCCTACAAGCGACAAGGGCAATGCTGCGAACATCAAGTCCAAACGCAAAAGGAATGTGAAAAGCGCAGTTGGCGGTGGTACTGAAGAAGTTCTCGGGTCCATTGATGATATCCCAACGGCTTGATTTCCTTTTCTGTTTTCTTTTTACCTGGTAACACGTATTGATATCGATTCTTATCACTGGAAGCGGGCGCGGGCGGATAGCATTCGAGGACATTCCATAGCGCATTTGAAGGCGTTCTGATAGCTCATTGATATACAAAACTCACGGTCTGGACAGTGGCGATTCAAGCCCCTCGCTAGAATGACATAAATATTGATATGCCACTTGATCGGTTTTGTCACCGCTTCTTTTGCATAGTCGAAGGTGAAGGGTCGAATCTCCCCGGCCTCAAGTAGGTATGGTAAGACCGGGTGGCGAGCTGAATTGATCATCTGCGTCGCGTCGATCCGAAGCCGGTACTCGTCGATGTGGACGAGAATGAAGGTGACGAATGTGAGGACGAACCGCCCTCCCCGGCGTCGTAGTCACGCTGTCCACCGAAAAAGGACCTTTCTTGCTGCGAGAATCCATGATTGTTAGTGTTGTTATTGGCACCGCGACGTCCCAGTCCGTATCCCGCTGCTGCACCACTCAGAGTTCCCGTCCAAAAGCCCGGTCGCCAGCCTTGTGAGGATGTCTGACTCCCCAATCCAAAGCTGGAGTTATCGTCAGAGCATGTACTGCTGTAGGGAGGAGGAGGCCCAGGATAGCCTCCATCACCCGGGCCATCACCCCCATTCCCACCACCGCCGCCGCCGCCCCATCCACCACGTCCTCTCGCGGCCCTTCCTCTTCGGACGCCCCGTTGACCGAGGCATTCTGAAAGGAAACGCGAAGCGATGAATAGGAAGACAGCGGCAAAGAAGCCGAAGAAGACAAAGTCCGCTACACGCTCCGCGAAACGTTTTCCACCTTTTCCAGAGGCCTTCTTGCCCCGGCCAAGCAAGGACGACCAATCGTACTCGTCGCTCGATTTTCCAAATCGCTGCTCGCCCTTCTCCGTGAGGAGCATACGGTACTCGACTCCGCAGCTTCCTTTCAGAATCCACTTATCCTGGGAGTTTCGATATCCCTCACATATGACGTCAGTTGCGCCTAGCTTGAACTCGGGCGGCAGTGAAGCGGTACAAGACCATTGCACGTCTTCCGCATCGTAGTCGTAGCCGTCATTTGTACAGCGCATGACCTCGATCTGGTACATGTTACAAATCTTCTTGGACGGCCCAACGCAAGTGAGCTGCGGAATTGGAGAGACACGCCGAGATGTGGTTTGGCGATTGGCTCGGAGCGTCAATGTTTGGACGTTGGAGAGCAGGATGGCATCTTTGCCTGGTGCTTGATGCGATCTGTCGCACGCCGCTGGAGATACAAGTAAGAATGATAGAAGCGTCGATATCGAGTAACGCATTTCTTAGAGACGTAATTGCGGGCGAAGCGCAGAGAGACTGAACCGGGCCCTATGTTCTGGAGCTTGCAAATGCGGGGCGAAAACCGGGATATACGATCACGTCGAGGTCGTAATGTCAAAGTGGTACCTAGAAGAAGAGATTCTCGGGCTTGAAAATAGGCTTGTACATGCCAACTAGGTAACTGTGCTGAAATGCTTGACTGTGTCGTACTTTTATACTCAAAGTAGGCTAGCGCACCAAGTAACGTGGCCTAATAAAAAGGCCAAGCCTAGATCATCGATGAGAGAAAGAAACAAGGGACAAGCATCTTATCGATAAGGGATAAAGTTGGCCGTCAGAGATCCGCCGAGGCTAAACTTTCCTTCAACCTGACATCACTGGCCGGCACGACTTCAAGTCACAAACGGCGGCTCGCAGACTGCCATTGACGATGGCGCTGCCACAAGGTAGGGGTGCCCAAAATTGCTGAAAGCATCCGGATTGATTGCTAACAGATGCCATCAGGTGATCCCGTCAATGTGACCCCTCAATCCTCGTATGCTGATTCAAAACTGTCCTTTGTGGCATTAGATAGCTGACTTGATAATACCAATTCATCTCTGCCAGCTTGTCTTTCACGCAGGGCTTTCTGCTCGGCCAGCTCTCTGTTGTACTTCTGATCGGCGCTTTCATCAAGTTCTTCATCTTTGGCGAACCCCCACCACCTCCATCGCGAGGTTTGTCTAATCGCACACCTCACCGACGCTATAGCTCCGCTTCCAGTCCCTTGCAGGACAGTCAGAAATCGCTCCGAGAAAAGCCGTCTACATCCAATGTTCTACGGCCTGTTCCAGCTTCGTCAACCAACACACGCTCAATTCTCCGCAAAACATACTACAGTGCCATTCCTGCAAATCCGTCTTCCAAACATGGCCGCCATCGCATGCACCATTCCTCGCATCAACCCGAATCGCTGGACTGGTTCAATGTTTTAATTGCTCAAACAATCGCGCAGTATCGCCAAACTGCATACTTGCTCAAAGACTCGCCAACTTCATCAATCTTAAGCTCCCTTACTGCGGCTATGAACAACCCCGAGAAGAAACCATCCTTCATTGAGAAGATCAATGTCACCGATATTTCACTCGGCGAAGAGTTCCCAATCTTTAGCAATTGCCGAATCATAACAGTCGATGACCCCAATTCCGATGGAGGCAGGCTGCAGGCGTTGTTGGACGTCGATTTGAGCGATGACAATCTATCGATAGCCGTAGAAACCCAGTTGGTGCTGAACTACCCCAAACCACGTTCGGCCATTCTGCCAGTGGCTCTATCGGTGTCCGTTGTGCGATTCTCTGGGACACTCTGCATCTCACTTATTCCAGCAGCCACTGATCCACTTCAAACCCCGTCGACCGCGCCAGCCGCGGCGCCAGACGCCACAGATCAACCGGATAGTACTAGACAAACCTCAGATGCTGGCGCGACCCACGGCCAGGCGCAGCCAAAGAACAGTCCGAAGAGCAACGTTGCATTCTCCTTCCTGCCCGATTACCGACTTGATCTCTCCGTGCGCTCACTGATCGGGTCTCGCAGCAGACTGCAAGATGTGCCGAAGGTAGCTCAGCTTGTGGAAGCGCGTGTACATGCCTGGTTTGAGGAGCGTGTGGTCGAGCCTCGGGTGCAGGTCATTGGACTCCCGGATCTTTGGCCACGGATGGGTCGTACCGGGGTGCGGACAGGCGAGGACTCCGACGCAGGCTCGGCGGCAGCACCCCGAAGTCCCGGCTCGACGGATACTGGATCAGCTCCTCGCTTTTCGGATGATCGCTCGCGAGGCTCGGATGGATTACGATTCCGTGGAGGCCTAGATGCGCGACTAGGGCTGGGGGCAGGCTCGCGAGGCAACAGTTTCAATCTAGATTTGAGCAGCTTGCGAAGTCCTAGTATGACTCGGCAAGACAGCGCTGGTGCTACGCCCGATCCGCTTGAGGTGCCTGGCGCTCTGCCAGAGGTATGATCTGCATTCCGCAACGAATTTATGGCGCCAAGTCTTTCATACAATTCTCAATGGCATGTGTGTCTATTTTTGGGGCCTATTGAGCCGTTGACACGTAGAGGTAAAGATCTACCAGGTGTCTCAAAGTGATAAGAGAAGAAAACAGAGAGATTCCGGAATCCTGACATGGAAGATGTATCATTGAATATCGTCATTGCGTGATCGTCGCATTCTTCATGAGGTACCAACAAGACGAGGATACTAGTTCGCAGCCGCTGTGGGCTTCAAAACTTTCTCAACATATGACTTTCGGTGCGGGTTCACGTCGACCTCATCGCTGCGGTTGAGAGGGGTCCATTTAGGCTCGTCTTGGAACAGACGCATCGCCTTCACATACTGTCACAGTCACAATTGTTGCAAAAATTAGCTATCTGGTCTGTGGGAGATGCGAACAACTCCCCGATTCACTTTGTGCACGATCACATACGTTTTGCGCATCCGTTGTGAAGCGATGATAGATGCCCGCTGGCAGGATGATCATGTCTTCCTTGACCAGGTCAATGCGGATCCATTCGTCGCCCTGTCCACGAACATCAAAGTAACCTTCACCATCGAGAATATAACGAATCTCCTCGTCCTCATGCAGGTGCTCTGCAAAGAACATCTTCACCTTCTCTTCATAGATATCACCCATGGCCTGCGGTGAGACACAGACCTGATCACGGTTCTTGTAGCCACGCTCCTTTGCAATAGCATCGACCGCCTCGATTGTTGGGCAGTGGTGATAGGTCACACCGAGCGATGCGAGCTTCTCTTCTGAGACGGGCCGACCAGAGTCGTGTGGCTCACGCTGGTCACCCTGTATGTTTACAAGACTTATAGTGAGCAATAATTCATAGACCGTTGCGTCATAGATTGAGATATCAACGTCGCATGATTCAGGATTGGGGGTTCTACTGACAGGCTTATTGTCGTACCAGTATGCTCTCATATTGAATGGATGCAGCGAAAATTCCTCGGCAATTATTCAAAATCTGAAGAATCAGAAAGCTTATTGCATGGAAAGAGTACACAGCTGAGGAACGCGGGACATCATCAGCCCCGCAATTGGCTGCAGCGATTGCGCAACCGGATTATGTCATCTCTTATCAATCACGTGGATTGGTGATATCTTTGTCTTATCGGTCGGAGTAAGTCCGCAGAATAGTCGTTTTGACAGCCCGTCGTCAAACGTCCATATTCAGATCGTATCTGTCATGCTGCTAAGGGCGCGCTTGGCATCTACAGCGCGTCAGCGCCTGTGGATTTCGTCACTGACATTCAGGAGTCGGGGACTTGCAACTGTGTCCAACAATACCCAGTTCGTACTTTTCTCCTCGTTCAATTGTCTTTGGAAACGCCTAGAACTAACACTTTGGGCTGGAAATTAGAGCCTACGATGTTGTGGTCATTGGAGGCGGCCATGCTGGATCCGAGGCATGCGCTGCCGCTGCGCGAGCTGGTGCTCGCACTGCGTTGGTCACTCCCTCATTATCGAATATCGGCGTTTGCTCCTGCAATCCCAGCTTTGGAGGTATCGGCAAGGGCACGATGATTCGTGAGATCGACGCAATGGATGGTGTCGCTGGACGCATCATCGACAAAGCAGGCGTCATGTTCCGGGTGTTGAACCGGTCGAAAGGCCCGGCTGTCTGGGGGCCCCGCGCGCAAATCGACCGCGACCTATATCGAAAGTATATGACAGAGGAGTTGGTCAACACGGAAGGTCTGAGTATTGTCGAGGGCAAAGTGGCCGACATTGTCGTTTCGAAAGAAGGATGTGAGGATGTGGCCGGGCCCCAGGGAAAGATTGTGGGAGTGCGTCTCGAGTCCGGAGAGGTGATCCCTACGGGTCGTATTGTCATCACCACGGGGACATTCTTGGGAGGTGAAATTCACATTGGGCTGGAAGCCTATCCCTCTGGACGAATGGGTGAAGCGCCAACTTATGGACTGAGCAAATCTCTCCGTGACGCTGGCTTCCAGCTCGGCCGACTCAAGACCGGGACTCCTCCGCGATTGGACATGAAGTCGATCGACTTTTCAGGCTTAGAAATTCAGCGCGGTGACTCCCCACCGATGCCTTTCTCTTACCTTAACTCGACTGTGGAAGTGGGTGATGAAGGCCAGCTCAACTGTTGGCTGACACATACAAACGAGGCATCCCACGAAATCATTCGAGCCAATCTCGAAAACTCAATTCACATCCGCGAGACAGTCCGCGGTCCACGATACTGCCCTTCCCTCGAGTCCAAAATCATTCGATTCAAAGACAAACAGCAGCACCAGATCTGGCTGGAACCCGAGGGTTTCGCCCCCAATGCGGTCATCTATCCTAACGGCATCTCAATGACAGTACCTGCAGACGCCCAATATGCCATGTTACGAACTGTGCGTGGTCTAGAGAACGTGACAATGCTCCAGCCAGGCTACGGAGTTGAATATGACTACATTGACCCTCGCAACCTACGACCGACGCTCGAAACCAAACTGATCGGCGGTCTCTACCTGGCCGGCCAAATTAACGGCACGACTGGATACGAAGAAGCCGCCGGACAAGGAATCATCGCGGGTATCAACGCAGGTCTTGCGTCGCAAGACCGAGGCTCGATGACACTCACGCGCTCGGACGGATTCATCGGCATCATGATCGACGATCTCATCACAAAGGGCGTTTCCGAGCCATACAGAATGTTCACTACCCGCAGCGAATACCGCATCTCCACGCGCTCCGACAACGCCGATCTGCGCTTGACCCGCATGGCTCGCGAAGCCGGTGTAGTCGGCGATCACCGATGGCGTCAATTCCGCGAGACCGAAGAACAGATCCAGGGGCTGCAAGCGCTCCTGGAAAACACACGACTTTCTTCAACGGCCTGGTCGCGCAAGGGCTTCAAAGTCCGCGCCGACACGTCCATCCGCTCAGCCCTCGACATTCTCTGCCTGGACGGATCCGACATTGACACGCTGATCCCTCACATCGAAGCCGGACACGGGAAAGCCTACAATGCGTCGTCGTTTGCGCCTGAAATCCGCACTCGCGTCGCGATCGAAGGCCGATACGCACCTTACCTCAAGCGCCAGGAAAAGATGGCCCATCGGTTCCAACAAGACGAGAACCTGCTCCTCCCTCCCGATCTAGACTACAGCAAGATCTTTGGAATCAGCAACGAGGAGAAACAAGCGCTTGAGCGCGTTCGTCCATCGAGTGTCGGTATGGCGCGACGTATTGAAGGTGTCACCCCGGCTGGTGCTCTCCGTCTACTGATGCATGTTCGTCGAGGTAGTGGATTTGTCAAGGCAATTGACCAGCACTCCACTTCTCTCCCATGAAGGTGATGGAGTCTGCTCCTTGAATTGTTCAAGCAACGAGGTGCGCACGAGTTGCGATGTTATCATGTATTCGGGAGTGGTCTTCTATTTTTCTTCTCTGTTGTTTTTGTTGTTCCCCCCCCCCCCCATTTGATATCGTAGCATAGCGGAGCACAGTCAGGGCGCTGGGTATGAATTCCCTTTGTATAGTACGCAAATTATTTACGGGACCCATTTTCATCTCATTTCAACACGAACACATCAATGGTGTTTGTGATGTTCTAATACAGTCAAGTCAAATTTGATGGAACATTCCAATAGCACAGACTTAAGCAGCGTGAATTGAAGATGGAGGCATCATGAGAAGTTATTGCAGAAAGTCAGACCCCCACCTGAACCTGGTGGAGTCCGTGGTGAAGCGGCATGCCCCTAGTATGGGGTGACTACAGAGAGCACGGTCTATAACTCTATCACTCTACATTCATCAGCAATGAAGATCCTTTGTATGAAATAATGTATGAGAAATCTAAAACACATATCTCTATAAATCAAGGAAAAAGCAAAAAGTTGCCGTGGTCCGACAATTACAATTCCATAGCAACTCCGAGCCGCGGAATTGGGAAAATATAAAAGCGATCCCATGGATGACGATGTTCGACTTCAAGAATTCAACGATGCCATCTGCGTCCTGCACTAGCCATGGCATGCTGGAACAGCTTGGAATGCAGGGAGGATGGAGGAAAGGGCAGTATCATCTGAGGAGTGGGTGGTGTATGGTGAGGAGACGGAAAAGTCGAGAAGATGAGGGTATGTGGGGAGGGCCCAGTCAACAATGTCACTCCGTGGGTGTTGGAGGGGGACAAAATCGAGGATGTTTTGTAAGCGTGGAGGGTGAGATGATAGATCGGCACAGACACAGACAAGAAAGACCAAAAAGCCCCAGGCTTTTCCGACGCAAAAGAAAGAGAAAAATAAAAAGGCAGACTATTGAGAACACGCTCAGAGGGGATATCGAACATTGATGCAGAGAAGGATGACACAAGAGAAAACAAAAGCGGACAGCGCAGCGCTGGTGAGAGGGTTCCGCGAAGTGGAAGTGAGAGAAGGAGGAGAAGGAGGATGAGATGCAGCAGTCAGTCAAGACCCGTCTGGACAAGATTTAATCGGTCTTTTCATTGACGGGCTTGAGCACGGCAGGAGTATCAGTGGGAGGAGGTCGCTGAGTGTGTGGAGGGTTCGTCTCAGCCACCTGTCTGGGAGCCGGTGCCATCTTGACCTCTTGAATACGCATGTCTCCTTCACTGCCGCCACGAGAGCTCTGGCTGGGCTCGCCGTTGGGTGGCTGGCCCTCCAGCATCATCTCAGAATGCTCACCAATGCCGTAACGCTCGGCAGCGGGGATTTCGTGGCCGTCCTCCAGCTGATCCTGCTTCTGGGGAGTCCAGGCAAGGTAGTCACGACGAACTTCCACATAGTCGTAGGCGAACTCGCCGAGCTGGTCGTCGTCCATACCGAGAAGTTCGGCCTCTTCCGAGGCACGCAGGTTCAATCCGGGGATGGCGTTAATGCCGTAGGCAATAATCGCAGACATGACGAAAGAGTAGGCAGCAGTGGCGACAATGTATGCGATCTGAATGTAAAGCTGCTTCCAGTTGTGGATGACCCAGCCACCAACGCCCATGCCCGTGTTGACACCATCCAATCCGACGATGGCATCGTCAGCGAAGAAGGCATTGAACAAAAGACCGATAATGCCGGCAATGCCGTGCTCAGCCAACACATCCATACTATCGTCGATTCGGATCCAGTACTTGATCTTGGTGGCGTAGTTGCACACAATACCCGTCACAATGCCGAGAACGACACTAGCCCAGGGAGAGATGAAACCGGAAGCAGGAGTGGCAGCGACCAGTCCAGAGATCGTGCCGGAACACCAGCCGACCATGGACCACTTGCGGGCCAGACGCCAGTCAAGCAACACCCAGGTGATGGCACCGAAGGCGGCAGTGAGGTTCGTGTTCCAAGAGGCCATTGTGGCACGCAGGTTAGCACCAAAGGCAGAGCCACCGTTGAAGCCGAGCCAGCCAAACCAGAGGAAGACGGTTCCCAGGAGAATCAAAGAAACGTTGTGTGGGCGGAAGTTGAGCATCATACGCTCTTGACGGCGGCCCAGGACCATGCTGTAGGCCAGCGCAGAGAAACCGGAGCCGATCTCGACGGGGCCACCACCGGCATAGTCGAGGACGCCGTATTTGAAGGCCCAGCCGTTGGCGTTCCAGGCCCAACAGGCAAGCGGGCAGTAGACAATTGTGGCCCAGATGAAGGTAAAGACCATGGCGGGGAAAAGACGACCACGCTCTGCGACAGCGCCCATGACAATAGCTGCTGTAACGGCACAGAATTGCATCTATACCAGGGGAGAAGAGAAAACTCGTGTCAGCCAACCTTGGATTCTTTTATTCTTCGGGGATCCCTTGAGCAAGAAGACATAATCCGCTCAGTCGGAATTTTTCACGAGAAACGACCTACCTGATAGAAAGCGTAAAGCAAAGCAGGAATCAATGCGGATCCCTGACTGGGATTGGCGAGCGTGTTCATCAACCCAAAGTTGCGCAAGTTGCCAATGAAGCCATTGGTTGCCGAGGTCGAGAAGGCGAGCGAGTAGCCCCAAAAGTACCATTGGAAGGTGATGACCGACATGGAAGCCATACAGGCCCAAATCATACTCAGAGCGGACTTTCGTCGCGCCAGGCCGGAATAGAGGAAGCCCAGTCCGGGGATCATGACCATGACCATGGCCGACGACACGATGATATAAGCCTGATCACCGGACTGAAACCATTTGTTGACATTTTCAACGCCTGCGGATGGGAACAAGTCAACAATCAGATCCGGTTCGGTTCACAATGACCCGGCAGCCTCCGTGACAGAGAGAGAGAGAGAGAGAGAGAATACACAGACGAGAGGAGGGTTATGTGGCCGGGAGAGTCAACGACAAACGATCTTCGAGGGAACAATACGTACGGGAATCACCACCCAGGTCAGCGTTGGTCGTAAGACCGTAGTTTGCCGGTGCACCAACCCAGTTGTAGGAGGCATAGTCTGGCGCGTAGGCGGCCTTTCCGTTGAACGTCATCTTGAACGCCGAGGGGAAAAGGGAGCTCCGATGAGCTCGTGTGACAAAAGATCAGGCGTGGACGAGGCTACCCGCAGCGAAGGGTAATCCGGGATGGTGTCACCGTCAAATCACGCAATTGTCGATTCTCACTTTGTCCTCTTGGCCGTGGATGTTGTATGATAGTGTTCAGTAGGGTTAGGGTTGCGTCAATTCCAGGAGGGCTGGAGATGGAGAATGTTGATGTCGGCGGAGAAGAAAAGTGTGGGGAGGTGAGCAGCAGGGCGATGGAGAAAAGAAGAAGTAGAAGAATGACCGATGCGGTCGAACGCTGGTCCCCGGTATGGACGAGGAATTGGCCTGTACAAGAAGAAGAATGAGGTCCCAGCGAAGATCGGAGCGGAGGGTGTGGAGAAGTGGGCGAGGAAGAGCGTGAGAGCAAACGAGTCGCCACGAGGAGATAAAGCCGTAATTAGTATTATCCCGGGATAATCATACATGGACGATAAAATTCGGGAGCAAGTCTGGCAAGGGCCCTCCCAGACCAGCCATCAACGTTAATTAAGGTGACCCGGAACTGCGTGGGAATATTGCCCACCGAAAATGGGGGGACCAGACCACTCCGAAGTAGGAAATCTCCATGTTTCTTGTTTCTTCTTTTTTTTTTTTTTTTTTTTTTTTTTGGGCGGTTTCCAATCCTCGGATTTTTCGTGTTCAGAGCTGGTTTTGCTTGGGCGAAATGATCTTGCTTTTTTCCTTCTTTCTTTTTTTCTGGTGTGCAGTTGCCTTGATCACTGATTGTGCACCTGTTGGACTACTGTACAAAGTGTCCAAAGTGGACATGTCTAATCTGGGTGGTCATTTCATCACTGCTCATCTCTCATTTCCAATTCGCCGCTTCTGCATCCCTATCAAATTCGCGCAGGGCGTGATCGTGACAGACTCGGGCCCAAGAAAAGGTCGTCGCCAAACGCGATTAATGGTATTACATCTGGAGTGTCTCGGGTTTCATGCTGGTACTTTGTCACGGTAGGTCCCATATGGGAATCGGTTGCGACTTGCGAGAGACGGTCACCCTCTTCGCCGGGTCCTTTACACATGCAGATCGATACACCAGAGACGAAGCCTCCGTGTCAGTTGTCCATGATCCATCGTCACAGAGTCATCGGCTCCACTTCGGGCAGGGAATCGGCCCAGTTCTGGTGCGGCGGCGATTGTGGAGCCGACGAGAACTGAAGGACTGAGCCACGACGCACTGGGGGTTCTTCCTCTATACTTTCACTCCACAGTCGCTAGACTCGCTACTATAGTTTTATTATAGTATATATTATAATGTATATCCAAGATGATACATTTCTGGTCAATTGGCAATCCAAGTTTGCCTGCTCTGTGAGGAATGATAGATTGAGAGCAATGCACCTTGAACAAGGGACAAGTAGCAGAGATGCCAGACAGATGTCTCTACTCACGTAGAATCAGTGTACGTTCATGGAGATTCTCAAGCAACGAGACATCCATCGTGGTCGTCAACGACTTGAAAGTCCTAACTATTTGGAGAGGTCGAGTGACCGGGAGAATGCAGATATGCACTACAGTACTACTGTCCTCAGTGTCCTGACTTGTACGTGCCTTGGTGATCCAGTCATCGCCGGTGGATCCGACGCGGTTACGGGGGAAAAGGTCAAAAACCTCGGAAACACTGTCGAAGCGTGAAGGGAAGAAATTCCAAAAAGAAAAGGAAACAAAAGGAAAAAGACGCAGTCGACTGTACGAAAAAGAAAATCAGCCCCACCTCATCCAATCAGGGTCGGGCTGTCCGACCCACTAACTCATCGTCAATCTGGAGCCGGACAAGCGATGAGGTGAGCGCATGACACCAGCAATTAGCAACGAGGGACGATAACTGCAGAGATAGTCGTCTCTGCTACACTGTCACCAACGGAAGATCAATCATCCTGACATCCACCGCGCCCTGTCAACCTTCTTTCTGGGATCCCGTGTCAGGGTCAATCTGGAAAAACAGATCAAAATGAAATGAAATGAAGGAGCTCACGATAGGAAGATGGAGATGGCTGCCGGCTTATTTGCTAGGGACTCCCTTACACGGAGATGATTGAAGATGATCCAAGACTGGACCGTCAGATACAACAGCAGTGTTGACTGCTGAGTGTTGACTGCTGAGTGTTGACTGCTGAGTGTTGACTGCTGAGTGTTGACTCGTTGAGTGATCAGTAACCACCACTACAGTCCGTGATGTATGCAGGCAGATCCTCTCCTCTCGGCAGTCTAGGAGGAGGGAGGTACCTGAGAACAACAGTGTTATTTGCAGGTCCAGTCATGTACCCATAGTGTGGCAAGGTGCTTTTGTCTTTCCGTCCGTGGGTCCTCCGATCGAAAGAGTCCACCCGTTCTCACAGCCCCAGCCCACTTGGGTTTCCTTGACGGTTCGGGACTGAGAAAACAGGAGAAGAGTTCACCACAGAGGGTCGTGTGCTTGACTGCTCCAGCAGGTCTGCCTCTTTCAAACAGAACAGAACAAAAAAGCAATGCGCCGCCACGGGAGAACGGGATGGTTGAAAAAGCGAAACAACTTGATCAATCCCGAGAAGTACCAGTCGGACACCCTGACCGAGCCAATGGAGGAAGTAGTCGTATGCTCATCTTTGGATCTTCCGTGTGTTTTGAATGTGCAATTCCGGGGAGCAGACCTCCGGGGCCGAGCTGGACAGAACGGGGCTGAAGTGAATCCACTAGTCTTGACCGTTTGACAGTGGTACTTCTACTACTGTCGAATCTCGATAGACTCGATGAGTCGATACTCAATATAGCAGGGAGATGGTGTGTCCATCCATCTGGTCACGTTGTCCGGGCCTCCGTCCTGTCATCCATCTTCGGTCTCCATGCGGGGAGGTAGATCTGGGGAATGGAGAAGAAAAAAGGATGTGATGGTCAAAAAAAAAGAAAAACTCCTGTGTCCGAGGTCCTTGATCGACCCTATTTATAAATTGACGACAGCGCGCGACGAGTCCACGAGAACCTGCGGAATCGACTACTATCTACAGGAGGAACTTACTGTTCTACACACACCTGATCTTCAAGGGCTCAAAGGAGCTCTCTCGATCTCTTCCACTGTCGCCTGAGCTTATCGCCCCGGAGTCCATCTCACCAGAGGATCAGCCAAGTCTACTGGAAGGTCTATAGGGGCTTATCGTCCTCGCTCGCTGAGACTCTGTCTGCACCCGACCCTGCAGTGCCGGTGGTGGGTTGGGGAGAATCAACTGGTATTCGGGAAAATAGTCATCCAATGAAGCAAGAGATGAACCTGGATCAACAGTTGACTCTTATCGGAGATGTCTGTTTGGAGGAGAACCTCTCCAGAATCAGGCCAAAAGCACCAAACAGGTCTCCGTCAGGCGCAAGTCAGCAGCAATAACAGTATCCACGACGAGGGTCCGAGACTCTGCCCAAAGTAAGGTAGGGGGACCTCGAGGTCGGTACGTCCTCCGTTTCCAGTGCACTCGGCAACCCAAAAAAAGAAAGCAAAAAGAAGAAAACAAAAAGAAGAAAACAAAAAGAAGAAAGACTCCCCCAGGGCTCCACTCTTCTCAGGCTAAAGCTTGAGCTTATCACACAACCGCGGGTCTGGTCTGCAAATCAGAGACCCGACAAGAATCGCAGGACATGTAAGCCAGGGTAGCACAAAGGCCCTATCGCCCTATCGCCCACCAGCAATTGGACGAGTTGTCGTCTCTATCATGACCTGCTGATTGGGTACAGATAAACACTGACTGTTAGGCTTGGGCGCCAAGTGGGTCTCTCGCCACTTCAGCGATTGTTTCCGGAAGCAATCCCCACATGCGAGGAAGCTGCAGCCTTGGCTCTCTCTCTCTCTTTCTTTCCTCAGCAGGGCCCAAGACACTCTGATTGGTGTCAGATAAGCAGATATGCATTGCCGCCACTGTCAATTAAATTCCCCTTCCCGAACTTGCCCGGCTCGGGAGTGCTCGGAAACCCTGTTGCTGACCCGCCGAGTTCGGGCGTGCTCTTTAAGTCGCTGACTGCCTCCCCAGCAACTGGTCAGCAAGGTCATGCCTCATCTTCCAGGCACCCACTTGGACCCTGCACTCCGCATCAGGTGCGTCTGCGTTGTGCCCTGAAAGGTCGAGAGCGAGGGAATGAGTTGTGGTGAGGTCACCTCGACACTTCAAACCATATGCTACTCGCATTGCTCTCTCGTTCAATATTGTGCTGTCGGCACTCGGCAGAGCACGGATCCCGTTTGATGTGGAAATGACAGCAGACTATGACATGATCGATGAGATCATGGAGTCCTCATCATCACAGAGACTTGCCAGCGCTTCTGAATCCTGTACTCTATCAATTCGTCTTCTTCGTTGGGCGCAGTACTGCCGCTCACTGCTCAGCACATACCTGGCAAGTGCCTATTGTCCATGCTAGAAATTATTTTGTAAACGGTTGTAAAGTACTATACTGCAAAACCCTGTAGCGCAGAGGCATACACTCTGTAATGAATCAATCGCATGTCGCATGTCGCATGTTGCCTGTCGCGTGCTCGGGCTCGTGAAACTTATATCATCATTATACAATTTTGCACGTGAAATGCCCTGTTCAACCCTCAACTCCATCATTCCGCCCCGATCCCATCCCATCCCGCCTGTCCCCAATCCCGCTCCCGTGGGCCCGGCCCCTCTGCCGCCCCGCCCTCGAAGAAAGCTTTGTCTTGGAAGAGGGTCCCGCGCGGCGAGTGTCGACTCGTCACCCTTGGGGCTGAATATGTAGACTTATCTACTACTACTACTACTACTACTACTACTACTACTACTACTACTACTATCCCAAGCCTGGACTGGATATACGTACTCAATAGTCAATACCGTAATCACCTGACTACGAGTCAGTAGGTAGCTTCCACTTCTCTAACGTGTTTGAAGTTTGAACCGTTTGGATGTACTTGGACCCGGCCTTGGCAAGATTCGAAAGCCAGAATGGGAAATGTCGCGAAGGCTAGGTTGGAATGATGGTACGTTTCTCGATATTGACGTAGTTATCGGAAGGAAGTGTTTTGAGTACTATGAACTCCTTCCCATCAATCTTGGCATCCCCGATGTTCGATTCCGCGTCCAGGATACATAGAATCTCGGTATGTATGAGTGTTTGGTAGAGTATCTGGAGTCCTGAGTCCGACCCTCTGAAGGCCATGGAACATTGGACCTACCCTTCCCGTCTACTGCCCTAGGTATGGCTGCATGATCGGCTCCATGAGATTTGAGGGTAGTCTTATCAACATTCGCCGTGCAGATCCCAACCCGCACTGTGATCTGCCCCGAATCGGTTCTATAATACTCATGTATGTCCCAGAATGTTCTAAACCCTCCGAGAAAAAAGGGGTCCAATCCTCCCAAATAGGCGCATGCACGATACTTACACCTCCACAAACTTGGCCCAAGCAGAGAAATTATGCAAAACAAACCACGAAACACATTATACATTGACGCTGTAGCCAGCTCCCAAGCCCCCGCGGCGGCGAACGGCATGCAGGTACTTGCGGGCCTCGTCCACCCAGAATACCGAGCTCGCGAGACACACCAGCTTGAATAGAGAGCCAAGTCCGAGCGCTTCCGTCTGGAATACCCGTTGGAGGAAGGGCAGATAGATGACGCAGGCCTGACCAGCGAGCGACCCAAACACGGCGTAATTGAACATCTTGTTACCAAACAGAGAGAGCTCACCCCGGAGCACCGACTTGCTTTCGCTGCGGCATGTCAGCGCGTTGAACATGTCGAAGAGGACGAAACAAGTAAACGTCATGGTCGTGTCGTGAGCGGTCACGACTCTCGAACGTTTGCCTAGCGGCTGCCCGTCATCCACATCACCCATCTCGTGAATGTAAATGGCTAGCGTTCCAATCATGATGACCATGGCAGATGTCAGAACGCGCTGGATCAAAGGCCGTGTCAGAACACGGGCGTGCTTGGGACGTGGTGGACGTGACATGATCGAGGGGTCAACAGGCTCAACCCCTAGAGATTGAGCTGGTGGACCGTCCATGAGGATATCTGACGAAGAGGAAAAAAGGAAAAAAAAAGGTTAGTCGGAAGGCATCATCGAACCGATACATCCAAGGAACTTACTAATCCACAGGATTTGCATGGCATTGAGTGGGTTCTTGAAGCCAAGAGTGGTGCTCAGCAATACGAGACTCAGAGCAGCCACGCTGGTGCTTAGCTGGAAGGTGATAAAGTTTTGGATATTATAGAAGATGCCCTTGCCCTGCTCGATTGCCCGAAGAATTGTCGAAAAATCGTCGTCAGTCAAGATCATGTCAGCGGCTTCTTTGGCGACATCAGTACCCAGTTTGCCCATGGAAATGCCAATGTCGGCCTTCTTCAGCGCAGGCGCATCATTAACACCGTCTCCAGTCATGGCAACAACGTCACCTCGGGACTGCAGTGCACGCACAATCTTCATCTTATGATCTGGGCTCGTTCGAGCGAAGATGGACGTGGTAGCAATAGCTTGGGCAAGCTCTCCAGTACTCATGTGATCAATCTCGTCTCCACGCAGAACGGGTCGCGCAGTAGGGGAATCACTAATCGGCATTCCAAGCTTCTTAGCAATAGCGACGGCAGTGGTCTCAGCGTCACCAGTAATCATGATGACACGGACACCACCTGCCATAAGCCGCCGAATAGACTTGTGTACATCCTTTCTGGGTGGATCGTTCATACCGACAAGGCCCGCAAAAGTCAGGCCATTATACCGGTCATCGTCATCAGCCGGGCTGCTGCATTTGGAGCCCGGGGTGCTTGATCTGCTGCCGAACCCTCGCATACCGCGAGAGGAATTGCGAACAGCACCGCTGGCGAAGGCGAGTACCCGAAGACCCTCACTAGCCATGTGCTCCGCGGCATCACGAATGACTTTGCGACGGGGCTCGTCAAGGATCACCTCTCGACCATCCTTGGTCAAGTAGGTGTCTGACCGAGCCAAAACCTGCTCCAGTGCTCCCTTGACGTAAGCCATATCGGAATCACCAGGGTGATTGGTGCCGATGATGACGCCCATCCATTTGCGTTCAGAGCTGAACGGTGTTTCGGATACACGGGAGTGAATTCGGTCTCTGACATCGTCCTCGCCCAATACTTCCAACAAGTCCAACATGGCGACATCAGTTGGTTGTCCGACCCATCGACTCTTGATGGCTGTTGCATTTCTGTCAACGGTGGATGACAGAACAGCCGCAGAGGAAGCGCTTGCTGGAGAATTGGCGTGTGTTCGAGAGAGACGAGCGTTGTTCGCGATGTTTCCTACACGAAGGATGGTTCGCGCTGCGGGCCCAGGAGTCACGGATGTAATCATGTCGCGATGCACATCGAACGGCTCCTCGCAGTCGAAATTCCACATCTTGGTCACAGTCATATGATTCATCGTCAGAGTGCCAGTCTTGTCACTGCAGACGACGTTCACAGAGCCAAGCGTCTCAACACTTGGGAGTCGACGCATGATTGCTCCTCGTTTAGCCATGCGCAAAACTCCAAGCGCAAGAGTCACGGTTACAATGATAGGGAGACCCTCTGGGATGGCTGCAACAGCAAGGGAGACACCAATGGTGAACATCTCCAGAAGCTTGCGACCCTGAATCAAGCCGATGACAACGATGAGACCAATCACACCGAAAGAGATGTAGCTGAGCTCTTGACCAAGTCGATCCATGGACAGCTGAAGTGGAGTCCGAGGGCTTTCAATCTCTTGTAGAGACGCTGAGATGCTTCCAAATTCCGTCTTGGCGCCTGTGGCGATCACTATACCCTGGCCATACCCTGAGCGAACGAGTGTCCCCATGAAGGCAATGTTGTGCTGTTCGTTCAGTCGGATATCGGCACCAACAGCACCAGTAGCGGGTGCATCGTAGAATGGCGAGCGTGGAGGACTGATGTTTCTGGGGACCTTGAGTGAGCCATGATGAGACTTATGAAGAGCGGCAGAAAACTTCACGACAGGCTCATTCTCGCCAGTCAAGTTTGACTCGTCTATAGATAGGTCCGTTGCAGCGGTAATTCGAATGTCAGCAGGAATGCGATCGCCAGTGGTAAAGAGAACAAGATCACCAGGCACCAGATCAACGGCGGGAACAGTCGTTGAAGCCTTGATCGCGGCCGATGCGGCTCCCGCGGTCTTGCCCTTGAGGTCATCCAGCTCCAGGCCAGCAGCAGATGGTTCGGGCGCCGCGGATCCTGAAGAGGCGATGTCGCGAATTAGATGGGCGTAATAAGGGACGAGGCGATTCAACGCCTCGAGAGATTTCTCCGATCGGTATTCTTGAACAAACCCGACTGACACTACGATAGTGACCGCCAAGGTGATGCTCACTGCATCGTCGTAATTTCCCATTATAAAAGAAATTGCGGCCGAGGCAAGAAGAAGAAGAATGAGGGTTTCTTTGAACTGTTTGACAAATCGCAGCCACAGCGGCTCAGGCTCCTCGTGGGGAAGCTCATTCGGGCCATCACGAGCAAGGCGAATCTCTGCCTCGGACGGAGTGAGGCCATGGTGGAGGGAGGTATGCAGTCTTTCGGCAGTCTCGTGGGGCTCAAGCCATGAGTAGGTTGAGGTCGAAGTCTGGAACGTGTATCACCAAAAGTTAGGAAATGAGGACACAATAGGTTGAATCGATTGAACATTTGCGCTAGGTGAATTGAATCCTCATGGTAGTGATTTAGAAAAGGAGTAAAGAACGTACCGGTGAAGGCGCATCGGGTCTGGCCCCTAATGGTGTCGTGGAAGTGGGTGCATTGTGCAGCGGCAAGGCAGGAGTTGCTGTCCTTGACATCTCTCATGCTTTGATTCAAATGAAAAGGAGGGGGAAGAAAAGAAAGGAAGCGACGCGCTGGAACTAAGAAAAAGCAGTGCGCATCCCGTCGTAGTCAGACCAGAAATTCGGAGTTTATTGAGGATTTGAGATGCGATCTGGCAGCAGTGTCGACACGGGAACGCTAGACGCAAATGGGACCGGCGGTGGGACAGGCGCCGTAAGGGCTCGAATGACTGGTGAGAATGGCAAATCAATTCAGAAACGCGATTTATTTTGACGACGAAGCCGATTGTGCAGGATTGTCGAAAAGACTCCTGGTTTGTAACTCAACAACAGTGCCGCCGATGATCATCCGTCAATGATGGGCGCAGCCACAGTACATGATGATGCTTTACCAAAAGCGGGCTAGTGGCGGAGGAATACATAGTCCGGGATCGAGAGACAGCAGTTCTATACCCTGTCACGTGAGTCATATCATTGTCCCAACCCCCAATACAACCCAGCAGTCGAGAAATCAACCATCTTTCAGGCGTGCGACAAGTGAGGCTTTGTGTCTCATTCGGCATATATTGATGTCAATAATTCGGACGTCTACTCTCCCGGGGGTTTGTCATGTCATAGAGTGTGTGCCGAGTTCGTGCGTTTGGCCTCAATTGGAATCTGGTACAGGTTAAAATTGGAGGTACTCAAGTTCAAGGACCCAAACCAAATCAAAGCTTTGATAATCCCGGGAGAGGTCTTTTCAACTTTCGAAGACGAAAATGAAACATAAGCCATACAAATTACCTCATGCTATTCTATTCATGTTGAGCCTTTATGGGCTGGCCAGCCTGGCACTACAGACTGGCAGTGTTGACTGTTTGAGTGTTGTCGGCGGGAGCTCCACGCCTGCATCGTTACGTAATTTCTATGCATTCCTCGTTTCCAAGGCACCCAACCCACCAGCCCCCTCGAATGCCTAAATGCCGGTTCCCCCCTCAAGAGAGCCCGGGCTCACCTGACTGTTACTTCGACGCCTGAATTGCGCGCGCTCCGTCAATCCACACCCCGTTTCTCTGCCAACTGATTATTCGCGCCACATCTTGAAGGTGCATTTTACGCGACATATCCTTGTTCCCATTTTCATTACTCTTGTGTGAATAAATATCACGATCTTACTATCTGACACGTCCCCGGGCACGATAAGAAATCGTCGCCAGAGTCTTTGTTTTCCCCGGGGCTTCAAAAGCGCGTCAAGACTCTTGTTACAGCTTCACCCCGCGCCAGGCGGGCTTTAAGCTCACTATTCTTGGCGTGCTGCTCGCTCATGAAAGAAATATTATTCTGATCAGCCCACACAATGTTCTATTCAGAGACCCTTCTATCCAAGACCGGGCCGTTGGCCCGTGTCTGGCTCTCTGCCAACATCGAGCGCAAGCTGTCCAAGTCGCATATTCTCCAGTCTGATATTGAGAGCAGTGTAAGCGCAATTGTCGATCAAGGTCAAGCGCCTATGGCTCTGCGTCTCAGTGGCCAGCTGTTGCTGGGTGTTGTCCGAATCTACAGCCGAAAAGCGCGTTACCTACTTGACGACTGCAACGAAGCATTGATGAAGATTAAGATGGTATGTTCTTCAAAATGCCAATCGGTCACGCGCTCTTCATTCCTCTAACCATCATATTCTAGGCTTTTCGCCTCACAAACAATAACGACTTGACGAGTACTGTGGTTGCGCCAGGTGGTATCACTCTGCCCGATGTGTTGACGGAATCGGATCTTTTCACCAACTTGGACACCTCCTTGCTGTTCCCTCAAAACTTGAACATGGAGGCAGAGAACAAGCGCCCCGGGCAAATGGATTTTGCTGATAGCCAGTTGATTCCTGACAGCAGTTACCGCCGCTCTATGTCTCAGGAACCAGCCCGCCTTGAAGATCCTACCTTGCTTGGTCTCGAACTTGACCTTGGCGAGGATGAGCTTCCCCTTGGAATCGATAACAGTGTTGAAATTGGTCGTGATGCACCTCCTGCTCGGCCCATGGATGAGGATTTATTCAGCGATTCTGGGAAGCTCCATGACGATAGTGACTTGGACATTGATATCAGCGATGCTCCGCTCGAGAAGGTTGATGATGGCCTTGGAGGCTTGAACGATCCTATCATGGACGATGCGCCCATGGATTTCGGCGACGACACCGGTTTCGGTGGCGAAACCCCTCGCCCCGAGGGCCACTTTTCACGCGACACGGAAAGTCCTCTCTCCGATGCCGGATCTGTACAGATGAACATGCTCGAGGAAGAATTCAATCGCGAAGTCACTCAAGATGCTGAGGCACGATTCACCAAACATGCTCAACGCACCAAGCGCCAGAAGGTCATTGTGGCAGACAAGGAGACTCATTTTACCTCCAAGGAGGTCAAGGCCATCCAAGCCGATCGTTCTGCCATCCTTCAGCGCTCTTCCTTTTTGCCTCGTGATCCTGTTCTTCTCACCTTGATGACTCGCCAGCAGAATGGCAATTTTGTCTCGAGCATCTTTGGTGAGGAGCGCAGCCAAGCCTGGGCCCCGGAGCTGCGGGGACTTCTTTCTCTGGATAACGTGAAGAAGGCCGGCGAGCTCAAGCGCAAGCGTGACAGTGGCATCTCCGACATGGACGTGGCCACTGATGTTCCAGCTCTGGATCTTGGTGAGGATGAGGCTATCGTCACTGCGGATGAAGGCATCGGTCTTGACACAGGCATCAACCTGCAGTCTGAAATTGACTTCCCAGGAGACAACGGGATGCAGGACCTTGCGCCTATGAGCGATGACGGCATGACGGCCTCGGTTGAGGACATGGATGACACGATTCGTCCCATTGACACTGAGGCTGTTTCCATCGGCACCAAGCATGCCGTTCACATTCTGCGCGATTGCCTCGGCGACACCCCTGAGACCGCCCAGAAAAAGGCCGTTGTCTTCCAGGATCTTTTGCCTGAGAAGCGCTCCACCAAGGCTGATGCGACCAAAATGTTCTTTGAAGTTCTGGTCCTGGCCACCAAGGACGCCGTGAAAGTTGAGCAAGGTTCCAAGTCGATTGGCTCTACCATCAAGATCCGTGGTAAGGAGGCTCTGTGGGGTTCCTGGGCTGAGGAAAACGCCGGAGGCGCTGTGACACAGTTGTCCCAATTGTTGTGAGCAAGCCTTTGGCGAGCTTGCACTTCCTTCGGAATATCCACCTTGTGCTGACTGAAGGTTGATTGTGGGCACATATCAAAACTCCCCGACTTACTCTGGCGTAAAGGTTTCGATTCATGTACAGCTGACTTTGGGTGGATGTCTGGGTCTTCTGAGAAGAACTATGGATATGTTTGAGCATGGCTAGCTCGCTTTTTTCAGCTGGCTCAATTGGCTTCTGCGGAGTTCTGGGAGCAGGGTTGGAAGATAGGAACTTTGGCGAAATTTTGCTGTTCATTCTCATAAGTCTACGTGGGCCTTGTCCATACCGCTGTGGATGACCCGTCTGCCCTCATTTGTGATTTGCCGTTACTGCTGCTGCACTTTTCTACCTAGTGGTACACCTATTGTATGAGACTAGCTTGTTTAAAAGGTCATCCTTACCTGATGCAATACTGTAACAGCCTCCAATTTCCGCTGCTTGTTACTTTTCTCATTTTCCACCCTGCCTCTATTAAATTTTTTCGTCTCTTCATGATTTGCTGAGACATCGTCGTTGCGGTCATCGGAAGACCAGTGCTTTTACTTCGATGTTGCATGTCCAGAGAGAGGAGGTGTTCGCTGTCCAGTAGGAATTTAGGAAGAGGCATGTACCTTCGGCCGAATTCGGACAGAGCGCGGAGTCACGTCTGCCCCGTCATGGATGCCCTCCACGTGGAGCCGTTCATCGCCAGGCATCCCTATTGACAATCGGGTCACGTTTGCAGTTCCGCATTCGGCCTTCATGCGGAGACGGGAGGCTCAACAATGTTCCGAAAAGGAGAGGAAATGAAAAACAATCGCGTACCTGTCAACAACAACATGATATACTATATCCATTCTCCAGGCCGAGGCAGGCGATCAACAATGGCCTTTGGCGCTTGTGGCCCAGCAGCCGCCTCTCAAAAGCTTGAATCTGCCATGCCTCCTGCTGAAAGTTTATTCCTCACATTGGATCTAGGCAATAGGCCCGCTCTGATGGCTGTGATGTCACCACCGCTTAATGTTGCGCTAGACGGAGTGTAGACAACTTTGCAGCGTAGCGCTACCGCCTCGATCCGAACTATCCGGACGACTGATCGACTTGCAAAATATTGCTTGACCCCATCGTCCGAAATGGACAAATCGACAGCTTATCGCTCAACGCTGCAGCAATGCGCAAAACGATACAGAGAAAGCGATGTCTCTTGTTGCAGGGCTTCTCAATTTCCTTGGCCAAGCCTCGTGAAAGTGCAAACCGTGGATCAACTTCGGAGCTGATATTCGGACAGGCCCCGGAAGTGGACCGTCTGCGGGTCTTCATTCGAGCACTCGCTGCGGCGTCATGATCGATCTGTGCTAGCCCCCGAGGCACACTACTAACCGTCGGACTAGGCCTCGCCCTGACGTCGAACCCACGATTATTCAGCAGGGGAGACGTCAAGGCTGTCGAAGAGTCCCCGCTGCAAATATTACGTCCGGCAACCCATAAAACGGCGCGGCTCGGACTTCAGTGGACATTTGCCTCTGAATAAGGTACTTTGTCGCCCGCAGGTCACAGCGTCTGTTCTTTGGAACCAACGTTGAAGTTCATTGACAGCCGGTCCACCAGACGACTTGGCTACATGGCCCGTTGAACAGAGGAAGACCGATCATTATCACGACCCCCGCGCCCACCGCTCAAAATATTGTATCACTCTCACCAATGACGACGCAACTCGAAGTTCGGGATGACCCCGAAAAACAAGGCTCTATGGATCGGCCGCAATCGATTGGTTCCTCGCCGCGTGAAAGAAGCGATGACGAACCCGATCTCGAGCACACAAAATCTGAAGATGCGACTTTCGTGCCCATAGTCGCGCCGGCAAGCCAACGTCATGAACAACTGAGAAAAACGCGGTCGAACTTGTCGCGAAGTCGCTCGCTAGAAAGATCATGGTCTCTGAATGACGGTGTCAGCGTTGGACATGAAACTACTCATGGCGAGGGAAGCGATGCGGAGAGTCAACATATAACAGAGGAAGATGATCAGTATACAGTCGAATGGGACACAGATGATCCAATGAACCCGCGAAATTTGAACAAGGCTAGAAAATGGGTAATCGTGGTCATTGTCTCCATGGGATCACTTTGCGTGTGAGTCGGTAATGAACCGAAGAAGGAAGATGGAGTCGGAAGGCGACGAGCGCTAATATAATGTCGTGACAGTACCTGCACTTCATCGATGTATACGACAACCTATGACCAAATCATGAACGAGTTCGGCTGCTCCCAAGAGGTTGCGACGTTGGGGTTGTCCTTTTTCATCTGGGGTCTAGGTCAGTAATGTTCGACAACAAGGGACTACGAATGAAACTAATTGCTTTTTCGTTCAGGGATTGGTCCACTTTTCCTGAGTCCGTTGTCCGAGGTAAGCTTTGAAGATGAACTCCGATGAACGAGCAAAATGCTTACAAGCTGCACCAGTTCTACGGTCGACGCAAGATCTACATAGTGTCCTTCACACTCTTTCTGATCTGGCTCATTCCTTGTGCCGTTGCTCAAAATACAGCGACGATGCTTGTTTGTCGGTTTTTCAATGGCCTCGCTGGAAGCGCTTTCCTGAGCGTTGCGGGTGGCACGGTAGGTGACATGTTTGACCGGCACGAGCTGGGATTGCCCATGATGCTCTACACTGCAAGTCCGTTCATTGGACCCGAGGTCGGCCCTCTGTAAGAGAAACTCTCTGCCGCGGAAAGCGACGCAAAACTTTGAACTGACCTGTCATTGCAGCGTTGGAGGCTTTATCGACTACTATACAACGTGGTAAGTTCAGAGTGGACTTCTTATGTGGTCACAACAGTGGCTGAGACCAGTCAGGCGTTGGACTTTTTATGTCCTCCTCATTTGGACCGGAGTTCTTCTGGTCTCGATCGTGTTCCTGGTGCCTGAGACGTACCATCCTGTGTAAGTCCTGGACTGCTGCTGAAACGAGACCAAAATGCACAACTGATTTCATTTGTGGGTACAGACTTTTGAGACGTAAAGCCGAGAGACAACGCAAAGAGACAGGAGACGATCGATGGAAAGCGCCCATCGAAAAGATGCATCGTTCGGTGGCACAGACGGTGCTCCGCTCCATGTACCGTCCACTCATGCTTTTGGCTCTGGAGCCGATGTGCCTGAGTCTCTGCGTTTTTTCCGCAATTTTGCTTGGTATCCTCTATCTTTTTTTCGGCGCGTTCCAATTGGTCTTCAGGGAAGTGTACGGTTTCCTGCTTTGGCAGCGAGGGCTCTGCTTCCTGGGTCTTTTTGTAGGCATGGTGATTGCCATCCTTTCAGATCCCTTCTGGCGTCGGAATTATGCCCGTCTGGAACGCAACTTTCAAAAGCAGCGAAACAACACGGATGAATTTCAACCTGAATGGCGACTTCCTCCCGGTATGTGAAAGTGGACTCTCCGGCGTGGTGGCGAGTCTTCCTTCGGTCCAATATTGACACGAGTGATTTAGCAATCCTTGGCGGGCCCCTGGTCACTATTGGCCTTTTCATCTTTGCTTGGACAATTTATCCTAATGTGCACTGGATTGCGCCGATTATCGGCAGTGTGTTGTTTGGTGCTGGGTAAGTTTCAAGAACCACCAGGGGCAGGAATGAGTGAAGCTGATGAATCAATGCAGCACAATTCTTGTCTTTTCCGGCGTCTTCACGTTCCTGGTCGACGCATATCCAACTTTCGCGGCCAGCGCGTTGGCGGCGAACAGCTTTATGCGTTCCAGCTTTGGTGGAATTTTCCCCTTGTTCGGAATTCAGAGTGAGTAGCCAATCGTACACCTCAATCAGATCAAAGTTGATCGGAGAGTGAACACTTATCAGACACGTGGTGCTGACGGTTTCATAGTGTACAACAACCTCGGCTTTAACTGGGCGACGACTTTGTTAGCCTTCCTTACGCTGGCAATGCTGCCATTCCCGTGAGTTGATGCGAGAACTTTCTATCCCACATCATCTGAAACGTTGGGGCTCTATTTTATGGACTGACGATTCGACAAGGTATATTTTCTTCCGATACGGACCCAACATTCGCAAGAAGAGTCGCTTCGCCACTCGACAGACATGAGCGGCATAGGTCCTTTCGATTTAGAAGTAGTTCTGACCCCAGGCTGCAATTGAGAATTATCATGCGGTTTGCGTGGTACAGTGTTGCTAGGAACGGACTATCGTGATTTTGTAATTATATATTGCGCAATCTCGGCATTTTTATTTTATATTTGGTGATGTCTTCATTCTGCGCATGCCTAGTCATATCGAATAATTTAGTGCAATCCTTACTGGGAACGGTGTCATCTCTTCGAGATCCTCGGCGGTTGATTGCCTCAAGATCGAGGACGGGATAGGATTAGATGCGTACTATGGGTTGGAAGGGTAGCCTGCCGGTCACACCTCCCTACTCGAGCACTTATTACTTGACCTGTCAATTCTGAGGGTTTATTCAACGCATTCCTAGGCTGGGTTCTGCTGTGCACACAGCCTATCGACCTTTTAATGGAAGATACACTAGAAACCGACTTACATCCATCGGAGCCGGTTGAACTACCGACGTCCGCCCGATGCCCAGCATCTATGAGCACGACAACCCAGAGTAATCAAAGAGCATGCCGTTGAAACACAATGACTTGAAGCAGCCCAAACTACCGAAAACTACTAAGCACGTGCGCCGATACGAGGCTATCCAGTCTTGCCTCCACTCTCCAGTAGTGAACGGGAAGATTCCCGCCGAGGGCCATTGTCCCCATACCGAAAATATCTTGTGAGTTGACCATGAAAATACCATTGACAGGAGTATCGGCTCCCCGAGCGGCGGGCTGCCGTCTCTTCTTCTTCTTCCTTCTTAGTACTGAATGTCGAGCATGCCGAGGCAGGGCTAAAGGATACTGCGGAGTGCGGTATAGCCTCGGGAGAAAGCGGAGCCGAAGTGGAAGGCCTCCAGGCACCGCGGACAGACACGTGCAGAAAGTATGCCGTCAAAGGACTGCATATGGTCGGCCTTCCATCACTACTGAGGCAGGTATGTGACGAGATGTGCTTTTCAGAACAGTATTCATCTTACGAGGTCAGTTGCACAAGCCGGAGGTTTATGCGAGCCTGAGCCTGGTGCAGCGCTACCTATCTGCCTCCTAGGAGTGGGTGCTACTGCTAAGTTCTACCTGCATGGTTGGTAAGTACCGAATCTATCTCCACAAAGTATCTATATACCTGGTGTGCTAGCACAGGGACGCCGCAAACCCAATTTTGTCTCTGGCACATACAGGAATGGATGCGTTGTGTGATACTCTTCTGTATTGGGTTTGTCGTGGCGACCTGAACCTGAGACGGGCTTTGATACTAGGTAATATCGTTCAATGCTCATACTCCCCACGTGCGTAATTTCCAGTATCAGCAGGTGGCCCGTCCGATGGAGTAATCAAGTCTCCGAACAGGACTATATGTCCATGCAGGTCAATACAGACGCTCCAGAGACGAGAGTCCTTAAATTGATAGCCCATTCTCCGAAGAGACTGGGGGACCTTACCTGTCTCGCGTGATGTGTACTCACGTTGGTAGTCGTACACACTACCTAGGTCTCTACATGTACGCAGTAACTAGTACACAACTATACGCAGTACTACATAGCTTTGAAGCGCAAGACATAAAACCTATCGTAGAATGGAAGGTATACGAGATCGTTATGCTGTTAGGTACTGTTTTGCTCCGCACGAATGTCGGAGCGACTACCTCAAAGGCTCAATCAGCCTTAGCCATTGAGTATGCGACGTGAGATAAATTCATGAGTGGATACGATGGAATTCAATATACCCTTCTATGCTTTGCGATTCAGATCAAGGGCGCTCCGGGCACCTACAGGCATTCCAGGAGCTGTTTAGTCTCCGGCTATTGAGTATTATATAATTTTCAGAGCATAGGGAAGGAGGTTGGCCCTAAGACCCCTTTTATACCTCGAGTGATGATATTATTGTAGAGGTCTCGGTAATGCTGTCAATAGTTGGTAAACTAGGTACACTATACTGAGTATGCTCTATACTCTATACTATGGAGTCCATAATATATAAGCTAGGGGGCTCCCTAGGCGTAATGTGGGTGGCTTGTTGCGGGTTTTGAAAGGCCTGATCTGATCTGTTACGTGATTCTATTCCTGTACCCATCACTGGTTGGAGCACTTATTAGGTAACTGTGCACGAAAGAAGTAATACATAGCATGTGTACATGTCATCAATTCACTCAGATCTGACGAGGCATGTTCAAGTAGAAGGGTGAAAAAGTATATTTGTCTCGAGACTTTGCATGGGGCGCCAGAGGAGAACCTTGCGCGGTAGAGGCACCTCCCAAGGGGGAAAATTGATCAGAGTGCTGTTTGTACATCCATCCCAACATCTCGCTGGCAACAGATCATGACATGGACGTACAAAGCTGGAAGTTAGTGTGTATTGACTGTTGAGTCGAGGGCAACCATGACCGTTTTGCCAGGATCTGTGTAGTGAGCAAGAGGACACTCACTTGGGAACAAGTCAAGGACTGTAGTACAATCAATCCTAGGCACAGTCCTCTCTCCCGTTGCGGCGGGAAATTCCAAGACTTTCATTTCCACAGGGCGGACCGTCAGTCACGGGAACTCTCCGATTTCTGAGGCGTACCAACCTGGCCCAGGAATATTAATCGCGCAGGTCTTTTCATCCTTGTCAACATCACCCTTGCCACGCCGATGCATGATTGCTGCGAACAGGCATTCTCTGCTGTCCAACTCTGCTTCATTGCATCTGCATTCGCGGCGGACAGTTGCGAAGAAACGCGACCCCCACGGCTTACCCACGGGTAGAGAGGCCAACGACCACGCACTGGGAACTGGCTTTTGCTCTACGGAGAGGACCAAATTGTCCGAAAACCTCGAAGTCAGCTCCCGCTTTCCCCGCAGCCGACCAGAACATTTGCCCGCTGGCGACTGCCGCTCTTCGCTCTTCGCTCTCCACTCTTCCAGATCGCAGCTGCGTTGGACTACCATTGCGGCACTTCTCTTTCCTTCCTCCCCAAGCCTGACGCGTTCATTTCTCAGCTCCATTCGGCCGTTCTATTGCGCTGATCTCAAGACGTCATTCAATGGGTCTAATCGGTGCGGCTCCGTCTGACCTCGCTTCGATCGTGCCTCGTTACACCCGTGACTCACTGCGACATCGATTCCTCGAGCCCACCTCGGCATTAGTCGCAAGCGCGCGGCAATAGAATACACGGTCGCAGGTCGCAGATCTACCGGAAGAATACCAACATCGTGTTGAAAGCGACAGTCAGCTGAAAAAAAAAAAAAGAACAACCGCGCTGAGCGCAAAAGAACTACTAACCCTCGATTGCCCCGTGGTGGAGATTTTGCGCCCTTTGCGCCGGCCGCCTACCTTCGGTGACCTATGCCTGCGCCTCCGGAATAAACTAGGTGATGCATGAATGGTTCTCTCGCCACAGAGCATTGAAGATCAAGTGCAAAGAGACAGCGAGGAATACCCATGGGGAATCTTCCGCAACTCAAAATCCGAAATTTGTAGAAGTTCCCTGACAGTTCTTACGATAAATTTCCAACATCCCATTTTCCACTCCGGTGTCGGACCCGGTTTATGACGAAATGACCATGGACCCCAAAGGCGATACTCAGTCTCCCATAGACCGAAGTGGCGGCGATCCTGATTCTGCGGACGTGACCGAGCATTCGGAGCATTTCGACCCGCTGGGCGATCGAAGCGGACAGGGCGACGGTAAAAATGAAAACGGTCAGAAAGCTGCGAATGCAAAGGACCCCTCGCGCCCGCGCCGGAAAAAGCCCGGAGGGCGTGCTTTGCTTGCCAGCGCGCCCACTTAACCTGCGGTATGCTATAAATTGCGATCTGGACATGCATGGCATACGTGCCATGCAGATGCAGGAGCAGGAACTGCAATGCAATTTGTGAAGACCGTGCTAACTTTGCGATGTGATTTTCCCTTGAATTACAGGCGATGAAAGACCTTGTCAACGTTGTATCAAGCGTGGCTTACAGGACGCATGTCACGACGGCATCCGGAAGAAAGCAAAGTACCTTCACGATGCCCCGGACGGAGCCCTGGTGCCCGGCATCGGAGCCAACTTCTTCAGCAATGGCAACAGCACCGGCGTGACCACGAACCTGCCGTCACTATCTCGGAGTGCTTCATCCTCGACACCGCAACAACAGCCGCAACAGCCGCCGCAAAAAACCTCTAGCACCCCGAACTTCTTCCCTACGCCTCAAGCCCAATCGCAGCCGCCATCGGCGCCGTACAACGTGTTCACGGATACCACGCTTACGCAAAGCCCGTTTCCGACGCAGTCTCCGGTATCACCGACATTCACCCTGAAGACGGGCGTCAATGGCAGAAACGCCAGCCTATCTTCAACCCTCGGTCAGCAAGCCACCCCAAGCACAGCACTCTCCGGGGATGCCAACTCATCGCAGAATCCCTTTGCCGGGCCCTTTTTCGACCCCAGCGACCCCGCGTTGTTCAATTTTGATCTCTCGAGCATGAACTTTGAGAACCGCTATGGTGCTTTGGAGTTTGGCATGCTCGGTCATATGGCCACTGGCGCTGGAGACTCGCCGACCGACTCAGCCGGAGGCCAGCGAGGGTCGATCGGCCGCAGTGGATCGGCGCAGTTCTCGACGCCTGCGCCGGGCTTCAGCGAAAGTCCAGGCACTCAGCAACCCTTCCTCTTTGGCGATCCCTTGCTGAATGACTGGTCCACTGGCCAGGCCTCGGGCCCCGCGCATGTGAACGTTGGCGGTGTGTATGCGCCAAACGGTCGACTGAATGGGCACATGAAAGCAGACGCGCCGCATGCCTTTGCCATTGAGAGCGGGCCCCCAAATTTCGCTAGCCCCGGATCGGCCACCGCGAGTCCGCATGTGACCGTTGCTGGCATCGAAGACCCGGCGGCCTTTAGCAACAGCAACCCTTCCAAATCCTCCAGCAACCCTACTTTAGCCCCGAGTAACAACGGACCGCGGCCACTGATCACAACACCGAGCCTCAAACACCGTGATTTGCAAGTGGGTCCTCGTCGACGTCACCGCAATCCGTCCCTCATCTACGAGAGCGTGAAAGAGCCATATGGGTATACGAGTGGCTTCCACAATCTCACCGCGTGTATTCAGCGGCGATTTAGTCCTCAGAAAACCCTGCGAATCGCCAAGGCGCTTGCCTCCATTCGTCCGTCCTTTATTGCGACTACGAAGACACTCAATCGGGATGACCTGATTTTCATGGAAAAGTGTTTCCAGCGTACCTTATTTGAGTACGAGGACTTCATCAACGCTTGCGGTACTCCCACAATTGTTTGTCGACGCACCGGTGAAATTGCGGCCGTGGGTAAAGAATTCAGCATCCTGACAGGATGGAAGAAGGATGTTCTCTTGGGCAAAGAGCCAAACCTCAACGTCAACACAGGTGCCTCATCACTACCGCAATCTGGAACTACCTCACGCGGCAGTTTCACACCGCGCAGCTCAGCGCCTGAGAACAGTGGACGGCCCCAGCCGGTCTTCCTGGCCGAGCTACTGGATGATGACAGTGTGGTGGAGTTCTACGAGGACTTTGCCCGCCTTGCATTTGGGGACTCTCGCGGTAGTGTGATGACGCGATGCAAGCTGCTCAAGTATAAAACCAAAGAGGAAGAGGGTGTCTCTTCTGAGGAATACGGGAAGTGGAACAATCACATCCGCAAGGGTGGAATTGCTGGCGAAGCTGGCATGAACCAATTGGGCTCGAAGGATGGCAAGGTCGAGTGCGCGTACTGCTGGACAGTCAAGCGAGATGTGTTCGACATTCCCATGCTCATCGTGATGAACGTACGTGCACCGGTTTCCCCAATTCCACATGTTCACCGTGGAGTTTCCCAAAGCTGACTACCTGTACTGGTTTTTTATTTAGTTCTTACCTTGCATTTAATCGCTTCATCCTGGGCGTTTCCAACACGCCGCCGGTCGTCCAGTCCATCTTCTCTGGCTTGTTCCCCGGGATTGACGCATATTCATTTGCCATGTCCACCATCGATATCCCTGTCTCGAGTATGCTTGTCCTGCCGTTCTTGACCTTCTGAATGCCGCTATACCTTTCACGCAGTTTCGCATTATGTTGTCGACGTTTCATAGTACATAACTACATACCCCTTTTCTTTGCCGAGTTGAAGGTCGGGTTGTGTGTTCCACCTCCTGGCCGCATGGCCACTCTTGGCGACTCCCAAAAGTACATATGCTTGGGGCTCTGGTCATCCCACGGAGGGATTTGGCCTGGCGTCGGTTAGGCTTCTGTGTTTGCCATATTATTCGTCATTGTCTCTGTATTGACCGTGGGAAGAATGGGTTCCTTAATCGATGTCCATATCTTTACGAGAGCGGAGATCATTGTGTCGTCTGGAACACATTATGTATTCATCAAAATATCTCGCAATACCTCTCATGGGCCATACAAGTGTCTTGTTGAATTCTGCCGTAAATGCCCTTCTCATTCAGGTCAAAGTATACATACAGAGTGAGGTGGGAGACTTTCGGTTCTATGACCATCCATGACAACTCAGTCCTTGCAATCAATGTAGCTTTGCAGTTCATATGTGACGAGGCGGGAGCAATGCATTGCTGACACTTTGTCCGCCGGCTTATCAAGCACTGATCCAGTTCTATCGGAGCCCCGATGGGCCCGAGTGCCCCACGCCGCTCCGTCTGACGGCCTTCAATTCAAACCGGATGCCACTGCCCCGCATTCTTTTCTCTCCATCGTGCTTGCTCTCCGCGTGGTTTACCATCTTTCGAGCGTCCATAGCCCCAAATGCGCCCCGACACGCCTCGAGACCCCGTCGCCGGGCCTGACGCAGGCCCAGAAAGCCCGTACCCAATCCGATTGTCGGGCCCGGTCATCAAGGGCTTCGGCCGAGGCAGCAAGGAGGTATGCACGTCCCTTGAACCCCGTCAGCGCTTCGATAACGAAGCTCTTGGCCTGAGGTCGGTGCTCACCACGCAAATGACATCGACAGCTTGGAATCCCCACGGCAAATATCCCCGCCGATGATCTGTCCGAAGAGCATCCCGAGTTGACGACCGGAGTGTATTACGGAGTCGTGGCGCTGGATCCACGAGCCCAGTCGCATGAGGACAGCAGGAACGATGGCGAGAAGTCAGCAGAGACGACGATCTTGCCCGCCGTGTTGAGTATTGGATACAATCCCTTCTACAAGAACACGGTGCGATCGGTGGTACGTGGACGTGATTGTTGCGGTGATCGCTCTGGCTTCCTTCTCTTCTTATTCGCCTCTTGTGTCACCAGGAAGAATGGCCTTGTTGACAAGCTTTTGGGTCATCTTTTAGGAAATTCACATCATGCCTCAATTGACAGAACCGTCCCCAACGGCGGTTGCGCAGCCCAAATTTCACCGAATGCCCGATTTCTACGGCACCAAGCTCAACCTTCTGATCTTGGGGTACATTCGCCCCGAATACGACTATGTCTCGCTCGACGCTTTGATTGAAGACATTCGGGTCGATTGCGAGGTTGCGCGACAAAGTTTACTCCGTGATGCTTACCAGCGGTACATTGTCGACGACGACCAAGGGTCGAACCAGGTCCGTGAGGATCGAGAATGGTTGAAGTCATTCTAACGGAGCGATTGCAATTACTCGAGACGATTATTTCTTTTGATTTCCAGTTTCTCTTTTTTTCGAGGTATAGATCCGGCATCTTTGAGCGATGGTGCGTTTACTGGTTGTGTTCGTCTTCTTTTCTTCTTAGATCTGGATTTGGTTTTCAAAGACCCCTCTCCTCTTTCGGCTTTAGACATTGATCACTTTTTCCGTATCCGAGAGGCTTTTCCAACGGTGCACGGTACTAGAACTTCGCTTTTATATCCCAGCTAGCAGTCGGAGTGCTCATGTTGTCTTTTCGGAGTAGCTCCCATATGGATGCAGCTCTGGTGGTGAGTGAATGTTACATGCTTGGGTCGCGGCCCGAAACGGCTCCTCGCCAACCCACTCGTCGACGTCACACCAAGAAATGCAAAGCATTGGCACGACGAGGCAGTTGAGTTCCAGTCTTGTCCCATGTCATCTGCTCACTTGGTCCTCCGGAATAATGAGCATACCGGATCCGTGGAGGAAACACCATGCACAGTACAAGGCCGAAACTTTCGGTCCCTGAGTGTCCACCAAATCCTCGATATTCATCTACTTTGCAGCCATGGTGAATGTCTTTCAACGTCTTGTCAGACGTGCGACGACCGGCTCAGGCGATCAGCCACGGAGGCATTCGCACGATACTGGTGCTCCTACATATACTCGTTCTGGGTCCATCTCAGGAGTGTACAAATCAAATGACTTGCACCGAACAACGAGCGGAAGCTCCTGGAGACGTCGTCCTCACGCTGCGATGGAAGAGCCATCTCCGCGCCATTTGATTTTGATCTCTGATAATGCAACATTCGATCCTCATATTATACAGCGATTTGAGGCCGAGGGATTCGACGTCACTTATTTGGGATTTGTCTGCACAGACGATGCAGAGAGAGACCGCAAGGCATTGGAGTCTGCGGTGCACGAGAAAGAAGATGACCTGGAACCCGGCGAGAGATACGCGATCGTTGGTATGTAGAAACTCATGATATACTTGATCTTTGGTGGCACAGGCGATCAATCTCAGTCAGTCTGAATAGCAGGGAATAGAATACTAACGCAACCTCGCAGCATACAATCGTCCTGCGTACTATCTCCTTGGTTCGCACCATCTCTCGCAAACATCGACCAATCCTTTCCCTCGACTCTGCGCTTTTATCGCATACTATCCATTAGATTTCAAGAATCCCGCTCACTCCAACGCGATATTTGATACCCAGGAGTGCTGCGCCCCGGCTTGCGAAGACACAAGTGCCATCTTTGACCCCAGTGTGTCGACATCATTCCTGCCCATCCAAATCCATCTGCCGGGCCACGATCTGAGCAGCCGCACTTTCTGGCCCTGGATCAGCACAAGTCCGGGTGAACGCGACATCACGTATAAGAAGCGCCATCGCTGCCATGTTTACGCCTACCCCGACGCACGGGCAGGATTCGCCGAATCCACGCCTTCCAGCTACAGTATCAAAGACAAGGGACCTGTTGATGATGACCGCATCAGTGCTCAGTTGGCGTGGAGCAGAGCGCTTGGTTGTCTTCGCCATGCCTTTGGTGCCCGGAGCACATGGCCGATTGCCGATATCGAAACCGTCTGGGAGCAGTATTGGGCAAGATTGATGGACGGGTTGAATCTGGTGAAGATGGCTTCTAGTCAGCCCACAGCTCACGGGTCAGCGATGGAGATCGTGCTCAAGCCGGGAAATGACCTGATCTGCCAGGCGACGGGCGGAACAAGTGCACACGACGAACAGAACGCAAAGATAATTTGTGCGCCAACCAAGGCTGGAGGTACGTCCAATGAAGTCGATTCTTCCATGCACCACCAGTGGGCGAAGGCACTCCTCATATGCATTCCATGACTAACATATGGGTTTTTGTTCCCAAACTCAGGCTCAACTCCAGAGGACCTCAGGACCTTCTTCAAGGATGTATTTATTCCCAATGGTCCACCGAGTCAACATTTTCGGCTGTTGTCGAGAACGGTCGGTGCGGATCGCATCGTGGACGAGCTTTTGTTTACTTTCTGTCATAGCAAAGAAGTCCCATGGCTGCTGCCCCGTGTTCCGCCAACAAATCGGGACATCGAAGTCGTGATTGTTGTCGTGGCGAGTTTTTTCGCCGATCGCATCGTCCATCAAAGCCTCTACTGGGACCAGGCTGATGTGTTGGTGCAAGCGGGATTGTTAGACGCGGATCTGGTGCCTCACTTTCATAGGAAAAGATAAACTTTCTCTTGCGATATTTCCATACTCGATAATAATATTCTTCATATTTCGAGGTTTTTTTCCCCCGTGGATAAAGTAAGCATTCCGATGGGGGGTATGGAGAAGCGTCGAGACGATTAGTACACCTGGTCGTCTTCTGCGACTCAATGCTTCTTTCCTGTCTGTAAGTTTACATGAACCACACTTCGGTTCGAACATCCCAAGATATCAAACTTGGTTCGCGCTTGACATCATTGACCAAGTGCCTTCCATTTCCCAACAAGGCCTTCCAGATCCTGACTTACCCCACCCGCACTCATCAACGTCCTTCGACTCGCCTCCTGTGCCAATGGCAGAACATGTTCAACACGTAAAGAGGAATCCTTCGCAAGTCCCGCAACCAAAACGCCCAGCAAAGTATCTCCAGCCCCGTTCACACTGACAACTTCCTCGGCCGCCAGGACCGCAGCAGGCGGGAACAGACGCATATATACGCCTCCAAATGGAACATCGGCCGAGCTCGTACGAGACAAGATATAAGGCGCGCAGTCCGGATCCGTTAACCGAGGATCATTGCGCGGCAGGAGCTGTGTTAGCAGAGCACCGGCGCCTCCGAGCTTCGTGATGATGCACGGGATAAAAGGCAGCAGTTGAATAGATTGCTGGGGTAAACCCTCGTCGACGAGCTTGGAGGAGGTCGCCATGACAAGCTTCTCGCGTGAACCAGTGGGTGAAAGGCCCATTGCGTCTATGGCGGTCCACCAGCTAGGCGACTCGAAGAGCAGGGCTTCACGGGCGGCCATGTACATTGTTGATAGTTCGTATCGGTTCGGACATGCCAGACTGACGGCGTTGTTGGGCACGGTGGAAGCAAGTCCAATGGGAGCATCGGCACCGCTGGCTGGATCGCGCTGGAACAAGCGTCGAGATTTCGCATTCGAGACGGGCTCAAAAGCCACGCGTGCTCCGTGTTGACGAGCCACCGAGATCCATTTGGAAATGACTTCTGGACGCCAATTTGCGTCGACGACGACCCAGCGCGGTTTTCCGGCTGCCATCATGGGTTCCCAGACTTGATCGAAATTCAGTGCTTTCTCCGAGAGCTCGACAATTCCCATATCTGCCATGGCAAAGACCAGGTCCTTTTTGGTATCGTTGATAGCCACATACTGGGCTGTGCGTGTGCCTGAGCTCGTAGGGAGGACTTGTACGCCCTTCTTGTCGAGGCCTTCCTCCTCGAGAGATGACAGCGCTGCACGGCCGCTAAGATCATCTGCAACTACGCTGCAGAAAAGTACGTCGCTTCCAATGTATTTGGCGGCAAGCGCGACGTTGTGACCGACACCACCTAGGCTTTGCTCGATCTTTGCAGGATTCGAAGTATGTGGAACAGGTGCGTCGTTGTTGGTGTCCCGGGTAAAAGGAGCATAGTCACAAGAAAGGTCGATTGCCAGCGAGCCAGCGATGACAAGATCTGCGCTCTTGTGAGGATGAGGTTGAGGTGGCGAAGATACTGTTGGTTCAGAGTCTGATCTTTTTGGGGCTGAAGGTTCCGAATGGTCTTTGGAGGACTGTGTGATACTTGAAACAACAGGCGTATGTCTACCAGGATTGATTTCTTGAATCTTAGCAGCGAATATACATGCTGTACAGTAGGCAAAGATTGCCGCGAACGACTCACCCAGCCTTGATACTACGATCGCCAATTTCCAGTTTTGCCAGCTCAACTGCCACGCGTGTTGCTCGCTTGATGTTGGACTCGATCAATGCACGGTTGGCAATGACACTCTTTCCGCCGCTGAGTTCCTTGATCTTGGCCAGCACAAACGGAGTGTTGTCACTGCCTGTGTGACCTTCCACTTCGGCCAAACGAACTGCCTCTGCGACAATGCGGTCCATCTCCGGCTTAGAAAATGAAGACTCTGCAGGCACGGGGTTGGCAAACAAAAGACCCGAGCGAACTGGAAGATGAGATTGCGCGTCTGTAGATAGGGTTGGTTTCAGTGAGACTGAGTGGTCATGAAAAAAGACACATTTGAACTTACAAACAATCGCAGCGGCTTCGGCTTCATTTTGAATGACCTTTGGGCTGCGAATTCCGCTGTCTCTGGAGAAGAAAGCAGGGTAATCCACCGGTCCCTCGCGACCATCGGCAAAGGTAGCCACGCAAACGCCCTCGGTTTCGAGATATTCGAGGGTACGGGGAATATCCAGGAAGCTCTTGCTTCCAGAACTGATGACAGTCACCGGTGTGCGACCCAGTTCAGTCAAGTCGGCTGGCAGACAGTCTCAGCTCATTTGCCATTTCACATTGTTGGGAAAACATTCCGGTGGAGAAGAGCTGCATACCAGATATATCCATGGTGTTTTCGCCTCCACGATGAACGCCGCCTGTGTTTATGTTCAGTTCGAGGTCTTTTCAACGAAAAGCGTTACGCAATGGAGTCGAGCTCTCACCAAGACCACCAGTGCCAAAGATTCGAATGCCAGCAAGCTCCGAAAGAATCATCGTGCCGGAAATGGTTGTACCACCATGGATTTTCCTTCCAGACATGCCCTTTCGATTTCTTTTGAGTACTCATTATGTGATAATGATGTTTCGACTAGCTTACCATGCCGCAAATGTATCCAAGGTCTCGTCGAGACACTTTGATAGCACTCTTGTTCTCAACGGTCGAGGCCAACTCGACAATCTCGTCGGGACTCATTCCCACGCGAGCCACACCCCCGAGAACGCCAATTGTTGCAGGAACTCCGCCATTCTCTCGTACTACTGATTCGAGGAGCTGTGCAAGTGCAACATTCTCGGGGTATGGAAAGCCTGCGATTCAATGCGTCACGAGTCAGCAAGTGAGACCAAGAAGACTCAGGAACTATGTGAACAGAGCGAATGCGTTCCGTAAGAAGCTCAATGGCATATACACTCTCACTTCCACTCACCGTGAGTATAAATGGTTGTTTCGAGGGCGACAACCGGCCTGCCCGTCGCAACCGCATCACGTACTTCCTCCGATACTTGCAGGAATCTGCTCTGAGGATGCTTCTGCAGGTCATGAAGATGGCGAACCCGAGGTAAAAACGCGCTTTTGCGGCATTGAAACCTGGCAGCAACTCTGCAGGCGATCATTCTTATGGCTCGGCTAGGGAGGATTGACCAACCCACAAATCTGACACCCTCGGTTGCTCAATTGAGTGGGGGATGGAGATCGCGGAGGCGGAGGAAATGAGGAGAAAGTGTTATCAGCGCGATAAGAGCAGCGGAGTGCATATTGTGGCCGCTGCGCCCGCCCTACTCGCTATACAATGGGGACACCTCATCAGCTTTCGCCAGACCGGACTCTCCCCTCTCTGTCAAGCACGATTTGTCAACAACCTCATTGATCATCCAGCATACTCAATTGATTGCTCAGAGACTCTCTGTGCTCCGGCGTGATCTCCTCAATTGCAATGAGGTTCTTCACAGCCACCGTGCTCGGGTTGCTTGCACCCAGCTTGGCTGCCGCGACCAATGCAACCACGCCGTTCCGCGTTGCTCTCCCATCGGACTTTAAACCCGCGCAAGTCTTCCAAAACACAAACGTGGTCCGCAACACCAATCTAGAGAAGAGCTACGCACGAGAGACTGTCAACCTTGTCGTTGAGAACATCGACAAGAAGCCCCAGAGCGACTATTATGTTCCATTCCCTGCAGATGTTTTTGAGCGAGTTGGAGGATTCGAGGTGCGCGATAAAAAGGCACCCCAACAAGGCCGCTTTGAAGTGACTGTCACGGAGCCTGTCGCATCAAGGTAAGCCATCTCAAAGCCCTCTGATTGATCAACGTGTGGAGGCGCAATGCAATCGCCCCAATACGCTCTCCATGGTATGCCATGAACGTTGTAATATGCATAGCAAGCTAACCCGGATCCTCGATCATCTAGTGAAACACAATACTTTATTGTTCATTTCCCCGAGCCATTGGCTCCGAAGTCTCAGCTCACGTTAGGAATTTCGTATTCCCTCTTGTCCTCATTGAGCCCTCTTCCGGCCACTATCAACCAGAACGAGAAACAATATCTGTCCTACCGCTTCTCTGCCTACGTGCCTTCCGCCTACCAAACACTTACTCAGAAGACCAAGTTGAAGCTTCCAACCACTGATGTCCCCGAATACACCACCACTCAAGGCCTCAAATCCGGTGCCGATCCCGAGCGAAAGGGCGCTACGTATACATACGGCCCTTACGATACCGCCAAAGTGGCCCCCGGAACCGAACTCCCCGTTTTCGTTCGTTACGAATATACTCACCCTGTGATCACCGTGAACTTGCTCGAAAGGGACCTGGAAGTTTCTCACTGGGGAGGCAACTTGGCCACGGAGGAACGGTACTGGCTGCGCAACAACGCTTCCCAGTTGACCAACCAGTTCTCACGCGTGGAGTGGACCTTTGCTTCGTATCAAAAGGCCCCTACTTGTGCCGTGCGAGAGCTCACTTACCCCCTTCTTCCTGGCTCTGTCGACGCTTACTTTATCGATGACATTGGTAATGTCTCGACGAGCCGTTATCGCCCTGGCACTGCCAAGACCGGTGCCAATCTAGAGTTCAAGCCTCGCTATCCTATCTTCGGAGGCTGGAACTACAGCTTCAAGTTGGGCTGGAACAACAACCTGTCTTCGTTCCTTCGCAAGACCGCAAATGCGGACTCGTACGTGCTCAAGGTGCCTTTTATCCAAGGACCCAAGATGGCCGAGGGCGTTCAGTATGAGCATGTGGTCCTCCGTGTGGTTCTTCCTGAAGGTGCGCACAATGTGCGTTACGAGATTCTCGAGGGCACCACCAGCAATGGGCTGCCTGGACAGAACCAGATCAATGCCACTTTTTCCTCACTCAAGACATATATGGACACTCTCGGCCGGACGACTTTGACCCTGGAGGTCGATAGTGTCACCGACGAGGCCCGCGACTCGCAACTAATTGTATGTGACCCCGTCTCTTCAGCTCTACCCTTTGTGGTTTTTCTTTTCCTTTCTTGGGGGTGTTCGCTATAGCTAACCTTTTTCGATGTATAGGTGACTTATGACCACACACTCATGGATGCTCTTCGCAAGCCACTCACCATCTTCGGCGGTCTATTGGCTGTCTTTTTTGGCATCTGGTCCGTTGGCAACCTCGATGTCAGCATCAAGAAGCGCTGAACGCGCAGTCTCTTGAACGAGATTTTGCGACCATTGCCTTCTTGTTGTCTATTTTGTTGTCCTTGAGAACATCTTTATATATATATAGTCTCCAAAAATCTCTCTCCCAAAAACCGGTCTCTCTCTTCGAGCTCTTATCAGTAAATCTTCGAGTGCCTGGAGTTGAAATCACTCAGTATATTATCGCGAAACCTAGGGGATGTTTTCAATGGATACTGACCTCGTGATTTAATGAAGGTTGATCAAATTATCTACAGGCCGCATCCAGATGCGCGCGTGTAAGAAATCAAACGCATGTTTTTCTGCTAAATCGAACGAAGAATAGACTAAAATGTAATGAAATGAGGATTGAACAGACCGAGTGTGTAGATTGAGCAACAAAATAGTAGCTGTGAACCTCCCCTCGCGGTCCTCGCTTTCTTATGGGACAAATCATCAAAGACTTTTACCTCTTGCGTGCCACCGTCTTCGTTCCGGATCTCGCCTTACTCTACTTACCGATACATTTATCCAACAATCGTGTCTTGACTTTCCGACCTCGTTCGGGCGCAAGACTTCCCATCACCCCGACATACCCATTTCTCATCTTCTCCTTCTCTCAATACCGTGCCGTACCTGGCGGTTTCACTTCTGGGATCCATGCCGACTGGAATGCCGACTCAGGGACGACACCGACGACTGCGAAGTGTAATACTTGCCCCCCTGTGCCCACTGCCGCATATCAAACGAATTTAGTGGAGAAACCTCATAGCTTGGTGGGTTCTTTCGTCTGTATACATCAGCTTGCGGTCTAGTGTTTGGAGTTTCATGCTGTCGTTCCTCTCGCATGGAGGACAGTCTAGCGGCTCTTTCAACATTCTTTACGGAAGGCGAAGGGGCATGATTCGACTTTGATCCTGGTTTCGAGCCCGACTGTGACTGAGGCCGAGATTGCGCTTGAGATCCATGTTGGCGATGACCTCCAGCTTGTGGCTGAGGATGTCCTTGAGTTTCAGGCTGGATTAGAGGGAGACCGCAGTGTCGACAACGCGGGTCGTTTCCGGACTTAGCTGCGCCATGAGCGGGACAAGCTAAAGGACCTGCATATCTTGATCTATGGGGTTTCACTCGGCTGGCTTGGTAGTCAGTATTCGAAGCGCTCACGTCAGAGGGGAAATAAGTATCCATGAAGCTGTGGTTTTTCGCGGCAGCGGAGCCGCGCTTCGGGCGCCTCCATGCATCGACGGGCATGATTTGTAGGTGCAAACTTCAGGTGATACTGGTTAGGTATGTTTTGTTGGCAATTGCAGGTGTGATCTGTGGCTTATTTTGGACGGATATTACTTCAACGAATGTCGGTGAAATGCGATCAAATGAGGGTTCAGATACTTATGAGCTTGGAGATTTGATTTCGATCGATGAAGAATAAGATCGGAGCAACACGAGCTTATATATGACTCAATTGTTCTTCTCAATAGACTATCTTTCTTTCATTGTCGCATGACGCAGACAATTGGCATCCCATGGAGTCGTCGTGACACTATTTCCGTGCAGGACAAGGCAGACCAAAATGAGGTATAATGCATTGTCCTCCCAGTAAGACGTTTTGCAGAAGTCCTTTCAAGCTATTCTTAGTGAATTTGGCTATGCAAAAAAAAGTTGTTATTCTTGTTTTGTGCTACTTAGGTGTCGAGGCCAATGGACTCGTGTGGAGGAGCCCTGCAATGATCGAGTATCAAACAAAGAAGTCGTGGATCAATGGACTCTCTCCCATCCGCCATAGTTTTCAGTTCCTTCGTAGAGACGAGATAGTCTTATGCTCGTGGGGTGAAATTTCATTATGTGGGTCACCTCACCTCGAGACAATAAGAACAACCGAGTTCGAGGATAAAGACACTTTTTCCTGCGTCGGTATTGTTATGTATGTCCAAATGCAGTAAGTAGGAGGCCTTCTCACCTACGTTGCAGATCATGTGCTCCTGTCTACGATATGAAGCACTGCTGCACTTAAGGTGAGTGTCATCTTCCTTTCCTAAGCTTGATCAACTCAATCAAATAAACCTTCCAGTTGTTGACATGATCTGAGTCGGTTACGGGTCCGTCCGATCTTTGAGTTGAGGCGATCACTGACAAGCTTCTTGAAAACTTCCGTCAGCTGACCGCTAGATTAGGTAATGGAAGGACCTTCCAACTTTCACTGGTAAATTTACAGTGATTTAATTTTTTTATCCGCTAGTACGTACTAGTGGTAAGTAAGATAGATGTAGGTACCATCCAGTTGAGGTGGCCTAATATACACTTGTAGACAACTAATCTGTTACTGATATTAGTAAAGTACAGCACTACTGGATGTCCATCGCGTCATGACTCTCCATTATCATACGAATGCGAGTCTGCCGACTGTATAATGACTCAACCAGATTGCATGGGTCTACAAGAACCGAGATCCTTCAAGCATAAGTTGACGTTGCAGCGCTATCGTAGCCAAGCTTTCTCACCTGCGGCGCCATCCCCCATTCCGTCATCGACCGTGTGGAGCACCTGATCCCACCTGCCAAATGATGGCTGGTTCTGCTGGTCCGTGCCCATTTTCCTTTTAAAGTTAGCTCATTACTTCCCCCTGCGTGATATCGGAGCATCCACTTTGTAGCTACCTCTTTCATGTTTGATTGACGACCTCCCATTGCTTCGAATTGCTCAATTCCCCACCCTATGGACTTTGTACACTTACTGAGAACTTCGAATTTTGGCTTTCACCCAAACAATTTCAGGTTCTCTCGTGCAGGGAAGTTGATAGTCGACTCCTACACCCTGATACGTATCCTGACAATCTGCCAGTCGTCTCACTCGACGATCATCAGGGTGCGAGCGGTGGACTTCGTAAGGTAACCTGTGATTTGCCACCTTCATTCTTATCGAAATTACCGTCTTCGCCACAGACGCCCGGCACTTTCTACTCTTACAAGCTCATAAGCTCAACTTTGGAACCGGTGGGGCTGACGGGGGTTGTATGACGGGGGCTGTATGACGGGGGCTGGACCTTTTCTACAGGAGCCGCAAGTTCTGGAATGATTCGTTCAACGTTTACCAAGATAGTGCAGTACTTGAACACATCCATCGAGGTACCGCCACGCTCAAGCACTGCTCCGCTTGCCTTTCTCCGATGCCAGCCTCAAAGTGAAAAAGGAAAAAGCATATCGGGGCATCTCATCATCATCACAAAGCTCGATTTCTGAGCAATGGCAATCCCTCGACAATATCTCCGTCTTCGCACCGTTCTCTTCGCGGTCGTTCTCACCGCGGGCGTGGTGTGGTTTGTCTCGAACTGGCCCTCGAAGATAGTCATCCCCCACGCATTTGGCCATGGAAGTCTCGAGCCTTTCACTGGCCCTGCCACAAGCCAAACATTAGACTTGGCTAAGAGTCAGCAAAGGTTTTGGCAACAACTCCACGAGCTCGTGGAGAGACATGGCCCCCAAGCCATGCCGATCGTCGAGTACGAGAAAGCGCCCACGGAAGGGTTCGACCCCAAGGATTCACATCCTCTCCAGAACTACCTCGCCGTAGATTTGGATGATGTCTCCGGCATCAAGATCGCACATGCACGTTTTCTTGCGGCACTCACCGACGATCCCTTGGCTTTCAGGGTGCCCTACCGTCCTGGTACCCGAGGCATTGTGTCCACTGCTGGGGGCGCATATCTGCCGGTACTGGTCATCTCCCTGCGAATGCTTCGTCGCACTGGCTCCACATTGCCCATGGAAGTCTTTCTTGCCGACGAGGATGAATACGAACAAGAAATCTGCGACCAAGTCCTGCCAGAACTCAATGCACAATGCGTTGTACTCTCACAGATTCTGACCGCCAGCCCGGCCAAAATTGAAAAATATCAATTCAAGCCGTTTGCCATGCTCTTTTCCTCCTTTGAGGAAATACTTTTTCTGGACGCGGATGCCTTCCCACTCCAGAAACCGGATCAGCTGTTGTTCGATACTGAGCCTTTCCGCACCACGGGCCTGGTCACCTGGCCTGATTTTTGGAGGCTCAGCGTCTCACCACTTTTCTACGAAATTACCGGGGTAGAGGCACCCCTCAGAAATTTGCGCCAGTCGACCGAATCTGGAGAAGTGCTGCTCTCCAAAAAGACGCATGGGCAGACCCTTCTCCTCGTCACATATTACAATTACTGGGGACCGGGGTACTACTATCCACTGTTATCCCAAGGAGCTGCTGGCGAAGGCGATAAAGAGACCTTTGTCGCCGCCGCGACAGTCCTTCGAGCACCCTTCTATCAAGTCAGCGAACGGCTCGTCGCACTGGGTCACCGCAAGAGCCAAGAAGGCGGTTTGGCAGGCTCGGCCATGGCCCAATTCAACCCAGTCGAAGACTATCAACTCCACGAGAATGGTCAGTCTAGACTCCGAGGAGACGAAGCGACTCAGCCTGGGGTCTTCTTCATTCATGCCAATTTCCCGAAATTCAATCCCGCCACCATCTTCGACAAACACGAAGTAAATCCCGCATTCACAGATGAAGGGGACTATACCCGGGCATGGACGATCCCTGAAGACGTGGTCGGTCGATATAGTGAAAACGAGGATGTCGAAAAGGCGTTTTGGTCTGAAGTCAAGTGGACGGCGTGTGAATTGGAAGACAAATTCATCACGTGGCGGGATCGTCCACGGGGGAGTATCTGCGATGGAGTTGTCAAGTACTGGCAACATGTATTTGAATAAGGCCGAAAAGCCAAGAAGACAATGACAGGAGACGGGAGAACACGCTCGAAATAGAGTAACCCTTACAGTGTTGGCCACTGACCTTTTATGACCATGGTCGATACATTCATCAACCAATCGTCAATATCCATTTAGTTCCAGCTGCCGTAGGCTGAACTGTACTCCATATACAGAAAGCATATCTGTGATATTCTTCTCCCCAGTCCACCATCGATGAACCCAGCCCGATCCATTCACAGTCACACGCGTCCTCGTCCAAAACCAGCGCACATTCATTTCCCAGTTCAATAGCCAGGGCCATCTGTGGCGCACACCCCCCGCCCTGCAAGATGCACACACCTGGAAGAATGCAAGAATGGACGACCGAACTCCTTCAGATTCGAAGCTTGGGAGACTCCCGTCCTGTGGCTGGGAGTCCGGGTCAGGTCTGCTGGGGAAGTACCTGGTAGGGCCTTGCTTGGGAATGTGTTTATCACGTTGCGGTTTCTATTCCCCGTCCTCGATTCCGGGGCCATGAGGTGTCGGTCGTGCTAGATGTGTGAGAGCTTGTGGATGTTTATGGACGGGTTGGTTCAAGGTTGTACCTTGAGCCCAAGTTACTACCTACTCCTAGTACCTACTAGGTCGATCCTACCAGTTAAATAACTTGTCAACAGAGTGATCAGACAGGTTATTGCTCGCTCTACAGAATAATCTAAATCTTTTAGTTGCATGACCGAGTGACACGGCGACACAAGCTAGAGCCAAAGATCATTCCATCCGTTTCCAAGGACCATATTTTGTTTCCCTTTCCCTTATTTAAACATCTGATTGTACTGGACCATACACCTTTCATGTCTCATCGAAGCATGACGACTGTTCATAAGAGAAGACCCTTTTGTTCTTTGAAGACGGCAGAAAGAAAAGGGGAAAAACTCAGGGGGTGAGCCTGAATATGAAGAAAAGAGTCTATCGCCAAGGTTGGGGGGGGGGGGGGGGGGGGGGGGGGCAAATGAGAAATGAAGAAAAAAAAAAGAAAAGATGACCTCCTCCTGAAACACTGACGAGAGAGCAATGGGCAAGGGAAAAAAAAAAAAAAAAAAAGAGGTATAAGAACAGAAATCCATGTGAGAGTCGCACCACCCAAGGAAGAGGAACGGAAAGGGAAACACATTGCCCGTACCAAGAAAAACAAAGACAAAATAAGCTGTATAATCAACAAGAACTCGAAATGCAGAGTTCCCACCCGCAATATCAAAGAGCCGACCGACACCCGAGCGAAATTCCCAGAGAAACAGGCGAGGAGCTAGGAACAAAAAGTAACATGAGAAACAGAGTTCGCGAACCCTCGAAGTGTTCGATATGTATTTTTTTTTTCCAAAATTCGAACAACGAGGGTTCATTCCGACAGAGAAACATCATTATTGACCAGCGAGATGGAAATGGTCGTTCAACTCTCCCATCCCAAGTATAGCAACGTCAGGAGAGCCAGACGGGATTATCACACCTCCCCAGAAATGGTGCCCAGCACTCGTCATAAGACGAAAAAAAAAAAACAAAAGTGGGACAGACGGAATGACTGACCCACAGGCACTCGAGCGATTGTCTCGGGTCGCCGAAAATTCAAGTCTCCCCCGAAGAAAGTAACATAACATAAGAAATCCGGCCATTGGTTTTCTTGGACTTGTTGTCTTTCCCCGTCAGCTGCCTGGGAAATCCGCGAAATATCTCATACGGGGGAGGCCCGGATGAGAAATCACAAAGACGCTTCCATCGTGACGAAGTGAAGGCAAGCATGTTGTGTCTCTCAGATCCTTCGATGGGGTACAAGTCCAGAGACCGATGCGCATTAGATCTGAGGCTGGGCGGGAGCCGTCGTCCCCCACGAGGCTAGGGGTTGGGCGGTCGCATAATGTGGGTGATTGACGGGAGCTGTGGCGTGCACGTAGTATTGACTGCGATCGGGGGTGTAGTAGGAGGGATGTACCGGATTGGAATCACGTCGAGGCACGTTGGGATCGAGAGGCCCGATACCCCGGGAGTCGATTGGGGTGCTGGAATTGCTGCCGTCCAAATGACCGGGAATACTAAAGCTACTGCGAGAATACGTGCCCGGTGTGGAGGGATCCAGGGGGGAAGTCGCATCCGTCGCGACACTGCGAGAAGAGATGGATGAATTGCGATACGCAGACGGACTGTGGTCTGAGGTGGAGCGCGTGCGATCGCTATACGAGGAGGCGAGGCCCGTGTTCATGCCGGGAATGCTGGATGACAGCGCGCTATGGCTGACACTATCCATGCTGCCGCCATAGGGTCCTGCGCGGAAGGCATGGTAGTCGTCGTTTTTGGAACCCATGGCGATCGGATTGGCGGCCATGGCGGCGGGGGAAGGGAGATAGGGATTCGGGGCGGACTGTCCGGGGATCGACCCGGCCATCGAATAGCTTGCGATCGGCCCCGATTGATGCGGCGGGGGGCGGACGGAGGATGAGGAGGAGCATGCGAGGCGTGTGCCGTAGCGTAGGGCCCCGGGTGCATATAGAAATCGGAAGAAGGGTTAGGCATGCCAAAGGCGCCGGGCGGGGGCATGAGTGGCTGGGGTCGGTAGCCGTAGAGGGCGGCATGGGATGGGTCGTGCGGATTCTCCATCGCGCTGGTCTCCATATCATCGACCGGGGCACGGAAGTTTTGTTTCTGCGTCAACTCGACGCGGGGTCGAATATATCGCAGCGAGTCGACCATTGAGGGCGGGTTGAGCACCCCGCGCATCACATCTTCGACGCTGTAGTAGGAGACCAGATGGTGGGTGATGCCCATCACGGTGACGCTCATGGTCTTCTTGACCAAGCCGGATTCCTTGAACCCATACGAATCCACCAGGGAGCCGACGAGCGCTCGCTCCACTTCCGATTGATTGGGGGCGCGGTTATCGCTGAACGAGCCTGGCGGGGATGTGGGGGAGTAGCCGGTGCCTGTGCTCTCGGGTCGAGGGTATGGTTCACCGGGTCTCGTGGCGGGCGTCGGTCGCCGGTTGGCCTTTTTCATCGCCCGCTTCTTTTCGCCCGGGGGGAAGGGTTTCTCCAATTCCCGATAGACCAGAAAGTTGCCTAGAATCCGGCTGGGAGACCAGGTGACGCCGTCGGTCCAGCGCTTGATGCCGGATGAATTCTCTTCGTAGATGAAGACGCTGCCACTGCGCACCAAATGGCTTCGCTCGCGATCATGAGGCCGCCGGGGGACGTGGTGCAATACCCCCGTCAAGCACGCTTCGAATAGGATGAGTGCATCTTGTGTCGTGGCCACGTACCCGGTGAATGTGGGTTCGAGCACTGCCGCCGTACCGTTGACCATGGCGGCGGATTGTGAGGGGTTGAGGAGACCGCTTTCTAAGCGAAGGGGAGAGAGAAAGAGATAAAGAGAAGGGAATTGCCGGTGGGAGAGAGAAAGAGCGAGCTCCGGGTAACACAAGCCGCAGGCCTATAAGTCACTCTGAAAATCGGCGCGGAGCGATACTCGAGATGAGGATTGCCCGGGGATGCGAAAATGGAGAGAGAGAGAGAGAGAGAGAGAGAGAGAGAGAGAGAGAGAGAGAGAGAGAGAGAGAGAGAGGCGGAGGAGGAGAGGGAGAGGGGGGGGGGGGGAGCTTGGAAGTTTAACTTTCGGATCCTCGAACGGCGCGAATGCTACGCAGGGCCAGACTTGATGAGCTGTGTGTCATCAAACAATAGGGAAATGAGGGAAAATCGACAAGAAAATGAAAAATGGGCCAAACAGATCGATAGGCGGCCCGGTTGGTAATAATCGATTAATTGCGGCAAGCTCTATTGGGAGCGATTGCGACTCGTGGTCTTGGAGAGGGAATAGGAGCGAGGAGCTAATCGGGGTGGAGGTGAGGTTGAAGACACGCGCGAAGGTGAGGGTGATAGTTGTGGTGGCGGAGGAGAATGAGAAGAGCAAGAAGACAGACCGAGAGACACAGTCGTGGAGAAAGTGATCAGCTGCAGCCCGACCAGGTGGTAGTGGTGGTGGTGGTGGTGGTGGTGGGGATGATGATGATGATGATGCAGAAGAAGATGGGTAGAGTAGTGATAGAAAGACCTCTCCACTGATCACCGTCCCATGCGCGCGCAGGCACTCGATCCAGTCACTGGAATGCGTGAGTGGTCAATACCCCGGATTCTGGGATCGTACAGGTCAGAGACGATCGTGGTGAGAAAGGAGAGATGTGTTTGGCGGCCAAGCAGAAGAATATCGTCAAGGGAGACAAGCAAAATAAGCTAAGAGAGATCGACCAGGGTGTATGGTGTATGGACTATGGACTATGGAGCGGAGGAGCAGGACGGGATGGTTTTGAGTTAAGTTTCGACCCCTCTGGGGGGGGGGGGGGGGGGTGTCTTGCTGGTTGTGCAGGTCGAAAGGGGAAAGTAGGGAATTGGTAGCGGCATTAGGAAATGAGGAAAATGAGGAAAATGAGAAAATGAGGAAAACCCGTATTGGGGAGGAGGGGAGAGGAGAAGAGAGGAGGAGGAGGAGGAGGGGGGGGGGGACACGAATATCCACTGTACCCAGAGAATTCCGACTTTCGAACTGGGAATCTGGAAGGGGAGAACACCCCCCCCCCCCCAAAAAAAAAGAAAATCACTTTATTTCATGGAATACAGAATCATTCGGGTCGCCGGGGAATGGATAGGATGATGATTTGCCTCTGGACCTTCTGGGAGAGCGTCCATTGACCAGCACGGACCTGTCATGGACCCAGAATAATGTAAAAAAAAAAAAAAAAACCCCCAAGTCCCACCAGTCGCAGCCGATTCCGCCCCGATTTCGCACGGGCGGAGGAGGAGGAGGAGGAAAAGAAGAAGAAGGAAAGAAAGTGGAGGTGAAGGTGAAGAGGAAGGAGTCTTGGAGAGAGAGAGAGAGAGAGAGAGAGAGAGAGTGAAAGAAATGCGTCAAGAGAAAAAGGCAGATGAGGGAGAAGAGTAGTAGTGTGCGGAGGAGATGGTCAGGTGGACAGTGGATATGGTTGCGGTTTTCTACGAAGAGACCTACACATGGAGACTCGAGAGAGACCAGAGTGCAGGAGCAGCGCCGAGCAAAGCAGCAGAGAACTCAAAGTGATTAAACTGTGGTAGAAAGAGCTTCCTCTCCGGATATTCAGTCGAGGACCACACCACGACCACTGTTTTCTCTCTCTCTCTCTCTCTCTCTCTCTCTTTCGCAGCTAGAACTCACCGCAGTAGTACAAACTACAATGTATACAGGTTAGGAGTACTCGAGAGCTGCGAGACGAGACCTCCCACGGAACGTGATCAAGGACAACCTAAGTAGGCGAGGAGAGTACAACACAAGTACTACGAAGAAAAGAGCATGTACTGATGTACCTAGTGTTAGTAGGAAATGTGTAAGTTGACTACTAGTACCTTGCTACTACTGACATGGAAGTGTCAAGTACAACGACGCGTAGTCGGACACAATGAGGAGTACCGGTATCTAGTGACCTCTACTAGACTACTACTGCTATGTCCAGCTTGACCCTTGTACTCTTCTCCAGTCTTCCTCTTACTCTACGAGTAAATAGTAAATAGCCATCGAAGAGTGACATCGATCTCCAGACGGTACGTACGCCTTGAACGTGTCAACGTGCAGGATCAGTCATCCCCTCTGAGACGGGCGCTGGCCGACACTGGCACTGGCACTGGCACTGGGATTTGGACTGGGGACTTGGATCGAGTGGTGACCCCCTCCAAATGATCATTGGGGATCGACTGCGGTTCTCGCACCTGAACCACGGTTTCGACGATGCGGCAATTCCCAAGCTTTTGGGAGGACGTGCAAGAGGCCAGCGGAGAGGAAGTGAAGGGGTGAAGAGAGTGGAAAGGGACCTGGAAGGCGGCGATGGAAAGAAAGTTAGTATTGCAGAGGTCCCTAGTGTATAGAACGGTATATTCGACGACTAGTACTCTAGTAGCATTGAGCTTCACCTGTGGACTGTAGGAGGACGGACAAAACACTGGTGACCAGGAAACAGACTCGGGTGCAACCAGAACACGAGGAATAACATCAGGACTCCAGACTTCAAACTACAGACTTCAAACTGCAGACTTCACACGAAAGACTTCAAACTACAAACTACAAACTACAAACTTCAAACTACAAACTTCAAACTGGCGAGACGACTAACTGCTACGGAGTCGTAATAATGAGGACTGCCTCTACTGAGTACTAGTAGTACTGAATCCTGACCCTGAGAATCCTCGTCATGCAATAATCATACTCGATCAGAACCTAGAAAATCAAAGGAAAAGACCAAAACCCATAATGCCACTATTCTGCCAGTGATTCGATCCGTTTCAACGTGAATTGTTCTTTTGTTTCAAAAGAAAACCCGTGGAACAAACAAGTCCAAGGACTTGTCGTGCAGCAAGACCACAGACCAAAGACTCAAAGAGTATTCACGAACATGGACCCCGCCGCGTGGGTCGAGACAGAAGGTCAAGTCTCAAGCCAGGGTCGGAGAGACGAGTTCCAACGAAGACGAAAGGAGAAAAGGACGCGAGGGTATTACTCTCGTGGTACTCGGGGGGGGGGGGGGGGGTGGGGACGGTCGAATGGCTGGAATGGCAGTACTGTACACACTTGCGCAGTGCGTTCAACGGAGTGCACGACGGCACAGCCACACAGCCACGCGCTTTAGTACAGGAACTGGACTTGGCGCAGGTAAAGACTGCGGTGATCAAGTATGTACTACGACATTGAACCAAAGACTTGATTTCCAGTGTCTCTGTCTTATCGTATGTCGCATCGTCGATGCCTTGCTTACTACCATACTCAATCGAGTCAATACTGATCCTTCTCATACTCAGTATAGTGTATACTGTGTAGTGTATACTGCAGTGACACACGACGGCCAAGACACTCCGTTGACGTGGGGATACCAATCGAAAGACTGCTCGCACTCCGCAGAATAGTACCTTACTCGGCCAAGAAAAAAGGCCCATTCCCTACGAGACAACATCAAATTCCCCCCACTGACCTTGTTCATCCAGTAGTAGTGATAGTACCTAGTCCTACTACATAGGACAGAAATTCTCGACCTGGGTAACTGAGTCTGGGACTGTGAATATGTGAATTATGGCCTATGGCCATCCGTGAACCCCGACCCACCCTTCACAAACCTTCAGAAGGGAAAGCCCGAGCCCCAGCCTGACCCGGTGGACTGGACAGCAAAACGAGGTGGAAAGGGTGGGGGAGAGAGAAGGGGGAGGGGAATCTCAACCGGAGCCACCAGATTGACCCTGGAGATGCGATAGGAAGACGGAAACGAGAGTCGTGATGACGGTGGCGTATGGCGTACGATCCGGGGGAGCTGTCGGTGGGGAAGACTGAAGAGATTCACCATGGAGGAAACGAACAACTGAGACGGAGGAGCGGAGCGAGACCACACGATGAGACGAGGGAAAGAATAATGAAAAATGAAATGAAAAATGAAATGAAAAATGAAATGAAAAATGAAATGAAAAATGAAATGAAAAATGAAATGAAAAATGAAATGAAAAATGAAAATGAATCAATTCAAGCAAAAGAAGCGTGGAGGGGAAAAGGGGAAAGGAGGAAAGGAGAAGCACGGGATCAGAGAGACGTGGAGATGCGCGCAGAACGTGCGATTTCAGCTGGTAGAGAACCCCGAGGACGGTAGTTAGTAGTTACTAGTTACTAGTTAGTCACTTAGTTGTACCACACGTTCACCAAGGAACTTAGCACACCGCGTCGAGACGGCCAAATACGGTGCAGATGCAAATCAAACTCGTCGAGAGAGCTCCAGACAGAGTAACAAAGTAAGTCATTCGGTTCGAAGAGATCTGGTCTCTAGCACTGTGTCGAGAATTGGTCCGCTCACGATTGGACGGTGTGATGCAGCCTGGCCGCATCCGGGGCGAAAAGGGCAGCAGCATCAAGACTACGAAGATGGAGTGATGGTTCACGCGGGGGCAAGTTCGACATGCACCATTGTCCACCGGCTCTTGAAAGACGGGTCCATTCCAGTCCTCTCGCCAATCCGGAACTGGTCGCGAGATCGTGTGAACGCGAGAGACAAGATGGGGAGCACCGGAAATCACACACGGACCCTACGAAATAAGGGATTCGCGACAGCAATGGACATGCTGAAGAATCGACCGTTAAGTCCACAGCACCCAGCATCTGAGATGTCCTAGACGATCAGGGTCCGTCGCTGGAAGGAGACCCCCCCCCCCCCCCCCCCTCCGCATAGCTCAGCGGTATGATAGAAGTCGGCTATGGGGCTAATATTGCCTTTGGAACTAGTCATTCAGGTCTGTAACCTTCCATGGCATCCATCGAGCCTTTGTAAACATAATCTTAGTAATCGCCTACTAGGTAGGTACACCCTACCTTAGTAGTGACTACCTAGTGAGAGGATTGAAGTGACACTTTGCAGGTACGAAACGTTAAGAATCTGATAACCTACAGATCAACGAAACTCAGTTCTCCTTGTCGGTCCTGGTAGTACTCGACCAAGTTAAAGCGTACCTCGTCGCATGGCCGTGGAGAAATACTCAAAAAGACTAAAGACTCCCAAATATGCACCATGCAGGTCTGCCTTTTTCCACGGATCCAGTGGCTCGCCGACTTTTCGCCTCCCCTCTTCATCCGCGTGACAAGTCAGCCCCCGGAAAACGGCTCGAATAACGGCTCCGGATGCTTGGCGACAGACCCGAAACCAGCTGCCAAAGCCAAAGGACCTGCCACCATCCACGATGGGTATATGACTTCACACAGAGCAAGAGAGCAAGAGAACAAAAACATGGCACGAAAAAGAAACAAAGGCCCGCAAGAGGAAGTCATGACGCTCATGTGGTCACCCACCGTCATGGTTGGATCCGTCTTCCCCCCACTTTTAACCTCGAATATGCCAGGACATGCAGGTCGCAGACGCAAGAGTCGACAGTAGAGACTCCAGTAGCCAATGACCGATGCAGCTGCACCATTTGTCGAGGAAGGATAGTAGTGGACACTGGACGGTCACTGCAGAGATGGGAAGGGATTAGAGTGACTAAGTACTAACATGTCAAAGCCCAGCGTGCAGACTGCAGACTACAGACTGCAGGATTATCGACAACCACGGCCGCTGGTTGGTCACCGGTGGTGTGGTAGCAGTTTGGGGGGTTCACTTTAGTACGCATCCACACGTCTGCCTGCGCAAGAGCAAAGCGTATCCTCGATCGGACCGGTGATGCACGGGTGTCGCTCTGGTGGGAAGGAGGGTCCAGGGTTACGGCGGAAAGTTAATGGTTAATGTTAATTCTGAAGGCTAAGACATGGACTCGGGGAAGGAGCCAAAGGTAAAAGTCAAAAGCCGAAAGGTCAAAAAGGCAAAAAATGAAGTAAAAGTAGTAGGCGGTCAGCATCATCATGCATCGCGGATATTATATGATGGATGCATGGGGAGTCACGGTGTTCAATGTGGCCATCACTCATGTGACACGGGAGCGACGGGACAGAGAGGATAGACAGGGGCCAGGGAATCGCAAGCATGTCAAGAGAAGATAGAGGGAAGATTCAAGCCGAGCAACACCTCCTATCAGAAAAGGAGGTACAACTAGTAGTAGTTACTAGTAGTAGGACTGTCGCTCTCCACTACGTCAGTCTCCAGTGTTCTTTTGAGAAAAGTTCGCAGTCATTCAAAGAGGCACGAGAATCATACCCAAGGACCCAATCGGAAACATTCACGAACTCCAGATCAAAAGGGCGAATGAACGGAGCAGCCTGAGTATCAGATAGAGCCCGATAAGAGGAGGTGTTGGGAAGAACAGGACCGTGACGGAGTTGAACCGAGACCGTCCTTGGATCCACGGATCCACGTCCAAGCACTCTGTGCTTGTGGATGCGACCAGAGATGTGGAACGTGATTCGGGGACCCGGCACCTGACAAGGACAAAGCTCGGCGAAATCGAGTGACAGCTGCGGCAAGGGAGTGGTGGACCAGTGGACACTGGACAGTGACACACTGGACGAAAGACACGGACCAGTTTGGGAAGGGTGGAAGGGTGGAAGGGTGGAAGGAACCGGAAAGTGGAAGCGCCATCACCAGCGGGAAGCGACGAATGACTGGGGGATTGAATGAAGTGCGTGGCGCACGAGATTGAGCATGACCTGGTCGGAAGGGTTATCTCGATCTCTCTCGAGTAGTGTATTGGGTATGCAATGATCCAACTGTTGAGGGAAAATCAACAATCACAATCAAAAAAAGCGATCCCTCCAATGCTGGATCAATGCACTTCCGTCCCATTGTAGAATGCTGACTGATCTTTCCCCATCACGGCTGATTTACTACGAAGATTCGAAGATTCGCCGACCAGTAGAGTCGACGACTGGAAGGCTCGATCCTGCACCACACGGCTATATTTGTTGACTACCTGAGATCGAGAACAGTCAGATTTCACGGCAAGCGGCGACAGATCATGGTCAGTAGTCAAGAGAATTGTACGTCATGCAGGACCACCCTCCTCCAGCTTCCACGACAAAGGTCCAACCCCCCCTCTCAAGAAGGTCAACAACACTTCATTCCCGACAAGGTAAACGGTACTCCCCCAAGGCCAAACTCAAACTCACTTTTGCATGCCGCCGCCCCCACTCGCAGATACCAAGAGAAGCATTTTGGGTTTCGCCAGACACGCCAGAGGGTTCGTCATTTGGCCCCTTTCCTTCAGCTAAGGTTGGAGATCTCCCTGCTCCAGGGCTGTGGACTGTTTAAAATTTTGATCTCCCTTTGGGATTTGTGATCTAGTGAGATTATCCACTTCACGTCAGTTGGATGGCCAAGACGGTCGCTGAGGCTCTGCATGCGAAGGAAAAAAAAAAGTTAGAAAAAAAGAAAAAAAAGAAGAAAAAAAAAAAACAGAGGAAATCTGTGGTCGATTCCCCGGTCCCCGGTTCATTTGCACCTGTCTGAGAAGGCTCCGGCTTTAGCGAGTGATGTAGGTCTGGATCCGAGAATATTGGAGGGATTCTCGGTATGTACAGTACAGTACTACAACTGTTGGGATAGTTCTTCCAGCCTGTTCATTCGGCCTGCGACGATTCTCTCCGTGGAATTCCTCGGTCGAGACTTACGTCCCGAAGCGGTATATAGACACGATCCCGACCGTTCCTTAATGTGGAAGACCAAACTCCGCTGCGCGGAAATTGATAATTCTGGAAAATCAAGATCAGAAGACAAATGTCATCGAAACAGACCACTCACCAGACCAGATTCGGCAACATCAAGGAGAATAGCGGAGAGAGGGGCGGGAACAAGACTCGGCCTGCAGCTGAGGCGTGACAGGTACTAGAGTCACGAGGGGAGGACTAGGGTGATAGGGTCACGGACTCACGGAGTGACGACTGAGGTAGTACAGACTACAGACTACAGACTACAGACTACAGACTACAGACTACAGACTACAGACAGTACAGTTACTCCAGTACCAAAGTATACCGTAGGTACATTGTTCGCGTCTCCCGCATCTACCTCAGAAATGGTTCGATGAGGGTTTGGGGTTGCCCCTCCATGATGACTTGGGCAGCACAGGACACGGACAGTATCACTATCCAGTATCCTCTCCCCCCAACTTTCCGTCTCAGACGTCCATCTCACGCCGAGTTTCATCCGTCTTCCAAGTTGTAGACAGTCGAGGTCAAGACTAAACGAGGTCGAACCCGACCACATAGATCTGGGAAGAACCACCAGGCCGATTGCAGATCTCTGATAGGCACGACCCTCCGGCTGTGCAGCTGGAACCAAGGCAGAGAGAGCCTTTGCGCATCCGAGATACGCGTGTGCGATCAGCCAAGGGCCCCCCCCCCCCCCCCCCCCCCGGGAGTATGTGGATCGGATCGCCGAGTGGTAGCCCAGATGAGGGGAGGCGGAGAGATGTGTCGAGCGATGGAGATGGAGAAAATTTGTCGATGACCCGTCCCACCTGCTTCCAGGCACCTAGGTTTTGAAGTGAGTCGAGGCCTGTACTTGTATGAAGGGGGGATTCAGTAGCTAGGCCGCGTGGCCTTTTCATTCGGGGCGCTCCAGAACTCAGGTCGAAAAGAAGTACGATCGGGCCACTTCTTACTCTTGGTGCCTGCTTACTACTGACCATGTCCTGACGTCTAGAATGGTGCAGTTGCGGTGCTCAGTGTAGGTTCTCAACGTCTAAATCCGTAGTAAGACTAAATTTGGGGTATTAGAACCCCCCAAAAAATAACAAAAAAAAAAACAACTCGAGCAGCTTACGGTGCCTAGCACCCACTGCCGAGTAAACCTTTAAATTAGCCTTTTTGATATTCCCACCCACGAGGTCACTAAGAATACACTCTAAGTCAAAGGTTCGCCCTGCTGAGGGTAGCTTGGCGGATAGACCAGAATTGAGTTTATCATTTACACTTTCCAATCCCACTGCCGGGCCTGACTTTGTTTTTCCTGGGAGCCTCATCGAGCGCAGGTCATATACACTTCAATAGGAGGAGGAGTAGTAGTAGTAGTAGTAGTCATCATGGACGAGTGACAATCGGTAAACTCCCGATTGAATTGTCAGCACAGGCCAAGACAGGAGTGATCGTCCAGCGGCGGATGGCTGATTATTTCGGGAATCCTTGCACAAATGTAGTTGGCTGTTGGTACGAGAAGGATGCATCAATATTCACAGACTCATTATCATGCCGTACTAACAGCGCTGTCAGATCGAGTCACGGGTGTCCAACCGCCGTAGGTAAACTAGGTAAGGTGTCCATGGCAAATTCCGAGGGAAATTATCTCCTTGGTCTTCTCCTTGGTCTTCCCCTGCCGTCTCGTCTATATCCCCATTTCCAGTCAAAGCATGCCCAGTGGTCAACTACTGGACAGTGGACTCACCTTCCAAGTGCAGACAACCACCATCAAGCACTTTGAAAGGAGCCTAGTCTCAGTCAGCTCGTTCCACTTCTTT